CAAGTGTATTATTATTACTATTATAACATAAGAGCTGGGCTTCTATGGACAGAGGTTTCTGACCCCAAATCTAAACTTCATGTGGATAAGACCATCCCATGCACCACTTTTACCATTCTGAATATAAGAATCCCTGACCCTGCAGTGTGTATGATATAATTTCACAACATTGTATTGAAAACTTAGACTTATTCAATTGATAATTTTTGATATTAAAAATACTTTTTAATACCTTCTACAACTACAAAGTAGTGCTAGAGAGACAGTACCCCTGAAGGTGGTCATGATTTAACTTTTTCATACATGACAGACACTTTCAGTTCACAGAATATACTTTTTTAAATTAATTGTTTTTTAAGTCGTGATTATAGTAGCTTCAATGGTCTGTAGTCCTTGGTCTAGTATGACACTGGGAAGTGGCTGGGTGTTCCGTTTTGTCTTTTGAATTATATTTCCAATTCTTGTCAATGCCTTTTTTAGGGAGTCCTGATCTTTCTTCACTTCTGCCATACCATCGTATAAGTTCTTTTCTTTCTCAGAAATAGTCTTTGACATTTTTATTATATCATCATCTTTTATTTCTTGTGTGTAAGATATTGAAACTGGTCGTTGTTTCATGTTGAAGAGTTTTCCTCTTGATTTGCTCAACTCTGCATTCAACTCTGTTAAATTTGCTGTTGAATCTTGTAACTATAGAATAAAAAATATATAATTGTAGGTCTACTCCTTCTGATGATGACATAATTGACAACATAGCTTACTTGTGACAAAAGTTCAGTAATATTCTCATCTTCTGTCCGAAGTTTCACAGGTAACTCTGATGAACCATATCCATTTTGTAGTTCTGTAATATCCTCCCGTACTTCTCTCTCCCGTGCTTCTTGTATGCGTGTTTTATTTATCACCCATGCCGCATCAATATACAACTTGAGATCACGTTTCCCCCAATCATTATAAGCTCCATCACTACATAGTTCCTCTGCAGTTACATTCCAAAATTTCCAATAACTTCTTGTCATTTCAGCATCTTGGCCATTTATTTCTCGTTTAGAGAAAATGCGAATACCCCGTAGCTTTGCAAAAGGGTAAGGGCTGTCCCCTTCTGCCTCCTTGGTTTTCTTTGCTGGGGGTTCCTCATCAACATCTTGTGATTGATTTTTGGTATTTGATTCATCTACCACATTTGATAATGGATTGTTGACATCTAGACTTTCTACTTGAAGTTCAGTCATGCCTTGGTTATTCTTAACAGTTTTAAGATGTAAAAATCATGGGAATATTTCAATACATGTAATTGTGATTTTCTGTGAAAATAAAAATCCTCTGTGCCTGCGTACAGGTTTGTACAGGATAAATTTTCATAATTAAATATTCATTATAATTCAAGGTGGAAATAAACATTGCGATTTCTTCCTGATATATATATTATTCTTCCTGAAAAAAATATGGAGTCTGTTCGTGAGGTAGCATCGACACAAACGCTATTTTCCTTCCTTGTTTTAGCTATGATTCGTGGTAGTTTTGCTGTATTAATCCACTACGGAATTGATTCGTATAAAACACCAAGTCTGTTATTTCTGCTTCGTACACCAGGAACATTGGTTCTATTTATTATTTCGGTATTATACTTGGCTTCAAAGGAAGAAGAAAGCAAACTAGAGATTTTAAACAACTTTAAAAGCTCGCGGTTATATAAAAGAGCTGCATTATTGGGATTTTTTCAGCTTTGTGGACCGTATTTGTTATTTATGTACGCGATGAAATACTTAAGTCCAACTATTGGTGCAGTCTTTATGTGTGGAACTCCTTGGGCGACTGCGTTGTTGGAGAAATTTCTTTCTCTCACTGTTCAGGTAGGTTCGAGGAAATTATATGTACCGATCAAGGCACATCTTCACATAGACATGTATCCCCCCATACAGAGAACTAACAGCCATGATATCTTTGGGTACTGGGTAGACATAAATATTGTATAATGTTTACCATTTATGTCTTTCCAGAGAGCAAAGAATTGGAATGCTATTGGCTCAGTTATAGGTGTGATTGGCTTGGTTGCTGTCTCTGTTGGAAACTTATGTCATGTTACTATGGATACAAGTTGTCGAGCAACATATATTTTCAAAAATGTAACAACCAACATTAGTAATAGTTCAGATGGTTATTTCATTAATGTTACCAAGGAGAAAGTTGAGGTGAATGCTGATACTTGTTTAACAGAACTAGAAATTACTACAGCATTTCTTGCTTTGTGTGGTGCAACATGTCTCTGGTCAATAAGTGCAGGTAAAACATCATTAAACGCACACTATATTATATTGATAAACATGTTTACCTACTTGTTAAAGAGGTAAGTTGTTTGCATTGATAGTAGTTTCTAAATATATTGGACAGTATTTTCAAGATTGAAACGAGTCAACATTCACTTCCTGGTTGGTGGATTGTTGAACAATGCTTTTGGTGGATTGTATGCTTGTGTGCTCTGGTTAATTCTTGAGCAACATATTAACACAAGCAAAGTGAGTATATTAATTAGATGCCCATTCTTCTAGAATAAAAGTAACCAACAGATTTACCATTTGTAATGACTCTTTTTTATCTAGGTTGCTTGGGATAGCACTGATGGTTCCATTTCAGTTATATTCTTATCAGTTGCATCAAGTTGGGCAGCTTCACTCATCTTATACTATCTTTATAGAAAAATTGGTAAATTCATTCTTGACATATGAGAATGTTAAAATGTATATTATGCTATTTTCTAAAACTGATGTATCTTTCAGGTGCAGAATCAACCAACAGAGTGATGTGTCTTGTTCCTATAATAACATGGCTTGAAGATATCATATTTTTGCATCACTACAAGAGCATGTTCACATGGATTGTTGTTTTAGAAGTTATAGGTATTGTATAAATTATGTATTATGACTAAAGATATAACAGCTTCTTATGCAGAATTTAATATTGCAGGCCTCGTATTAGTTGTAACTGGTTTGTATATCTCATCATATCACCAAGAACAAAGTGCTTCACAAGGTGCTCATGCACAACTTCTACCAGACTATGTTTCAGAGGTATGCAACATTAGTGTATTTATGATGTGCTCCAACAAAATTAATATCACTCTTTCCAGTTGCGGATGCTTGGGTACAACCATGCATGATGTCATGCGATGCAGGTAAACAGAAGTATTGTCATTTAGCTAGCAATGAAAAGAAGTTATACATTTTAATTATATAGGAAGAAGATGATGGGTTGATTCAGAGACAAGTCAATGAGTTAAATGACACTGTTCAGTCTGAAGAAGAACTAATGCAGTCTGGTAGTAGTAGCATGCAGGACTCTGTTGAACCACCTATGATACATTATGCAGATGATGAAACTTATGATGAGGGGGAAGTATGGTGAATAGACTATTGTTTTTAGCAACATTGTAATCGTAAAAATAAAGAAATTGTATATATTGTAACATCTCAGAAGTTTCTCTGTTTGCATCATTCATTAAAACTTAAAAAACATGACAGCGCTACAAATATATGCTTCAAAATACCACCTCATGTTGGTAATAAAAGAAAGCTTTATTTAAGTACAATATATACAACATTTAGTTTAAATAAATTTTCAATAACCATCAAAGTGGTATGTCCAGCATATCAATGTTCATATACATATTTTACAAAAATTCATTTATTTTCTCAATATAATTTATAGCTTTATAAGTAAATATGATGGAAACCCTACATCGAATAAAATATTGTTTTCTTATTTTTTAAACATCACTGATTAAAATTGAGGAAATTAGTCTCTTTTAACCTTGTCTTGCTGTTTCACTGGTTTCATAAACTGATGGAATACTGAAACACGGACATAGGCTAGCGTTTGGTAGGTGTGGAGATGCGGTATATTCCATTGCGTAACTTGTCTGAAGTTGTGATAACTGTGGTTCCCAAACACCAGTTGGAAAAACCTCAGGATTGGGTGGTGAATACTTCAAATACATTAATAACTGAACAGCGTGTTGTTCTTCTTTGAACTTCTGGTACATGTACTCTAGCGCGAGTTGTTCGTTGTCTTCGAGGCCTTCTTCGCCGTGGTGAACGATTTGTTCTTCTTTTACTTTAGATGACGAAGACTCCTTATTTGCTTGCTTCTTCGTTGCTTGATGATAATAATCGTTGAGCCAGGCTGCCCTTTCCCTTGCATGACTTTCGCCTTTAACGCCCGCTCTTTGTTGCGTCCGAGAGATTTTATTATCATAAAGGCTGCCCAAACTGTCACCAGTTTTTCTTTTCTTGCTGGAGGAGCAGGTTCTTTGAACCAGGTGCATCATTTGTGGTTTGCTTTGGACAAAATGAGGATGTTCAAATTTCATATTCTTATTCGGGTCGGACTTTCCATTTGTGGGTACTTTTCGGAAGCCGTAAAGGTTTAACTGGCGAACAAAACTTGTGAAGTTTTTTGTCTTGAACATCTCTGCCGTCTTGTCCAAAACTATTCGTTTAAAAGTGTCTGCATCAAATATAACTATTGCTTCGCCATTACTCGACCATCGTATGGCATTTTGGTACTTAGTTTCGCTAAGCAATACCTTTAACTTTGACACAAACGGGCTAAGTGGTCTTGATTTCACAGATGAAGGGGACGGACTTTGGAAACTTGCCATTATTCTGGACAAAGGTCTCTTCAGCAATTTCTTCAGCAAAGAAACCTAAAACAAAGTAGCCATTTTTCATCAATACAAGTTGCAAGCAAAACATTATGCATTAATAAATATGGCTGTTTTTGGTGAAAAACATATTTTAAAACAATATGATAAATTGATAATTAAAAATTAATCTTCAATAGCATGAAATAGTGGGGTAGAAAAAAATGAGCAAAGAAAACTTACTGTTTTAATAAGAAGGCAGGAGAGTTAGGCAGGAGAAAAAAATAGTGTTCTTGCGAACTCGAATGCCTTTTTAGAAACAAATAATTCCTTCTTTTGTGTACGGGTCCGCTCTCAGCTGTCTTTTACACAGCTTGAAAAAATCGTCTCTTGAAAAACGAAAATTTACAGTACAATAATAAGAAGCTAAGGATATTTTTCAATTCAAACTTTTCCGTGACAAAGGCAGATTTAGCAGAACGAAAAATAAAAAATACACAAGAAATTTTGCTGACGCGAGTTTCGCGTAAGCGACCAATGAAATTGCTTTAAAATAAAATCGTTCTCTAAGACGACTTCTAATTGGCTATCGTTATCTCGTGAGAAACGATGAAGTTCATATTCACAAGTGGCTAGCAGTTTACGGGGTACGGCTGTACAGTGTTGCCAACCTTGGGATTTTATCCCAAGATCTTGGGATTTTTTGAGGCTGTTGGGATTTTCTTGGGATTTTTATTTTTTTAATAAGACCTTGGGATTTTTCTTGGGATTTTTTAGAATAAAGAAAAGATAATGTTATAATAATGATAGTTGTAATACTGATTAATCTGCTTGCTCAGTATAACTGATATTCACTAAATATTTTAATATACCATACAGAGTATACAGCAGTTAAGCGCTGAGATCAGTGAGAAGGTTTCTTCCTATCGTATTTATGATACTTTTAGGGTAGTGCCAGGCTTCGGTTAGCGCATGGCTGAACACTTCGCCTGATGAGGGGACCTGAGAACTAATGAAAAAAAATCTTGGGATTTTTTGGGGGGAAAATAGGGAATCTTGGGATTTTTTGGGAGCTATATTGGGATTTTTAGGAAAACTGACTTGGCAACACTGCGGCTGTACTCCGCTGTAGGGGCTAGCATGGAGAATATATCATTTGCACGTAAATACTATTAAATTAAAATATTACATAACATTTACATGAAAATAAAACATATGCACTCAATCCTACAATATAAACCGTTCATGCTATGTGCACTCTGTTCAAGATGGTAATAAGTCACCACATTAAGGTGGTAAAAGCAGTCTTATCTCTTTTTTAACTTCTTTGTTAATGGACCTGAATGTCCTGATATTGTCAGTTTGGTCGAATATTCACTTATTTTTTGCGAACTCTTACCTTTCCTTTTACCAACTATTGGTGACTTACGTTTCAGATCACTTGGTGTTTCTCTTAATGCAAAACTTTTTGCCAAATGACCAAGATGTAGATTACGTGAATGAAAGACGTGTTTGGTGGATGATGGAAAGGTGTTATACGCCCCAATAAAGGAATGGAAAGCTAAAATACAAATTATACCGTCACCGATACTGACGAAGATACAATAATATAACATAACAGGTATATATAGCCGTTTCTGGTTTTGATAGACTTGGTTCAAATCTACTTCTCAAAGCGACGGGTTAGAACGTTGAGTGAGTGAGTGAGTGAGTGAGTGAGTGAGTGACTTTATTTAGAGAGGGTAACACCTGACAGTATATAAATACTGATAAACTAGTGGCCCTCAAACCACGTTACGTTTACTAACCTGTTAATGCAAGTTGCTTCAGAGATTTGTTCAGACAAACATTCTCTTCAAACTTCATATGTTGTTCAGTAACTGATCTGTGCAAATGTGCTTCACTAATTTCCTTTTTCCCAGATAAACTGCGCACATATGTGTTAAGAATATCATTCATTTTCACTTCGTTGAGCCTTTAATACAAAAATACATGATTATGAATTTTTGACAGCTAAAGATATCACACGCTAAACACAAAGAACGCACGTTGATGTTATAAATAAGAAATAGCACCTTAGGTTCTGCTCACTCAAAATGTTTAGAAATTGGACCTGAAATATAGATAAATATACGTTTATTTTTAAATCTGTCATAGTACCAACACGTAGCTACACTACAGTTAAGATGACCATAGTTGTGGTTAACAACTTGTATTATTATGACAAGATTGATCAACTGGCTAAAAATGTTTACCTCCGTAGGCAACAGAAACAATAGAGCTTGTCCTGACGTTCCAATTCTTGCTGTACGTCCAACACGATGAATATAATCGGTTGTATTTGCAGGAGGATTGTACTTAAATAAATGGAATTTCATTTTAGGAATATAAGAGAAAAGAATAAAACAGGAATATAACTTATTTTGCTCCATTGGTGTAAGAGTGAGGTATACATATAAACATACCTGGACAATCCAATTCACAGATGGAAGGTCCAGACCACGGGCAGCAACATCCTTGACAAAGCAAAATAACATTTCATTTTTAGGCACATTGGTTGTTAGATACTGACCAACCAGATTTGTTACTTAAAGCTATAACACACTTACAGTGCATAATAGTATTCCTTTGTTTGTCTCGCGGAATTTTGAAAATACATCAATCCTCTCCTATTTAAACCAGATTTGATTTTCACATGAAAGTTACTTAAAACTTGATAAAAGAAAACAAGACTAATAAGAAAGAAAAAAATAAACATACATTTTGTGTTAATTTGCCATGTAGCTTCATCAAACTGCTTCCTATAGCATAAAAGAAATGTAATTGGGACTCAATCACCAAGGTAAATTGGAATTATAGTTCAGTGGACTAAATAAAACGTGCTTGTCCTTTGTAAATGATGCCAACTACAATATAGTTTGTTCCAGGTAAATTGATGAAATTAGTTTTGAAATGATTTGTTGTTCATGCACCAACAAATGAAAATCAAGTGATCTACCTTCGACTGTTAAAAGAGTGGAAGAAAAAAGCATAAAATGGAAGTCCACAGAATCTTGAGTTGTGAAAAATACAATAACTTTACAATTCTCCTACAGGATTTAAACATATTAATAAATATCATCTTGATTGTAAATAATATATTGTCATCATGATGTTGTGTTAATGTTTCATTACCTGATATTTTTGCAGAAGAAAAACAGCCAAGGTTACAAGTCTTAACTTCATTGGAACAACAACACAGAATTGTTCAAGAAGATTTGGAGTTTGATAATCAGATTGCTAGAGGACAAAAAATTTAAACAATGGTCTATGAGCTTGCAGAAAAGTTATGAATTTGTAATCAAAATGCTGCTAGTTTGAAATTAGTTTAATTAAATTGTATTGCCATCTCACCTCAAAAGCTGAGTTCCCTTCATCAGTCATATCAATGATAACTGGATTTTCTATACTAACATCAAGTAAATTCTCAACACCTAGAAGCAAAAATATGTTTACAATGTTAATACCTTTCTATAATTGTTAGATCTTAGCAACAAGCAAAAACACTTTAACCTTTTGACAATGTAGCTGATAATAAAACTTTTTGGACTATTCTTGGAGTCTGTTCTTTAATTGTCGATAGAACAAAAGAAATATCTTGTTCAAAGCCAAGGTCAAGCAACCTGTTTTGAGACATAATGGTTGAAGGCTCTAGTCATTAGAAGTGTATTCATGGATTAACATTTGCCGTGATGTACGTAGAAGGAACACAAGAAGATTCCACACATGACATTGAAAGAATGTCACCAGTTCAATTGCAAAAAATAACAGTATGAATAATATTTCCATTAGGACCGCATTGTGCCAAGATAGGACCTCAAAGGCGAGGTTGCTAGGTCTCACAAAGCGCAAAAGCTGATTTCGCCCATTCATTGAAAAGAAGATGAGGCACATACATTAGTCGTGCAAAGATATATAGCGCGCCCACTTGCCTCCCCTCAGTCACGACAACTCTCGCCTTCCGCCCACTTTGTTCAGGTTGAAATTTATTTTGTCCCCCATTCTTAGTCCCCTCATTTTGGCCATTGCATGCTGGGGGGGGGAGCAGTAGGAATATAATACTATTGGACATATACTGTACCTGTCAGCCTCATCCAAAACAAGCCATTGAAGTTGTACCATTTTTAAGCATTGTGTTGTCTATGTGGTTAAAACAAAATTTGAAAAAGAATTTAAAGAGAAATCTATTACTTTTTAATAACAGAAATAAAAACAAAAGTCTCCAAATACCTTAAGATGATCAACAAGTCGGCCAGGTGTTGCCACTAAGATATTAACTCCTTTCCTTAACCTGTAACACAAATATGAAATGCAAGGTAAAATTAGTTTGTCTTAAAAGATATATCCTATAGTTTGTAACATCTGAGAAGACACTATTATTCATAAATGTTTATGACAAACTCAACAACAGAACCTAGCTTTTTCGGATTTACGTCTTTCTCCTCCAGTGATAGAGCCAGGAACTATCCAAATAAATGGCTAAAGAAACAACATGTTGCTAATATTTTTTTCACGTAATAATATTTCAGTTCTAAGTGAGTAATAACAAGTGACAAGCAGTCAGTTAATTTTGATACTGATAAATAGAGTATATCTTTGAAATTAATAGTTATGCACCTTTAAAACTTGTTGTAGAACTTTAAAAGTTTGACTAGCCAACTAGACAAGGAAGAATGTTAGATTAGTGTATTTGGTAGTTATTGATATTCTCAGTAATTCCATAGATTTTAAATTATATAAATAAAATATTGTAAGTACCTCTCTTGTAGGGACTAAGATCAAACAATATGGACCATCTACACGCTGAAATGATATGCAAAATTTTGACATTAGAATATACATTAATGTATATATAATTATATATATCCATCGTAATTATCGCTACTCTGGTTTTAGTAAATGAAAGTAATCACCACACAAAGATTAACTTTCACGACCCAACGTTTCGACACTCCGGTCTAGTGTCTTCATCAGGGGTTGTAATTATATATAATTATATTAATATACAACAAAGAAAAGATATATATAAGGGAAGAAACTATATATACACTGTACCTGTATTTTTGGTGAAATATTTTGAAGTGTTTGTACAATAGGTATAATGTAAGATAAAGTTTTACCTAAAATATGATAACAATTACTTCTAGAATATTTTACATACAGTACTATAAACTATGTATTACAGTCATTCACAACAATACCTGTGCCTGTGGCTGATTTGACAAATAGATCTTTACCATTCAATAACAATGGTATTGCCTCCCTTTGAACACTTTGAATAAAACAAAAATATTGATTTTAAAACCACTTATTTATAAAGATTATTATTAGAAAATATAATAAGGACAAACCTAGTCATTCTTTCCAAGTGTAGATTCTTCTCAAGATTTGAAATCTAAATGAAAGAATTTGGCTACAAATTATGCTGGGTTTTTTTTTTCTTATCATGGATAGAGTTAAAGGTACAAACCATAAACGGTGCTAAGTTTATATTTCTGAATCCACTTTCACTGAATGTTTCATCTTTTTTTGGAACATTGCTCAGTTCTGATGGAAGAACGTCGCTAAAATGTTTAAATTTAATTATATATTATAAATTATTCAAAATGAAGTTCTATTGCCTATAAAATATTTTGTGAACTTTAAAGTACCTCGAGATGTCTGGCAATTCTGGATTCTTTTTAAACAAAGACGAAATAATCTAAGGACATGAGAAAAAATTGACTTACTCAGCTATGTCTAGACTTCTTTTGTCCACAGATTCATTGAGTATTGTAATGAAATATACAATATGAACAACACATTGTGAATGTCTAATATGAAGATAACCCAGGCAAGGAACTATACTCATTTCTTAACCATAACTATATACCTCAGTCTTTTCAGAATGATCATTCTTTAAGACCTAAAATTTAGCATACAGTAAGAAATTGATACATACAAAGACTGAAAATTTATCAAATCAGGGTGAAAATATAAACTAGCTACCTCATTATTAGAATCATTGCTTTTTACTGACTTCTTAGTACGTCTTGGTTGTTTGCCAGAATCAAATGCCTTTAAAAGCAAAGTAATTGCTGATAAAGATGAGCCTAAACTGGCTAAACATGACTTCAAAACATTTCACTCTGGTAAACCATCCCTAACTGTGCATCCATGACCTCCACCAGTCTATTAAGGCATCGATTAATTATCTTTATTACTGGTATTATCCCCCCACTTTTTGATTTTTTATTAAATGAATGGAAAAAGCATGTGGGAATGTGCCTCGTCTCCTCGCATTTTGTATGAATTAACCACTCTGTGGCAAGCCACTAGTTTACCACCAGTTCCACTGTACCAGTAGCCAGTAGATCTACACGTGCTTGATGCTTGCTTCTAATGTATACTCACTTTATCTAATTTTCGTTTCTTTATTCCCACAGAACTAGCCTCCTTCAAAGAACTGGTAGTTAAGTTAAGTAAAATACTATCTCCATCAGAACTATCCATATTTTCCAGCGGGTTGAAAGTTGAAACCAATGATCATGGTTGAAATTGCATTTTTTTAGTTTATAAACATGGATTCAAGTGACTCGTACCCAGTCGCTTTTTTCGCTTTTTGTCTCATCAGGGGGGGGGAACGGGAGAGGCGAAGAGGCGGGTGTAAAAATGATGAATTATGATAGTTGCCTCACAATTAAATAGGGTGGAAAACTATGCCTTTTTGATTTTTATTGTATTTGTTGTATCTTTACAATTTTAAAATTGACATCGTCGTATGAATAAAACTAACTACACGGCAAAAAAACGAGAAAACAATAATGAAGTAAATTAACCATCAAGTCATCAACTATGATTATGTTAACTTTGCTAATACAATACCATGGCATTATTACAAATAGTCTTGTGGGTTAACGATTACACCATTCTTATAGAGCTGTAGATGCAAATGTTGTGTTATCCCTGAATAAGGAAGTGCTTGCGATTTTCCCAACATCGAGCCCTTTTTCACCGCTTCTGAATATTTAGAAGGGGTGAAATAAAATATCTTTGCACGAAAACCTGTAAAATAAAGAAATGAATTATTCTAGTGCATGCATGGTGTCATGAGGCTATATCTCTGTCCTCGAGTGATTCACCCCGCTTCATTCCCTCCAACTTTCATTTAACCCATCATGCCGGCATCATTCATAAACTGTAAACTGAATGGTTATATTGTTGATAGATCATACCCTCGGCTTCACCAGTTCCTTCAATATACAATCCATTGTTATATGCTTCGTTGTTGTTTGAATATGGAAATGATTTACGTAAAATCTTCGCAGAAAATGGTGCAATGACAAGACTTCCTGGCGAGCAAATTATATCGACACCCTTGTGTGTTCGGGAACCTCTGTAATGATAAATTCGAGTTATTTCCCTTTCATAAGAATATTCCTACATTGGTACAAGTCTACATCTTACCTTGGTGCTCCGTAATACCCACAACCCTGACTGTCACATCCACGAATTGTATTTCCACAATTTGAACTGCATAGCTGCCCAAGTTTAAAACACTTTACTGCATGATCTAGAAACATAAGTACAGGAAAATGCGATGATAACGTCACATATTGTGAATGGTAAAAGTAAGACGAAGTCTGCATATATCTCATATTTCGTACCTGCAAGAAGTAGGAATACGATAACGATCTTAACAGCTCCAACCATTTTCGCTCGATACCTTCAAACCTAATCTTTGAGTAGTTTGAAATAGCTTTCTATTAATATAATGACTAGACTAATCGAAAGTTAACCACGCGTGATTGCGATGTTCTCCAAGTTAAGAATATTAGACCACCTGGGAGGAATATTTAAAAAAAATACTTCTCTAAAAGGTGAACTGTGCTCGAAGATGACAAAGATAATATGAAGACAAATGTCAGGACGTCTTCACAACCAACGTAAAAAAATATTATATTTGCTTTAGTGTGTGATTTAAGGATTCGGTAAACTAGCAACAAATTACTGTTGCACAGAACATCGTTAATTTAACCATTCATGTGCTAATGAGAACTGATTATATATAGATGGGGGAAATGGAAAATCATTCTGCCGTAGCGATTGATTCAACTTGAACTAGAAATCACGAGAATTTTTTCCATTCAAAAGTTTTCATCACGAGTCTGTTGGAAGTTTCGAAGTTTCTTTTAAGGTCAAGACACAATTTTAAAATACTGAATAATTATCCCATAATTTGAACTGAAATATTGGCATTTGCGGGTTGATAATGACATCTAACAAAACTTTTCTTTATAAAAATTTAATATATACAAAATATAGTCATACTTAACTAGGTTATGTATTAAAAATACTGGTGATGCTTCCTTTAGTTTATCTTCATGTAATATCGCATTAAACCACCAACCATATCCTGAGGTCCCCGTTGGGTAACCCAGAGTCTCAGTTTTGTTTTGCTCTCTTCTTATCAGTTAAAATGAAATAATTTCTTGATGAAGAATGAATATTTCTGACATGAGATGGTAATGGCTGCGATGCAAGACCATATTCACATAACTTCTTCATTCCTTCAAGAACGTTGCTTCCTTTGAAAGTAACGAAGCAGTTCACTGACTCTTCGCTATCTTTCACATAATCTCCGCCTTTAAATCGTGTGGTCATCTACGAAATATATTAAAAGCAAACCTGAACTGCGTGCAGCAGTTGATTGATACGTGATACACTGTATTAACTAACCTTATATTCTACTTTCTCCAATGCAGGTTGTGGATTAGAACCAAACATCTTTACTGTTTGTGTTTTAATCTTGTCGTCCTTGCTCTTCTGTTCGTTAAAGGCTCTTGCATTATTCTCAATGTCACTGTCTTCACCTGTTTATAGAGGTCGCAGACTATTCACAAAACTTGTGTTCATTTCAATAACAAAAGTATTGTACTGTTTATACATACCAGAGTCTCTCTTTCGCTTTCGAGAGAGAGGATTTCCATCAACTTGATTCAATCTGAAGTGACTAAATGCACCCTGGAAAATAAGTAGTAATTTGAGTTGTGGAATGCACTCTAGAAAAATTGGTTGTTCCTTTTCATGGACAGATAGATTAGGTCATTATAAATGGCCGGACTCTGGGTGTTATAGACATTATAGAGATTGGTTGTTAGTAAAATTATAAAATAAACCAACCTGACTGTTTTTATTCAAGACCAGATCACAAAGAGGACCAACTTTTTTTCCTTTAAGATCTATTTCTTTCAAAGTCTTGCAACCAAATACATTCTCAAGGGCCTTCAAACAAATATAGCAATGGATTACACAACTCTCTGATTTTGGTACAAAAAACATATTTTTAAAATAACCACAGATAAAGTTACCTTGAAGAAGTATGTTTTGTAAGCAACTTTTACTGTAGACACAAATAAGTAAGAAGAGCCAGGAATATGAATCATGTAAAAAGTTGAGCTTGATGAAATAAGTTGGTTGACGTTTTCATTCCAGACAGCAATCCTTGTCAATAACTTGTTGTTCTGTGCTACCACACACACTTTCTGATTATATAGTTGGAACAAAAATATGCAATGAAATTATTTTACATACCAGGACCATGAATATAATTATATCAATATAATGACAGTTATATCTTCATGCAGTTTTGTACAGATTTGCAATCTATTCGAATGTTGACTAAAGTTTCTAAAAGGATGATAACTAAGGCAATATCCTACTAAAGAGGTGCTGAGTCAGGTCTCATTCTCCAATACCATCATTATTTGAGAGCCCCACCAGCATTCTCACACCCGGGTCTTTCTGCATATTGCAGATCTGGGGTCGGTTGTTCAAATGCGTGTGAGCTTAAACCTGGGTTAAGGAAAATATTCACATCAATTTTTGTAACCACTTGTTTACAAACTGAATACAGTTTTTTCATAAATATTTTCTGGACCAATAGAAGTCATATGTTCTAAAGTTTTAAAACAAACAGTGGTTCAAAAGCACATAAATTAAAACACAGGATTAAAATTTAACCCCGGGTTAGTGCTAACCCAGCTTTGAACAACTGATCCCCTTGGGTAGAGCTGCATGGTTATGAAGATGTCCCTACAGGTGCTGCTGTGGTGCCAGAAACAGCTAGATATACACTTACACAGTTTAAATAACTTTTTAATTCTTTACTAACGAGACCTTCAAATCCTTCTGGGTCATTCAAGATAAAATGCTTGTCCTTGTCTTGAAGGTAATGTAAAAAGAAATTAATTAATCTCATATGCAATTCGATAAATTCAGCACACAACTCATATTCACCTATTTCATTCAACTCATAAACATTCCATTTCTTATTTGAACTGCTATGATAATCTACAAAATATATAGACAAGTAAACTTGAAAAAAATGAATGAAGATGTGGTGTGTGGTAATATCAATATGGTATTTCTTAGTAATATAGCATCCAAATAGGCTGGGAAACTACACCAGCACGACAGAAATTTCCATCCAGTTTTAAAAGTGCCCTAATACTTACAACGTATATCCAATATTTCAAGTTTTCTCAACGACAACTTGCCACTCTGTGAGAAAATACAATATTAAACTAATTTTCCAGTATTAATGAAGCACTAAGCACAAATTGAAGATATAGAAAAACATTCTCGCACCATACCATGGTATGCTCAACTAGAAGCCTGGTTAAATAATCCTTTGTAGATGATTTCTTAAATTTCCCTGGTATTTCGTTCTCTTCACATATATTGAAGAGTTTGTCTTTGTTAAAGCGCATAAAAAACGAACGTAAAATTTTATATTCCATCAGTAAAATGCTCTACAAACATCACTCTGATTTTCGGTTATCACTTAATTCCATCCGCCAAAATGACATCACTATTTTCTTTTGACAGCAATTACAGGTAATAATTAATGAAGTTCGGGAGAACAATATTTATGGCAGACCAAAATTGTAATTGCTATTTCCTATTTCCGTAATTCACCGCTGAAAAAAACGCTACTTTTTAACCATTTCCAAGTTTGCTATTTCCATATTTCCAAGTCTCCTATTTCCATATTTTTCCTATTTCCATATTTCCAAGTTTCCTATTTCCATATTTTTCCTATTTCCAAGTTTCCTACTTCCATATTTTTCCTATTTCCATATTTCCAAGTTTCCTTTCTTTATCTATATAATTGCTTTTTGTTGTTTACTGGTCATTCATTGTTGGTGTTTTCTACAGGAATTGGTGGCAAACAATGATCTATGGCAACAAATAATGACTGCTTGACCATCATTGATGTTTAAGTTGATATCTCATATCTTGGGATTTCGTTTCAGTATTTGTCAGGGACGAAACTAATTGGTCAACACTAACTTTAATTAATCACTGGATCAGAAATCTGGTAGGCCAATCTATGGATATAACGCCCAAACAATTGTAGATTCGCGAATGAATTTTATTATTACTTACACCAAAGTTATATATTTACACAACCATATCAATTTTTCACCCAATTAGAAGCAATTAAAGTTTTCATAATTACTTCAGATGAACAAGTAACATCCCACTAACAGAATATCACTCAGTCGTTATGGAACTGTTGTGAGTTTATTTACAGTTATACGTTAGATAATTCTCCAGATCAAGAATAATAATTGACACGCTACCTATATATGTGACATTCTGTAGGGGGATACTGGTTTTGAATGAGTTACAGCGAAACAAACCATGAGTATACATCATTGTGAGGAAATATGTGTTCTAAGCTAACCCACGATGCTATTAACCACAACACTCTCTGCAACAGCTTTAAAAACTACACGCGTGTTTTTAGACTTTTGCTGAAGTTTTCATCTTCATTCTTTCTGTTTGTCGACAGCCATTGTTGCGAACTGGTGTTTCACGTTGAAGGGGTCTTTCTGACATAATCACTGAGGGATGTGATAGGATCACCAGTACTGGTAGGTGATGCAATTTTAGGACGGTTTAAACCAGGACTAGGGGTCAACTTCCCCGACTCTTTCCCCGGTGCTGAAGTTGACGTAGGAACTTTCTTGCCATCATCAACTGCTGTACTAGGTTTCGACATTTGTTGACCGCATACTCTGTGATGATTTTCCCAATCTTTATGTTGGCAAAATGCTCCACAATATCGAGCCAAATTACAACCACTACATGTTTCATTGGCTTTACGTCCACAGTTCCAACAGTTCTAGAACAATGTAATTATTTTAATTTCATTGAACACCATCAATTTGTATGAATTGCAAATGTACTCACCTCACTGGAGTCAGTCTGTCTGTTAATCATTCCCAATGTTTCTTCAATCGCTTGCCGTCTTGCCTCCATAACAGCTTTATCAACTTTACTTTGTGTTTGTCCAACAGCTTCGTTGGCTTTCTCTTCTGCTGCTCTTACAGCTTTCTGTAGTTCAACAACAGCTTGCCGTTTTACATCACTTACGGCTTCTTCTGCGCGTCGTTTAACGTCAGAAACTCTCTCTTCCGTTTGTTTGATTGTCTTTGATACAAGCTCATCTGTTGCAGCGCGAGAAAAAGTTATTTTCTTTGCATAGCCACTTTATCATTGCAAAAACCATGAGTAGAAAACTTCTTGTGTTTTGACGTAAAATAAATGAGTAAATGACTTACTTGCACGTCTCTTCACTTCTTGCTCTGCTTCCTCTGCGGTTTTTCGTGCCCAGGCAACAAGTTCGTCGCGATCTTGAGTGGTCCGTTGTTGCAACACAGTAATAGCTCGCTTTGTCTTCTCTACCATACCCAAAATGCACTGCAACATCTACATGTAGACAAAGTAATCATTAAAGTGACGAGAAACCAATCACATCTTATCCCAGTGATATTGTGAGGTCATTAAAATCCTCTCACGTCACTAACGAAGAATAATGAAAAAAATACCGTTTCCACGTGACGCCAATCATCAACGTCGCTGGGAATCTTGGGGTCTCCAAATGGATCATGAGAACTAGGCTCTCCTTCACGAGGAGCTAAAGATTTAATGATTCCTGTATTTATTATCATCATTACCACAATATAAACACAACATTTTGAACTCATTCTTTACCAATTCAAATACTTACCATGACCAAATAATTCGGTCGTACGCGATTTAGGGAATGATTCACTTGAACTTCCTGTACTACCAGTACCTGTAAGAATAACATATGACGAAGGTGAAATGATAAAAAATACCCTGGCATGAATTGGTAACGCTTATCATCACATACTTAAACATGGTCTTTTAGTAGCAGGAGACAGCTTTTCAATGGAATCCATTACCTAATCAAGAAATCATTTTTAATCATTATATAAATTATATCATATATATATATATATATATAATATATCTATTAAACTAATATTGTTGAACATACGAACCGATGCTAAATCACTGCCATTTTCCTTTGGTCTAAAAGGGTGACAGAAATAGTTGGAAGTAATCTTCATTTCAAAAATACACAATGCCCCAATCATCAAAATCAGTTTAAATACCTTGCAGTATCAATAGATTTTCTTTTGCCATTTTCATTAAATTCCCCTCCATTTACATCTGCTTGTTCAGAAGATGTTGGCTCACGATCTTCCAACAGTTGTGCATTTTGAAGGTATTGATGTGGAGTTTGCTTTGCCATTTGAGCACATTGAAGTAATTCCCTTTGAAGCAAAGGCAAGTTGGCCTGAAATAATAAGAAACAGCTGTAAACATGATCAGAAAAAAATAACAAGAAAAAATTATTGCATTGATAGGCAAACCTTGAGAAAAGGAATGACAAATGGTCTCAAAGGAAAATTTGTGGCCTCTTGCAATTGTTGATGAAACTCTTCTATTGATACAGTAGAGTTCTAGTGAAGAAAAGATTCTGGTAAGTAAAACAGTAATTGAGTTTGTAAAGGAAAACTTCAATCATGTCTGATAACAAATTAGAATGGTGTATTACTATTGTTTCACAACACTCCTTAATTTATCATCAAAGTTCAGCTTCTAAATATTGCAAACCACACACAAACATAATTAATGAACTTACAACCAAATTTAAAACAAGACCACGAACTCTCTCTCCAATCTCAGGCGAAATATCTGAGCCAAATTGTTGCAATGTTGTGAGGAAACGTTTCAATTTGCTAAGTTGTCTGGCACCACATGCTGGTGGTAGTTGATTGACGCCACTGCCAACAGTGGGTGGTGATGTGGTACCCAAAGGGCTTGGATGGGAACCATTCACATGTGGTGATGTAGAACTAACAGATCTTGTGTCTGCAGTTACTGCTGCACTTGATGTCACAGGAGAAGCAGAATGTCGTGGAGCAGGGTGTGTTGTCCCTTCATTTGGTGAATCTGGCATTCTTGAATCATGAGTTTCTGTACAAAACATTAGGAAACAATTTTCATTCCATGTTATTTTCACAACAAATTTATATTTTGATAAACTGCAGTGTCCGATTTCCGTGTTCATATAGTTCGCTTGTTTTGCATTCATACACTCACTAGTTTGTTTAAAGCAAAACATGTTATTTTTGAGATGGATTTCTGTTATGCTAAAATGGTAGTCGCAGGTAGAAAGAAATTGTAATATCAAGTGTTGTATTTTCTTGACAGTTTTCCATTACCAGGTTTATGCATATTTGATGTAAATATTTATTTTCTTGCTAATCTCAATATAATACTTGACAGAATGTCAGTAAAACTGACAAAACATGCTGAGAATTCCCAGGATATCAGAAATCCTTTAGGTTTCTTCTTAAATAATTACATCACATGGAAAGATTTCAAAATCTAAGATATATGAAACTTGCAAACTGTCATTGTGATTTGTGAACAGAAATATCCTGCATGGTTTAAAATAGGGCTGTACTGAATTTTTTTATTATAGTCAGGTTAAAATTCACAGTCAAGGCTGATAAATTATTTTGTTATCATACAGCAGAGATATCTGCACCACAGGACACTCTGGAGGATTTGCCTGAGATTTCTGAATGACCAAATATATCACATTAGATGAAGCATTGAATATAATAATCCTACAACTGAAATCTTTGATGATAGATCTTAGACTTTATGCCATCTTCATGAGCTAAGCACAGGAAATTAAGCATCAAAGCACTTTTCCATGTAATACTCATGAACTATTCAAGCAATCATAAACCAGATGTTTTATGGAGATCCAGCTGCAAGCTGGGAACACAGTGTATAACATATAGACCATAACGGAACATAAACATATTATTGATGTAACGATACATGCTAAAAACATTATCATGAAAGGAAACGAATTTCCTCTTTTGAAAAGGACACATTAAGATTTCTCGGCTGGTTGAGTTTGCATACATAATTTATCACGGTAGAAATACAAACGTTATAATGTTTGAAAAGCCATCAATATGTCGAGACAAAAACTGTGTTTGAAACTTTAACGAAATCCTTTGTATCCTGAAGGTACAAGAGGTTTGAAGACCGAATCTTTTGAAGAAAAATTATTTGAATTTCTCTTCAAAGTGTACTATATATATAACAACAAAGAAATTTTGGTCACATTTCTTGCTCACCATATTCAACAAACTAATAATACAAGCTAGTCGCTCAAACTTGTTACATTCCAGACAATTATGAGGAGATATCTGTTAATATAATTCCTTAGTAATACAAGTGTATAATGAAATATTACCTGCAGTAACTGCTGGCATCACATTCGCTTTATTTCACGAAAAATTCAAGGTTTTCTAGACGTTTAAACTACACGTCCTCTCTCTAGTTTACAACACAAAACTTGTGACGTCACGTTCTTTATGATCACATGTCAATGGCTGTCTTTTGTTATGTCGGAAAAATTTAGCATGAAATTAAATTAATGCTTGATTGCTTTGCTGCTTGACAACAAAACATTAAGAGGCAAATTATTTAAAAAGGGAAATTCTAAGTGGTGAAGTCTGAGTGTCCTATCTTGTTTCTAACTTTACAAAGCCAGAGAGTGGTGTCACTTCCAGTTCTAACTGAACTAGACAGACTCGGTGTAGCCTTTCAAAACTCAATATAAAACACTTACATTCAGGCTTGGCAACGTTTTCTAAGTTTAATAAAATTTTGTTTGCTTTTGCCTTGTTGTAAAACAGAATAAAAATTTATTTTCGTTTATATGAAAATGTTTAAATTTCCCCCAATTTTAATTTTGTTTTTTCAATATGCAGTATCACTGACCTTTGATTGTCAATACAGCGTTCGATCCAGCCTAGGATGAAAAAGGTTTTACATGGAAACAACTATGCTCAACTATATAAATGTAGATTTAAAAAACCCTATACTATGAGACGGAAAATTCAATGGCAAAAATTCTTTCAAAAAGTAATTTATATCTTTGTGCTTGGGGCAGCTGGTCGCTATCACCTGCTCTTGAATGGAAATGGAGAAATGTATTACATGTGTTGATAGCATGCTTATTTTGGACAAAAATTAAAATCATTTGAATAATTCACGATTCTTCGGTTGCCCAGAAACAACCCGGAGCCAAATCAAAAGTCCCAAACCAGACAAAGTATATTAAAGCTATTTGAAATATTTTTATGTGTTGAAAAATCTTTTTCGCAGCCTCAAAATTTTGTGGATGAAAGCTGAAAAGATAAAAACCTGTAAGCATCTGCCTTACCCAGGGTGAATAAATTATAATAACAGTTTACTTTAATTTTGCGATTGGAGACAAATGCGGTTTAAACGGGACAATTGTCTCCAAACAAAAAACCGAATTCCCTGAAGCCTCACTCGATCCATAAAGAGTTTGCGTTTTATACCAAGACAAAGTTAGTTTTGAATTTTTTTTTCCACAATTCTTAATGTTGGGTACAATTAGTTACTATATGAGACTGTATATTATCACAAAACATGACATGGGCTTTTTATGATAAATATTTAACAACCTGCACACCATATGCTTAGGATAAAACTCGTGTTTTTATTGGTTAAAATGTAATGGCGCGAATATTCTACAGCTGGTGGTGTATATTATCTTCTCTTGCCATCTGCAACGTGCACAAGTTGCCTTGAATTTCAGACTGTTACTGCTGTCAGTTTAAAACATCAAGCTAAATACTACACTTTTTGAAGGAACTCCAGTAAAAAGAATATAACTGCAAGCCTCAGATTTAAATATTTAAGAATTTGATAGGATTACTGGGTGCAAACCCCGATCATAGCTATGCTTGTCCAAACTGTTTTTTACCTCCTTTGCAAACTATGTTTCAAATTTGTTAAGTTAAATTTTAAATGTGATTACGTGTAGGATAAAATAGGTTGAAGAACGGAAATCGATCTTCAACAGTAGAATATTACACACGTCGTAGAATATTAAAAAAATATTTATAGAGGTCGAGTAGAAAATGAAAAAGAACGCAGTACCTTGCATTTATTGTCTCTTCAACAAAGATTTTGAAAACAACAGTTTTCCTCCAATATTACATAGAGAGATACACGTCCGGCATACGCATAGTATATGCCGTAATATATAATGGCAGTCGTGGACATACGAGATATTATTTATATGCAAATGATCGAATATTGATGTCACCTGGACATACGGGACATCTTTCTTACATCTGGAGCAGCTGCTTGTTGATATATCAACTACGCATGAGTCAGATTGCTTTGGCTGGTTGAGATGACGTTTTCTAGTTTATGTACCATGAGTGATGTCAAATTTTCTCAAATACATTATGAGAATGAGAGACAAGTAAAAGACATTATAATGAAAAAGTACAACAATGTAGTACGACACAGATACAGTACATTGCCATAAAATGCAATGCTGGACGACGCTCAGCACTTTAGTACATTAAAGTATCTATAACGCCAGTACAAGGCAGTACAAGGCAGTACAAGGCAGTACAATACAAATAGTACAATACACATCGTGCGCTATATAATGAAATACTAAGAGCTGAAAATGACACTGTGGCAGTAATAAGCAGTAGAGTTTTACCTCACTTCATTGATAACAATATATCATTTAAACCCAATGAATAATACAAACAAGTGTTATAACACGTATCTCTTATTGATTATACATAATTTATGGTAGAACAATTTGATAATTTTTTCGTCCTTAGTAGGAAAAATCCGGCGTTGTTTCATTCGAAACAATTCTTAAACTTTAAAGATTTTACAACAGTTCATTGAAAGAAATTGTTCACGTATTTACAGTGATTTTATGTGTTGCTCAGCTCACTCAAACAGCTCAATGAGAACAACTTCACTTCCACTGGACAGAGGGAATATATTTGCCAAATCTTTGCATGTCACTTCTTTGTCTATTGTAATAAGTTTGAGCACTACGTAGTAATTTAGACGTAAATAGCTCAATATACCATATATATGAGATATATGGAACTTATACTAATCCACAATCTAAGGATCCTGCCTTAGATGATTTGACAACAATTACTAGTGACACGAGACACTTTAGAATTATTAAATATGTTTCTTACAACATCAGGGTCCAGCTCTAACCCATGGCCAGTATCTTTGTTTTTCATAAACATTTCAATATCCTCAATGTCACTACCACGCAATGTGACTCTTCTAGGTTCACCATTTGGACAATTCATAGTTTCTTTGCCACTGATATCTATGTTTTCTTTGTCAGAAAAGTTTTCTAACGTTTCATTAGTCAAAGTTCTGTGTTTAATTATTTCAATAATACCGTCACTAACAACTGCATCGTCTGTGCTTGAAACATCTGTGTTTTTAATACCACTTATCTTCTTAGATTCACATATTAAACTCATTTCTTGCTTTTCTTTACTGGCATTACCGCTATCAACTGATTGATCGTTTATCGTCCTCGCAGACCCAACTTCTTCGAAGTTTTCATTGGAAATTTGAAATTGTTCTTGACTAGTTATTGCAGTATTCTCAAGGTCATTCGTACTATCATCAGTATTTTGACTGCACTCTTTGGAAGGAATTGGAATATCAGAATCCACCAACATATTCTCAGGATTTATCTCGTCTTCCGACTTTAAAATCCTATCATTTTGTGAGTTATCTTGAGAACAAACTATCACTTTTTCACCATTTGATGTATTTTCGATACTTGCCTTCAAATTTTCGCCATACGCTCCGTCAATTATGAAATGTGGCTTGCATTGCTGTTTGTCAAACAACGTTTCCGTTTCTTTATTATCCAAGCACACCATGGGTGTTTCAATTGCCACAGTACCATCTACAACACTGTTTGTGTTTTGTTCTTCATTTAACTTTATATAAACATTGAGTAATTTGTCTTTGAGGAGTTCAGATTGTAACTTAAGCTGTGCAGTCTTTCCCTGTTCACTTGAAGTGTTTCCCGATTCAGAGCTCGTGTCTTTATTACCACCAGCTTGTTCTGGTTTGGCTGCCATCATTCTCTTTCTAGCAATACCATGTGGCCCCTTGGTACCTCCATCACCATCATCACCATCACCTTCATCATCACTACGTCTCTTTGGTGATCTACGACATCTCTCTGTACTCAATCGTCTCATCTTTTTGTCAAGATCACCATCATCTTCAGAGCTACTGCTATGACTTGACGATCTTCTTCCTGCTGATGAAGATGCTGGTGATGGACGACGAGTCTTCTGGATAACATTAAAAGGGCGTCGCGAGGATCTGCGAACACGTGGCGATGCCCGAGGACTATCGTCTAAATCTGATTCTCTTTCTTCCGAGATTTGATTAAGAAATGCTGGTGTACTTTTTACTTTAGCAACAAGTCGTTTCTGAAATGACTTTCTTTGATTAGTAGTAACAGCAACTGAAACAGAACCAACTATTTCCTCCTGATCATGCTCATCTGATTTCTTGTCATAAATCGACTCAGTGGAATGGTAGCGTATTTTACTGGTCAATAGATTCATATCAATATCTTCTAGTTCATCTCCCTCATTTCCATCACTTAGAGGTCGATCATCAACATATGGTACACACAAATTTTGGTTACCTGACACATCTGACAGAGAAGGCTTTTGCCTTTGTGGAGGCATACTTTGCCTAGAGACAGAACAAATAAATATGATTATTCACTATATTTTAACCTAAGAAATGCATTAGCTATCAAAGTACTAGCATACATCTATATTATAGAATCACGCTTTATTTATCGGTCAAATCACCAACCTTTTTATAACATGTGATTTAACTTCTGCGTCCGGTCCAGTTGAGGAGAGTGATGATGATGATTTAGCTCTATGCCAACGTCGCAAAATTTGTTCAGCTAGTAGGTAATATGTGGCTGAAACATGGTTGTATGAGCCAGACTCCAGACATCTGCAAACAAAATTGTATCAAAAATTTCATAAAGGCCAAGAATAATTACAATTTGTAAATTTGTTTTTATTATGCTACACAAATTCAAAACTGTAAATTCTACACAATGATAAATGTTTGTAATGTACGTAGTCCCTCCTTACTTGTTAATAGTCTCCTGATCAGCAATATCTCCAAGTTTCATTTTCTGCACAATCTCATTGTGATGGTCTACACCAATTTCCACTTGATTTGCTAATGGTACTGATGTCACTGCAACAGGACCATGATCCCCATGTACCCATGGATCATCCAAAATATCCGCCAATGTTGATCTTTTACAAGCATCTCGTACTATCATCCGTGTTATAAGACTGGGAAAGCATTGGTAATTATTACCACAGTAAAAAATCATATCAGGTGGCAAAGATTGGTGTAAAAAAATCATAATCTTCACAAACAAAAGCATTGACGGTACCAGCCAGTGATACCATTGTGTTTTAAATGACGTCATATGAAGTCTGATCATTATAGTGTGAAGAGCTTAATTTAGCTTATATATACCAGATGGCTTCATTTTGGTAACTAGCCTAACTGACCTATAATCAATTGTGAATATTCTAATCATTAAACCTAAGAAAAAAGGTGCTATAAAGTGTCCTGCTTCAGGATCCATGATAAATTGATTAACAAACCTTTGACAAGATTGGGAGACGTGATCAGGAATGTGAAATTTACAATCCAAAATCATAGTTAATGTTTCACTTTCATTTGCTTCATAAAATGGGGCTTTTCCAACAACCATCATATATAAAATGACCCCAAGACTCCACACATCTAGGAGCGAGGAAGGAAATGGGTTAGGGCCTCCATGTGAATTGAATGGAATCATGCGAACTCATATTTTTCAATGGTATCATTGTCGTATTAGATCATGGAGAATTTTATCAATATTCTCACATCACCATATCTGTATTATAGGCAACTGATCAAATGTCATGTTAGAAAGACTGACATCATTTCTTATAACAAGGAAATTAATATATCTCATATTGCTGTCCATACAGCATGATAACATTTTGGATATAAATCATTAATAGACTTCAGATTTAATTTATATCTGAGAAAAAAATACAAATATTGTGACACTATGTTTTTAAAACAAATTGCAATTAATAACCCCCTTTTAATGAAGAACTTGGAATTTTTTCCATCAAAAATATCTAAAACCGACATGGTACAGAAAGGTGAAGAACACATCCTTGCAAGATCTTTATAATAAGGTAATGCAACTACCAAAAGTAAATATATAAATAAATATGTGTCTTACCTACAGCTGGAGCATCGTAGGAGTCACCAAGTAATATTTCCGGGGCTGAATAAGCTAATGAACCACAAGCAGTTTGCAATTTTGTTCCAGGCAAAAATTTATTTGAAAATCCGAAGTCTGTGAGTTTGGCTACGTCGGATTTTTTAAAGAAAATTACGTTCTCGGGCTTCAAGTCTCTATGAACAACATATAGTCGGTGACAGTAGTCAATTGCTTGTAAAATTTGTCGAAAATATCGTCTTGCCTTTTCCTCTGACATCCCACTTTCATGTTTCATAATATAGTCATACATATCTCCTCCATCTCCAAACTCTTGCACAAGATATAGCTTAGTATTGGTGTCTATAACTTCGTACAAACGTACAATATTTGGATGTTGTACGAGTTTCATACAACGAACTTCTTGATACAAATGATGTTTTGCTGTCTCATCAAGCTTTAATTTATCAATCACTTTTACCGCTACTCGTTCTCCTGTGAAAACATGTCTTGCTAATTTCACTTCTGCAAAATGACCAGAGCCTAAACGCTCTTCTAAGTCATACATGCCCGCAATCTTAGTCTCATTTCGTCGAGGTTGTCGAGTAAACCTCGCCATTTCTGTTGTATTTTTTCCCCTCCGAGCAAATTTTGTTGCCTCCTGGGGACGAATTAGTTATTTCACTCGTGTCAACCAATCAAAATGCTCGTAGATTAAATATTGTGAAATATATGGAAAATAAGGACGTTCTTTAAAATTTTTTTCTCCCCAGGGTAAATATGCGGGTTATGTGGTAGTACCACTACTACGAAGTAAAATTAACCACAATAACACCGTGAAATTATTACTGCTTGGAATATTACTAGTTTTTTAAATTAATTAAATTTTCTGTGTTGATTGGATAATCTATTATTTTTCAAGTTCATATGGTGTTTAACTGTATTCTCAGTATCACTCCAACTATAAATGACCTGAAAGACTGGTCAACACCCAGTCACACATCTGTGAAAGACACTCCGTATCATTACATTGTCAGAGGCACCAGAGGAAGCATTAGAAATTATTAAAGTACAAATTTCAATCAAGTTATTTTAAGGTTGTCTTGCCCCATAGAAAAATGAACAAATGAGTTGTAAAATATTGTCTTTTTATTTAACTCAGTAATAGTACAAATATGTCAACTAAACATTGCATGTTCTTCATAGATGATCAACACAACCAGAGCTCATGAACTGCCATATATTTCTAAATGAAAAAGACAAAAATTGTTCACAGAATCACAGGTGATGTTTCAAGCACTTTTGTGCAGGCCAAAGGTTAACTGTTTGAAAAAACTTACTAGCTTTTCCTGGTTTCCCCTCACTCCATTTTGTAACTTTTATAGTTGTTTGGTCAAGTCTTGCTGTGTCAGTTTTGAACTCAGGCTTCAAACATCGCCGTACAGCTCTTGCACAAATAGCAGAATATTGTAAATAGCTGTTAAAAAACAGAACAAAATTGCCGATAAAAGTACGCTTTCTATTACGGTGTTCTGATTATTAAAAACAGTAGAACCTCCTCTTATGGCTAGATGATTAAAAAATTACATTTTGTGTATAAAACAAGGAAAAAAATGAAAATACCTCATTCCTATCTGCCTCCAATGGGACACCATCTTGTATTTGTGCAAAGGCTATTCCCACTATTTCACATGCGTCAAAGTACCTCGGCACCAGGGATTCTCTGACGCGGAAGATGGCAAATTATGAATGATGGAAAATAGTGACACTGGTATAACATGTCTTCTCAACGAGATCAGGTCGAAGTTACCGAAGGTTTGAATCAAATTGAAAGTAATTTAGTAAGGTCGATCATTGCTTTTTATAATTCTTTAATCTAATTATAGATCTGAAAGCATTTGAACGACGTTTAACAGAGTATATATCAGGACTACATCCAAAGGCAGTCCGTTGGAGAAGTACTGTACAATGTTTCCAGTTTTAATAATTCAATGTTTCCAATTTGTGTGTTAAACTTCAGTGAATGCTTGACTGTTTATAGTAGAACTTTACGTGTGTATATTTTCTGTATATTCTGTCTGTCTAAGTTTGCAAATGCATTCTGTCTGTTTACACAACATATCATTGGTGCAGGTGGTCTGTAGTATAAATTGCTTCTTTAACAACATCAGATCTTTCAATCTGTCAGACTGGTTTTATATGAAAGAGACTTGCATGTATTAGGGGGTACAGCACTAATAAAACATGCTAAAATATTAAAATAAAAAATATATAAAATTACATCTACTTCTGGCTTACTTTTTAGTTGTGTTTGCAATGTCGTCAATTTGCACCATATTTTCCACATGGTTTTGGATAACAGATGAAACCATGGCAAACGTATGTTTGAAATATTTCTTGCAACCTTTCCTTTTCATCCTCAAATAACCAAATTTATCTTTCAGGTCACATTTCTAGAATCACTATGGAATCACAAATTTTTCTCAACTAACATCTTCATTTTAATTTTACTTTTATTAATTGGAATTCATAAGAGAGTCAGAGAACCACAGACGTATCCTTGTTTTCTCAGTCTGGTGCATGATAACAGTAATCAGATAACGTAAAGCTGAATAACTGATTTTTCCTTCATTCTGCAAAAGTATCTTAAAAAGATGTCGGCTGGTCTTGGATGATTATAACATGTCATGTGATGATGTGAGTAAATTTAAAAATCAACCTCACAGAGCTTTTATTTGCATGTGAAAGCAGAAATTTCTTTGTATTTTTTAGAGAGGAAAATTAATTCTTAAACCAAGAACCTCTTTACAAGACAAATATCCTTCACATGCAAGATAGCTGTTAACAAATCAAAACTCTGGCTAAATATCAAACAATGTCTGGTCTTATTAGCCTCTAAAAATTATTTGTGCTGTAATTTATTAGCAAATTAATGTAAATATATTAATGGGAGAACAGAAAAGAAAAGGACCCCATTCAAAACATTTGTGTTTTTACTATATCTTACAAAACTATCCAAAGCTTCTTACTATATTACAATAGTCAATGCATGTATATCAAGTGATAGATGATTAGGAACAAATGCCATCTTTAAAAGAAAGTTCCTAATTCATGAATATTTCCATCAAAAAGCATTGCAATATACAATGCAAATGTTTTGTACTCTGCATGAACAATGGCACAATAAAAATTACAGTTTGAAAATCGCACCAAATTGGTTTTTCACTGCACAATATTTGCCATTTTTATCCTTTACATATTTCTTGGTGGGCCTAAAAAATATTTGTTGACAGATTCAATAAATACATGAAAAATATTACAATATAAATACATGAAAAATATTACAATATGCATTAAGAATTTAGAAATTTGTTGGCCTTGCACTCAGGGCCATCCTCAAGATATTTTACAGAGGGGTTGTAAGGTCATCTAAACCGACTGATCGATGGACTTATAGAAAATATGCAGAGATTAGAAACAGGATGACATAGTGATATTAACGACTGTGAATAATCGACAATATTCTTTAGTCATCAAAAATATTTTGTCTACCGACTAAAATAGCAACTTTACCAACTGAATCTCAGAATAAACCTGCTTGCACTGAATTTTTTTTACCTCTGGGTGGCATTCCAGGTGGAGGCATTTGTTGACCTTGCATCTGTTGACCTTGCATCTGTTGACCTTGCATATGTGGTGGAGGTGGACCTTGACCTTGCATTCCAGGAGGAGGTCTCATCCCGGGGGGAGGCATTCCAGGGGGAGGCATGCCTCTACCCATCATACCTGGAGGTGGCATTGGTTGTCTCATACCAGGAGGACCTGTTAATGAAACCAACATAGCATATTTGACAACTAGCATTTCACTTGCTAAGAACACTTCAACGTTAAAATATTGTTTACACACCTTGCGGCATACCAGGAGGTCCTCCAGGACGAGGTGGTGCACTTCCACGTTGGGGAGGTTCACCACGACCAGGGCCACCACGCCCTTGAGGTGTCATGACATCTTGTGATGGGCCACCTACTCCTCTGACAGGACCACTTAAACCTATATATACCACAACAAAAATTATTCATTTCATCCAAGATTGTTGTTCATAAACAAATATACAAACCTGCAGGTGCAGAAATCTGGGGCTGCACAGCCACACCACGACCAGCAGCTCGTCCTATGCCACTTCCCGGAGTAGCACTGGTATTAGGGAGGCGAGGTTTATCCTAAGAATAGTTTGTCAAACATAAGAGTTGATAAATTGTTTACAGTATTTGACAGAGAAAATTAGCAAGTCTAGGCTACCCTGACACAAAACCTAAGAGAATATTTTTCTGACAGCCTCCTATCTTGTTTTATCATATTCACAAAATGTAATGAAGGAGATACTTACATCTGAAGCAGGTGGTCCTTCCACTGTCATGGAGACTAAATGTTCACCCCTTAATAAAACTAAACCTAGAACTCTCTTCTCCTCTTTGTCAGCCCCTTTACTGCTCTTTGATTTCACTCTTCTAAACTCATCACAATCGCCAAGTATTAAGTTCATATGTTTATCAAAAGCTAAGAAAGAACCGATGAAAACTCGACCATCTTGCAGAGTACATCTCATGCGATAATTTATATGCTGCAATATTTTAGAACTTTTTCCAATCGGCTGTAAAAAGAAATATGAAAAAATAACAGAGTAAAATAGGAAAAAGACATTGCTATTTATCTTTGTCAACAAAAACCTACCATTTTCGTTCTTATTAGACGGATGCAAAACGATTGAAAATATTTTCTGTATGAGGATTTTCAAAAGGAACGCCACTTGCACGTTTAAAATAATGGCACTGACCACAGTGCGCGGGCGTCAAAATACCACCACAGTCCAGTGATCATCGCTCAGTGAGTGATCATGGCGGCCATGTCGTCATCGGAAGATTCGAGTGAAAATACGAGTAACACCAAGATTGTTTTAGGAGATCTTTTGACGGAATTAAATCTTGATTTCTGTGCGCAAGACTTTGCAAACTATATTAAAGTTGATGTTTCTTCACAGGTAGTTTATTCAAATAAATGTTTGCAGGATCAGAGCGAATTTTGGGCATTGTCAATTTTGTCAGCTTTTCTGTATAGACTATATGTCATCATTATATTAATGCTGCAGCTAACAAAACGATTAAAATTCTTTTAAAACATTCAGGTAAAAACATATGAAGATATTATTGAGGATATGTTGGTTCGTTTGGATGAGTTTTGTCAAACAGCCGATATGGTGAGATAAATCGCTATTCAGTATTCAATAAATACGGAGTCAATTAGAATTAATTTTTAAAATGGAATCTTTTCCTTAGGCTATGAAAACCTGATTCCTTTTTAATTTCTTGAGTATATGATTATTAATATTTGTATGTCATCCGCATGCGCACATTAGCTAACTAGCTCATGCATATCTCCCACAATCATTGCTGGTTTTTTGTTTTCATAAATATATTGTCTTGACTAGTTCCCAGTAACGTCCTTATCGGGGTTGAGCGGAAGTTCAATGATCTCTGGTGAGAACTCTGTTGCTGACACCCTGACTACAACACTTTATCACTAACAAATTGTTGGTGAAATTTTTGGAACTTTAAAACTTCCCTCTGGGAAGTAAAAACCCTAGCAAAAGAGAATGAATGAATGTTGTTCCTAGTGAGAATAAACTTAGCAATTGCATATAGTGATACCTCTAATAAACACTGTGTAAAATGCTACCAGTCTTATATCAGTCTTGCCAATATAGGTTCGCAATGAATCCGGAATGTTTATGACAGATCTTCTTCCAAGAATTATTTCACAAAGTGAAGATCTCCCAGTTATATTTCAAAAGATTGACCAATTAGAGGTTTGTGACACTTCACAGGTATGAAAAAGTAATTAACTATTACAAAATTAAAAATACCTCTTCTGATTCCTTACAGAAGTTTGTTTCAATAGTGAAAAATAATGTCGACCAACTTGAAGAACAGGTGAATAAAGCAGAGAAGGATCTTGGAACATCAACAGTAAAAGGATTCCTCAGCTCTCTACCTATCAAGAGATTCAGACAGGTATCATAATTAATTTATCAAACAATTTCTAATTAGAAATTAAAACTAATTTGATAACATACTTTTGCAGAAAAAAAGGGAAACCAAACCACCTGATGTTCAGTGGACTCCAATGACATTAACAGATTTAAAACAATATTTCGAAAAAGATCAGAGTAGAACATTGGATACAAATAATTCAGAACAAAGTGAAACAGGAGAAAATAATATTTAAATAATCTTTGTTTACAGTTTAAATTATTACTAACTAGGTTATTTAAATTTTGTTCTCAGAAATGTCTCAAAGACATTGTAGCGAAAGTATGACAATCTTTCCAAGATTATACACACCCATACCTTTCATGAATTATGGTCTAGCCATCTATTACAGCAATAAATACAAAAATTCTGTGATAAGCAAATATTTATAATTTCAAATATTTAATTTTGTCTAGATTTTATGGGGTATGCAACACTATAATTCACTATAACATTACATAGTATTTGAATATTTCTGCATGTTAACATTTCAGGCATCTTCTTACTCAAAATGAGCTGATTGTGACATTGCTGGATTGCCTTATGGCATCAATACCAAGCATTGAGACTTGGGAACATTGTTCTATACCAAGATGTGTTAAACATGGCAAATTCTGAACAGCATATTCAACACTCACAATACTTATCTTTGGACAAAAGGTCAATGTTAAATCAGTCAATGCTTTGCAATATTTTAATGCAAATGTTACACCATCATCTGTTATCAATTGAGAGCCAAAGTTGAATTCTTCTAGATTACCCAAGTACTGTGATGCTGCCTTTAGGCCTCTGTCAGAAATCTTGCATCCTTCCAAACCAATAGACAATAATTGAGGCAGTTCTCTGGAGACATAAATAAATCCTTTGTCTGTTGTTTTTGTATGATCCAAAGTCAAATGGCGAAGGTGCTTCAGGTTCTTGGCAATTTCTATCACACCTAAAAATATAAGCAATTTGGGGTCATATATATAACTAGAGCATAACATTTGAATAACATTTTTTTGTTTGCTTCTAAATAAAACATTACCTTTATTGCTGATTTTGTGACAAAAGGAGAGATTCAGTTGTTGAAGATTGGTCATTCTCATTGCAATTAACGATGCTCCAGCGTTAGTAACATAATCACAATCCATTAAATCTAGGCTTGTTAATGACTTTGCATTCTCAGCCAGACATTTCACACCAATATTTGTTACATGTTGGTGGGATGAAAGCACCAAGGATCTTAAGTTCTTGAGAAAAGGTGCAATTTCAGCGAGTCCTTTGTTTGTTAGTGGGCAATTCCGTAGATCTAATGAGACAAGCTTCTGCAAATTTTGTGCAATGAATGTAATTCCCATATCTGACACAAATGGACTGCTTAATGACAAGAAGAGCAAGTTTGGTAAAAATTGAGCAACTATCTTGACAGTTGTGTTTGTAAGATTATCAACAAAACCCATATCTAAACTGGTCAGGTTGGGCAACCGTTTTAAAACATTTCTAATGCAAACATCGCTCAGACCTTCTACATCAAACTGCAATGCCTGTAGCTTCACCATGCCTGCAATTTCTAAGAACATTACTTCAATTTCATCATCACTACTTGAGAATTGCAAATTCAGATTGTCTGATCCTCCAAATGCCAGATGAACAAGCTGATGTAAGTTCTCGGCAACATATTTGATACCCTTGCTGGTTACCAATGGACATTCTTTTACATCAAGGTATTTCAGATTAGGCAAGCCTTCAGCAAGAATTTTAATTCCTGCATCAGTCAAGCCATGACTCCATCGGAAATCAAGGTGAACCAGTTTAGGAAGATGGTTGACTAGATGGTGCATAGCATCCGCAGACAACCAATCACAACCACGGAGGACTAGGGACTTCAGTTCTGTACAGTTCAAAGCAATATCTCGCAAACAAACATCTCTCATGTTTTCACACCATGTTAGATCAAGACCTTCTAAGCCATGAACATGTTTTAAAAATGTCCTCAAACCAAACTCAGTTATATTTTCACAATCTTCAAGTACCAATGATTTTAGATTCTTTAACTTTGGAGCACATGCTTCAAGAAAAGTGTCACTAATCCTTGTACAACGTTTGAAAACCAAATGTTTTAACTTCTCTAGGCGGCAAAATTCACGTTTTAATTGCAGTTCAGTGACCCTAGGACAACCTCCAACATTCAGGTAGGTTATGTCAGGTAATAATGCAAAAACAACTGATATATCTTCAGATGAACTGCGTGGACAACTAATGCGAGTTATGCGTCGTTTAACGAGACTTTGAACAAGAACTTCACAACACGAAGGAGGCAATTCCACATTGACATTCTTCCAATGTACAGGCAGGTAAACAACATCTCGCCATAAGCGACAAACACGAGCAACATTTTGCTTTCCTTGTGTGTCAAGGAAACTGAAGACATGTGAAGCAATATCTGGGATCAACGGACCTTGGTGATAATTTGTGCTACTTGACATCACTCTAGGAGTCAAATTCCTCCAACAAGATGAAAAAATACCATTCTACAAGCTATACTTTTAGTTTTTAACTTTGTGTACCATGTTCGGGACCATTCGATAAGTCATCGTAACCTGCTCGGAAGCAAAGTGTTTTTTAAGAAATACTGAAACTTGACAAAAAAAACATACAAATTAAACGTCGTAAATGGAAACCAGATTAAATAGGAATAAGTTCGTCTGAAATATTTCGCTTTTTTCAAGTAAATTTTGCAGAACTATTTTTTTGCACTTGCCTCCTAATCTTCGGTTCATGATCGGCGTCACACGGAAACGATCCTTTAAATAACGTGATTAGCATGATGGACACTGGGGAGATAAAAGTTCATAATTTTTCTGAGAATTTGTTCGACAATGTAGTTCACTTTCATGTTATGAGAATGAAAGACAGTTTATTTGTATGGATAGGCCAAAAAAGAGAGTTAAATTCATTGTCAGTTGCAATGTGTACCAAATATGTGAGTCCCATTGGTTGACTGACAGTTGTCATGATCCCTGGTATATCGACTAGTTTTAGCTTAATTGGGTGTACCCAATCTGATTTAAATATTAGAATTATTATCGAGTTAGAGTAGTGATTTCAATAAAACCAAAGTTTGTAAGTTCAAATGAAATGAGGCTAATTAACCTTTTATCCACCAATAGGAAAGCACTCCAGCTGTAATCAATGTCCTGGGAGAACAATCAGACATGACCTCTAACTTACTGGCTCAAAAATTTGGTAAACACTTTGTGAAATTTCACTGAAAGTTTCTGTAGTGTTTGAAATAATGCTTTTCTTTTTTAGCCAAAAAATTAAACAAGCAATGTTTTGTCAGCTACAGTTTACCGCCAAATAACAAACTGCTTCCCTTGGTGGAAACAAGATTACTGAAAGAAATAGAAAATAAACCAAGCCATTTTTAAAGTAAAGAACTCAATTGAGCTGTAGGTCAAGCTGAAAATTGCATACAAGGTTGACCCACAGCAGCAAGAAAGGCAACCTTGATAATATGAACCATGAACAAAGATTTTCAATGAAGGATTTTCTTTAGTTAGTTAGGTTTCTGTATTAGCTTTAAATTGAATAGTTAACATTGAAACAGCTCTTCCGTGTAAAAGTTTGAGGGTTTATATTGCTGGCAGGCAACCCCAAGTAGAAGAGAAAAAAAAATATGAGGCAGCAACATCTGTTCTGCTGTTGTGCAGATGGACCTCTTGTGCAATTAAAGTTAAATATGTTGATTGCACCTATCAATTTTTTCCCAGGTAGTGGCTGCATGAAAATCAGATGCCTTTGACCGTAATAGAAATGTTGTCCCTGTTAGTTTTCTTGACGTAATCATTGAGGCCTGAGGGCAATCATCAGACCTGTTAATATTGGGTTAATTTACTCGGTGTTTACCCAACCAACCAGAACATACTGGGTGACAGATGTCTAACTAACCTGTTAGTTGGTTTTTTAACTGGATAAATTCAGTGATTTTTTCCTTGATGATCATTGTTGCAGCTTGAAAAATCCTTGAGCTTTCCCTGGAGAATGAAGTCCAGTTTCCAAATGGTAGATTTATTGGTAGTAACCGTGCTTGTCCGTGCAGTAGATACAATGACGTCATGGTTACGTAGTTACGAAATGAATTTCTTTGAATTTCTTTGAATGTAGTCAATGTATATGCTCTTATTTATTAATCAGTTTATCGTTTGTGGAAATTCATATCGTTCGTGTTTCTTTATTGAATGCTCCCGTAATATCAAAATACTGATCCAAATGTTTATAATATATTAACAAATATTTTTACATTAACATTATCTACAAATATTTACTTACCGTAGTTTTTGTTTTATGTACACAAAGATTATGCAGTAAAATGAAAAAAATTGAGACTGAGTAGTCTCCAAATCGTTGCCTGACATATCTTTGCTTGTCAACACTACCAGTTCATGATATGATCACCATTAGAATCACTTGAGTGGTTGTGATCTTTTGATAGATAACGACATCCCACAACTGTTTAACGAAGATGGAATTCATTTTGAACCTGAGCTAAGAGTTTCGATCAACTTTGCCGGAAATGTAATGAACAACTGCTTTTGGATTGCTAACATCCTCTTGTAGCAAAATATCCACAGCATCTCTCCATTGACGGATGCTGATGCAGGAACTCTGCAGAAGAAAAGCATGTTTCCGAAATTCAACTATTTAACCTGTGATGTAAATTAAGTGTTTAAGGAAAAGATTTCTCAGAACAGAGTCCAGTTTTGAGTCAGAATGTAATATATTAGATTTATGATTAGAAATATTATTTTACCTGTTCAAGCGCTGAGCAATCTTTTCCACGGGTTAAGTAGTGACTTTTCCAAAACTTTAGTAATGATCTAAAATTTAACAAGTTCCACATTTCTCATAAATCTGACGATGCTTTATAAAAAGAAAAGAATGAGTTTTCTTACCTTAAATTGTCGAGTATAAACCCAGGCTTTTTCAGAGCAGCTTCTTCACTTCGAAACGCTTTGAGATAAAGCGGAAGATATCCTTTGTCCAAGGCGAACATGAGAAATACCAGAGCAGTATTTAAACAACTGACATTCTCCTGCAGAGAAAATATATCCTCGGTCGTTATGAGATCATTACGAGGCACTTTTACGTGAAACATTTGAAGAACTTTGATGTTGCAAAGTCTAAACTTTAAAATTCTTACCTGTGTTAATGTCTCAACAGAGACGGACATAATAAGCTTATGGAGCAAGTAGACACGTTGCTTCCAGTTTGATACCATGGCTATTAGGCGATATGTCAAACCTAATACAATAGATATGGATCAAATATATACTTAGTCCTAATTACTTGGTCTTCTGATATCACAATATGTGTCACTGGACTTACGTGAAGAAAACTCCTGACGCGATGCGAAATGTTCATTGGACAAAATCAAACATCTCATGAACATATTTGAGTCAACAACATTGCTTGTCATTACCAAAATAAATTTGTCAAACTAGAAAAGGCAGGATAATGTTGGGATTTTATTCACCTACCTTCACAAAATGTGTTGACAAACAGGAATTAAAAAAAAGATTTACCTCAACCTCTGTAATTACTTCATTAAACTCTTTGAATGCAATGTAATTAAACTTCATTAATTCTCCTAGCAAATCAAAACTGCTCTGGAGAACTTCCTTGGTTTTCATCTCTTTTGAACAGATATGCTGAACAAGTAGTTTCAATAAGCCACGTTTGATGAGGAATATTTGATCTGCATACGAGGCTTTGCCTCGCAAGAAACCTTCAAGAGCTCGAGATAGCCAAAATCTAAAATGAAAGATGTACGATATTCTCAATACTAGCAAATGAACAATATATAAAATAAGCTACCTTTTTAAGAGTCCTTTTTGTAGAATATACCTTAAAGATGAGTGCTGTGGTACATTCCTCAATACATCCAAAGTCTTTGTCAGCAACCCTTGTTCCCCTTCACAACACTGAAATCTGTCACAGTTTCTGATTGTTTCAGGAACTTCAAGTTTATTTTGTTCTGAGAGATTATAGAAAATAGTTGTAAAGAATGTCATGTAAGCAAAATAATGTACACAGAGTTGAATTATGAAAGTATGTTTTCTTGTTTTAGGATCTCATTTGTTCAGGTCAAAGATAAGAATAACTTTATTCACCATAAATTCCTTTCAATTCCTGTTGTTCTTCTGGAGTCAATAGCAGATATTTTTTGCTAAAAAAGCCCAAGAAGTTTGAATGTAAATGTCAAAATTATACAGAAATGAGATTATTTGTGTTTATTTTTCTGGTAACTTACTCATGGTGATCACAAAAACTATGGAGTAAGCGAAGAAACTGGATCTTCAGAGCAGATTCCTATTAAAGAAAAACATATGGAATAAGATTAGCTGGGATATTAATTGCTGCAAATTGCTTCAAAAATAGAACTAAAAGACTGACACTAACAGTTACTAATACAAAAATGGTCATGTATAGAATTTTGTGTTCACTAGAAATTGACTTCTGAGTTCGAATCGGTAAAGGACAAAATATCTGTGGTGTGTACAGAATTTATGCTTAGTAGAATAAAATCTGGAACTTACCTGTGCACAATGACAATCTTCACTTTCAGATATTTCTCTATAAATTGATATAGAAGTGAAAAATTGTTACATTGAGCAATAAAAACACATTTCCAGCTTTACAAACCTCTCATCAGTCCAATTCAGCTCATCAAAAAATATACAAAGTTTAGGGATCAAACGGAGAGAAGCAAGTTTTTCTTGGACCTAATAAATGAAAGGGTTAGGTAAATATAATGCTGAATATATGATGAAATTAATAGTATTATGAAACTTTACTCACTGAAGTTTTAAATGTTCCTGTGAGAAGAACACATAAAACAAACAACGCTTCGACTTTCAACATTATATCTTGGAAAAATTTGAGGGATAAGGAAAAATATGGAGAATGCAAAATTGAGGCCCCATCATCTAAAAAGATAACAAAGTCTAGCCTAGGGAAATTATCTATTAATTATCGAAATGTCCATCCAATGAAATATATATCCATTGAAACTGCAATGTTGCAAGACTTACCTCTATCAGTAATATCTTCCAATACACCACTGAAAAACGATGTCAACTGCTGCAAACGTGTTGCACCAAGAACAAATGGTGAAGATTTATCTACAAGAATATTTTCACTTAACAAAGCAGGTTTCACAGCAATTATATAAGTACAACAAAAACAAACATACCTATTGATTCACTTGCTAGAGTGCAGACTCTAGGCAAAAATTCTGTGATGGAAAGTAAAATCTTTTGGTTGTTGTCAGCAATATCAGCTTGTTCTTGGAGCCTCTTATTTGTATCTTGATTCAGTACTAATTACATAGAAATGACAATAACGAAAGGCAGTTTAAAAAATGACAATTATGCATAACAGACTAAAAACAATAGATCTTCTCATGCAGGCACAAGAGAGTAAAAAAGTATTAAAAATTTACATGTATTTCTGTCTTCACATGTCTCAGTTGCATCAGTAAGGACAAAGTATAAAACACGACAGAAATTTGCCAGTTGATGGTCATTCATTTGGGAAACAAGTTGAGGTAAATTATCGACTTGCTGTAGAGAAAGCATGCTGCTTCGAGTTCGAAGGATGTCATCTAACAGATGTGATGCATATCTTGAAAATCAAAGAAAAGACTAAGTATAATATATGTGATAACTTTAAATACAAATGCTTTAATATCCAATACAGTAGTACTTACACATATGTTTCTTTTTGTTTCAGAAATGAAAACAACTGGTTGACCAAGTGATCATTGAATCCAAGAATCCTTGCAACACTTGGGTTCTAACAGAATAATACACACATTGTTTCAATTCCTAAAGCTATAACAGTACACTCATTGATGGCAATAAAATGAGACAATGATATAAGAACTTACATAACAGTTCACATTGTGCAATAGATCAAGAGTAGTTGAATATAGATTTTGAAGTACTTCATCTAAAATTGCAGAGGTAAGAGTCTCATTACACTGATTACAAGAAATATGAACTTATTATAGAAACAGATACGTAAATTTAGTTTCATGCCAGTTAATAAAAAAACAAAACATTCTCACTGCTATAGCAAATACTCTTTATTTTATTATTCCAGGAACTAACCAGTTGGTTTTGACTTCAGGTGACCAAAACCATACACATCTTCATAACAAAGTATTCTGATTAAAATCTAAAGCAAGAAAAAGAGTTTTGGCCTGGTTTTTACATCAACAAACTCTTGTTCCCACTATTGCATACTGGCATGAGGTTCACTTTTTATGCCAGTTTTGGAGCATCTGACCTCCAATGTTAACCTTGTGGTGAAATTTGGTGGTAATTAGTAAATGCCTGGATGAATGCACAGAGTTCTCTAATTATAATATCTGACAGGACATGAAAATGGGTACAATGCAGTGTTGCTGCAATGCACATTAGATCCATATAGAGATACCCCCATTCCACCCCTTCACATTAATTGCAAGCACATCTTAATACCAGATAGAACAGCTATAGTCATCACTGGAAACATTACATTCAAAAGGCTAAATCTTGGTTGGTTTTCAATAAAAAAAATCCAAGCTGCATTAATGAAATATTTAAAGCGGAAAATTATGCATGGCATGTTATGTTGGCGACATGTCTAGACCGCAACTCTACTTGCTGAGGATAACCGCAAATAATGAGGTCGCTAACCAACGCTTACGTTGTCATAATATGTCGAAAAATGGCCTAGAAAGATGAAACAAAATCCTAATATAGACATGCAACTGAAAGGCTGAAAGCTGTCGTAAATTTAAAAATACCACAATGTTATAACTTTAGTTTTCTTAATACGTCAAAATAGGAAATTGTACCATAGTTGTGCTTCATTTGTTCTAAAGTACTAGCTCTTGCACGATACCTCAGGTCCAGAGAAGTCATTTATAATTGTGCATATATCTCTTAGTTGACTTGTTTCTTCAGGGCCTGCTTTGTCGAACAAAACTTGTGCTATACCCTATTCAACAATCATAAACATGGAAATAAAGGTACTATCCACGATTCCACGGAATATAGCCGTAATATATCAAGCAAGATTATGGCATAATACAGCTTACGTGTACAACAGAAATCGCTTCATATTTCAGTCTGCCTTTTGGAATAAACTTACCTTTATAATTTCTGAACAACGCTCTACATCAAAATTCTGTACCGTACAGCACTTTTCAAGATTCGTTAGCCGTTTCGGGATTCCATGAAGATTGAGGCGTTTGTCAAGCAGCTCAAAGAAAGCCGGGTTTATCTATTAAATGAGAAATATATTTCAACAACAGAAAGCTAATGTAGTGTGGAATTAAATTATTTTACCCAGGTAGTGTTATCACGAAAGGATGTTGTCTATTTCTGGTGATTTGCTGGAAATGTACGAAAGATGAGGTCACCTTAAACACATTGAAACGATGTCCATTTTCTTTGGATTGCACAACAGCATGTAAAATATTTCTTGATTTACAACGTCTTGACATCGTGTGGAGATGGATAGTGTATATTTTTAAGGATGAAATAAAACACGATCTTCACAGACACACAAATCATTTGTGGCTTGCATTGTCGCTAAACTTGCGTTTTTGCTTCGGTCATTTCGGTGTTCCATCTTCTAGCCACAACAAAACTTCCGCTCGTACCTTCACCCAATCAAATTGAGTAATACGTCTTAATTCCATGGATCAGCCAATCAGCACCGTCGATAGAATGATTATATACGCAAGTGGGGATCAATCATTGTTGCGGTTTTTGCATTGTTCGCTTTTTTGCAAACATACTGCGTGCAGCAGCTATAAAATTTCACTCTGGGTCTTGAAAATGTTTAAAAAACATCAGAATGTCGCCCTTAGTGTTGATGCATTTTGTAATGACTTATAATACCTGATATTTCATTGATTTTTAGCTTCGCGCACTACATATATATATTGGCCCTCAGGAAACTTGTGGTATTGGCAGTCATTTTGTAAAGAACCGAAATATATATCCGTTTTACTTTAAATACAATAGCTATGCTTGCTTTAAATAAGTGAACTCATCAAAATACATAATTAAAATAAAGCTGTTTAAATTTTTTAACCAAAGGATGTTACTTTTTTATTGCGCAACCTTCCTTTGTGCTGCGTCTTGCTATACCGTGCTTGAATGCGCCACCCGATTGTTCATTTCATATGGGGAAGTGGGAAATTGTGTGAATTTAGCGCAAATTTCAAAGATATAATAAAACCGCAAATGGCACACGAAATTTGATAAACGTAACATTAGAAAAATTTGCATCACAAAAGCTTGAAGTTTTATCTGCTTATCTAACAGTATGTCACGTATTCTGACGCTAAATTCTGGAAGGTGGTTGGTTTGATGCAACATCTTTTTGGAAAATGAAAAAACAAGTCATTTGTACAAACAAATGAACAAGATAGTCTGCGGTAGTGCAGCTGAATTATTCAAAACATCTTGACGTTTTTGGGTAAGCGAGAACAAAGAAACATTGAAATTATCGTATTAAACCACAACAGGAGATAAAAGGAATATTCTAGAAGATGCGGTCCTGTGTCCTGTGCGGTGTTAACCTACGGCTATAAACATCTGCCCGCGCAACAAGTAAGTGTAAAAAATGACCTTAGAAAGAAGTTAATCCGTGAAACAGTTTCTGGATTGAAGTAAGTCATGTGTGGAATGTTTCAAACATTTACCACAATGCAACCTTTAATGTCATTGACGCCACAAACAGTGCCACTAATTGGTACATAAAGATCTTCCGCTATGAAAATACCGTAACAACATCGAATAGCGAGTTTCAGCATTGCGTGCGCGCTTTCAGGAACTGGCATATGATGGTCATTCTAAATATATAACCATGGATAGTTAAAAGACTGTGATTTTATTATCCATAACAGAAACTTCTGTATTTTCCCAAATCATCAACCTGCAGATATGTAACACGAGAATTTTTTTATTACAATGTACGTAAATAATACATAATATCACCATGAAAGTGTCCTTTATACAAATACAATAAATCCAACAATGTTGAATTTCTCCAGTAACCATACAGTAACTTTCCAGTTTTAAACCACCATGTTTCCGAATGGCGAGAGGGGATATAAAATAAGTATTCTATGTACATTCTGAAATAATTGTAAAATAAATCACTTTTTGCCATTTATCCTTTTCAGTTTTTTATTGCCAATGTTGAATTTTCATGCCTAGAATGTGAGAGAATAACTTTACTTGTCAGTATATTAGGGATATGTGTATCAGTACATTTGGTAGAAAAAACCTTACCTTTGTTTTATTTTGTTGCACAGGTAAGTACAGCTTAAACTCTGCTGGTAATTCATCTTCTGAATATAGTCTATCTGAGAAGTATACTCGACGAATGCGGCAGTTAGCATGGATCTAAAAATGACATGTAGATAAATACACCTTGTCCATATGATCTCACAGCATAGAATAAATCTAGCTCTATTATAGTAATTGCAAAACTGTGTTTAAAAATTGCTAGAAACATATTAGAGTATTCAGATTAGCCTTCAATGTTCTAGCTCATCACTACATTGTGGACAGACTGCATCAAGCAGAACCTGTCTACTATATTATGATGCATAACCCAAAGCCTGGTTAGCAAGACCTACCTGTACTCTTAATGTCTCAATATAGTTAGTGCCATATGCTCTTCTCGTGAAATCTGACAAGTTAAACTAAAAAAAACAATGGAGATGACTGACCTTCTCAAATAAAAAACATAAAAATTACTATTTACCCTCCCCTCCCTTATTGATATTTTATTGCTCAACAATATGGCCACATATAAGATATATAAAACTTTCATTATGACATGACCTTTCCTCAATAATTCTCATCTTCAGAACAAATAAACACAGTTTTTAATCTAAATATTATTCTTAACTCGCTAAGTTTGCAATAGCGGGCTACAAAAAAGCGCGGGAATATATCGGGCGGGAGTACAAAATACAACAAATTATTATGTAGGTGTGGCATCCAATATATTAACAAAACAACATATTCAATTATTACTTGTATTTGATTCCAACCATCGTCCAATCTCATCGGCATCGTGCATATGAAAGGTTTCACCCGTGTTGTTGACTGGTAATTTGATGCTCTGAAGCGCCGTCGGACATTTTTGTCGTCGAGAACCTAACATGTCAACAAAGCATATCTAAGCAACCCGGGACCATTTAGTACAATTAATCCCCTTGCATACACTTTCCCCATTTTGCCTTCACAAGAAATGTCAAAATCCATCTTTAACATTACCTGTACTTCAAACGTAAAATATTTCTTGAGATTTTTAATAATCATGACTAGAAATGGTAGTTTGATAGCGAGAGTTTTATTTGCCTCGGCAGGACACGTTATAAATGTCGTGCTACAAAATGAAAGAAAATCCATAGAAATATATGAACTAAAAGGATTTCAAATGTACTTTACTTCAAAAGGAATATTTTAAGGGTAAAGCAAGAAAAACAAGAGTACTGTCTATGATCATACTTTCAATGGAAAGAATGGATAAATCTTCAAAAAGTTGCGGAAGAAATCCTTTTGACATACCTAACATTTGTTCCAACAATTTCTAAAACTAAAGACTGTATATCATTGTCTGTTATCCTCTTTATATGCCCATTTCGAACCTAGCATATATTACATATAAGGGTTAGATATGAACACATTTACAGAAGGAAATACAAATCAACAAAACAGTTTGTGAAGACTTCTATTTGAAAGCGTGGACATTGGAGTATTCAGTCTGGTCAGAATAAACCTACCTTTTTCTCCCAAATTTGAAGTGGTTTACTGCCAATGCTATATAGGATGGACAGAAATCCTGATTGGAAAGTATTCTTAAACATCTTTGATTGCAGTTAAGCAGGAATAAGTGTTTGAGTTTAGTGTTTATCCACTGCTCAACTCTGTTTCCTTGTAAACTGTTGTGATGATGAATGAGTGAGTTTGAGTTTCTAGGTCACGCTGTTTGCACTCGCCGTTGCTAAGCAATCAATTGAGCCCGCAAATTACGAACGCTTGCCGCTTGAAATGCTAATTAGCCGCGCGCAATTAATAGATTAGGAAAAAAATTAAATTAATAGATTGTTTATTTTGTTTACACCGTGTCCGTGTGGCCGTTAGACGACTGACTTGGCAACATATCGACGTTTAAAAACAATGCCGGTTAAGCAAGATGATAACCCGCAGTATATATTTAATAACATAATTATGAAACTGTCAGCAGTGACATAAAATCAAATTATTAAAAGAAAACATCACAGACTTTCCAGATCACACCCATAGACTAAAAAGCATCACGATGCTTATCAACCAGGTGACCAAGCAAATGAAAAATGCTAGCATTTCTTTGAAGTCACCAACACTGGTTTGTTCATATTTATTTTATTGGTAGTTAGTTTTCTCTATGTGATGATGACCCTGCACACTAACTGCATACATGTATGCGTAAATCAAGTTGGACTTCTGGTTTGTCACTGTCAAACCACACCAGGTACATTTACTTCATTTGTTACCATTTTATTCACAAAAGGAAAAATAATTATGTACAATAATATATGTACAACATCTGTATATATATGAACTCAGGCGTGGTGCTACGCTTGCATGATGTGAATCTTTTTATTCAGCACAGCCTTCTCCAGACATTGTCAATCCAGCTCTATATTTTTTGAGCTTCTTGTCTTTCATTGCTGTACCATGATTCCATTGAATTGTGCGTCTGGATTTGTTTCCAGGTCTTTCTGTATGTATTCAGGGCCATCTGTCAATTTACAAAGGTTGCATACATTATACAACAGATATCTTATAATTCAGCAATACAACCCATAATATTACCTCAGCTATTTCAACCTTTCTCTCCCACATTCTTACAGTCTTGTTCAGTTCATAATGACTTGCTCGTTCTTTAACATAGTCCAGCACCTAAATAAATAGAATATGCCATTTTTACATTTGTAAGATCTTCAACAGACAAGAAAGTCTGCCTATAAATTTTTACAGTTTATTAGAGCAAATCATTTTATAAGCTACAAATCAATGAAATATTCTAACCTCAGGTACTCTGTAGTCACTTAATTGTTGTCTTCTTTTTTGATTGAGCTCTAATGCTTTTACTCTTTCCTAAAAAGAATTGTATACAAGTTTAAATTGCTGGTTGAGGCAAAAAATCTATTAACCTTCACCATGAAAAGCCATTTACCTTTTCAACTAGTCTTGTTTCTGCATCAATCCTTAATGAAAGTTCAGTTCTTGAGGAAATTTCTTGTTTTAATTGTGCTGATTCAACAGTCAAAGTGTGCAATTTTTTCTAAAAAACATATCCTCAGTCATGTATCTCAAAATATCACAGAAGTTGAGAGACACAGATCCTTGCACAAACCTTGTAAGTATTTAAAACTTGCAGCACATTTCCTGTCATGAGTTTTAACCTTAACAAATCTTTATTTCTGTCATCAATTTTTTCAAGATATTGTTGATTTTCAATCTTTAGCTGATTAAAATCAACTTCATGCAAAACTTCACCCATCTCTTCTTTCTAAAACAAGTCATTTATATTTGTTAAGATGACACTAAAGCATTTTAGCCAAATTATCACAATAAGAATGGTATTGATAACACATACTTGCTTAAGCTGCATTTGCAGCTTCTTTTTTTGAACTCTGAATGTTGAGTTTTTTAAACGGAGTTTTTCTATCAGTGTATCCTGTGTAAATGAACAGTGATTCACAGTCAGCGGCATTTTTATTTATGTATATGTATCTCTAGCTGCCACATCACTTACTCTACTCCGGATTTTGTCCTCAAAATATCTCACAACTTTTTCTGCAATGATCTTACTAGTTCTCTGAAAATGGCAAAAAGAATAAATAAAAGTTGATAAAGTATTGAATATTTGGCTCTTGGAAAATTATAGGCAGCGAGGAAGACAATTTGTAGTGCTTACAGCATTCACAGATCCTTGAATAATATCTCGATTAAATTCATATGAAGCTTTCTTAGTTTCAGCAATTTGAATGTCAGCTTCCTCCATGATAGCCTGGAATGAATAATTGCAAAAATAAGAATGTTGTACATATCAGCACCATTCATTAGATGCTACTTTACTGCACTTACCTTATAATTATCTAGAATTCTTTCAGATTCATCTTTTAGCTTTTCAATTTCTTCTTTTAGTTCTTCAAGCTCTCTCTGGGCAATGTCACATTTCTGTTCAGCAGAAAGCTTCAAATTTCTACAAGTGTTAAAACCATTATACTTTAGTTTAGGATATAATCAGACTCCACTTCACTTTAATTAATATAATTTAATTATACCTATCAACAGATTGTCCTCTTGATCGAGTTCGTTTTCTCAAGGTTCTTGAAGTTGTCTGTTCTTGAACTGCTTGAACTAACATAGTGCCTAGTTGAAATAAAAATTATTTTTATTTATTTTTATATATACATAATGCAAAATTTCATTTGGCAAACAGCTGAACTAAATTCATACCTGTGCCTGTACTATCTTTTGTATCAACCCTTTTCAAATATTTCTCAAACATGTTAGTCTCATTTTTCAGCACACTATTAGCTTGCCTATAAATAAAAGAAGACATAATTTTTACACACTTTGCATGATAAATAATGAGGATAAATTCAACACAGAAGGGCACAAATATGCTTGTACAATAACTTACAGTGTCTCCTCTACAAGATTATATAATTCTTCGTCCGTTAATTCTTCAATACGGTCTTCATTTTGATCAATTGAGCTACTAACATCGACATCTGAGACCGCCATCTTGTTTTCTTCTTCGTGTTGTTGTCGTGTGTAAGTGTAACCATGACAACCATCACTTCCACTATCCTCGAGCCCAGTCTATATTTACTAAAAGTGGCGCGAACGTCCGAAATACGATTAACGATCACAATCACTTCAAAAATCGAAGTAATTTTTTCTTTGGAATCCTTTGGAAAACGAAGGCATCCGTCCATTAAAATGAAACTCGTTCAGTGAGTAGATATTCTGTTACCATATGCAGCCAGCTGTAACCTTTTAGTGTAATATATATTGCGAAAGTCGTTAAAAAGTATAGTGCTAAATTCAGGTAGTGTATACGGTATAGATAGTGTCTGGTAAGCATGTGAGTGAAGTTTTTTGTATATTTGTAGGTTTTTGATGAAATTGAGTCATGAAACCGTAACTATTGAACTGAAGAATGGCACAGTGATTCATGGCACGATTGCAGGTAAGTCTGCTCTGCATATTAAATTACTGTATAGTTGCAAGTTCCAAATTATTCAAAATTGTGAATGATTAATGCACCTTGGTAGGAATTAGCAATCACATAATCCTTTCATGTACCATAGCAGATTACTAACACCTTGTTTCAAAGTTTGCTTTTGTTATTAAGGTGTTGACATGAGTATGAACACTCATTTAAAGACAGTGAAGATGACAATCAAGAACAAAGATCCTGTACAACTGGACAGCTTAAGTATTCGTGGTAACAACATTCGTTACTACATTCTACCTGAGAGTTTGCCAATCGATACTTTGTTGGTGGAAGAACCACCACGAGCCAAAGGAAGAAAGAGAGAAGCAATGGCACTTGGCAGGGGGAGAGGCAGGGGACGTGGACGCGGCAGAGGTGGCCCAAGAGGACGTGGAAGAGGCAGAAGATAGAACACTGGACTTGGTTCTTATACTGTGCTGTGTGCAGCCAGACTTATATAGGATTTCCTATATTAATTGCTGCTCTTACATTGTGATATAAACAGGATTTATTCAGAAACATTGACTGTGATTACATTGTACATCTTGTTTGGTATTGAAATGAGTTCATCTAAGTCATGGTTTGTAGCTAGATAATGCATGGAATATTGATAATGTTAACCTCATCAATATGTAAATATTAAAACTCTTCACATTCTTATAAAAATACAAAAAAGACAAACTATTTAGTCACATAGCAGAGTTGGTTATTTGCATGCACCAAGGGAACACTGGATGATATTTTTATACAGTTATTCAACAATGCAACTAACAGCAATTTGTTGACCACTTCTCATTATGTCCCACCTTGACAAACATAGGTTTATCTTCTATTAACACATTGTCTAATATGGATGATGTCTTTTATTCCACTTTGGTTTCTTAGCCAAGTCTGGGTTGTATTGTGAGTAGTAGCTAGATGAGATACAATGATAATAATCAATTTCATGGAATAGACCTGTCAGAAAAAAGACAAAACAGAAAATATAGTATGTCTTAGCTAGGCTTCAATTTTTCCTAAAGGAATAATATAAGAAATTATCACCTGTCTTTGTATGGGTCATCCTCCATCTGGTTGGATTTTCCTTCCTTTTTGTCTTTAATTAGTTTTTCAGCTCGCAACCTTTCTGATTTTTCTCTCTGAAGTCTTTCTTCCCTCAAATCTGCCAGTGTCTTTTTTTTGGACTTGACTCTCTCCTAAATGTTGATTTAAAAATCCAGGTTAAAACAAGACAGTCTCATGCACGTTGAACAGCTTGGGATACTCATTGTGGCTGACCTTGTGTTTTTTCTTTTCTTTCCTTTGTTTCTTCTCAGATCTACTTTGTTTCCTTTGGTCCAAGAAACTATTCATCTTGATTAAAGGATCCAGCTTGTTTTTTTTGTCAACATCTTGACTGCCATAAACACAAATAAAAGCTTAAAGATCACCATCACAAATAATTCATTTTATATTGTAATGGCTCGAACATTTACCTTTGTTCTTCTTTTTTCTCATTCTTCTGAAGATACCAAGGTTTGGGGTCTGGAATAAAAAAAAAATTCCAATATATAAATGCTTTAACTGAATGAAGAAAGATAGGATTTTAAAACAAACAAAAACCACTAACCTTCACTGGTGCTTTGACCAAGATACTTCAATATTCCCAGTGCTTTTTCTTTCTTCTCTTGCTCAGCTTTTTTTTCAGCTTCATATTCTATATTTGTTGTTGCACCCTGAAACAGATATTTTGATGTGTTTCATTTAGCAGGTGGTGAACAATGGCCAGTATTCACCCAGGAATCTCCTACATACTGCTTACCCCAGAGCTTGTTTCTTGCTCAGTGAATAGGTTGATATGTCTTGGTTCATTATAAGATACTAATGACGTAGATACTGAACTCTCTATAGAACTGGATTCACCGAAGTCATTCTTTACTCTATCACGTAACAATTTCGTTCTTGATTCCTGTTCCTGAAAAGGCAGAGACCAAAATTTAGATAACAATGTTTAATTATACTGTTTGATGCTTGAAAAATCCTTACGGCCAAAGCTGCTCTTTTTGCAAGTTTTTCCTCTTCTAATCTGGCATTCTCTTCATCTCGACGAACCCTGGCAATGTTATCTTTGTTTCTAACATGCCAACTGAAAAAGCAGAAAATCTGTTAGCCTTGACATGTTTATAAATTGATGGTGAAATTAGGAAGAAAATGTACCTCTTTTTTGGCAAAATATTCATTGCAAATACGACCTAAGAAGAAGATTAGGCAATTTGGTGGTCTAAACATATGCCCAAAAAAAACACAACAGACTATTTACAGTTAAACCAGGACAAAATAATTGCAATAGTTAAAAAAATAATTGCACATGGTAAAAATGTTCAAAGCTGTGCATGTTGGTTGACTAACTTGACTTGGTAAAAAGAAAATGTATCTGTTTCAAATCATATTATTAGTATAAAACTTACCTATAAAATCAACCGTTAAATCATATTTTTTCCAAACAATTACAACTTATTAGTACGTTTTCCACTGTCACTGAAATCCAACCAGCATTGTTTATACTTCCAACGTATATGATTTACCGAAGTTTATGTTCGGAAAATATCGTAATGAGGTCGTAAAAGCTCGGAGAAGAATTAATTTGAAACATAAGAACAGTATTTTAATACATAACATTGTGAAAACTTACAGTATACTAATACAAAATGACACAGATTTCCACAGCTATTTCGGATTTTGTTTTGAGTGTTGTATCATTTTACTGTGCTGGTGTTTTATCGCGACGTTATATTTATGCAGCAATTGGGATGTCGATCATAGGATTTGCTGCAGGAGTTGGGACAATAAGATTTTTTAATATTGTATCAATACAGCATCAAAATTCTGTCGTTTCTCTACATATGAAACTGTCTTGGTTTGCAGCCATTATAGGTGTGTAAGTTAATATTTAACTAAAATGATTTAATATTTAGGGTGATTTAAAACATTGGAATAGTACCCATTTCTTACAGCACTTTTCCACACACCAGAAATGCTTCTGTAAGCAGATGAAATGTCTATGCATGCACACCAAGGATTGCATTGGTATGCAGATGCAAGCTGAATAAACCTCACGTACACTAAAGGTCCTCACAGCTAAGTAGTGTACGTACACAGAACGCACTCTGACATATGCCCCAGCTAACACAATATATAAGCAACTGGACATCTGCCTCTAACCCTGACCCTGGATCCTACCAGAAGCCTATTGTTGATTTTATCCTTCATAGGAATCCCATTAATAGCAGCATCATTTTCAATCAAGTACAGATCAAGCTATGGTTCTGAACTTCACATTGTTAGTGGTATAGCAGGGATTATTTTTTCAATTCTCTTGCCAAGATCCAAAAATGCATGTACACATTTTGCATCAACATTAGCAATACTTAGCATTTTATTTCAAAGTTTTCATGCTAAGAATGTACTGGGTATGGCAGGAAGTGTTTTGTATACAGTGGCAAGCATAGTTGTTGGTACATCTGGACATTTCATGGGTTATCTTTGTATAGACATATTTCATTACTTTTTAGTTGCTGCAAATATTGTTTTTGTAAAAGCATTGCAATAATTGATATTTACTGTAAATTTACTTAGAAGTTTGCATGTACACCAAATGCTATTTTTGCTTGAATCTCACTCAAGTAATGTACTAAGAAATTTAGTAATACAAACACTCAACAATTGTTTTCTTCAAATATTCTCTGTATTTTAATAAATACTCTGAATTCTCAACATAAAATATAAACCTTAATATTATAAAGTAATAAATATGTATTGATCACATCTCCTTTATAATAAAATAACTTATGATAATTTTTACATCTTTGTACATCTTACACCCTTGAGACTATGTTTTGCCCAAGAACATAATCAACCTGAGAGGCAAGACTCTTGCAGCGAGCAACTTATTTATATCAATATCATGTGAAACAGGCAAGTTTTGTTCCAGTGATTCTTGACTGTCATGCGTAAATTCATGTTGAAAGATCATCGGACTTGTATCCAGATCTCCGTAAGGACTTCGTACAAATATAAACTTGATGAAAATGCTGCATTTTGTTGTCAAAATCAACTGAAAAGTGAATCCTCGTCTTAGGCTCTTCTCATTGCCAACAACTTGAGATCTGACAATCCAATCCTTGGAAAATGATGTGAATCGATTGCTTTCATAGAATAGTTCTGGAATGAAGTCATCTGTCCTTCTTGGTCTGAGCTGTAAATCTGAGAGAGTATATTATTATTACACAGTAAATTATTGCAGTATGAAAGTGGCATAATTTTCTCATACCGTGTATCGATGTTCTGCCGTATGAAAACAATGCAAATACCGACTGATATAAGTTCAGTTTTGTCTCCTCCTCAGTGGAAGATTTTTCCAGATCTTCCATTATCTCCAAACCAGTTTTTCTTGCTTGGGCACATCTTTCTTCGTGATCTGCCCGGGTCCGTAATGTCCCCTGCCAGTGACAACCAATTTTCTCATACTTGCACATAACTAACCTGATAACATAAAAAATTGAAAAGTCTTTCTTCTGACAGACAAAGAGGAATCAATACAAGATTGGCATCTTACCTCTCAAAGCACAAGTGCTTCTCATGTTTTGTAATACTACAGCGAGGTATATCACAATGACAAAACTTGCATTTAGTTGGAAGCTCCGACACGGCCTTCTCTACAGCCAAGTTTCGCATACACAATGACTCTGTGATCTCTATGCGACAGTTTGGACATGTTGGCATTTCATTCTTTAATCTACCATCTGCCAAAAGGTGGTTTAAACAGCCTGCACACATGAGATGACCGTTTGGACACTAAATGGATTTAATGGGAATGGGTTATAGGTACCCCTATGGTGTTGATAAACATCACATGACACTGGGTGTGCCCTATTCATGTCTAAAATATGGACATTTGTTATTGATATTTTTTGGCAAAAATATATCACTGAAAACAAATAGTTCACAAAAGATTTCACAATAATATATTGCATTAGATTGTGTTATGATATATTGCAATATAAGTCAACTGCTGATGTAATCAATTCTGTAAAAAATTGCTGTAGTCTATTTCTAAATTCTACACTACAAAAAAATACACTAAACGGTAACATTCACAATTAGTACCTGAAAAATGGTGCTGAAAGGCAGGTCTAGGCATACAGTACAACACAACACGGTGGATAAACGTTTTTCTAGTTTCATCGTTGATGTGTCGGCCAAAGAACATTCTCCATCGTCACTTTGACTGACATAACTTTGTTTTAAACAAAGTTTCTTAGATGCTGGTTCATCTTCATTACTGTCCATAGATGCATTTTCGCCTTCTTCAACAGTATGAGAGGAAACGTTCTCCAAATTTGACTCCATGGTTTTGAAATTTATAGTATTTGAAGCAAATGCCAAGGAGTTGTTTTGGTCCAATTTTTGGATGACGTTATGTTGACAAATTTGACCAATCACAATGCACGTCCACGGACATCATGTGACGAAAGGTCAAAGGTGCATGTGACATAACAGGCGCAATAAATTCCGATCATTTCTCAACTTTCTAGAGCGATCCAAATTACCTAGGCTGCCAGTATTGCCAAAGATATATATTGTTCATACGTATGTGCAGTTCGTGTGCGCTTATAAAAAACCGCTAAAATTTCTAAGGACATATTTCTATTACCGGATATCGTTGGTTTTATCAGAGAGATGTTTTTAATCAGCGCAGAATTTTTTTTAAAAATTCACCAAAAAAGCAAGAGGAAGTTACTGAATATTAGTAATTTCAAGCTAGGGATTAGTATTGGTAACAACTGAAAATTTCAAATAAGTCAATAGATTGTGGTCACCTGTTAAGCCCAACTAAACATAGTAGGACTCCCTGCAAATATTCAAATGACCTTTACAAACACAGGGGGTATTTAACATTTTTAATCTGCTTTTTAAAAGTTGTTCATTTGTAGTGTAGAATTCGACGGTGTAAGGAAACACACATGTTTAAATATATTTTGTCAAATAAATGAAGTCAACATCTGCGTGTATCGTTCTGGTATATTTAGCCAAAGGTGAGCAGTTGATTTTAGTCTTATTTGTGTCAACTAACGTAATATCATATCGTGATATTAACCAGAGATTTTAAAGTTTCCTTTTTCCAATTTAGAATGTTTTTCATATCATACCGTAAGAGGTAGAAACATAGTTTTATAGGTATAGACGTACCCTGTACGACGACTGCCGGTTTCCTAACCAGTGACGTGACAAAATACTGTAGTTGTAGTTTTCCTTGATGCAAAACACGAGACTCATTCAGACATCACGGACAGGAACCATCCAATTCCGAACATTTCAAAAGACAAACCAGAACAACCTGAAGTCAGTTATCACCACAGCCTGCCTAAAAGCAAATACGGACGTGTAATACCACGAAATCAAACTACCACGTACAGTGTGTGGGACAGAAAAAAGAGTTTTAACCAAAAGAAAAGACTTGAGAAGAACTTTGTAAAGAGATCACAGCCATTTAAGCGTCCTTGGTATAAAAATACTTATTCCATCTCGACATGGGGGCCAAACAATATCTACACAGAAAAAATGGCAAATGAAGATAACACTCAAGTTGGTAATGATGCACAGTGGAGTACCAAAGAAGGTGAAGAAGTTGGTGAAAAATACGCTGGTGGTAAAGATGGAGAGCAGAGTTGGAGTACCAATGAGAGTCAGAAAAGTGATGGAATGTACCGTGGTGGTAATGGTGAACAGTTGATTTGTAGTACAAAAAAAGATCGGGAAGATGGTGGAAAGCATGGTAGTGTTAGACGTGGGTGGTGGAGATGGGGCAACAAAGGAGCTCAAGGTGGTGGTAAAGGTGGGCGGTGGAGTTGGAGTACCAAAGGAGGTGAAGGTGGTGGTAACCAAGGTGGGCGATGGAGCTGGAGTACCAAAGTGGGTCAAGGTGGCACCAAATTAGGCATCGGTGGTGGGGGATCAATGAATCTTGGAAGCACTGGTAATGGTGGATATTTATCAGCGAAAGGAAAATTTGTATTTTTACAAAGTGAGTATGTATGTTCTACAATTAATTTATTGCAAGAACGCAACTTAAACTGAAGCTATGCGACTGTTCTGGCAGAGATGTTTGCGCATCAAAAATACAAATAAAATAGAGGTATGTAAGCAGGAAAATGCTTTTATTTCAGGACTCGAAGAATACCAAAAAGACGTTCTGAAAATGACAAATAAATACCGTAAGATTCACCACGCTCTGGCACTTAGCTTAGACACAAAGTTGTCCAAGAGTGCTATGGCTTATGCAAGATTTTTAGCTAAATATGTAAAGAAAATAGCACATTCGAAGTTATTTGAAGATATGAAAATTGGCGAAAATTTGCTTATGAGCAGTGTTCCCATTACTGGAGCTACTGTGGTTAAAACATGGTACGTTTCAAGAAAATTCTCATATTTATAAATAAATAACACCTGTATGAGGAGAGTTCAGTTGACTTCAGAACTACCTAAATGACATTTTTAAGGTATGATCAAGTGTACGACTATGACTTTAAAAAACACAAAGGAAGAAACGAGGCGCCGTACTCCGCGTTCACACAAGTAGTGTGGAGAAGAACACGAAGTTTGGGTGTTGGGAGGGCTGTGGGGAGAGTTAAAGGACGATTGTGGATATTCTATGTTGCAAGATATTATCCTACTGGATATGTGGGAAAAGTGAACTACTTTAGAAAAAATGTTCACCGTGGAAAATTTAGAAAAGGAGGACAATTTGGTACAGCTGGAGGTAGTGCTGGAGGATTTGGAGTAATGGAAGGTAATAAGATTGAATTTTGCCTTAAACCTTGCAAATGAAAATATCAACTAAGTGTCCGTAATTCTTTCTGCTTCGCATCTAGACTTGCAAACGTTCGTATCATCTGCTCTCAAAACTCATAACATGTTGCGAAGCATGCATGGCGCAGCTCCATTAAAGTTGGATCCACGTTTGAGTAGACAAGCTCTGAGTAAGAGCACTTCAGACATGAGTGGCTACAAACCAACAAGTGAACCTGGGATGAATGTTTTTGATATTTGTCAAGGCACAATGTCTGGTTCTGGAGTCACAAAAGCATGGTAAGATGTCGTGGTTTAGGTTAGATGAAGTTCCTTCAGACATGTTGGTAATTGAGATATAGCAGAATGACAGAAGCCTGACTATAGCCGAGAGCGAGTTTTGGTTCTTTTGAATTCCCACACTCATACCCACGGGCCACCACAAGCAAAATCTAACCACATGAACGCCTTCCAGGTACCGAGACGCCTGCTTTTATGATTTTGATAAGCAAGAATCCTTGAGCCAGACTAAATCCCAGTTCCTTCAAGTGATTTGGAAGAATAGTAAAAACTTTGGCATATCATATGTCGTTTATCATGAAGCAAAGAAGAATTGCGTTCGTATTATCGCATTGTACACTCCTCCCATGGAAGAGTCAAATGTCAATCTTCAGGATCAAGTAAAGAAAGGAACGTTTCTTGGATGTTACAATGGAATGTTTAGTTATAAAGGAGGAACAAAAATATCTCAATGTGATTGATAATAGCAACCAGTTATTACGTTTAGAGAATTAGAGTTTTTAGAAATTATCAAAAATATGATTGAATAGAAATGACTAAGTCAGTGCAACAAAGTGAAAATAAAACCAATGTTAAAATCACAAAATTTCACCTCAATTCTCAACTCTAAGCTATTACTAACATTTAATGTGAGTTTAACATAACATGAACATCAACTTACCCTATATTCCACCTTGTATCCACAGGCAACAACACAGGAACCCTGAATAGTATCATGGTTGTTCATCATGCTCCCCTAGCATCCTGTACATCCACATCTGTTCCTTCTGAAACATGATTACTGTGGAGTGGTTGTCGCCACATAAGAAGTACCCATGGCAATGATCTTGCCATGAAACTGGAGTGTCACTAAATCCCCATATCATTATACTAAACCAAGGGAGTTCTGGATTTCTATCAAGTATTTCCCTATATAATAAAAATCATATCATAAAAGCAATATTATATTCCACCCTAGGTTTTGATACACAAAGTTTTAAGTGATATAGGAACAGGATTGATACAATCACAAAGACAACAAGCTACAACAGTGAATGATTATTTCTACCTCGCTGATTTGATCAAATTGCAAACAGCGCTTGAATTGATAAATCCTGTCCATTTATGATATGCTGCTTTGTCAGGCTGGTTTGGTGCTGGACATGATAATGTGTTCACAAAACTATCAGAAGCGGCTTTCGAACTACAAATAATTGCAAATAATGTTATGTTTTAATAAAATATTAGGTTAATTTAATTGAAGACTAGTATACACATTATAAATTCTCAATTCCTAGTCATACTACAAGATGTATAACCGTGCAATACTTACCAGTCAACTCCACATACAAGACTGCCTAACCATTCATGGAAATCCATGGCATTACATTGTGAATCAATTTCCAGGAATGCTTCATTGTTGAATGAAATTATGGGGATGTTCACTTCCAGGAATGCCTTTACTTCCTTTTTACATTCAAATGTTTTACAAGAAATACCAAGTGATATGAAATATGAGTCAAGCTTTTGTTCACAAGTATCTTTACCTTGAGAAATGGTGAGATATATATGAAGTATAACAATTGAAAATATTGAACAGCCATGACAGCTAGTTTAACCCATGCCATGCTATGAATGTGCTGAGATATATATGCCCATGCATAGTTAAGTATCTTTATCAAGTTGCCCATTAACTACAAATTGATTATTGCACTCACAGATCGATAAAAAACAATTCATACTTACATTCTGCTTTCATGGAAAATAGGAATTTAAATTTCAATCCAGTCCTAAAGAAACCTCTTGAAACACGTTCAAAATATTTCTTGTTTGGTTTGAAGTATGGTGCCAATAAATTGATTTCAATATCTTCAAAATAGAAGGCAATCAATAATGGGAACATGTCAAGAAGCTATAACAATTTTACAAAATCAGAGGCTTGGTTTTACTCACCAAATCTGAGATTATTATTAAATGCAGAAGGTTTTCCCTGAATACCAAGACTTTCATAAGAGTCTTTAGTAAGTGACAGATGAAGTATACCTGAAAACATTGAGATTGTAAGAGAAATACTTTTTAAAGTCAGATGATGAAATTTCATTTTCCCTGTACCTGTGGGCAGTAGCGCTGCACAATCAGATGTATCAATTTTTGTCCCATGACTAAGGGCACAAATGGAACCTGCATTTACAATGTGTAAAGAATTCAGTCATGATATTCAATCATGTCAAATGAATACATATTAACTTGTTTGATAATGTTGTGCATGATGGAGCTGATGTACTAAGTCATGCAGCAAGTGATGGTGGCAGCTATTCAATGTTCTATCTGCTATTTAGGATGTGCTGGTATAAAAAGCAACAAAAATAACCTGGTCTCACAAATTTCGAGATAAATTCAGCGTTTATTATTTCAGTGAGAGAAACTTCAGCCAGGCAAGAAAAATCAGTAAACAAAAGTTTAGAAATGCATTCATGTAATTTCTCTGTGGAAAATGAAGGTACCAGTACTCCAACCTACAAGGAAATAATTATATCAGTTCTTGAGAATTGCACTAATTTAAAATAAAGTTAGCATATGACGCACGCTTATATTAAAATGATGCTTTGAGATAACTTTAAGGCATTTTTCTTCACCCTCCTTTCCACAAAACTTGTCAAAAATCATTCTTCTCTTTGGAGAATATTCCAAAAGTTTTGCCGCCATAATGGAATTTTAAATGTCCCCCCGTCAGACACACGCGTGGAGAACACGCGTACACTTTTACTTTGTGAAAGTTCATATTTCATAGAATTTGTATAACTGTTACAAATTTCATTTAATTTCTTATAAATATAAACTATATGTAACTAGTAGAGTTGTCAAGCATGCTTGCATTACGCAAGTTTTAAGCTGCATTGTGTAAATTTTAAAAATTCCTAAAATTTGCATTCATTGAATTCTTTATATAAGTAAAAGGTGTTATATATTTCTTTCTGATAGTTTCACTAAAATCTCGGCAATTTCCATTTCCGCAAAAGAAACTATCCTTGAGCTTGAATGACCATTTAAAGTCCTGAGATTCCTATTTTGTAACGAGGCAAGTTCCTCTGAAGCACAATTCGTGAGAATGTATGACATCATTCTTCTAAAATTGTTCTCTAATTCATTACGTTTTTCGACTGATACACGAGCAGGTACTGGATCAGGATATGTCTCTGTTGGACCATTTTCACCAACAAAATGTAGAGAGCATATATAGTTATCGTAAGTCAATGTTTCATAGGAAATTTTCTTGCCCATGTGACCTTCTTTCACAATACACGCGTTCACCCATCTTTTGCATTTTTCAACCCGCCGTTTCTTGCCGGGAAACCTTACAAAGAACACAGGTTGTCCATAACTATTTCTCATGGTCGGTCGGTCTGGTAGCCTCGAGTCGTTTTTGCAATGACCATACGAACAGTGTTTCGTTGTCACCATATTCTCACGTGGAAATTATACAATTTTCTATACAATATGGTTGCAATCATATATCGAAAGTGTTCATTCAATATGTGTCAAACTGCCAGTTGTCCGTACTTCTAATTAACCAATCAAATTACCCGCTCATATTCACATGACCGATATTATGATAATAGCAATAATCTATATAGTTCAGTGGGAAATAATTGAACATGGTTGCCATAACAACGAGGTATTAAATTATCATGGAGGGCAACAAATCTAGTGAAAGATTGTCTATGTCTGTAATTTTTAGGAATTTACTATCATGCAGCGATGAACAAAGTATTTTAGAGAAATCTGTGCATGTTTATGATCCTAAAGAACTTCAAACTGGTTGGCAAAGCGTGAGTTGTAATGCGAAATACGTTGCGTGCCCGACAGTCGTAACAAGGGCAGAGCAAACTAGCCCAGCATCCGTTAAAAGTGACTCGTCAAAGAAACACAAGAAAGGAAAAGGCAAAGAAATTCCGGAAAATAGCTGTAAAAATGACAAATTGAAAAGTATAGGTGTACTTTCGTACGGTGTGCCATCATGGAGAACAATTATAGATCCTGAAAGCTGTACTTATATACAACGCACTCATCCATGTCTGCATTTAACAGCCACGGGACACAAGAGCAGTGATTTAAAATTGTCGTTTGTTGATCCAGCTGGATTGTTAGATCAACATTTAGGAGGTTTCGTACAACGACAGCAAAATGTGTTGAAAACAGGTTATAATAAAGGTGTATGTGAACAAGGCAACGCTTCACGTACACAATTAGATATGAACAAGAACAACAGCAAACGATTTAACCCGTTTTATATGCCGCTAAATGACTTAGCACCAATAATTGAAGAAAGAACTGAATTGTCAGCAGGTATCATTGTCAATACACCAAAGCCACATTCTCTGAGGCCTCTACCATCAACAAACACTAAAGTTGATCTTCAAACATCATCAATTGCACTTGCAACAAGAACCATTCCTGCTGTTCTTTTACCAAACAAATCTTCAGCTATCGACAGAAAAACAGGCCGGATACATCGAGATATTTTGCAGAGTCAGAAAATAAAACTTGCACCGTTCAAACAGCCATACACACCAGTTAGCTTTGTTCACCCAAACAGAAAACAAAAGCAGAAATTAAATTGGTTACCTATTACGAACACATCACCCTGCTTGCCACAGAGTACCAGCCAATCAAGAAGTAATAAATCAACATTGTTAAAGCCAATTGTGTGGCAACATGATCCTATCAAAAACACTGCCAATCATTTGAAAGAACGGATGGAAATAAAACAATAATTATTTTCATGCAGAGTTATCTCAGTGCAATAATGTGTGATCAGAGTATATGATATATATTCTACTTGAAAAATAGTAAATGTTTTGTTATTTTTTAATGTAATAACTAAATTTGTAAGTTATTAAAATTAGTTGGGTTTTTTTCAAAATTTTTGGAGATTATCATATCCAGATAGCTGTACATCATTAAAAGCAGTTTGTGTTTCAACATTCAAGGTTGAACCTTGCAAGATATCAAGAGTTGCTTCATATGTAGGAAATGTTTGTGTCTGTTCATCTATGCTCGAACCTGTTGAGCTTTGTAGCATACTTAGTGCATCAGAATCTGCAAAAGTTGTCCATGGCAATGTTTGTGTCTGTCCATCCATGCTACTTCCACAGTTGATGCCTTCAAAATCCTCATCAAAAGAGATTGCAGGAATGAGTGTCTGAGTTTCCATATCAACTGAAAAAATCTCATCTAAGATAGTTCTGGTTTGAGTTGCACAATCCATTGTTGATTGATCTAGTTCAAGATAGGATTCCAATGTTTGTGTCTCATTGTCTTCAAACAAATTACCAAATGTTAACCCCCAGTTTGTTTGTGTTTGTGAATGAGTTAGTTCTTTGAAATCTTCATTATCCATTGTAAAGTCCACATCTAGATTATCATCAAAACCATCTTGTAGATATTCTGCAGTTTGTGTGTACTTACATAAGGCCTCTAGATCAGGTCTTTCTGTTGCCATATTTACCATAACTCCTTTATCACTTTGCATCATAAATGAGGCCATGTTAACTGAACATTCATTTTTCTGTTTTAATATTTCACTTTCATCATCAACTGAGCAGCTCTTATTTTGTGGTAATGAGCTGTCATCAAGTACTGATGAAGTTTCATTCAATGTTAATGAGCTCTCATTTTGATTTTTTGATGATTTTTGATTGCTTTGACAACTTGTTTTGTCTGTTTGGGTTTCTACATCAGAGAACATTTTCTTTGGAATAAGTGGTCTGACAACAGTTGAACAATCTTTACTGTAAACAGGCACAAAAGAAATGCACACTCCTTGTCCTTGATCTGGTAATTTTATACTTTCCTGCTCTAGTTGTTTTCCTTTTCTACAAACAGGAAAAAACTTTAATATAAATTCAATTAAATTGTTACTACGATCATATTGACCTAATCTTCAGACCTCTCATTTAATCCAGATGAGAGAACAAGATGATTGCTGCGTCGTGCATGTGTCAACATTGATGTCCGATTATTGAATTCCACACCACAAGAACAAGGGAAGATCATTCCACACATCTTTTCGTGTCGAACACAAACATCATTTCGGCCAAATCTCTTCTCACATTTCTTGCAAACAAATTTTTTTTCCCCATGCACATTCATGTAGTGCTAATAAAACAAAAAAAAGGCTCGCTAAGCGTACATGCATTTGTACCACAGCACTTGTACCACATGATCACTTGGAATAAGAAATACCAACCTGTTTTACGTGAGCTAAACGATGAAAATATCTTCCAGTGTTTTTTCCTCGTACACAGTTCTCAACAGGACAACAAAATACTGTCTTTCTTTTCTCTTCTTTGTCACATACTTGACCTCTCACAAACACATTTTTTTCTGTGCTTGTTTTATGGGTTTTTACCAAATGCATGCGTAGTGCCGAAGTATTAGGTAGTATTTTATTACATCCATCCACCGAGCAACTTATATTCGTTGAAACTTCTATTAAATTTTTAATTTCCGGACAAGTTATTTCAATGTTTTCAGAATCTGCCGCCATCTTGTTTAATGTTTACATTGTACACCAGACCTCCGACGGCGCGATACCATCGAACAATTTATCAGGCAAAAAGTAAACAGCAAAATATGTTCCCCCCGCGTAAAATATTAATTTACAAACACTTTAATATAAGGTAATCTTATTGTAGTTTAAACAGCATCCCATTATGTCGCTAAAGGTTTGCCTTCATCATATTCTGAATCATCTTCCTCTAATCCCTTTAGTCCCTCGGGTAAGCTGGTATCCTCCACGTCTGATCCGGTACCTTCAACAAACTCTTCATAGGTAGTGCTTTCCTTGAACGGCCTGGGTCCAAGAAGTTCGACCATGTCCTCACGACTTAGCACTTCTTGGCTTAGCAATCTCTGTGCAACCTTGAATAGAAAAAACCCTGTGAACATTAAATAAGTTTTACCACGGAGTTGAAGCTTAAGATGTCTTTACATACCTTTTCAACATCGTCTTTATGTGATTCTAAAAGTTGTGTTGTTCTCTCATGAGCTGCCTTAATGAGCTCTCGTACTTGTTCATCTATTAACTGAGCTGTTGCCTCACTGTACGGTTTATCAAATGTTGGTTCACCATCACGAGGCATTTCAAACGAAACATTACCAATACTGTCATTCATACCGAATGTTGCAACCTACATTAAGAGATGAATGAATTCTTTTACCCTCATCTAAAATGATTTATCTCATCGCTCCATGTTTGAAATGAATCTGGCTAATCAAAGTGACATACAGACCTGAGCATAAGCACTTTTGGTGACTTTTGATAAATCATCTTGTGCACCGGTTGTTATTCTACCAAAGAAAATCTCCTCAGAGACACGTCCACCCAACGTCATACACATACGATCAAGCAGCTGCAAGGCAAGTTTTGATAATAAACTCGTAGTCAAAATGATTTAACTTTCTGTTGTCTTGCGGAGTCAATAGAAAATATCATGTACCTGTTCCTTGGTATAAAGATATTGTTCTTTAGGTAAATACTGTGCGTACCCCAGACCTTTCCCTCGCGGAATTATTGAGACCTGGACAGAGTGAAGCAAGTCAATAAATTCATTCAAGCACAGGCTAACCATTACACCATCAAGACGACCGGGGTTACCTTCAACAAGGGATCAGCGTGTTCCAAGAACCAACCAGCAACCGCGTGACCTGCTTCGTGATATGCGACTGTCTTTTTCTCTTCTGGTTGTAAAACCTGGGTCTTCTTTTCCAGACCTACAAATGAAAATGTAATTCTGACACACAGCATGACAGAAAATAACGTTGGCATGGCGATATCAGTTGCTTATCGTACCAGCAATCACTCTTTCAATTGCTTGTTCAAAATGCTTCAACTCAACCTTCGGTGATAGAAATCTGGCTGCAATCAGAGCAGCCTCGTTGCAGACATTGGCAATATCAGCACCTAAATGGACAAAGCATTTTAGTTCTGCAGTTGTTGCTACAATAAAAACATCACACAAGCAAAAGAATGACAATGATCCACTGCAACGAACCCGTAAAACCAGGTGTCAACGCCGCCATTCTTCTGCCAACTGTCTCAATATCAACGTCTGTTTTTAGGGGTTTCAAATGAACTTTAAAAATGGACAATCTTAAACACAATACGCAGTAAATCAGTATTTAGTCTTTGGTTCCTTGCAATGACAAGAACGTACACGTTGTCCTGACAAGACGAGTGTATTTTTTCTCACCTTCCTTTTATATCAGGGGGAGGTAACATTATCTGACGATCAAAACGACCAGGGCGAAGTAAAGCTGGATCCAGAACGTCTGCACGATTCGTTCCTGCCAGAACAACTACATTTGTTGTTGACGTAAAACCTTTAATAAGAAAATATAAAATAATTTTTCTTATAATCTAACATCACGAGATTGACTGGGCGTATTACCATCATCCAACATACTCAGCAACTTACCATCCATTTCAACCAGAAGTTGATTCAAGGTATTTTCACGCTCATCGTGACCACCAAACTGACCACCTTTTCCGCGAGCTCTTCCTACACCATCAATCTCATCGATAAAAATGATACATGGGGAATTCTTGCGAGCTTGAGCGAAGAGATCACGCACCCTCGCAGGACCAACACCTACGAACATTTCCAGGAATTCTGAGCCTGATATACTCAAGAATGGAACTCCGGATTCACCAGCGACTGCTTTGGCAAGGAGAGTCTTTCCAGTACCCGGAGGTCCTGTAAGTATTGCTCCCTAAAACCAAGCAAGATCCTAAGAAAACATAAGAAAACACGAGCAAAATGACAGAGAAAAGTAGTTCTAAAACCGTTCAAACCTTTGGGATTCTCGCTCCTAAATCATGATATTGTTGGGGATTTTTTAAGAAATTTACGAACTCCATAACTTCAAGTTTTGCCTCCTCACAACCAGCGACGTCGTTAAATCTAAATTTTACGTTTGTTTCTTTATTATAGAACTTCGCTTTTGATTCATCCATGCCAAAAATACCCTGAAAAACAACAAAAACTTTATGAGCTTACATATAAATCTCAACAACTACAAGTTACCATATTTCAAATACTGACAATTGAGGAAATATATCTGAAATGTTTTACCCCAGGTCTTCGAGAAACATTTGAGACACGACGAGTGAAGTAAAGGAAGGCACCAATGATTAAAATGGTTGGCGTTAAACGGAAAAGTTGTTTCCTAAAAAAATAATTTTAATGAGTATTTTAATAGCAGTCTTTGGTTCAAAGGTTGTGATAGATATGCAGCCAAGAGTTTAACGCAAAAATGTAACACAGGTATATGCAAAGGGAAAAGTTGATTAAGATACTAAAAAATATTCTAACATCCATTCAAATTCCATAGAATATGTCACTGGAACCCATTGGGATGAATCTATTCCCATTTCTTTCTGAACTTCTTCCAAATGTCGCTCAAAATTTTCCACACTTCCAATGTTGAATGCAATTGAACTCTGGTTGAAAAAAGGAAAATTTATTTGACAAGATGGTCTCTGGTAGGCTACCTCAAGTATCTTATCTGATATCCAAGAACACACAATTATTAACTATATTAAACTCACGTTATATGGATCTCCCTTAAGATAGACTCGTACAAAACTTTTGTTAACCACTACAAGCTTTTCAACCTGTTCAAAACACAATATGAAAACTTTAGAAAGAGCAATTTTAACTTTCTTTTACATTAATCCAGACAAATATATCAGTAAAACCAACCTCTCCTTTTGCTAAATAGTTTGTTCTAAACTCTTGCCAGTTTATTTCACGTGAATAACCACCAGAACTTAACATTAACCATCCAATACCAACACCAGATGCTATGGCCAACCATAGATATTGCTGTGGATTATCAAAAATATCTCTCCACCATTCTTTGCCATTTCCTGGAGGTTTTTTAGGAGCTCCACCACTACCCCCTGAGTTCCCTTCTTTCCCACTGGATGATTCTAAGTGATGGATATAAGTAACAGGTAAAAATATTTTCTGGAAGAAATATAATTGCTTTACCATTGAAGCAATTCTTTACCTACAATGATTGCCTATGGCACATGAAGAACATGTAATGACAGAAAGAATACTTGTTTGATGAATAAAATATCTTAATATGTACCTTGTTTTGGACTCCTCTTAGGGGTTTTGGAGGCATTGGGAAAGAATTTCTCAAAACCTACAGATTAAATGCATTTTATAACAGCAATGTTAATTCTATTCCACCAATTTATGACATCATTGCTAAATATAACCTACCTTTGGGTGGTTTTGAACATGTTAAGAACTGACCAATTTTATTTGAATTAAAATGTCTTGATGACACACAAGGACCAAATATCCTCTAAAATAATTGTATTATAATATTTTACTATGTTTTAGCGTAAATAGATTTGAGTGTTATCATTTTACAACGTGCAAACGTAAATATTTTCAAAATTATTTTATATAGTGTGGTAGTCTACACTACATACATTTCTTTGTAAAACCAAGAGGTTTCTAGGTCCAGCTATCGTCCTCAAAGTAGACAGCATATTGTAAAGTTGATATATGTATCATCACCAATTTATTTGAAGTATAGACGAGGCATTTTGCACAACAATAAACATATTATGTCATCTTGTAAAAACATGACTTGGCAGCCATTACATAATTCATTCCCAGACTCCAAGCTATCCACGGTCAAGCTGATGTTGTACAGAACTTGTGCTAGTTAGTTAGTTAGTTATAGAGTAAAAGTTACATTATCAAAATGTATTCTACAATATTTCAGTAAATCTTTCAGCGACAACTATTAGTGTATATCGTTCCAGAACTAAATCTCGCAAAACCTTATTTGCAATGCATCTTGTCCCTGAAAACAGGTCTCGTGTAAGAACGCTGTTGGTGGCTTGGTGGTACCACATACGAGGTGTTAATCTTCGTAACCGCGTACAGATAATATTATATTTGAATTATTGATGGACACTAGACTTTGTTCTCTCCATTTCGACCTCCATGAGCTTTGAAGAGTTGCTACATCCAGTTCATTAATAGAATTATAAGATAAGTCTAGGTATTTGATATGTTTTGCAAATAAGTTGTTGACATCATTGACTAATTGTAGTGGCGAGGTAAGACCACAGGATGATAAAGTCAAGTGTTGTAGCTTCGGAAGTGTCAGTAATTTCAATAAACTCTCATTCGTTATTTCAGTATTTCCAGATAATTTAAGATGCGTGAAATGTCGATTGGTCATTAGAGCCCTTAAAGAAAAATATTTACAGTTAGTTTAATTCGGGCTTCAGGATAAATTTTTCTTTTGTATTGATGTGTAATATTCACGACATATCTTGATGAATATCTTAAACTAAAACACCACAGTATCAACGACACCATGATGTGCTGGTGGAAGAATAATAATTGATCACCTGAAAAGCTCAAAGACACCTTTGTTTGTAATATTGTTCTGTCCGAGGTCAAGCTCACAAAGTGATGTGAACATCCTCTCAGTTCTGGATAGTAACTTGGTGTGTTCATCTTCAAGGCAACAATCACGACAAATCAGTCTTTTGACACAACAGCTATTCTAAAGCAGGAAATAGGAATACATTGCTTAATAGTGTTTGATGAAAGATAGAAACATTCAAATAAGTGGCCTGAATCGTTCTGAATTTTAGCTTATATCAATATATTATAGATACACAGCAACAACATCTTACCTCGTCTAACGACTGGGTTATGACATCCGCAAAAGCGTGATCGTGAGATAACACAAGTGAGGATAGGTTTAAAGATACAACAGAACTGCAGGCCGTAAGTAAATGAGACAATCCCTTGCTGGGAATTTGATTGTGTGAAATATTTAAATCGTGCAGTTGTCTCAAACCTATACAAGATAAAGATATCAAAAATGATTATTCGCTATGACTGTTAACTACATGCAGACAGAGACATTGATGGTGGAATTTATATAACCGACCTTGTAAAGCCTCGACTGTGGTACTTCGTTGATGAAAGGTATTTCCACCCAAACCACAAGATTCAAGATTTAATATCTGCAGACCTGGGCAGAAACGAAGCATGGTAGCGAGGCTGGGCGAGCTGTGATCCGTGATAGTATTAAACGAAAAATCCAACTGCTTGAGATTCGACCAAGATTTGGAGATCTAAAGATATTTCATTAGTCAATAATTGTTTTGATCAGCGACTATCATGAATATGATTAAATCACCTTCTCGTCTTGGGTTAAAGAAGAAGCGAGCTTTTGCAATCCTTTATAAGTTATTCCGTTACAACTGAGAATAAGAGCGAAGAGATTGGGAAGATATTGCATTGACGCAATTAAATCTTGTAGACCATCGTCACCTGCAATGACAGAGACCTTAATCAGTCCAATACTGGAATATGGCTGCAGTGACTTTTCAATTAACTTACATATTTTGTTTCCAGACAAAACTAGTCTCGTTACTTGATCATGACATTGGAGAGCCCGAAATATTGGACGACACATTGAAGACGTGAGTGACATGTCATTTAGTTGAACATTTGAAATGTGAGGGTCTCCTTCAAAGATACGAATGATCGCAGGAAGAACTTCTAAAATATCATAATAAATGTGAGTTCAAAAGGTTGCCATGCAAAGACTGGTTTGGTATCTATTAAGAATCTTGGTATACCTGTATTGGCCATGACACACGCATCCTCGTAACGTTTTCTTAACGGAGGAAGGTCCCAGTTCTCTACGGTAGCATTTACTTGCTCGTTATTCGACAATACGTCTGTAATGAGGTCATCTGGGGATAGCGCAGCTCCTTCAGTAGTAAACAGGGATAATACGGGTTTTAAACCAGTGTTAGAATGATAACGAAGTGTCGCCTAAAATGAATAGAGTAATAAGCATGTTTTGTGAACGATTTTTCGTACAGCAAAATATCTGATAGTTCACACCTGTTCAGCCAACCATTTAACATTCTTCCTCTCCCCAGGGACACTTGGACACGGAATAAGAAACATTTTCTCTTTTATCTTCACTCGTAATCTCATCGGTGTTCGTGTATCCGGGGTAGATGAAACACCGCTGGACCAAGACGTTGTCGCAGACTCAGGTGGCGTACTGTCCCACGAGTCATTGGGTGATGAGCGACCGCTGACAACGTTGATTTGAGTTTGTCGTAATCTTGTTCTGTTATTGTTTCTACGGCTGTGTTCTTTTTGCGTTGATGTTGGTAAGATTGGTCGCTGAGTGTCGGAACCGATCGTACGTGTTGATCCACTGTGCATGCGCGAGGAGGCAGGGCTGTCACGTGGGGACACTGAACGATTAAGCATGCTCAGTATATTCCCCGATCGCTTTCGTTTTCCACTCTTCTTCGGCATATCATCAACAAGCCAAGCATCTGTTGCACTTGTGACGTACTCTGTTTCAGATACTAAGGCTGCCTGACTCGTCTTCAGGCGTTCTTCCTGAGTGCTACCAGTCATAGGATCAACATAAGCATTTCTAGGAAATGTTCCAGAAATTACGCTGTTTGAAGTTAGGCTGCTTCTTGTTTTAGAAATATCATTAGTTGTTCTAGAGGCTATATTAGGAGTGCCTGAAATGGACGTGGCGTTTGTAGTATTTTTCGTTGATAGAGAACAGAATCTTGTGTTGTCGTTGTTTGATGATGGAGGATGGTTTGGAGCAATTCTTGTACGAGTTGCCTCAAATAATGGACGTAGAGCACCAGTCTTGGTTGCTGCGGTAAACATGATGTGGGTTTACTAACAAACGTACTTGCAGCTTCAGGGCTGTGTAAGCTTTCGTTTATTCCTTGTGAGTCATGAAAATCATCACGAGATGTCTCACTGTGATCTGAATCAATCCTAGTTATCCCCATACAACCCCCACTATCGTTACTTTGACTATCCTCATCGAACCAGGACTCGGATTTTTTTGAAACTTTACTATCTTTTGGTTTATTTTTATCAAAATTCCGAGAACATGAGTGGGAGCTCTCCTCGTCGCTCTCTTCCAGTAAAACACTTTTTCGTTTTCGTGAAATTTTCGCAGTATTTCTGTAAACGCTGTCTGATGAGTTTGGCGTCAACTCTTCATCGCTCTCGTCAGAAAAGTAAAGCTTATCTCTTCTTCTCAATTCAGGAACTTTTCTTGGTTGATGTTTACCAGAACTCACAGCATTTGTTAGAATTTGAACAAGTTCTTCACGGACTTCAGATATTTCCGAGTCAGATTCGTCATCCAAATCATCATCCAAATCATCATCCACATCGTCTTTGGAATTTAAAACACAGTCAAGTGCAGTATCGCCGTCCTCGTTTTGCTCACTTACTGACGCTCCACGGGACACTAACAGTTTTACAACATCAATATGCCCGTTCTGTGTGGCATCATGCAGGGGGGTCATCCCTCGGCAGTGAGGTCCACCTGGATCATTAATATCTGCTCCATTATCCAGCAATAATTCCACGATTTTCGTATTACCATAGTTACATGCCTCGTGAAGAGGTTGCCAGCCAAAATAATCGCGTTCATGGACGCTAATCCCTTTTTCAATGCTGGTTTTAGCAAGATTATAGTCATCCTTGATTGCTGCAACATGGAGGAGTGTTTCACCTTTTTCGTTACGTTTACAAACTGACTTTCGTTTAGATCTTGCTGCAGGGGTCTTGTCTGAGTCATTTTCTTCATCTGAGTCAGAAAATTCCATTTCCTCTGCAATCAAATTATCGTCATCTCCACAAGATTGCTCCTCAGAGTAACTTTCGCTAGCCTCACTGTCTTCCTCAGGGTGGATAACTAAAAAATGACACAAGCTTATAGAATTATGAAAGTAATTTCCCAACTTCTACTGATGCATAAAATCACTAGAACTCCAACCCTAATGTGTCATCCTTGAGGTCACTGATGACTTGACCACATCTTAAATCCTATCTTAATCTTAAATCATTGAATCTCACATTTGTCTTCCATTAACTGAAATAATTCTTCATTGTTATCAGACTTTGCCAGTTTTTCTCTGACATCTGATAGAGTTTCAAGTAAATTAGGCTTTCCTGGACCATTCTGACACTTCTCAGCACACTTCAAGGCATTATCTAATGCTTTTTCTATTTCGTCATCAGAATCACCAGCCAACTTTGACATTACAGCAATATTACACCAGGTATCAAACCGTTTAAGTGGTTCCTCTTCTTGAAACTCTAGTTCTAAACCAAAATATTCTTTGGACTTTTCATATTGTTTATCCTTAAAATAGGACAAAGCAATTGATTCATAAATCTTCGCACTCTCTTTGCCTGATATTTTCAGTCTGTTAGCAAGTTTGTTCTGCTTCAAATAACTATTAATAGCTGCTTTTGGGCATTTTACATCGTAGTACAAATCTCCAAGATCTTCATATGTTTTCATTTGGGTCTCTTCTTCAACACCAGGTTTGAAGTTTTCTATTCGTTCTAATAGTCGAGTGCCCTTGATAGCATTGACGAAATGCAAACGTAGTTCATTTATAATATTTTCATGCTTCATGGTTTTAAAACACTTCTTCAAGATATTTTTTGCAGCTTTAAAGTCACCTAAACGAAGAAGTACCTGTCCCATCTGAACAAGTGTATCTGCTTCATCAAATTTTTTCCCCTGATGCTGAGCAACTTTTCTTGCTTGTACAAAACATTGCAGAGCTTCTGCTGGATGATTTTCATCACGTTTTATCTCTCCAAGAGAAAAATGACATCTGTATTCAGTATCTTTTAGGTTTTGACTGGTTGCGATTGCTAATGCTTTTTCAATATACTTCATACATTTCTTGCTGTTTCTAAGATGATTATTAACTAGACCAAGATTCAAATATAGTCTCGCTCTCATTTCCAACAACTCTTTTTCTGTCACAATATTTCGAAGTTGGTCACACAATGCCAAACTTTCCAAGAATGCAGTTTTTGCCTTTGTCATACCAGAAGTTTCCATAGCTGAAACGAAATAAGTTCGTCCAATTGTTGCCAATGCACGCTGTTCCTCAACAATATTTGATGCCTTTCTGGAAAGCTGTTAATAAAATTACATCATTAGCTGACACCTGTTTCCACCCTCTTTCCAAATCAAATTCAAACCCAACAATAAAACCTTACCAATAAATATTCTTTTTGATGAAACAAAGCTTGCTCAAAATTTTGAAGTTCACATAGGCACTCTCCAAGTTTTCGATGTGAGATTGCTACTGCAATGGAGTCTCCAATACATTCTGATAGTGTTAATTCTCTTTGGTGTTCTTCAATTGCTTGTTCATATAACCCTAATAAGATCAAAATTATTTGTTAGATAAAACCTGTGATTGTCTAACCTTGAAACACAGAATCAATTGCTCAGAAATCTTGGTTATTTCAGGTTGCTAATAAGAGCTTTGGGTACAAATTTTGCCATAACCACATTGCAATACAATATTTAAATATTGCAGGACATTAGTTGGTTTATAGTGATCAAATTATCATCTGGTATAGCATTAACAGAGTCATGCAAAATATGAAAAAATGTCAAGCTCATACTGTGTTCAGCCAGTTTCTCTCCAGCAACATTGCATAACTTTGCTTCTTCAGCGAAATCATTATTTTTCCTGGCTTTCTGTTTGCTCTTTTCCAACCCTAGTTTATTACAAGATCAATTATTATATCAACTGTTTAGGAATTGATAACACTTGTAATATTCTACATAATAAGACACTCACCTTTTAGAAATTTCTGCAATTCTTTATCCATAATCAAATAGTTTATAAAACATGATAAAAGGATTTTTTTCACTATTTCTTCAAATTTTACTATTTTTTTTTAGTTCGGAAACTTCAAGACTCGGTTACCAAGCACCGAAACACTGAGCTGCGTTTTGTGACTGGATAAACCACTGGGATAAACTCACAAAAATTATTCTAACACCATTTTCGACCCCACCTCACCCCTGCTTTGAATTACTTTGAAACGCGCAAAATGCAATTTAGAAATCTTTAGGAGAATAGAAAGTTAAAACCTACAAATGTACATAAAAAATATATACAGTATTTATTTACAGTAAAAATCACTTAAACATTTTCTTACAATTAATTAACAGAAGTCACAAACTTCATCAGAATGGTATGAGGTATTAACATAGCTCTGTAGATCAGTCACATCTAAAAATAGATAATCATTTTGCTAGATGTAGAAATTATTGGTCCTGGAAGGAAAGGATCTTAATTAGGGATAAGAGTCACATCATACAAATATCTTACCCAACTCTTTCCATTCCACCTGGCTTGAATTACTTGGTGCACTTTCAGTGGTTTTACTTAAAGGACTTTCTTTTCCTGACTGATTGACCAACTCTTCTCTATCCATATTTTTATCAATTTCTTCTTCAGCAAAGAAATCTAGGACTAACTTGCTTTGAGAAATGCTTTTTCTTAATTTCAGTAGTTCAAGCATATATTTATTCAATCCTGGCTTTCTTTCCTGCGCCAAATGAAGATCATCTCTTTGAAAAATCTTCCTTCCTAAACCACCAATAGTGAACACATGCTATTTTCTTTATATAAACAATATACTGTTATTGTGTCTTGATATATAGATAAATACTTGCCTATATATACTTAATACAACAAAATAACATGCCTGGCAAATAAGGCACAATTCTTTCATATCCATTTTTCCCACTTTCCACGGGAAATGTATCTAAGATAGAGCACTGAAGCTCAAAGAAATCTTTGTATTCTTTAGTTATTTCATATGACGCATTCTCTCCCTTAAATTGGCTTTGTACGGTAATAATAAACACTGGTTTGGATTTTTTACCAGAAATTATTTCACGAATATCACAAATGGATGCAGAGATCTCATGTTTCGGAAAATTACTCGAATTTCCGTCGCAAACTTCACTCATAATCCTTCGAACCAAACATTAAAAAGTTTTATTGTTTTGGCAACGTAATTCTGCTAAAAAGGGGCGTTCCCGGAAACCGCATTCCAACAAGCAATAATAAATGCACGTTTTTAAATAGATTATTGTCGCATAGTATGCAATTTGAATATTTGATAGTTTCGAGATTGATCGCGCCAAATTGAGAACGCAGAAAAACGTCCAAAGGTACGTTGAAGAAAGAGAAAGTTGGACCAGAGTTTTCTGTCATTCCTACCTTACCGAACCATGCAAGAGTCACCCACGCGAATGTAATTAGCCCCTGTCAATCGAGGTCTCTGTCTAAATTTACAATAAAATTAAAAATAAATTGACAACAGTAAAACAGGCGTTGAAACATATCGTTAATAAAGTATCGAAAGAATACTTGTCGTCGTTTATACCGGCGGAGGAAGTGGTATATTTTGAACCATGCAAAATCTCATTCTTTCGCGGTGGCAAATAGCATATGTAAAAGTTTAAAATAAAGGCACGGTCTGGACAAACATGTGGGACAAGATAGTACATTAATCAGTAATAAAATCAATTTCCTGAGGAAGCTTATAAACAGGACGGGAAAGGCGACAAGGGCAAGGTCACCCCCGCCCTTGACATCTTGACAATGATCACGTTTCCATTTATGGAGCGCGGAGACTGGAGACAACATCAAATATTTTGGCAACGAAGGTCGGAGTTTGTGGAAGGGGTTTAAAAATCTATTTTTTAGGCACTTTTGTGCGGTTAATGAAATTGGATGACTGGGGATCATACACTCCGAATACTATTCTGGCCTGAGACGCTGTCTTGAAGAAAAATTCAAAGAATAAAGTATTCAAATTTTGAGTTGAAATCATGCCTGGCGATCGTTACGATGGCGTCTGGGTCGACGAGATGGATGGGCCTGAACGACACGAAAGAGCGAAGAAACGTCGAGCTGAACAGCTTAAAAGATTTGAAGCACGAGAAAGTGCATCTAACGATGAACCGAAATCTAAAAAGAGAGCTAAAAGGCAGATAAATTTCACTTCAAATATTGTAATGCTTGAGGCCGCAACGAGGGAAGATCTTGACGAAGGTTTGTGATTATTTGCGCTTCAATATAACACAGAATTATAAAATTTCTTTCCGGCGCTATAAAAACTTTATCAGAAATATCTACTAAATTTTTATTGCCGTCGATTAGTTTTATATCGATAAATTCACAAGGGCACCTGGTAATGACGTTAACTTCGCAAGTATGTAATCTTAACAACTTACAACAAATTGTTTTGATTCTGTCTAGTGGTCAATGTTGATGTTGTATTTTCATGTGTTTTTTTTTATAGTTGCCAGCCTGTTAGAGAACGGAGTTAGCCCTGATCTGGCCAACGAAGATGGCTTGACGGCGCTACATCAGGTCAGAAAGGATGGTTTGTTTACAAACACCAACAGAGGATTGTAAAACTTGAATCGATAATCGTCTTTATCGTCCGTACAGACTACAGATTGCATTAGGCTAAGCAAGGGATACCTGTCTACAACATCACAGTCCAATATCTTCACAAGTGTCATGTTCATAATTCCACACCTTTGATAGAACCTAGTTGATTCTATACAATTTAAATGTCGTTTAGTACGATTTTAAAAGTTTCGAAGCGTTGTAGACGACAAAATCCGTCTTTCAGACAATGAAATACAATCCCTTATGTTTATTTATCGATAAGGACATGTCACGCCACTACAGCTAAACTTGGATGACGGTTTTAAATATTCTCGTTTAATATTTCATACAAGCTGGGTAATACTCAAGTGCAGATCTAAATCTATATTTGAAAAGTAGCTTTTTTGAATACTTTTATATACGACAAGTAAACACTCAAGCTGCATGACTTATAAGGAAAGGTTTGAAAGATCATGTTTGATATCTTTTTTACTTGGTTATCACATGGTCATGTGCTTGAGCTAGGCATGACACATAAAAATTGCTACAGTGAACCAATAATTGTTATATTTTTGCCAATAATTGTTACATTTGGATGTCACACTGGCCACAGACATTAACATCACTCAAGCATAATATTATTTGCATGTGAGAAGTATTATCTTGAATATCCCATTATCAAGAGTAGATTTCAGCAAGCATAACACATGGTAACAATTACACAGATGTCAACACTTACAAGTAGAAAATTGCCTACTTTGCATAGTGGAATCTAAATATTGGCCACTTACAGTGACAATATGTTTTCCAGAGTTGCATTGATGGCTGTGATGATATGGTGAAATATCTGATTGAACATAAAGCCAATGTAAATGCATGTGATAATGAACTATGGACACCTCTCCATGCAGCAGCTGCGTGTGGTCATTTATCAATCATAAAATACTTGTTAAAAAATGGTGCTGATATTATGGCATTAAACCTTGATGGTAACCTTCCTGCTGGTGTTGTTGAAGAAAATGATGAAGTTGAAAAGTTCCTTGATAAAGAAATGTTGAAATTAGGTGAGCACGTGCCACACCTACACTTCTCCCATCCTTTACCCAACTCCTTACACATCAGCTTAGCCTAACTTCCCCCATTAGTTTCTTCCTACCATATGAACTACCAACCCTGTCATATTAACTAACCCTGCCTACATTTGGAACCATCATCCCATATTAGCCATTCTATATCATATTAGCTACCCCCTCAACAATCTTGTCACCCTTTTATACACCTTCCCCACATTACCAACTTCCACATTAACTGTATTACTGTTCCACACTCTCCTAACCCCAGGTTATGATGAAGCAGCAATTGAAGAGTTAAGATTGAACCAAGGAAAACTATTGCTGGATGATTTAAAAGATTCTGTTGCCAAAGGAAGGAGTTTAGATATCCAAGATGAAGATGGTGCCACAGCTGTGAGAAATCAAATGTGTAAACATTATTTTGAGAGGAAGGACCAGACCATAATATCAAATTCACCCTTTCTTTTAGTTTCATGTTGCAGCTGCTAATGGTTGGACAAATGTCATTGATTTCTTGTTGGAAAATGAGGCTGATTTTGAAGTAGCTGATAATGATGGCTGGCAGCCAATACATGCTGCAGCTGCCTGGGGACATGTTAGTGAGATATCTTCAATAATATCCTAGAACCTCTGGCTACCAGAGTAACTAGTTACCCAAACTCTGGATAATCTCATCTGCTGATGTTATCAATTTGTTTCAGGACACAATCCTAGAACTTCTTGTTGCAAGCGGAGCAGATCTTGATTCGAAAACAAAGGATTCAAAGACACCTCTAGGTATGATTCAGGTCCCGTGCAGGAGGATTCTACCTTTACCCACTTGTGTGCCCCTGCCTATCTTGTTCAAAATATTTTATCATTCATCTCAGATTTAACTGAAGAAACGGAAATCATTGAACTGATTGAGGAACTAAAGACAAAAGAGGTAAAATATCCAAGAAAAGGAAAAGGTGTCCGAAGAAAGAGAAGTAATACCTCCAAGTAAGTTATTGAGACTAAAGCATTAGAAAACGATATGAAATACAAAATGAATTGAGAATGTAAGGTATACTGTGTTAACAGAAGTTGTTTCTCTTCGTAAACAGTTCGTCCATCAAGAGAACAAGTATTCATGAAAAGAGTGTGCTATCACATGCTGATACCAAGGCTGAAGGAGCAGCATTAATGATGCAACTACAAAATAACGTAAGTACCCTCGGCTCCATCAACCATTCGCACAGCGACAGATAGGGAAACAATGCAGCCTTGTTAGTAAACTTCATAGTTCTTTACCTTCGTTGTAGGAGACAAGTGAAGTTAGTTCACCAGTTCAAAACACGTCAGTGAACACATTCGATAAGCAAAGCACAGAATCTCGTGATGAAAATAACTCCTCAGGTTACATCAGCGAGGGAAGTTCTGACACAAAAAATGAGGAAAAACAGGAACTGATTAAAACTTCTGAAATAACTGTTAACATGAAAGAAACGACTCAGGAAGACAAAGAAAATAACGAGGAAACTGAACTTAGAGTGCAAACTGGTGACTCTCAGCTTAAGGTTGAAACACCAAGTGAGACTAAAACAATCCAACACTCACCAATCCCTAACAAACCTCCCCGGAGAGGAACAGGGAATAATTCCACAAGACTTGATCCTCAAGCTTATATTAATTTTGAAATTGAACCTGCAAAAGGCAACAAAAAAGCAACGAAGACAGAAGTAGATGAAAATGCTGATATTAAAGAAAATATTCCGAAGGATATGAAAGAAGAAACCAAATCAAGCTCAGCACAAAATACTGAACCAAAAACGAAACACGAAACGCTCGTTAATAACGATGAAAACACGAATAATAAAACACGCTCTCTACAGGAGACCAAAGAAAGAAATCAAGTTGAAAAACGCACGACGTCAACGTTACCGAAGTTGGCTTCGTCGGACAAACGGAAAGCTCCGGAACCTCCTGGCGATGCAACGAATGCGAAACAAAGTTCTGAAAATAATTCAAAAAAAGGTGAACGTAGTTGAAATGCTTTTAACGTTTCTGGAGTGTCAAAGACTTTGAGAAATATTCTCCATTCATAAGTGGGATTCATGAAAATTGCCCGTCTTCCCACTTGATAATTTTATTCCTCTTTTTTAAGCTAACAGATTACGCTCAAGAAGTTCAGAAAGCTCAACAAAGAAAAAATGTGTCATCCTCTAGTCTTCAAACAAACAACACTGCCAAAGATCAACCAGTCTCGACGAGTAGTAAGTCAAGCCAACGTGGTTTCAGTTTGCCTCGTAAGACGTGCTGTTCCGTGATGTAAGAGGATATGTGTGAATATAAAAGTTGATTTCTTTAAGAAAAAATGGATATCTGTTGATTTACGATGGTCTGTGTGTACGAATATAGAACGGACTGCTATTGAGATCTTCCATGCTCAGAATTCTTGACGTGCGTGAGGAGCTCAAAAGATCACTTCTATATCGTTCTATCATTATTCTATCGAATTGATATTTAGTTTTCATTTTCTCAACTATAATTTACATTAGATTGTGCGGAATATGACAAATGTATCATACACTTTTGTATGTGAAGAATTGTGAATGTCCCCATTGGACATTGAAATCGAAACTATGGACTTGCATTGTCTACTATGGACAAACCCAGATATTCTGCAGTGGTTCGTGGGGATACAGTAGATTTCAAGAGAATATTTCCTATCACGTCTTTAGCGTTTAAAGATGAGAATTTTATTTTATAGACAGTGTGTATTCTTAAATAAAGAATTCATTACAGTTTGTTTCCTAACACTTGATATGCATTCTATATTTCTAATATGCAGCCTAATATGCAGCCTAAAATGCGTTAGACCGTCTTTGCGTTTGTAAAATTGTCCATATGTCGTCGTTGGGAATGAAATTACAATTCAAGCTAGAACGATAGACTACTTTGCGTAAATATTGTTCAGGTTTTCGTAAAGTATTTTGTCTTAGTCTTAGGTACCTTTTTGTTACTTTGAAGGACTCCATGAACTACGTTCCACAAAATTTAATCTCTCCAGATCACTTCCACTTCATCAGTGCGATATCTGCATTAAAATAAATGGTAATCATTGGTGTTTGAAGTCAACAAGAGTGTAATAAATCCTTTTAGAAGTAGACTTCGTCATTTAACATTTAACATACCTTTGTGTGCACCAAGTATCTTCAATAGGTGTTACATGACCAGCGCGGAACATCTCCCAGCCTGCCTGTGCTATCATCACACCATTATCAATACAATATCTTTCATCTGTTGCATAAACTGTCGCTCCTCTTTCACGAGTCATCTCAGCTAAAAATATGAAAATTATGATTTCTAACATCATCCTTCACCAAGGTATCTTCCACTTTGGGAATCACTCTATCGAAACTACTCTTACGTCCTGAAGATTTTCAAGTTTTTACAGGTTTTTTAAAGCTAGACTATCACCAGTTCTATCCCGGATAATTCTATTGTTACTCCTCAAAATTAGGCAAAAACAAATTTACCCATCATTTCTTGAAGTCTTGTATTGCCTGAAGTGGAAATCTTGAATTAATGAGATGGCACAATGAGAATTATTTCAAGTGTAGTAATTTGCAAACTTTGCTATATACTTACAGCCAACTCCACCAACAATAAGAACTTCATTTGAATTACAATGAGCCATTGCTCTTTCTATGGTAAAAATGAATTGTTTTTAAAAATGAAATAGTTTTCACTGCAATGAAAACTATGACAAACACAACTATCAAATAAAATAATTTAAAAAGGATTTAAACTAACCTGTTGTTTCAACTAACATTGCAAACACTGTTTCCTGAAACACAGAATGCTTCATTTTCAATTAAGAAGAGAGTATAATTAAGCAGGTAGACAGATTCTTTACCTGAAGTGAGAAACACAGATCTTCTTCAGAACACGCTCCTTTTTTTAACAGATTATGAGCTGTACTCTAAAAAATGGTTTTAGGTTTCATGTCATTCTTTGAAATCAATTTAACAAAAAGGAAATAGCTTCCATGCTTTGTCCTGAAATTTGCAGAGAGTGCAGCAATAACACAAACAACTATTACCTCAATATATGACAAAATTCCTGAGAATGAAACATCCATTCCTTTTACCACATAAGGTAATTCAATGTACTTTTTACCTCTGCAATGACATAATGCCAGTTATTTTCCATATTTTCAAAAGATTAGGAATTATCAAGCAATACTTAGAAGTTACCTCTTAGCCATTTGTTCAATATTGTATCCTGGACTTGGATCATTAGACAACTAATTGATTAATAATATTTTTGAATGAAATTCTTATATTGTGATATTAGAATGAACTAAGATAAATTTTCTAGGATCCCTAGGTAGTAATCTACACAGAAGTTGGCTATGCAGGTACCTTTAGAACTCTAGCAAATCTGTCCAAGCAATTACCAACAGCAATATCAATTGTTTCACCAAATATGCGATACCGTCTTTGAGAATATGCAATGACTTGTGTATTGCCTCCGCTGACATAAAGAACTATAGGATTATTAGCACCAGTTATTAATCTTCCCATTTCAATGTGACCGATACAGTGATTCACAGCAACAATGGGTTTCTTCCAGAGTTGAGATAATGTTCTGACAACAACAGCAACTGAAACCAGAGGAGCTCCCATGCCTGGACCTGTCAGAACAAAAATATTAGGCCTGGATCTGGTGGGGGGTTGTGGTTAGATTAGAAAGATATTTACCTTTAGTGTAACATAAACAATCAATGTCTTGCGGCTTCACTTTTGCTTCTTCTAATGCTCTGTGGGTGGGAATATTGATGTTAGCACAAAATTTTTCTTTGCAAGTTGTAGTTAATAACTTTGCATAAGGGATTCAAATAATTACTTTTGCAAAATATCCAGGATATGTTCCTGATGATGTTTTGCTGTTTGTCCCGGGAGAAAACCTGTAAAAATCAGAAACGCAGAGATGATTTTTGCACAATTGTTACATGTTAACTGAAACAGGTTGATGGGTCTGCAGATATTTTGTTTTCATATCTATATCTGCTGGCAAGACCGAACCATGGTCATTAGGACAAACTGGAGGAAAAAAAGCCCTCTGTCCCTAATAATCAACAAAGGTATCACCAGCTAATTACTTGCAAGTGCCTCTGGGCACTCTTTGCTAGGGACTGGGTGGAAGTATTTTGTCACCCTCTTCCCACCCTTGATATCAAAAGGGATGTGGGTTACACAACCCAGCTAGGAGTTAACCTTATTGAAAATCCCCGCTTTACACTTACTAAATTATATACTTTTCATACCTTGCCCGGGGGGTGTGATATATGTTTTCCTCACATTCGACAGAACTTGACCATCTTGTATTATTCCAATACCAATTTTATTTGCACTTCCTTCGAATCCAATCGCAATTGTCATTGTCAAATTTTACAACACTCACTTAACTCAGTTTTTATTCATGTCATGAGCATAAATAAATAACGAAAATCCAGAAAATCTTAAACTTTCTGCTCAACCCTCATTTCAACTCCATTTTCGCGCAGAGTATAGTTAAACGTCATGTAATACACGATTATACAGCACTGACAATACACAAGTTACACAACAGTATTTATACTTCTACAACACAATACAACAATATAAAACTATACACCAGTAACACCACAATAACAATACAAAACTATAATAGTATACTTGAATCATTTCCCTGTCCACCCCTTCCCTGTTTACTGCAAAAGATGTACAAGAACAGAAACACTTAGCCTGCAACGCAGACTATATATTGGGGTATATATATGCGTTGTGTTTGAAATTGATGCGTTGTGTTTGAAATTGATGCGTTGTGTTTGAAATTGATGCGTTGTGTTTGAAATTGATGCGTTGTGTTTGAAAGTGATGCGTTGTGTTTGAAATTGATGCGTTGTGTTTGAAAGTGATGCGTTGTGTTTGAAATTGATGCGTTGTGTTTGAAATTGATGCGTTGTGTTTGAAAGTAATGCGTTGTGTTTGAAATTGATGCGTTGTGTTTGAAATTGATGCGTTGTGTTTGAAATTGATGCGTTGTGTTGAAAGTAATGCGTTGTGTTTGAAATTGATGCGTTGTGTTTGAAATTGATGCGTTGTGTTTGAAAGTAATGCGTTGTGTTTGAAATTGATGCGTTGTGTTTGAAATTGATGCGTTGTGTTTGAAATTGATGCGTTGTGTTTGAAAGTAATGCGTTGTGTTGAAAGTAATGCGTTGTGTTTGAAATTGATGCGTTGTGTTTGAAAGTAATGCGTTGTGTTTGAAATTGATGCGTTGTGTTTGAAATTGATGCGTTGTGTTGAAAGTAATGCGTTTGTTTGAAAGTAATGCGTTGTGTTTGAAATTGATGCGTTGTGTTTGAAATTGATGCATTGTGTTTGAAATTGATGCGTTGTGTTTGAAATTGATGCGTTGTGTTTGAAAGTGATGCGTTGTGTTTGAAAGTGATGCGTTGTGTTTGAAAGTGATGCGTTGTGTTTGAAATTGATGCGTTGTGTTTGAAATTGATGCGTTGTGTTTGAAAGTAATGCGTTGTGTTTGAATTGATGCGTTGTGTTTGAAATTGATGCGTTGTGTTTGAAATTGATGCGTTGTGTTTGAAAGTAATGCGTTGTGTTTGAAATTGATGCGTTGTGTTTGAAATTGATGCGTTGTGTTTGAAAGTAATGCGTTGTGTTTGAAATTGATGCGTTGTGTTTGAAATTGATGCGTTGTGTTTGAAATTGATGCGTTGTGTTTGAAAGTAATGCGTTGTGTTTGAAAGTAATGCGTTGTGTTTGAAATTGATGCGTTGTGTTTGAAATTGATGCGTTGTGTTTGAAATTGATGCGTTGTGTTTGAAATTGATGCGTTGTGTTTGAAAGTAATGCGTTGTGTTTGAAAGTAATGCGTTGTGTTTGAAATTGATGCGTTGTGTTTGAAAGTGATGCGTTGTGTTTGAAATTGATGCGTTGTGTTTGAAAGTGATGCGTTGCATTTGAAAGTAATGCGTTGTGTTTGAAATTGATGCGTTGTGTTTGAAAGTGATGCGTTGTGTTTGAAATTGATGCGTTGTGTTTGAAAGTAATGCGTTGTGTTTGAAATTGATGCGTTGTGTTTGAAAGTGATGCGTTGTGTTTGAAATTGATGCGTTGTGTTTGAAAGTGATGCGTTGCATTTGAAAGTTGCGTTGTGTTTGAAATTGATGCGTTGTGTTTGAAAGTGATGCGTTGTGTTTGAAATTGATGCGTTGTGTTTGAAAGTGATGCGTTGTGTTTGAAAGTGATGCGTTGTGTTTGAAATTGATGCGTTGTGTTTGAAATTGATGCGTTGTGTTTGAAATTGATGCGTTGTGTTTGAAATTGATGCGTTGTGTTTGAAAGTGATGCGTTGTGTTTGAAAGTGATGCGTTGTTTGAAATTGATGCGTTGTGTTTGAAATTGATGCGTTGTGTTTGAAAGTGATGCGTTGTGTTTGAAAGTGATGCGTTGTTTGAAATTGATGCGTTGTGTTTGAAAGTGATGCGTTGTGTTTGAAAGTAATTCGTTGTGTTTGAAAGTGATGCGTTGTGTTTCGACAGGTCGGTTTCGACTGACTAGACAGAATTTTGCAATTAAATAAAATTATTCACTTGACTTTCTTTTCAATTGTTATTGATGAAGTGAATCTGCTTTGGTCAACTTCTTGCTATTAAACTGTGAGTTAGCAGGTTTCCATGCAAACTTTAGGAATGTTATTCCAGTTTTAAATTTTAGGATTGTTCACTATTATGGAAATAATTTGATATTATAGGTATTGATAATAGTTAAAATTAGGATGGTCTACAATTAAATGTTAGATATCTGTCCTTAGTGTCCCATCATAGAGGCCACAGCATTAAGAAGTGGATTATCAGAATCATTACCAAACAGGCTCAAGAGAAGTGCAACTCCATAACCTGTGCCATGCTCTCCCTGTCAGAATAGAAATTTAAAGTTCCTTTTTTAGAAAAAGATTTCAATACCAATATTGATTATGTTTCATTAAACACTGTCATTCGGCAAACAAAGTTTAATCCCAAAAACCCTCCTCATGTATACATGTAGTGCTCATGTATGTACGTACATATATACATGAATGAAAATCAACGTACCGATACAGCGGTTGCAGCAATGTCAAAATGCACCCAATCACCAGGGAAATCAAAACCCAGATGTGCACCTAAATGTGACCATAACATTCATTATTGTTTAAGTGAATAAACAACAAAAAATGTAAGTGTTTCATACCAATAAATAATCCTGCACATGAACTCTGTGCATTATCACGGTTCTTGACAGAATTCTTCATATCTGCCACAGCACTAGAAAATTCCTGGAAATGCAGCTCAGGAGTGTATGGTAGAGGATGCTAAAATGATAAACAGAAACTTTGATGAACAAACAACAGTGTTTAATGGCAATGAAATAATAAGTAGCTTCACACAGTACCACAAGATCTCCACTACATCTTCCAGCAGAGACTGAAGCCTTCTCCCAATTTTCACTATTAGTTACAACAGCTGCATGATATTGTCCAGTTGCCACACCCTGAGCACCAGTCAGTGTTGCCATGTCAACCACTATGTTAGCCTTTAAATCTTTTGCTGCATAGGCAACCTAAGAAATGTTTAAAATCTCATAGTGGTGTAGAGGTATCACTTTTCCTGTAAAATGTAATGGAAACCAAAGGGGTTACTTACTCCATCACCTAGAGCCAGTCTACCCTCCGCATCTGTGTTATTTATTTCAACAGTTCTAAAATAATATTGATCAATCATATTACCAATACATCATTAACTGAAATTAAGCAAGATGAGACTTACTTTCCAGAATAAAACACATGAATATCATCAGGTCTAGTGGACAGTGGTCCTACAGCATTCTCAGCCAGACAAAATAATGCGTGAAGGTTCTTTTTAAAACCCTGCAAATTTATGTGATGATATAGTCAACGTCAATGTAGAATGGACCCTAATCTTTAGTTCTACCTTGTTCTGCTAGTACTTGCTATTTTAGACTTGAGCAAAGAGAATTCAACAATTGCTCCTCACCTGTTTTACTGCTGCTCTGAAAGCTCCTAATATAGCTGCAGCTCCACCACAATCTGCTTTCATTCCTGGCATTGCTGTCTAAAAATTAAAATCTCAGAGAAGTCTACAAATGTTTTTAAGCTTTTCCAACCTTTTTTTTTACCTTTCCTTTGATTGAAAGTCCACCAGTATCGTAGACAATTCCTTTTCCAACCCAAGCAATATTTTCACTGGTTTCAGCTCCTTCAGGTCTATGACTCAATATTGCCAAAGCTGGAGGATGTGTTGCTGCTTTACCAACACCATAAAGTCCTAAATATCATCCAAAAACTCAGTCAAGTCAGTCTACTTGACTTAAACAACATAATCCTTTTCTCACCTCCAAAGTTACGTTTTGCAAGTTCTTCCCCACGGATTATAACGGGTGTAATCCCTAATTCATTACCAACTTTGATCACCTCCTAAAGAAATGTTTAACATGTAAATTATCTAGTGTATATACTCATTAATTTTTCTTACAATTTGTAAAACATTTTACAATACCTCCACAAAAGCATCTGTATGCATCTCATTGCAGGGTGAATCAACAATCCTAGCTGCTAGTCTTATGCCTTCAGCTGCAGCAGTTAGACAAGAAATTTCTGCATCAGTTGGTGGATTAGTATTGTCTCCTTTGAAACAAAACTCGACTGTGATTGTCGACTGTCTTTTTGCAGAGAAATAGTTTTTGCGGGAATATAGTGGAAAAGCACGAGCTACGGCACACCCAAGTGCAAACATATGACTTCTTTCACAAACAATCTGGAATAGTACAGGATTTACTCCATCAGACAACCAATGAATGAATTATTAGTACCAGCAGAAGAGACTAGATTTCAAACAACATGTGTCACTACTCACCAATACTGTACCATCTTGACCACTCATAATGCTCGCTAACAATGCTGTTAGGGAATGAGGCCGACATGGGGAATCATGCCTGCTTGAATGTGATGGTAATGCTCCAATGTATGCTTGACATAACCAGAGACTACAACAATGAGGTTTGGCCATGGATGGTGATAATGACCTTATACTCTCATGAAAAACCTAAGATGTAAAATTTTCATGATCTAAATAACTGATATAATATTTTAAACGATGAACGAATACCTATTTTCAACCTCTTCACTAACACGACCAGAAAACTTCCCAGATACTTCATCAAAATGCAGTTGTTTCAAATAAGATGGTTGACCAGCAATAACTAACTGTTTGTCTTTAGGATCTAGTACTGCGTTCTCACGAGAATACTCTATTTCAACTGTATATCCCATCTCTTTCAATAAGTTACTTTAATAATCTTTAAGTTTTATAAGTTATTTTGTTTAATACAAATAGTTAACAGGCAAAAAATGATCACAATTTAGTCAAAGTACTAATGACGCGATCCGGAAGTAGCCTAGGACAGATCTCCCCCCTGGAAGAAACCCACTCTGTGAAGGGGGTTGAAGGGTGGGTACAGGCACACAGAATAGGAAAATCGAACCCACCACGCCCAAGAACTTACCTTAATTCATCTTCGAATGTTCTAATCGTTCATTCGATCATCATGTGTAGCTTCAACATCGTTTTTCCTAGTCCTTGCAAGAACTGCAAAGGTATGGACACACATTGTCTGAAAGCCATTCATCTGTCATTTATATTTTAAAAACTTTTTGCTTTTAGGGAGTGATAGTTTCTTGTCACACTTATTTGTGACTTTATGGAAACAGCTAGTAACAAATATGCCAAGATCGCGTGCAGATAATATTTCTACTGGTTAGTGTAAAACATGAACTAAATCCTTCAAAGCAATGTCCATAGTCCATACATTAGGTGGGTTTTCCGTATGTTCATTTTAGCGTTACCTGAGCAATTGCTGGTCCCAAATGAGCATCTCATTCAACTACTTCTACCAATGGTGAGTGTACAGTTGATTCCAATACCATGCAGATTGAGCTGTACCTAGTAGACTCTTGCAGATAGACCAACTTGCTTGCAGATCGTGCTATATTCTTTCCGTTGTGAGTTTTCAGGATGCCTCAGAAACGACTGGAGTGAAGAATGAAATATCTGAAACTGAATGGTTCAATCTCGCTGAAGTTGTCCATCATAGCTTGCTTCTGGACAACTTAATGAAAAAATTAAATGCAATCAAGTAATTATTTAGAGGACAACTCACATTTGATTTATGTATTGTGTCATTGAGGATTTTAACTTTTAGCTCGATCAATAAAACATAGCTTTTTATCTTTTCTCGAAGATTCAACGAGTTTGATTATGCAGAGATAATTGCAGAACAATTACACAACATTGCTGATTCAAAAACAGATATAAGTAAGAACTATATGTTAAAGATAATTTTTTACCATCTGCACCATACAATTCATCATGGTACAAATCACACACCAACAAGGTTTCGGTTCATTGACGTGCAATTGTGAATTCATTTAGGAGATTTTTGGAACATTTACTGGCTAACATGTGGCCACCCTCTCTGTATAGAATCCAGGTAATATTAATTATAAGGCTTACAATTGCAGCTAAAGAACAATTAATTTCATATCCGATGTGGTTTTATCAGGTTTACAAGTAATTCCAGTTTTCAATCAGTATCATTAAGCAACTCTTTAATACACACCTGTAGTGACAATACTCCTCTACATGGAGCCTTGAAACGACTCGAGATGTGGAACCAAGCTTCAATCACCTTTGTTTGTCCTACAAATGATTTAGGGTAACATCCTGATGAAACTTGTCAGCTTCCTATATATATATTGCATGTGTATGTTATTAAATATTATTTTTTGTATCTCTTAATATACAGCGAAAGTGAATTCACAGATCAATGGTTTGGCACTCATGGAAGATATGTGGTTGACCAAGATGAGAAAATGCCACAAGATAATAATGTTGTCTGGAAAGGTTGCTTAGAATGTCTTGCCAATGAACAGGTGATTGGAATCTGAATAAAATAGCTTTCTCTTACCCTTTAGCTGTCTTTTAGTTTTCTCATTTAAATCTTTCTTTTCAATATAGATAGATGAAAACTGGTGTCTCTCGAGACTGAGTCCATTTCAACCATCAAGTTTGCAACCCAGGTGCACAAGATGTGTTGACTTCACATGGTCAGTAGTGAATAACTTGATTACACTTACACTTGCTCTTTTTTGGTTACAGCAAAGATGATACATTTTCTGTTGGTGGAAAAGATGAGTATATTCTTGCTGAGGATATCAAGGTCATTTGTGAAATGAATAAAGATGTTGTGCCATTTTGGAGGATCTTTCCATCACAGTTTTTGTTGTATCTTTTATAACCAAATCAGTCAGCTTCAATAAAACCTCTCCAATACATCTGGAATGAGTGCTCAGATGCAACGATTCATTACCTTTAGTTCATCCCATTCGTTTCCAAATCCAGGATGTCACATGAAATATTAACAACTTCGGAGTTCATTCTATGACGCAAAAATGCAAAACTTAACTTGGTCAGATACCACAAGAGTTTGCTGAAGCGAGTTTTCCAAGTCCAAGAAACTGAAGGATTAGATTTTGAAGAAATTTGTAAGAACAAGGTGCGTCGATAATTCATCTTTCTAGGAAATATGTTTTGAATTCATAAAAGATCGTTTCACTTCAAGGAGAATGTAATATTGGCATCAATTGAAACCTATGATAGAAAATACTCAGTTAGAACGAAAAGTACAAAAGATTGGATAGAATTTATGTGCAGTGGATCAGAGGGACCACAAAATGGTAAAAATGTTTTCTCTAATACAACAACAAAACAAAGTTTCCAATTGTGACCAGTGCTAATTGCAAATATAACACGTCGTGTATTTTCGTGTAGAGAAATTATCAAAAAGAAGGTATCCTGTCAACGAGACGTTTTATCTGGCGTTGTACCCAGTTGAAGCTGGGATATTTCTTGCCTATTTTCTCCGAGCTGACGATGCGTTTATCGAGCTTCAGTCCTTGCTTGCTGTTTACCAAGCTATATTTCCCAGCATCAGAGAGAACACAGCCCCAGGTAATCTTTTTAAACACGCGTCATGTGAAAGTGAAGATTATCGTAGAAAGGAAGAAATTAAAGAATTGTTGACATCGTTTTTTTCTTTCAAGAAACAAGCTCGGAATATGAAGAATGTCAGGAACGAAAGTGGCTACAATTACTTGACTTGATTGAAAGGTTCGACCAAATATTTCATTAAGTAAATTGAGATATTCGTGGTATCCACATGGCTGCCCCAGATTTCATCCGAATACCATTTCATTCTTTACTGCAGTTCACAAAGAAGTCCATTAAAGAGCGAGTTTTCACTGGCAGGTAATACAGTCTCTTTTCTCGTATCCTCAGTTTGAAAAATACCTGAACAAAATTACAGTCTGTCTTTTCTTTCATACCTTCAGTTCATTTGGATGCTTCAGAAATGTTAAAACATTTCACCAGAGATGGAAAACCAATGAAGAAAGAACTAAAATCACTTCTCAAAAAGGTGTAGTATATGAAACTGATATTTGAAAGTATTTCAAAATGGTATGGTATGGTATGGTATGGTATGGTATGGTATGGTATGGTATGGTATGGTATGGTATGGTATGGTATGGTATGGTATGGTAACTCAACTCTTTATTTTAAGATTGAAGAGAAACAGCTGGTTTCCACAATGAATCAGAAAGGTTAGAACATTAACTGTTCAAAATGCAATTGTTAGAAAAAGGTTTTATCAATTATTCTTTCCTATTCAGAAACAGAGGAAAGTCATGGAAGAAAGGCTGGGGTGGAGTAAGTCAGATAGAAATTTGAAAGAGTCGAAGGAATACCAAAGACTATTTTGACACCAGAATGCATATTGCAGTGTTCAACATCAGCTTATTTATTTTTTAAGATACTGTTCAGACAAGGCCTTATCAAGCACCATTGGTTCCTTTCCAAGATTGCTCCCAAAACATGAAACGTTGTCAATATGCAACACTCCAAAGACACTTGCTAGAGCTAAGTTACATGACGTCAAACGCAGAGTATCAAAATCAGAAACGTCGAGTATCAATGTTGATACAGATGCCGAGTTGGACGCATCAATGTCACAAAATATTCCATTAGAACAATTAGAAAAATCGACAAAGATAACAAGGTAAGAATAGATTGATGATCTTCACATTTAAGATTAGTCAAAACCTCAGTTTTTAGAAAATATTTTGCTCAGGCAAGAAAGCAGTAAAAGATCATCGACTGATGAAAAGATTCTGAATGCAACGAGACAAGAACAAGCAAAGAGGAAGAGAAGATCGTTTGATGCTAACGAAACAGATAAACCAGAGGGTAAACAATCTATATTAGTAGATGCTAGGAACACGAATTATTGAGTAAATGATTAACCAAATGAACGTACCATTTCACTGAAGACTTTCTCCACGATTTGTGATCATTCTAGTAGAAATTGAAAAAAAACTTTATTTAGCTCCAGATGCCAAGGAAAAACGGTCAGATAGACATAAAAGGGTAGGTATTTACGGTTAAATAATACGGTTAATGAAAGTTGCTTGCATGATTTACGCTTTAGTCGTTGTCTTAATAGACAACCAGCAATGACTTATTCTCTTCACCACCTTCAGCGTTTAGCCCGAGTTGTAAAAAGATGTTTGCTCAAATACGGAGTCGATCCAACAGAAACGTATTTTCCAACATGTTCCGAGAGACTGTACTATCTCTGCAAGAGTTTTTTACAGGTATGACAGATTGATATTTCACAGATATTCAGACGGACTATAATAAAATTTTCACTACATTTAGGATCTAAAGACATCAGAAGGTCTCAATGATGAAATGAAAAGACTAGCGGAGTCAAATGTTGCTACGGTAGAATATAGGTTTATGTACTTCTGTGTAGAGCTACACTGTACACTTACCACGTTGCATTGATCGTTATAGTACCTTGCTTTATGATACGCTGGCAACTTGACTGGTTCTATCGTTTGCCTAGGTTGTTGAATTTGAAAAACGACAACATGCAAGCAAAATTGGTGGAAAAGCAAAGCACAAAATGAAGGATTCATAAATTTATATATTTTCAACACAACAATAACTATCGATTCTATCAAAACTAAATATAACAACGAACTACAAATATTTACCTATTAGATATGTATTATCTCATGATAATGTCCCAAAATTCTTGTCACAGTGATGTATACAAGTTTACAACACACACGCTTTATTATGACGGTGGAGAGGTGTGTAATATAGAGCAATATTACCTTTCGATACGGGGTGATATGTGTTTACATTAAATTATTGATGTACATATGTATAACGCGTGTCTGAGTTGCAAGATACTGATATACAAAACCAACATTTTATAAATGTTTTGTCAGATGTAATTCATGCTCCCACAGGAGATATTCTACAAGATCTCTATTCATTTCGTGTCTACAAAAATCGTTCCATTCTAAAATATACGTATGAAAATACTTCTCTTTCTGCCAATTTGACGTGTTCCCTGGGACCAAGTCTATTCTGGTGCACATGACGTCATAGTTCAGGAGACCTACAGGTGAAGTCTTCAGGCAAACTATGGTTTTTTCTCCAAATATCGTCTAAAATAAAATAATCGTACATTAGCAATAATATTCTTCTCACTTAGGTTGACGTAGTGTTTCTACTGATCAATTCTGATTCAACGTATCAAGAGATCTTCTTCATGGAATCAATCGCTACGAGGTAATTGAGATCTCCCACTGAACGAGTTCAAGGGTGAGTTAGCTTAACTTACCTTCTGGCATTCTGCAACATTTGTTGTTTACGATCAGTCAAAGATGTTTGCCGCTGACCAGTTTGTTCAGCAAAATCAACTCCAAACGTGCCGCGCTCGCTCGCCCTACTCCTCGAACTAGTGTCCTCTGCCTCTCTTTCTTCCAACACTACAATATCCTCAGAAACCGTTGCTTGTCTTTCATCTTCTTCCGGAGTATCAACAGGTGTTTCTTGCTCTTCAACAAGTGTCGTGTCATCACCAGTCACGTCTTCTAATGCCTAAGAAATTTCACACCAAGACAACTTTAGGTTGAGGTATTCTGAAAATTATTGGCCCATTGCAATGATTGTGGTGGCTCTTGAACAATCATGAAAACACGAATACATAAACCTGATTTCTTATCTTACCGGAGCAGCGGGAATATGAATATTCCCCTCCAAGATATTATCACTCGTGATATCCACTGAATGAGTTCTTGTCAGATCAGCTCGTATCACGTGTATTGGTACGTTGGGGAAGATTGCTTGAACTTCATGTGCCTGAGCGAAGATTAAAAACATCATCAAATAATGATGATTGTATTTTCTTAAAGCAATCATACAAGCATTCTACCCACCATTGTATCAATTCTGCTCTCAGGTATCTGTGTTAGCTCATTCGCAACTCTCGTGTGTAAAACTTCAACAGAGAAACTTGGAAACCAGCTTGCAATTTGTCGTCCATCAAAATGAAAGAAATGATTTCTCAACAACGCTCTTCTTGGCAATCTATCTCCTTGTTCACTGGGATCTTTCATTTCTTCTTCCAACGAATGACGACATGTTGGGCAGGAAGAATCATGAACTAGCCAGGAACATAGACAGTCACTACGGGGAAAAAATTAAACATCTCGCTCATAAAAACTTCACCAATTGGTTCTGCATGTTTTGTGGATGACAAATGGAACTAAACATAATTTTCAGCTGAGAAAAACAACAAACCTATGAAATAAATGTCCACACTTCAATTTCTTTGCTTTTTGCATGCTCTCCCAACAAATTGCACACTTATTGTCTGATAATTCTTCCAGCATTTCAACTGAAGCATTCTCAAACCTATATTGGGTGGAAAATAAAACGAAAACATGTCATTTCATTTGCCTGTTGCTAAAATTTCAGCAAGCCCCAAGGCAGATACCCTACCTCTGTCCCACAATCTTTCTCACTCTTATGATTTTGCGATGTTTTGCTAATCTGTGTTTTATATCATGAAACAAAGAACGTAGCTGCATACAAAGCACTAAACTGGCCATACTTAGGAAAATATTGGAATAAATCTACAAAATAAACAACAATTATACTCATTATTCAAATGATTCTTACAAAGTTTTTCACCATACTGTCACACTCACCAACATGTATATATGATAAACAATATCTACAATTAATATTGTCATATCAAATCCAATGTCACTATAATATGCAATTGTTTTGTGGTTCTGTAATGCTGAATTACTCTTTAGGTCCAATAAATGAATGGTGTATCTAAATGGCAAAGTTGTATTTTATTAATTTAAATGACAAAGTGAGTAATATTCTCATGAAATTAATGACTTTGCTTACTTTGTTGCCAGATGGAGGACTTTCAGTGAGAGAAGACTGACCTGAAAATATAATGTATACCGGTGTGAAATAGATGGTGGTAGGATTCATAGGAAATAATATATCAGCTGGCAACATTTGTATCAGTGAATTAATAACTTTACCTCACAAAATAAAAAGAAAAAGACATGAATATCTTTCTGTTGTCCAACATACAAGGAGAGTCCAGTCAATGCACAGCAAGAGAATATGATACCAGTGAGAAGTGCCACAACCTTACCATGTTGTATGTTGGTCGTTGATGGAGAATAACATAACTAATAAAGATTTAGATTCAGTATTACATTCATAAATAATACTTTACACAAATTGAAAACCTAGTTATAAAAAGAATACTCACATATTGAAATCTATCATAACACAACTGAGTAAAAAGTTGAAAGAAGCCAATAATTGTGAACCAAGCGCACCACAGCATCGCTTCATTCATTTGTTGCACATTTAAAACACCAAATATGAAGATGAATTTATAAAAAATGAAATTCCAGAATTTGTCTTTGATGTGCTAAAAAAAGTTAAATCCAGTACATTAGCTTTTTGGTTATTACTAAAGGCTCTACTTGCATACAATACTGCCAAGAAATAACTTATCACCATGTGATATGCTTCAAAAACCTGGTGACATGCTCAAACATTAAATATACTATGATAATTGACTTTCTAGTGAAGGTTTATCATCAAAATGTTGGCTCATAGCCATCTATTATCTGCATTGTTGTTTATCTGTGTCATATAATCCTTCCTCATAAACCCCATGATTTGGCATTCATTGGTTGTTTGTGATAAACTGTGCAAATATATACACACTTTCATTGTCTGATATTTCATCCATTCGATCCTAATTTGTCTTTACAAAGTAATAAATATTACTTAATTATTTGAAATTAACAGATAGTATCAATGTCTGAAAGTATACGTTGCAATTTGGTATAATTATCCCCATCGTAATTACCATACACAGGACTGTTTCCAAAAATAAATCTGGCAAAATTTTGCCTACAATTTACATCATTTTTAGGTAATATACCTGCAATTCAATCGGTCTTAAATCACCAAACACGAATCTTTGTATTATCTTTCCAATCAAGAAAAAACCACAATAAACCATGTTCACGGTAGACTAAAATTAGAAGACATAACAAAATATAATAATGCATTAATGTTACGAGACTTCGACCAAATTAAATTAAAAAAAAGGCCAAAATCTTAATGGAGAAGAAAAAAGAGAACTTACCCAAGTACAAAACGGATCTTTTGCCATACAAGAAGTAATAATTTGCCAAACATTTTGATCTATATCATCCGAAATTTCATTGTTGAAGTTGTAGCCATATATTGTAGCTAAAATAAAGAGCAGTAAGCTGCCTATCGTGTAGGATTTTAGAGAAGGCAGCGGCAGATTATCCAATAATACAACAGCCATGAGTTTAAATATATTAAATCCCTTCGTAAAATACTTTTTAATAGCTCCAATAAATGTGGGAATATTCTGATATTGGAGGGAGGCAGCTTTGTCATAGCTCACCGAACATGACTCACTGATGTTTATCGGAGTGTTTCTTTCCCTTCTTTCCATACACCAAACTGACGTGTCATCATTCCCAATTTGGAGCGAAATTCAAGAAATGTGTTAAAATTTGAGCGGTGGCTATCCTTAATCTCACATAAAACCTGATTCGAACCTTACCATAACCAAATTGATGTAGAAAAATAATAAACACAGAAAGTGAAATTCCGAAAAAAGGCGGAACGTCAATTTGGTGGATGAAAACAACCAAAAAAACTGAGTTCCAAATTGTGGGAAACCACTAATTACTAATAGTGTTGTTTTTCACTGTACACAGATGTAAATGGGGACCCTATATTTTCATCAGTTCAGGCCTCTCTTGACGCTAGGGCAGTAAAACACCTTTGATATATATATTTCAATATTTGATATTCTTTGCATTTATTTGTAAATAGTTTCTCGAACTAAATCCAGCTGAAAAACTTCACTTCCATGTGGAAGCAAGTCTAATTATACATTCAAAATGGCAGCTCGAAAAGAAGTGCTTCATTTATATCGGTTATTACTAAGAGAATCTTATAACTTTACCAATTATAACTACAGGTTAGTATTCTAATGAAAGTTCCAATTGCCTAGTATAAATAGTTTACCTGCACACGTGGATATGGAATTATGAAATGATAATAATACGCCTATATCTTCAATGTGACAATGTCATGAATTGATTCATCTAGATTATACGCTTTACGCAAAGTAAGGGACTGTTTTCGTGCAAATAAAGATGAAACGGATCCTGAGAAAGTCAGAAGTTTCATAATAAAAGCTCATCAGAACTTAGACAGTTTAAAGAGACAGGTAATAATTGTTTATTTGACCCAGGAACCCTTCAAACACAATCCCTCCTACAACAAGGAACCATCACCTCTCACCTTTGGCTAACTTTGTGATTGTATTTCAGACATCACTAAATAAGATGTACGGCACATTTAAGCTGATTATAGAGTCATGACATTCCAGTCACAATGAACTGTATCAAGAAAGCAACAAACTGACCTTCAGGATATGGCGTGGCTTCTATAAAATCTTTCCTCAAGCTTGAATTGCTTTGGACTAGAGGCTGTTTAATGTATTATACTGAATTATTGTGGAAATTAAACAAAATTTCATCTTAATATCAAAGTTGTCTTTACTGCACTTGACCATTAAATCTTCATGTGTGTTTTTTATTATTATTGATTGCATCTTCCATAGCTGCCATTTCTAGTCGATGTTTCTAACCCGTTGCTCCAAAACCAACGTAGCTTAAATCTTTACAAATTTCTTTATTGAAGTCACCAATATCAACATTACTTCGTCGTAAGTTTGGATCGTGTCTTGGTAGATACTGAGCTACGATATAGGTGCATGCTTTATCATGATTGCTTAGTGCTCGTCCAACACCAATCTTCTCTGAACCTCGCCAGACAATCTGAGTAAAATCTTTAACAGGGCTCATTTTATTCCAGGGTGCGTGAGCAAGAAAATCGTAGTTACAAACTTTGGAGTACCTTTAAAACAATAGGTAATATTTTAGGCTGTTTTCAATACCTTGGATAGCAGAGAGGCAAATTTTAATCTAAAAAAATCGTCTTACCAATTTTTAACAGGAACGATGGGTAATACATGTGAATCACAACTTGCGTAAATATTTTCGCCGTATTTTTTTTCTTTGTAACCCAGAGAGTGTTGTAACTGGGACATCCCGCGAATTGATAGTTCCTTGGCATATTTCTGGGCCTGTTCAGTTAGCTGTGGGTCCAACAGCAAGTGTTGGGAATGATGCATCTGACGATATTCGTTGTGAGCACCCATCACTGCCTCGTTGAACGAATCTGCATCGAGGAAACGAAAAACATCTTTGTAGAGAAGGTTATACAGCTACAGCCTGGTGATGCAGTGAGCGTTCAACACGACTGATGAAATGATAGTTGCTCCACGGTTGTTCATGCAAAACGTACAACAACCATGACTACACTAGCTTGAGCGTTCAATTTTTAAAAACGCTTCATGAGTTGGGCTTGCATCGTAAGCAAAATAAGATAACATGACCTAAAACGTTTGCTGAACTCAGAGATACATGCATGGCCATTACAGAAACGGTCATATCTTACTGCTGTCTGATATCCCATCGGTTCCAAATACGTCTTCCATAGGCTCCTCCCGGCGTGCGCCAATGATACCTTGCATTGACGCTATGCAAACAAATATTTAAATGAATAGCATGTTAAAAAATGTGAAGAGATATGGTGCATCTCCTCCACTTACCTACAAGTATTGTTGCAAGGCTCAGCAATTGAGACATTGTAAAGTTTACTACCAAGACAGACCTGAAATAGCGATAACATGTCACAACTAAAACCCATTCTTGGCTTTCTCGTGGTAAACAAAACTACGTTTATTTCTGCAAGCATTCTCCAAAAAAAGCAATAGAAAGTCTACAAGGAAAGACTTTCACCGTCAAGCGTTTGATTTAACTGTAACTAAAGAATAAACTGTTCAGTCATTCCACGGCCGCGAAGCCAGAGAGATTATGATCATTGGAAATGAAGATAATACCCGCGATAATTATCATCAAAATGTCTGTCCTTTCAGTGGTCAGTGTATAATACTGACCTGGTCATGTATTAGTGAAGTAGAAAGACGGTGGAATTTTATAAACACAAAAATAAAAAAAACCTACCTGCCGTTTTAGATCTGCGGATGTGAAATATCACTTGAACGGTACACGAAACATCAAAATTAGCAAGATTAGCACCTGCAAACATCTCTGGTGAACTAATTGTATCTCTAACACGTCTAACACAATGACTTGCGACACTTCACAAAAAGATTACGTTTGTTGAAGGCAAATTAAAGGTTTAATGGTAGAAAAAAAATCATAAAGGAGTAAAAAATCGCAAACAGTTGTGCGTATTTAAAAGGTGAATCTTTATTAACCGCTGGTGCCGTTCAAGAAGTCTCATGAGTCATGACATAATTTAAAGCTTGACGTTCGTTAGTTAGTTAAAATATACAATTTATGATATTTTTATATATAGATTTACAATAAATTTTCTTTAAATATCTCTTAAAACCAATATGTTATGGCATACTATATAATATACAAACATGAAACAAATAGATTTAAATAACTCGAAATTTAGAAATAACGCAACCTAGGATGAACTAAAATCAGTTTGTAGGTGAAATCTTGTCAATCATACTACACTGGCCAAAATGATTTAAAGAGCTGAAAACTGTAGGCTCATCAACCACGGTCGATATAAACAAATATAATAGACGGGTTTGAGAAGAATTGGAATGAAATACTCATGTTTGAGGATTTTCAACCACCGTTACAACACTTGAACTGTCACTTATAGTGGAAACAGCACTTCCAGGTCTCCCATCATCCCTTGCGAGGAACTTTCTCGTCAACTTATAAAATTTCTTTCCATATTCCTCAATATCACTCCACGACACCGCTTGTCCCTTGGTATCATCGGATTGAGTTTCACTTAGGTCGGAAAGTGACGATCGTGGTACAATTTTCGACTCTGCATCCTGCCAATTTTCGTCCGGATCTTCTGTACATTCGTCGTTGGCCGGAGCAGATTCGGACTCAGGCGACAATATGATGTCAATCATCGGAGGAATGTCCCATGCCGGAAGTTGGGATAGAGGTTTAGGCTCGTTCAACTCCATTTCAAGAGGGTGTGTCTTTGTGGGGACTGGTGATAGTCGGTTGGTATTATGAACATGAGCACGTATGTTCTGTTTTGAGACTGGGAGGTTTTTAATACAGTTGTTTGTTTTGTTCAGTTGAGAGTCTGACCACTCAACTACTAAACCTTTCTTTCCTGAATCTTTCTTGTCAGATTGAGATATATTTCTTGCTTTGCCAAATGTGACTTTGCCGTTAGTCTGATAGCGATGGTAGCAAATAATGACTAATGTCGCTAAAACTAACACCAAGACAAAACATGGCAAACCTAAAGATGATATTATCAGTTAGATAGACAAGGAAAAGACGATAATTGATGATCACACGAACGAACCTACCTATAAGTAACTTGATATTAATAACCTCCACATCAGCATTTAATCTGATGATCTTAGAACCAAATTGACAGATAGAACCATTAAAACCAGCCCTGCATTTGCATTTATACATTGCCACACCATCGACTCCATAGTCCACACATTGAGCACCATTTAAGCAAGGACCTTGATTCACGCAACGTCGTGGAAGACATTCATGCAATCTCCATTTATCATAGCAGAAACTCTTCCCAGGACACTTGTCTTGTTCATCACAGGCCCCAGACAGACATCCATGTTGCATGTCTGAAAAAAGAGGAAAGAATAGCAGTGAAGACACATGAACGAAGAGTGAACACGATCGAAACCAGTGAAAGTGTTAGATCTCCTTTGCATTAGCCATTTGAGACAATCATTTTAGATTCACACTTACTGTTATATTTCTTAACTTTGACCAAATGATCAGACTTGTTATGATGTAATGCCTTTCCGTTGAAACGGAAATCTTTCACACAACCTACAAATCCGTTTCCAGATCCCGCACTGCTGCCAAGAATGATTTCAGTTTCTTGATTAAGTTCTATCTGTAGGAATGAGTCGCTGCCTTTGACTGAAACAGAAACATTAATATCGATAAACTGCACTTCTATACGTCAATTTTGAAGTAATTTGTACGCATTACCTTTCGCTGTTTTGGGGTTATTTTCAAGATCAATTCCAAGATGCACCTCGTTACGATTACGACGGATGGACACGTGATGCCACTGACCATCATTCAGCATCGTATTCGTCAGTCTGACGGTGATCATTTCTCGTCTTAATTTGATCCTTGCCTCAAGAGATAATCCATCTTTGTCGCTTTTTGTGAGCTGAAAGTGTTGTTTATTGAATGAACATAAATTATACAGTTACGATGAAACAATTCAAGAACATAAGCTTTCAAATTCTCACCCTAAGTGATAAAAGTTCAAATCCAATTTTCTTTCTAATCCTCAAAAGAGGACCACCATTTTCGTCCCTGGTCCGCACCATCATTTGAATATCCGTAAATTTTGAATTGTAATCTTTTCAAGAACGAAGACCGCGGTTGATACGCAATAAAACTGGAGTCTTCAAACGTCTGCTCCACAGAGGCTAGACATGAGAAAACATTGATTACGATAAATGCTACAGTAACCCCCCTTTCAAACCATGATCTCCTAAATAATATACTTACCATTTTTACACTTTAATCCTCCAGTTCCAGGGGGGCAAATACACGAGTAACTTTTCCTTGATGGTATACATGATGCGTTCCTAGCACAAGGCGACGGAGAGGAACAATGTTGGTCAATAACAGGACACCCTTCTTGTGATCCCATAGAGTTCGAGGTATCCTTCAAATCAATCATTATCCCGTTTTCTTTAACATTTCGAATACAACCATCATAGGTGGTTGGTCTGACGTTGATTGAATCTGGAGGTGATCCTAGCAGACCGCCAAGTTGTATTGGAGTGTTGATGTTGAGAGAACTGAAATGAAGAGTTTATGAAATATTGACAGCTTGCATGAAAAACAACATCTCATTGAGACAACATCAGACATTCTTCTTCAAAGTATCCTTAACTACGACAGTTTACTCCAGAATATTACCAACAATGAGATAAATATATTTCAGATATCTTTTACTGTGATGAGTACACATGCCTTAGTTTTCTATTTTTTAGGATAAAACAAGCACACACACGATCATCTATGATTAAGTAAACTTACTGAAATTTCGTATTTCTGATGTCCATCTTTTGCTCACAGTTCCTTCTGTCTTCCTTTTGACCACTTTCTGATGATCTCACCAACGATGAATTACACTGATCAATAACCACTCGAATAGACTGAAGAAAATTAAAATGAAATGAAACTAAAGAGTTTAGTTAACAACTAAAGAGTTTAGTTAACATGAAAAGACTCAATTATTTACCGATCCATTTCGATAAATCTCCACCATGTGCCAGTCACCATCGTTCAATTTCTTTGACTTTGCAACGTGTATTACACTCGGGTAAAAGTCACCCAGGGACAACTTCACCCTCACTTTCCCCCGGTGTAACTGTATAGCTAGAAAATCACTTGTATCACCAGGCCCTAAACTCGACGAAGGTCCGGCATAAAAAAAAAGGCCATTTTCTCGTAGAGTAGAAAACTCCAGGGAAATTGTCCCGATACTGCATGTTCTCAAAGGACGAAGCGAGACCCAATCTCCTGGTTTAAAACTGCGCGTGGTCAGCTCACAGTTTGGACCCTGGTACTTGGTGGGGCAAATGCACAAATAACCTGGGAACGAAACAAAACTGTATCAATGAAGAATTTGATTTATTATTAATACAAAATCTTTTATTCCAGATAAGCTCGCAGCATACACGAACAAAATAACGTCTTACCTCCAGGCACGTCTTGACAAACACCAGAATTGAAACAAGGTCTTTCTTTACACGATCTCTTTTCTGGATATAACGTCTCACAACTATTAAACCTAACATCAACTAAGGTCTTAACAAAGGTAAATGATTTCCCGCGTCCATTATTCACAGTTTGTACCTTGATGGTCAACTTTGCTATGCTTCTGCACCCGCCTGGTTCCTCTGGCTCCTCTGAGCAAGCATCGTAACCCACAATCACATTTTGAAAATATTTTAAAAGACTTCGCTTTCGTTTTATAATCGAGATCATACTTTCCGGAGCGAAATATGGACTACCATGAGCTGCCATCCTCACATCTACTGCGCCATCTCCAGAATCCTGGATACTCAATATATCAACATTTTTAGTAGATACTCGAAGAGCTTTTGCAATTTCCTTTTTATAAACATCAAGATTTGTGACGAATTCTCCCACAGTCATTTCCAGGAATCGCAATGTTATACTTTTGGTAAAAGCAATCGAAGGAATTCTATTAATTTTAATCGTGACTTTACATTCTACCGGGTGAAAGGAACTGTTCCGGTCGGAGACTCGTACCAGGAACTTGTATTCCTTCGCCGAAGGTTGTTTCTTTGTTTTAATATTACCCGTGAGTCTCTCTATAATGAATGTACTTGTGTCACCAGTCAATACGTCGTAATACCGCAGGTCATTTATATCAGTATCGTTGACAAACACTTGACCAATAGGAGCATTGGGGGATATCGTTTGATGGTCAAATAGGTTCAATGTTAACTCGAGGTGTCCTTCTTTGTGTTGATTGTCATTACGGTCAGTCACGTGAACCCGTACTGTGATATTATTGGTCAACGCAGGAGTGCCGTTATCTCGCACCCAAACCTTCAGAATATACAACGCCTGCTCTTCCCGATCAAAATTTGCTACTGTACTCAAGGAACCAGTCTTGGAATCAAGTTGAAACAGGTTTTTCTCGTTTCCAGCAAGAATTCCAAACGTGAACGGGGGTCCGTTTGGTTTCCTGTCACGATCAAAAGCCAGAAGTGTTCCAATGCGCGTCACATGACCCTCCGTTGTGGAGTTTTCCAAGATTTTCTGGTCACGCGATGATTCCACAATTTCCGGGGGATTGTCGTTGATGTCGGTAACTTCAATCTTCACCTCTGACTCGCCATAAAGAGGCGGAGAAGCTAACAAAATAAGGAAATAATACCAAGTATTACTGTGTGATCAAATGAGGGATAATCTGACGAAAAAGTTCTGATGTCTCAATATGTGCAAATCCTCTCGTGCAAAGAAACTAAACTCACCCAAATTTGTTGCTCTAACTTTAAACGTATGCGCCTTCCGACTCTCGTAATCCAACGCGGTATTCAGGGACAATTCGCCAGTGTTTGGATTCACAACGAGGCCCGATTCACCCGCGTCTTCCGGGATAGAATACTCCAGTTTTGCATTCTGTGGAGTGCGGTCCGCGTCAGTAGCGACCAGTTTACTTGACAGTGTTTGATTGTTATAGACTCCCTCAGGTAAGACGAAGTTATATGTTTGAGAAAATACTGGAGGGCAATCATTGCTGTCTGTCACCTTGACTATAACCTAAATTGATAAATTGCTTGTGTTTTATGTCCACTAAATAAAATTTCGAAACCAACTTCCCCAACAGACGGTCTACAACCACTACATCAAATAAACTCACCGTAGCATTGTCTGACCGTTTTGGAATTCCACCATCTTCGACAAGAACAACAAACCTGTGTTCAGTCGCCCTTTCATAATCTAGTTGTCCAATTAACTTGACGATACCTGAATTAGAATCCACATAAAATTTGTCTTTGAATCTTTGCCTCAACATTGCAAAACTAGAAGAGAAACAAGAGCAATAATGTTACACAGTATGAAAAAGAGTTCAGATTTTTTAAAACTGTATTGAATCGAAACAATGGACTACTTGATTGAAAAACTTTACCTTAGATTTGCGTTTAGACCAATATCTTTATCAGAGGCGACTAATTGTAGGATGGTCAACCCAACCTTGGCATCCTCAGCAATGGTTTCTTCAAAAATCTTCTGACTAAACCTCGGAGGATGATCGTTAGCATCAAGAACAGTAACAATGACTTCACCACGAGTATATTGTGAAGGCATTCCATTATCCGAAGCGTTCACAATGAGTGTGACTGTGCTGGTATTCTCTCGATCAAGTTCAGCAGTTGTCCTTAAAATTCCTGTGTTGGGTTCAACACTGAATGCATTGATAGGATCCATGATTATCCCATAAGATACCCTCCCGTTGCCGGAATTAACGTCGTCAATATCAGTGGCTTTGATTCGTCCAACGACAGTCCAGGGCGGTGCATTCTCGATGACCGACATTCTCTGTCGTTTTTCCAGGAATATTGGGGCATTATCGTTTACATCTAAGACACTTATTATAACACTAACCGTCCCTGTTCTTCCATCTTGATCCCTGGCATAAGCTTCAAATTTGTAGGAATCTTTCAACTCTCGATCTAGCTCAATTTTAGTCCTGATATCACCCGTAGTTGGATGGATTTCAAACACATTTCGTATTTGAACACTCAGTTCGTACTCAATCAATAATGCATCAGGGTCGCTTGCTTCAAGGCTGGTAACGAGACTACCTTTAGGACTACGCTCTTTAATAGACGCCTCGTGAATTTTTTTTCCAAACGTGGGGTTATTATCGTTTTCGTTTTTAACCGTGATTATCATTCGTGTTGTTGCGTTGTTCTTCCCATCCCAGGCTCCTATGTAGAGCTCGTACTTCTGCCTCAACTCATAGTCGATTTTCCCGTTCACAAAAATTCGGCCATCTTCGGGATCTATACGGAAGTTGCCGTCAAAATTTCCTCCTTTTATGGTGTATGTAATTCTAGCATTTATTCCGCGGTCTCTATCGTGGGCTACCACAGTATCAATAACACTTTCATTCACTTCATTTTCCTTCACTGACGTTGCATAACTATTGTGCTGGAAGACGGGGGGGTTGTCATTTAAATCTTTAATCTTCACATACACAGATACGCGACTTGATAATCTTGGGTTATCTCTATCAATCGCTTTTACTTGGAAAATGTAATTTTCTTTCTGTTCTCTATCGAATCGTCGCTTGGTAAATATGATTCCGGTTCTAGGATGAATACTGAAATGTGCGTTTCTAAAAACCATACTGTATTCAGTATTACTTCTTAAATCCGGGTCGCTGGCGCTGACCGTAAGTACAGAAGTCCCTGCTTTGACATTTTCCGACACCTCTCCGAAATAACGCGATGATAGAAACTCCGGAGAGCAGTCGTTCACATCCGAGATGACGATTTTTAAGGTGGCAAATGAGCTTAATTCAAGCGTGGTCTGAGCACGAATGGTTAGGGTATACACAGGAATAGTCTCGCGGTCCAACGGACTCTTCACTTTTACCACACCATTAGGATCAATACTGAATGTTCTTCTTTGAAAATTTCTATGATTATTATCTACGACAAAACTATAGAACACGTCGTGCTCAGAGTTCCTAGAAGTTGCGGTAACATTTGCTATGAATCCGGTGAAATTCTCGGGTATGGTAACTTCGTAGAAACTTTGTAAGAACTGAGGCTCGTCGTTCGATTCTATTACGTTTATTGTGACGTCAACTTCGGAAAATAAAAACGGGTTTCCGTGATCTTTGGCTATGGCTTTGAGCTTGTAACTTTTCTTTTTATCAACAAGCTTTGCTTGTGTTCTGATGTCGCCAGTTTCAGAGTCAATAACAAACAGAGATGATGATTTCTTGAAACTAAAGCTAATCTTTGCATTTAATCCTTCGTCATCGTCCCTGGCTCTCACCTAAAAAAAGTGAAACAATCAATAATGGAGGAGAAGAACTGAAATTGAAAATTGTATTAAACAGCAACAAAACAATTCCTCCTAAGGGTCTTCGTCAGAGAGCTGTGCCAGGCCGTCAAGCTTTGCCTGGCCTTCAGGTTTTACCTGCTTCAGGTTTTACCTGGCCTTCAAGCCAGTTCAAAGAAGAATATCTGAAGAAGTGATTTTGTTGTTGTCATGCTGTACCACAGACAAACTAACCTGTATGATTCGATGACCAATCTGAACATTTTCGTTGACACTTTGTGTATAAAAGATTCTGTCAAAGATTGGTTTGTTGTCGTTAACATCAGTTATTTCAATTTCAACTGAACACGATCCTTCCAATCTCTCCTCAGGCCTCATCATTCGACTCCCGTCTGTGGCTTTAATCAGAAGCGGGAATTTCCGTTGTCTCTCTCGGTCAAATCTCGACAAGCTTTTGATTCTTCCCGTTCTACGATCAATAGCAAAATTTGCTCCATCCGGCTGCTGAACTATCGCATATTCCACTTCACCATTAGTACCCAGGTCCTCATCACTGGCGTCGACTTGTAAGACAAAAGTTTCGGGCGGGTCGTTCTCCCGGATGGATGGCTTATAATCATTACAATCTTTAAACACTGGTGCATGGTTATTGATATCCTTAATGTTCACTTTTATCCTGGAGTATTCCCAATGAACCTCATCCGTTGCTGAGATATTCAGGGTATAATAGGGTCCTACTAGGGATAATGATTTATCGTTGGCTAAATGAAGAACTCCGGTGTCTGGATCCAATACAAATAATCCAGCACTGTCTCCGCTGGTAATGTCGTAGAAGACTTTATCTCCGTCAGCGTCGGTAGCTTTGACTGAAAAAAAAATTGCAGGTATGGAGGTTGAAAATTATGTTGAAATAAAGATGAGCCAGAAATTTACATCAATCTATCGTCACTAAAAGCGGAGTTGTGGAGTATGAGACAGCACAGAGCATTGCACTCCTTTAAAAGAATGATTTCAGATCTGTTGTAGTAAATGTCGCATTACCTGTAGTTAATTCACTTCCATGTTCAGCATTTTCCCAGATACTACACGAGTATTCTTGTGACGTAAATATTGGTCTATTATCGTTAACATTCACAATATTTATAACCAAGCGTGTTTCACCCACTTGACTAGGGCTTCCTCTATCATGAGCTCTCGCAGTAATGACATAAGATCGTTCTATCTCGAAATCCAACAACACTGCAGTCGTAACGACGCCGGTATACGAGTCAATAATGAAATCCTCACTATTTAGAGAATATCTTTCATCAGAGTTCAAGCCAGAATCGTCATCTGAGGCATGTAATTTAAGAACAGTGCTGCCAACAAGAGCACTTTCTGGTACATAGTCTATATACGTTGACTCATCAAACTTTGGAGCACAGTCGTTCACATCTCTCACAAGGATAATAACTCTTGCTGCGGAGGCTTGGTTCTTGGTGTCAACATCAACCTCAATCCTTCGTTCATTGCTGTTCTCGTAGTTGAGAGTAGAAATCAAACTCAACTCACCCGTCGTTGGATTCACACTCAATATTAAACCTAAAAAAACATTAGACGAGTAATTCATTTTTCGATAGAAAATTAATCTCTTGGCAATGAGCTATGATCTTACTTGGGTGTCGTAGTTCATATGTCACAGAAACACCAAATCCTTCGGCCTTGACCACTCCAACCTGATGACCAATATCTGCAGACTCATCTATTTCAAAGTAATATTCTTGCTTCGTAAACAGTGGTTTTAAATGCTCAGCCTGAACGAGAATACATCCTCTTGTTTTCATTTGTGGGCTTCCTTCATCGCTTACTACCACGTCAACTTGATACTGAGGTCTTGTTAAAAAAACCCCGGTGGTTTTCAAAGCCCCAGGGTTGTCCTGATCCATGGTAAACAAATCCGTACAGTCAGAACATCTTTCTATGGAGTAAACGACTTTTCCGTTCCTGCCACTGTCTCTATCTCTGGCTTTAAACTGATAGACCAAACTTCCTCTTTGAGCATTTTTATGGATTTTAACTCTCACGGGGTTTTCACACCCGGTGAAATTACCCGGAGCGAGAAACTCCGGCCGATTATCATTCGCGTCTTTAACTTCAACCTTGATATCAACATCAAAATAATTATTATTGTCCCCAGTCTCATTAAGTCTCACGGTTAGAGAGTATTCCCTACATTCCTCGTAATCAAGTTTTCTCACCAAGCTGAGGCTTCCGAGGGTACTGTGAATAGCAATTGGGGACTGCGGTGGATAAATAATGCTATAACTAGGATCTTTATATGTTGGTTGTAACTTTTTTGATACTGAAATGGTCTTGCCTACAATGGTATCCTCGCTGACTTCTGCCAAATGGGTTTCGAGGTTATTTCCATACTTGACAACTACAACAATCACTGTCACAGTATCTGTCAACACAGGTCTCCCATTATCCCTAACTGTCACTGCAATATCGATCTTTTCTCTCCTCCCGACCAGTGACCGTGCAGTCGTTATTCGTCCAGTTGTGTCAATCCTGAAAAACTTTGATTCAGATTTAGAGTTTTCAGCCAAGTGGAAACGCAAGGGATCATTATCGAGATCCTGAGCCTGGATATTTATTAAGAACGAACCAACAGCCACATCATGACGAATTCGACACGAGATTAGATTATCCTCGTTCTTATTTAAAATTTTGGGTTTATTATCATTCACATTGATCACTGAAACCCCGACATGAGCCAGGCTTGAACGTCCACTTCGGTCAGTGGCACTTACTGTAAACTCGTAGTACTTGATGTGTTCGTAATCTAAAGATTTAGTTGTGGTAATATCTCCAGAGATAGGGTCGATTATAAAATCAGTGACATCATTCTGGTAGAGCTCATAAGTCACTAAATCTCTACTCACAGCTGTTAACGTCAGCACCTTCGTTCCTCTCGGTTCGTTCTCACGAACGCTTGCGTGGAACCCTCGCGTAAAGCCCGCGTATAGAAAGCGAGGAGGTCCCGCGTTCACCTCAACCACAATCGTGACAGATGCAGTATCGCTATAACTTGGTGTGCCATGATCCTTCGCAGTTACATTAAATAGGAAACTACCATGGGTAAGTTCGCTGGCCACACGTATCCAGCCTGTGGACTCGTCGATGGTGAACATATTTGAGACAGGATGAATAGCATAGCTGAAATAGAAGACAATTATGAATATTATTATTTCCTAAACTAATTCTGTGTATCGGAAGGTAATACAATGCATCCGTGATTCTTAGGAGCCAGCAGTGTGAGCCAGGGCTAAGACATGCATAAACTAGGCACAAACACCTCGTGTTTATTAACATTAAACTAACTCTTTACAAACCTTATTTGTCCGTTATGTCCAGAATCTTGGTCAGTCGCCAGAGTTTGAAGGATGATATACCCTCGTGGAGCGTTGAGAGGAACACGTTCAGCATAGCGACGCGACAGAAAGGAAGGAAAGTTGTCATTTTTATCACGAACATGAACAACAGCTCGAGTAAATGTTTCAAGTGATCCTTGATCTCTGGCCGCTATGGTTAGTACATGTCTTCGTGTTTTCTCGTAATCCAAAGTTCTGGTAATCATTAATATCCCCTGATCCATTGCAAAGATATTACTGGAGGATTGTTTTGATGTTCCAACAATCTCGTATGTGATATTACCAACGTCCCAGTCCTTTGCACTAAATATCCAGATCTTTTGTGCATACGTGTTTTCGTCGATTGAAATCGAGATGACCTCACTAGAGAACTGAGGTCGATGATCGTTTATGTCATTGACTGTGATATTTACGTCGGAAACCTCCGAGTTATGTCCGTCATTTACCGAAACCGACAGAATGTAGTGTTCACGAAATTCACGATCCAGTTCTTTCACCACATGAAGAAAGCCTCTGACGTCAACGCAAAAAACGTTTTCATGGTTTCCTCCCGATATAGAATACGTCAGATCATGTTCTCCCACTCATTGTTCACAGAGAAACTCGTGATATCCCTACCTACACCCAGAGGTCCCTCATCTACACTTGCTGACAGCTGATGCTGAGGAATTCTTAACCTCGGACGACCTCTACGAATCCTCACGTGTACATCAAGCTCACTATGTCTCTTCGGTTCCACTGAATCTTCGGCAACTATCGTAAACGTCCAACTACGACTTTCTAACGAACGCTGAGCGGTAATCTCACCCGAGATAGAATTAAGATCGAACGGAACTTGGGAAGAACTTAATTTGATTCTATAAGTGACACTATTTGCTAAATCAGCATCATAAGCGGAAATTTTGGTAATAATTGAATTGGGATGAACTGGTGTGTTGATGGTGACAACCAGAGGATTACTGAGGGTTGTAAAAATTGGTTCGTTGTCATTAACATCCAATATTTGAATTGTGATAGTTGTCTAGAGAGAGAAACAAACGATTGGTTAGACATGATTTCCCAGGAGAAGTTAGTCGTATGAATCATACCTCTTTAGCAAGTTCCATTCCTCCACGCCTCCTGTACGTAATTCTAACCACAAGTTTATAAAGTTTGATCTTCTCATAATCCAAAGTCTTGATCACAGTGATCTTGCCATCTCGAGAGATACTGAATGTCTTTTCCGTGTTTCCACCTACGATAGTATAATTCACATCGCGTTTATTCACAGTGACAATTGTCACTATGGTATTTACATGAACATTTTCGTTCAGGGTGAATTTGTATCTTGACAAAGTAATTCTTAGGGGGGAACGGTTGATATTTCTATCAACTGTTATGAAACACGTGACTTTCATTCTTCGTTTTGGACTGCCTTGATCCTCAGCATACACATCCACTTTATGTTTGCCAACATGAAGTTTTCCTTTGACTGCTGTCAGCTGGCCAATTCGTGAGTCAATGCGAAATATTTGAGACGTCGCACTGCCAAGGAGTATCGTATCCTGGCATTACGCCCGCCATCTTCATCAGTAGCGGTTACAGTAAGGATAGAAGTTGTACCAGGGGACACAGAGGACCAATAGGAGTCTTGCAGGAACATTGGATCATGGTTGTTGACGTCCTTTACCTGAAGCAAAATATACACATATTTGTTGAGTACAAGCTGGCTTTCCTCGTACACGAGAAAAAACTTTGAGTTCAACTCACCTTAATTTTAACTATGATAAAATCTGACTTGCGAATCAAAAGAGGAGCTTTATCATTTACTCTCACGCGTAACGAGTAAGAATTTCCTTCAAACCACTTCAACAATACTTTACTCTTGACTTCACATCCATTGCTAAACGTTTCTATTCGAAATTTGCCAAATTCTTTAGGATCAACATTTTCATAACTACATTCAAACTCGCCATTTCTTCCTTCATCTTCGTCAACAACTGGGAGAAATGCCACTCTTGTGCCTGCAGGATTCTCTTCAAGAATTTCAACTAAAGAAAGAGTTGAGAGCAGTGTTGATGTCACGTTACTTCTAACTTCTAGTATAAATATATTTGAGTTTACCTGTTGATTCATCAGACTCAAACTTCGGGGGATCATTAACATTCTTTACCAATACTTGCACAGTGGTGAACGAGGAACGTGGGGGAACACCTTGGTCAGTGGCCTTGATTCTCAATGTATGTACCCTTGTATCCTCAAAGTTCAAGGATTTACACGATAGATTTCCAAGTGCGACGTCAATATTAAACAAGTTCTTTCTATTTCCAGACACGATGTTGTATTTCACTCTGGCATTATTACCGTAGTCTTTGTCTGTTGCAACAAGACATAAGTAAGCTCGTTATTTCACCTCTGTTTTCAGTGATTCCAACCTAGAAAACAGAAAAATGCTATTTATAGAAACATTCCGTCATGAAATACTAACCAGTTCAGCTGTCCTGCTGTGAAATCGGTAATGGAAACTAGAAGATAATCCAAACTTTCATAATCCGATTTCAAAATCAACCATTTGTCACACATTAATAATTATTTGGATCTCCGGCCGGAAAGTTTTGGTATCACAGCTGAGCTGACCGACTTAAAATGCCACTTATCAAAAGTCGGGCATGCTACCAAACTAAGTTTGTAGTAAAAAGGCAAATCTGAGGATTACCTGAAATCTCTTTCTGGAAAACAAAGGACTATGGTCATTGACATCATCGATATTTATAACCAACAATGTCTTGGAACTTCTTGACCCATTTCTTGCTGTTATTTCCAATGTATACTCGGGTTCTTTCTCTCTGTCGAGTGGTTTTGTTGTAGTTACAATTCCTGTAGAAACACAAGACATTAGCCAGAGAGATGAGAGAGAGAGCGGGGTAATTCCGCGGGGGCCAAACCAGGCCTCCCATAAAGGGAACCACAAGAGGGAGCATTTTGTTGGCACTCGAGGCAAAATAACTATTGCTAAACCCGCAAATTGCGGTGATGGAATCTTCTGAAATAAGTATCCTTTCACTTAAAAGATGAATTTTTCATTTGAAAATTATCTCTTGGCCACCGCATTATAAACGCTGATAGGAAATGTCACGGGAACAGGTGATGCATTTACACAAGTTTGGATCACTCTAGTTGCTTTGTATAAAACAAACCGTAGACACACAAGCCATCACATATCTCAATACACACATCCTGGTGTATCCAATCTCATGCATTTCACAACCTTAATTGAACTTCATCTATGGTGACGTTTCATACAATCTCTCTGGTAATCTCTGCGCTATTACCTCTCGTAAAATATTAATTACCGACAAACGTTAAACGATAATTTTTCGCAGATTCATCAAGTTATTTTCATCTCAACACGCACGATTAAAGTAATTAACTGAAATGCGAAAAAGCATGGCAAATTGATAAAATGTCGAGATAAGAAACATTTCATACATTGTGTTATTCCTTTTAGGCTTGTTTTCATAACCTTATATAGAGCAAGGCTTGACTTTCTGTAGGAATTCTCGTGTTAGGCTGTTGATGTAGAGATAGTTTTGAGTGAAACTATGGTATTTCCATGTCAAAGTGTCTTCAGCTAGTCGATTGCAATATCCTAATATCATCAATCAAATTCTTCTGAATGATATAAATAAACTTACTTTACGGCGGTACTTCTGAACATTTTAGAAACGTTTTGAAAATATATTTCCCATAAATTTCTGACAAAAAAGGCCAATACCCCTGAAGAGCACTACGCCTTTATAAAATAGGTTTCATGTTTGTGATGGACTCATGTTGATATTCAAACAAAAATAACACCTATTTAATAATATACAAAATAGTACACGGGATGAATACAATTAACACTTCACAACAGGAACTTCCTTAAACACAAAGCTCGCAGCAAGCGTATAGTTTGTCAAAATGGTTGACTCGGCAAAACTGAGCAGCTTTGAGTGAAATTATATTCCCCGTGAGGCATTTTCTGAAGGCGTGATGAAGCTGAATTGATAATGATCGCTGTTGCTGTCAGATTCGCAAGATTCAGAAACGCTTCGGGCATTTTTGGAGCGTCTAACGCAGTCCAAATACTTACCAGATTCTTTGTCAATCTTAAAGTTATTTCTTGAGTTCCCTGCAGTGATCCAGTACTCCACTCTCTGCCCTCGACACATTTGCGCTCTCGTGACAGTCACGAATGTTCCACGTGGTAAATTCTCCCGTATATTCCCGTCGTAAACACTCTTCTCAAACATTGGGTTACAATCCTGTTCCCCCACCACAGTTATAAATAAGAATTGCTTTCCGCTTCTCCATCGGCTTGCGCTGTCCCTAGCTTCTATAACTAAGCCAAGATGATCAACTTCATTCCAATTCAAACGCGGAACAGAGAGAACCCGACCCGTAGATTCTTCAATTGTGAATCTACCAATACCATCTCCATCATCAATGAAATAACTAAGCCTGGCATTCGATCTGTCGTCTGGGTCAAACGCTTTAACCTCTTTCACTAAACGAGACATTTCCCTATTTCCGACTCTGCTAAATTCAGCTTCGTCGTTGAGTCGATGAAATGCAGGTGGGTTGACATTCTCATCAGCATCGTCAACCAAAACAGTCACGTTCGCGACACTTTCTTGAGACGAGGTCAACGCCAAGCTAAATTCATAAACGCTTTTCCTTTCATAATCTAAGTTTTCAGTCAAATACAGGAAACCGCTATGAGTATCCACTTCAAAAGGAACTTCTAGATGAGACAAAATTTTAAATTTAGGCTCATTTCTTGATCTCCTCAAATTGAGAACGTCTGGATGAAAAACGTGAGAGTTGATGGGTAAATCTTCTCGAATTCTTGCTAAATAAGAATTTTTTGCGAAGACAATTGGTTGATCGTGGTCGTAAACATGTGATCTTCCTTGGTATAGTCTAATTTTCACCACAGTTTCCGAGCGTTTAGCCGGTATTCCGCGATCCTGAGCAACCACCGTCATGTGAATCAAACTTCCAGTAAAATCTAATTTTCTAGCGACGCGAATGACTCCAGTATGCGGGTCAAGTGTGAAACAGTTATCATTCTGGGATTTCTTTTGAAATCTCTTAAAGTAGTAATAAATATCAGCATTCTTTCCATAGTCTTCCTCCTGGGCATGAACGGTTAGAATTGCAGTAGAAACAGGGGTTGTTGAGAGGACTGTCACGATATATTCTGAGGATGTAAACTTAGGAGCGCAATCATTTCTATCCTCAATATTAATTCTCACTTGCGTGCGAGCACTTCTCGTTGGAGTTCCACCGTCCGTGGCTTGTACAGTCAAGACATAAAACGAGGCCTCTTCTCGATCAAGCTTGCCTTTGCTTCGAATATTTAGGAATTTAACTCCGCTCAGGGTCTCCGTAACTGCTTCGAATTTGTCTGCGCCGTTTCCAGGAAGTATCTCATAACTGTCAACGGAGTTTGTCTCTGAGTCTAGGTCAGTAGCGTATATACCATGTAAGCCTTGAACTACTGTGCTTGTGGACGTTTCTGTGACATATCCGACATATAAATCTTTCTTGAACTGTGGGGAGTTGTCATTGATATCAACGACTATAATTGACAACGAACAAGCCGTTACGAATGCGCTATCTTGCGATGATTTGCCAATGTTATTCGCGAGAACTGTCAAAGTGAATTCACTGCCTCTCTCGTCTTCATGATCCAGTGTAACAATATTTGTAACAATTCCTGCAGGCGATATTTGGAATATATTTAACGCCGGTTGCGAGTACAAGTCCTGATGAAAGGAATACACGATATTTTGATCTTGTTTGAACCTCAACAAAACTGTCCCAGCTGTTAGACCTTCATTCACTGTAAGTTTATTAAGCGGTGTGCCAACACACTGTGATTCTGACTGACTAGAACCTGCTGCAAGTATTCCACAAACACCCCAAGTTAACACAGCTGTTAACATAACCCAAAACATGCTCTCAAATCCACTCGTAACTTCAAATGCTTTAGACCTAAACGTTCAAGCGTTCCTTCACGCAGAGACAATTATACAACGCATTTGATATGAACCTTGTTTAACTCTGTGATCATTATCGTCAGCTGTTTCGCTTGCAGAATAAACGTCGGTGCCTTGTGTTGGTCAACGACTCAAGTGATAACTTTGCCACGAAACATAAACACGACGCAACGTTGTACCATGTTTTTGATACAGAATATGAAGATTAGCGAGGTGTTGCGCCAATCATGCTTACAGTCTCTCATACGCGGTGTGCTTCACATAAATAGCAATTATCTGTGCCGGATAAATTTGACGTAAGATCGCTGTTTTATATGCAAAGACGTTTTAGTCGAGAGCATGCGTAGTGCTGGCAAACTTAGTATGGGAGTGTTTATCTGTGACTTAAACTATTTTCTGAGTGAAGGAAATAAATGTCAATCTTCAGGAACAGATGAGAAATGAAGATAAGAGAAAAACGCGTTGGTCGGGGGCTATTAGGAGTTACTCCATTAGTTGTAAAATGAACTATGCGCGCGTGGGAAAATCGATAGGTCATATAAATATCACAGGTTAGGTCAAAATATTCATGTCCCTGCGCTGTTCTTTATTCAAACCATTTACTGTTTTGAAATGATCTAAGGTTACAATGCATAGAACATACTGTGTGTTTACGATTACGACGTGTTAAATTATAATGTACAAGGTTTTATTGCAAAAGTATTTTGGCTAAAGATATTAGCTAGCCACTTCCATGTTTAGAATATCATGGTCAAATTTGTATACATTATTGTCAAGATCAGTTTAATCTCTTGCTGCGAGTACTTTGTGCTGTACTGGTTCCGTAGCATTTTTAGGCAGGAAAATCAACGACAAAAGGATTGTAAAACAGAATGTTGCTAGGATTTACGCTTGTTTATAATAATCTCATTAGATTAAAGTATTCGTACACACAAAACACTTAATTACACTTAAACCAAGCCAGGAATTATGAATAAAATTCACAGGATTAAGATGGCCAAGAAATATTCAAAAATTGCGGGTCAATGCCTTCAAAATATCCAGAAATGCGACACTGCATCAGGACTGTAAATCAAGAACGGCTTTGAACGGAGATTTTGTCTGGACGTTGTATTAAAGTATTTGAACAATACGAATGTTTGATGTTTCTAACAAACTGGCATTCTTGTGAATGCTGTTTTACCGTTCCAATTACACAGTTGGTTTAATACTTTATCTTGTTTTGACAGGAAGATTAAATAAATTGATTATACATCCTTTACTCAAAATTTCTTAGTCTATTGTACCCCGAACGACAGACACATGACACATTTAGGACATTAACATGAAGCAAATACGCGAGTCTAAAGATATTTAGCTATTGGGACGCGAAGGCAGAAAACACTCCCATAAACGTAAAATTTATACTTATTTACAATTTAAATAAAAACAAGAGATGGTACCGTTTTTGAATTTGGTCATATTTACGTCAGTACGGTTATATTTGGCGTACTATATATTGGACACGGCTTAGTTAAGTCACAATTTACTTTCCCACTGTCTTCATGTGGTGAAATGAAAACAATTTCCTTTCAACACTCTTATGAGTAAATTATGCGTCCATTTGCTCGTTCTTACAATAAACTACACATAAATCAACAAATTCATATTTCACTATAATATTCTTTTACCTGCAAAAATACGGAAAATTACGCAGATCCATGATCAATCCCATCATACGTACTTCAAGATCTTTTTCGCGTATCTGTTTAGCATTTAGCAATGCCTGATAATCACCAAGAAAGGAGAAAAGTAAAACAAAATAAAAAGAAGTCATGCCATCCTGGATTTCTATTCTGCCGCCATCTTTCTTTTCTTTTCTATTAAATAACATCCGCCAGATGTTGGTGCAGATAATATCGATCTAAACCATCTCAAAAGGGTGGTATGGTACCATATACCATCTTCTGCACTTAACAATTGACAGCAGTCGAAAGAAACGTAATTACAACCATCAGCGTACATTGAAAATGTTTAATTACTTATTTCTACAAAATTATCTAAAAAAGACTATTGAATTGACACACATTATTTTATCACTACAGTACAGTAATGCAGTTACAATACAAGCATTTTCGGGTGTGTAGTTAACTGTCAAAATGAAAGCCTTGACAGTTGACAGACAGTGTGTTGAAATATATATTATGATACTTAAAGCAACGCTTTTATATGTATATTCACGGAGTCATTGCAAGTTCTATATGATATAGTAAATAACTATCTAGTTATACAGGTAAGTAGAAAAAAAACAATTTACAACCAGGGTATATTTGAAGCCAGCATTTATCGAGAACTTTTAGAAAAATCTACACCATATTATCTCGATAAATAAGCGGAAATACGAATGCCTAACAACTAGCAATTTTATCTGCACCGTCAGCTAAGCGATGGTATTCAGACAGATCAAGTATTAATGGTGGTTTAACTGATACAGAAATACAAACGAATGTTCATGAATGTTTCGAATGAAAAACTTCTAAACTGCCACAAAGAATGGTTTGAATGAAATTGCAAACAAACTTTTAGTTATTAATTGTAGCCTGATATTTAGTACCATTCGAGTGATCACGGAAACCACCTTATGTCCAAGTAATAGTAAATAAAGTTATATATGAAATAAAGGAAAACTAAGCATTAAGCAAAATGAAATAGCTACAAGAAAAATAAATTCTTTTCCTAACGAAAAGTTGCAGAAAAATATGTTCACATTCTGGCGAGTTAAGCTTCAGTTTCTTCGTCATCTTCATCGTCACTTTCAGGGTTAAATATCTTATTTAAATTCTCAAACTTCTTACCCCAGTCCTTCAAGAATTCCCAGTCCTGCTCGGCCTCCTCTTCGTCATCGCTGTCCTCAATCTCGCTCAGGTTTGCTTGTTCGCCCTCATCTCCTTCATCACTCCAGTGTCGCATCTCGTCCTCCGGCCACCAGCTCATATCTTCGTCGGCTCTCTGAACTCGCTCCAGGATGAACGGCCAAAGATCAACACTTTCTCTCGCCATCTCACTCTTTTCTCCTGACGTCATCGTCATCATACCGCCTCCTGAACCTGTCGCAAAAGAGACGGTAAATACTAAGTTTATAAACTGCAAACAACCTCAAACAACATCCTCTTCAAACTGGCCCAGTGTCGGCTGAAGAAGACCAACTTGAAGTGTCTGTTTTCACGATTTCTTTTCGCATATTTCATAAAGATCAAAACGTCACCTTCAGCCATGAGTCCATCCGTTCTTGTGGACAGAAGTTCCATTTGTTCAACGTCTTTGCCGTTCACAGACTTAGTGATGGTACCATGACCATCCCGATAGGAATATTTCATCAAATGATTTATATCATAGTTGTATGTGTCTTCCTCGCCGGCTCCATCGTCATGATACGGCATGATACTATCTTGACCTTCATCTCCAACAGGAACAGAATACGGAGCTTCACGTTGCTTCTTGATAATCAATAAAGCAATAGCAAGAATCAAGACACACAACACGACGATGAAAATAACAACAAGAACACCGCCATCTTTCCATCTTGCTCGACCATCGACTCTGTTTCCTAAGAAGACAAAACACCAGAACTCCGTCGATTTTATGGTATTTTTAAGCAAGAGAATAACTAGGAAATTACGAGATTAAAACAAACAATGAAGATCTGTATTGTTCTCTGATGAAGTAGGTTTCGTGTTGATATTACAGTACATACGTGAACATTAAGGAGCATCATAGTATATCATTGTAAACGTTACTCACCAAGTACAGGGGCTACATAAACTATATCCTCACATGTTGAACCAGACCAACCATGGGTACACTGACAGAATGGTACAGCAGCATCAACACAAACACCTCCATTTCTACATTGTAATACAGCACGACATGGACATCCTATCTCTACATTCATTCTTGCTTTCTTTACGTTTGGATCTGTGTCTAAATTCTTGCCATTGTAACTGCTACTGCCGGTGCAGCCTATGAAAGAATGGAGATAAAAACGGAGACAATATATCACAGTTCTTAGATGAGATTATCCGTCATATTCTTACACTATCAGTATAAACAAGTATTTCAAACCTTGCATGTCTCCAGCAACGCTTCTGACAGCTCGTCCATCAGTTGTTACACCAAGTATTGTACCAGCTGAGCGACGACGTCGAGAACGAATATCATAAACGGCGGCTTCAACGACTTTGTCAACAATTGTCATATTAGGAGCAATGTCGGGCAATCCACCAACCACGATCTTAGCGCTGCTCATGCGTATTAACTGTTTCGTACCACCTGAAAGTTAAGAGTAAATCGATCATTTGTTAGCTCTATTTATAATGGATCGCCCTCTATATGGTTAGAAACTGAATCACATCTTATTGATTCATTGAAAGCTGGAGAAACTCTCTAAAAGGAAATGTCGGAACTTAAAATCAAACAATTTAGGAGTATGTGCGATACGCAGTCGAAAGCACATGCAGCAGTCATAGAGATTTACCTGTATTTCTGGTTACTCTTCCTGAATAATCAATTTGCAACACAGCAGTGTTTCCTTCCCGAGACACCACTACATCATGCCAGTTGCCATCGGCCACATCAGCTTCAGCAGGCATTTCCAGTCGAACCAAAGCGTCCAATAGTTTAAACTCATAATACAATTTATTTTCTTCATACTGAAAGAAAAATCAGATATATCGATACATGCAAGATGAAAAAAAACAGCAAGTGTAACTAAAAGACCAAATTTGCCTTGTTGGCGAAACCAGAAGCACTACGTATTTTACACTTGTATTCCGCCACAGTGTTCAACAACCTACCCCCAATTTACTGTATTCCAGTCCCTCCTCGCTGACAGCATAGAAAAATATAGCTTCAGTAACACCAGGATCAAGGCGTATTTGCATAGTAATGTGATTACTAAAACGATCTAGAAGATCTGAAGGTTCCTGGGCCGCCCCACGCTTCTTTCGACGTTCTTCCCCAGGTAGCGTGTACTCCGTAAAACTGTTTGCCATATACCAGTATCGCGGAGCATCTAATTAACAAAGATTTGGTTAAATTCATGTATAAAGAAGGGGTTTTTGTTTATTTTATCAAATATACTTACTTCCGCTACAGTCGTCACCAATGTAACCCGCAGGACAGCTACAAACACTGCGAGCAAATCCTGGGTAACAATAACCACCATTCAAACAAGTGGGGCATTCAGCCATGATAGTACATCCTGCAGGAGCATTGACGACTTTGAGAGGATATGATAAGTCGTACATCTCTAGGTTCTCCTTGATCTTACGAATACAACCATCAAAATATTTATACTCGATGAACTTTGAAGAAGGATAGTCCAAAGGCATGCTTTCAACGCCACCAATCTGCATTGGACCAAGACCATTCAAAAACCTGAGCGAAAAATTGTAAACTACAGGTCAAGAAATATCTTATATAACATACGGAATTCAAGATTTGTGGGTCTGGTTAGGTTAAACTAGAATAACCATCTTAATTGTTGCTTACTGGTAGTTTTGTTTAGTTCTTGTTATAAGTTCGCAATGTTTTCGTAATTCTACAATGCGCTCGTCATCCTCCACGATATCTGCATATTTACAATGATCGATAACCAATTTCACCTCCTAAAGTAAACAATAAGACGCAACAACGGTCAGAATAAAAGAAGCTGAATATTTCACCACAAGAAATAAAATTATGACAAACCTTTCTTTGATGTGAAACTTCAACATGATGCCACTTTCTATCATTCAGTGTTGGTCCTTCGTCCATGTAAAATACCTGAGGTTCTCCTCCGAACGTCAAACCCACTTGAATCCGTCCATTTTTCAAACTAATAGCCAGGAAATCTCCACGACCATTGTTGCCATCTAAATATCGTACGATTATCATGAGATAATGGACTGTTTATCTGGAGAATTGTCTTCAACTGACGTACCTTTGACTGCAGGGCCCTGATAGAGCAACAGACCATTGGCTGCACCAGTCGCAAACTCCAATGAGACACTCCCAAAATTATGCGGGGTCTTGGGAGGCAACCAGATGTAAGAGTTACCCTGGAATGTGCGAGTAGTAAGCTGACACCTAGGACCACTGTACTTTCCGGGGCATTCACATACAAAACCTCGTGGTAAAACATCGTGACATGTTCCTGCAAAGAAAAATAGTCTCTTATAGGACTAAAACGTTTAAATACTTTAACTTATCAGTTTCTCACTAACCAGTTGAATATTTCCTTACCTCCATTAAGACAACTGACGTCATTCACACACGTATCATACTCCGGATCAGGATCTTGATGATAACGATCATATTCTGCGCCGGCTTTGACTGTGATTGATGTGATTGCGACCGCATAGTCAGGGACTGGTATCAAACCATAATCGCTGCTCACGACAGAATACTCGTCACCAACAAGACGCACCGTATTTCGACACATACCAGACTTCTTTGTCTCTTCAACACAGTAATCAAGACCAATCATACCAAGTTTGAAACCTGCAAAAATAAGGTTAACACACATTAAACAAACCTAGATATTGGGTAACTTATATAAGTAAAAGATAAGGCATTAAAAATGCGAGACTTACCAATCTCTTTTAGTGTTTTATTATTCTTTTCCAATGTATTAATCAAAATATATCGAGGTAGAAATGGACTTTTAACTGTAGATTCTTTCCTAATAGCAAAATGAACATCTATGGCAGGATAAGGTCTTCCTGGCTTCCTGATTTGTTTTGACATTTGAATACTGAAGACATAAACATTGTCGGCAGAAACGTCAAACAAGTCGGACAACATATTGACAAAGCGATCATAATAAGTAATCGAATCAAACTTGCTGGTGCTGCCCTGACGGATAGGGTTCAAAAAGCGGTTAGTGTTCAGGACTTCGTGAAGTTGTATAGCAGCGCTGTTCTCAATGGCCTCTTTTGGGACATCACGAACATTGACGTCAACTGTACATGAAGGCCGCGAACTTCCTTTCCGTCCTTGAATTTTCAGTTCATATTTTCCCACCTTTACAGTACTCTTAGCACTGATCCAACCGTCGTTACTTTGCACTGTAAACTCGTCTGAACCTGGCAAAAACATAATGCAGTCGTGATTAAAGAGCAAAATCTGCATTCTATGTGCACTATTTTGTGAAATTGTACTGTACCTGTGAGAGTATAAGTCATCCCGCGAGTATTATCACCATCATTATCCTTGAAGTATGTCTGTGCAATCCTTCCTCCAACAAACTTTCCATCAATAGCATTTACAACAACTCGCATTCTTGCACTCGACTCCCCCGATTCGTCAACATCTTTTACATGTATAAATACGTTGGCAGTTGAAGACAGTTTTGGTTCTGGATCATCTGTGACTTTTACAACCACTTTTAAATCTGGCGTAGCCTCTCGGTCCACACTGCCAGTACAATACAGCTTAGTACTGTTCTTTTCGGGATCGTCACGAAGCGAAAATCGGTTGCCAGGATTTCCATTAGGGGCAAAAGCAAAGGCAAATGGTCCTTGTGGGTCTTCGTCGGCATCAACCGCGGCGAGGGTGACAAGAGGTGTATTAGAGTCACAGCGTCCTTCTGTGATTGAAGCGGTGTAAAATGGAGATAGGAATCTCGGCGGATTGTCGTTTACATCTTCCAGGGTTATTTGTAGCCAAGCCAAATCTAGGAAGAAAGTTATATAGTGACAAACATTGGAAAAATAATTCAATACTGACTGTTTGTGAAAATATGCAAAAAGAACGTCTCGACGTTTTGACATCGAAAACGCTGCAACGCTGCTTCTTGGTAAATTGTCTGCATGTAAGTATGGTATAATCAGGATTGACAGCAAATAACAACAAAACACAAGTACCTGATACTCCTCCGTTATCTATAACAACCAACTGCATGTCATAACGATCTTGAAATTCTCGATCAAGCGGATATTGAATCAAAATTTCTGCCTTTTTTGAGCTATTACTAGGTTTGACCACCCCAAACCAATCGCCGATGTTTCCTGATGTTATCATAAACCTTGGAATGAAAACATTAAATTGTTAATCTTTGAGCTAACTGCTGACAACAGTAGTAAGATATTATGCTAAACCGTTCAAACTCTTTTCCACACTACCAATTAGCGATTTCTAAACAGTAATATTATGCAATATAACCAAGGAGCAGCGTGGCAGCGTCTTCAAACAACTTAGCATCAAATGTAGTATAACAACTGCCTAAATAGACAAAACACTTCTCGACGTTTCGAGAAGGCCCTCAGGTCAAAACGTCGAGAAGTGTTTTGTTTATTTAGGCAGTTGTTTTACTACATTTGATGCTAAGTCATATTATGCTACTGAAAGAGTTTTTTCATAACAAAATGAGAAAATAAAGCCTTGTAAAATTTGTAAATTTTGTATATACTTGCACCACGCACGAAAATTGTAGCATTTAATAATACAACCAATGAAGTCAAATTGCCACTGTACTGTATAAAGTTACCTGAACTCATTGCTATATCCCAAATCATTATCATAAGCTTCTATGGCAAGAGGCTTAGGATTTAACCTCGTTCCAACGGGTGTATTTTCAGGAATTGTTAATATATATGTTTTGTCCGGGTCGGTAAATGTAGGACGATTATCATTTCCTGGAATAACAGTGATTTTCACTGTAGCTGTGTGTTCAAATGCTCTTTTCAAATCAATGCCAATGTTTATCAACAATTCATCACTCCTTTCTTTCAAACCAACCGTCAAATTATAAACCTTTGTTCCTGTCTTATCAATATCCAGTTCTCCTGCCACGACAATTTCACCTGTCTCCTGGTTGATGTCAAAAGCGTACGGGTAATTACCACTCTTTATGGAAAAGGCGTAATTATTTGGGGGTGCAAAATCCTGATCTTTCGTAGTCAGCTGTAAAACAACAAAACCAGGTGGACGACTCTCAGAAACGCTTGCTTCGTATTTTTCTTTTCTAAACCACGCTGGAAATTCGCTCTCATCACGAATAACAATAGTAACGTCTGTCTCGCCATATAACCGTGGATTGCCGTCGTCCCAAGCTCTGACACGAATAGACAAATTTCTTCTAAATTCTTCAGCGTCCAGTTTTACCCTCGTAACAAGTCGACCGTTGCTATCCATTTTAAACAATTTTCCGTCCTTGTCAAATGGATCTTCCCCAGTGTTTGTCAGCAACGCGTACCTGAGTCTTACATTCTTGCCTCCATTTATATCCGGGTTATCCCGATCTATGGCGTTGATATATCGAACCAAAGTACCAACAGGTAAATTTTCTTTAATATAACCAACATATGGTTGGTTCAGGAACAAGGGTGGCGCGTCATTTACGTCATTTATCTATAAAGAAGGATAAATGTTTTTACCTAATTCTTAGGCATATGTTAGACACGTTAAGGGTTACATAGTCTGCAGATTACCAGAGCTAATAAGAGGGAGATAATTACGATTCAATAAGCTTGGTCTACTTCATAATATTTTATTCACTACAAATTTGTTTGGTCTAACAAACAGTGTCTGCCACACTCATCAGGTGAATTTAAATTGCTGAGTCAATTGCTGACTGAGGTAGGCTTGGCTTCTTGTATTAAGGGTTTTTTGTTTCACATATTGCTACAAAATATTTTTTTACCATTTGTGATGACATTAATAGAAGAATTACCTTGACTCTGACAAATGTCTGACCAGTGATATTGGGACTTCGTATTTCGTAAGCATAGACAGGGAACGTAATGATAGGCGTCACCTCCCAGTCCAAAGGTTCTCCTACAGTAGTGATCATTCCTGTCACATCATTGATTTCAAAATATGGCAATGCTTTTTCATCAAGTCGGAAGCGAATAACAGCTTTGGGATCTTCAGGCTTTTTCACCTCAACTTTTACCACTGGAAGACCAGGTCCTGCATTCTCTGGTAGATATTTCTCGTAAAACGACTTTAGGAATTCTGGTTTGGAATCAGGACGATCTAAGACCTGCGGAAAAATGATAAAATTAAAAAATTAGATAATAATACCAAGCCATTTGAAAAGAGTGGCAAACATATTGTTGGGGATGCAAATTTCAACTTTCAACTTAATAAAAAACGTTGCAAACGTTTTTTTTAACATAAAAAACTATCAGAAAAATTTCTAATAAATAAACATACTAAACATACCTTAACAGTAATGGTGGCTGTTGCTGTGTGTTTACGATCTGTAGCTGTCACAGTCAAAGTATACACAGGATTTGCCCTAAATTCTGGTGACTTTCTAGCATCTAATGGACGGAGAACTATCAATCTTCCAGTATTTTGTTGGTCCTGACCCACCCTAGTTTCCATAGAGAATCGACCATCATTTCCAGAAGTGATAAAATAGTAAACATCAGCATTCTCAAGAATGTCCTGGTCTGTTGCATTGAGTACAAGATTAGGTACAACATATGGCACTGGGATATTTTCTGGGATAGGAGCTGCTGTAAAATCTGTCTTCGCAAACACAGGTGGTGAATCATTTTCATCTCGCACATTTACAGTAAGCACAGCTGTACTTCGTAGACCTGGCGATTTGTCTCGATATGCCTCAATTATAATAGTGTAAACAGATTTCTTTTCTCTGTCGAAAAATCCCTTTTTAAGTGAGGTAGCAGTCTTGATTTGTGCATAACCTGTTCTCTCTTCTACTGAAAATATTTTAAAATCAAATTTGTCTTCAATATTGTAAATCATTTTCCCTCCACCTGCAGGATCTGGATCACTGGCTTGGACACGGAATACATCAACTCCTCCCCCAGCAGCTTCTGAGACTGTTGCTTCATATTTGTCATTACCAAATATCGGTACAACATCATCAACATCTTCAACATTAATCTCAACAATGACAGAGGAATGGTCATTTGCGCCTGATTTATGTGCTTGAATTGCAAACAGGTAGGATTTTTCAAACTCATAATCCAAGGGCTTTGTTGTTGTAATGACTCCAGTTGCTGAACCAATCACAAATGGTAAATTATCACGATCTCGCAAAAGTTGCAGGGAGTATAGTGCACTGCCACCACCAACAATTCCAACTGTTAAAACAGACGACCCAGCAGCACTATTTTCCTTCACCTTGCCAACATACTTAGATTTCCCAAAGGTAGGTGGTGCATTTTTAGCAATGGTTACTTCTACTCTTGTTTGCTTTTTGGTTCCCTTATCTCCACCAACAACAGGCACCTTGTTTTTAGCTTCTATGATAAATATTATTTTATCACCAATATTGAGCCTTACCATTGAACTTTTAATTTTCACTTCTCCTGTTGTTTTAACAACTTCTAGATAGTCTTCATTACTTGAACCAATTTTCTGTGAGACTTTTGAATATTCAATCACTGCATTCTCACCCTGATCTGGGTCTATAGCTTCTACATATAACAAACGGCTTCCTGTGGAAAGTCCCCTTAAAGCAGACACATCATAAAGTTGCACAGTGAATATGGGATGGTGATCATTAACATCCAAAACTTCGACAACAAACTGACAGTAACCAATTTGACGAAGAGGTTCACTTCTAGTTGGACCACCATCTGTTGCTTTGGCAACTACAAAGATTTCATCATATTTCTCTCTATCAAGCACTTGTGTTGTTTTCACCTCACCAGTTTGATTGTTGATTGCAAAGAAGTTATGTTTTTGCACTGTTGCAAGGCTATATTCAATCAATTTGTTGACACCTCTGTCATCATCTGTTGCAGTTAAGGTAGTCAATGTTGTGCCAATAGGCTGGTGTTCCTTAATCGATTGCTTCTTACACTCTTTGAAGACAGGTTGGTGGTCATTCACATCAAGAACATGAATTTTAACAGTTGCAGAAGGATTTGATTTGTGGCCACCCTTGTCAGTAGCACTTATTTTTAATTCATAAGTGTCAGAGCCGCGAAATTGATTTCTATTTTCAAACACTTTTATAACACCTTGATTTGCAACATAAAAGTAATCCCTACCCTCATTTGGGTCATCGTTATCAATTGCATAACTAATATCACTCGGTTTTGTTGCAGGGTCTGGGTCCAACGCCTGTGAAACACCAATAACCTGATCTTTTGGTGCATCTTCAAAAATTGCAAAATCAAAAATAGGATTAGGAAATTTTGGTGGGGTGTCATCAATATCTAAAACAGTTATTTCCACATAGGATGTCCTTGTGCGGCCATTTGTCCCGGGATCTGTAACCTTAACTGGAAAGAAGAAATAATTCTTTTTCTCATAATCTAAATCTTCAATGTTTCGGATTTGTCCAGCACTTGTTATATCAAAAAAACCTCCAGTATCCCCAAGAGAGTAAATCATTTCTCCTGATTTACAGTCGCAATTTTCATTACAATCACAGTCTTCAACATCAATTTTATAGATATCTCCACCAGTCCGTATTGAACCCTCTTTAAATTCCAATCGTTTTGCAGGTGTCTTAAACATTCCTAAATGATCGTCAGCATTTACAAGCCTTAGATTCACAGTGACATCTGTGGTACGACCTTGATAAGCATCCTCAGATGCTCGAACCGTGAACGTAAACATCTTGTCGGAGTCGTTAGCTGTATCATAATCAATTTCACGTAAAAGTGTTACCTCTCCAAGATGATTTATGGCAAAAGTGTCCTTAACATCCGCTGTAATTATTTCATACTTCATCTGCATTCCAGATCTACTTATTGCTTGAACTTTTGCCACAACACTGCCTCGAACATCAGCTTCCGAGAAATTAAGATTATATGGAGCACCTGTGAACTCTGGAGGAGTTTTCTCAACACGAACTGTGAAATCCTGGACTGCACTTCTTCTAGGTGGCATTCCATAATCAAGAGCCTGAACCCTTACCTTATAGCGTTTACTCTCAAGCAGGTCCCCAGTTGTTTTCAAATAGTGAGTTTTAGGATCAATTGTAAATTTAGATTGCTTCTTATCAGCTGTGATGATATCGAAACGTATCCTTCCTCGTGGCCCACTGTCATCATCTGCAGGGTTTATATGAAGAATAGGTGTCCCAGCACGAGCATTTGTATTTATTTTCCCAGTAAAGAATCCACCACCAGATGTATCTCGAATCCATTTCGGAGCATTGTCATTCCGATCAACAACTTCAACAATTAAGTAATGATCGACATAATCACGTTGTGGATCATCCTTGTTTTCAGGATTTGGCACTGGTGGTTGTTTTAATGGTTCATCATCAGTGTAATTGTGTCTGAAATCACGGATGGTCATGTTATACAGTCTGAGAAATTCAAAGTCCATCTTGGTAGTCGTCCTGACTTCTCCCGTGTCCTGATCAACTGTGAAATTCCGCCATCCCTTATAAGGCCAGACAATCAACTGCTTACCATTAGGAAAAAGTTTACGGACTTTACCAACTATAGTATTAGGTAGAATATTAAAAGGTGCAGTTGAACCATCATTACTGTCTTGTACAAACTCAGGAACATAAAGCCGTGTTGCTGGAACTGTACCAATAATATTTAAACTTTCAAATAACCGTCTCTCATACTCACGACGTTGTTCATCAGCCCTGTTCAATTCTACGTCTTCTTCCTCCTCTCCTTCTTCACGTCGAAACCTTGGCAAAGCTCGATGCACATCTCTACGGAACTTTAAGCCTGGGGATTTTCGTAGCATCATGGATATAAAATGCTTTGATGAACGAGGTATAAAACCCTCATGTAATTTCCTCTGGGGTTTTTCAACATCTCTGGGTAATCTTGAGGCAACTCCATGACTAAGTTTAGCTGGAGATTTTCTCAGCATCATGGCAATAAACCGCTTTGATATACTGTCTACGTGACTTTTGTGGACTTCATCGTTAAGTGACATTTTAGTAAGCGCGGCATTTCTCCGAAATTTTAAAGCCTTTGCGTTAGGTAAAGATTTTCTAAGCATCAACGATAGAAAACGCTTTGATGTGGCAGTATCTTGTAGAGATCCTTCAATTGGGATCTTCTTGTACGAATTACCACCGACCCAAGTACTTTTCACAATGAGCAAAAACGAACAAACCACCAGGAAATTAATCGCCATCAGCTTCAAGATAGATACAATACGGTCAGAAATTTTGCCGCAATAAAACGAAGCTATGATCGCGTACAGTTTAATTATATGTACACTATAAAATACTCACCAAAAAAGACGATTCTTAAACCAATTTATCGCCTGATCTGCCTCTTACCGATTTAAGATATTATCAAGAACATTCCCTGCACAACAGTGGTAAAATATCGTGGTTGTTCAGTGAGAATTTCGCCAAAAGAAGTAAAATTTTTAGTTGGAATTCTTTTTAACGACGCTGAATGTTTGTGTAATAAGGAATGCATATATTAGTTGCCCCCACCTTCGGCGTTCGCCGTGAACCAATCAGATTCCGGCATTCCTCGGCGTTCTTCTCTGTGTGAGGCGATTCGAAATAGATTACCAACCTCTAATACAAAGGCATTTTCGCGGGGTGGTGGGAAAATATCATTTGATTAAGTTGTTTAAGCTATAAATTTTGTTCTTAAATCACTTTTGTGTGGAAAATATAGTATTAACTATCCAAAGAAGGATTTTGTAAACTGTCCCTATATAAAGTTTCAATACTAGTAACATGGTGACGTAATTGATACTTGAACGTTCTAAGAGGTTTTAATTGCACATTGTATGAATATTCCGTGTGGATATTCTCGTGTTAACTAAATCTAAAAGAAATTTTGGCTCTAGCAAGTTATATATGACACATAAACGTTTAGAGTCAGCCAGATACAGCATGCAGTAAAGACTGACATTTATCACGCTATCAAATATGTAGTTCGGTACAAAGTCGTTCAAATATTTGTCTTTCAGGAAACCACAAATTTGTATTCTAATAGCCATTTTGCATATTCTAATTGTTGTATTAAATCGTGCATTAATGCATACGATACAAGTCGAGTTTCGCAATAACGCAATTGTGTGAAAAAATGACGTTCATAATGTGTGAAACTGAATGATTTTAAAGTACAACCGTGTTATACAACTTCTGTTTTAAAATAAATACCAACATAAAGGCAACATTCCTGAATAAGTACTGACCCCATTGACTGACCCTAGCAACAATTGCCAGTCATTTCCTGTCTGTCCAGATAGGCAACCCGCAGTTCACTGCCCGCAACCAAGCCCAATTTTGGGGCGTTCGTCCAAACCTGTGCGCAGTGCACTAGGTTGATTAAAACTAATCTGCTGGCCAAGACCACACGATTTGCCTGAGTTGAAAGTGTACAAGAACAAAGAAATAAGAACTTTTGAATTACTGTAGTTGTTTCAACTAATTGAAGCATAATAGCGAACGCAGGCACACGCAGACATGCATGATATTTGTACCGAGTTCAGTGTCATTGGGAAACGAAGCCGGCTTGACCACTTAAACTGCGCAAAAAACAAACAGGCCAGTATCTCTAACAATGAAAAATACACAACCATCTGTTCATTTGAAAAACATTTACAAACCAGATCATATCAACTCTCGTGATGTGTGATGTTTGATAAGAAAATATCATGTCACTGAAAACATGTAATATTTATGCAGTGAACCTCACGTCAAATATAGCCAGCTTACCAAACAGAGAAGAAGATGGAACGGCACCTTGTTTTATTCTTCTTTTTGTTGCAAAGAAACGGTAAGATATTCGCTTGCTTTTTTTATTATAAAAGTTTACAGACGAACTTAGTAGGCATAAAGAACGCGGTTTTTAAAAGGCGTCCATTCTCAGTTTTTGATAGCTATCGTCGTTCAAACTCTATTGCTTCTGAAAAGTTTCTGGTTCTACTCCACACGAAAACTTTAGTATCGCCAGGGATCAGACTAGCAGCATCGTTAAACAACTTTGCATCAAATGTGGTGTAACAACTGTCTAAACTAGACAAAAACACTTCTCGACGTTTCGACCCAAAGGCCTTCGTCAGAGGAGTTTGTATCACACTATCTGTTTTAGCATACATGCATTTGTTATACCACATTTGATAATGCGTATGTTTTATTGGAAAAAATGACTACTGAATCCTGATTTTCCTGTGCTGAAATACATTCTGTAGCAATCGCCGGAGTGGAATAAACCTGAGCACCTAACCTCGTACCCAGGGTTTTTACTCTGAGCACCCTGCTGTACGATGTTGTTATACCTTTCTGCTAAAATCAAATATCAAACGCCTTTTGAATTAAGTAAACGAAATGAACTTGTAAAATAATTTGAGTAAAAATAAAACTTATTTTGTTGATTAAATATAAGCAATATGTTCCCTGAAATATGGTGCGATTATCTTATCAGACGTTATTAGTGAAGAAGAAGAATAATATGGCGCTAATGTTTAGCCATTGCATGAAAAAATAATGGGATTTTGCCGATAATGGCTGTCCATGATGAATTATTCCTGATGAAAAGATAAATTGTACCACACATCAATGATAGTTGAACATCTTGTGTGCGATCATCACTTAATTAGGTCATATCTAATGAATTCCGAGGGAAAATCTTTTGTCAAAATAATTTCTACATAGTTCGTAGCATTTTCATCGTGTGTTCCGTAACTTATATACTTCCAAACTTACACAGTTGTAACAAATGGTGGCAAAGAGAACGCAAGATATCATCTGATGGAAAAATTGTTTGGAAACAATTCTTATCCTTTGACAAGAGATATTATACCCCTCTCCTCAGAGAACACAGTCATTCACGTCCATTTTGATTTTGACGTTCATCAAATTTTAGAACTGGTATGATATGATTCGGCATATTCTAAATGAGTTTCAGTGTCTAAGATTTTCACGTCTCAATAAAATCAGTAAAATGTGAAGGTAGTGGTGTTAATTGTGGGTGTTATTCCTTAAATATAACTGTGTTTGTTGACTGTTTCTTGTTGAAAACGTTTAGAATAACAGGATTTGTGAAAGTGAAATGATATAATTCAAAATGTCAATAAAATTGGTGAGGCACAGTCGAGTAGACAGATGTCACAAAACATGTCATGATTTTGCTAGAATGAAAAGAAACAAGTGATGTGGTTGAATATCTGGTTGAGAATGAACTGGACGAATAGTTTTCTGAAGTGGAAGCCGGAAGAATACAATGGCGTTAGAAAAATAACGGTCGAAAAGGAGAAAGTTTGGTTCCCTGATCTGACACTTTGGAATAGGTGAGATTTGAGTAAAAGCAGAATATTATCAATAGGTCAATTCGACCATGGTCGTATTCACCATTTTCCGGCCAATTCGACCATGGTCGTAATTGCCATTTTGCGGCGAATATGACCATGGTCGTATTTGCTATTTTCCGATGAATATGAACATGGTCCTATTTGCCATTTTCCGGCGAATATGACCATGGTCGAATTAGTCGTTTTCCGGCGAACTCGACCATGGTCGTATTTGCCATTTTCCGGCGAATATGACCATGGTCGTATTTGCCATTTTCCGGCGAATATGACCATGATCGAATACGCCATTTTCCGGCGAATATGACCATGGTCGTATTTGCCATTTTCCGGCGAATATGACCATGGTCAAATACGCCATTTTCCGGCGGACTGGACGTTTCATACTGTATTTGAGTTAATCTTTGTTTGTTTGTTAGAGCTGTGGATGACGCAAGCGTCTACCATCGTATTGATACAAAAATTGTTGTAGAGCATGATGGGAATTGTTCATGGTACGGCCCAGTATCTACGAGAAGCACATGCGCAATACGAGTTCGGTATTTTCCATTTGATAACCAAACTTGTTGGCTCGAGTTTGGCTCCTGGCGTCACACGACAGAAGATTTGGTGTTTGTACCTTGTGAAAAAACTTGTGGAGATATGAGATATTTTATACCAAACAGCGAGTGGTCACTGGATTACATTCATGGACAGGCAAGTCTCATTTAACCAACCTGTATTGTATTTGGAGAGTTTAACCCTAACACGAATAATTTGAAAGACATATTTTTTGCTAGGTAAAAGACGAGAAATTACATACAGGAGAATACAGCGTAATAAAGTGTCGTTTGGAATTGAGTCGTAAATCGTTGTTCTATATCATGAATATGATCGTACCTTGTACAATCATAGCCTTACTCTGTTGCCTCACTTTCTATCTTCCCGCCAACAACGGAGAGCGGACATCTCTGGTAATAACAGTCTTACTAGCAATGACGGTATATATGCTAATCGTGGCGGACTCAATGCCTCCCACTTCAGAAGCAATGCCTTTGGTTCAAAAGTTTTATTTGATAACAATAATTGAAACAGCGTTTTGTCTTTTCGCCACATGCCTTGTAATTAAATGGCACGAAAACACAGCTCCAATGCCTGACTGGGTGTACAAGGTGTTTAACTGCGTCTTAAAGAAACTACTTCGTGTTGAATACACATACAAGGAAAAAGACGTCGATTCCTCGTCAGTTGTTCAGCCAGTATCTCCAGTTATCAACTCAGTACGCCATAAGGAAAATAAGGAAATCAGATCAACACGGCACAACAGCAGAAAAAGTTCAGAAGCAAGCGAAATTTTCCAGTTCCAACATAATTCGTTTTTCCCGCATTCATCAATTCAAGAAACGATTCCCGACGTCACTGTTCCGAGCAGATCCGAAGATGTCCTCGAGGTACCCCCGCATCCCGAGGAGACACCGAGAGATTGGAAGCTTGCAGCTACAGTTCTTAATAAAGTGTTTCTTGTCATATTTTCAGTAATATTTGTGCTCAGTATGGCCGTAATATTCGCTGGAGTGAAGTCATGGTTTTAATGAGGATGTAGAGAGTCTAACCACAGTTAAATTAACTGTGGTCTAACGTTATTAGTTTCACAGGGGACAAAGAAGACTAATTTAATAAACACAGCAGCCATCGTAAATACAACAACGAGGGTGTTTCAGCGCGGATTTTATTTGAAAACTGAAAAATTTGAAAAGTTACAAGAAATTTGTGAAATTCCCTTACTTTTTAGTTGTCACTAATACCAATTATCACTAGCTATCTAAGAAATTTATATAAAAAAGAAAATCCCTCTAATCGTATTCAATATCTTCTGCCATGCTTCTATAGTCTACTGAAGTTATAATATATATAGCAATGTGCCAAACCTTTAAAAAAGCATTAATTTAGCATCTCAGCCTGATTTTAGATGTAGCTTGATGATAATCAAGAAATTACGAAAGAAAAATGATGTAATCTGACTTGATGTGGCATCACGCAAAAACCTAAAATCTAGACCAGCCAATGACTTTAACGCCTCCTAAAATGTACTGTTGTAAAGAAAATCCTTAATAAAATCAATAAAAGTTTTATCTCGAAGTATTCCATTGTGTTCACATGCGTCAAAATCTTTTATAACTATCGGTTTATCTTGTTTCCACCGAGTGCAGCCCTTGAGACTGACTGCGGGTACAGTCCCATCCCCGTCACCCATTGAAATATCTGGGGGCCCGTCTGGAAAGGTCCCAGATTTGTACGAGTATGTCACGGGTGTATCCACACCTGAACCATGCAGACACAACACTGGTACGTTGGGCGCTGAAGAATTGAATATCGGAGGGACTGCTTTTTTCATTTCTATTGCGATGGGATAGTCGATATCTTTAAAGAAAGCGTCGTAATCTTTAATTGTGTAATTTCTGACTGCTGTCTTCACAAACACCTATAATGAATAATACTCGTTTTAAACATTGTCCATAGTTGATAATCTAACAGATGTAGAAATGAATGCAAAGGATTTTTTCTACTTACATGTTCTGACGTCCAAAATTCTTTACTTGGCAAAAGATAAACGCTGCTCTTGATAGATCTTTGAAAACTCCGAAGTTTTAAAGGGTCAACAAGAATATGTGGAATTCCTAGGGTGTAGCCTGATGCATACAGGCCCACTGTCTTAATTGAGCCGCCCCAAGGAGCGGAGATTGTCAGCCATGTTCTCACATACTTGTCTTTCCAATCCTGTGTCTGTTTTTGCAGAAACATATTGGAATAGGGACAGCCAAGACTGTGGCAAACTAGCACAACAGGCATGTTCTCATTAATCTTAAATGTATCTTCAATAAGTGATTTTAGTTTTGTAAAATATTCCCCACTTGAATCTAAAATAATATTGATGTCATTGAGTAAGAACCTGTGAAGTTTGTAGGTGATATCATCACAAGCAGTCATGACTGTGATAAACACTCCAGATGGTATTCAGCATCAGTCAGAGTAAACTATCTAAAGTAGAGTAAGTTTAATCTAATAATCAGAAGTCTGTTTACTTCTGTCTGAGGAGAAGAGAAAGTGAAAGCTTGGTCTGGACACATTGCAAGAAAAACTCAATTTCAACTTAGGGCTTAGGGCTCTTTCACTTTATCAACAAAGACTCATAAAATAAAACCCACCAGGAGCATTTCTAAAGTCATAAGGAGCTGCTCTGATACTTTTTCCTCGGACATAACCAGTGTCAACCAAACCTTGGACAAATGATGCAAAGTATTCACCAACATGTTCAGTTGAAGGATCGAGATATTCAATTCCAGTGGTATTTCCAAAATATGGAATAAAACTTTGCACTCCTGGAGAATTGGAGTATTTTCCAGTGGATACATTAAACACTAATCTATAATGAACAGAATGACACAGGATTTTGTAATGGTACTGTACCAGCACTGGTAATTCAGAGTCCGAGAATTTTTACATGATTAAGACTACGTTCACACGGAACCAAACGAATTTAGGACCATGCTTAAATTTGTCCAGTTTCCTCATGTGAACACATAGAACTGGTAAAATGCTAAGAATACCTGAACTGGATGAATTTGAGCACAGTTGTACTAGTAGGCTGGACTAGTAGAATAACTATGTCACATACCTCATGTTATCTGAGAAGCAGTCAATAACTTTTGGCAACAACTCTTCAATCGACACCCAACTTGTAAACCAGTCAGAAGTCTTATCACACCAAATGTGCACAGTTTTTGGTTTATCCAACTTGAGTTGTAACTGACTTCCTCCATCACCTATGACTACAAGATGAAATGTACCAATTACAATATATTCTGATTTGTTTCAATGGTAATTAGTTTCACCGCACAACATTCAGAATAGGGTTATGTTAAATATTTTGCTATATACGTTGTTTAACCTCACTGCATGCAGCTATCCAATGATATAATGGATGCTCTCACAAAGTACATTTGCTGTATAGAAATATGAAAAAGCATGATAAGAGTTATCATAAATCATAATATGATTAATATCATTCAAGTCATCTAACAAAGTAACACTGAACACTCGGCTTTCAGCCCCTTTGAAAGAGACTAGAATACACTTTTTATCAAGTTCTGACACTTCGAAACTTCAATATTGCCCTAAGTATTCTATTTTTAAAGCACGAACTATATTAATAAGGCTCGTATTTATACAACTGTTTTTTGATCGGCATGTGACTATCAAATATCAATCGTATTTGATTAATGTTTTTTTTGTCAAAACATCCCACTTCGGTTGATTAACATTATTATGAAATACTCACCTATCACTACCGGATTCCTCTTTGTTTCCTTGGATAAAATTCCGGTGAAAAAGAAAAATATAAAGAGTAATTTTATTTTTAAACATAACATTTTAATATTATGTGCGTAACGTTCCGACCACCACTTTCACTGATCTCTATAGCACATACTGGATTAGTACCAGGTTATTTTACCATCATTAATTTTCGAAGGTATGGTATAATCTATTATTAACACAAGCACACATGTCTGGAGAAATTCTTGTATATATTATCATAATATGTCTACTAAATTATTTAGTTGCCACTACAATACATTCTTCAGGATAAAAACATATTACAGGCAAAATTCTTTAACACACAATTCCACAGCAATTTTCTGTGGTCATTTCTAATTCCAAGAACACCCACAGACTGAACTGCTCATAAAAATGAACAGTTCGATTGTCTATAAAGGGTAGTGGTTTATTGCACACATTCTTCAACCAAATTTACAATTTAAAACTCTATATCACTGTCCACCAATATCAATATTTGTCCATCAATATTCACCAATTACATCCTCCATGTTCCACTGTATCCACAATTTATAATAAGTGCATGAATATTTCCTACAAACCATTTAAAATACCAGAGCTCCAGTAATATCCATCAAATCTTGTTCTGCAATATCCTCCATTATGGCTAATATCAATCATGTCCCTGGAAAGTCTTTTGTGTTCCAAAAACAACAAATGTCAATGAGAAAATTCCATGCATCATTATATAGTGGAATATACCACATTCTTAGGACAATATCTGGGTAGGTCACATCTTGTCGTGTATAGGAAGTCTTATACCAGCGGCAGCTAGCTCCTCTGGTGTTAAACCTTGCTGGAGGGTACGACGTACTAAAAGATATTAAATTAATTTTGTTCAGGAAGTTAGTATTGAGATACAGGCTGCGAACACTCACACTTCAAAGAGAGTATCAATTAATGAGAGCATCAATTAATGAGAGCATCAATTAATAAGAGCATCAAAATTAATGAGAGCATTAATTAATGAGAGTATCAATTAATGAGAGTATCAATTAATGAGATTATCAATTAAAGAGAGTATCAATCATTATGAAATGATGAAAATTCTTACATGATTTTCTGTTGGCCATAGAAGATCTTTCTCGACGGCGCACTCTTGATTTTTGTTTCGAAGTGACGGTCTTCACCAACATGTCCATCATCTCATCTGTTGTGTCGTCAATATCAACGTCTGATTTCCCCACGGCCATACTACGAGCTCGGTTCTTAGAACTGGGCAATGTTGAACACTTTAGCTTCTCTTTTGCATCAATATCATGCGGTTTCTTGGAAATATCTTCCTCACTGGTTGACTTCTGACTTTTAGACAACGACTAAAATGAAAATCTTTACTATAACAATCCAATTCTTCCGCACGACTTGTTTCAACTTGTAAAGTATTATATTCATGTAATGAAATCAAGAAACATCCAAACTTACATCAACAATGAGTTTTCCCCGAGTTTTATTCCTTTCTTTCATTTTATTCTTCTTCATTTTCTGCAAAAGCCATTTTTCTCTACACGTTCGATATTCGAGGGAAAACTGGCTAATTATACGACAAAATTCACTGATCTACAGAGAGAATTAAATATTTTATTGTTATCATTGGTTAGCATTATGAAAGTCTGTAATAAGAAAAATTATTTTGTACCTTAGTAGATTTAGCGGCAGCCGTGTTCAGACCCAAATACAGCAGTAACTTTCTAAATCTAGAGAAACAAATTTCGTTTGTAAAATGCCTTTGCAATATTTTTTCCTGCAGAAGGCAACAACAGCAAATGAACCTCGAAAATACCTGTTAATAACACGACGACAAACCACTTTTAATATTGTGATCCTCTCTCCTGCATCAGCTAAGAATTCAGTCATCCTAAACGGGAAGAACTCACAGTATAACTTTTGTTTTTCTATCGTTTTAAATTAAAATGATTTGGCTAAGCGTCCACGCTGGTCAGTCATACCTTGGCTTAATATTCGAGGAACTCTCGTGTTTTGCAATAACTCTTAAATAGTCCCAAGATTTTTTACAATCTTCATCTAATTTTCGTAACATATCTTTCTGGGAGTCAAAATCAATCTAAGAATGTAATGATAAAAATGAAAACTGCTTAAAATACCCTGCCGAGAACATTTTAATAGAAAAGGAGGAAAATATGTAAAGAAGGTGGAAGAAAACTTCATACTGAAGTTACTTTCTCACCCTAGTTGCTCGATGAACTGCGCTCAATTCGTTATATAGATCAGTGCTCTCCGGGAACTTATCCATCACAATCGTACAAAGATGATACAACAATGATTGTTTGTGAACTGTGTCTTTCACTTCAGGAACTTTAGCAAGATAATCCAACTGAAATCCTTTACTCTAGAAGCAGTTATAAGTCACTTCAGATTAGTTAAGAAAAACATGATTTTATAGTGTAATAGCCCGTAATCAATTCTGTACCTTTGTCCCATTAAGAAAGTTTCCAACAGACAGCAAAGTTCCTAGAATACATTTGAATGTCGGATTGCGCTGTACTTCATCTATCGCTTGTTTTAGATCCATCAACGGTTCAGCAACGTCCTGAAAGAAAAGTACATTATTTGATTGTTTTGTCACACAGGTTTTAGTATTGAACCGGTTAAATAATGCTCGTACGAATCATGGATAAGAATAATAGCGTTTCTACCTTTTCAATAGTTTCATATTCCAGTGAAAATTGCCATAATTTGAGTCTTGAATACAGCTCATTCACAGACGATATTGTCAACAGAAATTGCTCAGCAGACGCCAGAGGGATGTCTGGGTAGGCAAGTCTTTCTTCCTCGATACGAGTTTTCTCATCTGCAGTCGGTAGCAATGGAAATATCCTCTGAGAAAAGAAAAATAAGTGAGATTCCTTCACGAAACGTCTCAAGAACAGTTATAAAACAAACTAACCTCAAGAGATTCTTTCTCTAAGACAGAATTATCCATGGATAATATCGCCTGTTTCAATGAGTTAACAGGAGGTAACTTTGTCAGAGCAATATTAATTTGTTGAGATCTTTTCATATCCAGAATAACTATTTCTTTTTTCCTTTCTTTTTCCTCAACTTTTTGCTAAAATTAAAAATATTGGTAAGTGTAACTATCTGATATATAACGTGAGCATTCTGTTATACAAAGCCTTTTTAACTACGTTACAAAATGGAGGATTCAATAACAAATATAGCGTTATCTTACCTTTGTCTTCATTGCATGTTTCGTTTCAAACAAATGCTCCAGTTTCTTCGTATCAATATCAACAGGATCAATAGAGCCCCAGATTGTTTTATTAATTCCGTTTATTAATGGCGAGTTTTTCACCTCTTTCCAAAACAAACGAACTAATTTCTTCTTGTCTGCATTCGATGGCATTTGTGGAGTTGATGGTGGAGGTGGTGGTGGGGCCCCAGGCATTGGAGGGGGAGGTGGTGCCCCTCCTGGGAAAGGTGGAGGAGGGGGTGGTACTCCACCTGGTGGAGGTGGTGGTGGTGGAGGCACTCCCCCTGCCACTGGGGGAGGAGGAGGTGGTGCTCCATCGGTCGCATGGTGACGTACCTCCATGATGTCTTTATCATCTTCCTCCTCAAGGTCAGTAAAGTCTAAACCGTTTATAACTAATGATCGTTTGGATGTCACAGATCTTTCCCATTCTATTTCTTGTAATTTTCTAGCTTGTTCTTCTTCTCTTCGTAATCTCTCTTCCTCTTTCTTCTTTCTTTCTTCTGCTAATTTTGCCTCTTCCTGTCGTCGTTTTTCTTCTTGTTTTCTCAAATTTTCTTGCCGAGCTCGTTCCAATCTTTCCTCATTTGCTGCCTCGTCCTCAGTCTCCTTGGGTTTCACCTCAGCTACAGGCGCAGCTGCAGGAGGGTTGATCGAAGGTGCTTTATCATCAACTTTAGCCTGCATCTGCACCCGATCATCTTCCTTCCCTCTCTCCACAGTGCTTTGTGATTCAGTACTCTGGCCTTGAGTCACAGTGTCTCTATTCTTCTCCTGATTCACGGTGTCCGTTTTCTCCGATGGTTCTTCATTATCGACGCTCCTCCTGGAGTTATTACCTTGATAAAGATTAGATAACAACCATTTCTTATCAACACTAGATCTACTCGATCTTCGTTCAGATTCAGTTGGACTCTTCGGAGTTTCTCTCTGTCCTGACGAGCCTTGACGTTCAAGCCGTGCATCTCTAACTTGTTTTAAAGAAGCACTTCGTTCAGTACGTGTTAGTAAAGGTTTCACATCCTCTCTTCTTTCGTCATTTACCTCATCGTCATCATCCTCATCATCATCCTCCTCATCACCAACCAATGTTTCCACTTTACTTTGTTTCATTACCTCTTTTTTTCCCCGTGTAAACGGAACATCCTCGTCCTCAAAGACATTTCCTTTTCTCTTTTCTTCATCCTCAGATGTTCGTCGCGCTCTAGTCGTTATTCTTCGTGGCTCTTTCGGCGCTTCATCGGGGCTATCATCAGCACTTTTCGTAGATTTAAAACTCTCAACAGAGCTAACTGAACTGGAACGAAGATCATTGAGTTCTGGTACTTTGAGTTCATTGCTGGATCTTTTTTCTGTCATCGCGGAAGTATTTCTTTCATTTGCAGTCTTTAAATATCTATTTTGAGTAACTTTTTCATCCCTTGAAGCTTTTTCTAAATTTTTGAACTTATTAAATGCACTTGGTTTGTTTGAATGTCCTGAGGTTTTTGGTGTCTCGAAGTTCTTTGTAATTTCAGAATTCCTGGTGGTTTCAGAGCTCGTATGAACCTCGGTATTCCTCGGAGTTTCATTTGCCCTATTCGCACGAAATCTATCCCTAGAACTTAATGTTTCAGCAGGTTTATCCGGAACATGTTCGTCTTTCTTCGTATTCTCCTCGGAATCTTTCGTCGGGATAATTTGCTTTGAAGGATCAGGTTCCTTATTTTTTTCGTTCTTAAGAAAAGACAATGTTGCACTTGAGGGTTTTTGTTGAGATTTTGGCTCAGTTTTCACTTGACTCGAAGTCGGTGTGTCTGTTGCACCTTTTGGCCGCCAGTTTTTCCATTGCCTGAGATTCCGACCAGGTTTTTCAGTTTCTTCAGCAGGAGTTTTGTTCTTAAGGTCACCATTCGCGACTTGAATAAAAAACAAAAATAGAGATTAGAAACAAAATAGTTAGCTGCAGGCTGCAGCTTTTAATGCGAGCCATAAACGACCAACTGGTGACTAAATATTGTTGAACTCATATCAGATATCATTATCTTTCTGTCCGACATCGAAGAAACCTTTTATTTTGACAAGATGTTTTGTGCCTTCAACATTCTTCCTGGAGAAATTGCTCAAGCATCTTCGAACTGAATTGGACGTTAAATTCAGTGTGAGAATTGGGACATGAAGTTTGTGGAAGCCTGTGCAATTCCCTAACGCAACGGAGAGTTGGCGGTACAAATATATAGATGAGCATTTAATATTATGATACAAAACATTTGGTGCAAGACACAAGTGCGTTTAGTGCTGGACAATACAACTACAAGTGCAGATGTCCAGACTAACCTCGTGACTGATGCTCGAAAACCGTATGCAAATCTTTAACACCTAAACCATAGTAAAACATTCGTAATTGCATGTCGAGTTTCGCGCAGGATTCGGTTTTTACTGTGATATATTTTATATGCGCGGAGCTGGACGCAATCGTTTTCTTACCTCTATTTGGTTCCAGTGCACCATATTTCCGCCGGGGAGGTACATTATTATTCTCAGGTTTTGCTTCTTCTTTCTTTGGTGATGGTGGAGGAGTGTTATCACGTGATGGCGAGGGTGACATGACAGGACTGGGTGCTGGTTCTACTTCGGCTGTGGTTGCTGCCTTGCGAGCCGCTCGTCTTTCCCTGGTAATAAGAAGAAGCTTTAGTCATGATGAAGCCCGTCATGAAGCCCAGTTTTATAAAAGAACTATCAAGGATTGTATCAGGACTATTAGAAAAAGGTTGCATGAATGTCCTAAGAAAAGTATCTGGGTTAAATTATATTAGTATTTGTTCCCCATATCCCGTTACCTCCTGGCCATTCGTGCCTTTAGTTTTTCATCATCCTCGTCAGGCGTGGCGGGGGTCTCCGGTGTTGCGGGCGTTGCAGGTGAGCTTTCTGCCGACTTTGGAGATAAATAGTTTTTGCGATCACGATCGATATAGTCTCTACGCTGCCTCGTTCTTGTGCGAGCTTCAGAATCAGAATTGTTTCCTGATTCCGCAATAAGTGGCCGCTCCAGTTTGAAGCCAGAACCCAGAGAATTATGACGTTTACTTCGGCGCCTGTCTCCTTAATTATACGAAAACAAAACTATAAACACAGATTTTGGTTATTGGAAGATTTATCTTAATTAGGATCTTAATTAGGACTAATAGGAATAAATTATGTTTCAATTATTGATATTCATGTTCTATGAATACCATCCCATTTTATATCTCTCAAAAATCTTTCTTAATTTTATAAGCAAGGCAAAGGCCACTATCCTACCATTTCCATTACTTTGTGAACCAGGCTGTCTCTTTCTATGCCTAAAACATAGATGATATTGTATGAAAGTTGGTAATGTGCTTTAACCTGGCTATAGCAAGTTGTACCTAAATGCACATACCTTATGCTGGATGTATCCTTGACAGACGACAGCTGTTCATCCCCATCTTCAATCTTTAGTGCAGTCTGAAACAAAAACACCATGCCAGTTATAAATTAATAACACAAGACTGTCAAACACAACAATTAAATAACTTTACCTCATAAACTTTTACTTGTTCTTGAATTTCCCTGTGGTTTCTTTTTGCAACTACAAGATTCTGAATGAAGAAAGATGTACATCATTATTAGTTTAAAAATTTAAAACATTGGGCAAAACATGTGTTTGGATTACCTTAAGCAGCTGTTGTATTCCTTGTTCCTCAAGAGAGTCAGAAATGTCATAGAATAGATCCTGATCTGGCGCAGCATTTAAGACCTGAAGTAAAAATCAGATAAACTCATACAGAGAAACCTCAAACTATGAAGCTAACAAACAATGACCATTCCGTCATGTTTAGTAAGAATTCTCACTTTATTTATAAGAGTCAAACAATAACAGGTAACTTCGTCATCACCATCCTTGTCTGACAGCATTTTGATAAGACAACTCCATGGTTTTGATCCTGGTGAATAGAAAAAAAGATTGAAGATGGAGAATTCTGTACACTTAAACAATTATGAGCTAGTATGATTGGGTCAACCTTAACCACAAATTGAATGACATCAAGATTTTACTAACTTTGTGAGTTGTCCCATTCATTCACAGCTCTTGTCAAGACAATAGAATTAGACTCGGTATATTCCACAAACACCAGTAACAATTTCAAAGCTGTTTTTGTCACCAATCGATACTAATGCATTGAAGGATTAAAGAAGGAATATCAGAATAAACAGCATTAATTAACAGCATAAAATAGTCTCATTAAGATAATGTTCCATGAGCTATTACTAACCTTGGAGGCAGTCAGAGAATAAAGCCATTGCACAGTTTCATTGTGATTGATCACTCCATTCATGCCATCCACATACAGCATTACTTGACCAATGGCTGAAAGGAAACAAACACTCAGCAACTTAAACTAAAAACCTTCCCCACCAGGCATTTTTAGAGAGGTAGGCATGTATTACCTCTTAAGATGTAATTTTGGTAATTTTGATCTGCATCAGTTCCAACTGTGATCAATGCATTTAATCCATCTGAATTAACAAACTCATGGACTAAATCTTTGTCATCCTGCAGAGAGATCAATGTAGGTCAACCATGTAAGGCAGAATGGATAAAATATGCATAGGGTAATTAGAATCATATAATCACAAGGCATACTTGAAAGACTTGTTTCAATGAGAACAATGCTCTTCTCAATTCTCGACCAGATGCACTCATTAATTTTGCTAAAGAATATAAAATATTTGTCTTCTTTATATGGCAAATGATAGATGGGAAGATATGAAAGTATTTATGATTAAAAGGTTAAAAGATGCCACAGTTTCGCAGGCAGTGTTGCCATCCATGATTAACTATGCAAATGTTGGCATGCAATTTTTTTATGTAATTCCTAAAAATGAACACTTACATCCTGATAGGAATTTGTATTAATGATACAGAAAAAACAGGAACCACAAGCCTTGCGGTAGACACACTATAATTTTACAATTCATTGACTTCCTCTAATCCCTCTACAATTGTTCTGCCTTGCAGCAAAGTTACCCCCAACCTTGGACAATTAAAATTTCAATATCATTTAATCTGAACAAAATCTTTATGTTTCTTTTTTTCGCATCAAAGAATCTTAGGCATGTCAGACTATTGTGGGAAAAGTTTGAACAGATATTTGCCAGATTGCATTTAATGAAATCTACAAACAGCACGGAAAGTCACAACATTTTCTCGTCAACAGAATTAAGTTATTCATTAAAACGAGCGACAAAATGTTCCTGAAACGACGTACGTGTGGTCCAAAACTCGAAACAAAAATCATCAACTCTTTAATTTGTAGTAAACGATAATTTACATGTAAATAGATAAACAGGTAGACGGTAATATTAAAGACTATTAATTTCGCTAGGGTAATTAAAACTGTAAAATCAAAGTAAAAATCAATCACAAACACAAGATATTTTGTTTGAAGATAATAGCATCGATAGAAAGTAAGAAGGAAAAGATATGATTTCATTCGGTAATCTAGAATTTTGTAATTCGAAGTTGATAATTGTGATTAATTAAATTTCGAGCTTTTATCAATATTGAATGTGGCCGATTTAACACGATGACTGTTCGATAAATATTTCTATTTATGAAGGCCGAAGGTCAGAAATGCCAAGTGTTTTGTTTAGGTTTCAAACGAAAAAAAGATGCGTCAAACTTGTAGAAAAGTGTGAGAAAATTTGTTCCAAACGCAATTAGAAGTAATTTAGTATAATTCTAATCGAATATGCGGGCGTTGGAACAAAAAAGGCTTATATATGTCCCATGGCAATGGAATGCAAACAAATACTGTCTAGTTTGTCACAGACTACGGAAAATTAAACAATAATATTGGCAAAAGGTTTTTAGACTTCATATCTGTATTGAACTGGAATATATATTGCCGGAGGAAATCCCCCATGTTTCCGTGGCAAATTATATTCCTAAAACAGAATTTTATTCTAATGTTTGTCTATTCCTATTTAGAACATCGAGATTTGTTCTAGAAGACAATATTCTCTATTCTATTTTTGTTTGCCACAGTCATCATTCAAATTGAAATCTTGCTAACATCTTTCTGTACGCAAGAAAATCGCGCGTCTTTCAGCAACAGTGAATCAACAAGTGTTCATCTGCTGACGAGAAAATTATGATGTAACACGCAATCGCTTCAAAATCATGTCCAAGTGGAACGCGTGTTGACATGTGTTTGAAACTTTGTTTAGAATAGCCACTAAAAGTTCGCAAATATGGTATGAGGATTACCACATTAATCTCTTAATTTAAAATCCTGTCGAGAGTTATAGTCAAAATAAAATGAGCAGTCGACTGACATACCTATGCAGTTGTGAACCCGCACTGAAAGCTGCGTTCTAAGCAGTATAGTGGATTTTCGACTAAAATGGAAAGAAATTAGAATACTTTAGGATATAAATTAGAAAACGTGAAAAGAAATTAGAATATTATCGAACAGAATTCGATGCGACAGTCGTACCGACCTAGTGTCAAAATAATACCCGGTTTAAATGATCAGCAAATCATCCTCACCTATCTGGAAATCCATCCAAAACGTCTGCTTGTTCTTCCAGAGTGCTTTCCAGGTCCAAATATGTGCCATTTTGTAAGATCTGTAGAGCAACGTCTTCTAACTAGGGTCGAAAATTAAAATCTGTTATCGGACCGGCGAGAAGCGCACAAATGTCCAGAAGTGAAACATAAACAATAGCGCCGGTAAAATTCCTTCACTTACGTTGTGAGGCGGCTTGAGCAGTTTATGTAAGACTGCAATTTGTTCACACAGAGGAATATTAACGTACAAAGTACAGGAAGGTGGTCTGGTTGGTTCTGGAAAGTTTGTACTAGCAAACGGATCCGTATCATCGAGGTATTGTACTTTACAAGTGAACGCCATTTCGTTCTTGTCTTCCTCGAGAGCGCCGCTACTCGACGACCGTCGGGTCACTCGGGTGTATAATTTCTGACTTGGGCATGCGCTTTGCGAGGAAAGCCCGTTCCTGCGACTCGCGCGTGGTGAGTACGTGTCACGAATTGAAATCACGCGTGACCGCGACTTCAAAGTGGCTGCCATTTCCCACGTAACGTAACACTGAAATCACAAAAACAAATCCTGTGCGCGCTGTTCCGAAAATCCTCGAGATCCCGCTGGTTTAAACAGAGACATAAAACTCACAAAATGCTCCATAAATGGTTGACCGATTTACCAAGATAACAGACAAGTCCATTTCTGTAGACACATACTTTTAATACCAACCATGTTTTCATACCATACGACTGATCTCTTTAGGCTGCCTGTCAGGTGCAAGTTGAAATCAGGCAAACGAAATACCCCACATTCTGTCTCAAATTCGAAGAAAATCCTGCTTGATTAGCAAGCCATGAAAACGCGCAGTAATGATATAAAACGTACGAAGAGAAAACTATTTTCTTTTATTAGTACAATTCTCTTGTATTATTATAACGATAAACCACTGCGCCAAGACTAGACGCGACCACGGGAAAGCGTTATCAATTCTGTTCCGTTAAAATCACAACTCCAGAGAGTATTGTCAGCAATCAAACACTGTTTCCAATAAAAGAGCACTGGTTGAGTAGAATGCTATGTTGAGCATTTGATATGAGACGTGATCAGGCTGTCTCGTCAAAGTAAACTGTGGCACAGACCGAATCCTAAAGACTGATATTAAACACCCGCTAGGGTATTATTTCTGTTCATCAATACATCATACACAGGGAGATATGAAAGCTAGCCTGTCAACGCATTATCAAAGCGACATAATTAGCATATATTATATTGTCTGAAAATCAACCAATATGACCAACAAATCACAATCTCGTTATGAGTTATGACGCACGAAAAACCCTACCTTGTGTCAATAAAATATAACAAGGAAAATAACAACAGTGGAGATATCCAAAATAGCATTAGGCTGACCTTACAAAACGTTTTGAAAAGGTTTAATATTACAATTCATACAGGAGATAAACGTTTATATAAGACAATTAAAATATTGTTCCTGTGCCAAAGTTACCTTCCCGCGCCAAATGACCTTCCTTCCTTGGGAGACTAGACAATAGAGAGCTCTTGAATATTAGGCAAGCTTCTATCTTTCGTACAATACAATCGCTGAGGGCAGTGTATGATTATCACGAGACTGTAAAAAATTATATAACTAGGTAACTGTTCCTCATCTCTATATTTAACACTACTATCGATGAAACACCCAACTGACCATGCAACGCCAATCAATCATTTACAATTCATAAGACAAACTTGTAGTGCATGAAATAAAAGAAACGACATTAATATTACATTGTGATATTCAAAGGATTTTGCGTTCTTTATATTTGCAAGAATTCCGGAAATCGATGTGTGAAATGTTCAAGACGATTAAAATTTCTCAGGAGCTCTAGTTTAACTAGTTTACATTAGTCATTACATGAACAAGATTAACTTATGATGTATGTATAGACCATACAAGAGTCACGCACTGGATGGTAAAATATTCGTGAGTGACCATTGAATTATTCATCATCATTGCTGTGGTGTTCAGGGTTTTATCGTATTGAGAAGTGTATTCTACAGCGTCATCAGTTTGGCCACAACACCTTGATAATATCAGCGCAATCTGGCTACAATTCAAATTCTGAATATGATACAAGTCCTATGAATCAGCAAACGAGCTTGTGTGGGAATTCAGCATCTTTCTCAATACAATCCTCGAGGCCCAATTCACAATTTTGGAGTCATTTTGACCAAGCCCAATTCCAAGTGTAGCCCTGGGGCTAAGGATATATATATTCTTCCAAATATAGTTTACACTAAACTTAAGTGTTGATTCTAAGATTGATGATTCAGGCCCGAAAACTGATTGAAAAATATCCCAACTCAAATCCCAAATTAATTATCAACCTCATTAATTCCTTCATTTCCTTGACGCAGTGAACTGGTATTTCTGCAGTGTAAATCTTGGTGCGGTTTCCTTAGAAATGAGTCGTGAACCTCCTCCTTTAGTAAACATCTTAACGCCTTCAATAGTTCGTAACGCATGTCAGGAATGTAAACAGAATTTGGTCAACGCACGCAATGGAGAAACACACAGTTTCAAAAATATAAACACATTAAATACCTAATATGATGAATATTATGTCACCATTTACTATACACATCTTTCATTGATCCATTTATACGCTCCTTGTGACCGGTCTGAGAGTGAATGAAAGATAGTTGACATCGTCAAGTTTTGGCAATATTTTAAATCGACTGGCCGTTTCTTCAGCACAGCTATAAAGTTTACAAACACTAGTGATTTGGTCAGTGAACGGTTGAATTTCTCTTAAAGATAGTGACAACGGGTTTTATGCTAATTACAGAATCAAATTTTTTACCAAACACTCAACGCCTGGAGTCGGAGTGGAGTCCATTTATTTTAGGCCAAGCAAACGTGTAAAAAAACTTTCAAACACGTACACCACAAAAGCGTTACTTCATCAGCGAAAACTTTGATAAAACTAATGTCGAGGTTAATTGTGAGGGACTTTCCTTTGCAACTATCAAAGCCACTTAACGTAATGTAACCATTTAGGGACGATAAAACTAGCGAGATAGTTATGAAAATTATAAAATACATATTTACACACGTGGAGAGCAGCGAGGAATTGCTTTTTTAAACCAAATATGACGTCGAGAGTTTCTGGTGATCATATCGAAATCATTCCTTTCTAAGATTATAAAGTCTATATAGTTTTGGTTATTTTGATTCGTGAAAAATTGACTGAATTAGGAGAAGTTAGCAATCAGAATGTCTGTTTCCGAAAAGAGATGAGAAAGGAAAATAATGGCGGGTCGAAGAAAGAAAAAGAGAAAGGAAGAGCAGATGAATCAATCCACTGATTTATTAGTTTATAATATTATGATTGTCGAAGAAATCTCTGAGAACTATGATAGGATTAGGCGACTAATAATCAAGTTATAGTTTAGCGAACATGCTCTTGATATTGTCTTGTATTTAACTATTCAGTGTATGTTTGGCAAACACCATTACTTCTAAATTTATCACAAAGTTAAAATTAATTTATGACAAAGGATTTAGTTCTGCAATTGTCTACTAATCTCCTGAACACGTTGTGTCAATACCAAAAAATACCAATTTCAAATTTGCATAAAATGTAAATTGTGTTTACTGCATTAAGTGTTCTTAAGATCACTTTCCCTAATAACTGTGTCACTAGCACATCATCAAGCATATAACCCTGTATAAAATGGCATACATGACATTCCTATCACTTTTAATTTACCCAAGATTTTAAATCACTTTTACCACTGCGAGAACAGATTGATCAAATATGTCGATCATGTGACATATCTTAGAAAATATTTACATAGACAAAAGGCAATTAAAAGGTTCCAAAGGATCTAGGAATCAGTTTACAGCTCGAGCCTCGTGCATTGTTCATCGCGTTCGCTCTGAGGGAAAATCAGAAGAAACAGAAGCAAGACAGAATTCAGCTGCGGAAGGTAAAGTTTTGATCATACCAACATTTGGGTGCATTTGGAACCTTCTTATACATTCCGTTAAGCAAATTTTAGCTCTAATGAGTTCTACACGTACAGCACGAAACAAGACACTGTTTTGATCGATTGCAACACTCGCGTTCGCGTCGTCTTCAACAACCAACGATGCATTATCCTTTCATCCTCGCTTTAACTTTCATTTCTTGCTATTATTCTGAGAAATATGTCTAACCGTAACGAACTGTTACTGCATGTTGTGTTAATTAAACGTAATTATCTTAAGCTTCACAATAACATCAAATATGTTGCGAAAACATCAAGAAAAGGTCAGCTTATTACATTTCCGTTTCAGATGTCGGAATATGCCATGATGATCAAAATGTTTGCTGTGTAAACTTTCTTTGCTTCGATATTAACGATCATTATGCCTCACTTCATCTCTTTGCAGGGAGAATACAAGTGAAATCTAAGTGATTGCTTGATATTAACATGGAAAATAGCTACAGTAACGAGCGAGGCATGGAGATGGATAAGCTAGCGAACAACAGTACTACTGGCCCACGTTCAACCATCACAATTCTGGGTTCTGGCGACTTTGGTAGAGCTTTGACTAAACGACTTTCATTGGCTGGCTATGATGTTGTTATTGGCAGCAGAAACCCAGAAAGACGACAACGCGAAGCAACTCTACTTAGCTACCGAGTCGTCTCAATAAACGAAGCTCTAAACCACTCTGATATCGTCTTTCTGGCCATTCCTCGCGATGGTTATGACGCCACGGTGACGTCATTGGGTCCACTATTGAAGGGCAAGATCTTGATTGACGTAAGCAATCGTACCCAGGCTGCCTATGAAAGCAGTTCCAACGCCGAATATCTTGCAAGCTTAGTTCCAGATGCACATGTCGTAAAGGGGTTCAATGTCATTTCTGCGTGGTCGTTGGAAAGTGACGTGTATGGTGGAAGTAGATTGGTGTATGTTTGTGGAGATGATGTAACTGCCAAGGAAAAGGTTAGTCACAACTTCTTCACATACTTTTAATTAAAGAGTTTCGTTGTCTTCTTTTCCTATTGTATAGTATGGTAACCATTATCGATTTATTTAACTCTCAGGTTATAGGGATAGCCAGATCAATGCAGTTCAATGCAATGGATCAGGGTTCATTGAAGATGGCCAGCAACATTGAAAATAAACCTCTGGAGCTCTTCCCAAGTTGGCGTGTTGCATTAGCAATGGTGGGCGTCCTCTATCTCATCATGGTGCTGTATTTTGTTCTTAAACGGGTGATAAAGAAAAGCGAATTCACCGACTTCCCTCTGAAGCGAATGAGCCTTATTTTCGCATTTACTGTCATTGGGATCCTAGATATGGTGTACCTCCCAGGATGCCTTGCAGCTCTACTTCAGCTGGCGTATGGCACCAAATATCGAAGATTCCCACGCTGGCTTGACTCGTGGATGAAAGCTCGCAAGCAACTTGGTTTGATCGCCCTGACCATGGCAGCCATGCATGGCTGTATGTCCACGCTGTATTGGTCTCCCGGATACAAGAGTCGACTGTTTCAGAAAACGACCACAAATATTGGCGATGTTTCTATCGTGGAATACAAGAAGATGTTCGCCCAAGGCGAGGCTTTCCTTACCCTTGGTGTTCTGGCCTTGACAGCGTTGTCCATTTTGGGTGTGACTTCACTACCAACAGTCCTGAACCGCATGAGCTGGCGTGAGTGGAATTTCGTTCAGTCTGGCATGGGCTACTTTTCCCTCATCTTTGCTTTGCTTCATTTTACTATCTTCGCCTACGAAGGTATCCCCAAATGGAAACCAGAGGTCTTCTTCTATCCAACAGTGTTGGTTATTCTCATTGGATACGCAGTTGTTATTCTTCGCTTCATTCTGTTACTACCCTGCATCGCGAACAAGGTGAAGAAGATCCGTTCTGGATGGGAAAGAGGTGGAGAATTTACTATTTGATTGTGGAACTGTCTCGTTTTTCAAAGTATCATTATTATCTTGACATTGTGTTTAGCATTCACATGCATTTATCCCATTTGATGGACGGAAAATATATATAGAAAACTGTCTGTCTATACATATATTTCAATTATAGCTTTTATTGCAATATATTGCATTAATATTGCATTAACAATTATATATATAACTTCTTTTAAGAGAATTATTCGCAGTTTCGTATATTTCTAATAAAAATTAAAGTATTAAGTAGTTTTTGTGTTTTATATATTAAATTTTGGCATACACCATTGCCCTTTTTCCTTCTGGAAAAATGATAAAATACAAAGAATTTCTTTGTCTTTAATTTTCTCAACATAAACGGGATCAAAGGATATGCAATGCGATGCACTACAGAGTAAAAGAGAACATTTCTGGACGATTATCAATTAAGCCGTGATAATATAGAAGATGCAGTTGGAAAACACCGTATCAGCGAGATATTACACGATATTATACACCATGAAACTTTTGCCAAGTTTAAAGCATGTGCTTTAAAATTTGCATAAAATCTTTGTACTTTGTGGCAACGCATCAAGTGTGTTCAAGATCAATCTCCATATTTGTTCGTATCATTGATAGATCAATGGTACTCGTCACGCAAGCAGTCTTCAAATCATGTGCCTTCAGTTACTTTCAATACACACAAGCTTTTAATCCATCTTGAAAACAGATTGATCTTGTGGCATCCTGATCATGTGATATTAATATCAAAGAAAACATTCTCGCCGTTTCAGTTATCTAGGAATTCGCTTACACCTCGTGCACGATCGATCGATTTCATTCTAAAAGCTTTCTCGGAAGGATAAAAATAGGACAAAATCTTGACTTCCGTACAGGTAAAGTTTTGCTCATACCAACATGTGGGTGCAAAAGACACGTTATTATGTGCATAGTATTGAGATCAATTTCAACAAATATGAGACGTATGAGTTCGGCTCAACTCAATGAGATATTGTTTGCTTTATAATATCAACGCGTCGTCTTCAGTTTACAAGGATGCTAAAGGTTTATATTTCAGTGTTATTCTGAGTGGGATACTTATTTACACCGAACATTTTTTAAAAACTCTTAGTGATTGTTATAAGTTCTCGCAAAATGTTACTATAAAATCTCGCAGCTTTCCAAATTGGCGCCATATGTATGTATATAGATGCGTTCAGACATAAGATAATTTGGTGCAGGAATTTGGCATATTGTCGAAGTGTAATTGACCATACTGGGCTGTGTTAATCTCATATAATTTTCCTTATCTTCACACTAACGTCGAATTCGTTGCGAAAATATTAATCGCTACTTTAATAGTAAACTGAGGCGCGTTAAAGCACGGTGGGTTAAATAACATTTCCGCTTCAGAAAGTAGGAAGTTTAGGATACACTCTGATCGAAGTAGCTGATTGTTCCGTCTAAGAATGATGACTTTTGATGTTGAAGTTCAAATAGCTTTTACTGAAGACTGAAGTTTATTTGAAACGGTCGGTCGGTCTTCCATGCACTCCTAGGAGAATTCCATTATCGGAATTATATCCTAATTCATATAACATTAATGATAAGTCACGTCTAAAGAATTTATTTCTTTATTATACTGTATTATATTTCCTATAGTGAGATAGTCGCCTTGTTTTGCAATCTGTTTATGATTATTTTAGGTGATATTTGTTTGATATCAACATGGCAAAGGAAGGTTATAGCAACGTTCAAAACTTGGAAATGAACAAGTTAGAGAACGGTTCGCCCACTCAGCCCCGAAAGACTGTCACAGTTCTGGGTTCTGGCGACTTTGGTAGAGCTTTGACTAAACGACTTTCATTGGCTGGCTATGATGTTGTTATTGGCAGCAGAAACCCAGAAAGACGGCAACACGAATCATCTCTACTCCTGTTCAGAGTCCTCTCCATTGATGAAGCTCTAAACCACTCTGATATCGTTTTTCTGGCCATTCCTCGAGATGGTTATGACGCGACCGTTACGTCATTGAGTTCTCAGTTGAAGGGCAAGATCTTGATTGACGTAAGCAATCGTACCCAGACTGCCTATGAAAGCGGTTCCAACGCCGAATATCTTGCAAGCTTAGTTCCAGATGCACACGTCGTAAAGGGGTTCAATGTCATTTCTGCATGGTCGTTGGAAAGTGACGTGTATGGTGGAAGTAGATTGGTGTATGTTTGTGGGGACGATGCAACTGCCAAGGAAAAGGTTAGTCACAACTTCTTCACATACTTTTAAAGAGTTTCGTTGTCTTCTTTTTCTGTTATATATGGTAACCATTATTGATTTATCTAACTCTCAGGTTATCGGGATAGCCAGATCAATGCAGTTCAATGCAATGGATCAGGGTTCATTGAAGATGGCAAGCAACATTGAAAATAAACCTCTGGAACTCTTCCCAAGTTGGCGTGTTGCAATAGCAATGGTGGGCGTCCTCTATCTCTTCATGGTGCTATATTTTGTTGTAGCAATGGTGGCTTATGGAAGCGACTTCACCAACTTTCCTCTCAGATCGATGAGCCTTATTTTCGCATTTACTGTCATTGGGATCCTAGATATGGTGTACCTCCCAGGTTGCCTTGCAGCTCTACTTCAGCTGGCGTATGGCACCAAATATCGAAGATTTCCACGTTGGCTTGACTCGTGGATGAAAGCTCGGAAGCAACTTGGTTTGATCGCTCTGACCATGGCAGCCATGCATGGCTGTATGTCCACGTTGTATTGGTCTCCTGTGTACAAGAGTCGACTGTTTCAGAAAACGACCACAAATTTTGGCAATGTTTCTATCGTGGAATACAAGAAGATGTTGGCCCAAGGCGAAGCTTTCCTTACCCTTGGTGTTCTGGCCTTGACAGCGTTGTCCATTTTGGGTGTGACTTCACTACCAACAGTCCTGAACCGCATGAGCTGGCGTGAGTGGAATTTCGTTCAGTCTGGCATGGGCTACTTTTCCCTCATCTTTGCTTTGCTTCATTTTACCATTTACGCGTACAAAGGTATCCCGAAATGGAAACCTCAGTTCTTCTTCTATCCAACAGTATTAATCGTTCTCATTGGATACGCGGTTGTTATTCTTCGTTTCATTCTGTTATTACCCTGCATCGCGAACAAGGTGAAGAAGATCCGTTCAGGATGGGAAAGAGGCGGAGAACTGATTATTTGATTGTGGAACATTGAACTGTCTCGTTTTTCAGAATATCATTATTTCTGACATAGTTTGTATCCTGGGGTTGTAGATTAGACACTAAAAACGCTGGTCTTTTTCAGTTAAAATGGATAGATATATATTATACATAGACGGTCCATACGCATAATTTTACGTGTATCACATTCACTTATACTGTATTAAATAGATTGTATTTGTTTTCTCATTTTTCTGTGGAGGGAGATGCAATATTTCGTATCAGGAGATGCAATATCGGTATCGGCAATATTAGTCTGTTGTTCCGGAGATAAAATACACTGTTTTAAATGAATAATGCAAGTGAGGAAACTTCACCTGTAGACCTACCAGAAGTAACAAACCCATTATCAGAAAGAGACTTGCATGTACAAGTGAATCCAAGTCATCCAACCGCCCATGATGAAGCATATGGTATATCAACAAGTCTGTATATTTGTCACTGGACAACTCCATGACTATATGTAATTATTTATACTCAAAACCAACAGAAATTTGAAATCAGAACCAATAAAATATTGGTAACATACCAAACAGTGGTAAATAAGCATTATATTATAATCCTATCCTTTTGGCCATGGTATTTACCACTGACCGGGCTCAATTCTTCGCTGGTTTTTCAAAACAATATTTTAAGTTTTGTTTATAGTAACATCCGTGAAATCCTTGTTTACAAGTTTGTTTATTCAAAATCTTTCGTACAAGTGAACAATACGAGTAAGTTGACATTACTGACTGTTCATAATGATAAAAGTATAGCTGTTTAATTACGTGACATTTGAAAAACACATCCACTTTGACTAGAATCTTTATACCAAGAAATTCGGGTGCCCTCGACAGGTTTATAGCCCAGTAATAACTCAGTGTTTTTGTCGTTTTGCTCTTTCATAGGTTCAATGTACAATCCTTTGCCATCTCACATTCAACATGATCCAAAGAGGCTTGATTTGAAGGTATTAATATTTTACTCTGCCTATAAATTTGTCATCAGTTCCCAGAGCAACAACAAATTTAAATAAATGGCCATTCATTCAATTACACAAACCTCACTCAATATAGGACTTAGATTGTCCTTCGAACAAGTATGTCCAAGCCTTCATCGAGAAGCAGTTACCAGAGAAGATGGACAAAGAGCAAGTGATGACGACTATGAAACAGAAAGCCGTCATGTTAGACTCCTTTAACATGACAAAGAAGAAGAAGAAACGAAAACGACTAAAAACTATGAATTCCCAGGAGAAAAGAGAGAGAGGAATATTTAAAATATCTAAAGAAAATCAAAGGTAAAAAGTAGAAACTAACCAATAAAGATGTCTTGAGGGAGTCTAGAGATTTATTTTTCCTGTTTTTTCTAAGGTATGATTTATTTCTACCTCTACATGAATTGTGGAAACAATACATTCGTGAAACACTTGGAAATCTGAGGTAATATTTTATTATGAAATGACCCAAATTGTAAATTGTGCATTAACCTCTGATCATTATCTTTGCAGCGAACCTGTTAATGTAAAAGCATTGACTCCAAAACTTATAAAAGCAGATTATCATGGGGCTATCATAAGTGGTAAATTTTCTTTATGTTCTACTCTGCTGGTATTACTCTACTAGATGTGATATAAATGAACTAACACTAAAGATATATGATTACATTCTATGATTCTAAGACTGAGAAATACCATGGTGTAATGGGCCTAACTTAGGGACTGGTCATAATTTAGCAGGGGGGGTGGGGAGGTGGAAATAGTGGGGGGGTCACATATTTTTTAGCCAGAAAAAAGGGGGGTTCATAAAATGTTAGACAGTTATAAGGGGGGGGGGGTTGCTTATTTCTGGTTGTAATTATTTCTTTTATACATGCTTAGACTTTGAGTTGCACTGCATAAGCTTTGCTTAGAACATTAAACAAAATTAGTTATAGAATTTAAAATGAAAAGTTATATAAGTCACTGTGTTAAAATATTTATATTTTAAATAGCAGGGTCTTTCACTAGAAATAACTAACATATTATGTTTAAAACCAAATTTTAACATATGAATATGTCAAGGGTGGGTAGTATCGGAGTTGTTGGAGTTTGCAACTGTAGCGAACTACAATTTGCTAACTGTATAGACTACTTTTAAAACTGGTAGTTTGAAGTTGTCGCGAACTATATTTTCTATATTAAAAGTAGCGAAGTAGTTGATTACTTTTTCAACAACAATCGCTATTCGCCACTTTTCGATTTTTTAATATCCCTCGACTATATACTCTATAGTTCATACACTATAATACAAAACTAGTCATTTAATATACCATGTCAAATCTCGTTTGGACCCACATTTTGTTCTAGAATTCTTTGGCTCATCCGCCATTAATCCATAGTATCAGAATATATGAGCATATTATGCTTAACATTTCATATGTTTAAAACATGTGAATCAATATAAATTACAAACACGGATACCAGGAATTTTGTTGTAGCGAAGTAGCGAATACTTCGCTACATTTTTCTAGCGATATAGCTGTACACGTAGTCAAAAGAACCAAACTACATATTTTTGACAATAGCAGTAGTTGTAGGTGACTACATTATTTTAAAATAGCAGTAGTTGTAGCGAACTACACAAAACTTGTAGTCTACCCACCCTTGGAATATATATAAGTGGACGTATATAAATTAATTTTATTACTTTATATAAACGTTGTCAGAAAAATTTTTGAAGGTGTAATTACTATTTTGAATTGACGGTGCAGATTACAGTAGTTTCTCATTTTGAAGCAGTGTTTATCAAAACGTTGACGGATGGGGGGGGGGGGCATTTTTACCGTCTCGAACAAGGGGAGGGGGCATGATTTTTTGTGGATAAGGCAAGACAGGGTTGCAAAATATCATTCCTTAAAATATTGAATTACACCTCCCCACCCCCCCTGCTAAATTATGACCAGTCCCTTAGTTTCTAAAATTTTTCAGTTTCCAAATCAAAATGTCCAGGATATGTTGGACTAACTGGAATACTATTGCAAGAAACAAAAAATGTATTTAAAATTATCACCAAACAAGATCAGATTAAAAGTAAGTCTATATCAGCTCTATGTACATACATATCCAGTGCATGTTTATGTTATGCTTAATATATCTACCTTGTTTCTCTTTCAGCTCTGCCCAAGGCAAACAGTGTGTTTACTATCGAGATTGAGGGATATTTATGTACACTTTATGGTAACCAACTTAAAGTACGATCAGCCGAAAGGACATCAAAGAAATTTAAATCAAAACCAACTACAGATTTATGAGTTATGATTATTTATAAGATAATTATTTATAAGGAAGAATATTAAAATTAGCATTGTGAGATCTTTAGTTTCAATTATTTTTACTTTTAAAATAGAATACTGGTACAACATAAAGACAATACCTACACAATCATCTATATTTAACCCCACAACGGTTGTTACATACTAAAGTTTCATTTCATGAAACTAATAAATTATGTTCAATACTTCAATTTGTTTTTTGTGCATCCACAGTTGGTAATGCCCAGTCAGGCCAGGGGCATCTGTATTCCCAGTCAGGACCCTTGGGGAAATAAAATGATATTTTTTAATCCACAAGTCAAAATGTGTGAAAACTGGTTGTAATCAGGTTGATTTTGTGTGACTTTCTAAGGAGTAACTACAGGTTGTATACATTACATAGCGTGACTTTTATGAAGCTAAATACCTTGTATACAGCAGCATGAAGACACATTGTCAACTCAGCTGGTGTAGGATCACATTGCTGTATTTGACACTCAGTACAACCTGGCACCTTGGTTTGCTTCCAGTCCTCCTGATTTGTGCTTGCTGCTGAAACTGTTGGTTCTTGCAATTTCGTACAATCCTCTGAACTTTCTTCAGAATTAGATTTTGAATTCAGGTCAACATCATTGTTTTGTAATGATGTGGTTAAGGATTCAATTATCTAAAGTTTGATAAAAAATTGCATCACAAAGTTTCTCGAGTGGCCATCTCACCCCACCTCAATAAGCTACATACCTTAAAAGCTATTTCTTCACTCACACCCCCCTTGCCCTTGCCTGGTCCCCAGGCCTCATGATTGTATATTGGATCATCTATAATTGGGTAACCCAGCCATTGCAGGTGAACACGTATTTGATGCATACGACCTGTGGATGGACGACCTGAGAAGAACAGAATATTCATGACTACAGGTTATATTGTTGTCATAATAAGGATCCATGTTAATGGTTTATTTGCTCAGTCAATGTATTTCACTTAATCACCTAGTAATTAGAAGTTATTTTATTCATTAGAATGCTATATAGCTTACATTTAACAATACTATTTGTTCCGTCAAATGATTCTCTAGTAAAGACTGTTCTACAGGATTTACCATCCCCATGAACACGGCACACACCAATTTTATGTGAAATGACCCCAATAGGCTCACAGCAATCGATCTTATCACTAGAATTGAAAACTTTGTCGTTTTAGAGATATATATTACATTCTGAATAATTCTGGGGTCACACCAACCTTGGAAATTCCCCTTGCACTTTGCAAACATATTCTTTTTGTAGTTCATGTTCTCGTAGTTGTTTTTCTAACTGCTGAGCTTTTTCTTTTGACCTTGGTGGTGAAATGGTATATTTTTTTGTGATATACTGCTAGTTAGGAAAGAATATAATATGACTTTCCAGGCAAATAGATTACTTACTTTGCAAACATGACAATTCCTGAAGTCAATCTGTCAATTCTGTGGATAGCTATAAAATGCATAAATATTTGACAATATAAACATATAATTTTGAAACCAAATATCACCTTAACTAAGTAGTATCACCTTCATTGATCAACTTACTATGCAAATTAGTGTAGCCAAACTCTCTTCCAAGCAAAAATACCAAAGTGTTGTGCCGATATCTTCCACAGGGATGAATCTGAAGGAAACTGGTAGTTAAACTACACATGATGCAAGTGTATTGAACAACTTACAAATAAAACAGACCGACAGCGTACAATATCTTACAGGTATAGATGATGGTTTGTTAACAACGACAAGATCTTCTGTTTCAGAGATAACTTGGATAGGTACTGCTGTCACAGGAGGTTCATGCCTAAATTATCACGAAAACAATGCAAGTTATTGCTTATATGCAGATGTTACTATTATTTGCATGTATGACTGGTTAAAAAACGGATAAAAATATTTACTAGACCTATGAACTTTGTGGCAAATAACATCATTGTCTTTGAGGATTGAATCTTCATTTACGTGATTACCATTCACTAAAATACAAGAAATCTTTTATAAGATGACGGCGACCAACAGATAAAATGATGTATCTAAATTGTCCCAGTTAACTCCACCTGTAATATTTCCTGTCTGAATAGCTTTTCTCTAAAAATATTTTAAAAAAATGAATTATTTTGTCATAATGATAAAGATCTTGGGCAGGTTGTACAAAAGCTGGATATTGCAATCCATCCACATTCCTTTTGCTTTTGATAAATTAGAGTAAAATAACCTACAGAAAGTTGCTATTCTTTGCTGCTTACATAATATTCAATTGTTTTAGCCTGGAATTCCTGAGATAAAACATCGAGAATTTTTCTTCGAAGCCAGCGTCCTTTACAGTAAGTGGTGAATGTAAATGGATACGGTTTGACATGACGTAAACCTATTAAAATTAATATTTTACTAAAGTTCTGAGTATTTAAGGGAAACATTTGACAGGAATATACAACTTCAACGATGCATATCTCCCGAAGTATCTAAATCACTGCTGTTACTCACCATCCTTAATATAATATTCAGTCTCTTGAAATTTTTCCTTATCAAAACCTGGTTTCTTTTTTGAATCAGTTCGTACCTTTTTAGCATTTTTCTAGGAAAAAACTTTGCATAACAAATAAATCATCATACAACTTGTCATTTCTACAACGAGGTTTCTTGAACGTGATATTTGAATGGATTAAGTCTAATAAATACAGCAATACCTCTTTTCCTTCCTCTGTTTTTCTTTTCCTAAAATTCAAATCGTCCGCCATTTTGAGATTTTCCAACTAATCCACACGAAACTTCATGTAGGTTTTATGAAATTTGTTGTCGTTTGCACTTTTCGTGAACAGTGCGTACTGCCGTATTTTGAAAAATTGAACTCGTCCCCAGGTCTTCTATGACCCCTGAGTCTCTGCGATGCATTTGCGACATCATTCATGTAAATATTTTTACTTTATTTGAAAATTATTCCCTTACACCAATTATTAGCCTTAATTAAGTACATGATTTTAACCACAACTTACAGGTTTTAAATCCACTTTCGTCTCGATTTACTAATATTACTTTGATTATGGTACCATTATAATTATACTTTTTCGTGATTATAAATTTAGACAGATACTTCACCCAGCTTGTAATGTTTTACTTCTCACTAGGACAACGTAAACGCAAAAAATAGAGAGAAAGAAATGGAAACGAAGAGGTTGAATGTGTTCATAACATTAGTCGTTGATGAACTTTCATCTTCACTTTCCTCTGTCGTTCTTGAGGGTGGCGATGGTGGCGTACCTATTATGCAATAAAAGAAATATAATGTCATTTAGTGTACTTGTTACCAAACTAAATTATGGAAACTTATCAATGGCAACTAAAGCTGACTCACTTTGCGATCGAACGTTTTGACATGTTGAACCTGACCAACCATGGGTACACTGACAGAATGGTACAGCAGCATCAACACAAACACCTCCATTTCTACATTGTAATACAGCACGACATGGACATCCTATCTCCACATTCATTCTTGCTTTCTTTACGTTTGGATCTGTGTCTAAGTTCTTGCCATTGTAAGTGATACTAGCTATACAGCCTTAAGAAAATAAAGTCACAAAACGTCAAAGCATAGAATTCCTGCAAATGATGCAAGTCAGGAAAGCATGACAGCCTTCATAAGAGCATTATTAATCACATTTCATCTCAAACCTTGCATATCTCCAGCAACGCTTTTGACAGCTCGTCCATCAGTTGTTACACCAAGTATTGTACCAGCTGAGCGACGATGTCGATAACGGACATCATAAACGTTTGCCTTGACAAGTTTATTCACGATGGTAACATTAGGAGCAATGTCTGGCAATCCACCAACTACAATTTTCGTTTTGCCCATGCCAATTAACGTCTTAATTCCACCTAAAAAATTAAGGAATAAATAAAAGAATTCTTCTCCAAGCTGTTGAACTTACGCCTCTTGAGAGATACAGGTGCAGCCCAAACTTACGTTCTCTTTCAACTAAATACCTCTCATGATTCGAATGACTCTTTTCCAAGAGAGTCCAAAAATTGGAACTTTATTAAAAGCATTTCAAACATTTATTTGTAACCTGTGTTCCTGCTAACTCGTCCTTCATAATCAACTTGAAGTTCAACGAAGTTCCCATCTCGCAAAAGCATGACATTATGCCAGTAACCGTCGGCGATATGAATCTTTGAAGACATTTCCACGTAAACCTGGCCATCTGATAATTTCAACTCATAATACAGCTTCTTCTTCGAGTACTACAGCAAAACAATCAAAGTTATATTCTTGTAATTTCGCATGGAACTTTTAAAATGTGAACTTAGCAAATATTTCTAAGCTATAAATACCAATTTTACCTACCCCCAATTTACTGTATTCCAGCCCATCCTCGCTGACAGCATAGAAAAATATAGCTTCAGTAACACCAGGATCAACTCGTATTTGCATAGTAATGTGATTACTAAAACGATCTAGAAGATCTGAAGGTTCCTGGGCCGCCCCACGCTTCTTACGACGTTCTTCCCCAGGTAGTGTGTACTCCGTAAAACTGTTTGCAAGGTAGGTGTGTCCTGGTGAATCTAAATTATATCATTTTCAATAAAATGAGACTTCTCACGAATTCTTTTCTCACGTACCAGTGTTTTAAATTATTCAAATGCGAAAGATACTCACTTCCGCTACAGTCGTCACCAATGTAGCCCGCAGGACAGCTACAAACACTGTGAGCAAATCCTGGGTAACAATAACCACCATTCAAACAAGTGGGGCATTCAGCCATGATAGTACATCCCGCAGGAGCATTGACGACTTTGAGAGGATATGATAAGTCGTACATCTCTAGGTTCTCCTTGATCTTACGAATACAACCATCAAAATATTTATACTCGACGAACTTTGAAGAAGGATAGTCCAAAGGCATGCTTTCAACGCCACCAATCTGCATTGGACCAAGACCATTCAAAAACCTGAGATAAATTGTGAAAATTTGTTTAATAATGGTAACAGTTTTTATAGGCAAAAGCCTGATGCCGTAAAGAGAAAAGTATCGAAACTTTCAAAACAAAATTCTATTTAGAAAATACAGAGTTCTGGTTCGACACGTACTCAAAGTTTTGTGTGGTTTTCATCACCATTTCACAATTTTCTCTCATCTCAACAAGTTTTTCGTCAACTTTAACGATGCTTGCGAGTTGGCAACGATCAATTATCATTTTCACTTCCTGAGGAGAAAATGGAGTTGTATTTAATTTCGTTTTCTTCACCATTAGCGTATTCGGACAACGATAATATCAAATGACGACAAACCTTTCTTTGATGTGAAACTTCAACATGATGCCACTTTCTATCATTCAGTGTTGGTCCTTTATCCATGTAAAATACCTGAGGTTCTCCTCCGAACGTCAAACCCACTTGAATCCGTCCATTTTTCAAACTAATAGCCAGGAAATCTCCACGACCATTGTTGCCATCTAAATATCGTATGATTATTATGAGATAATGGACTGTTTTTCTGGAGAATTGTCTTCAAGTGATGTACCTTTGACTGCCGGGCCCTGATAGAGTAACAGACCATTGGCTGCACCAGTCGCAAACTCCAATGAGACACTCCCAAAATTATGCGGGGTCTTGGGAGGCAACCAGATGTAAGAGTTACCCTGGAATGTGCGTGTAGTAAGTTGACACCTAGGACCACTGTACTTTCCGGGGCATTCACATACAAAACCTCGTGGTAAAACATCGTGACAAGTTCCTGCAAAGAAAAATAGACTCTTATAGGACTAAGACGTTTGAATACTTTAAGTTTTCAGTTTCTCACTAACCAGTTGAATATTTCCTTACCTCCATTAAGACAACTGACTTCATTCACACACGTATCATACTCCGGATCAGGATCTTGATGATAACGATCATATTCTGCGTCGGCTTTGACTGGGATTGATGTGATTGCGACCGCATAGTCAGGGACTGGTATCAAACCATAATCGCTGCTCACGACAGAATACTCGTCACCAACAAGACGCACCGTATTACGACACATACCAGACTTCTTTGTCTCTTCAACACAGTAATCAAGACCAATCATACCAAGTTTGAAACCTGCAAAAAATGAGATTAACACATCAGCTTTTAACTAAACAAACCTAGATCGTTGGATAAGTGTTAAATAAACGAGACCTACCAATCTCTTTTAGTGTTTTATTATTCTTCTCCAAAGTATTAATCAAAATATATCGAGGTAAAAATAGACTTTTAACTGAAGATTTCTTCCTGATAGCAAAATGAACATCTATGGCAGGATAAGATCTTCCTGGCTTCCTGATTTGTTTCGACATTTGAATACTGAAGACATAAATATCGTCAGCAGAAACGTCAAACAAGTTGGACAACATATTGACAAAGCGATCATAATAAGTAATCGAATCAAACTTGCTGGTGCTGCCCTGACGGATAGGAGTTCAAAAAGCGGTTAGTGTTCAGGACTTCGTGAAGTTGTATAGCAGCGCTGTTCTCAATGGCCTCTTTTGGGACATCACGAACAGTGACGTCAACTGTACATGAAGGCCGCGAACTTCCTTTCCGTCCTCGAATTTTCAGTTCATATTTTCCCACCTTTACAGTACTCTTAGCACTGATCCAACCGTCGTTACTTTGCACTGTAAACTTATCTGAACCTGGCAAAAACACAATGCAGTTGTGATTAAAGAGCAGTCTGCATTCTATGTGCACTATTTTGTGAAATTGGACTGTACCTGTGAGAGTATAAGTCATCCCGCGGGTATTATCACCATCATTATCTTTGAAGTATGTCTGTGCAATCCTTCCTCCAACAAACTTTCCATCAATAGCATTCACAACAACTCGCATTCTTGCGCTCGACTCCCCCGATTCGTCAACATCTTTAACATGTATAAATACGTTGGCAGTTGAAGACAGTTTTGGTTCTGGAGCGTCTGTGACTTTTACAACAACTTTTAAATCTGGCGTAGCCTCTCGGTCCACACTGCCAGTACAATACAGCTTAGTACTGTTCTTTTCGGGATCGTCACGTAGCGAAAATCGGTTGCCAGGATTTCCATTAGGGGCAAAAGCAAAGACAAATGGTCCTTGTGGGTCTTCGTCGGCATCAACCGCGGCGAGGGTGACAAGAGGTGTATTAGAGTCACAGAGTCCTTCTGTGATTGAAGCGGTGTAAAATGGAGATAGGAATCTCGGTGGATTGTCGTTTACATCTTCCAGGGTTATTTGTAGCCAAGCCAAATCTAGGAAGAAAGTTATATGATTGGCAAGCACGCGTTGATAAACATTGGAAAACGAATTGATTAAACGTTTGACGTTTTGACATCGAAAACGCTGCAACGCTGCTTCTTGGTAAATTGTTTCCATGTAAGTATGGTATAATCAGGATTGACAGCAAATAATAACAACAAAAGTACCTGATACTCCTCCGTTATCCATAACAACCAACTGCATGTCATAACGATCTTGAAATTCTCGATCAAGCGGATGGTTTATCACAATATCGGCTCTTTTTGAGTCCAATTTTACCACTCCAAACCAGTCACCAACATTTCCGGACGTGATGAAAAATCTGTGAATAAATAGATTCAAATTCATTCATATATTTGCATCGAAAATCCGGCTAAGAAAATCGTAACCATGAATATTTAGAGCCATGATAACAAATAACGGTGTTTGATTGCATATTGTCAACTTCTCAACGAACCTAAACTTGTTGCTATACCCCAAGTCATTATCATAAGCCTCGATTCCAAGATTTAGTCTCGTTCCCACCGGTGTATCTTCAGAAATAGTTGCAATATACATCTTGTTAGGTGCAGTAAACGTAGGACGATTATCATTTCCTGGAATAACAGTGATTTTCACTGAAGCTGTGTGTTCAAATGCTCTTTTCAAATCAATGCCAATATCAATCAACATTTCGTTATTCCTTTCTTTTAAACCAACCGTCAAATTATAAACCTTTGTTCCTGTCTTATCAATATCCAGTTCTCCTGCCACGACAATTTCACCTGTCTCCTGGTTGATGTCAAAAGCGTACGGGTAATTACCACTCTTTATGGAAAAGGCGTAATTATTTGGGGGTGCAAAATCCTGATCTTTCGTAGTCAGCTGTAAAACAACAAAACCAGGCGGACGACTTTCAGAAACGCTTGCTTCGTATTTTTCTTTTTGAAACAGCGCTTGAAATTCGCTCTCATCACGAATAACTATAGTAACGTCTGTCTCGCCATATAACCGTGGATTGCCGTCGTCCCAAGCTCTGACACGAATAGATAAATTTCTTCTAAATTCTTCAGCGTCCAGTTTTACCCTCGTAACAAGTCGACCGTTGCTATCCATTTTAAACAATCTTCCGTCCTTGTCAAATGGATCTTCCCCAGTGTTTGTCAGCAACGCGTACCTGAGTCTTACATTCTTGCCTCCATTTATATCCGGGTTATCCCGATCTATGGCGTTGATATATCGAACCAAAGTACCAACAGGTAGATTTTCTTTAATATAACCAACATATGGTTGGTCCAGGAACAAGGGTGGCGCGTCATTTGTATCGTTGATCTATAAGAACGAAAGACAGACAGTTTCTGTTTGCCATAATCAGAATTGAATAAACGTTTTGATAAATGTGTAGTAATATATCCAGGATAAGGTCTAACTTACCTTGACTCTGACAACTGTCTGACCAGTGATGTTAGGACTTCGTATTTCGTAAGCATAGACAGGGAACGTAATGATAGGCGTCACCTCCCAGTCCAAAGGTTCTCCTACAGTAGTGATCATTCCTGTCACGTTATTGATTTCAAAATATGGCAATGCTTTTTCATCAAGTCGGAAGCGAATTACATCTTTGGGATCTTCAGGTTCTTTCACCTGGACTTTTACCACTGGAAGACCAGCTGCAGAATTCTCTGGAAGATGTTCTTCATAAAATGATGTAACGAATTCTGGTTTGGAGTCATGACGTTCTAAGATCTAAGAATTTTAATCAATATCAACACTGATTATTTTAGTTTACCGATCATTTTAGTTAACTTTAGTTCAACAATTATCGAACTTACCCTAACAGTAATGGTGGCTGTTGCTGTGTGTTTACGATCCGTAGCTGTCACAGTCAAAGTATACACAGGATTTGCCCTAAATTTTGGTGACTTTTTAGCATCTAACGGAAAGAGAACTTTCAATCTTCCAGTATTTTGTCCATCTCTTCCTAAGATAGTTTCCATGGCAAATCGACCATCATTTCCAGCAGTTATAAAATAGCGCACATCTGCGTTTTCAAAAATGTCGTCGTCTGTTGCATTGAGTACAAGATTAGGTACAACATATGGCACTGGGATATTTTCTGGGATAGGAGCTGCTGTAAAATCTGTCTTTGCAAACACAGGTGGTGAATCATTTTCATCTCGCACATTTACAGTAAGCACAGCTGTACTTCGTAGACCAGGCGATTTGTCTCGATATGCCTCAATAATAATAATGTAAACAGATTTCTTTTCTCTGTCGAAAAATCCCTTTTTAAGCGAGATAGCAGTCTTGATTTGTGCATAACCTGTTCTCTCTTCTACTGTAAATATTTTAAAATCAAATTTATCTTCAATCTTGTAAATCATTTTCCCTCCACCTGCAGGATCTGGATCACTGGCTTGGACACGGAATACATCAACTCCTCCTCCGGCAGCTTCTGAGACTGTTGCTTCATATTTATCATTACCAAATATGGGTACAACATCATCAACATCGTCAACATTAATCTCAACAATGACAGAGGAATGGTCATTTGCACCAGATTTTTGTGCTTGAATGGCAAACAGGTAGGATTTTTCAAATTCATAATCCAACGACTTCGTTGTTGTAATGACTCCAGTTGCTGTACCAATCACAAATGGTAAATTATCACGATCTCGCAAAAGTTGCAGTGAATATAGTGCACTGCCACCACCAACAATTCCAACTGTTAAAACAGACGACCCAGCAGCACTATTTTCCTTCACCTTGCCAACATACTTAGATTTCCTAAAGGTAGGTGGTGCATTTCTAGCAATGGTTACTTCTACTCTTGTTTGCTTTTTGGTTCCCTTATCTCCACCAACAACAGCCACCTTGTTTTTAGCTTCTATCACAAATATTATTTTATCACCAATATTGAGCCCTGCCATTGAACTTTTAACTTTCACTTCTCCTGTTGTTTTAACAACTTCTAGATAGTCAGCATTTCTTGAGCCAATTTTCTGTGTGACTTTTGAATATTCAATCACTGCATTCTCGCCCTGATCTGGGTCTATAGCTTCTACATATAACAAACGGCTTCCTGTGGGAAGTGTCCTTAAAGCGGACACGTCATATTCTTGCACAGTGAATATGGGATGGTGATCATTAACATCCAAAACTTCGACAACAAACTGACAGTAACCAATTTGACGAAGAGGTTCACTTCTGGTTGGACCACCATCTGTTGCTTTGGCAACTACAAAGATTTCATCATATTTCTCTCTATCAAGCACTTGTGTTGTTTTCACCTCACCAGTTTGATTGTTGATTGCAAAGAAGTTATGTTTTTGCACTGTTGCAAGGCTATATTCAATCAATTTGTTGACACCTCTGTCATCATCTGTTGCAGTTAAGCTAGTCAATGTTGTGCCAATAGGTTGGTGTTCATTAATCGATTGCTTCTTACACTCTTTGAAGACAGGTTGGTGGTCATTCACATCAAGAACATGAATTTTAACAGTTGCAGAAGGATTTGATTTGTGGCCCCCCTTGTCAGTTGCAATTATTTTTAATTCATAAGTGTCAGAGCCGCGAAATTGATTTCTATTTTCAAACACTTTTATAACACCCTGACTTGCAGCATAAAAGTAATCCCTACCCTCATTTGGGTCAGCGTTATCCATTCTATAATTAATATCACTCGGTTTTGTTGCAGGGTCTGGGTCTAACGCCTGTGCAACACCAATAACCTGATATCTTGGTGCATCTTCAAAAATTGCAAAATCAAAAATAGGATTTGGAAATTTTGGTTGGGTGTCATCAATATCTAAAACAGTTATTTCAACATAGGATGTCCTTGTGCGGCCATTTGTCCCGGGATCTGTAACCTTAACTGGAAAGAAGAAATAATTCTTTTTCTCATAATCTAAATCTTCAATGTTTAGGATTTGTCCAGCACTTGTTATATCAAAAAATCCTCCAGTATCCCCAAGAGAGTAAATCATTTCTCCTGATTTACAGTCGCAATTTTCATTACAATCACAGTCTTCAACATCAATTTTATAGATATCTCCACCAGTCCGTATTGAACCCTCTTTAAATTCCAATCGTTTTGCTGGTGTTTTAAACATTCCTAAATGATCATCAGCATTTACCAGCCTTAAATTCACAGTGACATCTGTGGTACGACCTTGATAAGCATCCTCAGATGCTCGAACTGTGAACGTAAACATTTTGTCAGAGTCGTTAGCTGTATCATAATCAATTTCACGTAAAAGTGTTACCTCTCCAAGATGATTTATGGCAAAAGTGTCCTTAACATCCTCTGTAATTATTTCATACTTCATATGCATTCCAGATCTACTTATTGCTTGAACTTTTGCCACAACACTGCCTCGAGCATCAGCTTCCGAGAAATAAAGATTATATGGAGCACCTGTGAACTCTGGAGGAGTTTTCTCAACACGAACTGTGAAATCCTGGACTGCACTTTTTCTAGGTGGCATTCCATAATCAAGAGCCTGAACCCTTACCTTATAGCGTCTACTCTCAAGCAGCTCCCCAGTTGTTTTCAAATAGTGAGTTTTAGGATCAATTGTAAATTTAGATTGCTTTTTATCAGCTGTGATGATATTGAAACGTATTCTTCCTCGTGGCCCACTGTCATCATCTGCAGGGTTTATATGAAGAATAGGTGTCCCAGCACGAGCATTTGTATTTATTTTCCCAGTAAAGAATCCACCACCAGATGTATCTCGAATCCATTTCGGAGTATTGTCATTCCGATCAACAACTTCAACAATTAAGTAATGATCGACATAATCACGTTGTGGATCATCCTTGTTTTCAGGATGTGGCACTGGTGGTTGTTTTAATGGCTCATCATCAGTGTAATTGTGTCTGAAATCACGGATGGTCATGTTATACAGTCTGAGAAATTCAAAGTCCATCTTGGTAGTCGTCCTGACTTCTCCTGTGTCCTGATCAACTGTGAAATTCCGCCATCCAAAATAAGGCCAGACAATCGACTGCTTGCCATTAGGAAACAGTTTACGAACTCTACCAACTATAGTATTTGGTGGGATATTAAAAGGTGCAGTTGAACCATCATTACTGTCTTGTACAAACTCAGGAACATAAAGCCGTGTTGCTGGAACTGTACCAATAATATTTAAACTTTCAAATAACCGTCTCTCATACTCACGACGTTGCTCATCAGCCCTGTTCAATTCTTCCTCTTCTTCTGCACGACGAAACCTCTGCTTCAGGTTGGCCTCGGATGCAGATTTTCCTGTCGTTAATGATGTCAAACGCTTTGCCTCGTTTCTTTTATCAACTCCAAGATTTTTACCCTCAACAGGTATTTTCCCAAGAGCTGCTTTTACCACAACATCATGGGACCAAATAAAAAGCGTACACATTAAAACGATATGTACCGCCATTTGTTTGCGTACAAATAGGTACCTCTACCTTGCAGTCTTTGCTTCTCGTTTCAACACAAGCATTCACTGCATTTGTTGAGTCATGCTGAGAGCAATGATGGGCTTAATAAAGGCTTTTTTTAAGTCCTTCTGGTTCCGCGTAGTCAGCGTAGTGCCGGTAGGCTACAGAGAAGAATTAATCATGATGACTTATGCGACGCGAATTTTTCATTTTCAGAAGGAAATAAATTCAATTCCAAAAAAGGAATTTAAGAGATATAGGTTAAAGTGTACTATCATTCGGTAGTTACCAAGAATATCATTGTCATTGTCAAAATTAGCAATTTGAAAACTGAAAAATTCATGATTTTGGCGTCAAGCTGGCAAATCGCGTCAAGTGTGTCGGTCTTTGTATATTGCTTGGTATTGTGCCAGCTGTGCTTCAAGCGACTGTCTTTCAGATATATTTGTGTTTCAGCACAAATACAGGAATATAAACAGGAAACAAGATAAAGAAATATATTGTTCATGAAAGAAAAGGAATGTAGTTTTTGACGAATTAAGGATGTTGCATATACGTCATCGCCAACTTCCTTGCACGTCGTCGTCGATAATTACGATAAATCATTTCTAACAATCTTTATTGACCCAGCTCTAAGATCATTTGCTCAACGTTGTGCGTTTAAAATCTCTTCACAAGTAACTTTCAAAATTCGACTTTATGGTCGTCTGTTTAAGCTTATTTTTACTTGTAAATGTCATGCAGATACATCGGTTCAAATATCATATTTGTTCCTAATAACGTAAATAAAATACTAAAAAGAGAGGCGAAATATATGGAATAGAGAAATACACAAAAGATAGTGAATGTATTTATGTAGATACCACTAATTGGTGAGCCTCCAGATGTTTCCGGCAATGTTTCTAGAAAAGAGAAAACTTTCATCCTAAGTAAGGGCTTGTCAAATTACTCACCATCTTTAATATAATATTCAGTCTCTTGAAATTTTTCCTTATCAAAACCTGGTTTCTTTTTTGAATCAGTTTGTACCTTTTTAGCATTTTTCTAGGACAAAAATCTTTGCATGACAAATAAATCATCATACAAGTTGTCATTTCTACAACTAGGTTTCTTGAACGTGATAGTTGAATGGATTAAGTGAAATAAATACAGCAATACCTCTTTTCCTTTCTCTGTTTTTCTCTTCCTAAAATTCAAATCGTCCGCCATTTTGAGATTTTCCAACTAATCCACGAGAAACTTCATGTAAGTTTTATGAAATTTGTTGTCGATTGCACATTTCGTGAACAGTGCGTACTGCCGAACTTTGAAAAATTGAACTCGTCCCCAGGTCTTCTATAATTCCCGAGTCCCTGCGAAGCATTTGCGAAATAATTCATAGAAATATTCTAACTTTACTTGAAAATCATTCCTTTGCACCAATCATTATGTACATGATTTTTACTAAAAATTATTGGTTTGAAAAAACTTCGGTTCGATCAACTAATATTTTCCATGACAGAAATTTAGACAGACACCGTGACAGAAATCTAGACAGACAGCGAGACACGTCACCTATAGCTTGTAATGTTTTACTTCTCACTAGGACAAAGTATAAGCAAAAAATATAGAGAGAGATATGGAAACGAAGAGGTTGAATTTGTTCATAACATTAATCCTTGATGAACTTTTCTTTGTCGTTGTTGAGTTTGGCGAGGTTGGCGAGGTGGGCGATGGGGTATCTATAATAAAAACATTTCAACATTTAAATTTACCAATCCACGTAGCTTCCCTTCAAAGTGGACCATTTAATTAAGATTGCGCACTCTTGTTATTTTTTTTGAAGGTTGGCAAAAATATGAATATGGAATAGAGAAATTCTAGAAAAGAGAAAACTTTCATCCTAAGTAAGGGCTTGTCATTCTTGAAATGGCTGAAGTAGTCACAGAATAGTCACAGAGTAGAATTCGAATAAACTGTTTTTGCAAATTCAGCAAGATTCATGTCTTAATTGATCCAAAGTTAACCGCATATGAAACTCTTCAGTTCTAAACTTTTCTTCCTAGAGGTCCAGTAAGACTGCGTGTATGTATAAATGGGATTGCAAAAACACTAAGTGTGCTAACGGAATGAAATGAACTGCGAATAAATACGAACCTTCAACATCGTAAAGAGCCATCATCCCATGCACCATGTGATCATTCACGTGACAATGTAATAACCACCTTCCAATGCTGTCTGGTACCATCTTGACCGTCATAAACACCCCGGGAAATAAATCAATCACATCTTCTCTGTGATCAGCTGATGTTCTCTGCATGAAAAACAAATGACGCAGCGTGTTTTACAACCATTTAAGCGGAGCTTACTGTCCACAGACCTTCATAAGTCTGCTGTAACATAGTTTGCGGATAAAGCATATCCCTGATTGGTCAACTGGACGCATTGCATGGCCAATCAGAAACCTGCTTTGTCCGCGAACTACGTAATAATGCAGACTTTTTAAGTTCCATATCATGTTTCACTTACTGCTAAAACCGTCTGACCGTGAAAGTGAACATTGTGCATATCAACTTCAGTACCAAGACTTAGAAGATACCAATTGATTTTTTGCCCTTTCACCATTTTAATACCCTCCAGATTACCATAAATACGACCATTTATTGCGTTCATTTTATTGCTTTCCATAAAATCTTCGTCTTCTTTATCAGAACTTTTGGCGAACTCTTGAATATTTTTGTCTAAATACCAACTCAAGTTTTCATCCATAACACTGAAGTAGATTGGGTATTCATGGTCGGCATATTTAGCTCGCGATCCGTCCTCTGATAGCTTTCCCTGCCGGAAATACCAAACGATGCATTATTCCGAATAAATTGAGAATCGGAAGAAGCGGTTTTTCACCTTAAAAAGCACTTGCGCTGAGAGCTTACCTTCTTACAGATGATCAAAGGACCCACAAGACCTGAATTTGTATCCTTTGATGGATCAACATCACTGTAATATATCCACGTTAAACAATCATTATCACTCGAGGTAGGTCCTGCTCTGGAAGGCACTTTCCAAGTGTAGGTATAAGTCTCGCCTGGGGAAACCACATCGTCATCTTTTGATGTTGTGTTATCCAGATACAAAGATCCCTCGTTTTGTTTGCTAAAGAAACAAAGGGATATTAGTTTAAATTGATTTAAAATTGACAATTAAACAGATGATACTCACTCATAAAATACGCCATGGGGATGAATCGAATATTTTCTAGATGCCTGATTTTTGAAAACAACTTTTATAATATCGCCAACTTCTGCTCGCAATATCGGTCCCAGTATTCCAAGATATGCAGGACTTTCTTTTCTTTTTTTGAACGTACCATCCGTGTATTCTCGATAGAGTGCTTTATAATATATACGTCCTATTCTTTTTGGTCCAGACTCGGTATAAGGCTTTGCATTCCTGTCAAAGAGATATAACATTATTCTAAAATCAAGTCTCATCAGTTTTGTAGAAGAGTCCAAAAGATACTCACGTATCCTTGTCTAAATCAGTTCCTTTTAATAAATTCTTTCCACTTGGGGCATAATCCCACTTTTCTTCAACAGCTGAGACGTAATACGTCCTAGTTTTTGCTGATTCGAAGGAAGGATTCTTGCCACATGTTTTCACTTGAAACTTAGCCACCATTCCAGCGTCATAATGGTCATTGGTGCGACAAACGACCGCCCATTCACCAGGGTTGTCTGGCTTCATTTTCACTGTCTCAAACGTTCCTGCAAGAATAAAGCAATTTATTATAAATCATCTTCTTTTTGCTAATACTAGAATAGCACGCCATTAAACTGTTCCTAGTGGAGTGTCACAGTACGAGTTCTTTCAATTCTCTTGAAATTCATATTTCACTAACCTGGTACTAAATTAAGGGCATCTTTACGATTTTTATTCATCAAAAATGTCTGACCATGAAAATACGCGCCATGAATATCAACTTCGTTGCCGTAGCCAATAAGATGCCAAGACACGTTATCATCCAGGCACATTACGAGATCAGGTAGGTTAGCGAATAGAAATCCATTTATCCCATGCATTAAATTGTTCTCGATCTCGGGATCTAAGGGGATTCAATGGTTCAATCATGAACATTTTTCAACAGCATAAAATATATCAGAGTGAACTTTACTAAGGGTTGTGTTACAATGCTTCAAGAGATGATAGCATTTGTAGGAGCGGAAACACACTTACGAATCTCTGGTGTAAGACAGCAAAGAATTTCAATCACTGAGAAATTTCTACTTGCCATAATGAAACGATTTTGCTGCAAATCCCCCAATAAACTCTTCCACGTTCTTCTCAATATACAAAGCCTCGTTTTCGTTTGACACCGTGAACATTAAAACAAACTCCTTGTCAATATTTTTCTGTTTTCCCTCGTCGTCCAAAGATCCTTTCCTGCAAACCAGTAGTGGGCCAATTAAACCTATAAATACGTTAGTATAATTACGATTAGTAGTAATTAATCCAAGTATGTTTCTATGATAAAGTGGTATATAATTTTACCGGAGTAAACATCCTTAATAGGATCAACAGCAGAAGAATAAACCCAGGTCAGACAATTTGGATCGTCTTTTGTTGGTCCAACGTGTTCTGGAATTGTCCAAGTATAGACAAATTTGTGGTTTGGTCTGACTACGTCATCCAGTTTCGCTAAACTTGATGTCGAATCATTGTATGATGAACCTTCGTTTGACTTGTTGTAAAACACACCATGAGGTTGTATACTGAAGTTAAACGATGCCTGAAAGATGAAATCTTGCGTTAAAAGATGGTTTGAAATGAATCGTGCAGAAAATTATGGAATTTCTATAGAAAAACAAGAAAATAATTCAAAATATTACTTACCATGTTCTTAAAAGTAACTTCTATCGTGTCTCCGACTTCAGCTCGTATCACCGGGCCAAGGAATCCCAAATAAATAGGCTTCTTTTTCTGCTCAGTAAAAGTATCGTTTGTGTATTCAAAAAATAACGCTTTCCAATATTTTCCACCGATGGAAGTGTTGGACCTGGCAAAAAACTCATGGCCTTTGCTAAAAGTTGAAGGAAAGAAAACGACATTTACGTAAGGTTCAATAGACAACAATCTAAATTAAGACTCTCGTGTTTAGAGTTGTCGGCTCAATGATGCTATGAAGTCGACAATAGTTTGGTTATTCTACGGGAAATATCTGGTAGAGAAAATTAAAAAATATTTGCAGGAAAGCGTCTTGCGTAAGTAGCGAAATCACTCCAGGTTTCAAGTCAGAACCCACCTATCCTCACTTGTTAAACTCCCGCCATTGAAGTTATCCAATCCCGATGGAGCATAATCCCAAATCACTTCCTCAGCAGCTATGAAATATTTCCTTGTTTTGCCGTCCAGTGCGTTACTAGGAGCAGATTTTCCCTTGCAGTTTTCCTTTACATGAAACAAAGCCGACATTCCGGCGGAGTAGTGATCATTGACCAGACAATTCAACAGCCATGTACCAGGATTCGTTGCGGTCATATGAGCAGTGCTTGATCTCGCTGGGAACATGGAACCAACATCTTTACGATGACCATCTATTGTAACAGTCTGGCCATGGAAGAAAGCTAAAAAATGGAAATAAATGCCTAAGTTGCTATTCAACAGCACAATCAAGGACACGTAGGTATACTGTGGCTAACCTGTATGTATATCCACCTCAGTCCCCATACCAAACAAATGCCAATTTACTTTATCCCCAACGCACATATCAAGTCCTGGTGTGTTTCCGTAGAAGTAGCCATTGATCACATGCATTTTGTTGCTTTCCTGAAAGTCTTCGTCATCTTTTGACGAAGTTAAGTTTGGGCAATACGTTTTGATATTTTCTTCTAACAACCAGCTGTTGTTCTCATCCATGACAGTAAACATTATCATGAAATCTTCGTCGACATCTTTATGTTTGTTGTTTTCAAACGTCCCTTTCTTGCAAATTATCATACCACCTATAAATACAGAGTAATATTGTCTGATGGTAGACGGTGGGTGACAGTGGGTGACGGTGGGTTAGTGGATGGCAGTGGGGGATAATGGGGGAAAATGTGTGACAGTGGATGACAGTGGATGACAGTGGTGGACAGTGGATGACAGTGGGTGACAGTCACTGACAGTGGGTGACAGGTAATCACAGTGGGTGACAGTAAGTGACAGTGGATGACATGGGATGAGAGTGGATGACAGTGGGAGTCAGGTGGGCAGCCTTTTCTAAGGCCTGGGTACGAGGTTGGTGTAAAACTATACGTACCAACAAGACCAGTATTCACATCGTTCTGAGGATGAACATGTGAATGATAAACCCATGTCAAGCAGTCTGAGTCACTCTCTTTGGGTCCATGTTCTTTCTTCACTTCCCAAGTGTAAATATGTGTTTTATTTGGAGGCACGCCATCATCTGCCTTATCAAATCCACTTGTTTTATCCTAAATAAGTGTTGATATAGAGTAGACAGCCTAACCAACTAGCACACCTGGGTATTCTTACCTGGCCAATAACCAAACTATAATACCACATTCATGCTCGCACAGCAGTTTTACTGCACATGCGCGCGTCATTCGAAAGTCCTAACTTGCCAGATCAGTTGTATCAAAATTACCTCATAAAGAGCTCCCTCAGAGTCTTTACGATAAAATACTCCATGAGGATGAACAGTGTAATTCCTGGTCGCCCAATTCGTGAAATGTACTTGCAAAGTGTCTCCAACCTCCGCACGAATGACAGGACCAAGCACGCCAAGATATGCAGGATGAGTTTTGTATTCTTTGCAAGAAGAATCTTTACATTCGCGATATAAGACTTTGCGATATTTCCGTCCAATCGTCTTAGTGCGGTCATTTTTTGCTGTGAATACCTTTGCAGACCTTCACGAAAAGAACAAGACATCAATCTCGTTTTTTTATTTTTCAAGTACAAATTAATTGAAAATATTGTCCTCAATGTTACATTTCCTCTGCATTTTTTACAAGTACGAGTGCATTTTGTATCATACGACTTAATTAATGGAAACCAAGCAATGCATTAACATCAATCCTAGCGATCATTCCTCTTTGATCAATGTTTGATGACGTATTCATTCTCAATAAGGTATTTGTTTGGAATGCTAATTACCAACACTCAGAAACCTATGTTGAGTGTTTCAGCGCGTTTAAGACTTAAGAGGTTCTTAACTCAAATAGTTTGCATGATTAATACAATTTCACGAATGCTATCAATGCTATTCACAATGAATAGTTCATTTTACCTAAAGCAACCAGTTATGGTTGGCAGGTATTCTTCTTAGGCTGAGACACATTCAAGATCTTTCTCGATTAATATTTGCATGAAAATGGCAGTAAAGTGAACGAAATCATGAGGCCATAACCAACTTGCTTAATTGCTTTCGTAATAAAACTACCTGACTCTACTCTGTTCACATTATAGTGTTACACTAGGATTATCTCAGGTGATAGTGTAAACTTTTAACGTTGAAGTTTATTATTTGTCTATGTGTCGATCTGCGCAGTCAGCATGCGCCGAAAACCTTCATGACTGCTAGCACGCTTCAGATAAAAAACGTGGACAAAACGGAAGTTATTATACCAAATAATACGCGTTCATGTTGGCATGTGACAACTTATGCTCTTTGGCGTAACTGTAGTCGACCTGCTTGGAATATCTAGATCTGTGACGTCGTGAAACTATCTATCACTGCTACAAACCATCACTGCAGTCTGCAGTATAAACCACAAACCACATCACTGCTATACATATACCACAAACTATCACTGCTATTACTCTATATTCGTGCTATAAATATTTCATCAAACTCAGCTTTTTTGAGCTTTCATAATTCGATGAAAAAAATCACAGCAAAGTTATCATCATTTATGTGCTTGGTTGGGCAGCTTTGAACGTCTAGCATCTTGTCTTGCTTGTTTGAAGTCTTCATCATAGTTAATGTAGGTTAAGGCCTTTCATTTAGTGTGTCAGATATCATATCTTTCTCGCTAGGCTGAGAGTGAGCTGACGTTTTGATATCTTTGACTGTACACTAGGACAGTAGGATGAACTCTCTAGCAGACACGAACACGGTTCCGTTTTAATAATCTGGTTTAATTATTCTTAAGAGAGACAAACGACAAAGAGAGACAAACGACAGTTTGTTTCTAACGTCGCAAATGCGAGAATTCATAGAAATCTTACAAATTTCCACGCTTTATTTTACAGCGAGGATTAATTAAAAGCGAAACTTACTCATCTTCGTCCAACAAGACGCCAGTTAGTTTGTTCACATTACTCGGGGCGTAGTTCCATTCCTGTTCCACAGCTGCAATATGGTAGGTTCTGACAGCACAGCTTACGTCGCTAAATAATGAGAGGAAAACGCACAGAAATATCGTTGCTTTCAGCCCTTCCATTTTCAGCTGTTGTACTGAGCGCCTAGGATTACATTTGAGGCTTGGGAGTTACCATAAAAGGAACTAGGGTCAAATGATTAAATTACTAACATTTAATATTCATGAGTAGTAAAAATGATATGGATCATTCTAGACAAGTGTGAAATGAGGTAAAGTCTAAGAATGAGAATAAATTGTGACGTGGTTTCTGTGTGTTGGCAGGGCCGCCCAGGGAGGAGGGGTCAAGGGAGCAAGCCCCAGGGTTGCAGTTCAATCGCATTGCAAAGCCTCGTATGATAGTCCTGAGAATTAGCCAGTCTCACCTCAAGAAACTTGCCTCAAAATTCTGTCCAACACATTAGAATTTTTGCACTTGAAGAGTTCAACAGAATTGTGATTTCATACTGTATGACTTCATAGTCCCATCCCTACCTGCTGGAACTGATGGTACACCTCAATACGTATTTCCAACGGTTGTTTAAAAGGCGTTAGAGGGCCACCTCCCCCTTCAGATCTGCTAATTCATTGTTTCTTTCGTCCCTCGCCCCAGGGGATTGCACCAGTGGGCCAGTGGCGTTTAACTGTAGCCATTAAAACACAATAACATGAAGTAATCGCGGACATTTAATAAATTACGTTGAATGAAAACATTTATATTTTCTAAACTCACTCTTTTATTTTCTATATTTTATCTTGAAATAAATGGAGGATATAAAAGAACGGGAAAGTGTGTTATTGATCTGGTCAGGGATATCTCCATCTCAGGATTTACAAGAAATTGTTGGTCGTATAACTGAGCTGACGGGTGTTTGTGGCAAAGTTAGCGTTGAACACGTCGATAGATTAAAATTGTGTAAGTTTTCAGTGTTAAATTCAGATTTACTTTAGATTAATTGTGCAATTATACATCTACAAATCTTATTTGTAATGAAAATAAATCATTTTAGCTGATCAAATATACCAGAAGCAATCCATTTTGAAGTTGAACCTTTTCCTCTTAATATTTTCAGCGTCGCACACAGAATCTTCCTTCGACCATATATATTCTGGTGTGACTTTTCCATCAACTTTCATCCACGATTTGGATATCCTTGCTGAAATAGCGAGAATATTAAAACCATCAGGTTCATTTTTACTTAGACAACCAACAGGTTAGCACTCCAATGAATGAGCCAGCATGTCAGTCAAATTTGATTGAATCTTCTATTTAATGCTTTTACCATCTATCCATTGCTAATTTTCCATGATTGTCTTATTGATAGGAAACATCAACACACTAGTCACCCAAGACAAACTGGTATCAACACTAAAATTATCCGGATTTGTTGATATTTCACAGGTACGTAAAACCTCTCCTTCCACAAACAGGTCTGTTCCTCCCAATTGATTTTTGCTGGTAATTCATTTTAGGGTGATCTGGTGGAAACAACAGAAGAACAATTAAAAACTTTGCAAGATATTTTAAAAACTGAAAACAAAATAGATATGTTTGAGGTGAGCTAGAAAACAAACATATGAATTATGTTGCATGAATGTTCACATCTTTTACCATTAAAATGTTCACTCACAGCGAAGAAGATTATATCAATGGCAACTTTATATTTTCCTAGATAAAATGTAAAAAACCTTCATTTAACGTTGGAACAAGCACGAAACTTAAACTCTCATTCAGCAATAAAAAAGGTGAATTTTGCTCAATTAATGAGATGTAGTGGAATCATTAATCACAAATAAAATGTATTTCAAAAAACTCACAGAAATTCCATCAGAAAATGCTGCGAAAGTGTGGACCTTGTCAGCACAAGATATGAATGATGATGATGTTGTATGTAAACTAATCCTTATTATGAACCCTTGTGTTGAGTCTTCTGGTGGATTTCCCATTTAATGTATCAATTATCTATTTAATTAGGATATAATTGATTCAGATGATCTTCTAGATGAGAATGATAGAAAGAAGCCAGATCCATCTACCTTGAAGAGTAAGTTGATTAATCACTTGTTGAAGCAATATTTTTAGTCTAATGTTGTATTTGGAATATATTTTTATATTTGAATATCTTTCAGGTGCTTGTGGGCCGAAATCTGGTAAGAAGAAAGCATGCAAAAACTGGTACGTGGTCATTTGTTCAGGGTTGAACAGGGTAAAAGATCTTCAAAGGTTCAACGGACTTCTTAACTTGATTTTTAGCACGTGTGGCCTGGCAGAAGATCTTGCGAATGGTGTAGAGGGAGCACAGCCAAAGTCTGCTTGTGGCAGTGTAAGTAAATCATTTTGACTTACCGTGGTTTTGAAGTGCACGGCTTATCCTGATCCATCGCAAAGCGATAAAATATAACTTTCATCCTCGGCCTTTCATAATCACCATTTTCTCATCTTTTTCAGTGTTATCTTGGCGACGCCTTTCGTTGTGCAAGTTGTCCTTATCTCGGAATGCCAGCGTTTAAACCCGGAGACAAAATATCACTCAGCGATCGACAGCTCAAACCCGATATTTAAAGAAAACAAATATGAAGAACAATTCGCAGTTTTGAGTAAAGAATGAATTCTTGAAATTGTAAAATTTTTCATATTCTTCCTTGTAATGATGGAGAAAGTCATAAAAGAAGATAAACCTCAATATATATTGTATATTTTACAATAAACGGTGTTTGTGTGAAGATATATTATTTTATAAATATAATCCAAAAGCTTGTTTTTATTTTGCAACGGACGGGGCGTGACAATAATAACCTGTTCTTCATTTTTACTTCAAACCTTTGACACAGCGAAGGAGATTTATTTGATACATTTTCAACGTTCCATTACGAATTAACCCGTTTCATAATACAAGTTTAATGGTGAATATTCAGATAATCTGAATATAGGAAACAATTAGGCCTTCCAATTTCATTATTTGAACAATGGGAACTCGTGTTTTGAAATTCGACAGTGTCTAGAATCAAGACATGTGGAATCCTGTGAAAACATAATATCCCGTGGATCTGATATAAATGCATATAAACTATGAGAAAATTGTGATCGATCAGGCAAAATTTAGTGAAAGGTGATCAATATATATTGGGAAAAGAAATAAAATAATCTGGTGTATTGATCACAGATGCAATTACTTTAATTTAATTCTTCAACGTAATCCACAGCTGAAATATGGTGTCCAAAATTTCCTTCCTCGTGGCAGGTTTTGTGTTATTATTACATCGTAAGTATTCTTCTCGGTTAGCTTGCGTTGAAACTTTAATTTTTTCCCATTATTATTTTTTCCCCTTTCATTCTTCATACACCCAGATGCGCCTTAGACCATGAAAGTTTCCATAATAAACCTAGGATTTTGCATTGGGTAAAAATTAAGTTAAAAAACTCAATGCGAATCAAAGTATTTACCCCGTGTGAAGCTGGGTGCTGTGTTGCATTACGAGACTATCGAATTGTCTTTAATCCACCAACTAGGGATTGCAGCGAAACCAGTTTCAGACACGAAGCATGCACCATATTCGCATCATCACTCTATGCTTTCAAAATATTTCAACGAGGAGATGATTGCTGATCAGAACACTTCACCATTCAAGAGAAACTCCTGGTTCAATAAAAATGAAAAACAGGATTATGATGAAGAATATGAAATGAATGAATATCGTCGTAGAAATGAGGAACTTGAAAACATTGATACAAGTGATGGATTACCTTCGCAAACTAATACATTCAAGACGGATAATGATGAACCACAAAAATTAGGATACAAAAGACATGGCATGGAATTGAATCTTTGGAAGGACATAATTTCACAAGGTGAGTATGCTTACTATACTATATTTTTCCCGATTGCATAACATCCACACCAACGAACTCTTCCTGATCTTCCAGATTCGTTCCAGCGAGAAGCTTTAGCCCAGCACAACAACTATCGTAAGCTTCACGATGCTCCTGAGCTCAGATTAAACAAAGAAATGAGTGAACAAGCGGCTGACTACGCCAGGATTTTGACCTTAACGGGCTCCGTGGATCATTCCAAACAAACAGAAAGACCAAACCAAGGTGAAAATATTTTTATGGAATGTTCAAAAACAAATTCTCCTTCGCCGAATGACGCCGCAAGAAAATGGTGAGTTTACGGCGATAAAAGACAAGGTCTAAATTTCATGATCAGATATTTGAAATACAAGAACATTATTACGTACAGTAACTACAGACCATGCAACCATCTCTCACTGTGGTGGTGAATACTGCAAGTTAACCATCATCTTCTGGCGTATTTCATTTTTAACGATTCTCCATTCTGTAGGTATGATGAGGTGTGCGACTATAATTTCCATGAATCGCAATCAAATCCTGGAAAAGTAACGGGACATTTTACTCAACTAGTGTGGAAACCAAGCACAGAGCTGGGTATTGGGTACGCATTAGGGGTGGATAAATATGACCCTGGAATGAAATGCATGTACGTTGTTGCAAGATATAAACCAGCGGGAAATATTCTGGGAAGTTTCTCTACGAATGTTGGTAGACGTTCACTTGAAGAGGGTCATGACTGTCACAAAAAGGAAGAGGAACTGTCAAAGATGTTGGATGAGGATTCTAGTGTGGAAACACAAAACGAAGAAACAACTTCCAGGCCTAAAAATCTCCCAAAACGGAGCCAGCTCTAAAGTTCTACGATTCTAATGGCGAGATTGCTGTACCAACTGAGGTGGAAGACGCAATATTAGATGCTGATGATAGTACGTTCCAGCCAATAAAACAAACAAAAGATATTGCGTCGCTGTTTACTGGCCTTGGTACAGATGGGTACATTGTCCAGAAAACCCCAGATGAAGTGACTGGAGGAACTTCGTTATTACGCGAGGAGAATACCGGAATAGTAGCATCAGAACACACACCCAGCATGGCTCCGTCTGCCACGCATTCTGGAGAGATGGCAGCAGGCGTGTCTTCGATCCAAGATTCAATACCAGCCAAGGTGACCGCGTTACCATCAGGCGCCATTAGCACACAAACATCACCAGTAACCAATACAGCGACAGCACCAGCTGAGGTGACCGCACTACAATCAGGGCCCTCTGGGGTACAGCCATTAGGATCAAACGCAGTACAAACATCACCAGTATCCAGTGGAACAGCAACAGCGGTGAAAATAGCAACACCAGTAGCGAACAGTAACGCACCACCAACACAAATGAACGACGCAACACCACCAGCAATAACTATAAAGGAAGAATGTGAGTCATTGTCTTTGAGTTAAAACGCATTTGAAAGAATTTAGCAAAGGATAGTTTCAACAGCTGTTTAATAAAATCTTTCATATTTCACAGCATTGAAGGAGTTCCAACTGGCCATGCTGAGAGAACACAATAGCATGCGAATAAGACACGAATCAAAACTGTTGGAGCTAGACGCCAACCTTAATGCTGTGGCTGGATTTTATGCAAGATCTTTAGCGCAGAATCCTCCGCTCAAAGGTGCTTATAGCCTTCTTCCAGGAGGAATAGGTCAGAATACTTATACACGCTGTGGAAAAAGTTTACGTGGTGCAGAAGTAACCAAAATTTGGTAAGTATTTCCTAAAACCTGGGGGGAAACATTCTCCCACGTTCTTAATCCCGTTAACACTAACTGGAGGTCCTGTTATGTTCTTGTCAGTTCATTTCGTACTTTCCACTTGACAGGTATGATGAAATATGTAAAACAGGTTTTGGAGACCCAGTAGTCCTTACACAAAAAGCAAGACAGTTCATGCAAGTTGTTTGGAAAGAAACGCAATCAATCGGCGTCTCATTTGGATTGGGGATGGACGCAAGTGGTAAAGCGTTATGCACGCATGTTGTCGTCCTGTATAAACCTGGTGCTAGTCTGGATTTCAAAAAGATAAAAGAGAATGTCAAACCAGGATCATTTGATGCCAAAGTGCATTGCAGGCATTTGTTAGGTGGTGCTCTCGGACAGCCCGGAATCTCGGGAACATTATCTCTGAAACCAAATCCCCCCATCACTCCTCAAACAACAGCTCTCTCAGGACCAACTGTTGGGAAAACGCCAACAGTAGAACCTCCAAAGTTAGCACCTCCACATGGAAACCCAACTTTAACAGTCTTACCAGATAATAGACTATCAAGTACAAAGCTAGGTGCACCTTTAAAAGCACCATCAGGAACATCACTGACTTCAGGAACACCACCAGGAAGACTACCGACCTCAGGAACACCACCAGGAACCCCAGGAAGACTACCGACTTTAGGAACACCACCAGGAACACCAGGAAGACTACCGACTTTAGGAACACCACCAGGAACACCAGGAAGACTACCGACCTCAGGAACACCACCAGGAACACCAGGAGACTACCGACCTCAGGAACACCACCAGGAACACCAGGAAGACTACCGACCTCAGGAACACCACCAGGAACACCAGGAAGACTACCGACTTTAGGAACACCACCAGGAACACCAGGAAGACTACCGACTTTAGGAACACCACCAGGAACACCAGGAAGACTACCGACCTCAGGAACACCACCAGGAACACCAGGAAGACTACCGACCTCAGGAACACCACCAGGAACACCAGGAAGACTACCGACCTCAGGAACACCACCAGGAACACCAGGAAGACTACCGACCTCAGGAACACCACCAGGAACACCAGGAAGACTACCGACCTCAGGAACACCACCAGGAACACCAGGAAGACTACCGACCTCAGGAACACACCAGGAACACCAGGAAGACTACCGACTCAGGAACACCACCAGGAACACCAGGAAGACTACCGACTCAGGAACACCACCAGGAACACCAGGAAGACTACCGACCTCAGGAACACCACCAGGAACACCAGGAGGACTACCGACCTCAGGAACACCACCAGGAACACCAGGAAGACTACCGACCTCAGGAACACCACCAGGAACACCAGGAAGACTACCGACTTTAGGAACACCACCAGGAACACCAGGAAGACTACCGACTTTAGGAACACCACCCAGGAAAACCTGGGAACACCACCAGGACACCGACAGCCCGGAACACCACCCACCTTAGGAACACCACCGACACCAGCAATACCACCGTCTCCAGGAACACCACCCACCTTAGGAACACCACCGACACCAGCAACACCACCCACCTTAGGAACACCACCGACACCAGGAATACCACCGTCTCCAGGAACACCACCCACCTTAGGAACACCACCCACCTTAGGAACACCACTAAAATCAAAACTAGCTCTCGCTCCAACTGCAACGCAAAGTATGTAACCTAAAACATTCATAAACAAATTCATAAGTTGAATTGGCTCACTAAAACAAATATTTCAATATTTTAGCCGATGATGACTTTGAAAAGAAAGCTTTATTACAGCATAATATATTTCGGAAACGACACGGCGCCAAACCTTTAGTACTAGATCAAAAACTATGCAAAGAAGCCAAAGGCGTATGCGAAGAAGTTATCTGAACGTGGGGCTGACAAACAACCAACACACTCGTTGCCAGCAAGCAGGGCTAACCAAGGTGAAAGCTTGTTTGTTGGATGTAACGCAAACATTGACAGTGCAGACGTTACAAGAATTTGGTAGGTATAAAGTGAACTGAAATATGATATCTGTCTATGTAAATTGTCTCCGGAGGTTCAACAACTATTTTCCTACAGACGAAACCCTTGAGCTTCGCCACGAGACTACCAGTCTATACATCATGTTCACTAAACGATACTCCGTATAACCGCCATTGTTTTTTTAACAAGGTACAATGAAGTCTGCCACTTTGATTTCACAACGTACAAATCAACAGGAGTCGCCCCAACTGGACACTTCGCTCAAATTGTGTGGAAAGGCAGCAAGAAATTTTGTATTGCGAGAGAGTTCAGAGGTGACAATCACGGTCGATGCGTCTACGTTGTAGCAAGATACAGCCCTAGGAAGATGCTTGGGTTAGAAGAGGACAACATTGATAAGGGAAGATTTACCCCAGCCGTATGTAGAATTGAGAAGAAGAATAGTAAAGGAGCCACTCTTACTCAAAGTAAGTTTGTGCTGAGGAGGTTACACGCGTTATTTCCGTTCCTCCGATCCACGCAAACTGAAACTATCCAATGATAAACAAATTCAAACTCAGGAATAATATTTCATTCTTTTCACTCTCTAGCAATTCAACAATTTATATTAGACGCCGTAAAGGCACACAACGAGTACCGCTTGATTCATGGTGTTTCACCATTGGCAAATGATATCACGTTGAACGTTGGAGCTCAAAAGCATGCAGAAAAATTAGCCAGAAAATCCATCAACGACGTGACGATGTCGAAAAAGTTGGGAGAAAGTATTTATACAAGTTGCAATAGTGTTATTTCTGGACGATCCGTTACTGAGGCATGGTAAGAGATGTTATATTTTAATTTTTAGGATGAACAGAAGTGATGTTCACGAGCCCTACGTGGGTCAACTTTCACTGTTGCCTTCCTAGGTATTGGGATGTGTGTAACTATGACTTTATCAAGAGAAAATCGAAAGATGGCATAGCAGACCATTTTACTCAACTGGTATGGAAAGGAAGTTCAAAGGTTGGTTTTGGTGTAGCGACTGGAGCGGAAAAGGGAAAAACGTGTGTCTTTGTCGTTGCAAGGTATTTCTTGCCGGGAAATGTTGCAGGGCAAAATAAGTTCAATGTTTTCAAAGGTACTTTTACTGAGATGCAATGTAAAGCAAAAGTAGGCACGCCATCGCTAGCTGATTCAACGATGACGTCAACATCATATACTTTATCTGTGAATGATGATGGTGCCCAAATATTTGGCACTTCCAATGATGGAACATCTCAACTAGACGTTGGTAAACAACCAGCAGCTATTAGTACCCCCCCAGTTTCGTCTGGTACACCATCAAACACACTGACACCAGCTATTCCCGGTACGGCTGGTGAATCACCATCGTTTACGGATAATCAACCACAACAACTTATGATGGGCAAAAATACGAATACATTTGGTGACAAACCATTCAACACTGGTCCATCAAAACAAATCTTTGCTCCAACTTCCAGTGGTAACCAAGCGCCGGCCCCTACAACCCTTGGTTATCCATCTAACACTGGTCCCTCTAAACAAATTTTACGTCCAGTTATTACAAACAAACCATCACAAAGCAATACCAACATTCACCCAGGGTTATCATCTCCACCGCCATCAACCAGTGCTGGTGCTGCGACTAACCTATCACCATTACCACCAACTAGTACCAATGCTGCACCCAAACCCTCATCATTACCAACTAGTGCTACCACAGCAGCAAACCCTTCACCATCATCACCAACTAGTACCAATGCTGCACCCAACCCCTCATTACCAACTAGTGCCACACAGCAAACCCTTCACCATCATCACCAACTAGTACCAATGCTGCACCCAACCCCTCATTACCAACTAGTGCTACCACAGCAGCAAACCCTTCACCATCATCACCAACTAGTACCAATGCTGCACCCAACCCCTCATTACCAACTAGTGCTACCACAGCAGCAAACCCTTCACCATCATCACCAACTAGTACCAATGCTGCACCCAACCCCTCATTACCAACTAGTGCTACCACAGCAGCAAACCCTTCAGCATCATCACCAACTAGTACCAATGCTGCACCCAACCCCTCATTACCAACCAGTGCCACTACAGCAGCAAACCCTTCACCATCATCACCAATTAGTACCAATGCTGCACGTAACCCCTCGTCATTACTAACCAGTACCAGTACTACATCACCATCCGCTAAACCTGCAATACCAGTTCAAAATGGTGTCAACCTCAATAAACATCTGTATCCTAACCTAAGCTATAAAATTGGTAGTGGTTTGGTACACAACGATATGGATGATGGAATGGATGATTCGGAATCTATTTGGCCCGCATTTAGTTCCACAATGAAAAAGGACGAAGAATCTATGTTTGAGGACATAAATAAATACGAACACGATGACCTTGCCGGAAATATGAACAAAGCGTTTAAGGAAGAAGAGTCTTTGGATGATAATATGGAAGATGAGATGGACGATAGTATGGAAGATGATAATGGCAAAGTTGGACTATATAAACAGGGTACACAGGTCCATAGTAGTCAGCTTAATCATACCAGAGCAACTGGTCAAAATCCACCTCTGATGATTAACCGATTTATTCATCCATGGGGCAACCAATATTCAAAACACCATTACCGCAACCCAGATATCTTGGAAGAATATTTGTCAAAGAATGGTAAAAGCGCTCATGAGACTAAGTCGGATGAATATCGTGTTGGAACAACTTCAGCGGGTTCGAGAATGACTTCGTGGGATGATCAGGCTTTGGCGAAGGATGGGACGTTGGACACGAGTAGTACAGATGAGGATCTCTATGGGGATATGATGCTTGAATATAAAGATCCTTATGGTAGCATAACTAAGACGTCATATCAGGATAACACGGGTATGGATAGTACATTTAGAGGTCAAAACGAAGAGATGAACAAGGGTATTGATAGTACTTTTTTGGATACTAGTCCTACACATGGGAATACGATGAGTATGTACAAGGATACCGAAAGCAAAACATACTCTAAACAATCTGAGGATAACATGGGATATCTTGATTCATCATTACAAGGGAAGGATTCAACAGGACTACAAGGGATGAATGGCCTAAGCTCTGAGGGTGGAGTGGGGTTGCCTGTACATGAATATCCACATGGACCCGAAGAACGAGGTTCTTCGTCGTAGGTTATAACAGAATATGAAGAGTTTCGTGAAAAAGAAAGTCAGAATCGCCATGATTCCGATGAAAAAGACCCCGAATTCGATGAAAGTTTTTTATAGAGAAGAAAATGCATCATATTTTAGTGAAATGTCATTCAATTCAGATTGAATTCGTACATATGTGTATAAAAAGTATAAATACCACAAATAGTAAAACATTGTGGAATACTGTGTAAAATATACATCAAGAAATACTGAATACTGACAGGGATCAATCAAATGCACTGTTCTTAAACATTATTTAAAAATAGTGATTGGGTTGAGTCTTGTTGTATTTCGTTCAAAAATCGCAATAATTGACCAAACACTTGTCGTTTCCTCGTTGGCAGTATTTTCTATGATGGGGCAGTTCGACGGCCTAGGAATGCCGTAACTGAACGAAAAAGATTCTTCCCGTGTCGATGTTCCAATTGCCAACCACCATGTTGTGAGTTAGCTGCGGTGCTGAGACCACTCAGACCAGGTTCACGCTTCTCATTACAAACCCACGACTTTGTCCGACATGACGAGAGTGGAAAGAAGACCTTCCACGGGTTATAACAACTCTCTGATCATCAAATCACAACCATAAGTCATTTGTGAAAACTGATAATCTCATCAATCTCCTTCACATACCCTCGTGTTACAAAGCATCGCTGTATTTCTTTTGTAACTCCAGGAGCTCATCAGGAACAAGATTCATGTATTGTAGAAGACTTAGACATTTGGTCAAAAACCATTCCCTGAAACTCATGTATCTAAATAACATATTAATTGGGTTATTGACTTAGAGAATACAACTGAAAATTATGAAGAATATCGCTTAATTATGTCTGACCAATACAACACCTTATTCGTAATTCAAGATAACAGGACGCCATAGTTGCTCTGCAATTTGTGTACCAAGTTCGTCTTCTTTGCAAAGACCTCGCACCTGACACGGCCCTGGAAATCCACGAGAATGTGAAATCATTTTACTATATTTCATCGTTTTACACACAAATATACGATTTTTACTCACGAATGCGCCATTATGACAAAGCGGTCAACAGGATTTCCCAAGTTTTGATTGATTGCTCTGATCGTATTAAGATTCCTGTAAAAAGATACCGTATGTTTCATCGACACTGAAGGTTTCTTCTTTTAAAAAGACGAGCAATAGTTTAATAGCATGGCTGTTAGTACCTGATAACAATACAAAGTGACGATGGCATTTGTTTTAGAACGGTCATGATTCTATCAAATTCATCCCGTGCCTGCTCAGTCATGTACTGAACTTCTTCACTGTTCATACGCACTGAGAAAAGTGAACCCAAGGAATCCCATCTGAATGGACGTTGAAGAAGTATTTCACACAACACTTTATAATCTAAACCATAAACGGGAATTTGCTTTAAAAGCGTGATAAATAGTAGCATATCTTACAAAGACAGTGATTCTGCGAGTAAGTGTCAATCACTAAAGAATATTTTGGCTCAAATAACGTACCTTCAACACCCAGCTTTTTTGCATAATGTTTAATTGCCTCCTGGTCATTCAATACAATGTACTTCCAAAGATTACACAAATTAAGTCTGTCCCTAGAATTCAAATATTCTTATTGAAAAACTATTCAATTTCTGTGATGCTGTTGTAAGATAAGATTCAACTTCAAAAACCTAAATGTACCTGGTTTCCAAAGGTTGATACAGCCCATGATCAAGAATAACTAATTCAGCTTTACCGTCAGATCCTGGACGGACAAATACTAGAAAAATGATGATCACGTTACCTTTAAAAGCACTCATTCTCTGGTAGAGTTTTTAGCTCAAATCTGAACCTATTTTATACTTACTGTTAGATGAGTGTGGGTCACCATGAATAAATCCAGAACCAAATATTTGTTCTCCAAATGTCCTCACAAGTTTCCAAGCAACCTACATTATTCACATTCACTCAAGTCAAAACAATTTCAAAAGATGAATATTTGCAAATATCTCACATCATCTACATCCAATCCCATCTTCTTAATTTTCTCAACGTCATCAACACGACATCCATTGATATACTCTGCTGTTAAAACTCTCTAAATGAATAAAAGAAAATTGATATTGTCATATAAGACTGAATCAATGCTATTACCAGCTATTATGACATATAGTTTCTACTCTTTATTTCAAACCTTGCTTGTCAAATCCCAGTTTATTCTTGGAACTGCAACAAAATTAAGATGCTTCAATTCGCGATAACATCTCTCTCCATTTTCACCTTCAAGTTCAAAGTCTAGCTCTTCCACCAATTTCTCTTTCAACTCCTGCACAAAAACAACATGAACAAGTTCAACAATGCTTTCCTTGGACACGACAAAGCAAAGAAACTCCACTGTACCTGAATAGCCCAGGAGAACTCAAAAGACGGATGCATAACACCAATTAATTTTAACAGCCACATTATAGTCCACATGTCACCTCTATAACGATCTCGTAAATCAATATACTGCACCTAAATAAAAAGGGGGCCGCACATTCAGTCTATCATACCATATTCGGCCAGTATACTCGACCATACTGAGGTACAATATTCTGGTAATATTCGACCATGGTCGAGTATAGTAAAATATAGCATACTCAAAATAAATACATGCATATTCTGGCATATTAGACCATAGTCGAATCTAACCATATTCCAGTATATTTGACCATGGTTGAATCTAACCATATTCCAGTATATTTGACCGACTTATATATCAGGTATATATACCTTAACAGCAACCTCTTCTCCATCATATGTAACAGCTCTGTGAACTTGCGCCAAACTTGCTGCAGCTATGGGTTCATAATGAAATGAACTGAAAATTTCCCAGGGAGGCTTCCCAAAATCCTCTACAAACAATTCATCTACCTATAGACACAATTAATGCACAGTTACGATCATAAATAATCAAACATAGCCACAACTTTTTATGGCTTTGTCCAGGAGGAAAATAGATGTATTATGTATATACCTCTCCAGCTTTTCTTGTCAATGCCTATTTAACAAAATGAAAACCTTTTAGCAGTAATTGCTTTTGAAAGATATTTGATAATATATACACACCTGATCTTGCAAAACAATCAATGTCTTGGTGTATTCCTCAGGCAATATATGATTCATTGCTGCAAGACCTTGACATAACTTGATATATAATCCTCCATTTAATAATGATCCAGATACCATAGCCTGTGCTGACCTCAAGTGACATTGTCGAATCAAATCATTATAGGTTTTACTATTCTGCAAAATGAAAAGCATGCAAAGAACAATGAACAAGAATGGATGACAAGAGGAAAGTAGTGACCTTTGTAACCTCGAATTATTAACTTGTAATATAAATTGCCTTGATAACAGAAGTTACATACAAATTTGAATTGCAAACACCTGTTTGGCTCAATTCTACCTTTTCTAAGCCCCTTAATGTCCACCAATAATCAAGAGATAATGTCAAACCAATTTTAAATGTTTCCTAAATCAATTGAACAACAAGTATATATCTACAAATACATCGCAATGAATTCAAAAATTTGTAGTGTTTATTGAATAATAATTTAAACTACCTCAAGAATCTCTTTATTCCTCCCAATTTAACGAGAAAGATACGCCTTCCTTCACGTGTCCATATTTTGTTATTATACACAATATAGCATGAACAACAACCTAACGCAATTGTTGTCAAATATCCGTAAAATTTTTTGGACTTTGGAGTTGTAATCTCCGTGACCGTGCTGTTTTGCCTTGTCAACAAAACTTGCACTGTTTTTCGACGCATATTTCGGAACGAATTTTTGCACAAATTTCGAAACATCGCTATTAGCGAATGCAGCTGAGGCCAATAAATTTACCTGAAGAAGTTTTCAACTATATCGGATAAAAAAATGGAAATATTATGGTTATGAATGATCATGTCATATGGCCCCATTTTACGTCACATTCATTAATAGCAGTCAAGTAGAAATAAACTGCTAAAATTTCGCATGTAACACAATATTTTGATGGAATATTTTACCAGAGGCATTCTTGCAAATTCATGTAATGACAATTCTTTGTTTTCCTTTCTGGCTTTAAAGGCAATTTTTTAGAAGAAGTTTTTAAATGTCAAACACGTTTGTTTACAAAATACATATTGCGCAAATTGTTTCAAATTTTCACGCTAGCAGAGCACGAAAACCGACGAGAACGCACAAACCGCACGTTTCACGTAAAAATGAAAACGAAATCGGTAGATGCGCACGAAAGTCAAGATTTTAAACTCACGTTTGTTATGGTTGAATACAACTATTTCAGTATTGAATACTAATGAAACATTTTAATATTTTATTATAACAAAGAATTTACATACGTTGGATATTTTGTTGTTATCCTAGAGTTGTGTGTACATCGTTTAATTTGTTACAATAAAAAGTATAGTAATGGGTGCCACTGTCAGTAAGGATACTGAACTGGAAAATGCCTTGTCAAAATTGGACGAAGGACAGCAAGAAAAATTAGAAGCAGTCTTTGACAGTTTGTCAAGTAATAATATATTAGATGCTTGCAAATTCAAGGTACGAAAATATTAACTTGAATGTTTTATAAGTTGCAAAATATTATGTTGCAATTTATGTATTCCATGTGTAAGTGATGTAACAATGTAGGTATGTAAGGGCCCAGCCCTATGACCCCGAAATCCTTTCCATCTGAGGGAGTGTGTATTAGTCATGTAAAACAATGGTATTCTCTATAATACTGTCTCCACCAAAATTAGGCAAATAGAGGGAAGTAATTTCAGATGTAATTTCTTTACTGTATATATATGAACTTTATCCTCAATAGAACCACCTATCACCATATTTTCCTGCAAACTTCACTGATCGAATCTACAATACTTTCAAACACAACACACATGAAAAAAGGGTCTCTACAATGGAAGTACAGAAAAGAGACTTTATGGTTGGCATTTCTAAACTATTGAAGGGTTATTTAAATGAGAAGGCTTTGATACTGCATGCCATGTCGACAACAAACAATCAATCAAACCGTCAAGCACTGTTTGAGTTGTGCCAGATATTGGTGAAAGCGTACATCAAAGCAGTCGAGAAATCCAGTGTGGGATTATCATTCATGAAAGCTGGAACAACTCAGGAGGCAAATAAAAACCTAGCAGAGCAGTTAACCAGCTGCATTCCAGAAGAGAAGCATGGAAATATGACTATTGATGATGTTGAAACATGGATACGAAAAGAAGTACTCGTGATGCGACTTTTTGAAGATGTTTTTAAGGCGTGTTTTTTTGGAGCTGATAGTATTTTAGACACTCAAAGACATGGTTTGAAGGAAGGATGTGAACCTAGTGTTGAGCATGTGCCAAGGTACAACTATCAGGTTTTTTATTTGTGTCAAGTTTCGAGAATTACACTTAATTTCTTGTTATTTTTTACTTAGAACTGATATTCTTCTGCCATGCAAGTTAGATTTCCAAGGCCATAACATTGAGACTATCATAGATATCCCTGCAATGCTTCGATTAAACCATGCTGTACCACTAGAATGCAGACACAACTGGCGACTGTTGTTTGCAACATCTTGCCACGGCAAAAGTTTTACAACTTTCCTGCATCAAATAGTGTATCAAGGTCCTACTGTACTGCTGGTCAAAGACAGAGAGGGTGCTGTTTTTGGTGGCTTCGCTTCAACCAGCTGGAGAGTGAAGTCTAATTTTGAAGGTACCAAGCCAACCTTAGGTAAGCCTTTCCACTATGAAATGTGAACCTACTGTCTGTGTAATTTAGGTGATAAAGATTGTTTTGTGTTCACAATGAAACCATCTATGGCTATCTACCATCCAACTGGGATCAATGACCATTATATGTATCTAAATATTGGCATGAAGACCATACCCAATGGTTTGGTATGTATGACATTTTTCAATAAAATACTACACACATTAACAACCACAAGAAACTCCATGTCAGATAAAGATAATGTTATTTGCCTCAACAGGGTATGGGAGGCCAATTTGAGTATTTTGGCTTATGGCTGGATTCAGAATTTGGTCCAGGTCATAGCAAAGCTCGCCCCAAGTGTACAACATATGGTAACCCTCAGTTGTCAGCCTCTGAGGAGTTTGAGATTGAAGAGATTGAAGTGTGGGGTGTTGGTGTCCCACCTGAACAAGAGGTATGCTTCGTCAGTTGTTGTATCAATGTTGCAGGTGTGATACTAGATTTTGACCGTATGCATGTTTGTAGGAGAGCAAACGAAGTGTTTTGGATCGAGAAACAGATGCTCAAGCCATCTTGGATTTGATTGGTAAAGAAAGAAAGAGTGATGGATTTCGTGAACCTGAAGACATGGAATAAAAATTATATTTATATAAACCTGAATATTGTGTACTTTTAATTATTTTCTGGGGGTTGTTATAGTATACAAAGAGAGAGAGAGTATACATATATAGATATAGATATACGCAAACACTATTCTTAGTAATTAATCTTTCTTAGTGTGTCTAAATTCTTATTTAGATTCCTTAATTTCACAAATGTTTAAATATTGTGTCTTAATTTCATTCAACCTAAAATATCAACCTCAATTATCCTTGGATCAACATAATTCACCCTCCTCATCACCAGAACCTTCCTCATTTCCCTTATTCTCAGCCTCATGAACATTTTGCTCAGAACTCAGAGAATGTTTGTCACTTGTTAATACATTATCTTTAGTAGATGGTGTACTAGCTTCAGTTGTTGACATATCAAGTGATCCAGCATTTGGATCATTTATTGTCTCAGTGCCTTCAGCCCCCCCTGCTGTTTCGTCACTCCCCAAAGGATTATCCTCGTCCTCATCAAATTCAAGCATTTTGCTGGGGGGTGGTTCAACAGTCCTGTGAATATCACCTCCCGGTTTTGTATCATCAATATTCAATTTAGTAATATCGCTTGATAACAGGCGAAGTTCTGTATGTTGCTGACTGATGTTAAACTCATCAGATGGCTTCAAATCCCTGGCCAGTTTACTGAGCTAAAATAACACTGAATTGCTTCAGATCTGTACTAACTAATTTGGTAAGATCAAAGACTAATATATACACACCTCATTGTCCAAGTTTCGAAATATAGGCTTCCTTACAACTGCTTTGATTTGTTCTGCATCACCTTGATCATAGGCCTGCAGTAATTCCTCAATAGACTCAGCTTCATCAGAGTTGCCAAAGCCTCCCACACTGGAACAGGTATAGAAACATATTAACAAATGTTTGGATATCTATCAAAACTTTGCTGCATGTAGTCACTGTGGTACTACAATCATTGAGTTCAACTTACTCAAAGCCATCTTTGAAACATTTGTCTGCAGCAACATAATCGCTTTGAGACAGATGTACAACTGTTAATCCCAAGAGTACCTGAATAAGAAAGGATATAAAAAGGATGAAATGGACAAAAGATAAAAACTGGTAAATCTGGGAAGATATCACATAAGAGTAACATATGTGCCTTGCCTATGATGGATATGATGAAATGTAATTCCTTGTCCAATGACACAGTGTATGCTTGGTGTTAAACATACCTTATATTGCATGGGCAAATTTCCAATAGTTGAATACAACTTAAGTTGCTTAAGCATCGAATTCACAACTTCCTCGAATCTATATAAGAAGGATTAAGAGGTTTGCAAAAATTTCAAATAAGATTATATGTGAGTAAGCATCAAGCATCCCTTACTTTTGTTGTTTTATCAAAAGTTGTGTGACTTTAGCGTAAGGTTCTGCAGCTTCACGGAGCTTATCGTCTGTCTACAAGAAATTAGATAAATTATAAAAACATTGTATGAAAAAACTGTTTGAAACAAATGAACAAATTATGCCTGAAATCGAATACCTCTCTTAATTCTCCTGCTGATTGATAAAGTTCTATTGCTTTACTCATATTTGTTCCCTCGCACATTCTATAAAAATGAAAGCGATGTCCAGTTAGCTTTAGATGGCTAGATTAGATATAGGGAGATGAGAACATACTTTGCAGCTTTTATAAGAACTAAAGCAGCTGTATCTGGTGTGCCATGTTCTTGATAGAGTGCTCCAGCTTTCATCATGAGATCTGCTGCTTCGTCGAGTTTTTTCATTTCTTTCAACATGGCACCTGCTTGCTCTAAAGCTCTAGGAAAATTAAAGAAAGTTTCAGAAAGGAATGAGCTAAATTTGATCAATATCTTCAGATTAAGTTAGAAAGGACCTATACTTACTTTCCTGCATGATACAGTCTAATATAATTTGAGTTAAGGAAGTGCACAAGACGCAAGTTTTGTGGGGCTTTTAGAAATGACTACATGATAATTTATTACTTCCATATGATACAGGATACGAATTATTTTTAGAATGTGCATCAGCAGCTTTTAAAAATGAATCTTTGGCCTGATCATAAGATTTGCCAACTTTAAACGACGTTCCTATGAAACCAAAGATAAGAAATATTGATTACACTGTGAAGCAAACAGCAAGAAAATGTCTGCACACGACGATACCAGATTCAAGGGTTGGAAATAAACTCACCAGCTTTCATAAATTTATCTGCAGCATTGTCGTAATCTGGTTTCCATTTTAACCAACTGGTCTGAAGACTGCAGAATCAGAAATGAAGCACTCATTAAAAGTTCAGTTCTGGGGTCCATTCTGGAATAAATGTTGTTTATACCTTCCCTTCGAGGATATTAGAAAACCTTCATGAATAAAATAAATTCAATTGATTATAATAACTCACCACTTATCAGCTTCTTTCAAAAGAGCAAGTCCTTCACGAATTTTTTTCTCATTGGCGGCCATATTTGATTTCACTGCAGAGACCACTGAGCTATATAATATAGCCAGTAACTGAACAATTCAAACAAAAAAGATGCATACTCAGCGATTTTTGTACGAGTTTTTAGTTAGAGAAACTAACTTTACTTCTATCTTCTTGTTTAGAGTGATTTAAAAAGATCATAACATGGAATTTCATTGAAGTATATCCTTAACTTCAATCTTATGTCAACAATCTACAACTGTAAATCTAAAAGTCACTACTTCAATCTTCCATTGGAAAAGTTATATGACTGTACTTATTACAAAACAATCCTATTTCACAATATTTAACTGTTTTACTCTCGTTTTAAGCACAAGGCACACAAGAAGTTCATTCCCGAAGCTTTAAAAATCTCCAGCGCAATTTTCTCACATCGCTGATGAAACCATTCCTTGCAGCTCCCACACTGTGCCATGAGGTCAGCTTCGCTCTTTGGTTTCTCATAAGGCATACGACAACTACAGAACAACTCGACTGTGTAGAACTTCCTCTTAGACAAGACGATCTCGCTGCCAGGTTTCATCTCAGGAAATGGACTCATCTTCTTCAACTTCAAACACTCAACAAGATGTGGTCTCATTTTTGGTACGTCATATCGTAACTTGCTCGGGTCTTGGCCAAGCGCAAGCGCTGTCGCAAACGCGATGGCAAATACACCACAATCAACGTGAGAGGTTTGTTGTTGAACTGATTTCATGATAATTTTCATCTCTGCATTCTGAATACACATGAACGAGGCGAGTTGTTGTTTGGTAAACTTGGCTATAAAACCTTGATTCATGCTGTCATACATGTTCACAGCTGCAGGATCTTTGCTTCCAGTGAGTGATATGTTTGCAGTACAGACCCAGTGTAGGCTACCATCGTGCAAGATCTGAATGAAATCACCACTGACAGGAAGAAATGCTTGGACAGCACCACGAGCAACCGTCTGAAATCCTTTCAAATGAGGGAACATCTCATGAAGAATACTTTGAGCAAGATTAATAGAATCAACTGTCAACATCTCATGCCTCTGCACCAGTCTTGCTTCATACTTTGGGAGAGTTATCGGGGTCTTTACTTCAATTACTGTCACATCATCCACTTTCTTCTGATCTATAACATATGCATCCCCTTGCGAGACACTCGTTGTGTCCTCTTGAACCCGTGCATCATCACCTCTGGGTTCCTGGATGGTACCCTTGCTCTCCTGAATACTCCCCGTGTTCCCCTCTCCAGAAACATCAACAGCAGAAGCATCAGAGGCGGCTGGTCGGTAATAATCAATATTTAAAATCTCCATATGATTCATCTCTTCCAAGACTTGCTCCTCGATCGTCTCATTCCCGTAACTCATCGTCGTATTCTCGTGAGGTTTCGCTATCTTTCGCGGAGGTTCGTCTTCATTCCCCTCTCCACCGGGGCTTACCTTGGAAGGTGTACTAGCGGAAGACCTCTTTGACTTCTTTCCCAGTCCTTTAGGCTTTTCCTCGCTCTTGACTGGCTTTGTTTCCACTTCATCTTGCTCTATAACGATTTCATCTTCAACAAAGGACAACTTTATATCGGCCAATACGTCATCTAGCGAGGCGTTCAAACGGTTGATGACGTCGTCATCTGAGAGGCTATACGTCATATTATTGATGTCATTAAGTAGATCACGACAAATGCTGGATTTACTGCGCGAATTGAACTTCGGGAAGGCCAACTCATGAAATTGACTCGAGTCAAGAACACTAACGGTGGCTACAAAAAGTGAAAAACAATCAATTGGGTTCTTTTCCAGTAAACGTCTTCAATTAAAACATTACCTTCGGAACTCTCCGTGACATCATCAGTCTTACTCGTAGACGCCTCGTGTTCCTCCGTAGTCTTCGGATTAACAATCTCGTCCAAGGTTAAGTAAGGAGAGCAACGATAACTTTCCGGGAATTTCGACCAACTCCAGTCCTTGATATCACGCATGACTGCAACGAAATGCTTGCAAGGAAGCATGGTGCTTGTCCAGTCCACACAATCACAATGAGGGTATTTCTCACTGTTACCAAACTGAACCTAATGAAAATAATATAATTTAAAAAAAACAGCTTTTAGATCTAGAGAAGATATTTTCAGGTGATCATGGTTGAGGTCGTCACTCAACTCTCTCCCCTCCCCAAAATGACCTCCCCTCTTGCCAACTATAGGTATACCTTATACTCGACATCTGATCGGCGACAATTCACCAAAAACTCTCCTTCCTTGTAGCTGTCAACAGTGATGTCATCCCAAGATATCTCATACGATGACGTAATTCTTTCGCTGATGTGATCAATCACCCATCTTGGTCTGTTACGAAACACATCAGGAAGGTTTGCATACTTGCTTGAGGTTCCTGTCTGTATGTCTGCGTTTAACTCGTAATAGCTAAAAATAAGATGAATATAGAATGAATTTGGAAGACAGAATTCTGCCAGCCTACAGAAGCACAAATAGACAGAACCGAGTTGATATTTACAGATCACGAATTCTAGGTAAGTAGATTTCCATGACGACTTTCAGCATTTGACCCAGCGAAAGGTATTTGATCCCAACAAGTTGCTCGTGAATGAAATCTTTCTTTTGAGCTTCGAATGTGTTGTTTGTCGTAAGAACGTTTGTGTAGCTCTCTTCTTTGTAGCACCAAACCCAACGCTGGAATAGAAAAGAATCGAGGATTGAACTAGTCAGCTGAGCTACAGTTAGGATCATTCTATAGCTCAGCTATAGATTCCGCAGTTAGGATCGTTCATGAGCTCAATGAGTTATGACTGAAGTTAGCGAAAATCTCACCTCCTTAACGGCAAGCCAAGCATTCTCAAACCAAGTTCTAAACATTTTTCCATAACTATCATTCCAAACATCTCTTCGTTCCAAGTCACAAAATCGTTTTTCAAACTGCTCCAGAGTTGCCGCTTTGGCCAGCCTGTGCAGATGATGAATCAAGGCTTCTTTGTACGGGATCATCTGGTTTGTTGATTGGGAGAGCCATTTCTCCCATGCCTGCTCACGATGAAAATCATTTATGAAAACTTTGCAATCTAGGAAAGAAAGTCGTTGTTTAGTCTCTACGATCTTAGCTATAGTAAGATTCATATCTTCAAAATATTCAATATTGTACCTGTAAAAACCTGCTCCAGAGCTAAAATCTCTTCGCTGTCATTATCAGCCATGAACACTTTCGGTTTCCAATCAGGATTCCATTCTTTGATCAACTCAAGCGCTTCTCTTGTGGACTCCATGTTTTCATCTTGTACGACAAAAGTCGCAACGACTTGATAATCAACATTTGTTTTGATTATGAGAAAAAACAACGGCAGAGGATATTTGACTGTTCTATAGACGGGATCAAGGAAACACACATGATTGCCGTAGCGTTTGAGAAGATGACGTTGAAATGAGGTTTGATGAACGAGAATCATTTGTTGCTGGGCAAACTTCTGTCTTATCTTAAGGTGGTCTTCTAACTCTTCCTCGACGGAAATGCCAGACAGAGCGCAGAGACGCATCTCATCAATACCATCACAGCCTCTGAACAACACACTATCTTCTGGATTTTTATCTTAAAAGAATCACAGTTTGATTCAACTCATGAAGAACAGAACACTATCTTCTCAAGCATCATAAAGCAGGTCTTTGACATCTTATACATACCCTGTCTTTCCTTTAGGAGTTGATTGACAACTTCATGATCAATCATATTTAATCGTCGTTTGATATAAGCATTATACATCTTGTTTCTTATCACCCCTCTTGTAGGGTAGTAACGACGGTTAGTGTGGCAAGGTTTCCACAATTCCGGACACAACTGAGTGTTAACAAAGACTTCTAAACGACGTTCAACCTCTCGAATACCAGTAAAGCCTTCCTCCACGAGTTCCCCGATCTTTTCCGACACTTTGCTGTGCATTCTCTCCGATGTTGAGTCGCTGTTCTATTTAGTAAAGTATTAATATTGTTACCAAAATATTATTGTGGTAACAGCGCTGTAATACGTCATGAATACCGCCGTAATACGGTAGTAATACTGGGTCAATACTCTCGTAAAACCGCTGCAATACATCATAAATACCGCCGTAATACTGTAGTAATACTGGGCCAATACTCTAGTAAAACCGCTGCAAACAAACACCAAACAACATCAAACTCACCTCTCCGACGGGATGGCCAACATGAGACTCATTACTTGGTAGACTGAGATAAATTCGTCGGTCTAATTTATCCAGATCAACTTTGCCTTCTTTAAGATGTTGTTTTAAGTTCTGTGAGAGTTGTTTTCTCATGTACTGAGTGTTGTTAGCAATCTTAGAGAGATAAAACTCGTAAGAGAATATGGTTTTCAGTTGCACGCAAGGCCGTGGCTAGAACTAGAAGCTCAATTGGCGGGTGTACATATTCATATATTCGTCCTATGCCCGACTGATTTCATTTGTACGTCATTGTCCCAGTTCTTATTGTATGAAATCATGAATACATGTCATGTATATGAATATACACCTCCGAATTAAGCGGTTTAGTTTCAGACTTTTAGTCTTGGTTGCATGATCAATACTATCAAGACACAATGGAGGTCCAATGCATGCTTTGAACGTACCCTGAACTACGTTAAATAACAAGAATATGTACAACAATGATTTACTTTATATTCGGGAAACAAAATGACATCGTTGAAAACCACTTGGGCTGGACAATTTATTTTCTTTCCTGGTAACAAGGTATTTCGCTTTTTCTTTTCGTTCAACTACAAATAAATTGAGACAAAAGAAGCCAATCAGGAATAATTAGTTCTTGTTAGAGGTAATTAGAACCTTTTCAACGTTTCAATTAAGGTAATGACCCAAAGTCGCTTGAGAGCCAACATCCCAGTAAACCTTTTTGGGTTTGGTGTCCAAGTCTAGGGGAATAATCTGTTATAATCATGTCAACAACAAACAACACAACAAGGAAAGAATTTTTAATCAACAACAACAATATTAACAGACACCTTACATTCAGTTGTAGCGGCAAAATAGATCTACGTAACTACGTTAAAATATATATAAACGGATCTGACAAGTACATGAGAATGTGTCATGTAAGCTGGTGACAAAGATATAGTTAAGCACTACTTAAGACTAGTATCTCAGGGAAGAATAAACAAAATTATCTAAGATGAAAGTTTATTTGAAAATTTGTGGGAATCACGTTGTTCCGTTGTAGTGTACATTGTGATTTGTGACTAATTTCAATCACCGAAATGAACTATATCGAGCGCCTTCTTTTGAGCGATCTCAAACAAGGAACTCGCATTTCACAGCAACACACGAGTAAAGAACACGCTTCGACAGTTTTTGGTCTAAATTGCATTGAAAGGCAACAAAAATAAACTGAAGTCGATTAATATAGGTCAAAACTAATTTATTTTTTTGTTTTGTATCCTCAACAAGCGAAAACATCGCAAACGAATTGATCTTCGCGACTACCACGGGTAGTCTTCCTCACTAAAAACCATACCTGAGTGGCCGAAATCCTTCGGACTACGCCAAACACAAAATCGACTTTTCGTGTTATTTTCAAAGCGATGCATGACCTCATCTGCCTCTTGCAAGGTTTTAACATACTTGGGGTACAAGCCACTTGCAATTGCTGTAGGTTTATGAACATATTCTGTGGAAACTTCAGGTGTTTCTGCAGGAATTTCAGTGGCTACTGTTTCAATGTTTTGCTCAGTCTCCGCCATTTTGGTTTATGGCATGCAGTACAGTATACGGGATCTTACCCTACCAATATTTCCCACATACGTGTCGCCAGTGCACTAGAGTTTCCCCCTTAATTCCTTTCATTTTATCATAAACTATTTCCTCTACTTTTGTATATATCTAAATAAATATCCGTAACAGAATTAACCTGGTTTTTAAAAGCAAAAGGCCGGAGTGGGAAGCATATATTGAACGTACTAGAAAGCCCAGGGTCAAAGCTCGCATAATACAGTTGATAGGGGAAAAGCCCCATAGTAAATATTTGATATAAATAAAGTAAAAGTAAAGTGAGTAATATGGAGAGATATCATTACTTCAAGTGATATATTGAGGTCCAGTCATTTATGCTATCTACTTTACAAATAGTTCATTATTTAAAGTCAAATGGTGAAATAGAAAAATATTAACTTTATTAATTAATTAAAATGGGTTTATAATATATACAATGGAAGTTGATCGAGCAATTGCAACAAATATTTGTACCAAGAGTGAAGACAATGGGGTGAAAGAGCATCTTTATTTATCTGGACAAACTGAAACGTTAAACATACCTCCAAAAACTGCCACATCAGCTGAATTAACCCCCCTGGATATGAAATCTGCAGAACTGCCCCCCCTACCACCTGCAAAGTTGCACAGTGTTACAACCATTGAAGTCAGTAAAGATTCAACAAATGTCGACATGGATGGGACACTGACTAACACTACATATCCTGTTTATGCAAGATCACTTGCAGAAGCAGAGGAGGCATTGCATAGATTTGAAAACGATACAAAGAACCGATATTCGGTTTGGAGATGCCCCAAAGATTTTGGAAGTTCTCGTAAGCATAAATAATATCAAAATACATCACTTTTTGCACATGCAAAGGCATGAGAGAGTTGTAGATTTCTATTTTATTCTAAGTAGTATATTATTACCCACTACACCATATTCAACTGTGTTATGTAGAAATTGACGTAACTAACAAAAGGATCTACTGGCAAGAATTTGATATTGGAGATAGAATAACAGTGAAATCTGATGGTGTTCCGTTCATTATGATGGGACGGAAAGTTTATGACTGTCATTTTGGCAAGGATAGAAATGTCAAGCTGAAAGAGAAATTAAGACTTCAAAGGGAGGAAATTGTGAAGGTTACAAATTTGTATATTATCCACCTTACCATATTGTAAACTAATTACTGTGTATACAATCTTGAGCCTTCAGTTTACTTAATGCACTTTCAAAAGGTAAAACCTCTTCCTTGTATGGTAATCTTAAATTTACTCTAGAATGAAACTATAAAGACAAGGAAAATTCCACCAACAAGGAAACTCGATTGTCCAGCCAAGGTTGTGTTCTGTGAAATCATCTACTTTCCTGATTTCAAGGTATTCACAATTCAATGGTAAACTATAAACAGGCCAACTCTTACTCATTCTTGTTTATGCTTTATTAATATCATATTTTTGTTGTCTCTTCAACTTGTTCTACATAAAAGATTTCCACCAACACAAAGTATTATCGGGGAATTGTTGCAAAGAAGATCAAAAAAGGTTTTGCTGCTGGTTCTGTAAACATGCAAAACATTGAAAGAAGAATTTATATCTCATTTCCAACATCCAATGATCACATAGGACATCCCACCAGTGTTCAGGTGTAGTACAACTAGAAAACAATGCATTATGCATTAGAAAATGCAGGGCAGACCATGCATGAGCCATTCTGAACATGCCTCTCCAACCTTATCAACCCTTTACTCTCGATTCTTACAATTAACTAATTCAATTTTACTTCATTGAAGGGAACGAATTCCTTGCACAGAGTGGATCCAAAGATATCAAAAAAACTTTCAGAGCTGGTTTTATCCGGTGTACGAAATGACAAAGAAATGAAACAATGTCTTGATATTTACATCAACCAGGAGCTTTATCCTGGCAAAGCAAAACCTTTCCATTCAAACAAGCGTTATTTCCCAAACACTGGTATAATAAGAACAAAGATGTACAATGAATTAGTTTTGCAGAGACTAGTGGTCTTAGATTTCCCTCAAATTGAAGAACTCGTCGCGAAGATAAAAAATTCTGATGATAAAGTTTATACTCGAAAGTTTGACGGAATGAGCGAGGTTTTGAGACGAGATTCCATCAATCTTTTAGTTGAAGAAGTTTTAGAGCATGAACTTCGTGTGAGACAGAAATTCTCTCAGCAACAGTTCATTCTCGTTCATCAAACCTCATTTCAACGTCATCTTCTCAAACGCTACGGCAATCATGTGTGTTTCCTTGATCCCGTCTATAGAACAGTCAAATATCCTCTGCCGTTGTTTTTTCTCATGGTCAAAACAAATGTTGATTATCAAGTCGTTGCGACATTTGTCGTACAAGATGAAAACATGGAGTCCACAAAGGAAGCGCTTGAGTTGATCAAAGAATGGAATCCTGATTGGAAACCGAAGGTGTTCATGGCTGATAATGACAGCGAAGAGACTGCTGCTATTCTTAGCTGTTTTCCAGGTCTGTCGCGTCGCAAACTCGCAGCCTTTTAATAAAAAAAATTCACGTTTTTCTGATAACAACTCCTCAAATTAACCCATCTAATAATATTCTCAAATCCCGAAGAATCTTTTTTAAACAGGTGTAAAAATTTTCTCATAGATTGCAAAGTTTTACTCAGTGATTTCCATCGCGAGCAAGCCTGGCGTTCGTTTTCTCTCGCAATCCTCCAATGGTGTTGCAGCGCATAAGAATGCAATTCTGGTGCACTTACGTCGTATAACAGAGTCCAGGACAGACGAAGAAGCTAAAGAAGCCATGGCTTCGCTCAAACACACGGAGTTCTGGCAGTGTGATTTCGGGAAAGGCATTCAAGGAGTGGTATGAAGAGAAATGGATGAGCGTTAAGGAGGTAGTGTATTGTAATAAAACCTTCAATCAATGATCCAATGGATAGCATTGGAAAACGGGAAATATCAAATATGATCGCTAAATCATGGATGTCTCTTTTAGATGTGGGTGTTTGCATATCATACGGCGTTCCTGTCCGATATTGTTATGACAAACCTGACATTTGAACGTCAGAGAAAAGATTTTTCCCACAAGGAGTTGTTGAATGAGGGAGCAACGTTACTCAGTGTCGTATTGAAAACGATCATTGAATCCCTTTTGCCTGCTAAACGAAATTTGTAAGTCCAGTTGGATCTTGGATGATAGACCTCATTAAATTGATTTTGTTCTTTCAAATATGCGAGATCGAGCAGAGTTTACTTGATCCACATAATACTCGTTACTTCTTCATTTGATAACCCACAAGCTTTACACTCTGTTCCTATTTTTCAGCTACAATGAACAAAACGTTCCACTCTCAAACCAACATTGCAACATCCCTTCATTCTACCACACCCGACCACGTCATCTTACTCAACACATGGCCGAGACCATGACAAACCTCGGTGAATATATCGCAGATGATGTTGTTGTGAACAGCCTTGCAAGAGGAGAATTCTTTGTGAAGTCCTCTCATTCTGATTTGGAATATAAAGTTCAATTTGGAGACGACGGTGTAAGTTATCCTGTAGTTCCATCTGCCGAAGAATTTCTTGATCAAAGCCGTGTTGTAGATCTTTTATCTTTATACTACTTCTTTTATGGGTTGTTTCATTTCAGAAGCTTCCTCAATGCGAGTGCAAGATTTGGTCCAAGACCATGTTACCTTGCGAGCATTTCTTGGCCGTTATGCAACATTGCAAGAACTGGAACTGGTCAAATTTCCCGGAAAGATATCGTAACTCTCCGTATCTTACACTGGACTGTGAAGTCACGCACGAAGAGAAAGAGACAGATAAGAATGTGGGTACAGACGACGGAAGGATATCAATAAATGGAAACGCAGTCCAACAAGATTTAAGTCAGTTAGATCTGACTTCTAGAGAAACCAGCCAGTTAGATTCAAGTGAGAATACACAAGATCCAAGCGTAAATCCAGCTAATCCTAATCATCCTGGTCAAAATGGATTAGATCCGCGATCAAATGAAGCGGAGAGCAAAGATGTTATTCCTCCTGTGAGCTTACACGAAGTTTTACTTGACAGAAAATCTGGTTTGAAAAGTGCAGCAGCAGAGTGCCGTGATTTATTAAATGACATAAATAATTTGACTTTTCTCATTTCGGATAAGCACGTTCTCGTATCGTTACGTGATAATCTTCAGGAAACACTTGAGAATCTCAAACAATCTGTTGTTGACGATGATGTCTCTGAAGGACAAAACGAGGGCAATAAAAATAAAGTGTTTCTGTTGAAAGACAGGAAACGTCCTGGGGATTGGGTCGAAGAGACTGTTGGATGTAAGATATTCAAGGTGGGTGAAGACGTAGAGAGTGAGGTTGAAGCAGATGAAATGACTGTTGGTGATTCTACCAATCAAGTCTTGGAATGTGTTGATAGTAATGATCAGTATAGGTCAATCAATGGTAATTCTTCTATATCTGAGGAGGTTTCTGGTGGTAATATTGGAAGGAGTGAGGATATAAATGGTAGTGGAGGAACATCTGGTGGTATAAGCGACGATGTTGCAACAGCTGAGGGTATAAACGGTGATGATATTGCAGCCAATGTTTTGAACCCTAGTCAGAGTTCATCTGAAAATATGAATTACAATATCAAGACATCTAGGAACCCAAGGGATTTCTATGGTCATATGAATTGTAGTAATGAGGAATCCGGGAGTACTAACGATGATCTCGGGATATCAGGGGATGTTGTGAATGTGGAAACACCAGCTGATACCAACGTCAGCAGTGGAATATCGGTAATGACAGTTGATAAGGGCATAATTATGACAACTTCTGTCAACACTTCACAAGAATCAACCGAGAACCACACCGTCCAATTACAATTGAATACTGGCCAATCAAATCACGGTTCTGCATTGAGTTTCTCAGAATTTGAAGATAAGAACGAGTTGTTGCATTCCAACTCTCCTGGAAGCTTAACAAAGTATGAAGAGAGGATTCTGATAAAACAAGAAATTATTCGACACTCTACGGTTAATCTTGCTCAACAGTTTTTACAGAAATCATTTCCCAATATTAATGGTCTTCAGATTATTGATCGCGGTTCGATTCAAACATTTGAACACGTCAGTGGTGATTTTATTCAGATTTTAAATGATGGTTACGATCACTGGGTCTGCGTGAGTAACCTGGAGATTGATGTAAAAGATCCTGCAACTGTGAACATGTATGACAGCATGAATCAAGGTTTTATAGCCAAGTTTACCAAACAACAACTCGCCTCGTTCATGTGTATTCAGAGCGCAGAGATGAAAATTATCATGAAATCAGTTCAACAACAAACCTCTCACGTTGATTGTGGTGTATTTGCCATCGCCTTTGCGACAGCGCTTGCGCTTGGCCAAGACCCGAGCAAGTTACGATATGACGTACCAAAAATGAGACCACATCTTGTTGAGTGTTTGAAGTTGAAGAAGATGAGTCCATTTCCTGAGATGAAACCTGGCAGCGAGATCGTCCTGTCTAAGAGGAAGTTCTACACAGTCGAGTTGTTCTGTAGTTGTCGTATGCCTTATGAGAAACCAAAAAGTGAAGCTGACCTCATGGCACAGTGTGGGAGCTGCAAGGAATGGTTTCATCCACAATGTGACAGTCTAAAGACGTCTAAACATAAATCTATGTGCAGATACTGTTCAAGGAAATTGTAAACTTGAGGTTTCAAACTGCTAAACGTCTTACCATTAATAATGTAAAAAGTTCTATTTAATAAACACTGGTTTAAAAACGTAACTGCTCTATGTTTGTTTTTTTACAGAATATAAACTAGACTTCATTCAGAACATCAGCAACAAAGAATTTCAAAACAGGGCGTTGACCCACACAAATATTCTACGTTGTCTACCACGTCCGTCTTCCCCAAAATTTAAGCTAAACATCCTTAGAAAAGTGAAATATGATGAATTAACAGTCAACAATAAATCGTTTATCCGTTACTTGTATTCATCTTCAAAAGCGGCAACATCAAACTTTCTCTTGCATCCCTCGTAGTTCATGTACCGTATCTTGCCAAAAATGGATCTCTCGGACCACCCCTGATCATGTATTCCACAAATCGACCACATACATCCTAGAAATTTTAGGAAATATCAAATTTTCTACCAATCTACGATCTCTGAACGTTATATAGTTACTTACCAACAAATCCATTTGGATCGTTTCCATCCAGCTGGTACTTATCGTTCAGATACAACGCAATCTCCAGAGCGTCTTCAGGCGTCTTGGTCCATTCCAAGATCTTCTTAGCCCAATACATGCGAAGAAATCCGTGCATTTTACCTTCACGTACAACTTGGAGCTGACAATAACAAAATGATAAAAGTATAGAAAGCTGGTTGTATACCAGAAGGCTAAACTGTGTGTATCGCGAGTCATGACGATCATCATCAGTCAGATCACAAATGTGAAGACATGTATCAACTCTCACCTGCGCTGCGTTCCAAAGTCTGTCATGTGTTTTTGCTGTTTCAAACTGTTCTTTTGTATAGATATATTCTCTTTTGTCTTTCACATGATCTCTCAATGTTTTCTTCGCCCATTCGCTTGCTCCATCCACAGAATCGTAATTTTCATTGTAGAAACAAAAGTTATCAGCGAGTTCTCTGCGGATTACAGATTCTTCGATGAAAGCCTCAACTGACTCCTTCCATTTTGATTTTTGCTTTGAAACTGCCAGTATTGCTCTCTGAACACTTATTTGACCTGTGTTACGGATATGTGATGGCATTAGAAGTGAAGGCATTTATTAGAAAAAGATGATGGCATTGCAGAAGCAATGATATATATTAGAGGGAGGGGACCATATTAGAGAGGGGTGATGGTATTAGAGAGAGAGATGCATGGGTGTCCTTTTGAGAAAGAGGTTCCATATTATTACATAAACCTTCTACCTTCAAACCTACAGCATACCTGTATGAAACCAAGGTGAAAGATTGCTCAATGAATTCTTTGTCGGGTCATTTCTTTCTGTTGAAAAATGTTTGAGGTTGCCTTCACTGAAGGTCATCAATCTTTTCATTCCAGCTTCTGTTCCAGGAATTGCCCAAGACACTTCAGGAACACTCTGGTCAACTTCGATGAACTTATACACATTCTTCCAGTTTGTATCCTAAGAAAATTTACAGTTCACTATCAATATATATGACTATTGACACGACAAACCGCCATGATTTGGCTGATAACCTTCTACCTTGTGAGCCTTAGAGTCAATAGGATGTTTCACACATGGTGGAAATTCTGTCAGAAATGACGGCAGTTGATTTGTGATTTTAGGACGAATTGTCCTGGCCGCATATTCCAATTTTGGCGAGGCTTCCCAACATGGCACAATATTATGGGCATCAACCTAGAAAAAAAACCATTAAATCAAATTACACTGATACAAGCTAGCATATAAAATTGATACCATGCATATTTTTCTGAAATCCAAGACATATTACCTCAAATACTGCAACATCACTTGGTACAGTTTTTACGACTTGATCGAGCCAGGATCTTGTCTCTTTTAAGGGAGAGAAGTCAGTTACAACACCAGCAATGTTGTAGGAGGAAATAAACTTTGAAACTGTTGTACTAGGATCTCCAAGCAACATGTGAAATGAAATGTTCAGTTTCTTAAGTTCCTGGAAAATAAAAAGTCAGAGAAGAGCAAGACAATTACACTTTATTACCATCAATTCACTGGTTCATTGATACTTGGACAATGTTTACCTTCTCAACTTCTTGCAGACCTTTCAACATGAATCCATATTGCCTGATGCTGGCTTCTCTAAATTTCTCAGGCAATGCAAAACAGACATGCAAAGGCATGTTGTGTTCCATTGCAATTTTCTGTGCATAAATCATTGCCCAGTTATCTAAACATGGAGCCAGGATTATTATCACTATATGGGATGGGTCAAGCACCCTACCCATACCCTGGGAATGAAGAAGATGCAAAACACCTAGGGTCTGGAAATCTCTTCCAAATCATTGTCGGACTGGTGTCACTAATTTAACAGGGATCACAAATTTGAATTCTGGGGCATGATTGGCTCACAAGCACCATAGAAAAGGTTAGGCACTCTAGTTATAAAATTTTAAATGCTTGATTTTTCTGAGCTTGGAACATTTTGCTTTGTGGTGATTGGAATGGTTCATTATGGTTGGATAAGAGGTTTGGGTCATGGCAATGTATCAAAGTCAAATAATGGTATCATCTGCGATTAATTCCCCAATACCTTGCACTCTTTGGTCACGCCACATCCAGTAAACAATTCCTTGATAACCAGACGAGACATCTTTCTGTCCAGTTAAGATACGAACTCGCTTCATATTAAAACTCTCAGCGGATGATTTAGCTTTTTTCTTCTCTGAAGTCGCTTCGTGTTCCACGCCATCCGGCTTGCGCTTTCTGGAAATTCGAGACATTCTGCGGTAGAAAATAAACCTTCGTAAAACGATGAACCTAGTCGATAAATACGTCAGTTGGTGCTCTATCCTGGATGGTTGTTGGTTAGGCAGTTATTTACAACTAAACTTCCAGTTTAAAATGGTTGATTACGTAATGACCGTTTGTAAACGTTTGTATAATTACGTAATGACTGTTGTAAACATTTGTATAATTACATATTCACGGAAGTGGTGTTTTATGCAAATCAAGTGCGAATGTTTTTCTGTATATGATTTCACGCAAACGTGAAGATTCAATTTCACAACAATACGGTGTGTTTGAACTATTGTGGCAGTGTTTTGGAAGCAATCGCGCAACATTTCTAAACATGGGTGATTTAGAAGCAGTGTTTAACAGTTTCTGTGCCTTCGGAGCCGGAGCTAAAGGGGGCGCTGCGATGATGGATAACGCGAAATTTGCGAAGCTTTTCCGTGATTTGAAGTTGTTGGACAAGAAACTCACATCAACAGATATTGATATCATATTTAACAGGCCAGAAGTTAAGAGGTAGGCAGGATTACAAAGACGTTTACCAACAAGAATATCGCTAAGGAATATTTTTTGTGTCGATGAAATCTGAAGTGAGAAGATGAATATTCATTCATAACCAAAGCGGTTCAATTTATTGGGCACAGTTTCAAAGTATCATGATTCATGAGTACTCTGATAGCTGTCTTCCAGAGAGATGCCCAAGCTCCTATTTTAGACAGAACGCGCGAAATCACAACTTTGCCCAAATTCACAGATTTTGTTTTAGCATACTCGCGAGCAGGTTAACCATTTAAACGAGCGGTTTTAAGATCAGCTTGCAGACTTGCAGCACAAAATCCTGTGCACGAATAGTTCAGTACAGTAACAAATTCAACCTACATTATGCGAGACATATTTTGATAGCTATTCACAACGTAACCTGTGATAATAACTTAATCTCTGTCTATTCTAATAGCAAAACAGATCGAAAAATCAGCTTTGCTCAGTTTCAAAAAGCTCTTGGGCTCGTGGCTGAGAAGAAATTTCCGGGCGAAGGAGAGGCTGGTTTGGAGAAACTAAAGACAAAAATAGCCGCCGGAAAAGGACCTGGTACTTCAGGAGTTACGGTGAGATGTCTCTGTTGTTGAAATGCCTTGCAACAATTCTTTTGTGCGGTAACAAATGTATTTTGAGCACTCATCTATCTTACTTTCATTTTGAGAATATACAAATAATACAATATGATTTTCTTGAGATTTAATTTTCCTTAGAGCCCAAGATACCCGTTGTTTGTAGAGACCTCAGTCCTCAGCCTTGCGGCTGCCGCTGGATATTTATAACTAGACATGCACAGATGGATAATAGGAAAAACGTAAAAGAAAAGCAATTTGAGTATGAACCGGTGGTTTGCTGTTAAAACGGAAAAAAAATGGGAATGCAAATGAAGAAATTATTAAAATTTCAGTAGCTAAAAGATGGACGATTATCCGCTTTGTGTTGCTTAGTATGGCGTGGCGGTTGCTATGGATGAGATTGTCTTGCAGCCCCGTGAGAGAAGCTTCGGGTTAGGATATCATTATTATAGGAAGCATAAGGCTAGGACTTGCGCAGTTCAAACGCAAATAAAGCTTGGGATTGTAAACGTAAAGAAAGCTTAAAGAGAAAGTCCACATAGCAAACACATAGCACTGTAACTCAGCAATGACTTCGGTAATCACTTTATTAGTGGTTTAACAATTCATAATTGTCGACCTCGGTTCATATAATGCTGCTCGTTATTCGTTAATCATTAATGTCATTTGAGGGGGGGGGGATTGGGTGTGCAGCGATATTGCACTTTAAATATTTATTGCTCTGAAAACAAAACTAGTGTGTGTGTGTGTGTCTTAATTGATGTACTTTCTGGTTTCATTTTGCTCGTTTTATTTTTAGAAAGCAACAAAGGCTGGTGGGGTTGACCGCTTGACGGACACGTCAAAATACACGGGCTCACATAAAGAAAGATTTGACGGTTCAGGAAAAGGGAAAGGACTGGAAGGACGGAAAGATTTCGATGATAAAGCGGACGCAGGATACGTTGGAGGATACAAGGGGAAAGATAGCTACGATAAAACACACTGAACGTTATCACTATATTGAACTCCCTTCTTATCATTAGCTGTCCCTTATTGCTCCAAGCATGAACTGCATGAACATATACAAACCTTATCTTAGTCTTATGTAGATAGGCTTTTAAAACTTCATTTTGCCTTTGTTTTCAACTTAATAATAATTAAGCTATTGTTTATATATCACCTTGCTATTCCAGATGGATACATCTGATCTAAAATAGGCTTTTCAATTCTATATGATGAAGAAATGCTTCAGTAAAACTATTATATACACACAACTGATGATTTCCACTTATCTACGTCTTGTGTGAGGTTTTTCCAACATTTGGCAACCAATCCATTGATTTCTTTAATTGTTTATAACTCCAGTGAAGTTGATTCACTTCAGCCTGATGGCGATCTTTTTCCTGGGACAACTCCAACAGCAAATGATCATTGGTCGCAACGAGAGATCTAAATATAACAGAGAGAAAATAACAAGACTGGTTGAGCTGTACACAAGCTCCTCTTCTGATGACAGATAGACAAGAGAACAAGGCTCACCTGTGACTCTCCTGCAACATACTTGCCAGCTCGTTTAGTTGTTGCAAATTTTCATTCTGTTGACTCAAACGCTGTTTCAGCTTATGATTTTCATCATGAAGAGATTTCACGTCGATGATTGCTTCATCTGAATAAACACATTAAACACGAGGCTATTCACGTTCCTCTAGCTTTTAAAAACCACGTTATTTATCTCATATTTTGAATAAGCATGTGAACTGCAGTAGGTACATATATTCATGCAAACCTGACTTTTTCTGTCGTTCGTACTCTGTGTTTTTTTGAGACTCCAGTTTAGTCTTGAGAAATTGATTCTCTTCTTGCATGTGTTGAAACCTTTCGTGTAGAGTTGTCTGATAAATTACAAAATCATATCCTTATACGTACAATTGATTTTAATAAATTGGACTATAAGAACAGAAGCTGATTGTGCAAGGGAGTTGTTGCTCTTTACGAATTTCTGTCACTTGCATATCTACAGTTATATCTCGCAGTTAGCGAACTTACCAGTTCCTGGCTAGTTTCCTCAAAAAGTTGTCGTTTTTCTTTCTCTTTTCCAAGTTGTTCACGAATTTCGCTACACTCTTCTTCCTGTTCTTTTAACTGTTCTGAAAGTTTCTTCAATTCCTCCTCTTTTGTCAACATCTCCTCCCGTAGTTTCCTCAAGCTTGTCATGTCGCGTTCAGGTTGATCCAGCGTTGGCCGGTAGTTCTTCAACACGGCAATAGCGAGATCTGGTCAAAGAGAGAACGAGTTTGTTGAAGTTTTCGTTTACAGAAAAACTGGCAGCCAAAACACGTAGTTGATTTGAGCAACAATGGAAACCTAAACAACGATCCATAATAGTTTACATATTCACTCAATTCTCCAAATCAGAACAAACCTTTAAACTTTGTATGATTATGAAGAGATTTTGAACCATTCCAATATTTATCGACAAGATCAACCAGCTTATGTAACACTCGCAGTTCATTGTTTACCGCAAAAGAAGGACTGGACTATACAAAAAATGTTGCTTCAAAATTTAATTCGACTAATTTTCCCTCGGTTCACAGAGATCCTTGCGTGCTATGAAATCAAGAAATCGCTTCACCAACCTTGTTTCTATGATTACCAGAGGGTGACGATGAACTATCTGTGTTAAGAGACCTTGCATTACGCTCGTCTTTCAAACCAGGATGTTGATCTGGAATGAAATGTCTTGATCTCTGAGGAATATTATCTTCGCTGTTACCAGACTCCTGTGAATCAGATGAACTCTTGGGAATATCACTGTCATGTTCAGTCTGATGGTGAGCCACAGATCTCGGGTTAGGGGTGAAATTACCTTGAGTGGTGTGGGGAGCGTATTGGGAATCACGGGAGACGCGTTTGTGCGATTTTTGGGTAGGAGGGTAGGGTGGTGGTATTACGTTACCATTATAGTCAACTGGAAGAGAGATTGGTGGTATTTTATGGTGAATTTCCTTGCTTTTCTCAATTGCAGCACCTTTTTCTTCATCCATGATGTGCATATCAGCCAACTCTGATGAGTAAAGTTGCAGTCAAAGTATGTCTTAAACTGACTACAAATCTTGTAATTTAATCAGATCAAAGGATGGTATCTACCTTGTCTTGGATAATCCTCCACATCAGGGAATTTACTGCTTGATCCAGAAATAAATGTGGGTCCGGCGTTCTTCCTTGTGATTGCATCAAGCAAGCGCACATCATCATTGTCCAAGGCTAAAACAAACACCTCGTCAGAACTCTATCATAGACAACAAATTTTAGTCTGTTCTTCTTCTTCTTAAAACTCACCAGATCTTGGACCAAGGTTTCTCACCAGTTCTGCACGTGGAGGAATGTGGAATCTAAAATAAAATCAAATTTAAAAGCGTTGGTGAAGTTGTCAGACACTGGGCCTGCCACATTCAATGTTTATTGATGAGTGAAATCCAATTTTTGTAAATAATATAATCTTCTTTCCCCTTAATTTAAACATTTATTTGATCTACCTGTCATTGCTGTTTGTGAAATCATCTTGAAATCTTTCATTTATAAACTCAGAAGCCTGTGAGAAGTAGGTTTTATTAGGGCTGTTTGGTATGGAAAGTTGCCTTCAAATAAGAATCCTGATCACTACAGGATTCTTGACGTAGGTCTTGTAAATTATTACCTGGTCTGTGTTGAAATGCATCAATGCAGCTTTTCTCTCACTGTCTCTTACAGATCTGTCATCTGAGTTGAAGAAATATTTAACCATCAACAATGTCAATATTTTGTAATTGTTCTACCAATATTAACAGCCGAAACCTACCAAGTTTTCTGAGACTGGGTAACATGTGTATCAGAAACAATCTGTGGTCTGGTTCATTCTTTGTCACTGGATTTAAACGGATATCAAGTTCCTTGGGAGATAAAATATATTACAGGTGAATTACTATGACATTCTTGAAGAACAGAAAATAAAATAGCAGCGACAGAAATTTACCTTCAAATTTGTTAGTGTTCTTAGCTGATAAAGGTCTTTTAATGTGGAGATGTTATTGTAATATCTATATGCTGAGTTAAGTTATATCATACAAAAGTACAATAGCTATAAGTATTAATATTAGTGTTATAATATTTGTGTTGAAGATACAAATTCAAAGTTTCCAGCATTTGTAAATGACTGATTCCCTAAAATAAAAGAGTTAAAAGGATATAGATTATGGATTAGAATACAGAGTGAGTATACTTGCAAAATTTACCTCCAAGTTACAAACTACATTCCTTGAAAGGTCCAAATGTTTCAGTCTGGTGAAGCTATGTAGCGATGACCCAAGGTGGGATATTTTCTCATGGTATGACCCAGGTAAAGACAGGGATTTCACATCATCTTGGGTAAAAAAGAACATAACCATTATATTTTTTGGTCCAATTTCACTAATACTTCTTCCTCAAGCTCTTATACCTACTTCCAAGCCACACTATAAACTTGTACAAAAGAATTGATTTATACTAACATCCCCTATGTAACTATATTAAACTCAGCCAACTGTCAACATGTATGACCTATGGTATGACTATATAAATACGTAACAATTCTATAGTTAAGACTATTCGCACATTTTATACAGATTCCAAATAGAGCTGATTAAAACACAAAACATAAGACAAAAATTATCACATAATCCTAAATATTTTACCCAAGTTATCATGTTCCAAATGCACCCGTTGTCTTATCCACTCCTCGTCAATTTTTAGCGCCATTTTGTTTCATTTTTTGAATTTCGTACAAAAATAATGGGATTAACCACTGGGCAAGACAACAGTGGGCACCACATGCATGAGCCTCAGGCAGAACCAGACATACTTTCCTCTTTTCCTATTATTATTATAAGATTTATAATATAGTGGGGGTTATTGCTTCTTGTATGTGGTTGTCAGATGGGTCGGTATAGCTACAAACTTACCTGTCAACCTGACAAGCCAAAGTCAAACATTTGAGGGGGGAAACACGTTCACACTTTTATAACAAGAATGGATCAAAGTCGAAGAATTGATCGCTTCACGGACCGGCATTTTATATAAAATCATTGGCAATGCACTGACAGTAGAAATATGCAAAACATATTGCCAAGCTGGGTCGGGGAAATTACTTTATTTGCATGAGTCTTTTACGCCTGTCGAACGCATTAAAACAAAACAATAGTTAATTAATACGGATGATCATTATCTATTGTTGTTAATGCGTTCGGCAAATGAGAAGCGCCATCGGTGCAAAAAGTGCATTGTCCATTGGAATGTTCTTCGAGGGAATAAAAGGTGCTTGATTTCGAGCATAAACTCAAACTTGTAGTCTCGAAGAAGGAGAATCACTCGAAGAAGTTTAGGGAAAAGTTGGAAGAATCTTGCTCAGATACATACATGGCCATGGTTGCCGGTTAGAAGAATCTGTTGGTCTTTTAAAGAATCTTGATCTTTGTTTGGCTTTGCAAATTAATTCATCGCCGTGTTGATTTGAATAGCCATGCCAACGACTTGGGGCATATTCTTAACGATTTTCACTGCTATATCTTGTATATTTCGTTTGAAAATGTGAAATACAAGTGAGCTGTTAAACTGATCTTGTTTTTCCTGCCTTATTTCATTTCAGAATGAACTACGGCGCCGAACGATGGGAAAGGCGAAACACAAACGCTTGCTCGCAGCAAATAATAGGTATTGTTCTGTTAATATTTTGCATTTGTGATTTGTAATAACACGTTGAGCTACACGTTGGGATATAGTTTAATCGAACTTTTTGAGACTGTGAATTGTTTTGTCTCACCGAGGTTTTCCCTCTTTTTTTTTTAGAATGAAAGGAGATGTCGGAGCTGCCTTGGGAGCTTGTCACGCACGCAAATACAAAACTCAATTTGATTTCGGTGAAAATATGCATGAGAAAATTGCATGGAATTTGGCATTTTTAGCTGAGATATGCTGAACACTCTTCTGTTTACCTCCTTGATTTTCAACTTTTCGGATTGCGGTTTTTGCATGGGTTAACTGACCTAGTCGTATCAAGCGCATGCGGAGTAAATACAAGTGATTTGGGGCCCCATCACTTGTATTTTCTCTATCTTGAACGACAATAGTCCGGAACAAAAATATTGCTCACAGAGCGCCTAAAACATAAAAATGCATGAGAATTTGTATTTTCAGAAGGAGATAATAGTCGAGTGTTTTGGTTTTCTCGAGATCTAAGAAAACGATATTTCCTACAAAACGTGCATGACAATTTTGTATTCGCGTGCGCAATGCGAAGGCCTTGGATGAGTTGCGTTGGAGATGTCGAAGGTCAAAAATCGGGTTTTGAGTGATCATTTTATACTGAATGGGTTGATATTGTGAATTGGAAATTAATATCATATTTTTTGCGATAAAGGATCGTCGCAGGATCAAATGATGAAGGATCGTCGCAGGATCAGATTGTGGTGTGGTATGGTATGGTGTGGTATTATGGTATGGTATGATACTGGTACCTAAGTGATATTTGTGACTAGGAAATTAATATCATATCTTTGTTCTAAAGTATCGTTGCAGGATCAGATGTTGAAGGATCGTCGCAGGACCAGACGGATCGTCGCAGGATCAGATGTTGATGAATTAGATGTTGGAGGAGCGTCGCAGGATCAGTGATGAATTAGATGTTAGAGGAGCGTCGCAGGATCAGTGATGAATTAGATGTTGGAGGAGCGTCGCAGGATCAAGTGGAAGCTGGTTGAGGTATATACTATAGGTATGCATGATTAGTGCATGTGCATGCTGCATGGCATTGGATCCTCCTGGTGGTCTAACCTAGTATATTCACACATCAAGTGACATTTAACACATAACAGGAAATTTCTCACAGCTCTTATGAGGGCATTTTTCGAGTTTTCTCGATAAAAATATTCCTAGTTTTGTCACTTGTGTGAATACGTGTGAAATCCAACGACGTAGCGTCTGCGTATGCATGATGGCTTTAAAGCGTTCAAAAGAAACTAACAAAATGCAATTTGTTAGAGAAAATATCGAATTCGTATTAGCCTAATTTTAGATTAATACGAAGGTAATCGCGAGTACTTATATGATTATATAAGTTCTCTGTTCAGCCTGTTATAAAATACGACCGCTTCGAAGAACAGTGCGTCAATGGCATAAAAAATTATACTTTTGAATGGAATTAGTGAAGTTTACAACGAAAAAAAATTCCTATTTATTTCTATATTTCCAAACATCACTATTAGATCGGTTTAGACACTAACACTCTTTTGTTTTCTTTGTTGATATTAATTTTTCGGATTGCATGTAAAGCTCTTGAAATTCGGTTAATATCAAACATGAAGGAAATAAACGTAATCTGATGATTTTGACTAACTTTGATGAAGTTCCCAATATTTCATGATATATTACATTGCATGATAACTGGACTTATATGATGGGGATATCTGGGGTTGTACTGTTTAACTATTGTAATGAACCCTCTTGCCTGAAAAGCCAACCCTTTAAAGAAGACTCCTTTGCATTTTGACACACTTACTATGTTTTTTCATTCCTTACACGCCTCATCGTCGAGATGTTGTTGAAGAGCGTTGAAACGAAGCAATGAAAAAGAAAGATGGCAGCCATTGTTTACGAAAGGTAATTTTACGGTAAGAAAGGTACATTATTGATTCTTGTAGTATAGCAGATATTGAGCAAGATATTGCATGTTGAGCCTGATTACGTTTATTTCCTCCGTTTTCGGTCACCCATGCATCATCCAAAATGTATAAAAAAAGAGAAAACGTTGCACTCGGAGGTGCATGTCTTAATTGAAGAGTGTTGCTGTCTACATCGGTTTGAGATGAAAAAGCATGCATGCAAGTCGTGAATTACTTTCCACAATACCAGATTTCGTTGAAATAATTGAAATAATTTTTGATGCTATTGTCGGACAAAGCGCAATTTCTAAGAGCCTGCATGTCGTTTTGCAATGATATCTTCCGCGCTGCACACGTTAGACCACCACCAGGATCAAATTGACGAAACTCAAGAATTGCATGACAATTCTTGGGAAGGTAAACTGTAGATTAAAACAGAAGTGCATGTCATTGCGGACGATTTCTAATGAAAATACCAAATTCGGAACGCCGGTCAGGTAACCTGAAATTCAGGTTACCTTTGGAGGGTTTTTCACCGGGCACTCCGGTTTCCCTCCTTTTCGTTTGGCTTTAAACAACAGTGTCCATGTCTGGGGCCAAACCAAAACGTGTTCGTTGATAGTGATAAAAACGCGTTTGTGGCTTCTGGGTTCGATTCCCAGAACACTGTCGTAAAAGAATATTAAAAACACAGTTGTGGAATCATTACATAATTAAATACTTTTCTTCGGAAATTTCTGGTAATGAAATTTTGCATGTAATATAGGAATTAACCTCACGGTCCTCCTGCAAAAACATTGGTTTGCTTTATTATATCTTTTGTTAAAGTTTTCTCAATGTAGAGGCCTTTTACCTTTTCCCACGAATTCCTCTAGCCTTTGATAAAGACAGCAGTATTGAAGTGTATTTTTATTTTGGTGAACCAGATGTTTGGTATTCAATAATATAGATAGAAATCGATTAAATGACGTACTAGATAAAATGATATTTTTTGTTTACTGTACGTTTCCGTGACTGTTTTTTTGTTGAATAATAGTTCATTTTTCACTATTCGTCTTATAAATCAGTTTATAATCTAGGTGGAGCGAAACATCCATCATTCTTGGTCCATTGTTCAGCAGATCCATCGCGCGTTTTTCACCTGTTGCGTGTTTTATTAATGTGATTAATTAAAATTTTTAATGTTGCAAGTTTTAAAGTGTATGTACGAGCTATGTGTTTCATGGACAGTAAATCAACTAAAGCCAATGTAGTAGTTCTTCTGCCTTATCATTGAATGACTCCATTCCATACGTTAGAAGTGAATTGGATACGACAAAACTGGTCCCATGAACAAACTTTAGCCACTTCATTATTTCACAGTGATCAGTTTCGAAGAAGACTTCATATACAGTTAGTGAGAATAAAACAAAGTTGTATTTTCAAAATGTATTGTTTCAGAGCATTCACATTTTCAAACAAACTATTTTTATGCAACATAAATATCCTTGAATATCAGCAATACATTTTACATATCGCACGAGTTGTTTTACGTTTATGCCCCGATTCATGTGTGTAAAATCGTCTGTACCATACGTCCAAAGGCAAAGGCCAGAATGGTGGTCAGGCAATCACAATTTTCACATTTACAAATCTGGGAACACATTAACAAAACTATTTATTTATCAGAGAGAGGATTGTACGCTCTCAGTAAAGGTATAAACAATCTCAAAACTAACAACAAATACTGAGAACAAAACTAACAACAGAAATTAACAAGGAACATATAATGGTGAATTTAACACAATCAAGCAATAAAATGGCTTGATTCTGTTAGATTTTCGACGTTGCCATTTTAAATTATCACACTAAGTGATTGCAGTTTACATATGATGGCCAATTGTTGTTATTCCATGAAGTATTTTCATTCCATGATGCACAAAATTTGAATACAACTATTTTACATGTTAACCATTAGATGTTGAACTTTCTCACACAGCGAAACCCACCCTAATGACCTTGTTATGTGGCAGGAGGTGGACCAACTGGTGGTGTAGATGATGTGTTGGCTGTAGCAGGTGAGTCAGATGTACCAGGTTTTGTGTTGCTGAGCGCACTAGAGGTAGGGGATTGAGAGCTTTTCAACTGTTCATTCTTTACAATGGGGTCTAAAAAGAAAAAAAAGAAAAAAAAAACAGTGAATACACTTTGTTAATACAGCAATTTAGGGTGGATCACTTCTCTTCCTGCTGAGAACTAAATAACCAGTGAAGTAAATACTTTTCTTGTACTTACAGAAGTAGGGATGTTCCATGGCCTCTCTGGCTGTCAAACGTTCCTGCAAGAAAAAAGTTACAGATTTTATTTCTCTGTAATTATTATTCTATGCTCAAAATTATTCCATACCTGCATATCATAGTGTAATAGATGATCAAGTAGATCAATCGCTTCAGGGCTGACAAGATGTTCATTCTCAGAATGAATGAACCGTTCCCATCGTTTTCGGGAATGTCTGAAATGGGAACAAAGCAATAGAGTGTTGCCTTCAATATCAAACTCTGTTTCAGTGTAGATGCAAAGTTAAATATCTATTAATCCATAAAGGATCAACCTCAATTGATAAATGTTGAAGTATACCAACCTTCCCAATATATCATTGAATCGTGGGTCAAGTTCGATGTGGTATTTCTCAATATAATCGTACAACTCTTCTGTGCCAAGTACTTTGGCAATTCTCACAAGCTGGAAATGCATGCAAAATAAAATTTTGTTGAAAATTTCATTATATTCAACCTTTTTAAGAATGATATTTATAAATTAACCTGGTCATAGTTGTCATGTCCATGGAAGAAAGGCTCCTTTCGAAACATCTGAAAATTGTCAAAATCTTGTTTTCACTCTTGCCCAACAACAATATTAGGAATCTTTCACATGATGTTATGATATAAACTTACCATGCTTGCTAACATACACCCGAAACTCCACATATCCAGGGAATAGTCGTATTCCTAAATGAAATAAAAGCATCTCGAAGTTTGATTCAAGTTTTTGAACAAGAAAATCTCTGTTTGCTGGGATCTGTTTAGGTTAAATGATGACAACAAGGTTGCATTGCTCTAACATAGATAGATAGTAATCACTATAAGAATGAAATTAAACCAGAAACTTTTAACAGAAGTTCAAATACCTGGTGATCAACAAGGAGCTCAGGTCCTTTGAAATATCTTGAAGCGACCCGAACATTATATTCTTGATTTTGATGATAAAACTCTGCCAAACCCCAATCGATAAGTCGGAGCTAGGAATTGAAATTTGACAACATCAATACAGTTTTCTAACTTAAATCGCAAGGAATAAATTCATGCATTTAGGATTAAAAAATAATTGAATTATTAGCATTAAAATTAACCAAATACCTTTTTCTTCTCATGATCGATCATAACATTATGAGGTTTCACATCCCGATGCATTATTCCCATGCTATGACAGAAATCCAGGGCCTAGTACAAATAATCAAATCTTTAGAAATTGCCTTCTGTAAATGTAGGAAGTTGAAGTATAAAGCTTTTGTTACCTTTAAAAGTTCATATAAATAAAATCTAATATCATAGTCGGTGAAGGTCTGGTAGAGTTGCTAAAAAATTAAGTAAAATACAACATTTCAGGTATCATATTAATACATAGTCTTATTACACATCTACACTTAAATGAAACAGATTTTGAGGATGAGTAAGAAAAAATTCAAATACGATTACAAACTAACCTTGAAATCCGTATTATTTACATATTCAAAAATTAACGCTGGCGTTCGTGACTAAAAACAAGAACAAAAAATAACATAAGAATTTCTAAGATCATTTAAGGCATAAAGATTAAAATAAATTTAAAATTACCACTGGGTCTTTGACAACATCTAGAAGATTTATAATGTTTGGACCACCCCGAAGATTCTCTAAAATCTTGATTTCTCGTTTAATTTTCTTCTTCTTAACAGGCTGTAAAAGGCAATTTTGATGAAATATTTAAAATTTGGCTATTTGTGTGAAAATAATTGGGTCTAATTATTTCTGTGGGCAGGAAGTTATTCCTCATTCGTGAGTAAATTGCCCACAAAAGATATATTAGAGTGGAGTCCTCATAAATTCTTAGTTATCACTAATCCTTTGCCTCTAAGGATGTAATTTTACTAATTGGGACATTGTTTTCATTAAGGCTGCTTGTGAGAGTCTACAATCCCCAGACAAACTCATGAAAATACTATCCTAGTGATTAGCTGTGTTAATCTAAAACAGTAAAAAACTAAGTGAATATCCAAGAAAACAGGGAGACAGGGTTCTGTGTCAGGGATATTTTATCAAGATTACCAACCTTTAGAATTTTGACAACAACTTTTTCATCGTTAGTTATGTTTATCGCCTCAAATACTTCACTATATTTCCCTCTTCCCAATTTTCTTACAAGTTCATAGTTATCTTGTTGACTACACAAACAATAAACATGAGATGTAAGCATCTCAGTATGTCAAAGGGCTCCAGACTAAACTATCAATGATTCTCATCATATACTGACTTATCTTTGACATATTAAGAGAATCATACTACAGCACAATCTACCAATCCATCTCCTGCCGAATTATATGCTTCCTTGAACCTAATCTTACTCCACATGCTTTCATTAAAAAAATGAAAGCCTTTACACAATCCTTTCATGGTCGAAATTGGTTAATGGCCTAATGGAATTTTCCATCATATGAACTAAAAGTAATACGTTCTACACTGTTGAATTCTGCTCTTTTTTCAACTGTATCTTACCCCCATTCAATTACATGAGTTTCATAATCCCAATAATCTCTAGGACGATGATTATTCACATCAGCATATACTCTGGGTTTAGCTACAGCAGCCGACATATTTTTATGAATTATACTTCGCTTTTTTGCCAACAGCTGTACACAATTTTCGAGAAAACGTCTCTGTAGTTGCCGTGTCGTCTTTCAAAGAAAATATTCCCGTCGTTTTGGACCCTTAACTATCGTTTTTTGTTGCTATATAGAGCCCGATTATAGCACAATTTATATTAAACAATGACACTTTGCTTCGAGTCGACGAAGCCCACTATAAACAGGCTTTGAATCTTGCAATTTCCACACGCATATACACCTCTCTGAACCGCTTCAGTTACTAGATTATCCCACTCTATTGGACACCCATCTTGCTGCTACAAGTCAATATTATTTGCGGTGATAAAGCAAAGAATGAAAGCCGCAAAAAAGGCAAAATTTTACTCGTATTAAACTTTCCAGAAGAAGCCAGCACCCAAGCTGCGGATTCCAAAAGAACTCGTCCCAGCTTCTTTTCGTGCTTAGAACTCGCGGTCGAGCTGCGCTGTTGTGTTTCGAGGTAAAAAGTAGTATATGTAGCAATTACTGTGAGCGTGTTGCAAATTAATATCGATATATACTACCCCCGTGAGGTTATAAACATTTTTTCAATGAAAAACTTTGATAAGATAAAAAATATTTCCACAAATAATGGAGGTTCTTATTGACGTGCTACAAGCAAAATATCCATTGTTTCATATAATTTAATCAGATAAAAACCGTATTTCAGATGATTGAGATAATGCAATATTGTCTTTATCTTGTTAGGATACAATTCCTTGCTACCTGCGTTAGATAAACGATCGTACAGCACATCGGTAGTATTTGTCAGTCAACTTTGAACTGCAGTTACGACACAACAGGTGCATTTATTTTTGTCAAATAAACATTCTCATTACATTGTCATATAGCATTTCTGACACAAACATGACGACAGGATCATTAGCGAAGCCAATTTTAAAATAGAGAAATATAATTGCAAAATATTTCCACACTACTACCAAAGGTCCAAAACCGCAAGTGCTTAGCCCCACAAAGAATATATTCTGCTTTTAAAGAAGAGAGAGAGAGAGAGACAGGTGAAATCAGTCTCTCTAATGTTTCAGTTATTTATCATCACCAAAAGTCTATTTGAACATGAAGAAGATTGAAACTGATTACGCCAGCTGTTTCCCATTGTTGTATTAAATTTGAATTGGAGTGACTCCAATAAAACTATATTTGCTAGTCAATACACCATCAAGAATTTATGTAGAAATTCCTCTTACCCCCATTCTATAACATGAGTTTCATAGTCCCAATACTCTTTCCCTTATGATTATTCACGTCAGCATAAACTCTTGCCTTGCTTGAAGAATCACCTTCGCCCTTCGTCGACATTTTTCAGCCTTTCTTTTTTGATTATACAACCGTTTTCAAATGGCGTTTCGGTTGAAATAACGATGAGTATTTCAATTTCCTACATCGATCCTACTTTCGGTTATTTTCAATTCATAATCATGAATGGAATGAGGAGAAATAACATGAAAACAACACTCAAATTTTCTAAACACCAGTAACAATAGATGCAAAGTATGGGTCTCTATAGAAACGTTGAAATTGTTTTGGTTTAACAAGCAACTTAGCATAAAAGTCATCCCTGTTTGTTTCCATAGTTTTTCTCAAAAAGAGAGTCAGGTTACGAACCGTACATTGTACAAATAAGGGTGATCAAAAACTGTTTGTACAGAGAGAAATTGCTGCGCAACTTTTGGACTGTGTAACAGACTAATTGTTAATTGTTGTAGCAAACTTTGTGGGCAACTGGTCCTCTCCTATTACGTATGCACACTGCACAAAGTCTTTACAAGGATGAAGATCGGGGTTTTTTTTTCGCTGAACTTTTTTTCCGGTCCGTAGACGACGGCCAAAAGCACGATTCGGGGGTAAGTTTCCCGCCTTTTATCGAAGAAAATAAACACATGTTGATGACTTGATGGTAGCTTTCCCTTTAAAAATTACGACTTTTGAGAATTTGCTTTAGATTCAAGCAATTTTGAGGAGATAATAACACTGAATGAGCAAGATGCCTGCAAGGAAACGTAGTAGAAACGACTCAACCGGTTAGTTTGTCTAAATTTTAAAAACTATGCGGTTTATGCCGGTGTATCATCGTTTCAAAAGAATAACTTCACGTTATTGAAGTCTTTCTTTTAATGCTAAATCTTCACTCAATTCTATAATTACTCGCAGAATTCTCTCTTTGCCAGATACAGCATGAGTAGGATCTGCAGTTGTTTCTATAATTCGTGCAAGAAAGCCAAAATTTACGTGTTTATATCTCATAGCAATAATTTCTTTAGGGACTGCCAGCAATCAAGGTGAAGAGAGTGCTACAAGTTCACCAGCTAGACCTGCAGATGCCGCACCACCCACAGCACGACGTAGAGTTGGGGAAACATCATCTCCAGCTCCTCTCCCCCCAACTTCCCCCGCTACTGATCAAGCGGAGGGTTTGTCTTCCCCACAACCTATGCCTCCGAGCGAAATTGACATGAGTTCACCATTGAATTATGGTACGCCCAGTTCAAGGATTGCGAATACACCACGAGGAACCCCGTATCCTTAGATAATATGTGCAAAAATTGATGTTTATGATCTAAGTAAAACTTAAGAATAGATAATGGCTTTGAAAATTTCAACATCAGAAATCAGATATCCTTGTGAATTTTTTCCTTAATGAGCCGTCACCAGCGTTGGTACACCAGTCAGACATCGCAGTGATATTCGTAGCAACCGTAAAGTGAGACAAGTTGCAATTGGGGAACAAACAGTGAGTATACAGAAGATAATTTCCTATGTTATGCATCAACTTAATTTATCAACATTCTCACCTTCCCCAGTCCACAGATATTTCAACTGAGCCACCAGCAGCAGCACCGACCAGTGACAGCACAGCTGGCCCAAGACTGGTGATCTGGGGTACAGATGTTGTTGTGCAGGAAACACAAGACAAATTTAAGAGATTTCTGCAGCAATTTATTGATGAAAATGCAGAGGGTATGGGCGATGATTTTGTCCCAAATGACCCACTCTATATGCAGAAACTGGAAGAGGTATTTGCCAGACTTGAACTAATGCAAGGAAGCAGAATTAAAAGAATTAAAATTATGAATATTGTTAAACATAGATTCATGTGTTGGAGCAACCGTTCCTAAATGTTGACTGCAGTCATATCAAAGCATTTGATGCAGAATTATACAGACAACTTGTAGCCTACCCACAAGAAGTCATACCAACATTTGATATGGCTGTCAATGAAATATTCTTCACAAAATATACTGATGCTGAGCTGGAGCATCAGATCCAGGTATCTAAACTAAATTTTGTTAAATGAATACAATTTCACTATCAATAAAGGCAGACTTTTAATCGAAATTATGTTTCTGTTTATTTGTTTTCTTAGGTCAGGACTTATAATGTGGATCAAACCAAGAATCTTCGATCTCTCAATCCTGAAGGTAAAGATAAAATCCTCTATTTCTGGTAATTTGTTCCAGCTGTTAAATATTTCATTATATCATAAACAAAATTTTGCTTCAATTAGATATTGATAATCTGATTTCTATCAATGGAATGGTTGTAAGAACTTCTAATATCATCCCAGAAATGAGAGAAGGTGGGACAATGCCTCACTCTGCTATTTTGTTGTTTATCTTTTATTAAAACTCTCTTCTTTTTGATGCAGCTTTCTTCAGATGTTATGTTTGCCATGCTACAACAACATCAGAGATTGACCGTGGCAGGATATCAGAACCAGCGTTGTGTTCAAACTGTAACACTAATCACAGTTATGCCCTGGTGCATAATAGATCACAATACACTGATTTGCAGATTGTCAAACTACAAGAGTCGCCTGGTATGTTAGAACATCCCCATTCACTGATTCACTCCAGTCCTGTCTCCAAGTTAAATGATTTCCTTAGGTAGTAACTTGCTGACAATGGTTTTTGCCTTTGTTTCAGATGACATGCCACCAGGGCAAACTCCATACACAATCACACTTTATGCTCACAATCAACTGGTTGACACAGTTCAGCCTGGCGATCGGTAATGTGCTTTCCTGGAAATCTTTTAACCATAGAGTTTTAGAGAAAATTGCCAGACAAGGCCGGATAGGGGGATACAATCATTGGAGTTGGCCATTTATATCCATGTGAAAATCCATAAATAGCTTTTAAGTTTTTCATTTCAGGATCACCGTGACAGGAATATATCGGGCGACTCCTGTGAGAATGAATCCTCGTCACAGGAACATTAAGGCAGTTTATAAAGTGCATATTGACGTCGTTCACTTCAGAAAGTCAGACAAAAAACGTCTTCATGAAAGCGACCCTGACAGCACTGTAAGATTCACCCAGGAAAGAATCGATAGACTCCAGGAAATCTCGGAAATGCCTGACATCTATGAAAGACTGTCAAAGGCCTTAGGTAAATATAAATACTACATCAACCAGGATCCGGAATCCGGCCAGGATCAGGGTCATCCAGGAGCTGGATCATCCGGCCAGGAGCTGGATCATCCAGGAGCTGGATCAACCAGAAGAACCAAGCCTTATCTTTCTCTGTTTAGCTCCAAGTATCTACGAAAATGAGGATATCAAAAAAGGAATTTTATGTCAACTGTTTGGAGGGACGACCAAGGATTTCTCGCACGCGGGACGCGGCAACTTTAGGTGGGTGACTTGCAGGGATTTCTTTGCTTAACAGTGTGAGGATGGGGTTATTGCGAGATACCCTGGATCAATTATGGATAAAAAGTTCCCGGTGTACCTCGCTACCCTTCAGTAGTTGTGGTTAACTAAACCCTTGAATTATGTTATATAGAGCTGATATCAATATTCTACTTTGTGGTGATCCTGGCACCAGTAAATCTCAGTTGTTACAGGTCAGTAAAATCTACATTCGACCCTCAGGTTACGAAATTTAGACCTGTGTTAATCCATCTGGTGAAATGCAAGTTTTTTTCTCAATCACAATTCTAGTATGTTCACAACTTGGTCCCGCGTGGTCAGTACACGTCAGGCAAAGGATCTTCAGCTGTGGGTTTGACGGCGTATGTTACAAGAGATCCTGAGACAAGACAGTTGGTTCTACAAACGTGAGTGCATGATAGATCCTTATGAATATCATGCCGTGTCATGCGAATAATTCAATGTTTATCTTCTTTATCAATGATGTTATATAGCGGAGCATTGGTCCTCAGTGATAATGGTATTTGCTGTATCGATGAATTTGATAAAATGAACGACAATACTCGATCAATTCTTCATGAAGTTATGGTAAGCTTACGACAGGCCAGGATTGCTGCATTTGTTGATTGGTGAAGCCATTCGTGTGATAAATCCATCATTATATCAACATCAATGTACTTTCTTCCTCCAAACAGGAGCAACAAACATTGTCCATTGCGAAAGCTGGTATCATTTGTCAGTTGAATGCCCGAACGTCCATTTTAGCCGCGGCAAATCCTGTTAGATCCCAGTGGGATACGAGATTGACGACTGTGGAAAACATCCAGTTACCTCACACTTTACTATCCAGGTAATATTCGTAACCAATCAAATGACTTGTGAGAAGAAGAATTTACCGGAAAAATGATCCAACTGAATCATCGTTCTCATTTAGATTTGATTTAATCTTCCTGATGCTGGATCCTCAAGACGAGGCTTATGACCGCCGCCTGGCGAAACATTTAGTTTCTCTCTACCATCAAACACCTGAGCAGGAGGAAGAGGAATTGGTGGTGAGTATTAAAAGGAGGTGGGGTTGAGGGCCACCCCTCGTGTAGAGGGCTACCCCTCACCGGAGCAGAAAAGATTACCAGATGTATACCGGACTTCTTCGAAACTTTACTTTGTACCTTTTGTCTTCTTTTCTCCAATTCACTAAGTGTTTTTCGCCATTTTAGGACATGAGTATTCTTAAGGATTATATCGCATATGCTCGAACTCACATTCAACCGAAACTGAGCGAGGAGGCGTCACAACGCCTGATTCAATCATATATCGGTAAGATGTAGTTAATTTTGCTTCTACCTGAGTGAACATAGCTTGTATTGTTGAGGTTCTGTTTACTTAAAACTTTAACAACTTTCTCTGTGATATCCTGAGGTTGTTCCTTGAGTTAAACGGGGTCTTGTCTCGTTGTAGAAATGCGCAAAGTTGGTAGCAGTCGTGGAGCAGTTTCTGCTTATCCTCGACAATTGGAGTCTCTGATACGACTTGCTGAAGCACATGCTAAGATGAGATTCTCAAATATCGTTGAGAAGATTGATGTTGACGAAGCACGCAGGTGAAATCATAGTTACGCTAGATTTATTGGTTAGAGAAAAAAAGCAGAGGGTTGTATGGTGAATGCAATCCTCGTGTAGTGATTACCGACCATTATTGAACAGCAATAAGAGCAATCATTTGAAGAATATTCACGCGGGAATATCTTTTTTTAAGGTTACACCGTGAAGCTCTCAAACAGTCAGCCACTGATCCGAAGACTGGCCTGATTGATGTGAATATTTTAGCAACTGGATTGAGCATCTCTGATCGAGAAAGACGAGTAGAGATTGCTAAAGCTTTGAAGACTATGATCCAGTCTAAAGGACGAGCACCAAATATGGACGCTCAACGATTGTTCGAAGATTTCCGAGAAACATCTGATGTGGTAGGTTTTCATGAAAAGCCTTGTTTTGTATTGTTTTGTCTTCTCTCACAAATATCCTTTCCATTCTTCCTGTCCAGCCTGTAACACGAGATCAGTTTGACGATGCTCTACGTCATTTGAAAGACGAAGATTTTCTTATTGTGACTGGCAGAACTGTTCGCATCATATCATAAGCTTCTTCTGCTCTGTTTTAGACGAAGAGAGATGTTTGGTATCTGAATTATTATGTCTTGCAATATTTACGTAGATTAATATTCATTCATTAGACTGATTAGTAATTAACCCGCAGCGCGCGCACACTCGAGCTTTTTGCGCAATTAGAAACGTCATCAATGAATTTTTTAGAAAAGATTTTTTTTTAAGAGTTATCAATTCCTCACTCGTTCATTAAAATATTTTTATTGAAGCTTTACGCGTACTGTTACTACCAATCATTATGATATAGTTATATTAAAATCCCCTGCACTGTACTTTATACCGTTTTCTGCGTCTCTTCCTGATCGACGACGCCCGTCTTTTCCTTGTTTTCTTCCCGTATTTATTATGCATCTTCTTCACCATTTTTTTATTCCGTCCTTCATTTTCTACACAACTTTGCGAACTCGAACACAAAGCACAGACAAACATGAAAAGCAAGAGAATCAACTGAATGTTTGGTAAAGCATCTTTAGCATGATTAGAATATTTTCCGTCGAAGTCTTTGTCTGTCGTTCCCAACAGTACGAGCGCAAGTATAAAACGACCAGCAAAGCTCGGGTTCTCGTAATGTGCCAACGTTAAAAAAACAAATCCCAGAAGTGCAAAGGATGCTGTGAACATGGAGGCAAAAACCACCACTTTTTCAACCATCCTGAAATTATTCCCAAGACAATTTTTGGGTCACTTAATGCGTTTGAATACGTCATATAATTAATTGACTTGTGTTCAGGCCCTTGCTGGCTGTGACCAGGGATACCTCAGCCATACTCTTCAGATAAAAATTATTGCTGCACATGTTGTATTATTCCTTTTTAAAGTCTCAATTCTGTGCCGGATGTGACCAAACAACCACCAACAAATTAGGTAAAAAAAACTTTTATTAAAGTAATGCAGTTACAAGAAAATTCTTGATCTTCTATCTTCACAAGTTGGTAAACTATCAGCTTCAACCCTGCAAGAGAGCAAAAGTAAAGGTTAGATGGAAACAGATTTGAAATTGGCAAGTTACTTCTCATAATTGTCAGCAAGTTCAGAAGGTATGGAATTGTTTTGTAATCAAATGCAATCATACGAACGAGACTCTACACAAATCATCATAACTTGCACAACACAACAAATTTGATTCCCGGAAGAATTCTTACATTTTTTGGATTCAGTGATCATTTCATCATGACATCTTTCACCTACAGAATTTAAAAGCATTTGGTAAACAGGGAACACATGCCATATATTACAAATATTCAAATTTTTACTGGATCAGCGTGGTGCATGAGCTATCACATCACAGATTTCAGGACAGGTCTGTGGTCAAATCATCACCTCCAGAACATGACATTAAACTGCTGTGTTTCAAAATCAATAATTACCATTAAAAATCAGCTTTTGCCTTATGATGTTCCAGATTTCTACTAAGATAAAAGAAATTTATATTGAGAATGTATACATAAGAAAAACTGAAAGGTTTCAGTACAAAACAAAGCCTCAGAATGTAATATTTTTCCTCAACTAACATTCAGACATATGCTTGTCAAGTGTTCATCATTGACTTTGTCAATATGGTACCTCGAAATTTTAGCACCATGAAATATCAGGGGGGTTCCTGATGATGTCTTCTAAGATGGAAGCGACCAAACACAACTTACAACATTCGTTTGTTTCCCAATCCTTGTCCATCCTCTCTCAGGGATCAATTCTGAAGACGCCTGAGAACAAAATCTAAACAAATACAAACGACACTATTATATTTTTACGATTCTATGCTTTGCTTCCGAAAATATTGAAGAAAATCTTGAATCATACTAGACCACTCAGTCGATTAAAACGGAACAATTTCTCTTCAACGTCGTAACTCAAAGCGAGCTGGGATTATTCCAGTCATCATCGTGGCCGTAGCTTTTAAAATATGGGAAGAAAGCAACTATCTGGAAGAAATACTAACCAAAAAACACAACTTCTTCACAACATGCCATGGGTGAGTGATATCGTGTTTGCATCATCTAGTTTGTTACTTCTTAATTTTCTCTCTGCCTGAGTATGAAATCATACTGCCTTTTTCCCTGGTAACCTCGAGTGAGATTCAATGATATCTCTTCGAGAAAACAGTGTGAGAATACTTCAATTTTACGAGCAAACATACACATTTTTCCAAGCTTACTGAATCCAACGCTTCTTTCACCTTGAATGTTGAATCTCTGTCCTCGTGCGAATTACGAAATCACTGAAATAAAATATGCGTTCTCGTGACCGTATTGACGGCCAGTGATTGGTTAGTAGAAAGCATTCTAATATACAGGTCAGCGGTACAGTATACAGGTCAGTGGTCCAGCTCCAGCTTGGGCAAGTACCACTTCCTGGAGATAGTGCTGGTCATATTTCATCGAGCAAGGCTCGCCACTCGCCACGTTCCCCGGGGGGCGATCTCTCAGGGGCGGCCTCTGGTTACGAGATTGCCCCAGGCTCAAATGAGTTCTGCCAATGCTGTTGGTATTGTTGGGGATATGTCTGTGAGACTTTCCAACCACGATTAACTTGGGCTGTTTTTATGATGCACGTTATTAAAACAGCGTGGTTTTAAACGTGGTACTATCCTTGGATTCCTAGCATCTATTGACAGTGGCACTAGGAGGGTATTCAATATGAATTTGCCCTATCAAATGCTTTTCAACCCAGAGTTTATAGATATTATTCTTTACTGCGTTGCTCTAAGGATATGAAGCGTTGTCCGGCACAGAAACATGTGCACTCATTTGGTCTCATTTGAACAGAAAAGCAATAAATAATAAACACTTGTGAATTATCAGATAAATTTATTGCCCTCTATACTGCAGTACTGTGTAAATATGATAACATGTACCATAACAAACACACTGGATACCTGTGAACGATTATCATTCGAAGTGTCATGTCAATCTTAACATGCTAAATACTCAATATCTCCTGTCCTTATTTCTTCAATCTCCCTGCTTGCAGACTAGAATTTCTGGTAGGTGATAATACTGAACTAAGAACATAGGATGATTCAATACACTATAGCTGGGCTAGTTCACTCTTGCCAGAGGAATCGTGTTGCATTTTGCGCAAAGCTCTCACTCAGTTTGTCTCCTCTTTTCTTTCTCCTCTGCGAGTTTTCTTTCGTCGTTCTTTATAAATCCATGATCTGATCATAAGCATTTGGCTTGGTAACCATATTTTGCCCTGCCCTCGTAGATATAATACGTTTCATCTGTATCTAATAAGTCAAGATTTTTCGGAAACCCTTTTAATTACTGCCATGCAGAAAAGTGCATGGTTACCTTCTAGAAACAATTTCGGGGGAAATATTCAAATCAAATGGCACTCCCATTGATGGCAATCGTAGGATAACTAAAAGACTATTAATCATCTAAACATCTGTTGCGGAAGTGTCATTGAGGAAACTAATGAATGACATTCTACCTTTACATCATCTCGCGAGCTCTTTATATAAGCTTATAAAATCAGTAATCTGGAAGCCAGTATGCATTGGAATAAGCGGATTTTTATAGCGATAAAACTGGTTTGAGCAATTCTTGGTAACAACTGATCTCAATTCGTTGCGAGCTCTAGCAGAGGCCCACTATAAGTTTCTTATTATATTCATTGAAGAAAAACACAATTTGTTTAGTCGAGTTTTCAAACAAGATGAACCACAGTGAAATATATTGCATGGCACTAAGATTTGACTGAGGCTTGGGATTAGTCTTAATGACTGAATAGCTTGAAACATTTACCGCAATGTGTTTTCAAAGTTCATAAAGAACATTTAAGAAGTTGTTGATATGGAAGCAATTAACAGCTCTGTAGGTTGCCTTGCTGTGTACAGAAATCATGATAAAACATGTTAGGTGGTCTGAGATATGAAGCGAAAGTTTAAGTGAAATGACAGATGTTGCGTTGCGGAAAATCATGGCAAAGACTCGGCCAGAAATAAAATAGATTTAGGGACAAACGCGGCTGGAATCAAATAATTTGGTTTTCTTTTCTCGTTTGAATCTTTCCGGTTACAACAATGATTTGACAGGCTGGAAAGTTACTTAATTCTAATTTCTAAAACGATCGTTCGGTATATGGACAGTAAAATTTTAATGAAGTAGGAGAACAGACGATTCCCCTTTTCATCTGTTCATTTTTATTTTGATTATTTCGCTTTTTTCTCCGTTCTAAAAATCAGAAAATATTGCCATAAACAAAAAGTGTTCAATCATTGTCAGACCCCCAACCATTGTCAGTTATGCGTTGTGAAGATTAGACTCGTACAGATTAATCATGGCGGTCATTATGTTGTCCCAGAATGAAACGAGATTTCGAGTCTAAAAAGACTAAAGTTGATCTGTTGATGCGCTTAATCTTGTTTTTACTTTCAAGTACAGATACTTTCGATATCTTCAAAGCTTTTCCCCGCGATGCATAAAGCCGATTAGTTGAAAAAATACTTGAAAAAATTGTTGTGAACAATATATTTAGGCTATGACTAAACATGGTTGTAGAAAACATGTTTGTCAAATTTCTAAAAATTTTACTTCAGGGCACAGAATGGTGAGATATTAGCCTAACAGAAGCCTAACAGGGTCTTGAACTCTTCCATTTAAATGAGGTCATATTGTCAGCAACATTTTCCTGTACCCTGAAAGATGTTCAGAGGAAAGGAAATAACAGTTAACAGTTTCACAATCTATTTCTCTTCTGGATTTTGGCAGGATCTCACACGAAATGACGTTGAATTCAGTAGCTGACCTCAGCTCATTAGCAAAATAAGCAAAATAGCTGTTGAAATTGGATTATAAACATAAAAATAGCCCCAGCGGGTTGCATCTGAAAAGTGCTCGAAATTCGTGCTGTGCATGTCAAACCCTTCAAAGGTTGAACTATGTTAAGCCTGCCTCATTCTAAACCTAATCATTCCGATTTTAGTTCCTGTAACGGTGTAACCTTTGCAACATTGGATGCAATGTAACGGAACAAGACTATAATTTACTAGTGAGAACAATGCATTGCTAGGCATTGGATGGATCATAGATGGATATCTAGCTCAAGTTTGAAAGCGCTAGTAAAGTTGGTTCCTTCGTGATAGAGTGATGTGATTAGAAAGACTTTCTGAAAAATCATTTCGAGCAGAGGTTTATTCCAGCAGTACAAGAAGCAAGCAGTTGACTTGTCTGAAAATCATCTGACCGAAATTTGATAGTAATCCCCTCAGGGATTTCTCAATTAAAGCACTTCAAATTTTTCTAATTTTCAATTATTTGTCACAATTTGAAATATCCATATTTCTAGCAAATCAAGCCATATTGCACGACAACATCATTACGTAAACCAAATGCGATAAAACATATCTTATCCCTATCAGCAAAACAATGTATCCCCCTCACATTATTTCGCAGGATTGGCTCACAGTGGCCAGAGAGATGTTTATCATTCTCATGACCATGCAGTTGGCGCTGGTCGAGGTGCTGGTAATCCAGTAATTAAGAATCGACTAGTTACTGCACGATTTAGTTTACAATCGCATGTGTGGTGTTGCATGTTGACGTGGTGCAAACGTACACGCACAGGAATTTGAATGTCAGAACAAATGAGCCGATTTTAATCTGCGTCACGTTTTAAGCCTGTTTATAAAACGATGTGAAAATTGAAGTAAACCTTACGCGTTGGTAAAAGTGATGTGTGCGGGCGTGTGAACGGTAGAAAAAATAGAAAAATTTTGACTGCATGGGCCGACACACCCAGTACAACAAACGTAACACTTAACTGTATGAACTTAACACTGTTATTGATATTGATGATGAAATATAGGATGAAACAGTCACATAGTATTGAATCATCCTGCAGTGCTGCAATGGTCCTGTTTTTGACTAATGATTGTGTAAGTCAGACGTTTATTTTTGTTAGGATCAACTGAACTTCGTCTCATCTAATTGTAAATATCGTCGAGTATTGCCTATCATTGCAAGACCTTTCAATTTGGCGTGGAGATTTGCTTGTTAAATACGAATTTAAGTCAAAAGCACTTTTGTATCATAAGCAAAATTAGCAAATCCGTTTATCCCACCAGCAACGAAGAATAATTTCATGTAGAAAAGCCTGACGATTGATCTATTTTCTTGTAAACAACTACTAAATCTGCTTTTTTACACTATGCGATTTGTCGTATTTGATTCGTATCCTGGCGTATGTGAACGTATGAACAAACTACAAACGTGACACACTTTAAATTCCAACCTGTACAAAATTGAATGAAGATTGTGCATAGGTTGCATTCGTCAGAATTATAATTGCAAACAACTTATGGCGTAGTCTAAATAGGCCTTAATTAATTGTTCATTAAATTGTTAAATCTCTAATCTTGTTTAATCGTTTCTTCTTTTAACCTTGGCAAATCGTTTAATCTTGTTTCATCCATGTTCGTCAGAGTCTCAGAGATACGTTTTTACATTTGTCCTGATTCTCTTTAAAAACCAAGGATAAAGGATTCACAAGTTTGTTGATGGATATTAATCATATTAAGCGTATTCATCCACTCATACACTGCAACATTGCCAAATGCACAAATTGGGCGTTGTTCAGAATTTGTATACTTTGGAAACTCTGATAGCTTAAATATTTGAATTAATCTTAGTTTGACGTATAAGATTAAGACTTATCACGTTGTTTATTTTCTCGCGGATAATTGCAACAATGTAGGTCCAATATTGCTTCCAAAAATCATTCTTCTTTATACAATAATCATGGGCCTGAAATAATCAGCTTACATAAAGGTCCGGTATTAATTTTGTATGACGTACATTTGAACTCTTTTAAAAGACTTATTCCTTTTTTTCTTCTTGCTTCACGATTTTTAACCACAATTTTTTCCCAATTTCCTATCTGTTGCAATTAAAAGATTACTGCAATACCAGTGCACTGTCTGGCTGTCAGGTGACTTAATCTTTATAGGTATGGACTTTAAACTTTTCGTTAATAAATCAGGATTCCCATTGTCCAGGAACCACTTATTTCGTGATTAATAACGTTATTAACAAATCAGTACTTTTGCATGCCTATATAATATATAGGAGAAATAGCCATTAGTGATGGCTTAACCTCGAGATAACAGTCGACATTTTTACTGTCATAATGTCATGTATACGCGTGCTTACTTTAAATGATGTGAAATGATGTTCTAACTAAAAGCATATGGGGTGAAATTAAGATTTCATTTCAATTTTTTAAGAACTTTAACAAAATCCAATCACAAGATGAGACTATTAAACATCTCTCTTTCATTTTCTTGAGTGAACAATTCAACTTGTTCAAGGCAAGCCGCGTTTCCCGAGTGTTATTGTTGCAATGATTATGATTTGTAGAACAGGAAATTAATTTCTCAAAGTAAATGCTGCTAAGTCACGAAGCCCAAGTCTTTCAAGTGCAGTAAAAACATTTTGTCGATAAACACGTCTTTTACTTGAAAAATATGTGAAATACGAAACCTTGTAACGAGCTAGAGTTTCCTGTATCTCACCGTCTGCTGCTTCTCTGTATTTCACATGCAAAAATGAGTTAAAAAATTTATAAGAAGAACAACATGCCGAGCGATTCTTTTGAGAGATTTATACTGAGTTTATCAACATTGAAAAGTGTAAGATGACTTGCATAATTATTTCTATACCAACTTTGTTTTACAAGGTTTTATGTGAAGGCTTGCTACAACTAAGTGCATGTGGTAACCATCAACTCACATGTTGAGGAAAGGGCTATGCTTTCATTTCCGAGAATTGAAAAGAGAAGCGCGCACAATTATAGGAACTGTACTTCAAATATATGGCCAAAGTGCTCTTATTTCGACCAATATATGCCTCTGGCACCTATATGGTCCCAATGAAATAAACTCTCGTATCTTATAACACTTTAATATCTCTTCTATGAAACTTACATAAAAGAACTGACCGCGACCCCCTTAGGCTAAGATAATGCTTTCGGAAGCTGGCTAAATATGAAATTTAAAAACGATTAATAGGAATTACAACATTTCAAAATAACAGTAATCCTCCCCTAAGGCTTCGCATATATACGGCCTCACTCACGAGGTTGTGAATGGTGCTGTTGCTTCATGCATTTAGTGGGAATATATACTTGACTTGGAAGACTTGTAAGGAGTATACTTGACTTGCACGTAGTTATAGTTGGTATCAATAGGGCTATTAAAAAAATAGGACATGATTTTTTATTACCTCCCCTGGACCACACAGTCGTTAGCTCTCAGAGCAGTCTCTGTAGGATCAAATTGATTCATAACTTGCACATTGCTAGTCGGCTACGTGATTAATTGTTTTCATTGACAAGCTAATTAATTATTACAGCCATTCTTCATCCCAATTACTACGTATATCAATAGTTTTTATGATCTACCATATGTCACGTTTCTTTGTTATGATTCAAGAATAAATACTGATGACGCTGGACTAATTAGGATTCCTTTCTTTCATTCATTCAATTTCTTCTGCAAACTAAAAGAGAAAAGACAGACGAAAGAGGAAAAGAGCGGTGTCGCGATGCTCCTATGTAAGCAAACACAAGGATATAAACATTTACCCGAATGTCGAGACATTGTGGGGCTGTTCTATATGGAAAAACAATATAATGCCGATATTGCTTGAGATGGTTTTCAAGGTCGCGGTCCGTAACGGTTGAAAAGTTGAATTGATATAACTGGTGAAAATAAAAGGTGGAATATAACGCTTATGTACTGTGACACAATATAGATCCTCACATTTAGACTTCTATTATGATTAGAAGCAGACATCGTTGAAACTTCAAACCAGCCTCATTACAAACTATTTCTTATTGTTTGTTTATACAAAAGAGATACATTCAGTGGGGCATTACTCGAATTACGTTTGAAAAATGTTTTCCCCAGGACTCACGACTTCTGAGATGTAATTAAGTGGGCACTTAGAATTTTAAGAAGAACAAAAATAACTTGGTCAATTAAATGAATTTTTTACCTCTTGTGATCTATATGCTATCAAAACACTCTACATGCAATAATAAAGCAAATTGAATTCTTTGGCATCTTCATTTATTAAACTTTTACACAATGGTTGTTTTAAAATGAACAGATCCCTGACTACAATAAGAAGTGTGTAAACTCAGTTAGACAATATTCAAATTCCAAAGCTCAACCATAGTCATACGCGCAGTGAGACAATGAGGATAAAACATTCATAATTTGGTCATGTTTCTTTCTGTTTTTTTTCCACAATATTTTAGTGTTACTGGCGGAAACATGGACTTAACTAATTTTATTTTTTCTAAACTGTTCTTCCTAATCAATCATTCTCATAAGGAGCAGTGCGTCAGCAACATTACTACAAAAGGAAACAAGATTAAATAAAGACAATCTCTAAACTTTCTTTAATCTTGCACATGCAAAGACTGTTTGTAATATTTTACTGTTTCATCCACTTATGCTATTTTGCTATCCACGATTTTGTGGTATGCGAACATCGTGTACAATCCGAGTTAGATCCATTTCAACAGCTCAATCCTAGGTCACAACCTGTGCAATGACTAAATACACAATTCAAAGATTAAATCAGTTGTTGAAACCACGGTTGAAGCCAACCTGCCAACTTCTGACCCCTGAAAGGTTCTCTAGCAAACACCTAAACATGGAATTTCACTACTGAACCATTCTCACAATATCAATTTTCAGGTACTTCTGTGCCAAACCATGCTAAAATATTGTTGACCTATACCTTCTTTACATACGTCACCACATTTAAGATATCTTTTTAAAATACGTATATTTCAGAAAAAAAAACACGACAACCAAATCAGTTATAAATTATTATACCTACACTAGACCATTATATTTCAGGTTGCCTAAATTGTGAACTGATATTCAAATGTAGCTAATTTTGTTGCTAGTTCCACGCCACCCGCGAGAAAGCACGCGTCAGCATTTGGCGAGATTTACCCATAAACTTAACCACAACTGGTATCGATAATCGATTGAGCGCAACTCATGCATGTATATATTAATACATACTGCCGATTGTAGATAAGAAACGATCCCATTATTAATATTATTCTGAATGAATAAAACCACTACAGGATTGCTTGTAAAAGGATTGGGCGATTTACATTTACCCGCGAGGGTACAGTTTCTGTGTTTGTAGATCGATGTTAAGGAGTTGTAAGGAAAAGTGCTTAGACCTTAACAAGGGTTTGATTGACATCGTCTGATAAGGCTGTGGAGTCGGAAAAATGCAAACATGTTGAATTATTTTCAGGTGTGAAAATACTTAGTTTGTTTTTACAGGATTCTGGTTTTGCTCTGCTGTAAGATAAGCTTCGAGTGCGCTAAATTCTCGTGCACGTTCGTGGCCGCATTGGCGCACGCGATGCGCGCGATTTATGCAAAGTTTAATAGCTTTCATCATGGCCTTGTTTAGCTTACTCAACGCAACTTTTGTTAATGTGGCGACCCGCGGCGACAAACGTAATATGCTTAAGTTAATGACAGCTTTCATAGCCTAGACTATGCTTGTCAAATTCTCGCATATCTTAACTATCTAGTATTTGTTCCGACGTCACGGACGCGGCCTCTCTATATTTACATTTCTTGGTGTGCGCTGGAACACATTATTATCTAAACAAACAGCGTGTCACACGAGGGTATAATAAGCTGTTGCATACAACTCGACCATCATCAAAACGTTCAAGTCATCATGGGGACAACATCAGGATTAATTGTTTCCCTGGCATTCTGTAAGTCCTTGTGTATATGTTATGTGGTTCAATCAGTCGTCGGTTCGTGCTTTTAACAATGATGTACCGCTTTAATTATTATGTATATCAATGTCAGCTGTTTATTCACGTTAAATATACACATTTCTTCATACATGGTCTAAACCTACCGTTACTGGGAATCAGAAGCTTGTGAAGTGATAGTCAATTTGCAGGAATGTTGATGGCATATTGAAAGAAAGAAAAATGTCACTAAAAACAAGTGCAGCAAAATCAACTTACCTATATCACATGCAGTCTATTCATAGCCCTCTATGGCACGTATTGCCTTGAATGTCCCAGATATTTCTTGCTATCCTAATTCCTTCATGTTTCTTCTTCTAGTTTTTCTTTGTGCAAGAGAATCGTTGGCGAATTACCAACTTACTGCTGGACAATGTAATGCCGCTATGGAGAACATCGGGGAGATTCTGAAGTCAAAACAACCAGATAATATTTATAAAGGAACCTTTGTAAGCCCAAGGTAAGACTTCGATGTTTGTGTAAAATCTCATTTTGTAGTTTGTGTCTTGTCATTTTCATAAACACGATCTCGGACTCTGTTACAACTTGAGTTATATTATCTTTAAATCTTTTCACAATATAGACTAACAATAGATTCACACTAAATAGTTTAAAAGGGTAGCTAGCTCTATCCAGCCTATGAAACAAACTGATATACCTGCTGATATCGACATTCTTTAAAAGATCTAAATACGTTTTTTTGAGTTCGGACTCTGAGTTCATGGTCTGGAGTAGTTTCAGCCTATAATGGTTATCGATTCGTAATAAACGAGCATGTATATAAACAGCGTAATTCATCTCAAGTTTTATCAAAATATTGGTATTTTATCTTCCCCATCAAAACTATATCTATATCCTAACTTGGCGTCGGGTTGTCAGCGACAAAACTTCTTCTATGCGATAGCCCTATTCCGAAGTTTGTGATATATATCTGAGTAAGGAGTTGAATCACAAAAGCATCTGTCATCATGCGATATTTTCCATGCAAAATAATGCACGCGCTAAGGAAGTTTAGGCGATTGACTGAACATGAAGATAAGGCAGGTGTAACGTTGAAGTGTTTCCCTCACAAAGCAGGGTAATCAAAATGCATAATAAGGAAGTTGAGAACATTTCCTTTCTTGCGTGATGTTTCCTAGATTCACTACAATGGTATTTGTCACATTAGTATCTTTATCAGTCAACAGTTGACAAGAGCCTGAAACCCGCCACCAAAACAACCTTTGTCTTTATTCTTTTTTAACCATTTTATCTTTTGATTATCTCCGTGAAATATATCATTTTGTGTACGCTCTATGGCCAAAAAGATGAACTTGTTGAGGAGGTTTATACTTTGACGAAGAAATGCCATATCCTTATACGAAAATATTCTTCTAATCCCTTTAAAAGATTGCCTAAAACTCTCTTAACTCCAACCAAATCTTTAGTGATCTTTACCCGGAGGAAACAAACTTGTCTCAAAGTATAGACCCCTGCATGCATATCGCTAAAACTTCGATAAATGTTTTGCTCTTACGGTTGAAACTATATACTTGACACTCTTGTCTGATCTCCGGAAGACAAAAAGTCAATTGTTGTGCACGAAGGATTAAAATGTATACTTCGGAAAGAGGCGGGTATTTCATTTTATTGTCGAGAGTGTGAAAACAAGCAAATTCAGAACCAGGATCACGATTTAGTGACTACTTTACTCTGTACAAATTACCTTTGATCATGAAGAATTTTGGATCATGTATATTTACATTTTAAGATCGAGTAAAATGAAAGTAATCATAGAAAGTTTCAAACCAAATTAATGTTTTAACAAAAGAAAAACGATGTCTACTGTGCTTGCGTGTTATTATACTTCGGGGTATTTGATCTTGACAGGATAATTTATTGCACGAAATTTACATATGACTTTTCTTTAATCTTGTTATATTGTGTTTTAAAAGATTTATTAAAAATTATAATGTTACGAATACTTTCTCTTCCTATTCTTTTCAATATTTGTATTGTATGTTGGGCCAGCTATATAGGGTTGGTTTAATCATGTTCAATTGTATATCTTCCTCTGCGAAGGAAAGAATCATGAGACGTATATAGTCCTCACTCCTCAGTTCTAGAAAACATTTGTTATTTATTGCAACATGACCTTGTATCTTATCATAAATAGAATTATCCAGATCGTTTGCTTCAAAAAGACATAAGATTTAAAACGTTCTAAAAAATCAGTGAAAAAAATTATTAATGTGTGACAAGCTTCAGGCAAACAGCGAAAGTGTGCTCGACACCAGTCCTTCTCTGATTGCATGAGGTATACGTGGCGTGGTCATTTGTAAAAATTTGTCAAAAGTCTTCTTCAATACCAGCCGCAAGTGATTCCTTGCGTTTCTCTTGTGTGAAACATTGCCATTTTGGATATAAGAAATTTATAGTTTATGTTTTTCTCATAAACCAGCTGTTTTTGACCAGTCATCGTTTTACATTAACCCTCGTAATCAAAAGGTTAAACCTTTTTACCCTTCGTTGCATGGTTATTTTGAAATCAAAACCTCTGGTTTCACTCAATTACAGTTTTCATTTTTTATAGTTAGCATGCGGAAAGTTTCACGTTGTTTATTACAAATTAAAAGACATGCAATTATTACAATTAAGTTGATGTCCAACTTGGGTATTAAATGATCAGATATCAGGGTCTGGGTAAACTACAAATATTTGCCAGAACTTATTCGCCGATTAACATCTATATCGATATTGTCAGCGCTAAGATCAGACATATTATTGCGTGGCTTGCATTCCAAGTAAATATCCTCCACTTAAACCTGAACTTTGGTTTTATAATTCTTGAATTTCAAGTGGGGAAGTTTCCTGAAAGTTATGTATTTTATTCCTTGATTTTGGATGAACATGATATTTTCAAAAGTCTTCTTTCCACTGTAAAATCGTATACCAAAGCTTTGAAGCATTCTTCATTCATTCTAACACACAGCGCAATGCAGAACTGCCAAAAAAGCATTCAAAAAGACGTTACGGTTTTATAGCTGGTACAATTTGAAATGTATAGTGTAAACAGTGTTAGAATACTCAATTTCTGGGAGATTAGACTTTCCGTGCGTTGTACAATAGTTGAAACATCAAGACTATTGTGTTACATATAATCTTTCCTATATTTGGTGATCACCTGTTGCACTTTGCGTGCTTCTATGGCAGTTGAAGGAGATTACTGTTTTGAAATAGGTCTGGTTAAGAGGGCTTTGTCATCAATTGAGGCTCATTAGGGATAATGGATAACATCAATTAGCATTAAAACATTTTGGATAAATGATCAAGAGACAAGAAAAAACATTTATCTCTACAACATTAAAAAGTACATTTTTTAAATTACAAATAAGATCATTATCAACGACTACATTTCACGAGCCAACACAAGTTTGAAATGCGATGTTTTCGGTCTTAAAAAGTAAACTTTTGATTGATTGTTAAACTTAGCGATAACGTGGTTGTCATTTTTTGTTGTTATGGAAGGGGGTCTCGTGAGTTCTTTACAGGCGGAGCAAAAGTATCTTCCTGACTGAATTAGCAACTGAAGTAACGTCCTTTAAAATAGCAATGTTTGACGTACCTATAGAAATGTACAAAGTGGAAACTGTGACCCGTAGGTGTCTTGCACCACAACAATCTTATCATTCATAATTCTTTCCTGATTTTCTGCGAGTGGCGTTTATCTTGAATTGTAATCTGCAAATTTTAAGCTTTTCTTTTGTATGCGACAGTGTGAAACATGACTAACACCTTTCTTTCGCCTTCCGTATATATTTATATAAGCGGATTTAATACTCCCAAAAGTATCCTAAAGTCTCTGTCTAGCCCATGGGGAAATACATACGATTAAAAAATGGCTGAACAAATACATAAAAAAGTAAAAAAACGTAAATGACAATATTGTTAAGATATTGTCTTGCTTCTAGATTCAGCTGTAGCTGGCCATAGAGGTCAGTGCCTTTCGTTTCTGAGCAGAGGTGACTGAGTTCAGTACCTTTGTGTCTGAACTACCTAAAAGACATACAGCCTACATGTGCATGTTTTTTTTATCCAGCACTTACAGTTATAATAATTTGCTCTGTGTAGCTTCGCACTGATATTTGTCTAATTTTCCCAACGTTTCTCTGTCTTTTAGATGTGAATTGCGTCGCATACAGGAGCGTAATCAAAACAAAATGAGAACCTCATTCTTACTTCGTTCAATCGAGGTTACCAGAAACAAACGATGGATTGGTTACTATTATTTTTACCGGGACCAAGACTGTGTCCACCCAACATACGGCTTGAAACTGCAGGGAAAAACCAACTACATTAAGAAGAATCTTACTTTAAGTATCACGTCCTTGAGCATCGCTGTATATACGACCAAAGATAAAATAGAAATTGAAGAGAAATACAACAGATCTTGCTCCGGAAACCTGACAACGTCCGACTCAGGAACTTCCCCTGATGCTGTTGCTGTCTATAGCGTATATAGAAAGGATATCTCGAATAATGAATGCCTCAAATCTCTGGGCGTCGAGAAGAGGGAGTTCGCTAGCGGTGCAGCTTTTGAAACACACGAGCCATCAGGAGGAGATAGATCAGATCTGTTGCTTCAAACCGTCGTTGATCTAACAAAGTCTAAAAACAGCGTTGTTTATCAATTTCAATGGCCGCTAGTCCGTCATGATACTCGGATGTGTTTAACTTGCTCTCGGGTTGGTCTCGCGAGGCTCAAACATCCGCCCAAACTTTACAAAAGAAACGCAACCAGCTTGGATGGTGTTTGGGCGAGCGTTCGTTGCCAAAAGATAAACCGTGATTTTTGGACGACGAAAATTGACACATTCAGTGGGAATGATGTCGACTTTGCCTTTTACCAAATGGACCATACATTGAAATTAAGCCCATACATGTGCCAGAAACCTCTGTTGGAAGTTCACACAGTTGGGACTATTCGCTTGATAGGAAACTCAGTTGAGGTGCCCGGTGGTGTTGTGTACGAGTTGTATGTCAATCACATGTACATGACTCCTCGTAATCGATTCTACGAACAGGTGTTCAATACCGCAGCCAAGGGTACATGTGGTGTGCAAGGCGAATGGGAGGTGGGAAAGACACAGGATGTTGTGAAAACTGGTGGCTGTGCAATGATTGGGTATGTTCTACCTAAGGGGACTGCAACACAAGTTCTTATAAGAACTCTTCAGGATGAAAAACGCAAGGAAATGTATGTTGGATTTGGTGGACCTGGCAAGAAGTTAGGTCCTCTGGATTATGATCAAGTCGCTCAGTCTTGTGAAACGTTTCCCCTGGAGATCACCACAACCCCTGGGCCCACATATATGACGAGCACTGAGCAAACAGAGACCACTACGGAACCAGTAGAAAATAATTTTGATGACAATGAGGCGCCTATTGTGATTAAAAATGTTCGGGCTACAGAACCTCCTTCAAGTTCTGGAACTTTGAACGATGGCAGCATACGAGTTGCCTTGGTACTTTGCCTGCTTTTCCTACATGCGGTCAGGCTAGCCTGATCTCTTCTGGGTTTTGTAGAAGTGGACGCAGTACGTCAGTTCAGGGAAGCACTGACAGTTAGCAGATGGAAGCGCAGTGAAAGAGAGCATTGTAGATATTACTAGATGAACATTATTTTCTAATTAACGCCATGTTGGCCCAACGAACTGCTAAATTCCCGGTGCTAACTAATCAACTATAGTGTGAAAAACGTCTAAATTTGCCGAAATCGCTTGACTGTAGAATTGTAGTAACTGCATGCATGTTTTTTAAATGTGCAATAGCTGAAATTAAGTAGTTAAAACCTAAAGCAACATCACCTTACCAGCAGAGTCAATCGATTGTCAGAGAGTCAGAGACCAGTCAGGGACAATCCGCGAGGTTTAGACTCTGCTGACAGGGTGACGTTACATCTGAGTTTGAATTAAGGCAAAGTTGTTATTATATAGAAAATCCTAGACAAAGAAAATAAATTACAACGCAATACTGACCATTACTTAAATAAGTATTTATTTCTCTAGTTTACATTGTATCTTTATTATTATTAATCTTGAACATGGAACAAGTAAAGACATGAATCTATTCCTTTTTCATCGTTCATTGCTTGAGAATTATATGATGTTTTTAGAAAAGAAAATGGTGCTCTCAACTTTTCAAGCCGAGGTAGGTTATGGTCACTGGGGTATGGTCACTTTGATACTACACTGTGGTACAGTGACTGTTGTATGGTCACATTGGTTATGGTGACTGTGGTATGGTCACTTTGGTATGGTGACAGTGGTATGGTCACTTTGGTATGGTGACAGTGGTATGGTCACTTTGGTATGGTGACAGTGGTATGGTCACTTTGGTATGGTGACTGTGGTATTGTCACCTTGGTATGGTAACTACAGAATGACCATACCACAGTTCCACAGTAGCGCTCTTCCCAGTCCTTGCGCGTCCAAATTCAAAATGGCGGAGTAATCGAAGCAATGAGTTAAAAGACATTTTAGTTCGAGATTCTAGTTTTCCGACCTTCCGTATTGTCAGATTTTAGATAATTTATGGTCTTCATTTTTATTTTTGTACGAAATAAAGTAAAGAACAGTTTGTATTGTCATTCTTTGTTAAATATGTTGTTGTATGCAGTTGGAAAGTTCAGAAATGGAAGGCTGGGATAGTTACAAAAATATTGTTGAAGTATGTAATATTAATTTTCTTCATTTTACAATCGTTTATATAATCATATTATTACCTGGCAATGCATCTAGATTTCTAAATGCCACTAGATGCCACCAAGTTATGGGTCAACTTATAGTAAATATGAAAAAATATGGTATTTTGTGGGTGATAGTAACCTGGCACGCATCTAAAATATAAACAATACATCTGATCTAGGAGTTGACAGATACTGGTAACCAGCGAGAGTTATGGGGAAAGAGATCAAGTAGGAAAGGTACATCATGAAACTATCTGTGTTTGGGATCTACTGTCATAAGAATTGGATTTGTGCAAGAAAAAATGTTCCCCTTTTCCTGTTGTAGATTTAAGAGAAAGTTTTGAAAAAATAAACCAGAATGAAGAAACGATTGATAGCAATATTGCTGGATTTGTATCAAGTGATGATGACGATGACTTGATCAATCCAGGACTCTCCACAGCACAGGAAATATCTTCATCTAGTGCCAAGCGGTAAATTACAATATGATTTTGATAAATGCTTTTTTGTGTTGTTTTCATAAATTTCATAAAGAAGTTCCAAACTTTTCAGGGATTTTGTCAACACAAAACGATTTATTGATAAGAGTAAAAGACATAAGGTTAGTCACACATTTATTCTACCTGACCAGTCAGAATTATCTGAGCACAAGTATTAAGTATCATATTTTGCCTTTGTCAAACAGAAACGTAATGACAAATACCACAGCACATTTGGACAACATCCTCACAAAACTCCTGAAACAATCCTCGCAAACCACCCCTGGAGTGGACCCCAATACCACCTGGGATGTTGTCACTCCTACCACTTCCCACAGTATTTATGCCACCAGTGAAATGCTGCCTCATTCCACCCCAGATAGTATTCATTTGACTACCCCTTGTACCACTTCCCATATTGAAGCTAAAATGGGGATCCCTGGTGGAGTCTCAATCACAACCCAAAAGGCAAATGACAAGAGCTGGAGACTCTTCGCAAACACTTTTGAGAGTTCATTTACAGGAAGTCCTCAGAGAGAACCTGATTCATTGACATTATCCAGTCATCTTATGTTACCACAGAAGGATTTCAAAGATGATATAACATGGAATGACAGTGATAGCGAAGAAGAAAGACTTTCTTCTGCCAAAACTGAAAGTCCTGTTGTTTTATCTCAGGATGGGATTACTCTTTCCACACACCATACCCAATCAAGTCAAGCCAGTGTAAGTTTTATATTGCTCTCTGTATTGTTTTGTTTTGTTTTAATGATAGTTTGTTTTTTAGGTCAATATTGATGACTTTGACTCTGATCATGAAACCTGTACTGATGAACTTATTAACAAGGTAATCTTCAAAATTTCAGTGATTTAAAAAGTGAGAATAGTTTATCAACTTGTGGTGATTTCTATGTTCTCCAAACTTTCTCATCAACATCACTCACAGAATAAAATATTTGCTTATATTGATGTCAGGAAAGCAGCCCAAGCATTAGTTCCAATACCCCCACACCTCCCCCCTCTCCTACCTTCACCCCCTGTACTCCAAACAAGAAAGTGGAGATTTGCCCACCTCACAACTCAACAAAGAAACAGAGGCAGAAGTATTTCAGGTGAGGGTTTAGTTGTGAATTATGTCAGCTTTCCAGAGTGTGGACCCTTCTGAAAATATACACTTCATTCTACAACAAACCACCGCATTTTGAATTCATGCCAATTGCCAAATGAAAAGTGATGAAAATTTATTTTGATGTTTGAACAGTTGAAATTATTTGACTTGACATCATTTGTTTTTTCTTAGAGGAGGATTAGCTGAAAGGTTGCACAAACTGACCATAGAAGAACATTTCTACAGGACGTTTTGGCATCATCAGATGCAACAGAAGAGAGACAATAATGATGGTAATCATCCATTGATTATGTTTGGGATTATGATTATGATTATTACGTGGAAACGATCATGTGGACGCAACGCCTTCCCCTCCCCTCCCTCCTTCCCGTCTCTTGGTTGTCTTATTCAGAAACGAACACCATCCATCCGTGTTGTAATTGCATTATAGAATCACCGTCTGCTGCTGCTGCTGGAGACTTTGTGAGAGTACGGGTACTATCAGAGACACTGGATCATAATGTGTACATCGTGAGATGTCACGTGTTATCCCATGATTCTCACCTGCCAGAACACGTGATCGTTTTACTAGACAGGGAAAGAAGAAAAACTTTAGAGAACAATATAACAGGATCTCTCAGGATTTATGCCCCATGGTAATAACTCGCGTTTCTACCTCAAACGAAGGTTTTAATTCCCAGATATGAGATAATTTATCTCAGTTTATCACCTCCTGACGTATGTGGTATAAAAATCTGCGGTCAGACTACTGAATACCTGGTTAATCTAGCTCGTATCGCGAAGGATCCTCTTGGTTGAACACCTTGTCAACCAGGGTCTTCTACCTGGATTTCCACGACCTACCCTGCGTTGGGCCATGACAGACCCGTTATTGAACCCTGGCTCGCAAGCTCTTAGTTCTACAAACCCCAGCATTTAGCAATTATCAACAATTAACACGTCTTCTTTCATTCAAGGAAACTTGTTCATCTTCCTACGTCCTCACAAACAGTTATTATGAATATGGCGCATTGTGAATTTATTCCGTGTGAAAGTTTAGACTTTACACTGCACGATATTTCTAATTTGTCACTTGAAGATAAAAAAGCAAACATCCAGGTATTTATCGTTAACATAGAGATCTTCATGCTGTCCAAAAAGAGTCGTGCTAGATCTTCTTATGATGGAAACAAACTTCTTCAATTTTAGGAAACGCATTCGGCGGGAGACGGGGATGATATTGACAGGGTTCTTTCTAAGGAGAACGAGCGTCAGAAAGAGCAGACTGTTGTGAATTGGCCTCTACAAGATTTCTTACGAGATGAGAGAGTATCGATGTCAACGAGGGTTAATCTTACTGCTAGGGTTCAGAGGATATTTTGGCGGAGTGTGGAAGTTAAGACTCAAGATATTGATTTAGGAAGGTGTGTACTGCACGATGTAGTTTAATTTAGTAACTGGACTAACTCCGGGTCACGTGTATCGTGGAAGCATCACAGTCATATCATATCATATCATGACACTTCTCATCTCATCTCACTACAGTTCCTGGACATCGCAAATCATTCAGAGTGCGAAACTTTCGAGAAAAAAGAACCGAATGAGGTAATTTATATTTAATTTATCCCACAAGAAATTCTTTAATCCTTTTCTCACAAGTTCAATATTTTCATTTCAGTTTATGTTATTTGATGCAAGGCGTTACAGGTTCCTACTGTGAGGTTCAGATATCTGAAGATATTTTAGTGAACAGAAAAGACTGGTACGGGACGATGAAAAGCATGTCTTGTTCTTTTCTTCTTAAACCATGTTCTGTTATCCTTTCTTTAAACCATGTTCTGTTTTCCTTTCTTTAAACCATGTTCTGTTTTCTTTTCTTTAAGGCATGAAGTTTTGTGTCGATCTGAAGGAACAGTTTTATCATTTTCCCAACTCCGACTGATTCGACTAAGAAATAGAGATGGGTAATTGTGTTTTTGTTCTGCAGTCGTCGTTAAAAACACGTTGCGAAAGAAACCGCGTTTTCTTTGAATTTCCAGAGCGCGTCAGATGTTTAATTTAATCGATGCTTTAAAAGAAACTAGCGCTGAGGATCAGCTGTCATTTTTTACCTTTACCTTTGACGAATGTTCTTCAATAGAAGCTGTTTCTCAGAACAATATTTCAGGTAGATTAGAATATCTATTTCACATTGGATAGTGGTCTTTAGTGGAGTTCTTATTCCCCCTTTCTATGAGACGACTAATTTTACTAAGCTCTCTACCTCTCTCAACATTTTTTAAATATTTTGCAGATTATCCTGGCTACATTACTCCTGAGTATTTGAACGTAAACATCTCAAGTTCTGCACCTCGCGCTCCAAGCCGTCGTGTGAAGGTTTATGGAAATCTACTTCATGCAAAATTCACAAGCGATAAATTCGACCGATTTAAACATTTTCTTTTGTGGGTCTCTGGAAGATTTTTCGCAGCACAAGACGGTGCGAAATGTGATCTTGCGTCTACGGTCTCCGTTATCCAAGTTCACTATTTCAGCGGTAGAACAGTAGAATGGAATGAAACCACACTGCTACCTGGCCAGCTGTTGTCCATTCAAGACTTGGTGTATGATAAAGGTGTGAAATGAACTAAATTATGGATCCAAGATATATACTTGTACCTCAGACCACGGCTCAGACACGATTATCATGAAAGATACACACCTCATAACTATTACTGTTTCTGTATTTTTTTAGCAAAACCAAAAATTCTGACAGCAGATATATTTTCAAAGATTCAGCTTGTATTCTCTCAGTCTTTTATTCCTTGCTATGATCAACAGTTATCAGAGATCCACCAGGTGATCACCGTTACCCATTTATACCCCCAAGATATAGCAGTGCCCAGAAATCAGAACTGTTGACGACAATTGTGTAGTTTCGTTCTTTATTTTACTGTAGTTTTGGCGTCAAACCATGACGGTGTTTATGACAGAAAAAGAATACACGTGTTTAAAATCTCAACCCTTGCCTGTGTTGCCAAATTTGAGCGAGAATTGTGTTATCGAATCTTTAGTAATATTGGAAGGTGTGTAGTTTTCATATGACCTCTGGTTGATGCATTATTGTAGGAAAAAGATGTTTCTATTTCGTGCTTCCAAATAACGAGTACAAGTTTGTACTGTTTGTTTCTTGTGCAGGAACAATTTCAGGCGTCGATAAAGAGAATGCCTTTTGTTGGTTTTCATGTCCCAACTGTAGCAGCGAGTGTATTTCAGAACCTTACGACAGGCAAGTTCCTACAAACTGTAGAATTTTATGATAGTTTGCTAAAAGTAATAAAAAGCCCGACAAATGTCAAGCCCAGTAAAAAATTGTAAAAGTCAAGTCCTTGTTCTCGCCGGTACAGTAGTTGGCCGGTGGTTCAACGAGTGACTGGTTCAACCCAAACCCAACCGCAACAGAATTTTATGCAGAATTTTATGATAGTTTCTTAAAAGTAATAAATGGGCCGACAAAATTGAACAAATGTCAACTGTCAAGCCCAGTAAAAAATTGTAAAAATCGGTATCCCCTAACCCTAAGAACCACAACAACTGAATTCTGAACTGTGTTCATCTCTATTAATACTGCATGCATCGCTGTGGATATTACGGGAGCTAATATACGCACGCGCATTCATTCGAAGCTTGGGCTGCTTGGCATAAAATGAATTTGTATTGCAGTTTGTCATAACTTCAGGCATGCATGTTCACGGTCATAGTCATACCGAGTCATTTTTTTTCTAAAACATTTTAAACGTTTCTTGCAGTGATTCACAATATCAGTGTAACTCATGTTTGTGGAATTTCAACTCTCCTGTTACCAACATGAATCTTGAAGTGTACATAAGGTCCAGATCTTTACCAGCACTGAATCCCAAAGTGAAGGTAGGTCCTTTCCATGCAGTTTTATAAGTCAACTGTGCGAGGACCAAGCTCGCAGAACTTTGCCAATATTTTCCTGCAATTCATATCTTTCAGCTTCTTCAACGATCTATAAATGAATTATTGTCGGGTTCACAGAAAGACAGTCAGGAGGTAATTATAAACAATAGCTCTATTCATTCCGAGAAACCTCCAGAGTATCGAGGGGATCGTTGGATGATATGCTTCAGCAAAAAAAAGATTTCCAATATGAAGAAAGGATACTAGATACTCTTCCGCAGGCACCGCCCGCCATATTTGCCCGAAAAAGGCTTGATTTAAAACAAAAGGAAAACGGTTAAAGGATCATTGTTTGAATGTTCATATTTGTTTATTTTTAAAGACATATCAAGTCGATTGTGTACTGAATAAACATCTCGGACCATTGTATTGTTGTATCGTGGAGAAAACTCAAGACGAAAACTCAGAGATAAGTTTTAAACTTGAAGAATTAGACAGCAGTGCTTGGGGCACACGTAAATTCCTCTAGTTATTATGAACTGTTTTAGCTAAAGATTTAGTATCAGATAAAAAATATTTATATACAATTATTTATGGCATAGCCTATGTAGATATTTTGTAAAGTTATTCGTTTCTCAGGAGTAGATAATTTTTTGAGTTGTGGTGAAAGGAAACTTAAAATATTTTTCATCCAGTTCTGGGTTTGTTGCCTGTAGCTAGCTAGAGATCATTTATTGAATTCCCACTTCTTTATTGCAATCATACTGAGGTAAAATCAATCGCCATATTGAAGTAGCATTCAAGAATCAAGAGGTGTGAGGGAGGGGGTAAGGAAGGGGGGGCTAGGGGGAGGAGGCACTAACACTCTTTATGTTCCATATCGTTTGCGGTGCAGCGTCGGGGGTAAGTTCTCCATGATTGATAACCAAGATCTTTCAACAATCACCAATGATTTATCCTCATTCACACCAAGAAACAGCAAGGGCTGAAAGATTAACATGTAATGTTCACTTGTGGACAATTGGGAGAAAAAGATGAAAAGATGGGTCTGTCAGGGATATCATGGATATCAGTGATGGAAGGGATCAGAAGATGATTTAAGGTGGTGGGAATAATGCAGAAAAGATACGAAAAGCACGGTTCCCATGATATGAAAAGGCACTAAGAGGTTAGAAACACAGAAGATGTGGAACCTGAGGACGTCGATCACCAAAAATTTAGGATTCTTACTTGATATTTCTTGCATACTTTGAAAGCCTCAGATTGCTCAATCTGCTGTTGTTCAGAATCAGAACCATTGTGTCTTCTTTTCCTGCCAACACGAGCTTTAAACTTCTCTCGCTTTGTCTCAAAGAGTTTTATACTTTTAGGTGGTAACGGCTAGAAAAGAAAGTGATTACAACTCTTACATTTCTCAACTCCAAGGTTGTACAAAATCAGGATATTACAGCTAATGTACCTTGGTTGTATCCAGCAATACAAACATATCGTGACTCTGAAGCAACATGATGTCTTTACAATAAGGATCAAACAAAATATTGACAACTTTCGTATGCCTTCCTTGCCACTGCTGTGGAAGACTGTTCTTTGAAGCTTTCTTTGACCAATTTGTCATTTTCATCTTTTCAATGTTGAACATAAACACCTAGAAAGGACAAGGAATGCCATTGAAATGTATCTTTATAAACTGGAGTGAGGTCGTCAAACCACTGCTGTCAATCCCACATACTTCTTTATTTGTTGTCACTAGCGCCAAGATATTTGTTTCAGGTTGAAAAGCCATGGCTGTTACCTGTCTTGAAAATCTCGGCAAAGTGTTGTGATGCTAGGAAAGGTTTATAATTGGTTCGTTAAAATAAGCATTGAGAGTTAACAAGATGGATTAGTGATTTAACCTTTGACAATCTTTATAATACAGTACCTTTGTGTTGTGTATATCAAAGACTTGGACACAGCCTTCTGTGTCAGCACTGGCACATAGACTACCATCTGAGCTGACTGTTAGTGATGTAACTGGAGCATAGAAATCTAGTCAATGGGACAAATGAAATGTCACTGGTCGGAACCTTCGAACAAACAAGTCTAAAATGGAATGCTTGTATATTAACCTAAATCTTTGTAGTCAATTGCGCTACTGCTGATGGGAAACTCTACTGTTTCAACTGTTATTGAATCATTGCTGAGATGAATCACCTGAAACATACATGATGTTCAAATGTGAAGGAATTGATAGGAGTTGTTTGGCTATTATGATATATTACTTTCATGCAGGTACTGAGCTCTCACTTGTAATGACTTTTTCATTGTGATTGTTATAAGTTTAGAGCAGTCTTGGGTGAATTTCATGTGATGTGCTGGTAAGATTTCTTCTGGCAAGTATTTGGCCTGAAAAATTGAAAATGATTGAACATAGCAAAATTTAACTTGTCGGTGCTTAATATGCATGTGGATGAAAGAGTTAAAATATAGTTAAACACAAATTGAACACCTCATACCTGCTGAACAAGTAAAGAACTTGAATCCTCCTAAAAAGTAATGAATGAATTTTCAAGTAAACTGTTTTCTACCCTCTTCACCACAAACACTACAACATACCAGATTAAGCATAAACAGGCTGACATGATGGACATCTGAGAATCCTGTCCATAAACCATCACCAGACAATGCAGAACAGACAATGTGATTGGAGCTCTATGGAGAAATATGTGAGAGAGTTCTCAATTGTTCCCAACTCTTTAAGTACACCATTGTCCTATGTTGTACCTTGGCTTCTATTTGTAACATATACGACGGATTCTTCTCAAGATGACAACTCTCTTCATCCACTATAAAAGGGAAAGTGAATCGTCCTGAGAGGAACAGAAAGTGGATGGTCAAAGAACCGTATGCTGTAATGTCAAACCTGTCTCTCCAAGTCTCCAGAGATGAAGCACTGTTGTCTTTTGAAACATTAATATATTAGACTGGCTTGCAAGATGGATTGCTGGTGTCTATAAAGGTTACAATGAAGCCAGTAAGGACAGTTTTAATATCCTTACACAAGATCACCTTCATAAACTTTGCATACCAATGGATAAGCTGGAATTTTCCTTGGATCTGATCCATATTTTGCTGTGGAGTACACTAGGATGTTTGTATCAACACCTGGAAATTGCAAAAGAAGACTATTAATAAAGAGGTACTTGGTACTCATGGCTGCAATGATAGGATTCCTAACCTCCTGAAACAAGAAATGGTTGATCCACGCTTTCGATCATCGCTAAAGCTCTTATATCATGTGTGTGTGCTCTTGTAGAAATTGATCTGCTCCAAGTTTTGCTTCCTTCCTAAAAAGCAGAAAAATTACTGTATACAGCTAAGAATATTTTGTAAATATACTGAACAATATATACACAATATATATTTACAATAGTAAATTGCATACTGGGTTTACCTCATCAGTAACAAGTCTAAACTGCACCAATTTGTTGTCCACACCAGAGGCATACACTGTGTCTTCTTGCTATAAAAGATGATGTGGTAAATAAATACTTGGAGTAGGACACTTGTATCAAACACGTTTGTTAATAAAACAATATTACCTGATTAACACACACAGCCAGAACATCAGCTGTGTGGACATTGAAACTCTATGAAAAAATGAGCAAATAGAATGAGAAAATTGAAGATTCGGGGAGATTTTTCATTTGCTGTGATATATAATTGGTACCTTAATTAATGTCCCTAGTTTACCATCCCAGAATTGTGTTTTCCCTGAAGAATCACCACTGATGATAGTAAAATTGCTATAACAAATGAAGTATTTTGGTGAGAAACATAAAAAAGATCACAAAATTATCAAGTAGAAATGTATTATGGTTAAATTACTTTGTCACTACCAGAGACCAAACTAGAGCTTTTCTTTGAGAAGAAGTGTCGAGTGTAATACAAAGCCTAGCATGACCTATACAGAGAAACAAGATGTATTAAAATATTTTATTCTATATTCTATGATTGTACATAGATTGTTTACCTGTTGAAACTTCATATACCCTAATGGTCGCATCTGATCCACCTGCCACCAAGATTTGACCATCTTTATGCCAACAAAGTGACAGAATGCGACCTACAGTATACAACAGTGCGTGGTTGCATGGTTACGGAATGAACATTTCTTGTTTGGGTCTTGGGGGATTCAAATCAACTTTTCTGCTTTGCTCACCTTCTTGTTTGCTAAAAACTCGAGCATATTCAATTTCTTCTGAGGTAATGTCAAACAGCCGTACACAACCATCCTCACAGCCAGCCTAGGAAAGAACATTCATTGAGTAAATAATTATACAAATAGTGAACTGTCATCTAGCTAAAGTCTTAACATACAGCCATCAATGTTTGTTCATGGTTTACAGCAAGGCTCCACACTGCTCCACCATAGGAGTCAACACATGTCTAGACAAAAAGATTGTGTCTTCATAAACTTAATTAGAGACCTGGGGAACTTGGATAATGCGTATCAATTGGAGTTAGCCAAACACATTTAGATTAAAGTATATAACATTTATTTGATCTAAAAGTGCACACACCTTTGCATCAAGTCTATTGAGGTCCCATTCCGTGATCTCACCGTGAAGTCCAGATGAAAATAAACGAGATTTTGACCAGACGAGAGCTTCAACAGATGACTCATTACATCCAGGTATTTTCTAGTGCAGATATTTATATAAATCCTAGGCTTTACATTCCTGATCTTACACGTTAAATCTCTAATACAAATCCAATCTTAAACTTAATCATAACACTGACCTATTCCTCATTTAATATACTCTATAAAAACTGTTAATTCATTACCCTTTCCAAATACCAATTATCCTCAATATTCCATATTTCAATGCTACTGTCAGCTCTGAAAAATGGGATCAGTATTTTAGCCCGAAGTAAAAATGATTTCTTTTACAAACACGTGCAAATGTAATCATACATATTAAAGATACCTTGAAACAGCAATTCTTGGCTTTTTCTTTCCTTCAACGGCTAAACAATGAATAGCTTGTGGCATGTAAGGTACAAACCGTACTCTGTGTATTTTATATCTCACCATGATCAAAGAAAATGATTATTTACTCCATGGTACATGTGTTATTGTTCGCGAACGTGCCTATTTTTAGTTGCCCAATGTAAGTTACCTGCCTGTATTCTGACACCCGAAACTCCTCAGATGCCCGCATGAAATGTTCCAAACACGTGTTTAGAAATTATATTATTTACATCAACAAATTCAATTGAATGATTTTACTTTTTTAATTCAGAGAGATTTTTATATTTTGCAAGTTAAGTTCCTTCAACTGTGAAGTAGATAAGGCATAATATGTCAAGAAAAAAGGTTTGGGCACTAGTATTTAGTAAAATAGATGTCATTTCTTCATTTATATGCCTTAATTGACTTTATATATTAAATAAAATCAAGTATATTTGTTCTGTATGACTGTATCTATTAAACCTATCAACTGATAATGTGCTAGCCTTTGAGTTTGCATCAGATCTGCCCTTCGCCTTGGCCTGAGGTGATGGTGCCAACCATGAATCCAAGGGAAGGGCTCTAGGGTTGATTGCTTTTCTTTTGACAACTTCTATGAACAGGGTAATCGTGGACCAAAGAAGAAAAACAGTCACTTTAGTGGAAAGAGAAAACCTCGAGAATCCTACGATGACATTGTGAAGGAGAATGAACTGCTTGAGAAATTTTACAAAGTTAGTTTAAAAGAAATCAAATTAGACTGTGATGAAGTTATGACAGAGCAACATATTTATAATTTGAATCTATACCTCTTTTCTAGGCTCAACATGTAGTTCCTGAGGATGAATGGGAGAGTTTTATGGAGAGTTTAAGGGCAGCATTGCCATCAACATTCAGAATAACAGGAATAAGAGGGTGAGCTGCAGTTGCCATTTGGAACAACATAAATCAGATCTTTAATATCTTTCATCTTTCCAGGCATGCAGAGGAACTTCTAAAATATTTGAAAAAATATTATATTGAGAAATTGAATGGTGCTAAAGAAGAACTTGGTGAAGAACTGGACTGCTTTGGTAAACCATTAACATGGTAAGTCTTCAGTACAACGTCTCTCTTTAACACACAGGTCTAAGCTGGGTTTGATCAGGGCAATTGTAAAAGAAAAGCTTCTTCAAATCTGGTAGCTTTTCTACAGCTATTGACAGTTTCAGAGTTGTTCATCATTAGTCACACTGACTAACATCCCCAAACATATCATCCACAGGTACCCGGATGAGTTAGCTTGGCAAATTAATTTAACTCGACGATTTATCAGACGATCGGGCATGGTGTCAAATTTTCACAAATTTCTTATTCACGAAGCTGAAATGGTAAGCATGCATACACCATGGGTATCGTAAATTTGTATGATGGTCAGTAGCTCTGCTCAGACTTACAAATCAATTGAAATTTAGGGTAACTTAAGCCGTCAAGAAGCTGTGAGTATGATACCACCTCTCCTCATTGATGTTGAACCTCATCATAAGGTACATATGGTTCATTTTGGTTGCCATTGTATGGACAATACATTATTTATTAAGGAATTGTATAAATATATTTCATGACACAGCTATTCTTATATATTCTAGATATTGGATCTTTGTGCAGCACCTGGTTCAAAGACAGCTCAGTTGATTGAAATGCTCCATGAGAAAGAGCCGACTACCTTGCCTGAAGGTTTTGTAATAGCTAATGATATTGATCCAAAACGTTGTTACATGTTGGTCCATCAAAGTCGAAGAATTCACAGTCCTTGTTGCTTGGTAACAAATCATGACGCAGCTTCATTTCCTGATATTAACATCAAACAGGTAATTCTCATTCTTGATTACTGAAAAGTACTTAAAAATTCAGGCTTAACTCCTATGAGGGTTACCCCAAATGATCCTTATTTTTCGCCCCCAAATGGTAGCTATCCAATGATTTATGACTGTTAATCGATGTTTTATCTTCTCAGGAAGGCTCAGAGGAGGTGTCACCAATGCTGTTTGACAGAATATTGTGTGATGTTCCTTGCAGGTTAGCTGCAATGCTTTATTAAAAATCAAAACAATAAATTACTAACAGTAACTATATGTACATTACTACATATAAAGTACTGTAAAGTACCAGATATCTCTATACATATGACACCATGTACTATAATTCAATCTTTACTCCTATGTTTTTTATTGTAGTGGAGATGGCACAATGAGAAAAAATCCCCAAATTTGGAAGAAATGGAATCCAGAAATTGGTGTGAACCTTCACAAGTACGATATATAACCCAGTTTTCGTTCCGTTTCGTCCTGGACGCGTTCAGTTTTCGTTCTGTTTCGTGCTAAACGCTTTCCATGTTTCTTATATTTTCTTTGTAGAATCCAGTTAAGAATTCTTGTAAGAGCAGTTGAGATGTTAGCTATTGGTGGTAGGGTTGTTTATTCCACATGTTCTATGAATCCTGTAGAAGACGAAGCTGTTGTTTCCCAGTTGCTTCTAAGAACTCAGGGTAAGCTACATACAGTATACCAAAGGGGAATGTATAAAACCTAGTTAGCTTTTAACCACATGACGAACAACCAACACTGTTTCGTTTCACGTACTTCTGAGTCATGGGAACAAGATTTACCGTTTATTTTCTCACGAATGTCCGAAGAATTAATGTCATCGTCATTGTTCGTTTTAGGCTCAGTTGAGTTGATTGATGTGTCTGACAGATTGCCTCTCTTAAAAAGATCACCTGGTCTTCTTCACTGGAAGGTAATGACTAATGTGTATTTTCTAAAAGAAAGTAAAGCTCATCTTCGTTTAACGTCTTAGGTTTGAGCTGAACATGCCAATTTTAAGGTGAAACGGTTTTGAAGAGTTTTTTCTGTTCGTTTAGATTCAGACAAAAGACGGTAGGCCGGTTCCAAGCTTCACAGAATGCAGTACATCTGACCGCACGCATGGCTTTCTTGAATCAATGTGGCCACCCAGCATCGAAGACGCGGAGAAATTCAACTTGAAACGTTGGTAGGTGGTTATTCATTGCAATAGTTGACTCTCCTATCCAACATAGGAACATCTTATTGTCATTAAAAGATAACACCACTATGTTTTATCACAATTCTCGTTACAGTTGGCGATTATACCCACATCAACAAGACACGGGAGGGTTCTTTATTGCTGTTCTGGAGAAGAAATCTCCATTGCCGTGGACAGCAGGATTTCGTCCACATCATAAGTTGTTGCCATGGGAAATTACGAAGAAGGAAAAGAAGGTTCGTTTGGATTATGTAATTTGGAAACAGTAAAACTGTATAATCAGAGTCTTCTAGTCTTGTACAGTAATATTAGGCGTTTAGAATGAGCAATCTTTCCTGTCGGTTAACCAGTGGAAGAGAACCATCTGTATTTGTATTTTATTCTTTTCTAGGAATCAAAACGTGCTGAAGTCATCGAGGATGAAAATGAAGGAAAGGTAACGGAGAACATGTCAAAAGAAAATGAGAACAACTCCGCTGAATTGAGGAAACCATCGCTGGAAAATTGCGAGGAAACGACGAATGAAAAAGACTTGGATAAGGTGGAATTAGAAAAACCCGCAGAAGAAAGAACAGAATCCGACGTAAAATGGTAAATACTTGTCATTTGGGTCAATTTTCATTAAAAATATAAATACTTGTACAACTGTTTCTTTCTCTTGATCCTCTTCCTTCAAAACCTGTTTCTTATTTCAGTCCAGGTGTAACAGAACCTCAAAGAAAAAGAAGAAAATTTGACCCGAAGTCCGACTGCAAGGAGAATCCATTTGTGTTCGTTGAAGATGTGGACACTCATTGGAATACTATCAGGTTAGATATTTGACAGACAAGCTAATTGAATTTCAATGTTTAATCCAAACAGTCCCTTGAGTATCCTAACTTATTCTTTTTTTTGGTCATTTTAAGAAAATTCTACGAGATTTCCAGTGATTTTCCGGAGAGTGTTTTACTGGTGCGGTCAGCTAGTGAAAGAAAACGCACGATTTACTTTGTATCTGTTGGACTTGCAGCCATGTTGAAAAATGTTGATCAAGAGAAGTTCAATGTAAGCTTCATTGAAGCTTCTTGGAGGTATTCAGACCTGTTGCTTTTTCATTACATACATATATTTGTGTCAATTTAAGGTCATAAATGCTGGCTTAAGATTATTTACAAGATGCGAAAATAGTGATCAAGATTGGTCGTTTAGAATTAATGGAGAGGTAAGTATTTTGCTTGAGTCCACAACACCCTATAAGAAATTTTTTATCCAAGAATTCTATTTCCAGGCCCTTGAGACAATCTTGCCGTTTCTGTCAAACAAACGTGTGATCAATGTACCTCAAGAGGATCTCGTTAGGATATTGGTGGATACGAGTCCGAAAGTCTCTCAAATGACAACGGAGACGAAGTCCGCGCTTGGAAATATCGGTATGTAGACTGGGGGGACTTTTCATCTGAGTTGCAGAATTTATGCTTCATTCTTATTTGCAAATGCATTCATTTTTTTGTAGGCCCTGGTTGTATTGTTTTTTCATATGATCCTAAGAATAGGTAGGGCTTTCAATCCTTTCGATAAAACCTTTCATTGGTCAGGTACATCACGAATAAACCGCTTTAGGGCAGCCTCTCGCTTCACTTCTGAAGAGACGGTAACCCACTTCTGAAATGCAGTGTGACTGCGTCCTGCGAGATTGGCGCGTCCTCTGAACGGTCCTAATTTTGCGTTTATCTATTGATGTATTCTTGAACCTACATATGTATTTGTCCAACATTTTTGTAGAAAAGAGGTGGACACACTTAGCGTAAAAATCGCTGTCTGTGGTTGGAGAAGCAACACGGTTATCTTACGCAGTTTGATTGCTAAGGGAGACAGAATGCATTATCTTCGAATCGCTGGTTACGCTCCAGACTCGCAGGAAATCCAGGGTAACTTGTTATAGATACTGTTTCCACTACAGTTGGTGATAATCCATAATCCAATGACATTGCAGAAGTTATATTGTTGCATTTCTACCTAATTATAGCTCTTGTTTCTGATCCTAAAGTAAGTTTGGAGGAACCATCTTTTCAAGTGGAGACAGACTCACCAACAAGTGAGCAAGTTGACTCAAATTCTAGCATGAAAATTAAGGACCAAACAGAGGAAGAAATGTTGGATGATACGGAAGAAGATATGGTAGAACCAAGTACTTTGACTGATAATGTTGCTAGTGAACAAAATTAATGTTTTATCCTTAGTTTCACCATATTGTGTGATTGTTTGTGAGGTAACACCTTGTGAAAGAACATCAGAAGCCTGGATTCACCCAGCCAAGGACAGCTGTGGTTTTCCATCACAAGACTATTTCATGGTAAAAAGAAGAGTTTGGAATTGTAGACAAACTTGAAAATGTTTAATCCATTTTTTGAATGCACAATCTTGATTACATGGTACTTATTATAAACAGAGAAATTTTATCTGAGACCAAGTTTTCAAGTATACAAGCAAACATAGTTTAACTGAGAAAATGAAATTTAATTCATTACCAGAATCTTACAACAGCAGCAAACTTAATACAAATTACATTTGTCTAATTTTTAAAGTTCATTTGTTAAAAACTATTTCAACTACTTATTTGATGGAGTTCAGACACTTATGACAACAAACGTATGGTCACCTAAGCTTTTTTTACACTACACTCAATTTTTTGGCACAACACAGTAAAAGTTGTAAACATACTAATCTGTGCTCAGGCTACCAAAAGAAGGCTGAGCACAGGTGAAATTGGTATGGGGTAACCATTTTAGATGTGCTGATAAATTGAGTGTAGTGTAAATGGGGCTCTTATCACACAACATGCAACTGTCTTGTCTTTCATCTTCACTTGCAAAAATTATTTACTTAACAGCTTTTACATAGATATTCATGCACTCAAAATGATTCATACAAATTTTCAAATAATCCCAGTATACAAAGTTACATTTGCTAATATTTCTACCGACTGTTTCCACATTATGTATAAGTGGATCCTTCTGGAGGCTGAGATGTTTTCATATTTTCCTTTTGAGCCATCAGTCTGAAAAAACAATGATTAAAACTTTAGCTAACGTGGGAACACCAGAAACCTGGTGGTTTTTTATTTCAACATACCTTCTAAGTTCTGTTAAAAGTAATTTAATCGTACAATTTCGGTTCCAGGACTTCAACATTGGGCATGTCAAGACCTAGGTATCGGAAGAATACATTGTTACTAGTCATAGTCACATGATTGGAGAAATATATTCACAATCAGATTGCTCCAGGACTTACAACTCCCGTGTTCTTGTCAACACCAACCATGTTGATGCGTGTTATAAATCTCACATCAGGTTTCTGTTCTGGGTATCGCTCGCCACACTGAATATTCAAACTGTAGATTCGCCCATCAAATGCTGTCTACAAATCAGTATGAATGAACTTTATTGACACAATTCATAAACAATTACATACTAGATTAAAAATTTTCACATAGGCTCAATTTCCCCAAGTCAAAAATCTCCAATTTATTTGCATAAAGGGAATGATAAACATTGGCATATTTCTTCACAGAATTTACATAGAATCAATTCTGGCACTGTATAAAAAAATACTAAAAGAGTTGTCCTGAGTATCAAGTTTCATCGACCTGCCATGCTTAAGTACCTGCTGTACTTTGAGGTTACTTAATACACAGAGTTCGCAAACAGCTTTAGCTTCCGTATATTTTTATATCAAAAGGTTTAAAAATATAATTGCCCTGGCAAAATCCAGCAATAACTAACGTATTCTTCAGGCTGCGGACCGTTTCTCCTGCGCTAATCGCATACAGAAATTTAATAGAATAATTCTACCAAATATTTTTTGCGTGTAGATCTGTGCGTAGAAATACAAGACCAAACAATATTTTCACTTCAGCCAGCACTTCTTACCCTAGGTGGTCCGATAATCATACCATTCCAGTTTGTTAAAGTCATATCACTGTCGTCTACCAAACCCCAGCTAACCATCCCATCACCGCCTTTTTGCCCCTCTTCAAGTTCTTCCAGAAGTGCAAAATTTCGAGGAACGATTACTGTACAAATTTTGAAAAAATGCTTTAGTTCAAATTTATAAAAATACCTGTAAACACGTTATGTATTAAATCATATATCGCACTAGCTCTGTAAGAATTATTGGTGGCAAATTACTTCAAGAAAAGCTACAAAATGAAAGTTTTATTTGATGAAAACAGTAAAGACATACCCGGAGGCGTCGCCATCTTGCTTTAGACTCATTTACCAGGATTGACGGTTGGCTCCGAAGTGTATCCGAACATTACACGAAAGTATTTTCTGTTTCCACTTTAAGAAATACGCATTTCGGTAGAAATTGTATGGTACCTGGTGGTACCATCATTATAAGATTCAACATGTTACTAAATTTTGATGAAGAACGTCTTGTAAACTATTGTGCATGGTTAGTGATTGCAACTGGTGTGGTATCCATAATCTCTGGATATTTCCTTGCCACACCTTATGGTCGATATAGCCGGGAAGGCTGGGGATTTGGTATTGATGCCAGACTTGCATGGTTTTTACAAGAGTCCCCTTCATTTATCATACCATGTTCATTACTATGGTTCAATGATGGCCGAATGGTGCTTATGTCGCTACAACCTAATACAGCTGTACTTTCAATGTTTTTAATACATTATTTTAGAAGGTAGGGGATTCATCAGATTTTAACAATGGTGCCCTTGATGTAATTGTAATAATAAATTATAAAACTAACAACTTTATTTTATTGCAATCTACTTTTCAGGTCCTTCATCTACCCATTATGGATAAAGAATACAGCTTCAACCCCATTTTTTATTTTTTTGTCTGCATTTTTTTTCTGTTCTCTTAATGGCTACATGCAAGGCCAATATCACTTGTATCTTGCTCACTATCCTGAAGACTGGTTTCAAAGTTACCAGTTCATATTTGGTTGTTTAATTTTTCTGAGTGGATTTGCAATGAACTTATATTTTGATTACATTATCACAAACCTTCGCAAGCCTGGAGAAACTGGTCATAAAATACCCCGAGGTAGCAGATAGAGTTGCAAATATATGAAATTCACCATTCAATAGATGGTATATACTATTCATTACACTTTATAGGTGGCCTGTTTGAGTATGTTTCTTGTCCAAATTTCTTTGGTGAAATTGTGGAATGGGGTGGTTACGCATTAGCATCCTCATCTTTCGTGGCATTTGCATTTTTCTTCAACACTTTTATTCAACTTGGTGTCCGGGCATTTTACCATCACAGGTGAATATACCATCATATATAAATTTTCAAATATGTAAAAATATTAAAGACTATTTATCGGTATTTTTCTTTGTTCACGTCTAGATTTTACCACAAGAAATTTGAGGATTATCCAAAGAATCGTAAGGCAGTGATACCATTCGTATTCTGATATTCTCATGGGCTAAAACGTTTAATGATAAATGTTGAAAATGGGTACTATTCAGGAAGATGTGTAAATTTCAGGACTTTGATCTGGTAACAAATGTTAAATTCACATATTTGCTCATCGACAGACGACAGTGATTCAAATAAAAAGCTTTATTCAAGACGTAATTCTACTAATTTGATTGTGAAGAATAAAAAGCTTTATTCAAGACGTATTTCTACTTATTTGATCGTGAAATATTTTGCAAAATGTTAGGTCAGGCTGTTTTCACTTATAAACTAGATTTGAGCAGTTTTGGTTATAGCTATATGGTCACACTGAAGTCCAGGGACGCCGGAACCTTGCGAAGGCAAAAGGGAAGCAGATTTCCGTAAAAGGGCACTTGTGTGTTAACGCATGCATACTAAATATTGCTATCAAAACATTGACGAGAAGTAGAACTTCGTCTCATCATGATAAATCTTTATTTATACATGGTTTCGGTGAGTGTATATCACCAGACGAACGAACTATTCGTGAAGCTCTTTGACATAATTTCTAGCGATGGGCAACCTTTGCCCCCCCTCGCTCCTGTTGGCAAAAGGCAAGGGGGACGGCTGCCCCTCCCCCCCAGTTCCGGCGTCCTTGCTGTAGATTGCGTGAAATATTCGAATTCGAATACGTCATGAAGTGAGAAAAATTGAAAGATAGTCTTTAAGAATTAAATATGTCAATATTATGTTATAATTTACATCATGCTGTGCCTCACGGCTGTGCTTCCTATAAGCTTTCAGTACATGTTGACCCGCTGAAGTTTGTTTCTTATTCCTACAAGGATGTCACCATCAAACCTATGTGTTAATGAAGACAAGTTAAATATTTTTGCTTGGTTAATGATTGTTCTTGGTGTCAGTACTTTCATTTCTTCGTTTTATTACAACGTAGCTTTGTATGGAAGATATGGTTCCACTTATAATGGCATTTCTGTAAATGCTAGCGTTGCATGGTTGCTACAAGAGGCGCCAGCGTTCATTGTACCAGTTTTATTGCTCTGTATGTCTGATGATAAAAAAGAAATAGCGACGCTGCAAGTCTCACCGAATGTTGTTATACTTTCTATGTTCTTGCTGCATTATTTCAGAAGGTAATATAATAAAATAACAAAGAATTTTTTATCTTGAGCTCTTCAATGAATCTGCTCTGTTGAGTCACTATAAACCAGCATATTTTATGATCAATTGTTCTGTGAATCTGCAGATGATAAAAACTATTGAAATGATCTAGGAAGTTCTGTTTTGGGATGTTACGAGTTGTATTTTATAGAAAAATCTTGTCATGACGGAGTGCAAAGTACAAGAGTGGACAAGCAGGATTTTGCTTGCGCGATTTAATTTCACATGATCATGGTTTTAGACTGTGGTTGACAGCGCTAAAAAAAATAAAATGTCTCCTCGCCCGAAAATTGTCGCTATTGGAAAACCGGCTGTACACATTCTGGATGAAAAACCCTTTCATGTTTTGTATCAAATCATAAGTAGGCCTAGAAATTGTCATTCAGATGATATTTATTGAGTAATCTCATATTTCAGATCCTTCATCTATCCATTTTGGATTAAGAATACCGCTCCTTCACCAATAACAATCTTCATAAGTTCTTTTGTGTTCTGCGCTTGCAATGGCTACATGCAAGGTGAATATCATGTGCATTGCGCTCGTTATCACGAAGAATGGTTTTATACCTACCAGTTTGTTCTGGGAAGTTTATTGTTCTTTGTGGGATTTGTCATCAACACATATGGAGATTATGTCGTGACCCACCTTCGCAAACCAGGCGAGACTGGCCACAAAATACCGCGAGGTAAGGATCGCTATTTTCAGTTTTTTTTGTGAACAAAGAATAGCGGAAACTTCATGCGTTAGACCTTTCTTGTAAGATCTAGTTCTCTAATTACTGTTCTCATACATATTTTCCTACGCTATAGGTGGACTCTTTGAGTATATTTCATGTCCAAACTTCTTCGGGGAAATAGTAGAATGGGGTGGTTATGCCTTGGCATCATCTTCGTTCGTCGCATTTGCTTTTTTCTTCAACTCTGCGATTGTAGTCGGAGCTCGTGCTCTGTATCATCACAGGTATTTCTGCGTCCAAGTTTGTAAAAATTGTCAATTTTCAATAATATTATACATCAGGTAATTATGCTTTTCTTTTATTTTAGTTTTTATTACAAGAAGTTTGAAGATTATCCAAAGAATCGGAAGGCCCTGATACCATTTATTTTGTGACAGGGTCTTGTTTGAATCACAATTTTTGAGTACCTAAAATAATTAGTTAAAGTAGACGATAGCTGTAGAGTACTTGTTGTTATACCTTTGCAATAAGCTATTTTGTATTCTTGTAAAAAAGCACTTGACGTGTCTCATGGAGGAAGGTAGGAAGCACAACAATAATGCCATAGTAACGTCTAGTTTCACAGTGTAATTTACATTCGTAGTAAGTACTGTATCAATTATTCATTGGATATTTCCGTCGCTTCTTGCTGCCATGGTAATATTTCACAACGCTTATTTTGCTTGTTTTACTAAGGCTTTACAACTCCTTTTCATCTCTTAATCATGAAAACGGGAAGAAGGATACTAAACTACCGGAAAGATAGCTTTTGAATGGGTTCGTGAGCCGTAATTTCGTACAAAATGCACGTCGTAAATGCGTGCACGATAAAGGATAGTTTATAGAAGAGTACCAGGTTTTAAGAATTATGTCGGAAAGAGAGTCAAATACGCGAACTTCGCGCCCTCAACATGGCCATAGGTCTAGAAAACACCCAAATAACCCTTCACTCGAGCGGGAACAGAAGAAGACGTCCAGAATTCAGACGCTGGGTCTTGGCGCAGGTGAATCTATTAAAGAGAAACAAGTTAGTATCGTAACGATTATGATGTATTCCAATCAATTGTTTAACGCGTTTTAATCTGCCTATTGCTTAGCAAAAGCATATTCTGCATAAATCCTTGCTGTAATTTATTTCTGCTTTAGAACCGATATAAAAGCATGTAATTGAACAGCCCAATATTTAGTAGAGACAGGGCTATAATAACTTTATGATTATTATTCAACGTATCTTGCAACTACTTAGCACGTCTGGTATTTGTTTTCAATATTAAACATTTTATGCCGCTGCTGAGGTGATCGTATTAATGTGCAAAGCTTTTACTTTCTGTTTCCTTGTGGATTTTATGCAATAACATTGTGCTTTGCTTCATGATGTGATCACTTCCACGACTGTATATCCGTCCTGATCAATTTTATACAAGACTGCTAGATAATCTTTGTAGGGGAAGCGTTTAGTTGACATTCAACCATGTACTGTCTGCAATTCTTCAAAGAAAACCCAAAAAAACATGTACCAAAGTCTTACTACAAAATACAGATTACTATCAGACCTTCACCCCTTAAACGTCCTTTATCTATTTGCTCCCAGATAAAGTGCCCCATTGATGGAGTTTTATTGTGGTGTTCAGATGAAGTTTGTTCTATGAGAATTCTATTTATAGTCGGATCCACTGGAAGAAAGATGATAGTTAGAGCAGCTGCTAACTGTAAACATTTCTTTATGTTCGTAGCAAAAAGCTCGAGAGGAAAGAGAAGCAAAGAGATCAACTTTGGATCAGAGACATGACTACATTTTACAATCATTAGCTGATTGCCTGGATCTGCCCTTCGATGAAGTTACAGACTCATTATTAGAAGGAAAGCAGGTAGGAAATCTACATATAATGATATACAGGGGCATTGAAAGGTTTCTATATGTTAAGAATTTTCCAATATATTTATCTAACATGCTGGTAAGGTCTTGCTGGATCCCACCCAACAAATTAAACCTTATGGGGTATGGTATTTACATTAGGTTCAAATGTCCTACATAATACCTGCATAAATATTGTTTAGTTTGACATTATAAAATATAATCTGTTGCAAAACATTGTTAATCTGGGCATAATGGTATATATTATATGATTTATTGCTGTCGTGAATTCATGTTTGTTCCTAGATTGAGCATATGGAACAATTATTTGTTCAAGATGGTCTGAGGCATATCATTTTTTATTATCAACAAACTGAATCACTAAACGAACCAGGTTTGGAATAATTATAGTTGAATCATCTCATCTGACTTGTCACCGATCCACTACCCAGCTAGGTCCCTTCACAATCACCATACATACAGTAATATCAATACAGTATCAATGACCATTCACTTCATGTCCACCAATCCCTCCTCCAATCCTCCTTTCACAGCTGAGGTTTGTGTATTAAACTAGTAACCAAAGATCATGTAATTTTAGTTGAGCAAGTCCGTCTTGGTCCGGGAGGGGCTCAGAAAGTCCCAATAAAACCAACGAGGCCAAAGCTATTCTTCACTGATGGCACGGAGGATCCAATTCACGGGATTTGCGTGTTCTTCATCAGATCCAATGTTAACAAAACTATAACAAATGTCAACATAAACAATGTAAGATATACTAGTTAGATAATTGCAAAAATTCTGCGGAGAAATCATTGGTCATACGTGTTAATTAAAAGTTATCATTTGTGAAACGAAATCTGCACGATGATATTTCTGTTGCGGGTACATTTTAACACGGCATTGGCATGCTGGTAACTTGTTTTATTTGTATTTTAACAGGAAGTGAGTTTTGGTGTGATTGATACAAGAGGAACAGGTCTCCTTCATGCATCAGAACGGCTTCTGTCCGATATTTTTCTTCCCGCCCTTGGCAAGACCGGTGGCTGGGGAGAATTGTCCACGAAACACGGCCAACAGATCCGTCAGGAGTTTATAAACCAATTACAAAACTTTGTCTCAGTATTGATCGCTGCTCAGGACAGTCTTGATGATACAGTCGTCCTGAAAGAGTGTGAAACTCTGGATCTAAGCCAAATCTCAACACCAACTGAGTATATTAATGCAGCGAACTCAAGTGATGCACTTCCTAAAATTGAAGAGCTCATTGGGATATGGATGAAGCAGATTGAACAGGTGCTTTTTTCGACAGCTGCTGAGATTATTGTTTCTCGTTTCTTTTTTTCTTTCATTATTTTTCCTCAACCTGATTCTTTGAATTACAACATTCAAAACAAGCTCAGGGCGTGTTTTCTTCTTGTTCTGACATTGAGCAATTTCTAGTCCGTTAGAGCGAAAAGAAAGCTAATAATTTCATATTCCAGGTTTTGGCGGAAAGCGAACAAATGCGTAAAGAAGCGGACAACGTTGGACCGCGAGCAGAACTGGACTATTGGAAGAAAAGAATGGCTAAATTTAACTCGTTATTTGATCAAATCAAAGGCCCTGAATGTAAAGCTGTCGTAGGCGTTCTTCATGCTGCAAAATCTAAGCTCTTGAAGGTGAGATATACCGAACACAATCAATCTATCACATAATCATTGTGGTTACATCAAAGATAATCGATCTGATCCTCTCTGAATCTGTTTTTTATCAGAACTGGCGAGATATTGATAGCAGAATCACTGATTACGCCAACGAGGCCAAAGACAACGTGAAATTTCTTTACACATTGGAAAAGTTTTCGGAGCCACTTTACAAAAACAACCCGGTATGTCAATGGCATATTGTAGAAATCTTGTTGACTTGTCGTGAATCATGAAGACAAGTTCTTTATTTAAATCAAAATATATTTTTCTCATGCACCAGGTTGCAATGTTTGATAGTATTGCTGGTCTCATCAATGCAATACGAATGATCAACTCTTATTCTCGCTACTATAATACGTCTGAAAGAATGACAGCGTTGTTTGTCAAGGTAAGAGATGATCTTTACTGGACCTTCAGCCTAGGAGAAACAGTTTAGAACCGATAGAGCTATCGACAGTTAATTTACTTGAGCTGTATCAGATTTGAACAATATCTGTATCTTCTCTGACAGATTACAAACCAGATGATCACCGCATGTAAAAACTACATCACGGAGGAAGGTCTCAAGAACGTATGGGAATATCCCCAGGAGGAACTGATCTCGAAGCTTCTGGACTGCGTCAAACTGAACGATTCCTACCAGCAGAGTTTCCAACGAGCGAAAAGAAAACTGGAGGAGAATCCTGAAGAGAGGCAGTTTGAATTCAGCGAGATGTATATATTTGGCAAGATAAATAGCTTCACTGGAAGATGTCATAAAATAATTGATATGATGTCCACGATTAAATCTTTCTTGATCCTCGGAGAGTCGACGATCGAGGGAATTGAGCAAATTTGGAGCAGATTTCAGCTGATTTTGACGACGATTAAAAAGAAACCGTACGATCTCCTGGATTACAGAAAAACGGAATTCGATGTTGACTACGAAGAGTTTCGACGACAAATTCAGGAGTTACAGGTTGGTGCCTAAATTTCGTTCAATCAAAACGTGGGATTGCTTTCTTATCCGGCAACATTTGCTATATTTTTTAGTCACAACTCCACATCTTCATTGATACGTGTTACAACCGAGTCTCTTCAACACAACAAGCCCTACAAGTCATGAGAAAATTTGAAAGGTGAGAATTTTCTTTTAAAAATCTTTCAGGAGTTATTTCAGTCATTATTTCAATCCAGTTATCATCCTTTAGACTCGACTTGGAATGTCTAAACGAGGCAATTGCCGACAAATACCACAAAATCCTTCTTCAGTTTGGCCGAGACATCGAGAACATTCAGAAAACGTATCAAAGACTTCGTCACGAGCCGCCCGTTGCTCGGGATCTTCCGCCGATAGCCGGCAAGATAATGTGGGCTCGTCAAATGTTCCGAAGAATCCAGGAACCGATGGAACATCTAAAAAAATACCCAGAAATCCTTCAGGGAGACGATAGCAAACGTATTGTAAGGAATTATAATAAAGTCGCGAAAGTTTTACTGGAGTTTGAGGTTCTCTATCATCAAGCGTGGGTGAAACAGGTACTCGCTTGTATCAACTGACCTTGAACATAAACTGAAATGATATTAACTTTTTATTCTTGATTGGTTTTAGGTCGATATTATCAAAACAGGTCTGGCTGCTTCTCTTTTTGTTCGACATCCGGAAACGAAGAGGATTTTTGTAAATTTTGATCCAGAGATTCTGACGTTGATCCGAGAGACGGAATGTATGGCCCGGCTTGGTCTGGATATTCCCTTTGCTGCGAGATCGCTTCTTTATAAACAAAAAACGCTCAAGAAAAACTACAACAACTTAGAGGTTGGTGCTGGATATCTTTACCATTGAGAAACAAACAAACCTCTTCTGCCAGTAGCTCAGTTCTCAACTATTCTTTCAATAGATCAAGAAGGGATGATTGATGATTTTATTGCTCCAACGTAGGTTAAATTATATCTCTTTTCTAGTTGCTCTTGGTCGAATACGAGAGAGTTCTTGAGAAAATTCCCGCGTCATTCAAGCCACTGATGGCTCCTCATTTGGCCAAACTTGACGCAGCTATTGAACCTGGTCTCACCATGTTAAACTGGACTTCATTGAATCTTGCCACGTACCTGGACAGTGTGTATGAGGCACTACGCGAACTAGACCTGCTGTTAACTCGTGCCCAGGACCTGGTTACCTTCCGTATTGATGGTGTCCTGAACGAAATGAGCACAGTTCCCTTGTGTGAGTTACCCAGCGATGCATCATGGACTGTCGAGGAATTCTTAAAGAATACTGAGGTATGTTACTATATGTCGTATCTTTGTGTTTTCTTGCAGTAAAAACATTGAATAAAAACTAGTAATCTTCACTACAAACCCCTCCTAACATCTTCAATATTATTTTAAGGAACTTTGCCGTCAAGGAGCAGAATTATTGCAGACGAAAAGTGCTTTGGTAGAGGAAGCCGTGAATGAGTTGATCGCCATGCTGTTGAAGATTGATGGTGAAGAGGAAGTTGAGGAGGGAACTGAGGACGAAAATGCTCCAGAGACCGCGCGACGACCGAGCAGTCAGAAAAAGAAAAGTATTGGGAATGAGAATGATGTACTGCGACCAACGTCAGGGCGGACTGGGACTAGCAGTCGTCTTGGTAGTGCAGCTATCAGCCCGAATGCTGCAGCTTTGAAACGAAAACGAGAAATGAAAGATTACCTGACCGAGGAAGCCCAAGAACTTTTATCTTACTTTAACCATCGTAATATTGACGCCATCGTGCGTGTAACCAAGGCAACTCTTGATGCTATGCGTAAGAGAGTCACGGTCAGCTCAACACTCCATTATATTGAGGCCAGTTTACTTGCAAAAGACAACCAAGCTTTTAATACGCCTCTGTTCAAATCATTCATGACCTTAGCTATACCAAACATTACAATGCAGCCTGCCTTAGATGAAGTACAGCAAACTCTAAACAAAGCAGCTCAGAAAGTTGTTAACGTTGCCCGCAGCATACAGCAATGGGAGAAAACGTGCAAAATCTTTTTGAAACCAAAAGACTTCGATGAAGAATCTGAAACTCGCAGTCGTAGCGTCAGCAATGCCACCAGCATTGATGAAGATGTTCGCTTGGTATCAAGACGAGCAGCAAAGAGTGAAACTGACTCTAGCGTTGTCAGTGGTCTAACGGCTTTCATCAAGAAGGAGAACTATTTTAAACAAGTTTCAGAGAATAAAGAAATTGCAAAATTGTTATCGATTCTTTCAACTCTGATAAACTCGACAAAGAAAGAAGTAACAACTGCTCTGGAACATTTTGACAGCTACGACAGAGTCTGGAAGTTGAACCGAGATGAAGAACTAGCGAAGTTTTTACAAGATGATCTGAGTTTGTCGGAGTTTGAGGCGATGATTTGTCATTATGAGGCTCTAGAGAAGAAGATTATGGCTGAGCCTGAGTCATACAGTGTTGGGGCTGTTGCATTGTACACAGGTGTGAATATTTTGGTTTTTATAGTCGAGGAGAAATCGTGTTTTTTGCAGTCCAAATGATCCGTTATATTCCATCTTTTTAAACCAACTATGTTATATATGATTGCAGAGAAACTTAAAGCGTCGTTATGTGCCGAGACGAAAGCCTGGCGTGTGGCGTATGGAAAATTGTGTAACACAAAATATCTCAACGAAATGGAAATGATATTTACCTCGGTCGAGGACTGGGTCAAGCGACTGAACCGACCAATCAAAGACCTCGATGATATCAGACTGGCCATGGGAACGTTGAAAGAAATCAGAGAGAAAGAGATCAGTATTGATATGATGATTGGTCCAATTGAGGTACGTGGTGACGTCAACCCTGTGAGGTCATCATAACATATGACATCATCCTTGTGAGGTCATCATAACATATGACATCATCCTTGTGAGGTCACCATAACATATGACATCATCCTTGTGAGGTCATCATAACGTATGACATCATCCTTGTGAGGTCACCATAACATATGACATCATCCTTGTGAGGTCATCATAACATATGACATCATCCTTGTGAGGTCATCATAACATATGACATCATCCTTGTGAGGTCATCATAACATATGACATCATCCTTGTGAGGTCATCATAACGTATGACATCATCCTTGTGAGGTCATCATAACATATGACATCATCCTTGTGAGGTCATCATAACATATGAAATCATTCTGCAATGTCTCTTCATTCCTTTTTTTTGATTTTCTAGGAATCGTATGCCATGTTAAACCGTCATGAAGTGTTGGTAGCCAGAGAGGAATCTGAACGAGTCGACACGCTGAGATATTCTTGGGAAAAACTTCAGGTTTTGGCTGTAAGTTTCAGATCACGTTCATCGTCATTTACCAAACTATATATAATCATAATGAATCATATCTCCTATTTAGTCGGAATCTCAAGGAGAACTGATCAAAATCCAACCAGACTTTAAAAGTGACTTGCTTGAGTCAGTGGAGGCGTTCATTGTCGATGTGGATATCTTCTCTGGTGACTATCTCAGGGTAAATCTTTGGATTCATAGTTGTCATTCATAATGTATAATATCTCATGTAATGTCTCTCATTCTCTTGTATGTATCTTCTTCTAGCTTGGTCCAATGGTGTCTGGAGTTGCTCCAAGTGAAGCCAGCGATCGACTCATTATTTTCCAGGTTTGTTTCAAATCATCCACGGATATCTTTCACTGATAAATAACCTCTTGATAAATCTCCTGCCTGTTATTCCAGAATCGTTTTGATGCGTTGTGGCGTAAATACATCACGTACTCCGGTGGCGAGGACCTGTTTGGGCTGATGATCACGGAGTATCCGAGTCTGATGAAAATCAAACGTGAACTCAACTTACTTCAGAAGTTATACGGTTTGTATAATGACGTCATTGACACAGTGAATGGCTATTATGATATCATGTGGACTGAGGTGGATATCGAGAAAATAAACCAGGAATTATTGGAGTTTCAGAACAGGTAAATGAACAAAGCTGTGAAAGTAACTGTGGTCATTTGGTTGTTCTTTGAAAAGGATGGACAAAATTCCGCTGTTCTCATTCCTCTATCGTCCTAGATGTCGCAAGTTACCTCGAGCGCTGAAAGACTGGCAAGCATTTGAAGATCTTCGTAAAACTATTGATGATTTCAACGAGAGTTGTCCGTTGCTGGAGTTGATGGCAAACAAAGCAATGAAATTACGTCATTGGGAGCGGATCGCTCAGATCACCGGACACACGTTTGACGTGGAATCAGAGACGTTCGCATTGCGTAATATCATGGAGGCGCCGCTGCTCAAATATAAGGAAGACATTGAGGTACTTCGTGTTGTAACGAGTGTTCTTGTTAAGAAAACAAAGATATGAAATTGTCTGATTGGGATTTTTTTATAGGATATTTGCATAGCAGCGACAAAGGAGAAAGACATTGAAGCGAAGTTGAAAGGTGTCATTGCTGACTGGAACCTTCGTGAGTTCGCTTTTGCAAACTTCAAAAACCGCGGCGAACTGTTGTTACGTGGAGACAACACGTCAGAGATTATCTCAGTCATGGAGGATAGTCTAATGGTGTTGGGATCTCTAATGAGTAACAGGTGAGCATCAAAACGGTAGACGGAACATGGCGTATTCGACCATGGTCGAGTTCGCCTGAAAATGGCGAATACGACCATGGTCGAATTGGCCGGAAAATGGCGAATACGACCATGGTCGAGTTCGCCTGAAAATGGCGAATACGACCATGGTCGAATTGGCCGGAAAATGGCGAATACGACCATGGTCGAGTTCGCCTGAAAATGGCGAATACGACCATGGTCGAATTGGCCGGAAAATGGCGAATACGACCATGGTCGAGTTCGCCTGAAAATGGCGAATACGACCATGGTCGAATTGGCCGGAAAATGGCGAATACGACCATGGTCGTATTGGCCGGAAAATGGCGAATACGACCATGGTCGAATGGGCCGGAAAATGTCGAATACGACCATGGTCGAATGGGCCGGAAAATGTCGAATACGTGACCATGGTCGAATGGGCTGGAAAATGGCGAATACGACCATGGTCGAATGGGCTGGAAAATGGCGAATACGACCATGGTCGTATTGGCCGGAAAATGGTGAATACGACCATGGTCGAATGGGCCGGAAAATGTGGAATACGACCATGGTCGAATGGGCCGGAAAATAGCGAATACGACCATGGTCGAATGGGCCGGAAAATGGCGAATACGACCATGGTCGAATGGGCCGGAAAATGGCTTATTCGACCATGGTCGAGTGTATTCATCCAATACACTCTGGTCTTTCATTTAAGAAAGTAGTTACATTCTCCTGCCATCACTTTAAGGTACAATGCGCCGTTCAAAAAATCCATTCAGACGTGGGTTCACAAGCTTTCCAATACGACAGACATCATTGAAAACTGGATGACGGTTCAGAATTTATGGATCTACTTGGAGGCTGTTTTTGTTGGGGGAGATATTGCAAAGCAGTTGCCAAAGGTACTGGCATTATCATTTCACTATTGTGTATATTAATTCATATTCTGTATGGGTATTTCTTGTCTTTTTCTAGGAAGCAAAGCGTTTTCAGAACATTGATAAACAATGGGTGAAGATTATGACCCGAGCTCACGAAACTATGAATGTTGTTCATTGCTGCACGAGCGATGAAACGTTGGGACAGTTATTACCTCATTTGCTGGAGCAGTTAGAGTTGTGTCAGAAATCTTTGACGGGGTAGGTTATGCCGAGAAATTGATAGCACAGTGAATTACAAATGATTACAATTTCACCATCTTGTTTCATCGATTGCAGCTATTTGGAAAAGAAGCGTCTTGTGTTTCCTCGATTCTTCTTTGTCTCTGATCCAGCTTTACTTGAGATTCTGGGTCAAGCCAGTGACTCCCATACAATACAGGTTAACTTTTTTCACATGCTCGTTGCTGTTTTCCTTCTCTTTTTAGTCCAAGTGACGAGGGAGTGTATAAAATATTTTCATTTCCTATAGGCACATTTATCAAGTGTATTTGACAACATAAAACATGTCAAGTTTCATGATAAAGATTACGACAGAATTTTATCAATCATCTCACGCGAGGGTGAAACTATCGAGGTATGACTGAGTAAACATTGCAAAAGATCCAGTTCGTTTATGTGTTTGTAATGAAAATACTCACCGTAGCTTCTGTTCTGCAGTTGGAAAAACCAGTTATGGCTCAGGGCAATGTCGAAGTTTGGCTTGGCTCTCTCATGAACATGGCACAGAAATCTTTGCACAATGTTATCAGACAGGCTCATTTTGCCATCGGGGATGCGAACTTTCAACTCTTGGAGTTCTTAAATACATTCCCTGCCCAGGTAGGCGACTGACAGGTCCATTGGAAATAACGTGAGATATAATCACTGATGATAATCTTTTTTTCTTGTTGAAAGGTTGGTCTACTTGGGATTCAAATGATTTGGACGCGAGATTCAACGGAGGCCCTCACAACCGCAAAATACGACAAAAAAGTGATGACTCAAACCAACCAAGCATTCCTGGATCTCCTCAATGTTCTGGTTGAACAAACTACACAGGAGTTAACGAAAGTTGAGAGAACTAAATTTGAAACCCTGATTACAATTCATGTTCATCAGAGAGATATATTTGATGATTTGGTAAGGAGTTTGGTCTGTAATTACCTTTAGAAATTGTCATGTGGTGATGGTTTTTTAACACGTGGATTTTTCTAATCTCTAGTGTCGAATGCACATCAAAAGTCCATCAGATTTTGAATGGTTAAAACAGATCAGGTTTTATTTCAGCGAGGATACGGACAAGTGTTTAGTATCCATCACAGATGTCGATTTTATTTATCAAAACGAGTTTATTGGCTGCACAGAAAGACTTGTGATCACCCCTCTGACTGATAGATGTTACATCACTCTGGCTCAAGCGCTTCATATGTCTATGGGTGGGGCACCGGCTGGTCCGGCTGGAACAGGAAAAACAGGTTTGACTGGTTTATACCATGTATCTCAATTTATCCACCTGTCACAATCAGCTCCTTTTGAAACTCCATGTTAATAATTTCACTCGTAAATATTTCCCAGAAACAACTAAAGACATGGGAAAAGCTCTCGGAAAGTACGTCGTCGTGTTCAACTGTTCTGATCAGTTGGACTACCGTGGACTGGGTCGAATATTCAAAGGTACAGCATCGTAATATCCTGGAGCCGGTTGTATCAAGCCCATTTAGCTTAAGCGGTGGATAAGTTCAAAGTAGAAAGCAAGTCTGCCGTTTTATTCAACAAGCGAACGAAATGTTTTTAACCTTAATACAAAGATACTGTTTACAACTACATATTCAGTGCATAATATTCAAGTTGACTCATTCAAGAGAGTTGTAAGAGTCTCATTTAATTTTGACTTATCCACCGTTTAAGCTAAACGGGCTTGATACAACCGGCTCCAGAACGTTTTCATCATCTTTTCCTACCAGAGCTCCAGTGATTCCTCTTCTTGTAACATGTATTTTTCTACTGAATGTATTTAGGTCTGGCGCAGTCTGGTAGTTGGGGCTGTTTTGATGAATTTAACCGTATCGACCTTCCTGTGCTATCAGTCGCCGCTCAACAAATTTACATCGTTTTGTCTTGCAAGAAAGAACGTAAGAAGCAGTTCATCTTTTCTGACGGTGATGTTGTCCAAATGAATCCAGAATTCGGGATATTCTTGACGATGAATCCTGGTTACGCTGGTCGCCAGGAACTGCCTGAAAACCTGAAGATACAGTTTCGTACTGTGGCTATGATGGTTCCTGATCGTCAGATTATCATCCGTGTGAAGCTTGCCAGTTGTGGTTTCATTGATAGCGTTGTTTTGGCCAGAAAGTTTTATACTTTGTACAAATTGTGCGAAGAACAACTCTCAAAACAGGTTCGAGGAGCTTGTCGTCAACCTAGACTAAACTAACTCATTCTTTCCAGCAAAATTCTATAGTCTTTAAATAGTTATTCATTCAGGGTCACCCTCTACTAGTCTGGAAAGTAACGATATCCTATCTTATCATGAAATTATTTTCTTTGGCACCAGGTTCACTATGATTTTGGACTGCGAAATATTTTATCAGTCCTGCGAACACTTGGAGCGGTGAAACGAGGAAGTCCTGGGGATAGCGAGAACACGACTGTGATGCGAGTGCTTCGTGATATGAACCTCTCTAAATTGGTTAGTATACTGGGAGTGGCCCTGTGCCAAAACATTGGCAATCATTTGACTGTTTGTATAAACGACGTGTCAAGGCTGAATGTCTCAACACTTCTTTAGGTTGATGAAGATGAACCGCTTTTCTTGAGCTTGATAAACGATCTCTTCCCTGGGATCTCTTTGGATAAAGCTGGATATCCAGAGCTAGAGAATGCTATCGAGAGTCAAACCGAAGAATCACAACTTATCAACCACCCCACCTGGAGACTTAAACTGATACAGGTAAATACACTGGATGTAACGTCATTCACAGGGGGAGGAGGCTCTCGAACCATTTCTTGCTGTTTTATAGTTGTTCGAGACTCAGCGAGTGCGTCACGGTATGATGGTCCTGGGGCCAAGTGGTGCGGGCAAGACAACTTGCATTCATACGTTAATGAAAGCAATGAGTGAATGTGGAGTTCCACATCGTGAAATGAGGATGAACCCAAAGGCAATCACAGCTCCACAGATGTTTGGAAGACTGGATGCTGCCACTAACGATTGGACAGACGGAATATTCTCGACTCTTTGGAGGAAAACACTTCGCGCTAAGAAAGGTGAGAATACAGATGAGTATGAGGGATAACTGAGGATAAGAGCATGAATTGGAGGGTGAGAGGGTAAGGGGGGATATTGAAGGCTAAGAGGGAGATTTGAAGAGTAAGTGGATTAGAGGGTTATGTGTGGGTAGAAGGGGATGATAACGCTAGTCTATCTCTATCACAGGGGAACGTATATGGATAGTGCTTGATGGTCCAGTAGACGCAATCTGGATTGAAAATCTGAATAGTGTACTTGATGATAACAAGACACTGACTCTAGCTAATGGTGATCGTATACCAATGTCTCCTCATTGTAAAATCATCTTTGAACCCCACAATATTGATAACGCCTCGCCTGCGACAGTATCAAGAAATGGCATGGTTTATATGAGTTCCTCTGGCTTGGATTGGAGACCAATTCTACAAGGATGGTTGAACAAACGTGCTGTGGGTGAAGCTGAAATCATCAAAGCTTTATTTGATAAATCTTTTCAAGATATTCTCAACTTTGCCAGCCACAGTTTGGTGTTTAAGATGACAGTGCTGGAATGTAACCATATTGCTCAAGTTAGTGTTCCTGGTGCAGAGTTTTGTGTTTGGTAGCAAAAATCCACATGGGTTTTATATTTTTTTGTATCTAGGCTTGTAATTTGCTGGAAGGATTGATTACAAATAAGGAAGACAAAGACGAAGGTGGTCAAATGTCTGCTCAACATTTGGAAAGACTTTATATTTTCGCGATAATGTGGAGTATTGGCGCGCTGCTTGAACTCGAAGATCGCTCGAAGTTGGAGATCTTTATGAGAGAGCAGTTTGAAATGAACTTTCCCGAGACTGACTCACAACAAACGATGTTTGAGTTCTTTGTTGACGATGCTGGTGAATGGGAACACTGGGAGAGTCGTGTTGAGGAGTATATTTATCCCAAAGCTCACACTCCGGATTACTTGTCGATATTAGTGCCAAACGTCGATAACGTGCGAACAGATTTTCTCATCAAAACCATTGCAAAACAGGGCAAGGTAGTTTGCTATTTAAACGTTCTTTAGCTGGTCGATAAACGAATTGATTCCTAAACCTCGATGAATAATTTTTATCCTTCAGGCTGCTTTGTTGATTGGTGAACAAGGAACAGCGAAGACAATAATGGTGAAAGGATTTATGTCCAAATACGATCCGGAACGACATTTACAAAAGTCATTCAACTTTTCCTCTGCCTCGACTCCGCTTCTTTACCAGGTAAACACTGTTGTTCATTTGTAGAAATCTCGAGTTTTTCATCTAATATTTTGAAATATCTTCAGAGAACAATCGAGAGTTATGTTGATAAACGAATGGGAAACACGTACGGTCCTCCGGCTGGAAAGAAAATGACGGTGTTTGTTGATGATATTAATATGCCGATTATCAATGAATGGGGCGATCAGGTGAGAAAACGAATGACTCTTTTTGGATCTATTGTGAGCTGTTTATGCTGTACCTTTTTATTACTATATACTACAGATAAATTTGTCTCCTTCTGTAGGAATGACAGTTGAACAATACCAGATCTCTAGAAAGAATAGTGAAGACTGATAGAGCTATTCAATAGCTTAATTTATAATATTCTTTATTTACAGGTGACAAATGAGATCGTTCGCCAGCTCATGGAAATGGGAGGTTTTTACAATCTCGAGAAACCAGGAGACTTCACTCACATTGTTGATATTCAGTTCTTGGCAGCCATGATTCATCCCGGGGGAGGACGGAATGATATACCCAGCAGATTGAAAAGACAATTCAGCATCTTTAACTGCACACTGCCAAGCAATGCCTCGATTGATAAAATATTTGGTAAGTTGATAATCTAAACCAGTTAGGAGGGAATCGAAAAGAAAACTTGGTACTAACGAATTGAATTCCACCTCAGGTGTAATTGGATGCGGTCATTTCTGCAAAGAACGTGGTTTTCCTGAGCTGGTGCGTGAACTTGCAAAAAATCTTGTTCCTTTGACGCGTCGTCTCTGGCAAGCGACCAAGGTATGTTGCAGACTCTCGTATTCCCAACTTCTCGCTTTACCTGGATAACAACAACGTCTTCTTTATCTCAGTCCTGTAGCGTGGACGAATTCTTCGTATTTCACTCAGCGAAGCACAGGTGATATCACTTATCATATTTCTTATATTTCAAAGGTAAAAATGTTGCCAACGCCAGCGAAGTTTCATTATATTTTCAACCTTCGTGATCTGTCTCGTATCTGGCAAGGAATGTTAAACACAATCTCGGATATCATCGTAGACGAACGCTCTCTTATGTTGCTATGGAAACACGAATGCCATCGCGTCATCGCTGACCGTTTTACAAACCAGAAAGATAAAGACTGGTTCGAGAAAAGTTTGGTCCAGCTTGTCGGCGAGGAGCTTGGTGACGAACTTCATGCGCATGTTGAAGAGACTCCTTACTTTGTTGACTTCCTCAGGTCAGTGGAGTTGACACTATCCAGTCAACATACAGTTCAGTTTAGGTTTCCTCCTGCAGTAACACTGAATCAATAAGAGATGATCCTTACTGGACCTCTAGGAAGAACAGTTTAGAACTGATAGAGCTATCCAGTATAAATAAAGTTAGTTTAGTTTAGGTTTCCTCCTGTAGTAACATTGGATCAATAAGAGATGATCCTTACTGGATCTCTAGGAAGAACAGTTTAAAACTGAAGGAACTATCCAGCATCAAGAAGATTAGCTTAGTTTACAGGATCGGTAAGAGCTGATCCTCACTGAAATAAACAATCGATCTATCACTATCAGAATTATCATGTTTCTTTCTTCATTCAGAGATGCCCCAGAAGCCACAGGAGACGAACCAGAAGACGCTGATTTTGAAACTCCGAAAATATACGAAGCTGTAAGTCCTGATCATCTCTCTCTGTATTATTGTTGTTTTTAAATATTTAAATATTTAACTATTTTCATCTCATTAGATTCCTTCATTTGAATTTCTGGAACAACGATTGTTGATGTTTCTAACTTTGTATAACGAGAGCATTAGAGGAGCTGGAATGGATTTGGTTTTCTTTACAGACGCAATGGTTAATTTAGTTAAAGTATGTGAACATTTATAAAGCAAATCGTATGTTCTTATGTCTACTTGTATGAATGCGCGCGCATCTATCATCACACCCACGCATGCTCCCACATGCCGTGAAGATGATCTCTAACATAAATACTGATTTCTGGAATCTGGTCGGTAGCTTTGCGCAGTGGCATTATCGTAGCTGATGAAGTTCATCTGAGGCGCGATTATTGCTGATTGAAAACTTATACCAATACCCCGCCAGACGGCCTGAAATATGGCCGGCTGTGCAATTTTTTTTGGTCCTTCATTGGACCGATATCTTAACAAAGAAAATAAAAAAAAATGGGCGACTTCTTGGTGGCTTTTTGTCGTAGTCTGTTCCTTCAGGAGAAGTATTACAAAACTGTAGTTAACATTGATGGTATAACCCGTGTTATTAAATAAATATTTTGGTTGTTCCCTCAGATATCACGGATAATCAGAATGCCAAGAGGAAATGCTTTACTGGTCGGTGTTGGTGGTTCTGGAAAACAAAGTTTAACTAAACTTGCTTCATTTATCGCTGGATATAAGATATTTCAGATTACTCTGACAAGGTAAGGTATTGATTTGCTTCATATCCGTTGAAAAAATGGCTGTAGAGTGTTGACGCTGAAAACCTGTTTTTTAGATCATACAACCAGTCAAACCTGATGGAAGACCTGAAGTTTTTGTATCGTACCGCTGGTCAGATGGGTCAAGGCATCACATTTATTTTTACTGATCAAGAAATAAAAGAAGAGGCATTCCTCGAGTATTTGAACAACGTTTTATCGTCAGGAGAGGTTGGTTAAGGATTTATTTAGGGTGAAATGACTTGTTCATCTGGGAAAATTATAATTAGATTTCTCTCTTCTTTCCCAGGTCTCCAACCTGTTTGCTCGTGATGAGATCGACGAGATATGTGGGGAACTAATTCCGATAATGAAGAAAGAATACCCGAGGAGACCTCCAACCCCGGAGAATTTGTATGATTATTTCTTGACTCGGGCAAAACGCAATCTTCATGTCGCTCTTTGCTTTTCACCGGTAAGTTGAACGATATTTGATCACAGGTTGAGCTGCTCGACGAATGTTCTGTTGCAAGTGTATTTGCATTAATCCGTCCTTCTTTCACTTAGGTTGGTGAAAAATTCCGCAACCGTTCGTTGAAGTTTCCTGGACTTATAAGTGGATGTACAATGGACTGGTTCAGCCGCTGGCCTAAGGATGCGTTGATTGCAGTGGCAGATCATTTCTTATCAGATTTTGACATTGTCTGCACCCCGGAGATAAAGCGTGAAGTCGTTCAAAGCATGGGAGTGTTTCACGATGGTGTGGCTGTAAGCTGTTTGGATTACTTTGAAAGGTTAGTTTAGTCATCTTTCTCTCCCCAGAGTTTAAATAAAGAGATGATTCAGTTCGTCTGATAAATACCTTCAGTTCGTCGTCCATCCAGTTTGTATATGTTCTTCCCTCCAGATTCCGTCGATCAACTCACGTGACGCCTAAATCTTACCTGTCCTTCATCAACGGCTACAAGACAGTGTACTCATTGAAGAAAAAACAGATTGGCGATCTGGGCTCTAGAATGAACACGGGTCTTGATAAGCTGATGGAAGCCAGTGAATCAGTCGCTGAACTTTCAAAACAACTCGCCGTGAAAGAAAAAGAACTTGCAGTTGCCTCTCAGAAAGCAGACACGGTATGTCCGCTTCAAACACCTGGTTGTTTTGTGGTTGAATATATTCGAAGATTGAAGTGGATTTTCACTGTAGTTTCATAAATGATTCATGGCTTATTTTACTATCGTTAACAAGGTTTTAAAAGAAGTTACGGTGTCAGCTCAAGCTGCGGAAAAAGTGAAAGCTCAAGTTCAAAAAGTCAAGGATAAGGCTCAAGTCATTGTTGATGGTATTGCGGTAAGTTTTCTATCAGTTGCATCACAGAATAAGATATACACATAAAGAAAATATATTCACAATGATAAAATGTAGTTCCTACGTATGAAAGTATGTATCGAACTTTACTCAAATTCTCTTCAGGCGGACAAGTTTTTAGCTGAAGGAAAATTGGAAGCTGCTAAACCAGCTTTAGAAGAAGCTGAAGCCGCATTACAGGTTTGAAGGAATATTGAACTCTGATCATGATAACTTTTGTTAAGCTTACTAACTATAATTCCTCGTTTTCAGACAATAAAGTCTCAACATATCGCAACGGTTCGACGGCTGGCCAATCCTCCTCATCTGATCATGCGAATCATGGACTGCGTTTTAATCTTGTTCAGAAAGAGACTGGATACTGTGGTTTATGATCCTGAACGAAACTGTGCTAAACCATCCTGGGGGGAGTCTTTGAAGGTCAGTCACAAGATGGAGAGTTGAGAGTTGGGAAGCCTTTGACAAGAAAGATCAAGTGCATCGAGTACTCGAGCTTCGCTGAGAATCTCCTTAATTTATCTCCTTGTTTTGTTTAGTTAATGAGCAGCGGTAACTTGCTTCAATCATTGATGCAATACCCAAAAGACATTATCAATGATGAGATGGTCGAGCTGGTAGCGCCGTATCTGGAAATGGTTGATTATAATATTGACACTGCGCGCAAGGTAGGATGTGGTCAGTTGAAGCACACGAAAATAATTCATGTTATCCCGTCATAATCGCTGGTGATCGGAATCTTCCATTGCTCATAATCTTAGTGCAATCACTGCTGCTACACGAATAACCTTTTGAAATATCTGTTTTAATACGAAAGTCTGTTTGATCTAGGTTTGTGGTGACGTGGCAGGTCTGTGTTCTTGGACGAAAGCGATGTCTTATTTCTTTGGTATAAACAAAGAAGTTTTACCTCTCAAGGTAAGTTCATCTCAACTGTGATTCCTGGCAACGACGATGGAACATGTTTATTATTTTACTAACTTTCTGTTTTTGCATCAGGCGGTTAGAGAAGATCAGTAGAAAAGAAGAGCTTTAGACGTTCGTCAAGAAACTAGGAAGACAGTCCAGCAAACTATTTCATTAGAAAGTGTTTAAAGTTTTCATGTTTTGGATGATTGATTGATTCTGTCTGTAAACTTGATGAAAATTTTTTCTTTTCTGATCAGGCGAATTTGGCTGTTCAAGAAGCACGTCTGGCTGTGGCGAATAAAGATTTGAACGAAGCTCAGGCTGAACTAGATGCAAAACAAGCAGAACTTGATGAAGTTCAGGCTCAATATGAAAGAGCAGTCAGAGAAAAACAAGTTAGTTTTCCACGGGGAATCTTGAACCCATCTTTCAGCCAATTTTAGTCATTCTGTTTCAATCATAGATGACTATCACCGGGTCTCTTCTGATCTTCTTTTGTCCTTCCAGACTTTGCTCGATGACGCTGACTCGTGTCGTCGAAAAATGCTCGCTGCCTCGGCTCTCATCGGAGGACTGGGCGGAGAAAAGGAAAGATGGACGGAACAAAGTAAGGAATTTGATTCTCAGATTGGAAGACTTGTTGGTGATGTCTTGGTGGCGACCGGATTCCTGTCATACGCTGGACCTTTCAACCAGGAGTACCGTGATGCATTGCTGTCCTCGTGGCAGAAGGAAATGAGAATAAGACAGATTCCTAACTCAAAAGATCTCAACGTTACTGGAATGCTGGTTGACAGTGCTACGGTAGGAATTTGAGACACCTGGACTTCAAACACTTCATTACTGCGTCATCTCTTCCAGAGCATGATTGAGGTTTTTCTCATCACATTTGGACGATAGAAATGTCTTTTTTTTCTAGGTGAGCGAGTGGAACCTCGAAGGATTACCAAATGACGAGCTTTCAGTTCAGAATGGAATCATTGTGACCCAGGCTGCAAGATATCCGCTGCTTATTGATCCACAGGGTCAGGGCAAGGCCTGGATACGAAAGAAGGAATCGAAGAATAATCTTCAGGTAAATAAACTAAAGAATTTCTCTTTGGGTGTAATTTTTTTAACTGTTAAATGATGAGTTTTTGAATGACTAGGTGACGTCGTTGAATCACAAATATTTCCGCAATCATTTGGAAGATTGTTTATCTCTTGGCAAACCATTGCTGATTGAGGATGTCGGAGAAGAGTTGGATCCAGCTCTTGACAACGTTCTGGAGAAGAACTTTATAAAATCAGGCAGTACATATAAGGTATGCTTTGCCCTATGAAATAAAACTGGAGAAAACTTTCTTTACAGCACTATACGGTATCACAGGGTGCCAGATCGCGTTCATGCAATGCTTTAACGAAGCAATGCAGCTCTAGCTACCAGACATAACTACAGTTTAACAAATATACGATTTCATCCAAGGTGAAAGTTGGTGATAAGGAAGTTGATGTTATGGATGGTTTTGCCTTGTATATCACTACAAAAATGCCAAATCCTTCTTATACACCCGAGGTATGCTCATGTCCAAAATAATCTCTTTCAACGCCCACATGAAGCCAGGAATTGACCAAAATATATTTTTCTCTTAGGTGAGTGCAAAGACGGTAATTATTGATTTCACGGTGACGATGAAAGGTTTGGAAGATCAACTGCTGGGAAGAGTTATCCTGACGGAGAAGGCGGTAAGATATATATTCTTATATTCTTAGAATGTTTCATAGAAATACCTAATAGTACTCGTCGTTTTCTAGGAACTTGAAGCCGAGCGGACAAAACTGTTAGAAGATGTTTCCATGAATAAACGTAAAATGAAAGAACTCGAAGATAATTTGCTGTATCGTTTGACGAGTACTAAGGTAAAGAAGAAAAACTGTTTGAGTTAAACACCCTAGACGTAGTAATGTAACTGTATCAAACAACTAGGGTTCCCTGGTCGATGATGAGTCGCTCATTGAGGTCCTGAGTACGACAAAATCAACCGCTGAGGATGTGAGCCAGAAGTTAGTTGTGGCAGCGGATACAGAGATTAAAATCAACAGCGCGAGAGAAGAGTTTAGACCAGGTGAGTTTTATGAAATATTACTGTCTTTCACTGAGAGGGTTAGATTGAATATTCGTATTGTTTTCTCTCTTCCAGTGGCGACACGCGGTAGCATTCTGTATTTCCTGATTGTTGAAATGTCAATGGTGAACTGTATGTACCAGACATCCTTGAAGCAGTTCCTCGGACTATTTGATATGGCCATGGCGAGGTAAGCTTTTTAAAATATCACTTGTGTCTAAATGTCGAGTGATGAATGCTTCTTCATCTTGTGTCGTCATCAAGCAGAATATCCTCTCAATGTTGTATTTTTTACCAGGTCAAGTGCATCGCCAATTACATCAAAACGTATCGCGAATATTATCGAATATCTAACGTACGGAGTGTTTGCATACTCTGTGAGAGGACTGTACGAGAAAGACAAGTTTCTGTTTACACTTCTTCTGGCTTTGAAGATCGATCTACAAAATAAGAGGATCAGACATAACGAATTCTTGACATTAATAAAAGGTGTGTGCATGGATATTGTAGTTGGGAGCAAATATTATTGACTGTAGCTACGAAGTGTTACGGTGATTAAGAGAAGCTGAAATTTCTAATGGTTGCCTAAAATAAGTTGCGTTTTGTTTACATAAGGTGGCGCTGCACTGGATCTCAAAGCTGTGCAACCCAAACCCTGCAAATGGATCACAGATATGACTTGGCTAAACCTCGTGGAACTCTCAAAACTACCGCAGTTCTCTGACATCCTGAATCAGGTAATCTTTCATGGAAAGTTTGGCGTTGAGAAAAGCTATTTTGTCGGTACTAGAGCTTCATAAAACATCATTGACTTCTAGGTTTCACGAAATGAAAAAGCATGGAAATCTTGGTTTGACAAAGATGCACCGGAAGCGGCTGAAATTCCAGACGGTTATCACAATTCTTTGGACACTTTCAGAAGATTGCTGTTGATACGGTAAGAATATTTTGATTTTTACTTGCCATCATTTGCAAAGAACGCGGCGCGAGCCGCGAAATAATTGTTGAAATGATTTTCCAGGTCTTGGTGTCCAGATCGTACTCTGTCCCAGGCTCGTAAATACATCTCCGAGTCCCTCGGTCCTGAGTATGCGGAAGGCGTGATCTTGGATCTGGAGAAGACTTGGGAAGAGACGGACGAACGAACCCCGTTGATTTGCTTTCTTTCAATGGGATCAGATCCAACCAACTCGATTGAGTCGCTGGCAAAAAGACAGAAGCTGGGTATGAACCTTGGAACTCCTTCATTTACAACAACAAGATCTAAAACAAAGTTGTTTGTTTTGTAGAATTCCGTGCAATATCAATGGGTCAGGGTCAGGAAGTACACGCAAGAAGATTGCTTAATCAATTTATGCAGACGGTATGAATACATTTAGAACTACTTAAGTTACACGAGTAAAATACGGCGGGGCGTTTAATCTAAAGGAATGTATCCATAGTTAAACTTCTAGATCATAACTTTTGTTCATTTCATAGCAAAATCTTTGCAAAATCTTTAAAGTCTTGTGTTGTAGTTCGAACTTGAAATGCAAATTATTGTTCTTATTCCAGGGAGGCTGGGCAGCTTTACAAAACTGTCATCTTGGTTTAAATTTCTTGGATGAGTTGATTGATATTGTCACTGATACAGAAAGTGTTCATAGTGACTTCCGCTTGTGGATCACCACTGAAGTTCATCCCCAGTTTCCCATTGGTCTTCTTCAGGTGAGACACGCCATCATGACGTAATTCCTAGCGCTCGATTATCAATGAAACTGTTGGATTGTTCATGTATGAATGATTGTTTAGTTCACTCACAATGCACAACAGTAATCCCCACATTTCCTTTAAAATAATTGAGTTCATTATTTTTATCAAAATGTCTTCTTCTTTAGATGTCGATTAAATTCACAAATGAACCACCTCAAGGTCTCAAAGCTGGTCTGAAAAGAACGTACACTGGTAGGAAACTCAAAAGATTTTAGCTCCATTGTACAAGATTATTGCATAATATGCTTGAATATTTCTACGACTCTAGGTATTTCTCAAGATCAATTGGATGTCTGCAGTCTTCCTCAATGGAAACCCATGCTGTATGCTGTTGCGTTCCTTCATTCCACTGTCCAGGTTAGATTGAAACACATAAATGTAGCTAGCACAGGTTCTTCCAAGTTGAGCGATCAATATAGGACACTTCCTGCAGGCCCAATTTAAACCTGAACGGACGGGCTATCAAGTATAAATCAAGTTTATTTAGGCTCATTCTTGTCTTTCCAATATTTAGGAGCGTCGCAAGTATGGTCCTTTGGGCTGGAATATTCCGTACGAGTTCAACCAGGCAGACTTCACATCTTCAAGTGTACAATTTGTTCAAAATCACCTGGATGACATGGACTTGAAGAAGGGCGTGTCTTGGAACACTGTCAGATACATGCTGGGTGAAGTTCAGTATGGTGGAAGAGTCACGGATGATTTTGATAAACGATTACTGAACACATTCTGTAAGGTGAGTGTTTCTCCTCCTGGTTAGATTCAAGCTGCAATGTCTTCTATCGGACAGTGGAATCTCTTAATGGATTCTCTTAAGAGATGTTTTGATGCTTTACATAAATAAGAAAGACTAGAGATTAGAGAAACTGATATTATTCCTTCATTTTGTAGGTTTGGTTTACTGACGCGATGTTCAGCACAGGCTTCAACTTTTACAAGAAATACACAATCCCAAAGTGCAACTCAGTCGCTCAGTATTTGGATCATATTGATACACTAGCCCTGGTTGATACGCCTGAGGTGTTTGGTCTTCATCCTAATGCTGATATCACGTAAGTTCAATGAAGTTAAACTTTTGATATGCTTCCTTTTCTTGTTGAAAAGCTGACCTTACCCGACAACCTCTTGGAAGAACAATTTAGAATTGATAGAGCTATCAAGTATAATATCTGAGCAAGACTAGATCAATAAAAGGTGTCCCTTACTCGACCTTGAAGGTAGAACAAGTTAGCTAAGGCTAAGGTTAATTTACTTGATGTTCATCCTCAGATATCAGAGCAACGTTGCAAAGAACTGTTTGGATACAATACTCAGTATTCAACCGAAAGACAGCTCGGGAGGAGCCGGAGAGACTCGAGAATCAGTCGTGAACCGTTTGGCTGATGACATGTTGGATAAACTTCCTGAGGATTATATCCCACATGAGGTAATTTCATAGCTTATTCAGGCAATTTCTCTCTGCCCCGCGGTCCCTGTGTTGCAGATTCTTGAGATCAATATTCTCTTCTTCATCCAGGTGAAAGCTCGTCTTGAAAAGATGGGTCCTTACGCTCCAATGAATATCTTCTTACGTCAAGAACTTGATCGAATGCAGCGAGTTATAACAGCTGTGAGGGAAACATTGACTGATCTCAAACTGGCGATTGATGGAACGATTATCATGAGCGAGGTAAAATGACGTCCTTGCATGTTAGTTTCCTGTATTTCGCATCTCTAAACTGCGAAGTTAAAAAAGCTTTTGTCCATGATAGGTTCTACGTGATACTCTCGACTGTATGTATGATTCCAGAGTTCCAAGACATTGGCAAAAGGTTCGTAAATTATTTCCTTCCTCGAAAATCATCGTTTTGACAAGCAGTTCATATTAAACTAGTGCACAGTAACTTGGTATCATCAATGCTCATTCAAACTCCTCGTTCCAGGTCTCCTGGGATTCCTCGACTCTTGGTTTCTGGTACACGGAGCTGCTCGAACGTAATCTACAATTTCGAAGTTGGATATTTGATGGAAGACCAAACGTGTTTTGGATGACTGGATTTTTCAACCCTCAAGGATTCCTCACAGCCATGAGACAGGTACGTACACGTTGTGTTATGTAGAAAAGCATTATTTTGTCACAAAGAGTGTCCACTAGCCTTTGAGGTCAAGCTTCATCCAGGCTCCTTTGTTAAATTGTGGAAAAATCGGACTATCAAAGGTGCCAAAATTCTGGCACAAAATATAATAAAAGAGTAGGAAATAATTAAACCAGTGCATGCTGAACATCTCGCTTCCGCAGGAACATTGTTTTATTCTGCTAAATTTTGTTCTTGAAGGAAGTAACGCGGGCTCACAAAGGCTGGGCGTTAGACTGTGTTATCTTACACAATGACGTCACTCGTTTCTACAAAGACGACATCTCACAGCCTCCTGCTGAAGGTGTTTATGTCTATGGCTTATACCTCGACGGCGCCGGCTGGGACCGACGAGGCTCGAAGCTTATCGAACCTCCAGCGAAGGTGCTGTTCACGCCACTTCCGGTTATACACATTTACGCCATCAATTCGACAGCGCCACGAGATTCCCGGATGTATCAATGTCCAATATATAAAAAGCCGCGACGTACGGATCTTACGTACATTGCTGACGTGGAACTGAAAACCAATCAAAATCCAGATCACTGGATTCTCCGGGGGGTTGCTCTGCTCTGTGACATCAAGTGATGACATCATCAAATGATGTGCGTCAGGCAGAAACCATTTATAATCAGCAAAGATGGATCTCATCATCTCATGGGATACAACATTACATATCATTGCAAAACTCACGAAGCATTCAATGCTGGCTAACTTTATTACTTTTTGAAGCAGAAGATTCTCCTTTGTTTATTGTTTTCGTAAAGCTGAAATGTAATTTCACAATTTAGAGCCTGCATAATCTATGTTTAGCAACAGTAATTTCTCGTAGCGTTTCTGTGATTACTCTTCAAAGAATGAATATAATAAAAACTATACTCGTCTGTAATAAACTAATCAGATTTTAAATATTACACAACTAGAAAAACACTAAAACAGTAAATTATTCTAGAAGTACTCTGCATCTTCGTAACTGTACAAAAGCATATTCTAAATTACGTTAAACAAGCAATACTATAAACTCAGCTTTTCCTAAATATCTTCGCAGCTTATATTCAGGTACATTTCAAATTTCAGCTTGTAAATATATTTTAAATGCATGTAAATAAACTTCGAATCTGTATTTAATATATTTATCGTGTGTTTTTCACATCGGTTGATCTAAAAAAATGATCTTACGATCAACAGCTAGGACATTAAGCTCTAGTTCAACTGAACTATTCGCATAGCATAGAATTTTGTGTTATTCACTTTTAAAACATCTTCTGAGGTAAAAGAAGCTCTCTCTATATATATACGTGAAATCCTCGTTAGGAGAATACAGAAGCCGTCACAACAACGAACACAAACGAAAAGAAAAGCAAAAAAAATCTATCCAAAACTCGTGCGGCATTTTGCCATTTTCGTTGCCTCGCATTACGCTTTTGTCGCTTGCTCACGTCACTTGTGAGCACAGAAAGTTCTTCACGTAACTTGTCTGCTATTCTCTGATTGGTTACCTCGAATTTCACCTCATTCTCAGGGATTTTCACATCAGTTAGACTGATGTCAACATTCTTTGAATGACCATTTTTTCTGCTAGTTTTTGGAACCTCCTCGTAATCTTCGATGGTATTTCTCAAGAGTAGAAATTTCGCCATTCTTTTGTTTACAAGGTGATCAAACCATCTTGGTATCTCAGTTTCATGGTCGCGAATTTTAGCGACGAAGCAGGTCGCCAGGAGACAGAGAGCTATCTCAACGATGATGCACAGGAAGTAGGTTCCTATGACGGGCATCGCGTCAGAGGTCTGGGGCAGGGTTGATGAAACAATCAACATATACACAGACATCGCTAGAAGGACAGTAATCACAAGCGACACACGTTCTCCGTGGTTTGAAGGCAAAACAAAAGACAGAAAGGCCAAAATAGCGATGACAGTGCAGGGCAAGATAAGGTTAAGAGTGTAGTACAGTGGCTGTCGTTTAATATGAAACCTCAGTGTAACATCAGCGTACGAGGTACCACCAGGATACACTTTGATATTGCGTTTCATAGGGGACGATTTCACTGTCCATTCACCGTTAGGTAAGAAGTTGTCCAGGTCAGCCCCCTTCGACTTAACGTCGATCTTGTCAGCTGAATATGTCCATGAACCAAAAACCAAGAGACACTCCTAAAAAATGTTGTCAAGCGCATCCTTAAAAGTACATCTCGAATACGGTCTGTACAGACACCTTAATATAGAAAGCTCTTTATGATGAACAGTTGACATACCTACACACCTCTCTAAAACAAACACTTCCCTCTAATACGACCAACTGTCTAATACTAGCTATTTTTTTCTAATACACCCAACTCTATCTAATACCAGCACCTCTTTCTAATCCAAGCACCTCTCTATAATACCAGCACTTCTCTCTAATACCAGCACCTCTCCCTAATACAAGCACCTTTCTCTAATACCAGCATCTCTCTCTAATACCAGCACTAATACCAGTACTTCTCTCTTATACAAGTACCTCTCTCTAATACCAGTACTTCTCTCTTATACAAGTACCTCTCTCTAATACCAGTACTTCTCTCTCTAACACCAGCACCTCTCTACTAACCTGTTCGTCGAATGGGAACCGACGGACATTGATCCTGCATTGTGAGAGGAGAGTCACAGGAGATAACCATTGACAGTTTCCATCATATCTTATGATAACTGACGTACTCAATCTCGTGTATAAAATATCGATTTCTTCTTCAAGACTCGCTCTATAGAGGAAAATACGGAGTGTCGTTCAAACCAGCAAGAAATGTGAAAAGAGAGAAGTTTCTCATGCAAGAGAGTGCCTCATTACTTACTTGTTGTACATTGCAATATCTGGTGTCCAAACTTTAGAGTTATCGATGTGAATTGAAGTTACATTGCCGTATTCCGTCGGATCCCAGGTCACAAATGAGTTATTCCAATCCAGTCGCAGCCATACATTCAATCGCAGTGCTTGGTTTACCTCGTCCTAAAATAAAATGGAATAAATTCTTAGCAAGTTTGTATTAATCCGCATCTCGTAATATCAGATAAAATGTGTTCACTTTCTTTCATGCTTAGGAACAAAATTGAGGGACAAAAATGGCTAACATTTTTAGGAATCTGTATGGTTGGTATGATTGCTTACCACTGTTGCAATTTGTCTTATTCCAATACTTATTCCTAGAATGACTGGTTTTGATTCATTATCCATTGGTAAGATTTGTTTTGTTGTTTCTGATTCATTAATGATTTTATCGATCAACCGTTTTTGAGCTTCATAATGTTGTCGATCTAAACCTGAAAAAAAGCTTGAAAAAGTGAATTCTGGGACTGTTTACTGCAAGTAATCTTCAACCTTGAGCGATCCCAGAGTCTGAGTATGGAGAAAAGACCCTGGGTACAAGATTGATAATATGTTTGTCGATTTGATCAGCGTAATTAAAGTTTGAGTTTTCTACCTGAGGTGCATGAGACCATCACAGCAATACATAACAACGTACAATATAATTTCATGACAAAATTTTGTGCCATTCTCCCGTATCGTTGATCTGCTTTGTCTTCTTCGCTGCACCTGTTGTGATTATTAAAAAGATCAAAATATGCATTTTTCTTATCCTCGCTCCATCATCTGTCGTGCTAATCCCCTGTAAGGCAACAGCTTGATTGTCCAAAACCAACTATATTTTTTATTTGTTGCGGGGTCCCAAGTCATTACACGACTTCAATCGTGCCACTTAAAATCATTCATGAATTTTTAATTTTTCATTTCAATCTGTCAAAGAAGACAATCAAGTCCTCGGATGAGCATAGATGCTGCTGGGCTGATTTATTTATTCATTTATATTTAAGGTAAGTTCTTTATAAAGGATAGTGGTGAATGACGAAGTGTAGTAGATTGAAGAAGTTTAAGGTCTTTCGGAGTGAACTCTTGCCCAAGAATTTCTCATATTTGTACTTGGTTCTGTGTTTTGTCTCACCCAAAAAAAAAACTGCGTGCTTTATTAAAAGTTGCTTACGTTTCCAGTTTTATGTCAGAGATGTGTAAAATACGCGCTAGAACATCAAGTCTAAATATCGAAACAACAACTGTAACATATATACTCCGTCTATATATGTATTATCAAAATTGCGCGATATGAATTGTGAAATTGTTAATAATATAAAGAAATTTGATATGTTGTAATATCACTTGAAACCACAGGAGTGAATAATCTGAATATATACAAATTCTACACACTTAGCCTCTTACCTTAACATTAATTTATTGAATCATCTTCCATATAATCAGTGAATTTTGATTTGAAGACATTTTATCTTTCAATACATTTAACTCGTATAAACACCTTTTATAAAAATAATACTATCATTCCCAATTAAATCAGCGAAATAATTTAATATCCGCATAGCAATGATACCAGCTTTTTTTTGTCGAAAACATTTTGCAAAATAATAGACAAAAGAATGAATGATTGTTTAATTGGTGTCCTCGTAACTCGTAAATATTGATTTTTCAAGCCACGTTGACACACAGTATTCAGTAATAAAAATATTTGATTAATTTTAATGAAACGTTCTTGGAAAAAACACCTGGGTATATACTCTATAGCAATTGCCATATCAGAATCAGTGACATATGCTTGAACGAAACTGCAGAATATTGGAAATTAAACAGATGTTAGGAGCGCAGTCATCTCAAACACCGAGCTTAAGAACTACAGGATCAAGGTACTCAATTTTCACTTTAAGAGGGATATAGAAACATGATAACAACACTTAATCAATGTCTGCATGTCTAGGTATAACACGCTATGTATGGCATCAGCGTCAACCAACGCACTCCAAATTTATAGAGTGATAGATCCCTCCAGAGAGATACACTCTGCCACAACGTGGTTTAAACGAAATTGAAAGTTGAAAGGTCGACGATTTAACAATTTTTGCAATAATTAAAGGCCGGTATTGATGTAAACACAACACAGCACGCCTGAATATTGCAAAATGCTTCCTCTATATCATATGATGGCGTAGTTTTAACCTCAAATATGCATTTTATAAATTGTAGCATGCTGTATTGAGAACTAAACGTACATAAGATTGTGCAGAGGAAGTCGTGCATGATTAAAAAAAATCCAATAAAAAAAATCATCGTGTATATTACTAGTTATATAACTTGACTTTCCTCAAATCTTTGTTGATATTTTCATTTAAAGCTTCAAGCATATTTCGTGACTATTGTATGGAGTTTAGTATATCATTAACGATTAACGATTTCTTTAGAAAATTTGAAAGAAATTATGAGCAAACCCACGTTCATGTTTAAAGAACGATACCCAGCAACACCTTAAAATGGGAAAACATTTTGCGGTTGACTCACGAGATAAAAAATCTAAAGAAATCTCCAAATACGAAACACGTTCATACATACTACGGATGTTTGATCGTTTGCAAGTTTCCTGTTGAAAATTGACTCTAATTATTAAAAAACTAGCATGTCCTGAAGCGACTCACCTGTGCGTATGTTTATATATGTACTGTTAAAAAGCTTTCCTTCATGTGCTTTTTGTCAGTGTCAGTAGGAACTACGAAACACTCAGTTCTCGTGTAGGAAGATATAAGGGAAGCGCATGTATTTGTCCGCACTACCATAGTAACTGATTACTGAACGACGTGTGCTTAAAAAGCTTTTTTATATTTTAATGCTATTTTGGTACAAATGCTCAGACCACTTTTTTTAAAATATTTCGGTGGATTTGTGCTGTAACCTCACCACGTTGAGATCGTGAACTCGTGTAGTTTAGTGAGATATCTTGTAACTGGTGCATAGCTTTGAACTTTGAAACATGGAACAACTTATACATGCAGTTTGTTAATATGAGTTAACATTAATTTCTCTGCAAAGTATCGTAGGTTTTCGACAACTGATAATATCATGGAATTTAGTGAAGAATTCGAGGTAACTTCAACTTTAACCCGTAACTGATACGTCCTGCATTAGCATGGCATCGCTATGGATTCATCAAAATAACTCCGCAAATATAATCGAAAGCAAAAAAAAAACCTAGTTTGTTCGTAGGAGCTGCGCAGTCGAAATAGATGTTTATCATTTGACTTCAATCGCCACATCATATGACCCTAAATACCCGGCCCAACACCTGCACAGTGATATATATATATATATATATATATATATATATATATATATATATACATACATAAATATAAGTCTTGTTTTCATAGTCAACTAATGTTTCTACTTCCTATTTTGCATGATATTATATATCCACACAATATATTGTACATCGCGTTCAGAGTACTTTTGTATTAGTCACACAAACTAACAGAATAAACAGGTTTGTTTGTCGTACGAAGAATATGAAATTGTGCGTGATCTTGGAGTAAAATATGCACCTATATGGAAGATTGCAATGAGCAACTGTCTAATCGTACACGACAATATTACAATAAGGTGAAATACAAGACGCATATTGTGCCCAGGATAAAGCCTTTCTTTAGGACATCTTTTAGTAATGATAGTTGTCAATATAATTTTATTTTATTGTCATTTAACTAAATGTAGTCGGCACTGATAATCAATGGCTGAAATATATTGCTGTAATAGCATGCAGGTATTAACTATATCTCCGTGAGATATTCTTATCTAAAGAAAACAATGGAAACATACGTACCTTTCTCAAACAATCTTAAGACTTTTAAAGTTTGATACAATCCGTCTTTAATGTGCCTTGTTCGTCAGTCTAAAGCCGGTCAATTGATAACGACACAGCGAAGGTAATTACATCTACATTATAATACGCTTCAGTTCTTCCTTACTGAGGTCTTGAGAGTTAACGATCTTTCGCGCCGACTCCGTAAATATTTTAATACAAACTTCAATATTTCCTGTTGTCGCCAGATAAATGATAAAAAGATTTAAGTGAGCCTCGACCAACCTGTCACGATTAAAATCCTTTCCTTTCCAACGATGAATGAAATATTATCTAAAAATTCTGACTTGCAGATTAAATTTCATGTTCAGTTGTCTGCGTGAATTATATTGACTTTATTTGTCAGGTAAAAATGTGATTTACATAATGATGACAGGCTCTTGAGCATATTCACGAAGACGTAGAAAATAGATCAAGGTTTTGTGCAATTTGCTTTCACAAAGAAATCTTTTCTTCAAAGATAATTCAAATTGTGTGGGGCATGCAAGAAAGAACGAGTGGGCTTTTTTATTCCAGATCTGCGTTGATCACGTTTTTGTTAGCGCGATGACGAAGGAGAAAAAATTGGCACGAAAAACGTTGACAACTTTTTAAAAAGGACACTCTAATTGTATTCGACCGTTGAGGAAAACTTCGCGATGAAAGCACAGCACAACACGGCGTCCTCATCTTGTCAAAGGCACTTTGAATTTTAGCTGAAACTTTTTAGCAGGAAAAATGAGAAGTTTTCGGGTCCTTGATGAAGAGTTGTTGTGAAAGAATGTGGAATACATGCAATTACACGGCTTTTTATTTTTCACATTCGTTTCCGATTTTGATTGTATTTATGTCATCGTTTCACTTATTCGTAGGTTTAACACACAACTAGTCTCTGTTGCTAGCGAGAAATATTGCATGTATATATTACTATAACCAACTTCAGCACGTCATACACATCCACACAGATGTCATTAACCTGTAAAGCTTACAATAAGACTATTAAAATATTCAAATTCACAGTTTCTAACAGTTTCAACATTCGATTAGCATTCTTCTTTTAAAGATGACCCAGAGAAGGTGTTAATGGAGATTTTCTCGTTTGATAACGTGTTATTAAAATGCTAAATTATGGATAGACATTGCGATTCAGTATCATTATTGAAATTAGGGATTCATCCATTATCAATTATCTTCATTGAAGATTGTGCAATCTTTGAGCCTGGTTTGAATTATCATTTCCTCTCAACAGCTTCGTGTCAATAGGATTAGTTTAACTGAAGAATGCAAAGACCAGTAGGGAAACCAGGGATGATTTCAACTCGCTTTACAAATTTTAACCGCCGTAACCGCTGATTTTAACCGCATTTGTTTAAAAATTGATTGTTCTCCCAATGAACTGATAAGTGTCATTATGTTAGCATCTAACATTCCTTATGTTTGCTACCCTAATGATAGTCTATCACATCGTTGAAATGATCTGTCCATGTACCAGGATATCCGTTTGTGGAGACCAGGAAAGTTCGGGTGGACAGGATCATAGATCCCTCGTAACAAAAAAGCGTAATAAATTGCGCCAGAAATTGAATGAAATTGTATTTTCAAGCCTCGATTTTTTAAAATATTTGTGGAGGAAGATGCTCTGGATCCAGCTGTAGTCTGCATGCATCACCAGAGCATTTTCACGTTGTTTTGACGATCCATTCCTCGGCCTCTAAGTCTAACTACACCTGCTACACTCACGGTTTTACACTTTTTTTTTATTTTAATTTTTACTTTTATTAACTTCCTATCTATATGCTTTATACATATGCGTTTATCTTGCGTGCCAGGACCTTTAGATATTCTGAACTCTCGACAGTTCCAAGTCATCATTTATTCATCATTCAAAATGAGGTCTCGTCTTAATCGTCGTGCATGACGTAAGAAAATATATAGTATAGCAACTGAAACGTGATATCCTTCTCTTTAGATCAACTTGGCCGAAGGTCGTCCATAAATTTGCCTGGTAGTTATTTTCATTCGCTGCGAGGATATATCGTGAAATAATGAAGCTATTTATCTACTTTATTCGGCTGTTGATGTTGGTGTTTTATGCTATGTGTTTAAACCCGCCTTCCTATATGGTTTTAGGTAAGATATACGATAAAATCATTCTTATATAGTCCTGTTTTTTATGTTAATTTCTGTACGAATCATTGAATCATGCCTGTTGGATTTGTTAAGCATAGTTTGAGCGCTAGAAACTCAGTAAATACGACAATGTTATAGTGATTAATTAGTGTATTCACTTAATATATTGGCGTTCGTAAATGCGTCAGTGAGGTTTGTAAACAGTCTGTTCAACTAGACTGAATTAAGAAGCTCTTTGTTTGTATTATATAATTCAGTATATACATGCAGTTCAGTTTCATCATCAATGTAACTGCATATACACACTTCAGCCGTTAGGAGAATTTTAAACCATTTTCACTGGACATAAAGCAGTAATTCTATAACCTGTGGTATTGGAAATGTGTGCACATCATGATGGTAATTTGGGTTATCTAAAGTTCATCTATGTAATAATTTATTAAGCTGTAACAAAGCTGGCTTCAGTCTTGACCAAAAAATTCCCTGATTTAAATCCAAAATGAACAATACGTATTTCTCTCGTAATCTCTACGTCAATGCAGTCTTTGCACAGGCCGTATTTAGATAGCTTAGCTCAAGTTGATTCGTTCTAATCTGCTATTAAATTACACAAAAGCCTCTGTAAAAGGCGAGAAAAATGAACCATACATACAGACTTATGGTCGAGTGCATATTCACTAGTGGAATGGAATGCAAGCATTGCCATTAACATTGAAATCTATCTATTTTTAAAAGAATTTCTTTTCAAAAAAAAAATTCATAGTCTTGGGTATAGGATTTCGTTTCAGCGTCCAAAATTTATTTACTGGGGTGCTCCGTCTTAACGGTTTAATATGGGTGGTGTTTGGGTATAAACAATCCTCTCATTGCGAAAGTGTTTCAATATCTGATAAGTGAAGACAATGCTTCAAAACACAAGAGATATAATACTTTAAGAGCTCAGCTGACAGATCGTGTGATATAAACTCCAAGCAAGAATAAATGAAAACATTCATTCAAAGTTGTTACATTCCATAAAAGTAACACAGAATATCTCTATTGGAATATCTCCACTGACGATAATTACTTCATGCTGGTGCCTGACCTTTGATGATAAACATACTAAAAATATCATTGTGTAACTCGCTTGACTTCCCATAAGGCCACAAATGGCCAAAAAAGCGAATTTTGATATATTTTTTAAAAAAATGTTGTTTTGTCTGCGTGATGTCGGAAGTAGAAAGTTTTGAGTTATATCGAAAGAAGGGGGTCTAGCGTGTTTTGATCTAAACGAACCAAAATCAAGAATCGTAGGACAGAATATATACGGTTTTTATTCATCTAGGAACAACCAGAGAGTATTTTGATGCAAAATATCGCCTTGTGAAATATCTCACAAGCGATTCAGAAACGGTGAAGGAAATTCTTCCTGCTCATGATATCAACACAACTGTAAATGTAAAAATTAGAATCCAGTTGAGACAAATTGCGACAGTGGTGAGTTGATTGAGTACCAAAGACTGACACCAAATATATATTTAGATATGTTCACTGTTTAGTATAGATCCGTAGTATCATGTCTCTGGAAGTCGTAGCACAATGCTTCTCTTTGCCAAAAGAAATGTTCGACTCTTAGACTTGGAGTGATTCAAACTGCATGTGTCTTGTAGAAGTCACGGGGGTTCGGACCGACATTATTTTAATTACCTTATTTCGTCTTACCCAGGATGAGAAGAATCAAGCAGTTCGTCTCACCGTGTGGCTCAGATTTGATTGGAATAATCCTTTCTTGACGTGGGATCCTGCAAATTATAGTGGAATCGAAAGTGTGCATGCTAGTAATGAATTTTTCTGGATTCCTGATGTTGCGCTTTTCAACGAGTGAGTTTGTTAATTTGTTTGTTTGTTGAGTTGTTTATCTCTTCCTGGACAATGTGTAAGTATTGAAATATTAAATTTGGTTATTCTTAGAGCAAGTCTGGAGGAGGAAATAGAGATTTTGTACAAGCGTTTAGCGACCAAATTAGTAATCCATAAGGATGGGAATTGTACCTGGAATGCTCCCGCAACATTACTCAGTCAGTGTAAGATAGATGTTGCGAATTTTCCCTTTGACGAGCAAATATGTAACGTTACGATTGGTTCCTGGACTTACTCAGGAGAGAAAATCAACCTTACTTACTTCGAGAAGGAAGTAAACATGGAAAACTTTATCAAAAACGGGGAATGGCTGGTCGAAAGCGCAACTTTAAAGGACAACGTAAAGCTTTACGGTCCAGAGAAAACACCCTACCCTGATGTTACACTCACTTTAAAAATCAAACGTCGTTCCTTGTATTATGGCCTGAACATCGTCATTCCTTGTGCTTTAATTGCAGTTTTAGCTTTGTTTAGCTTTCTCCTGCCTTCAGATCACGGAGAAAGAATGTCTTTAGTCGTCACAGTTTTATTAGCCCTCTCCGTTTACATGTTGATCATTTCGGATTCGTTACCGGAAACCTCGGACGCTGTGCCTGTTCTTGGAATTTACTGTCTTGGAATTGTTGTAACAGTAGCGCTATGTTTGTTTTCCACGTGTTTAACCTTGAAGTTTCGAGACATGACTACGCCAATGCCGCGATGGCTGGAAGTGATTGTGATAAACATGGCAAGAATTGTATTCGTGAAGTTTCATGAACCGAGTCCTGCTTCGAGCAGCGATAAAATTTCACTTTCTCTGACTAACGAGAAATTTACTAGAATTCCAGACGGAAAGGCCGAGACTGCAAACTGCCAAGAAACAAACATGGATGACAATGGATTGTTAGGAATAAACGAAAAACACTCGAAATCATTTGAAGATGCTCTTCTTGACGAAGTACGATTGCTCACTGAGGAACTTCGCTCGAAACAAGAGGAAGAAGCTTTTGCAAAGAAATGGAAGATCGCAGCAAAAGTGTTTGATAGATTTTTTCTTCTCATTTTTTCCCTGGTTTATATTTGTTTGGTTTCCTATCTTCTCTCCGCAATGTAGCCTAAGGACAAATAAACGACGACAGGTTTTATAAACGCTGGATGTATTATGAAAATTTTTGTATAGCAAAGAATCTCAGCCAAAACTACAGTCAGTATAATTTTTTTATATCCCTTAAAAATGCATGACCACACGCTACTTTTTATTAACGAGTTAGCACTATTTTCTCGTGTAAACTATATCTGTTTATACCACTAATACACCATCTAAATCCACAAATTTACCTTTATAGTTTTGTGGTTATATAGGCATAGAGATATGACAGTGATAGAAATTACATTAGTTTCCATGTGAATTTTTTAAAATTAGAATTAAATACAGATTATATATTATAAAACAGTTCAGTCTCTTCATGTAATGTCTCTTCTTCACGTAATTTTCATGCATGAGTATTTGTGTTTATAACAGTGCGGTATAACGAGAATAAGAGATCAATTATGCAGGTTAATGCAGATTGATGCAGGTTAAAACAAGTTTATGCAAGTTTCGTTCACGTTCGACCATCAAAATCTTGAGACGGGTAAAAATTGACGAGAATGAGCAGGAATAGGCTGTCAATCACAAGCGCGACTCGCATTTACTTGATTTATCGTTTGTCCACCTTTTGTCTCGCCGTTTTTAGACCTTGGCAATTCCACAAATCAACCATAGTAGTAATTGTTTACGGTAATACAAAACCATGTCTGTGAAATTCAACTCCAACTCAGGCAGACTATTTTGTGTACATTATCCTCAGATGCGCACTTTATTTTCATCAGTTGTTTAAGTGGCATTGATCTGCCTCGAATTTCATCATTATTGAAGAAATCAGTGGAAAGAAATTAAAGCTAAAGAGAATGTGGTCTTGCAGCTTACTCAGAATGTTCATCATGTGTTTCTTGATTTTATTTCTTTGTCAGCCATTCAGCCTGGTTTCTGGAGGTAAACTTTAAACAAATCGCATACGCTGCCTTCTGATTCTGAAAATCGTTATATAGCTTTTTTTGTCATATATATTGTTCAGTAGTTTATCTGCAGTTAACATTGTATAGAAACGTCTTTATTATTTGCCCAATTTCTTACTGATCAATGGACATATTTAACAGCATGCTAGACCAAGTTTCACTTTCGGTTTTAAGCTAAGCGCTGCAGACGCGAGGATTCGTGTTTCATTAGCCCGTCTGTTTCTACGCGAAATTTGAAGTTAAATGGCTGCTCAGTTGAAGTGACTACAGGCTGCCCAAACTTATTAGTTTGAAGTGATCTTCAGAGTCTTATAATCAATCTTACAAATGTGTGCAGGGTATAACACTAACACGAGGCTGGTAAACTGAACAAACGTTTTACCAAGCACCCTATACAATTCTTGGAAAAACTTTGAAACTCCTGGAATGGAACGTTCGAATCTGTTCTCGGAAATCCCGAGGGGTGGTATTCATATAAAATTCACTGTCCAAATTTGTTGATTTATTTTAACCAGGCGTAATCGGATATCGTCTTGGCGAAAGCCATCGTTTAATGGATCCGCGATCAGGAAACAAATTCTTCCCACCCGTGATATTAATAAAGCAGTGAATGTTAAAATAAGGATCAGACTACGACAAATTGCGAGCGTGGTGAGTTTGGAGAGTTCACTCCACATGTAGTTGTTTGACTAGTTCCTATCACACAGCCACCTTGTTCTATCACACGCTGTTTACAATCATGAACCCTCAGTCTGTATTGTAAACTAGAGATCCCCGCTCCCACAGAGAATTCTAGGTAGCTCGTGTAATCGTGTATCTGCTTTACTAGGACGAGAAAAACCAAGCAATTCGTCTTGTCGTTTGGCTCAGGTTTCAATGGGTTAATCCATTCTTAACGTGGAATGCCTCGGAGTTTGGGGGAATCAAGAGTGTTCATGGTGATAACGATCTTTTCTGGGTTCCTGATGTTGCGCTGTTCAATCAGTGAGTTTGTGTTTTGTTTGTTTGTTTCTAAGTTAAATCATGCAATACAGAAATTGTATCTGCATAATGACCTCGCAGTTTTTGATATAGGTTCTGTTTCATTTTTGCTGATTGCCTCTAAATTATAACTTGATCATAACAAATTTATCTGTCTCAGTACTGATAGTTTAATCTAAACATCTTCAGGGCAGGTCTTGAAGATGAAATTGAAATTCTCCACAAACGTATATCCACAAAATTGATCATCACCAACGATGGTAATTGTACGTGGAACACCCCGATCACACTGACCAGCCAGTGCAGAATTGACGTCTCTCTCTTTCCCTTCGATAAACAAGAATGTAAGCTTCAAATAGGCTCTTGGACGTATTCAGGACACAAAGTTAAAGTCACAAGCTCCGAGAAAAATGTAGACATGGTCGATTTTATAAGAAGTGGAGAATGGGAGGTGGAAAGTGCGGTTTTAAGTAATCATTTCACATATTATGGCCCCGAACATATACCATACCCTGACATCACCTTAACTTTGAAAATCAAACGTCGCTCGTTGTACTACGGGTTACAAATAATAGTACCCATGACTGTAATTTCGCTGCTAGCCATGTTCAATGTTTATATGTCCGTCGATGAAGGATTGTTGTCAAATATGATCACTCTAGTGGTGGCCATTTCTGTTTACGCAATAATCATATCTTCTAAGCTACCAGAAACATCCGATAATGTTCCAGTTCTTGAAAAATATTGTCTCGGAATTCTTTTAACAGTTTTTCTGACTTCGATTTACGGACCTCTGATGTTGATGTTCAAAAACGCTTCCACCAACAAGAAGCGAATGAACTGTTTTTTCAGTAGACTAACGAAATTTATTCGGAGGATTCGTTCGGTATTTGGCCGGCGTTGTAAATGTAGGAAATCTCAAAATGTCGACAACGAAACGAATGGTTCCCGAAACACTGAAACGATTGGAGGCGATTGGGAGATTTTAGGAAATTTTTTTCGCAGATCATTACAATTTTCGTTTTGGGGGTGTTGGGTGGGTTTTCACGCTTACGTGTTTATCATGCTACTCCTGTGAGTTGAAAGAAAAATTCAAATACATAATAATCAAAATTCAAAATAATTGATACTGAACATAATCTTGCATGCCAAATTCTCTTATATGGTCAGTTTTAATTTGGCTCTGAAATGATTCTTAGTCAATACTGCACATTGGCTGAACTGATTTAAACCCTGGTCAAATGAGGCTGGAAGTTGATTGATGCCAGTTGCAATGACGCAACAGGTAACACTCCCGATTTTTTTAACGGCCTTAAATTTTGATAATGATAAGTTTTTGAGAGTCGTCTACAGCGGTATCTACTTTGTATTACTTTCCGCCTTGAACCACATGCAACTCTTGTTCTCATTCGCCGGATAGTATATATTGGGAGTTTTCAAATTAAACTAGTTATGCAGACCCTTGTTTACTAAATTACATCGTAATTACTCATTTGACCCAACTTTTGGGCGCAGTATGTAAATATTAGGGACCTTAAGATTCTACGACGTGAATTTCTTGGGTATATCCATTGCACGAGCCAGAACTGGAATTTCGTTTTTTTCAAACCTGAAATTCACCTTGCATTCAACCGCATCTGTCTCTTCCAGAGAGAAACTATCATAGTCTTTAAAAGGCAGTTCCGGATTTTTCCCACGGCAAACGATATCGTGTAAAACGACAAACTCGAAGTTATCAATGTAAGAAGATTCATAGGCCAAAATAACATCATTTCTAGCTTTCTTGAACGAGCACATTTCAAGTTCGCGTTATCGGGAAGTACAGTAAATCTTAAGGATATTTAAACGCGACGCCACCGCGTACAGAATGTTTCTCTCCCTAGTGCCTTCGTGTTCCGGCAGGGCGTCGCGAATCACCGCGTCGTAGAATCTTAAGGTCCCTAATTAATGAAAAACTGAAATTATTGTGTTGCAAACATGCCGAAGTGGTTAAAGTATTGTAGTCAAGATAGAAAAACAATTTTTAGCTTTTTAGAAAACCATTTAAATGAGTAAAGAAACTATAAACATTTTAATGTATATAATATATTCAGTTTTATGATAATATTCACGTTTGGGCGTTTAATTAACTGCTTGTGAAATGAAATAAATATATATTCTATAACGATTACTACTCAGACTCAGTTGACATTCTTTCTCATGTCGAGAGCTGGCGTCCTTAATTCTAACTTCACCCTCCTATAATGCAAAAATCATTACTGTTTTTCTAAACGAAGTTGATGTACTGAAGGTAAGTTTCTTTTTAAGATGCAGGTTTATAATCACGGGATATTAACTGGATTACCTCGACATAAATACGTTTCATCTTTTTTTATCCAGTATGCAATGTAACCGTAATAAATCATCTTACATTTAATCTTGTTAGATTCCTACCCGACAACAGACTAAGAAGTCTTGATCGACCAATCACAGGACAAATGATCAGGCGGAAACCAAGGTAACGCTTATGACTCGTTAGTTATGAGTAGTTATTCCATGCTTAGAGGGGGGGTATAAAGCACATTTATGCAATGCGGCTGAAAATTGTTAACAAGACAAAGGTTTAGCTGTTCCTGATCAAGAAGACAATCTACTCAATTCAAATAAAGAAAAGGAGTATTTCATGCTATAAACCGATATATTTGTAATCCGAAAATGCGAAGTTTGTTCCGTCCATTAGTGCTCTGCCTCTTAATTTTGTCCTTGCAGTTTCGCTTCGACTCAGGTAGGAAGAATTTTTTTTGTTTCTTTATACATTTGTGATGACTATCTGTGATAATGGTCCAAAATCAGCGTCTTTCGAGAAAAATTAGAAGCTTCCTTTTTAACGAACAAATATTATGATGCAATAAAATATTCGAGGATCGACAGTGTAACAATTTCAAAATTTAATTTTGTCTTAAACATTCTGCCACAGTGGTCAATTAAGGAACCTTGATTCTGTATGTTACGTCTAAGTTAAACATAAACAATTTCCAGTTTCAGTCTTTTCGTTACTTTTAGTGCGTATAGCGGTAAATAAAAGTATAGCATGGCTAGCCAATCAACTGGTCCAAACTCTCTTGAAGTCCGGGCAGATGAATGCATTTGTTTATAAGTAGAGCGTCATGATATTTCTCCGGGTAATTTAGACATGTTGATGACACTTGCTTATTTTGTTTTGAATGCCTATGTTAATGTTCTTTGAAAGTTTGGGAAAATTAAAGAAATCACGCAAGGATGACTGAAGATGTGTGACAGTTTTCTGTAAATCAGAGTATAAGGATATAAAACTGTAGGAATTACCAGGAGTCTGAGCCCTGTGGTTTTGTATTTTGTCACAAAAAGCAGCAGGGACAATTTACATAAAAATATATATTCATCCTTTTCGATCCATAGGAGATAAAGTTTTCAATTATCCTTTTTCAGTTTTGCGCATGTGATTATAAGACACAACAATCTTTCTTTTTGACAGTATTTCTTATCTCATCCATCTAAATGCAGTTTAATTTTCCAACTTCTGCAGTGGATCGTAATTGGCAAGAGTTGCCTCTTTGTAATTGCGATGTTTTCAGTCATTTCCGCCCCACATATTCACCAGAAGAAAAGAGGGTTGAACAATGGAAAGCAATCAAGTGTTACAAATGAAAATCCCTATTAGTTTCATTGTCTTCACACTGAAAATTTCGCTGCGTATGATTAAGCCGAACCCTTCAGCAAGTGTGGTAAAGATAACATGTTTTAGGAAGTGTTTTCCACATCGCTATTCCAAGTTTTATTTCGCTTGAAAAACTTGCGTGCTAGAGATTCATTAAAAATTAAACAGACTTGTCTTGTAACTACTGAGTATAATTATGAAAACATTGTAATATGCACGCTCCTGTTTGCAGGTGTATCCGCCAATAAGCCGCTAGTTTTGACGCTTAGTATGTCTAAATGTCATCAATCAAATATACGATTGGATCTCCCTGCAATTAATTTTACCCCACGCAGAAAATCAGACATATTTCGTTGAAAAAATGTTTTGGTTCAGTTCAAAAAACTTACCACCCCTCAGTCGATATGTATACTTTAAGATATTTATCTTCTTTCCCAATATGCCTTAGAATTTTTTTGACAGTAAAAGTTTTATTTAGGACACACAAACTCAGCGTGCAATGGCAATAAGTGATGAAGGCTTTTAGCCTCTCTTTAAGGGGCTAATTGCTGAGTTCAATTTTTAACCGAAACGTTAATTAAAATTATCTTTGATGTGTTCCGTGAAGCGAGATAGTATTATATTGCAGCTTCAGGTTTTTCAAGAAGTAGCAACCTCGTTCAAGCGCTTTTTTGCTTTGACCTCACCACCAGTGAGATTTCGCAAACCTACAAACACTGCTGGGCTCTTCATTTGTATTCAGAGAAAACATAAGGCTAATTTCAGACGTCACATCGTGTCTTGCATGTGGCAAAACACATTAACAACAATAAACTGCTAACGAGGCATCGTAACTGATTCTTATCCATTGTTTTCAATGCGTGGGAACACGAGGGACACCTCGAGGGACACGATCTCTAAAATCCAGCTAAGATAACTTTTTGTTTATCTAACTTGTGTAAACTTGTCTAAATTCATATTATTCGTTTCGGACAGGTTCAAAAGTGACAAAAAATGCTGAATTTCGTCTTCGTGAAGATTTGTTATCAAATCATAACTCCAAAACGCTACCATCGTTAAATGAAACGACACCGGTGACTGTCAAACTAAGTCTTACATTGCGACAGATTCTTGATGTGGTAAGATCACAATTTAACGTTTAATTGGTCTGAAAAACATTGACCGTGAGGTCATCTCCAATCTTCTCTGCTATAGGATGAGAAGAATCAGGTGATGGTAACAAGTATTTGGTTCCGACAGTTTTGGAAGGATAACATTTTAACATGGAATGCCTCGGAATATGAGGGAATTACGGAATTGCACCTGACAAAAAAAGAGATCTGGGTTCCTGACATGAGTATTTACAATACGTAAGTTATTTTTTCGCTGTAAAGCTTAAACTCTCTATCAGTATATTTTCTCTAAAAGCTATTTACTTTTCTATTACAACTTCGCACAATCTTCCCGCATTTTCAGAGCATCAAACTACGGAATTCTGTACCAAAGACTGGACACACAAGTTGTTCTTCGGCACAACGGTGAAGTATCTTGGTTAGCTCCAGTCCAAGTAAAAACTGAATGCAAAATCAACGTGAAATATTTCCCATTCGACGAGCAAATTTGCAAGGTCACTTTTGGGTCCTGGACTTACCATGGTTTCAAGGTTGACATTTACAGCGGTCATGCTGATGTTGAAAACTTTGTTCAAAACACGGAATGGGATCTTATTGAAGCATATTTCACACGTCTGGTGAAGATTTATCCTTGCTGCAACGAACCTTACCCCAGCATCACCGTTCATGTTCGAATAAGACGCCGAGCGTTGTTCTATCTCTTCAATCTTGTTATTCCGTGTGGAGTGATAGCCCTTCTCGCGTCCCTTGCCTTTTTTCTTCCTTCTAATAACGGTGAACGCATCTCTCTTGTGGTAACGGTACTCCTGTCCTTGACTGTGTACATGTTGATAGTATCGGAGACGATGCCTGCCACATCAGAAGTTGTGCCTCTCATTGGAAAGTTCTATATATCGACCATGGTTCTCATAGCCCTCACCCTGATCGCTGTTTGCATCACGCTGAATTGCTGTGAACAAGAAAGACGAATGTCGAGATGGCTGAGAGAAATTCTCATAAATGTTATTGCTCGAGTTTTGTGTATTCTACAAAAACAACAAATTCGAACGAACGCTATTGGTATGCGTGTGAATGAAGCCTTTGTTTTGGAGAATACTTTAGCGAAGTCAACGTCGGCAGGAGCTCAGCCAAAACAAAATCAAAACCATCCAAGTTCAAATGAGGAGAACACAATCGAACGTGCAGCAGATGCTTTAGGAGTTACCTCAGTGAGAAACGAGAAGAAAAAATTGGAGGATGTTGTGCTACAACAAAAAATCAAAACTCAAAAAGAAAATAAAGAGATCAAGGCAGAATGGAAGTTGGCAAGCAAAGCACTCGACAGAATGTTCTTCATTGTCTTCCTTCTTTCATTCATACTCATGTCGATAATCGTTTTCTCAGAAGCTCCACATATTTCCTTAACGTGAACAGTTGGGGCCAAGGATTTTTTGGACGCTTGTAAAATGGAACATAAAAAGAATAATGCAAATCATAACCGAGTATATAGAGAGTAATCAAAACGTATATATGTAATCTGTGTAAACTATATAAAACTGAGAGATCAAATAAATATAAACACGCGAAAAAAGATGCGAGAAGTCAAAGAAACTGTTCCCTGTTTCTTGTGGTGTATGGAAAATAATTTTAATTCAGTTTATCTCTATAGATCAAACGTTTTTGCTTCGGGCTAAGCCAATCAGAACGCGACATTGCAACATGCAGAAGTTCAAAATCTTCAAGATGGCCGCCAAAGGGGAGTTTGCATGGATTTTGTGATTTTGTTCTGGGTATGTTGTGCGTAATATAAGCTATATACTTAATAATCTAGTTTACTTGTTGTAATACTTGTTGTAATATGTTGTTAAAATGCATGTCAAAAGTACGTGCTAATCTATGAAGTGTTAAAATGTGGTAGTGAAACTCTAAACAGCATCTTTGTCAATGGTTTTTCTGAGCAAGCCTTCTTCTTCGTGTTATCATTCAGCAGCGAACTGTAGTTTTGAATATAATTATATAAACGTGGTAGTAATGCTTGTGTTTAATTGAAGTAATACAGTAATGGTTGTTTTTGTCAAACTACTAAGTTATTTATATCCCTAAGTATTCAGTTTTATTTACATAGTATTGTTGACGTTTTCTGGTCGAGAAAAACAGGTTAAGAGTTAAGACGACTTTGTTAATCATTATAATCCTTCACGAGCCAAAAACACAAGAACAAGTCAAAATTGATTTACTGCCAAAAACAAGTAAAAATAATCGAATCAATCCCTGGTCAATCAATCAGTAGTCCTCACTCAGTCACGTCTGAATGAAGTTGGTTGTTTTACCAGATTTAAGCCGGACAGAAGCGTTTATATTATAGCTAGAACACGTTTGAACTTTTAGTGGGAATGGTTTGGTAAAATGACTAACATCCAGTATATTGCAAGAACACCAGACATACAATATACAACATCACACTACATTTTCTTAGGTTAAGCATTAGTTTACTTTGTGTAATTCTAGAACTATTTATCCACAGAAGGCGATCGCAAGAACAAAATAAAAAACAGATTAAGGCGCGTGTTTGCTCAAGCATCAAAGGAATACAACGAGATCATTATATAACAATGACGTCTATTTATTTAGGTAGATAAATAGGTTAAGAACCTCATATGCAAATTCTGAAATATACGATGATATATAATCCCTTACATAATATATTCTAGCAATTTCTTTTATTGTATTGCCTGCCCTAGAAAAGTCTTTTCATAGTTCTATTAACTCCATGAATCAGTCAATTCTTAAAAAAAACCTGCAAGGCAGTTTTCAAATGTGTTTAATTTCAATATGAGACGGCTTCGTATAGTTCGTTGTATCCCATCAGCAAGACGTGAGATTATTATTTCAATTTGTGCAAAAGTTTGATATAGTTTTGGCTGAAAATTATATCTCAAATCTCACTCGTTCTCTACTAAATGTCGCCGAATGACCTAGGCAACCTCGTAAAACTTCATCCGTGACTTCGTGCAGTTTATCAGATTTGGACGGCTGCCCCTTTAGCTGTTCAGCGAAAAACAACACGACATTTAGGCGTGAATTCCTGCTTGGACTTGCATCAACTGCCTCGCATCGTAAACAAGCTTTGGCCCTTTGGCGTACATTGAACATCGCCCGGCCATAATGTGCAACGTCAGCACGTGACGTCATTCCGGTGGCACGTCATAATAAGCGGTTAGCTTGATTCAACAAGGCCAATTATGGACATGCCTGTGTCGCCATGGGATTTGGTTTGAGGGAATAAGGAAATAGGTACAGATTTTAGGCTTGCCTATGAATTAAAGTACGCCTTCATACGTCTATTAATGAAGGTAGCTAACACAAGCTCGTCAAGTCCTTATGTAGTTTTTTATGAAATTGAAATTTGACCAAGGGCAAGGTCTCCTTGTTCGTGCCATCCAGAAATTTTCGGGACTGGCAAATTATTGGGAAGGTGCGTTCTTATTCTGACAGCGCTTTCCAACGAATGGTAATTTTCAAATAAATCACTCTAACACGTTCCCTAAATAAGCTTGTATAACTTAGTCCAGATAAGCATTCAGCATTCTTTACAAGTAGTTGTAAAACTGATGAACTGCTCCATGCCTTGGTATCCATACAACACTGAATCATTCAGAAGTTCTTAATTTCCCCTAAAAAATGGAGCCATTTAGGGCTAGAGAAAGACTAGAGTGATAAGATGTCGTCGGTCAGAGCCCGACAAAGAGTATTAAAAATCTAATTTTGATTTTTCATTTTTCGAAGATTATCACACTTCACATTCATTCTTACTGACTACATCAACTTTTTTAAGACTGGATATTTAGTCATTTAGAGGATGTTTTTTTAGTAACACACTTCAGAACTATCGTTATCAACCGTTTGTTTTGTTGTTTTCAAACTCCGTCCAGATTCAACTATTTGTTCCTGTAGAGTGTCTTAAAAAATATATTCTCACAATGTCATGTTACAAACATCACTGGCTTGGTGGGAAATGTGGGCCTAGTATGTTCGATATTAAAGTCGATGATGAGAATCAGACAAATGCTTTTGAAACGAAATATTTGACCTTTCGCTTTTGGCCGGGAAAGTTTAATTCCTGGCAATAAACATCATTTACGTATCTGCAATTTTTTTAAAGTAATTTTGAGATTAGACTCTGATATTTTTCCTTGACTGGTGGGCATAGTGCAAACATAGAGTTGCATGTTGCTACAATAACAAATATTTTACGAACGAGATTAAGGCAGTAATGAAACCACTTTCTCTCCACGAGTTCATAAAGTTCAGCTATCGCAGTTATAGGTGAGTCTGAACTTGACTCATACTGGACAGCTAGGTCAGATTTTCGACAGATTGATAACTTTATTGCTCCGGGAATATTGTAATGTGCATGATTTTAATTTAAAACGTGATGCGGAAATTTCAAGAGCATATAAATAGATAGACATATCGTGTATGATCTTGTCGTTGGCTATACTATTTTGCCAGTCGGTCAACTTGGAAAAAACTGGTTGTAATTTAAGGCATTTTCATAACTTAGACTAAAAAAATGAATCCACTTAACTCAAGCACACTTTTCCCTCAGCGTGTCGGAGCACAGGGGGACGGTTGATACGGAGAGATATGATAACTAGCTATTGCAAAGCCTTCCTATTTTATAAATAAAAAATACTCGAGGCGTTTTCCGTGTCTAATGACATCTCTGGCTTAAATGGTTGATTAAGGAAATTGTTTAATTGTGGTTTCCCCTGGTCCTTTCTGCATTCTGAAACCTCGAAATCTTCAATCATATATAACGATGATTGTAAAAATGGAGCCTATATGACTGAGCGTGTATAATTGTGTTAATACAGAATAACTTTTTACTAGATTCAGCTGTGCATGTATCCTACTGAGTTCCCAAAACGTTGTATAATTCGCACAGCTATCTAAAACGATTTGATTTCGATTCAGACACAGCACAGCCAAAAGAATTTAAAAAACTGCACGAACTTTCTACAGACAAAATAAAAGCTTGATTTTTTAACGTATTTAGTCATAATATTCCAAGTATTGTGAACGCGTAGCCAATCATACATTAGATGATTCAGTATCAGACAGTCTCAGTTTAAGATTGCAAGTTGGTTAGATTGCATGTAGGTTTATGAAACAAATACCGCAACCTAGGTATAGGGGCCCAATGCATGCTCGTGCAGATATATAGTTAAGTTTAAGTTTATGTTATGCTTCTTCCGTTCACCCAAGTCCACGAATCGTGATAAAATTCGCTAATTTTTCTTTCTCGCGTACTTTTTTCCACTCGTCATGTAAACGTTTATAATTCTGGCAATTCGTTTCGGGTTTTTAGCCTGGAGCTTGAGCAAGCTGATGAACGCCTTTGTTTATTATTGCATGAACCGGCAATCTTTTGAAGTGACCTCTTTAAACAAACGTATTATTTTCCTGGTCTGATATATCTTAGCATAATAGAAGAATGCTAATATATTTGTTATTGTATAATACATATTAGTTGAAACACGAATCAAATAAGCGTAGATAATACATGAAAATTTCTAATTCAAAACTTAAACCTTTGCCTATTATGGTAAGCCGGTTGAACTCTTACGACATAGGTGACTTTTATTGATAAACACTCGCATGTTGAGATATTCTGGTCGATTCGTGTGACACCAATCGATTGAGCATGATCTATAAGCGATACCAACCAATCAGAGAAGAGTATTCAAAAGCCATTGACGTCATAGAGTGTTAGGATTTCAAGTGTTATATAGGCGTGAATATTGTGTCTTTGATCAGAAATCAATCAGTCGACCCATAGCAAGGTATAGCAAGGTATATTTTTGTCATAACAACCGTGAAGAAAGCTAAAGTATTATTTATCAAAGATGTGCAGACTTCGTGTGCTGAATGACGCTCCTATGACGATGAGGGAACGTGAATATATGAGCTCGAATTCAGATTTTCAGTCGCTGTTCACCAAAACAACCTCGGAAGCTGAGATGCTGTCAATGTATATAAATGGTGCGGAGCCCTATCGCAAGAAGAAGGCGATCACGAAGATCTTTCGTCGAAGTAAATATTTGCCAAAACTAGCGGACATTGAAGAAAGACCTGAAAATAATGAACTAGATAATGATGAATTTCTAAACGAAGTTGCGCCAGACTTGTCTTTACCCTGCATTCACCTCGAGCGGGCCTTGAGCGCGGGAGTTATGGCGCAGGAGAAACGAAGACGGCGTCGTAAGGCTGCAAGTCCCAGCAGAGAGCAGGGAAGTCCACGCAAAGAACGTCGTAGAACTCGCCGTTCTGCTGGAGATAAGGTCATCCTGTGAAGACAACCAAACTTTCTTCAGAGGACACCTGCACAAGACGTCAAATAGTTGACTCTATTATCACCTGTGACGCATTTCGATCGACTGTCTTAATTAATAGACATTCACTGAATGACCGCCAGCCATCAACCGAGAAAAGTCGAGGGGAAAAAACACCTGCAGAACTGCTCTTGAAAACCTGGCTAACTCGAGGCTTCTGAGCGCCTTTTGGAAGAGACCAGCATTACTAGATAATATGGACTCAACACTATGAACTAATTACGAAGTCTTGCTGTGATTGTTATTAACCAGATGTTAACAATCAAACAAGCAAAGCGTAGAGTACAACTTTACAAATGCTCAACTCCATAAGATATCCACAGTGATGAACACTGTTATGATCGTAAAATAAATATTGTTTGGTAAATCGAGATCTACTTTGAGTTGCAATAAAACAATTGTTAAACTATGTGTTTTCAATTATAAATAGTTTAATAAATTCTTGTTTGAGTTATTTGAAGAGTGTTGTGTTGTTTTTTCCTGGTTCGCGAGCTTATCAAACTATGGAGAATGTTTTCATAGTTATTAATGGCATTAGCGTTTCCAGGAAGAATTGTGAACTGCAGTGTGACCCCTTGACTTGGCAATAACTCTTGTCTTTCCTTATCTGAAATTACGATAGTAGAACTGATATCGCTTTATTTCCCAACTGCTCGTTGATTCGAATGATTAGATAGATATCTGATACCTTTCTTATTTGTTTTGATACGCTGCGATAAATTGCTTGAAAATAACACAAATATTTCGCTTGAAAGATATTAGGATTTTGCATTTAGTGGATGATACTATAGTTAATAAGATTTTCTCAGGAACTTGACGCAGGTGCAAAGGTTTCCTAAAAATCTACAGTCAGTTTAGTCGCAGTGAAAACTTATCTTTTTGCCTTTTGAAAGTTAATATTTTGAATGTGTAGTTATGGTTTGGACAAGTGCCATATTTGGGGTTGCAATCAATACGTGTTTTAAAACACATTCCATATGTAGCAAGTCCGGGCTTTTGAAATGTCTTCCTCATGGCGCAGGTTAAATCAGTTCCACAATTCTGGAATATTTATACTTCATAAACATGTACTGTTGTTATTCTTGTTCAAGTCACAAAGATGCAAATTCATCTTTCTTTGATATCTCAAGTGCGGAAACCCTCAAACCTTAATTTTTTAATTTCTTCAATGTTGACAGCATGCAGCGACAGATATCTAAGCCATAACAATAGCATTCAATTTATTCTATTATTCAGAACACTGTTTGTCACAGTTTGTCACACTTCAGTTGCAGTTCAAAGTTGTATATAGAAATATTTCCATACGTGAAATAATTAAACAGAGTTTAAAATGATAAACACCTGCAATTTTGTTTCTTTAAATTCCGTGTCGGGGTCCAAATGCAGAGACCTTCTTCTTTATGATATTATTAAAAGAGCCCTCATTTAGTAGACCACATACACATGAAGAAATATATCATCATATACGAATTATGAGATTAGTTTATCTCTGTGTGGATATATTGACAGAGCAAACACCAGGAGTTTTTTTTTCTCGTAGTAACCATGCATATGAACGATATCGTGCCAAGAGCTACATTTGTTCTCTCCCAACATAACAAATATATAAAAAGATCTTTTAACACATTCTCAAATTACTTTTGTTGAAAAAACTTCATTTATATTTGTTGAAATTAATTCTTGGTCTTTATGTTTAGAGTAGCTACTTTGTCGGTGCGTTTATAACCCTATTTTTAAACGTCTTTATACTGACTGAAAGTATTAAAGTAGTTTAACTTTTTCCCATGCAGCTGCGAACGAGATGAAAGCCTCCGTATTTTCTTCAACCGGATTTTTGTAGGTGTATAAAAAAACTAGGATTAATAGCTTGATGTCAGACCTATATGAAGGTTTTGTTTTGACTGGAGTTATGGTTATGGCCAGGTCTCGCATCATTTCAGGTCATGCAGCCAGGCTATATGGCCGGCCCGCCTCATTTACCAAACTCAGTCTTTAAGATGTTTCAGTGCACGCGCGTGAAGCCATATATGTTAAAAAATATAGCGCACTCAGCTGAATGATAGAACAACAAACCAACTAAAGGTTGCTCTCTTATTCATTGACCGTTTCAGTAATGAGTCTAATATTCAACGAGCACCCGCTGAAGGATTTGAGCTTTGTGCCAAAAAAAAACTGGCAGGAATATTAGAACATGTATATATGGCTTGTAGAACGGATTGAAAACAACAAGATATGACAACCATATTGGTCTGGAACAAAGATCTGGTGGAATATCATATAATTGCCTTTGATACAATATATAGTAATTATATACCCAAAACTGTTCATATCCGTCATTCTATGCTAAGGCGGCACATTTATGGTTTATTTACTTGAAAACTATAGACGTTCAATATTGGTTGGCATAAATTTGTACAAAATACAAAGAATCCCTGTATAGACGTTCTTTCAAAATCCAATTATCCTTTTATGTTTTACGTTTGTGAAGACCAGTTTCATTGCTCTTCTATAATCGGTAACTCTGAGTGTTTCATCAGTTTCCTCTGAAAATTCTTCATTTTCATTCAAAGGAAGGAAATATTTTTGTGTGTAAGAAATGTTCATCCATTTTGGATCCGGATCATGGTGATGCTCTGAAGCAGCTCGTGGTGCATGCATGTGAGAAAGAATAGAACATAAGAACAATAATTGAAGCTTTAGATGGAATAATAATGGCTCAGTATTAGGAGAATAATTTGCACGTATCGCTAAAAGTTGCGCCTCGCGAACAATTGTATGATTTGTATTAAGCCAATATCCTAGGACCTAGGTCATAAGTTTCTCTTTGTTTTCTATAACCTGTCACATCTTTGATGGATTTCAGCCAAAACCATTGACAACATTAAACCCTTCGCGACACTTGTTGGCTGTTGCTCAGTAGTCCGAGCTGTTTGAATCTTTAAGTCCAAAGTTGCCGGCAGGGATGACTGATGACTGATTTGTATATAACTTAGAAGGATTTGCACTAATTTATAAGACTTGTCTTTGGTCAACGGCGTAAAGAATTGGTCCAGAAAATCGAGGCGCCAATAGTCTCCGGCAATATTTCCTTTTATCAATTATTCCCGTCAGGAAATCTAACCCCGTGCAGTATCAGTGAGTCAATCTTTATTTTGAATATATAGATCATTCGCTATTTTTTGTCGGAAAAATGTTTGCCTAAATATTTTGACTGTTCTTTTTGTTATAATGCGTACAGACAATCATGCATGCTCGCCGACTGATCTATACTCGATTTTAGTTTTGTTTTGTGACCTTTGAAATGGGTTATCTGATAACCTTAACGTGTTTCTAAAATAGCAAATGGGAATTAGATTTCTAGAAAAACACTTGATTATTCTTGCATGAAATACTTAAGACGTAAACATGCATGAGATTTAATGGTATATTCCGGCGTTTTAAATGCTGGTTGAAATTGTCAGTTTGACTCAGTTACGCAGCATGGTTGATTCAGAAAGGAGCTTGTTACATGGCAACTGGGCAAACATCTTAATAATCGCGTGAATTTTACGTACATCAAAGAATCATTACAATTTAGTGTACATAGCAAATGTGCCGACATTCGCTCATTTACGGCAACACACTGTGTTTGACGTCAGAAGTCATGTTGGGGAAACAAAATATATCCGGCAAATTCGTATATGTCAATTTAAACAGTTGTTTTGTGACTACCTCGAGCCTCGAGGCAGTTTGCATGATTCTGAATTTTTTGGGGTTATCAGTAGAGGAAATATAGAAATTGCTTGTCAAAACAAGGTCTCAGATAATTACCAGTGCCAGATCCTTCGTCGTGGCCATAGTTTTGTTCCTTCATCTAAATACAAGCGGACCTACGCCACCTCGAGTAAAAGTCTCCTAGTTGTGATTCCTCAACTGAACATGGCATGCAGCTATATAATAAAACTAAGCTACCCTAAAATATGCTCTATCAGAACTAAATGCAGAAAGGAATGCTAAAATACTTGAAAAAATATTGTCCATGTTGGCCCTAAAAGTGTGCGAGGGAGTGGCTAATACGATTTCGATTTTAAATCATATAATTCAGTTAGTGTTCTATAAATACTTCTTCTTTCGTTTGAATACTATTCCTGTTGAAAAAGCTCAACTACCCTAATTCGTGTTGACAAATGTTTGCTTATTGTTCGTTGTGGACAGTCCAAAGTGTCAACACAGAATAGTTGAGCACTTGAACGATTGACGTAATGCCTAGTAACGATGAACAACTGATGTGCTCAAATTTCATCTTAATAAATCTCAGAGGCTGTTTCGTTGTTGAAATCTTGCCAAACAGGAACATTTACTTTATGGGTTGGGCTGTCATTTTCAAGATAAGCAAGTCAAATTATTTCAGTAACGCAATAACGAATCCTGAATCATTTAGTAGTGATTTAAATCAAAAATTATTTCATGTTCAAATATGGATTGTAATTCATATATTTCCAGCAGTATAATAATGAAACATGTTCATCTTATTTTTATACTTTTCACAAGAGTCGGGTTTTCATTTTGACCTAAAAAAACGAAAAAAAAGGATGATTACTCATCAGCAAAATTATCATTTGCAATTTCGACTTAATCGGCTCGGTACTTTCTTCTCTTAGGCCAGAGAAACTTGAATATTGAGTTTAACCACTGCGGCTGTTAAACACAAATTTTAAAATATCCTTAGGTTTTCTATTTTTATTCAATATAGGTCTGACCTGATCTTACTGTTCTCAATCCCCTGCTGTTGGAGAAGGTTTCCAAAATGGTTTGTGTGTGGTGCTTGGTGGTAATGTTTCAATTCTTGGTGTCGTCTTGGTTGCTGTAACAATCAAATACAGGTATGTATCATTCAATTTTACCCACCCATGTGGCCGTGGGTGAAGCCAACCTCTTGTGGGTGAAGACTTCTACGATAATGTATCTCTTTTTATTCCCCCCGCAACTTCGTACCCAGGGTCTTGAAACGACGGAGGTTGTCCCCCCCCCCCTATTAAGCTCTAGTTTTGTGTGATGTGAGACCAGGAGATGCGGAGATAGAAATGTTAAAACTTACTTGGCGGGAGATTGATCGTATTGGCTGAAAAAGAAAGAGAATAGCTTTAGCCACATTTCAAGTTCAACCGAATAAAAACGACTCGGAATAGTAGATTTGAAGTCGTTGGATCGGCCTACAGCATGTGAGACGCACGTGCAAGGTTATGCTCATCATAACGCTCTCACTTACGGATCACGTGATAAACAGCGGAGTAGTCCCCAGTCCCCAGTTTAGGAATGCATCCAAGTTTGCTACATTTTGGAGGACATTTGTTTTGTGATAACAATTCATTCATTTCATCGACAATTGCAGAAATTTTATTTTTTTTTCCTGATTGTTGATTGTAATTACTGATAGCGTAACACGCTATCGTCTGCGTCTGCATGTTTGTCTCGCGAATGGCGAAATACTCGCGGCCGGCTTTTATGGCTGCAAAAGTGCATCTAAACAAAACAAACCGCAGTAACCATGACTATATTCAGAGTATTTGATCACACCAGATGTTCTGCAATCATACCTGCAAAGTATATCACTAGGGAACTGCACATCAGAGTCAGTGAAGTTTTTCTCACTGAGTAATTTGTGATTCGACGATGGTTTCCCGCTGTCCTGGACGCAAGCCTTGTAAGCATAATTTCTGCTGCACTGATCGGCTAAAGAATTCATATAACATTGTCATAGATGTATGCAGAAGAACAATTTTTAAATCAACGTTACAACAACATACAACATAACCAAAGAGCAGCGTTGGCAGTGTCTTCAAACAACTTAGCATGCCTAAATAGACAAAACACTTCTCGACGTTTTGAAGGCCCTCAGATCGAAACGTCGACGGAAGTGTTTTATCTATTTAGGCACTTGTTATACCACATTTGATGCCAACAACATACAATCGGAAACTTAGCGAATAATTTCATATCTCGGGCACTAAATATAATTTTTCCCCCTTGTCCGGCCTAATAATCAAAACCTTGATCTGTCTGTTTCGTTCACGGTACACCATATGACATATTTGCCATAGTGTAAGGCCTCGTCATTTCTCGCAAGATTAAACATATATGGATCCTACCAGAAGCTGAGTGAAATATGAATGACAGGTTGAAACACATTAGCGTGACAGCTGTTGTCCATCGCATTATAATAGATAACATGTCTTTTTAAACACTCTGTGTGAAACATATATAATGAAACTATATGAGTATTAATATTGCTAATCTAATGACACATCTTTACATCACTATGGCATCCCTAAATCTTTGTGTAGAATTTTCTATTCAGTGTATTAAAATTATCACGAACGGGGAAGTAACTGGAAAAACAAAAAAACAAAAACAAAAACAAAAAACAAAAAAAGAAAAACAAAAACAAAACCGAGTAAAGGTCGACACAGACTGGACGCGAAGCGGCAACGCGACGCGAATTTTCAGTTTTCAGAAGCGTATAAATTAAATTCTAGAAGCAAAATTTGAAGTCAATGGACGATAGAGCAGTCAAAATGTATTATTTTTATGTAATCCACAAGAAAATTTTGATAAGTTCAAAATTATTTGCTTTTGGAAAATATAAAACGTTGAAAATTCGCGCCGCGTTGCCAATTCGCGTCCTGTCTGTGTGCATGTGGTGGGCCTTAGTGAATATAATACGTATAGAGAGAAACGTATGAATCGGGCGCGAAGTTATGGACGCAAAAGATGCCTGAAACATTAGAGCATAAAATGGATCGTATAACTTACATGTCTTTACAATTCAACTTTACTTCGAATGTTCAGTCTTCAGTGAAAGGATTCAGTCGATGAATTTAGCAGTGACAAGGTGTTCTCCTCTATATATATAAAGTCGCCGGGGTAGTGCGGCAGCTTCTCGCAAGAATGATTTTCATTGGCTGAACTTTACAGCACATTTCTGTTTCAACCAATAGCATAACTTCGTTCTTTAGAAAGTATAGAAAAGCATTATCCAATTGGACGAAAGCTTCCGAAAGCTGGGACATGTCGCAAGTCATCACAAGTCATCGTTATAACTCGGAATGATTTATTTTTGCAGAAAAGACAGACATGCATGAAATTACCGCATGCAACCATACAAAATTCGACTGAAGAAAGTCCCTTGCATAGCTATAACCGTTACATGAAAATGTTGAAACAGTACGATTATACAGACGGTTTCTTTTCCAGGTGCAGGGAGAGAAAAGTACAGAATAAAGTCAATTACACATGAATTTTGATGGCATACATGAAGTAAACATACATATAGCTTGTTCAATATTACTGGCACAGGGGGTAAGTTAAGTCTTAAACGGAGATGGAAGACAACATTCTAGAACATGTCAATGTAAAGTCATTGACGCAAGTAGATGCGCGCGGGTGGTTGTAATTTCGTCGGCTAATTATAAAACTTATAAAACTCATAGGGAAAACATTTTTCATATATATCATAGGATAGACTAGACCTTTAGGAGTCTATACTGCTTCAAAAATATATTCATTGGTGGATTTGAATTGTAAAATATTTATATTTGGATTTTTAAAACAATTGCATATCGATATATGCATGCGAGAAATGGTCGAACGGTTTTCAGGAAGCGACGAAAACGCGCTCTTGTACATGTCAACTGCAATCACTACATGCGAGATAAGAAAGGAATACAATGCACTTTAGCTACAAATGATAAATGAGAAGTTCTGTATCAAGAACGAATTAAGTTTTTAATTCAGGCGATTGTTGTTTGATGAAATGCATGCATTAATTGATGCAAACCCGGAGGAAACATTCCTCTCCTGACATTCTTGGGAAAAAATGATTTTAACTGGTGACAGAAATGCAGTCTTAACATAACATATAAATCAAACATGCAATCAACCTATATAACGCCATGTAGCTAATGGTTTTTAATTTCATGAAAAATATTCACAACGTTATACTTTGTTACTCTCAGGTAGAAAATTTAGATCAAATGAGGTCATGGCGCATGTACCAACTCCTCTCCCAATATTACATTGCGACTGCTTGACACTTGACTCGGTGAAGTGCCGGCATTTTGAGGAAGGTTTCAAAACTTGAAATTCTTCCAGGAGCGTGAAAGCTTGAAGTCGTTTGCGACTCTGTTGAAACCTAAGCATAATAGAATAAAGTTGATAAACTCGAAGCAGACAAGAGATAGAGTAATCAGTTCAATTATTAATAGCTCAACAAGTTCATTGCATTCCCCATCCTGTTTATTTCCTTCGCCGAAATTACAAAGCCTCGTTTAGACGTAGGTTTACCGGGTCGTTCTCCTTGATTGATTATTGCTAGATATTCTCCTGACATTCTTGCTACCGTCGTGAGTGGCCAAATGATATATTACATAAATGATAAGGTGTTCCTGAACTCGGATAACTCGCCTATGCAATCTCCTTAATGGTGCAAACCGTGGAATACCAATGCTTTTTAGTGCCATGTCATCTCACGAGGTTATTATGAGGTAATGAAACGGAGCGGTGGGCATTGGAGAATAGATCGCACATTTCGCTGGTTGCATCCAATGTGTTTCTACTTAAAGTATTGAACCAAACATCGCAGACCGACTCGTCATTTTCCACTGCAATTAGTTTTGTGAGGGATTTCCTCGCTTTCTTCTCATTTCTTCCTTTCAAACACTCAAAATTTATGTGGGTAACCAAACACAAAATGACAGAAATAACAAAATTCAGTTACTATCTACTTATTATCACTTCATGGTTCCTTTTCAATCAAATGAAGATCTGGGAGACCAAGAGCTATCGTTGCAAGGGAAGACGGAATGAAACTATAAGGACAACCAGTGGACCTTAATCAATGTTGGAATAGAATTATACCTGGAAACAAAGCCGGTTCAATCTATGCCAGAAAATGTTAAAGCTGTTTTCAAACGTAAAAGAGATCTTACAAAATAATTATTAGAACAACGCCAATTTGTGTTTACTTCTATAACATGATTGTATGCACATGCAGTGCTGTCATCATATAAATGTGACAAGAATCATATTGACTTGACTCAGACTTTTGACCCCCACTGTATAGTGTAGCCAAGGTCGTCGCCGGGTGCAAAGATACTCTAGAAAAAGAGGAATTTTTTCCCCTTCCATATATCTTATGCTGCGTTAAGACTAAGTGCACATGTGCCCAGTGTCACAACTAGCTCGTAAAATATGCTGCATTAGCACACTGTACTTATTAAATACGCTATACGTTTAGATGCAGGTTGTTGCCTAACTAAGTCAGTTCGAGTCCGGGAGATACGAAATAACACGGTACCGTAATTATTAAAAAAAAAATTAGTATTCTACGATTTTAATTTTTCAAGCATGCTAGTTTCACCAAAACATGATAGTCCTTCAGGAGAGTTTTTTTCTTATCTTATCGAAGAGACAAGAATTCACTACAGTATACAATTAAGTATTTTCTAGCACATTTTAATTGTGATTTAGCACATTTGTTTAGATTCCGGCAGAGATCTTGCACGAATATTAATAAACGACAGAAATGTACCCCTCACCTCATCAAATAAAAATGACGCAAAGCAGTAATGTTGCTCAGATGCAAAACAGAAATAAGAAAATGATAAGATGTACTAACTAGAAAGCACTGCTTAACAGCGCTCGTACTCTACCAGTTCAATGTTTTCTATAATAAACATCTGGACTTGGCTTAATACAATACATACATATGTAAATTGTAAGACAGGGTCACAGGGAAATATTTTAACTCCATGACTACACTTCGATTGCATAGGAAAGAAACTGTTTTATTGCGTGGACAGAGTTGAGCTGTTATCTTGACAGTCTCCTTTTCAAATCACATGCTGTTAAAGCTGTTTCCAAAAAGAACTATCTTTATTTCCCGCACCATGCACCATGCACCATGCAAGTACCCCATGATCCCATCGCATGTTAAGCAAGTCAAAATATTTCATTAACGCAATAACGAATCCTGAATCATTTAGTAGTGATTCCACCATTCATTGCATGTAATCAAAAATTATTTCATGTTCAAATATGGATTGTAATCTATATATATTTCCAGCAGTATAATAATGAAACATGTTCATCTTATTTTTATACTTTTCACTAGAGTCGGGTTTTCATTTTGACCTAAAAAAACGAAAAAAAAAGGATGATTACTCATCAGCAAAATTATCATTTGCAATTTCGACTAAATCGGCTCGGTACTTTCTTCCCTTAGGCCAGAGAAACTTGAATATTGAGTTTAACAACTACGGCTGTTAAACACAAGTTTTAAAATATTCTTAGGTTTTCTATTTTTATTCAATATAGGTCTGACCTGATCTTACTGTTCCCAATCTCCTACTATTGGAGGAGGAGGTCTCCAAAATGGTTTGTGTGTGGTGCTTGGTGGTAATGTTTCAATTCTCACTGTCGTCTTGGTTGCTGTAACAATCAAATACAGGTATGTATCATTCAATTTTAACCACCCATATGGCCGTGGGTGAAGTCTGTTTTCTACGACCATGTACCTCTTCCTATCCCCCCCGTAACCTCGTACCCAGGGTCTTGAAACGACGGACGTTGTCCCCTCCGGGACGGTATGGTTAGATCTAGTTTAGTGTGAAGTGAGACCTGGAGATGCGGAGATAGAATTGTTAAGACTTACTTGTCGGGAGAGTGATCATATTGGCTGAAAAAGAAAGAGAATAAATCCCTCAGCTTTAGCCACATTTCAAGTTCAACATAAGAACGACTCGGAATAGTAGATTTGAAGTCCGGCGTTGATCGGCCTACTGCATGTGAGACGCACGTGCAAGGTTATACTCATCATAACGCTCTCACTTACGGATCACGTGATAAACAGCGGAGTAGTCCTCAGTCCCCAGTTTAGGAATGCATTCACGTTCGTCACATCTTTGAGAACATTTGTTTTCTGATAACAATTCATTCATTTCATCGACAACTGCAGAAATTTTATTTTTTTTTCTTGATTCTTGATTATAGTCAATAGCGTAACACACTACCGTCTGCATGTTTGTCTCGCGAATGGCGAAATACTTGTGGCCAGCTTGTTCCGCTTCAAAAGAGCATCTAAACAAAACAAACTGCAGTAACCATGACTATACTCAGAATATTTGATCACACCAGGTGTTCTGCAATCATACCTGCAAAATATTTCATCAGAGTAGTCCACATCACGATAGCTTTTCTCAAGTAGCTTGTGATTTAACGACAGTTTCCTGTTCTGGACACAAACCTTGTAGGAATATTGTCTGCTGCACTGAAAGGCTAAAGAAGTCATATAACAATGTCATAGATGCATGCAGAAGAACAAGAAAGATTTGTCACAGAAGTAAACTACTACTTCGAAAGCTATGTGCTAGCTTCCAATTTTTAAAACAACCTTAATATATAATCGGAAACTTAGCGAATAATTCAGTTATATATCTCGTGTTCCGTCCGCACGATTGATATTTAACATTTATAGTTTATTTCACCTTTATACTTTATGTTTGTTATTTGCACGCTTGCACGGCAACTCTTAGACCGGACCCGAACTGTTTATTTGTCGCCACCTATGACGTACACGCACGATTTAATTATACGGTTTATTGATGAAATAGGAGAAGGTCGTTGCTAAGGCTTGGGTGAGTCAAGCGTAATTTTGTGCACTGTTTGTCTAAAATAAAATCTGTTAGAAAAAACCACGTTTATCGAGTTTGAATCGTAGCGAAATCAAATGAAATCGATCGAGAAGTAACATCTCGGGCACCAAATAGAATCACCCCCGCTTGTTTTAATTAAAATCTTGATCTGTCTGTTTCGTACACCACACGACATATTTGTATAGTATAAGGCCTTGTCATTTCTCGCGAGATTAAACATGTCTGGATCCTACCTGTATAGATCTTACCTGAAGCAGAGTGAAATATCAATGACAGGTTGAAACACATTAGCGTGACAGCTGTTGTCCATCGCATTAGAATAGATAACATGTCTTTTTAAACACTTTAGGAGGAACATATATAATGATACTATATGAGTATTAATATTGCTAATCTAATAACACATCTTTACATCACCATGGCATCCCTAAATCTTTGTGTAGAATTTTCTATTTGTATTAAAATTATCACGAACGGGGAAGTAGCTAACTGCATGGTATTCATGCATATACAAGAATATATACTTGGAGATCTCTATATATCTAGGTTGCTAACTTAGCGTGAATTTCTCCACTGAGAATTAAGATTTTTTCACGCAGTTTTTATTTACATATGAAACACTCGCGTTATAGTAGTTTTTTTCTACGCCATATATTGAAACACATCTGCCTTAACCCCCTGTTTTGTGCCAGTTGGACAGCCAGTTACGCGATAGAAATGATCACATTTACTCACATTACACCGTATCTTCTTCCTTGAACGGTATATTTTTCACTCCCCAAATGATATGTTTCGTGTTTTTACAGTTTTCACCCTCTCTTTTATACCAATTTTCATCGTTAATAATTCATGAACCCTGTCGTATATTTCAATCATCTTTTGTGTGAAATGATAGATAATATAAATTTGAATGATTAATGAAATAAAAGAGGGATATCAGCGTCCTATTCATGGAAAACAATGATGATAATTTTTCCTTTTATCATTTCATAACTATGCAATTCCTGTGGGCGTGCTGCAATTCCTATGTTTACGATTTATCTTCCGTTCAAACTGCTGTCTGCTGTCCAAATTTTAGTTCTCACTTCTCAGTGGGACAATTTCATTGAGGAATAAGAAACGGGATAAAAATTTCGCATGAAATTAACACACTTTAACTGTTTAAAATCCCTGCTTAATACTTGCAATTAAAAATTATAAATTAGGTAACATTATTACTAATATCGCCGGTATTCAGTCATTCAATACCCGCCCCCAATAGTCTCAGGAAATTAAAATTTATTTGTGTATTTTATAAATAAATATCTTTAGTGCCTGGATACAATATAGTCAGACTTTTCATAGTGATTCTTTTTTAAACACAGTTTGAAAGATGAGAACTTAACGATGCAGAAGATATCCTCCCCGTAAACTAAAAGATGGTATGTTTTCTTTGTGACATGACTGCCCGTTAATATTTGGCTCTGTAGTCAATTCCCAGTACGTCTTATATGGTCTGCCGTCTTTGAGAAACTCGACCCTCATGCAATAAATTCGAAATGCGAAGTAATAGAAAAATAATAAAATCAACATTTTTTTAGGCGAAAAATAAGTTGAAGTTTATGTGAATCACGAGAAATCTCTATATATGAGTTTATATCCATTGATGACACAGTGATTTCCTTGCAATTCAATAATTCCTGGGAAAACTATTTTTAGAATTTAATGTTTACATCGAGAGATAACCAAAGTCAACACTTTTAATTGTACATTGTATGGTGACATTTGGTTATCAAGATCTGACGTTACCTAGACAGTAATCCTGATGCATTAATTGATATTTCGTTATTTTCACTATTCATTATTTTATCTCATAGTTAAATCAGTCGTATTTTTGATCAATTCAATTTTGAACAAACTGTCCACCTATGGCATTTCTTTATTAGAAAGAATTTCTTTATGATAAAACACAAAAAATGGTTCAGAAACACCGGACACGACAACTGTTTGAGGTTTAATCCGAAATTTCAATTTCAACATATAGTTCAGGCTGAATTCTTTGGTGATTACATGTTTACATAAATTTTAGGGGCATCAACACTTATACATATGCCTTGCTGAACAACTGTTGGGTTTTTTTTAAATCAAAAAAGTACTACCGTCTGTATTGCTGTCGTCTTGCGTAGTATAAGTTGAGGTATACGTATATGCTTTGCTTAGCGTTTAGGGCTTAAACAAACAGTGGATTTGAATTAAAATCATACCTTTTAATTGAATTTTTGCTAAGTCATAAACGTCTTTGCGCATTCAAATTTCTGTTTGCTTTGGTAATCGCAGGCATGTTTTTTAGCCAGGAAATTAGACAATGTTTGATATCTGATGAGGTATATAACAGTTTGGAGTCACAATACTAGATTAACATCAAGCAAGATATTAGAGTAATTTCATACAAGACGAACAGCTTTATTCAATATGGAGACAAGATATATGCTTGGTATTTTGATACTTGTGATTGGCGTAGCCAATGGTAAGTCTTCCTTTTCAGAAGATTTTTCTAGCTTGAATAATTCTGATACGGCTTAGGTATGCTAAAGCGTGCTTACACTGAGTTTTAATGAAAAACCAAACTGTCGTTTACGATCGAGTAGATGAACTCGTGTGGGTAACCCAGACCAAGTTATTTGATTCTGTTTAAAACTTGGTGCAGCGTCAGAGAATCAGAAGACACGTTGTACAGTATGTCTAAGGATTAGGGGAGGATTAGGAGTATGGGGGTTGAGGGAAGTTTGAGTGAGGGATTGGAATGTAGGAAATTGCATAAGCATTCTTCAATTTCCAGGATATCAATGCAATGATCGGCCTCGAAAACTTGGCTGCTTTCAAGATTCACCAAAGAACAGATTGATGAGAAATGAATTCAATGTAAAGATGAAGGATTCTGACTGGTTGGGTGATAACTGGAGTGAGCATTTGAACAAATTGTTGTGCGAGTAAGCTGATCGAGCTATCATCATCTAAGTTCTTTCATTCTTTATTTGCACGAACTTACCGCTATTTATTCGTCTGCACGATCTACAGCACTATCAGTCGCTTGTGGGGTGCATTGATTCTTGATAGGAAAAAAACGTTTAATGTACATCTGTCTATCTAGGTGTTCTGATAAAGCTAAAAAAGCAGGGAAACAGTACTTTGGTTTACAACATTTCTACGAGTGTTGGATTGGAAATCTAGATCATGTTGACATTGAAAAATTTCGTTTAAAAGACAAATCGAAATGCTGGTCGAAGAATCCGAATCCTTTCAAATGCGCTGAAAATGATCAAGTGTGTGTTGGAAAAGGATTAACTATGGCAATTTATGAAGTCACTCGTATGTTTATCAGTTAGTTTGCTTGTTGATTGTGTCCCTTCTTTAATCATTTGAATATTCCTAAACTCTGTTTTATACATTATATATATAGATTCCTCGTTCATCATACCAGACACAGCGACAGGTAATGTATTAAAACTCCCTATTTTCTATTCCCTATTGACTTCTTCAAAAACTCTACTGAGAAACTGATTTTTTTTAACTCGAGTAGAGCCGACAATGAAAGTCATGAGTCTGCCAGCGAAAGGCAAACGACCTCCTCCAAAGATACCAGGTATTTTACGAATAGTACTGCATGGTTAGATCAGGCCAAGTTGACCGTAAAACTATTAATGTTCTTTTGGTTTTCAGCTCTACCACCTCACATCGGTCGTCGCTAAATATGAACATCAATCATATGGATCGATACCAAACTACCTTACTTATATATAACGTATACGGTAATATAGAGAACATATAACTGAAGTATTGCTACTTTGATGAAGGAATACTTGAATAAAGTTCATGAGTGGAAAGTCTTGTTTTTAGAATTTTTCTTTCCAGCGCAGTTGGACTAATGCAGAATACGTATTCAGGTCATCTCATAGCATCAATTTCGTGGGTCATCTCAGCATTTTCGTGAATCATCTCAGTGGACCATTTCGTTGATTATCAAGCTCTACCTTAGGCTACCATTAAAAACGCCGTACGTGTCTAAAAAGGCAAGATTAACTAATATAACAAACCAGATTTTTATTGAATGAACAACCGGAATTTTACAAATGGGACCAATTCTGTGATGGGACTTTCCCCAGATATTCTTTTGCGTCAATACATTCCTGAGCACGCTCCTCGCGACTCCATCTTTGTTTCAAAGATTACTTCATGCATCGCTCAATTCTTCCTTCGCATGTGATTGGTCAATTGCCTTTCATTCTTCATTTTGATTGGTCAGTTTTTAAGAAGAGACAGACTGAATAAACATTCACAAAGATTAGGTCATCGAAGGACTTAACTTTGAGCTCATACAATATTGAACAGTAAATTTTAAAACAATTGAAATCGAAACTGCGCAATTGTAAAAAGAGCGTTTCTTGGAAGGAATAAGACGCGGATATTTACATGCAAATTTCAATAGCCCAAAATAAAGGGTTCCGTTGTAAAGAGTTGTTTTACTTCACGAATATTTATGTTCTCTGACAGCACTGTTTTCCTTGTTTGAACATCGTATTGTTTGAAGAATTAAGGTAAGTACAAACAGGATGTTACTACAGCGAGCAAATTCTAGTTCAAAGATGTATGGATTAGTTCAAAGGTGTATGAATGTTACGTCAACCTTCAGCCTTGAAAAACACCCCAGAAATGATAGCAATTAAAATATTTGTTACAATATAATTTTAAATTGTACTCAACTACATATTTCACAGGGAAATTTTACAGAAATCGTCACATTAATTGACTAAATTTTACAGATATTGATTGTGTGACACGGCCCTGTTAGAATAAACAGCTTGTCAGCAGCCTCTATCAAGTCAAACTGGAATTATTTCATTTTTATACTTGCTTCTAACACGTATACCACCCATAGGCTTAATTTTCACCATTTATCATCTTGAAAGCAAACATATTACATATTTACTGTCTTCTAAATTCAGGAAGTGATTGCAAATGTCAGCAGACCCATTCAAGTTATGGATCACTTTAAGGTATTTAACTGTGTACCAGTGTAGAATACACTGCAGATATTTTATCTATTCAGAGTAATTTTCCATAATCATGTTTTATATCAAATTGTCCCTGAATATTTTTAGCTGTTTGAAAGAGTAACTGGTAGAATTTCATTAAGAAATGGAGAAATTTTTGGCAAGACACTAAGAGACGCTTGCAAAAAGACTGGGGCGGAATATCACGAAGCTGCTGAATGGATTTTGATTTCAGGGAACTTGGAACAAGTGGTGCAGACCAGGCAGATTGTCATCAGTAAATTTCAGGATGATGGTCGAAGTAGAAAGACGTCAAGTTCTTCTAGCCATGGCGAAGCTGTTACCGCAAAGCCCAGTGGAGCCATCAATGAAACATTGCCATCAATAGCAAAGTATATACAATGTTATCATGGTCATGATCTAAAGACTATTGAACAAAAATATCAAGTGGAAATCATATGGTCCAGTGACAATACTAAAGTGTACATTAAACCAAGTTCTGGTGTAAATCACAATGTTGATTTGTTTAATTTGGCTTGTGACAGGTTTGCGGAAGTATATCACCATTTTCATAACAAACTTGAATGCAATTCATTTGATGTGAGTCAAGATAAAGCTGGCTACAGTTCTGAACGTTTAAAAACCAAAATATGTGGTCTACCCCAGCATGTGCCTCGCCTTATTTTGGAGAAATCATCAGATGGTCGTAAATTTCATATATGGGGTACAAACTTAGCGCTAAACCAGGCCAATGAGTGGATCCGCGAACAGCTTGGTGGGGTGGTTGAGAGACCAAGATCCATCTCGCCCAAAAGTCCATCCAAAGATGCCTTGATTCATGAAACTGCAAATAAACTTAAAGTTGTTGTGTACCAAGGAGACTTAACAAGAGCGAAAGCAGATATTATTGTCAATGCATGTAATGAGCATTTAGATCATGGTGGTGGTGTTAGTTTTGCAATATCTAAGGCAGGGGGACCAGCAATACAAAAAGAGTCTGATGACTTTGTTCTTAAACATGGAGCTCTACAAACAGGGGATGTTGCTGTCACTGGATCTGGGTATCTGCACTGCAAGAATGTCATTCACGCTGTTGGCCCACGATGGAAAAAACACGGCAGAGAAAAGTGCTTAATGCTGTTCCGCAAACTCTTCATGAATGTTTACAGAGAAGCTTGCAAACTTGGAGCAAAGTCAGTAGCCATGCCTGCGATAAGTTCTGGTATTTATGGTGTCCCAAAAGAAGTCTGTGCACAGGCAGTATTCACCTTTGTTGAAGAAATTGATCACGAACTAGCCTTAGACCAGAGTGCTCGACCATTTGAAATCATTTTAGTAAATATTGACGGTGAAATTTTTAAAACATTCTCAGTAGAGTTCAATAAGTGGCGATTTAAGGGTAAAAAGTTACAAAGAAGACACAGTTTTGGATCAATCACGCGTGTTGTGAAAGAAAAGCCGGTGGAAACAAAGTCAGTTGATGACATGTTCAAACCACCAAAGATGAAAGCGTCGTTGATTGCGTTGCGTCAGCCTCTCCAAACATCTTTGAAAGATGATCATAGTCCAGACACCACATCTGTGGCATCAAGGAGCAAGCGTGGATGCAATTGGACAAGTGTGGATAGTTCCTCATCTAAGAGCAAGAGCTCACCAGGTTCTGCTGTTTCTATCACACCTGGTAGTCAAGTGAAGATCATAACAGCTGGTGCAACCACTCCGTCAACACCTGGTACAACCATTTCGTCAACAGCTGGTGCAACCACAGCTAGAGGGATCACTAACCACTTCAACCGAAGCAGTGCCAATACGTACTCGCCCGACCCAGCAATCCCAGGTCAATATGGTGCAGTTTCGTCCACAAATCAAACCACAACTAGAAATAAACATGATTCAACGACTACAGTCCGATATGAGGAAAACGGAGTTGCTTCACATTCACCTCACTCTGGTGAGTATAAATTGAAAATATTACGGTAACCGCATTCTAACCACGAATTTTAAAATTTTTTGGTGCGCTTATTTTAGGTGATAATTCTGATGATTGTATCATATGCCGGTGTCCTCCCACAAATCCAGTTTCCTTGCCTAAATGTGGTCATACATTTTGTAAGTCTTGCATTGAAACAGCATTTACGTATCAGAAGAAGTGTCCGACCTGTCAGGAAGTTTATGGGATCACTGAAGGTGACCAACCAGATGGTACAATGGATGTACAAAAATACTCCAACAGTTTACCTGGTTATGAAAGTTACGGTTGTTACGTCATCACTTACGTCATCCCGGGCGGTCTCCAAGGCAACAATCATCCCAAACCGGGGCAAAAATTCACAGGCACGAAACGTCAGGCATTCTTACCTGCAAATAAAGAGGGGAAAGTTGTTTTGCACATGCTGAAAAAAGCATTTAAAAAGAAATTAATATTTACCGTGGGAAGATCAAATACGACAGGTCAAGAAGACTGCGTCACCTGGAATGATATCCATCACAAAACCAGACTTGATGGAGGACCACTACAGTAAGTCATCCTCTTTAAGGTTAACCTTTTGTGTGTGAAGGGGTAAGGAGGGGAATCAATGGATCAGCCTCGCATTCCTTTCGATCCCCTGTCTTGTCAGTCTGATTGAAACTAGATCATGATACATATACTTGATGTTATTTGCCCTCATATCACGATCTTTTGCAATTTTTTTGTTAGTTTTGGTTATCCTGATCCTGAGTACTTGAAAAGAGTAAAAGACGAGCTGAAGGCCAAGGGAATTGTTCCTGAGAAAGACATTGAGATGAGTGTTGTCTGATGACAAGGCTGGGTGTTGCTGTTTCAGAATACGTTCATCTCAATGTACAGCATACTGCAATGAGCATAGCATACCTCGAAATCATTGAATCAACCTTGGGAGCTGTTCAACGCAACATAAACGCTGTCTCAAGTTCGATTCTGAGCTACTTTCAACTCTTATTCTTAGCCAAGTGATTCAGCATGATTGCTTTGTTCTCATAATAGAAATTTACGATGGTTTTTGGCCGCTAAAAACTCCGTTGCATGAGAATGCACATGTCATAATGTATATAGTGTAAGTGAGTGTAAGTGGTTATGTTATAAACTTCACGACCACGGGGACATTGTATATTTTATATTTTAAATCACTTGGTTGTACATTAACATACGTGAGTTTACGTAAGATTAATGAAGCCTGCCATCGCATTGTTTCAGGATGAGGTATGTGGGGTAAAAAAAAGTTATAAACAGACTGTTAGTATATACAAGTTTGTTTCATCGAAAAATAAATGGCTTATATTAAGCGGTCGAGCATCAGCGAAATTTCTTGTGTTAGACTAAAATGCCACCACTATCAGACACAAGCCTGCTTGGCTTGTAACACCAGTTAAGTTTAGGAAAACACCAGATGAATGAAATTGTATCCATTCTAACCAATATCACGATACTTGGAACTCGTTGGCACGATTGATTTCCTGTTGTTTTTTTACTTTCATTTCCTCATAACATCATCTCCATTGTTTATAAACTGTTCTTAAACTCGTCTTGATCAGCACAGCCTAATTATTGGTGCTTTCAGTGTTATCTCTGTCTCGAAGTGATGCAAAGTGAGTATCTTCATGTTTTGAAATTGGTTGGGAAGAAATCTTAATATTACATGCATTCTCATTGATATTAATTCTGAGGTGATTGCAAGTCCTTTGTGCATTCTAACATGTCTAACATGACTGACACACTTAACTTTTGAATAATGCCTAACATTAACAGAAGAGAAACCCTAGGGTACTATTTCGTAGAACTTGCTTTTGAAAAAGGTCTCGCCATAGAAAAGGCTGGCTCGCTCAACTTCAATAGTCAAAGCACTCACTATAAGGTCATTACGCCGTTCTCGAATTACCATCACCATTTTGTACTCGAATTACCATCTTTTTTGATGGGTAAAATTTATTTCTTAATACTAACAGAATAAACAGACACGTCACCATTCAAATTGCAGTGACTCGGTGCTTTATTCAACATGGGTAAATTTGCATGGTTGAACAAGATTTAATGTACTTCTTCATTTTACTCGTGAAAAACCTACAGTAACTAAGTGTCAAGACATTTCTTTCAGATATTTCAGATACGGAGTGTCCAATATGTCGCTACCCGTTCACAAACGTAACCGCTTTACCAAAATGTGGACACAGGTTTTGCAAGACCTGTATTGACACAGCATTTGCATATCAGAAGAAATGCCCCGTGTGTCAGCAGCCGTATGGAATCGCCAGAGGGAGCCAACCGAGTGGAACAATGAGTGTCAAACGATCATCGCAAAATTTGCCTGGTTACGAGGGATATGGGTGTCACGTCATCACATACGCCATACCAAGTGGTCGTCAAGACAGCAGACATCCAAGACCTGGTCAGGCATTTTCAGGCACCACACGTCACGCGTATTTACCTGCAAATAGAGAGGGAGATGTTGTATTGAAAATGTTGAGAAAAGCATTTGATAATAACTTGATATTTACAGTAGGAAGGTCTTACACGACTGGGCAGGATAATTGTGTGACGTGGAATGATATTCATCATAAAACAAGCATCACTGGTGGACCACAAGGGTGAGTGACTGATTGTGTACCTACAGACGGGGACACACAGTGTTCCAATGTAGTAATATTATTTAGTGATATTATTTTTTCAACCTGTGTTAGATTTGGTTATCCAGATCCAGACTACCTTAACAGAGTAAAAGACGAGCTGAAGGCCAAAGGTATATTTCCGGAGTAACAAATTGAACCATATTGATTGTTGAACATGGCCTAGTTTTTCTTAGAATGCCGTTTCTTGGAAAACAGTAACGGGCTTTCCTGGAATGCAATTTCCTGGAAAAGAAGCAAACAAAACAGTTTTGTAAAAATAGTCCTAGTTTGTATTTTATTTGTACTCTACTATATGCTAAGATTTGAAAGTCTTCTATCCGAAATGACACTTAATTGAAACAATCTATTGATCATATCTGATCTTAACGTTTCTTACGCCACTTAATCGATACAATTGCATAATCCTTATAAATCTCCATGGCAATCGTTAGTATACATCAGTTATCAGTGGTATCACTTTCGTTATTTCGTTTTTTAATAATAAGGTGATCTTCAGAGGTTCTTAAACAAATCGCCATGGAGTTGTTCCCATTAAAACTCTATAAAATCAGCAGATTTTTCTTTTTCGTCATAATTGTTGTTCAAGGATTTCTGTTGTCGAAGTATTTGGTTGATCACGAACAAAGTGAGAATTTGTTCGGCGTAGCTGTTGGTTTCATAGTCATATCGTTATTCAGTTGGGTTGGAGCACTCTCTTACGGAGGTCTGAAGAAGCGTTTAGGTCTCGTCTGGTTGTTTTACATACTTGCGCTGGTAACAATGATGGGATGGATCTATGGACTAGTTCTAATAGATCATAACAAATTGCGAGAAGAAGAAATCTACACAAGTAGTATCTGCAACGACTCTGCGAAAAGTTCAATGTATTCTAATCATTCTGAGTCCTTTTTTGACTCAAAGTTTCTGAAAATAACGTTATGTTTAACGCCAGGGGAAATGGTGCTCTTGTTAACTTCAGTCACTGATAAAAGCGGGGCACTCGAGTTCCTCCATTTAACAACAGTTTTGGATCTTTTTGATGGCATTGAGATGATAGAGGTTCTACACGAAGACGTCTGTGATAAAATACCTGAAGGATGGGAAGTTGCTGTTCTCATCGCAGCTTTGCTGTTCTTTTTGTTCTCCCCATTTGAAATAAGTCAAATAAAATTCGTGAAAAATGAATCGAACGAGAATGAAGATGAACCGAAACCTTGCAAGAAAACAATGAAAGTCAATACAGTCTGTCAAATTGTATTAAATTTTGCTTTTCTCGTTATTCGTCTGGTTTTGTGGCTCAAGTACGATTTTGATTCCGCTGTATTTATTGCCAAAAATTTCATCAGCCTTGCCATTGCGTTGGTTTCAGTTTTCGAAAAACTCGGTTTCATAACTACAGAGGAAGATGAAGTGAACTCTTGAGCTCTGAACTGTATCGTATATAGTTCGTTAACCACTGAATCAGACGTTAGTGTACTATACATAAGCCTTTTGCTGTAATTTGATTCTTTATAACTTGATTTCATAAAAATGTCGTACAAACCTAAACATAATTACAATAATGTACCTAGAAATATTTTTACAGACTTGAAGATAATCTCTATTTTCAAGTTTTTATAGTTTCAGCGAACGTTCACTGTTTTAATATGTGATATCTTGATTTATAATTGATCGTAGTAGTAGTAACTTTACACTTTAAACTTCCAGATTTTCCATCAATCTCGCATAACATAATGATAGACCATTTTGTAGATTGCCTTCTAGTGTCACCACCCATCGACTGTGATTCCTGGGACGGTTAAACAACGACCAACTGTAATAAGTTGGTAGAAAGTGCGGTCATCAACGCTGGAGTTGTGGTTCAGGTTTGAGTTAGGGAGAGTGCCAGAGCTCTCTTTAGCATCTCTTCCTCAGTCTCCTCGGATTCTTAAATAAAAAACTTAAATTAATAGAGAGCCATTGGTAGCCAGCACTTCTTTCTGTTCCAGGCTTTCAGCTTGTGATGGTAAGAAAATCAAGAGCACAATCGTTTTCATTGTATGCTACAAAAGAACATTTTGTAGCCGTTGTGTTTAGAAAGGAATTTCGAAGAATACGAGGAATATTTATGAATTGATTGTAGCTTACCGTGTCTATGAGGATGCGAATTAATAGTTTCGTTTGTTTCAGCCGACGATGTTTGCTGGTCGTTGGTAAATCTACAGGGAAAAAGAACATATTCTGTTTGCCTGAACTGAAGTATCCTCCACTATCCTCCACTATCCTCCACTATCCACGAGATCTGAGACAAACCAACCTTGTCGAGAAGAATTCCTCTCTTTTTTTCCTCACTTCATCTACATCGACTACATAAGTTGACGGAGATTTGTTAAAAGATGATCAAACGAAACTGCCTCTCTTGAAAGAACGGTGTATTGATGCATAACTACATGTCGAAAAGAAAAACAAACCCAGGTTTACAAGAAGTCAGTTCGGATAATTCTCTCTTTACCTTTTTTTGTTTCCGTAGTTTTTGCGGCGTCATTTTTCGCTTTGTTTTTTAACTTTCCTCTGGTTGAGGTTGACTTGACTTTTGTTGGATCAACAGGAATTACAGACAACATTTGATCTGACTCGCAATCTGGGAACACGCCACGAACAACGAAGATCGAATAACCTGAAAAGTGTGGAATGTTAGACCCGTCCTAAAGTCCTAGATACACATCGTATGGTACGTATCCTATATCATTCATACCTTCATTCTGTACTTGTGTTAGAAACAGGGAAAGATACGTTTCTGATATAAGTTCAGGACCTGATGCACAAGAGTCTAGGTTGAACCACTGTAACAATTAACAGTTGCAATTAGAAGACGGACCAATTAATTATAGAGGACTGTGAGTTGCAATTATAAGGCAAAATTAACCAAGCATAGGTTGAAAATGAAAGATGGATTAGTCAAAGAAGTGAAAGAAAGAATGTTCACCTGCTTTCCTAACTTTCGAATGGTGAACCAATGTTGTTGCAAATTGCAAATAAATGCTTTTTCATCACTAGTAAATAAATGTCACTGTCAATACAATTATGACCATGGGCAAAACATTGAGTTGGTGTTTCATTTTCATTCGGTAGTTTTACCCTGGGTTTAGTCTGGCACTTTCAGCGCTCGGACTTGAATATGGAATGGCAGATAGATTCCAGACTTCCAGTGCTCTGCAGATAACCTGTATATACATTTCAGAAAACATTGTGTTCAGGAAAAGGTGTTTCCTTGTACAAAGAGAGTGAACATTGTTGATTACCTGTATTGAAAAAAAGCCACTGTTATCCATGTTGGAGGATGGTTGCTGTAAAATATAGATACCAGCCCATGATTCTTCTCCCCAGATGTTCAATTTACTAATCTGATCTGACTTAGCTTTCACTTAGCTAGATCTGATAGAGCTATCCAGGATGTATAACATACATTCATAAACTTGACATAATCATCAGAATTCACATCTCCCTCCTCCATCATTTGTCTTTCAGCTTCGTCGAGTGCAACCGCATGCTGTGCGAGATCAACTGCCGTGAAATATGGACCTTGAACAGAAATTGAAAAAAGAAGTTGGTAGCAATGTCTTGTTCCTCATGAAACATGTTGAATGTATAATATATATGTACAAATATTTTATGCAACTAATTTCTGTAGGTCAGAAGTCCTTCTATAAATGACACCTTTGAGGCTTTCATCCCTTAACTTCAGGCATGTCCAGACTTGTTCTCATTAAAAGCTGCTTTGTGAGGTACTTCATATTAAGCAATATATTGTCTTGTATTGAACTTTATCTACTGTACAATTGTTGAACAAAACACGCACGAAAAGTTCTTTAAACTAGTCGAGCTAAAGGTATATACCAACCTTGAAGCAGAGAGTTCAAACAATGTTGGGCACATAGTGAACCATCTTGCTGACGAGGAAAGACAAATTTTAGGTTTTATATTGTAAACAGTAACAGAAATCGACAAGTGAATGGAAGTATCGACGTTAAATATTCTCTACAAACCTTTTCAAAGTGAATATAGTCCATAACATTGGTGAAATGTAGTCATTGAAGAAGACATGTACAATAATATTAAATATTATTGCTTCTTCCTGAATGTAAAATCATGAGATTTTTAGAATTCCTCAATACCGGTAGCGAAATGCCTTAGGAATCCAAAACATTCCAGTATCTTAACATCCATGAAAACATCCCAAGGAAGGTCAAAATTCCTCTTTTTAAGGATAAACTATTGCAATGACTCACTGTGTGAGCGTCATTCTGAATGATGGTATTTATGGAGTTTTGTTTACTTCCTCCCAGGCCTAGCTCCCCCCGGCCGGAGTGTCACTTGATGAATGTGTTAAAACATAAATATAAAAAAAAATTGACAGTAAAATGTGACTTAAATTCATTGATATCGGTCTTATTTTGACCTGGAAAATGGTTGCATGTTGGAAAATATTCTCTGCTATTTATTTTTGTTTTTTTCTGGGCGTTATAGCGCTTTCTCTTGCAGAGAGTCCTTCGCATAGCGCATCAAAGGCAGCTACAACATATCTCAGCTACACCAAGGCCACTAATGCCAGGTAAAAATCCAATGTTTTCACTGGATTAATCAGTTAATGCACGGTATTAGATTTTAATCCGAAGATGTTTGATATGAGATTAATTTATTATCAATCGTTCCTGTTATTCCTTTTTATACAGTATTTTTATGTATTAAACAAATTATTTATTTTACGTACTTTCAAAACACTTACCTACGTGGCATGAACTAACTTCAATTAAAGATAATTGCCCAGTTCCTGTTGCTGTGTTTACACTTTACAACGCAAACACTTAAAAACGGAAATGGTGTATTTCCAAAAAATCTAATTTTTATTTCAAGGTATATGCAGATTTTCCATGAAGCGTTTTGAGAAATATTCAGTATATATAATTTATTAATTTTCTTCGACTTTATCAGTGGTAACTAGTTCAAGGAATATTCAGAGTATACAGTAGATCTACGCAGTTTTACGTGTATACAGCCACAAATCGATCTAAAAGGTCTAGAACTTGAGTTGGTCTGCAGCATGTTCTTTATAACTGAGTTTCATCGACCTGCTCTGTAACTAGATCAGGAGACATATAGTCTGAATTTTTTAATTTAAAATTGATGTAAAATAACTGCTTTCTTTACAGTAATGGTACCACACATCCACCAGTCATCACCACCCTACACCCAACCACTGTACCAACGACGGAACCTGCACCAGCATCCGCTGAAGAAGAACATGAGAAGTCAATGGAAATATTTTTCATCCTGCTTGTTGTTGGTATTAAAACAAAACTAATTTCATATTGTCACATTGTTCAGCTCTCCTAAAGATGACCCTCCAGTACATATGTTGAGCTCTGATGAGTGGTGAAACCCTTGTGTACATGCACTGATTGTATCTTTTTAATTTGTTTATTTCTTCCATTTAGGATTGTGTATTTTTGTCATTTATTTCCTAATCAAGCGTCGGTTTCACTACCTTCCTGAAAGTGTTGCTGTTGTTTTCCTAGGTATAATATTCTTTCATTTATTTACAAATGCAAGTGGGTGGTTCATATATTCATGACTCTTCAATTAAATCAAGCTGATATCAGGTTGTTCATAATGCAAGTCAGACTCACAATGCAAGTTAGTCTTCATATTACTAAAGACAATTCTCATCAACGAAATCTCTTTCCCCAGGTGCTTTGGTTGGACTGATTACAAAAGCTCTGACCCATTTCAATGTTGGCAACTGGAGGGTAAGTTCAAACTAATTTGACAACAGAAAATTATCTTAATAAGCTCATGAGAAGATCATTGTTTGTCTAGCAAGAAGAAGAGTTGGATCCGACTGTCTTTTTTCTGATTCTTCTTCCACCAATAATATTTGAATCTGGTTACTCACTTCATAAGGTACCATGTCATTCTCTCTATGTAACTGATACGTTTTAAAAAGAAACTACAACATCAAATCAACTACAACATCAAATCCTTCATTTCTCCTGCATTTTTTTATCTATTCAGGGTAATTTCTTTGCAAACATTGGGACAATCGTTTTGTTTGCAGTGTTTGGTACAGCGATCTCCGCCACAGTCGTTGGTGGAGGCGTTTATGTCCTTGGACAGGTATATTTATATTCTAATTTCCTCCCAGCACACGCAAACTGCTACATGAACAAGTTTCATATGAGTTAGTTTTGTTTTTTAGGCTGGTCTTATCTTCAAACTCAGTGTGGTTGAAAGGTTGGTCTCATACCAGCATCATACTTAAGATACAAATCATCAAATCTACGACGTGGACTTTGAAAAAAACGATTGTTTATCTACGAAGTTATAGAAGTGTCAAAGTTATAGATTCTAGTTGGTAAAGAATGTCAGAGACATTTTGAAAACAAAGTAAATCAGTTTTCTTTACACTAGCGGCTGTTTTTATCACCTGCGAGCTATCACGTCTGCGTCGTAGATTTGATGAATCTTAAAGATCCGTTTGTAAACCTTTGAGCTCGCTATGAAAGAGCGCTATCAAAGAGCATAGAGTATATGAATCTAACAATGATTTCTTCGTGTAGTTTTGCTTTTGGTTCTATGATCTCCGCTGTCGATCCTGTCGCAACCCTGGCCATATTCCATGCGTTAGACGTCGACCCGACTTTAAACATGTTGGTTTTCGGAGAGAGTGTTCTTAATGATGCTGTATCCATTGTCATGACCAAGTTAGTATCCACTGAAAGTACTGCATATACATCACCATCATCATTATCCATGATTTTTAACTCTTTATTTCCTGCAGCACTGTGATTGGAGAGGAAGGAAAGGAAACTACAAGTTTTCTGTCAGCTGTTGGTCATTTCTTCTCCATGTTTATTGGATCAGCTTGTATAGGAATTGCGTTTGCTCTATTGAGTGCTCTTGTATCCTTCTGAAAACAGTTAAATTACAACCTTTAATGTCATCAACAGCAATTGCTATTTTCCCAATTTCATATTTTGTTTTTCTTAACTCATCCTAAGTTATTAAAGCACATCAACCTGAGACGTATTCCTTCGTTAGAATTAGCTTTAATATTGATATTTTCCTACGCTCCGTATGGTCTAGCAGAGGGCCTTAAACTCTCAGGTAAGATTTCCATCTGCTAACTAACTTATATGCTGGATATCTCTGTTACTTCTTAGTAGTTGGTAACCCCCCTGATATAGCAAAGAAAAGATACCAACAAAATAGGTTCACGTGGACAGAAATCATGAATCACGTGGACTGGAATCCCTGAGCAGGGATCGAACATGTGGACAGGGATAATGTCAATAATCATACGTTTTTCTTCCAGGCATTATGGCCATCCTGTTTTGTGGAATCGTTATGTCACATTACACACATTTTAATCTCTCGCCTCAAACGCAAGTCACCGTCCAACAAATATTCCGAACAATGTCTTTCATGACAGGTAGGAAAGTTTAGGAAAGCTGTTTCGTTATCTTATGCAGTGCCGTGAAGTAATTTTCTATCATGCCTTGCTATTTAGAGACCTGCATTTTTGCATATCTTGGAATGGCAATTTTTAGCTTAAAACACAATTTCAAACCTGCGTTCGTCGCTTGGAGCATTGTATGTATAAATATGGATTATTTTGACTGAAAGACATTTCTAAATGACCAGTCGTGTTCAAAATGTGTCATTGTTGGTTTTCCTCGACTTCTTTTTATAGGTTCTTTGTCTTCTTGGCAGAGCTGTCAACATCTTTCCTCTCTCATCTCTGGCAAATCTTTTTCGTTCTGTGAAAATCAATCGTAAAATGCAATGCATTATGTGGTTCAGTGGTAGGAAGTTATTCTCCGCTGTTCAGACCCGAATTCCTAAACTTCCAGTTCTACAAAGCATGCTGAAGAAACTTGATGTTTCTCGTTCGCCTCAACTTTTACACAACGTCTATTTTCTTTCATCCAGGTCTTCGTGGAGCCGTTGCCTTTTCTTTGAGCACACAACTCCAGTTTGGATCTGAGCAGAGATCAGTATTAGTGACGTCAACATTAGTTATAGTTCTTTTCACAATTCTCATATTTGGCGGTTCAACGTTGCCTCTTCTTAAGGTGGAGTAAACGATGTACATTTTGTAATGTATTAGATTAACTTGCGCTTTTCAGAGTATAAAGTTATGGAATTCATCCTTCCGAATGTTTATGCTATTTTCATTGTTCGATATTCTAGTGTCTTCAAGCAGAAAGGAGCTCTAATCGGAATTATGATATTTCCCTTAGCAAGACAGAAGCGGAGGTAACATTTACTAGACAATCATTGCTATTTCTCTAGATCACCGCGTGTTCTACTTCGAGTTTTTTTTCTCTCTTGCTAGGATAAAGCATTGGAGTCAGAACAGATGACAGATGACGAGTGGAGGTTACCGAAGCGGGCGTTAACAGGATTTGCCAGTCTTGATGCTAAATATTTTATGCCTTTCTTCACTATTAATTTACCAAGAGCGGTAGGTTTCGTCTCTTCCAACCTTTCAACAAAATTACTGGAAGCAAGGATCCATAACCACTACTTAACGGGATGTTGTACTACCTTGGTACGGCCCTGTTACCAATTAATACTCTTCATCTTTTCCAGGAAATACACGTGAGATCTTCGGAACTGCAAAACTTGAACAGTTGCTATAGTGAAGTGAGCGATGAAAGCGAAAGGGAAATTGATCAAACTGTAGAAAGCGGAAAATTGTAAAGTTAACAAAATAAAAATGAAATATTTATTGGCAGTAACTATGAATTTGCCAGGTAGAAACATATTGATGCATCTCTGGTTTCAGTAGTTTTATGAATAATTATAAATTAATCTAATTTATATAAATTTCAGTCTATTCGAATCTTGTATATACACCAATGTATATAGTTGTACAAAAGAGATTATTCGAAGATTGTATTTATAATTTATTTATAAATTAAAGTTTGCTAAAGTTAACTAGGCTGAATATTGTTTGAAGACGACCAGGGGAAAACGACCAGGGTTTTCAAAACAAAGGCTTGCTTTGAAAACCCTGGTCGTCTTCAACCTCCCACCCAAAGCATTTACGGTAATTTCGCCTCAACATTCTTGAGCCAACTTCCGAGAAAGCTCTCGGGCGCATTACGCATGTCAAATTTCTTCAAATTTTTGCATATTTTCCGTTACACGTGCGATCTGACGTCAGTGCCGGTATTTCGCCATATTTTACCAGGAAAGATGGCCGACACGAGGTTGTATGATTTACTTGGTGTGAAACCAAACGCCTCAGATGCCGAAATCAAGAAGGTGAGTTCGTCTTGAGAGTGTTAATGGGTAGCTTTATTATCTATCTGTATGAATAACATGATTTCAGAGGAAAATAATCGCAATGAAGTGGTGTAAATGCGTTTGGAAAAGCCACATAAATGCTACGTTTGTGTTGATATTTTAGGCATACCGGAAACTTGCCAAAGAGTTCCATCCCGATAAAAACCCTGAGGAAGGCGAGAGGGTAAAAAAAATAAAGTTTAATTTAGTCCAGTACAGTTTTTATGATTTTGTGTTTCTTAATTGCCATTTCAAACTTATTTTTAATAGTTTAAAGAAATAAATTTTGCGTATCAAATCCTTTCTGACAATGAAAAACGTGAAATGTACGACAAATTTGGGGAAAGGGGTTTACGCGAAGGCATGGGTGGTGGAGGTTTGTTCTTTCAGCTATATCATAAACACTTTTATAGCAATCTGTATATTTTTAGGGCAAAAGTTTAGGTTTATTTCATTGTCAGTGGGTGTCATTCATTTCCCATTCATTGCTTTTACACAGAATTTAATTTCATATTCTTGGTATATATATACCAGGAATTGAAAGTTGAAACTGATAGTGATTGGTACAAGCTCAATATTTAGCATTGTATAATCATTACTGGCAGAAGTGTTTTAACTGTTCATATATTTTGTGATGCTTGACCAATTTTACTTGTCAAAGCAGTTACCACATTGTTAACATGACACTTGATGTCAGACACTTAACAGGCATATGTTTCATCCAATTCTGACCCTATATAAATTCAGTCAAAGAGATATTATTGAAGTAGCAACAGAACTGTGTGTGAACGATTTTCTGACAAAAGTTTGTCTTTAAAAGTTAAGGAATTGACGTTTTGTATTGCATTCATTTAGGAGGATTTGATGAAGTTTTCTCTCATATATTTGGAGGTGGAGGGGGTGGATTATTTGGTAAGTTGACAAGATTCAAATTAGTTTCGCTAAACGCCATGGAAACTTCATGTTTCACGAGAGAGATGCAGTATTCTTTGCAATAGAAAATGATTTATTATCGTTCTGCAATAAAATACAGGAGGTTTTGGTGGATTTGGAGGAGGACGACCGCATCGAAGAAGAAGAGGCGAGGATCTTGTTCATCCTCTGAAGTAAGCCCAAAAATACTTTATTTAAAGTACTTCAAGGAGTAGATAATAAAATATTAATAGTAGCACATATCAGCACTAAAATGGAATCAGTATTGGTGGATATTTTATGAATATTATTACCAATATCTGCTAAATATCAGGCCTTGCATATTGGTTATTATAATATTGGTGAATTTCCATATTAATGCAATACTAAAATATTTCTTGTTATATCTCAGAGTCACCCTAGAAGACCTATACAGTGGTAAAGCAAGTAAACTTCAGCTCACAAAGAATGTTGTCTGTGCTCAGTGCAAAGGGTATGTTATAAGAATATATCTTGATTAGAACTGCAGGGATGGGGAAATTAAGTATTAAAGTATCTAGTTATAAATATTATGGTCTACTTAAGAGTTCACAGTTTTCATGCATGAGACTTCAGCTGTCCAAGCTGCATCTTATCATTTCTATGGGCAGCAGCTGGCTTGCACTCCATGCCCTCCCTCCTCTTCCCCATTCTCCTACAAAACCACATTGGATCATCTGGATGCATCCTTTTATTACAATACATCCTTTACAATACGGCCTGCACTGCCCAGTAACAAATTAATACTCTCTCGCTAGTGCTGGTGGTAAGGCTGGAGCTGTACGGAGTTGCAGCAACTGTAATGGCCGTGGAATTAAAGTCACTATAAGACACATTGGGCCCGGGATGGTTCAACAAATGCAGTCTGCTTGTAATGTGTGTAAAGGAGAAGGTACTGCTTGTTTGATAGAAGATCTTGACAGCCAAGTTTATACAATATTCCTGAAATTTTGCATGTGAACGTAGAACTTAAATTGTCAGTTTGTAGGAATACCTTGTGTACATATCATACACAGAACAACCCTAGCCTTCATCTCACGTCATCCAGCTTTGTGCATCATTTGGAAAGCAAAGCAACAGTCTTATGGTATTTTTTAATGTTATTTCTCAGGGGAAGTTATTAATGAAAAGGATAAATGTAAGAAATGTCACGGAAAGAAGACGGTTAAAGAAAATAAAATATTAGAGGTATGTAAATGACTCAGAAATGATTTGTAAAACCATGAGTTTGTATTGCAGTAACTTTGTTTTTCTGTATTAGGTTCATGTCTCAAAAGGAATGAGAGATAATCAAAAAATAACTTTTGACGGAGAGGGTGATCAGGAGGTAGGACCATAGGAATGGTGTTTTCGGTGTTCACATCCACAATACTTTGGTTAATGTGGTCAACAGACCAGGGGTGCATTCACTTTGGTGGGGGGACAAGGCGGGTGCATTTACTTGGGTGGGGGGGGGCAAGGGGGTGCATTTACTTGGGTGTGAGGGGGGGCAAGGGGGGTGCATTTACTTGGGTGTGGGGGGGCAAGGGGGGTGCATTTACTTGGGTGTGGGGGGGCGCAAGGGGGGTGCGTTTACTTGGGTGTGGGGGGGGGCAAGGCAGGTGCATTTACTTGGGTGGGGGGGGCAAGGGGCGTGCATTTACTTGGGTGGGGGGGGGACAAGGGGGCAACAAGAGGGACCAAGAGTGAAAACTAATCGCTTGTATTTGTTGCAATTTCAGCCTGGTATTGATGCAGGAGATGTTATTATTATACTACAACAGAAAGAACACGAGACATTCAAACGTGTCCGCAACGATCTTTACTTAGAAAAAGATATAACACTCTCTGAGGCGTTGTGCGGTTTTGATATGGTCATAACACATCTAGACAAGAGAGAAATTAAGATACACTGTCCTCCTGGGAAGGTCATTGAACCAGGTCAGAGTAAAGTTCTTTTTATTTACACAGTCATCCTTAGAAGACATGTTAATATGGAGTTTTCAATAAACCACCTCGTTTGAGGCTATTTTCATGCTTGGTTTGAAAAATGTCAACTCTATTTTGTGCAAGTCTTTAATGCAAAATCATTTTCTCTCAGGCTGCATCCGAGGTGTTCCTGGCGAAGGAATGCCTATATACGGAAGGTCAACGACAAACGGAAACTTATACTTAAGATTTAATGTTACATTTCCCGAAAAAAATTTCCTAGATGAAGAGAAATTAAAGGTAAGGCAGTTTCTTTGAATAAATCTTACTTTGGAATTGCTTCCGCAAATGCCTCAAACATGAAGAAGAAACACTTGTAAGTTTTAAAAAAACACTTGTAAGTTTTAAAAAAACACTTGTAAGTTTTAAAAAAAAACACTTGCAAGTTTTAAAAAACCACTTGTAAGTTTTTTTTGTAAAGCGAGCACTTTAAGGAAGAATCTTGATGTTTCTAGGAACTTGAAAAGTTGCTCCCTCCCCGCCCCCCCGGACCTACGGTTGGCGAAGATGTCGAAGAGGTTGATCTCGAAGATATTGATCAAGCTGGTGCGTCTAGCGACGGCCGACAACGACAGGTCTACGAAGATGGTAGCGATGATGAAGCGGCCGGTCACGGTCCCAGAGTTCAATGTGCTCATCAATGAGAAGATGTCAATACCTACCTGCTCTAATAAAATGGCTCCTAAAATTAATCTAACCCGTAGTTTTTGCATGATGATAATTGGCGGAAATAATATTGCGAGTGTCGTGGGTTTTTTAACAGATGCAAAACAATTTCATACTAGCAGATGTAGTTTGTTCCCAAATATTATAAACTATTAGTTGTCTATACTGATATCTCTCGTTCTTATTTCCACTGTTATTTTCCACAAGTATTGTGGGCACTACATTATGCACTCTACAGACGGTTTCAACGCCAGTTAGCTAAAAAGTAAAAAATATTCTCGTTTTTGTTTGGAAATATCGCGGGGAATATGCATACCACGTTGCACATACCTGAGTTCATGATAATGATGAACCCGTGCAATGAATGAATAAAAACCGCACTGACTGCTCGTCTTAGGAATTGTGAAATAATTCCAAATACTTAGTTGCTTTATTAATATGTAGAATAAGTTATTTTAAAATTTATATTAATAAAATATTCCTCAATCAGAAGGAAATACATCAATAAGAAGTTTTTTCGAAAAAACACGAACACCAAAAAAGGTTTTGTATTTTTCCCACGCGCAATTTAGCATCAAAGAGCAAACGTCGCTTTTGTCTACAAAGCATTGGAATGAATTATTTAGCATAACACTACTTTCAATTTGGGTTCATTAAAAAGATCTCATGTAAAATGCGAATGCGATTGGATTTATAGTATATCTTCGTAGCTATGGAAACGCATGCCTCATCTGAATCTACAATCATTTTTGATATACCGACGTGGACATTTTCCTATTTTTCATTTAGGGAGTCAGTTCGGTTGAAAGCACATTCAAAGCTGGAATTCGTTTCTTTCATCTTCTAGTGTTCACTTTCTCGAGTGTTTGAAAATAACGCATTTGTTAAACCAGTCATGCAAGGGCCATATCAGAAATAATTACTCTAAACCAGGGCGCTTATATATATAATATATATATAAGCGCCCTGCTCTAAACTATCACCCGTTATACGCGTTTCTCATTGGTTGCGTCCCTAATTAATTATATCTATGGTTCAAGTATTGTTCCCGATGTGTTAGTTTCTCGTTGATGTTCATTCCACAAGCAGTGATATTTTAACTTGAGACGAAGAAACCATTTTATTTCCAAAAAGACGAGATATGGTCCTGGGCAAACCGCTCACGTTGAAAATGCCCGCGGCTGTTTGGGGTAACTTTTGCCTAAAATAGTTTCAAGAAAGCTCGTGCAATTTTAGGTATTGTTTTTAATTTGGTGAATTTCTCTTCTCCACAGTACTCGTTGCCTGTGGCTTCACATTATTCCCGTGTCTTGCCGTCTCTTGTCCGAGTGGAGAGGTATGTCAGTCTATCAGGTTTATATATATTGCTTCACGGACTATATGCTCTAAGTTGTCTTCTTACTGAAATACGTGACATGAACCAGGTGGAAAAAAGCATCTAGGCAGGCGGCTAGGCAACCGTGCTTGTGTCATGCCGGTATACGTGGAAAAATATGTTGCATTTGCTGTCTGTACTTTTCATGTACATTAAATATCATCTCATATTGCTAATTATCTGCTCAAACAGATCATATTTTATCAAAATGTTTAGAGAAATAATATCGGCTGAAATATAAGCGTAACTCCTGACATATGCATGGGCCCATGGCAAATATAAGAGTTTTATTAAACACGCATGGCATATATTGTGTCTTGAACATAAATTTTTGAACGTAAGATGCTTTTATATCCCTAAATATATGTATTGATATCACTTGTCGTTATGTCGAAGCATCGTCTCTTTGCTTCACAACAAAAACATTTATTTCTTTGGACTATAACGCAGTAATCTTTTTAAGCAAAACATGCATGTGTGATTCGGAATTTGCAGTCCCGTCCTTGGCCCTGCCTTTTACGACGATTTCCAAACAGACGATAGTATATTTCCTCTGTATATTTTTTTATTTTTCGGTAGTTTACTCAAAGTGAGAGCGCTGCTTTTCCACAATTTCTAATATCCGCACGTTCTCCAGATAAGATATGATATATTTTCATACTATACACTATAGTATAAGTTTTCTGGTTGCTCAGATTTTCTGAGGACGACGCCAGACTTAAGGCTGATTTCCACTTACAGCGAAATCGTTCGCTAGCGAAATATTTGCATATTTTCTTTTCAATTTGAACAGCCAATTCGAACTTATTTATTTATGCTGTTAAAATTCAAAAGAAAATATGAAAATATTTCGCTAGCGAACGATTTCGCTGTAAGTGGAAATCCGCCTTTAAACTGCTTGAAAAAGGCTTGACGAAGTATGATGTATGATAAATGCGGTTCTTTCGATGCTGAAGTATTGCATCTTTGTTAAATAGCAAATAGATATATTGAGCGTCGTAATTTACTTAGAAGCAAACATATACTTAGCCATGCATGTCAGAGAGAACCGGCTGGTAAAAACACCTGCAGGACATAGACTTTTATTGTGAGTAGCGAAGGTCAGGAGTGTTTCAGTCATCTCAGACTCGGTCAGTTCAGAGAAATTCGGTCATCATTTCGAAGCCACGCAACTTGTCACTAGCGGCTTATAATTAGTGTCCCAACCAAAGCAATCTGGATACGATCATTTCAAGAAGTAAATGTTTGGAAAGAACTCGATATTTTTCATTAAAATTGCATTTTTTTTCTACGTGTATTGTACGTAATGACACGCTGATACGCGTCAGGAAACTCCTAATCGATATTGAACTGTTTTTATCAAACGTGCGCTAAAGACAGGATGATAGCAATTTTTCCACATCTACGGGATAGAGCGAGCATCTTGGGACCGCAACTGATTCCCAACACTTGCAGGCTGACAAGCAATCTTATAGAAGTATATGATATTGGCGTATGTCACCTGCTTGCTTGGTTTTAATTTTTTGTTTTGGTAAATTAATTTTTGTTTTTTCTGTTTACTGGTAACCATGTAAGCAACGCCATTGCATATTCCCTGGGCTTTGTCTTCAAATTGAAAAGATTTTCATCAAGAGATTTAGATTGCATTTGCTTCGCGTATTTAAGATAGCAATCATCAAACTTTTTAATATCTTCCTCCTACGCCTAATGTTAGGGTGCTAAACGCGCGCGTCTGACTGAAATTACTTTTGAATTAGCCTATTTTGAAACTATGGTTACCGTGAAATTCAGAAATTAACGACCCGCTTGAAACAACGAAGGCTTCCAAGGTTTCTGTAGAGTTAATCGCAATCATTTATCTATTCATTTGCAAAACAATATGAAAAAAATTTTCATTGCAGACTATTGCCGTGTTCTTCCCTCCCCTACCACTCAAAGGTTACTCTTGCCTTTCCCCCACAACTTAAGGTGACACTTGCTTTCCCCCACTAGTCGATGTGTGTGTATTTGTATGGAGGAACGATTGCAACCGGGGTTGCTTCAATTCATTGCAGTTCTCAATAGTGCTGAGATAGTGCCAAGGGTGGGCATGAATAAAATCGACAATGAGAGCCTTCTTGTAGCGAATGCGATTATTTTCTGTTTTCTAGCGCTACTGTCCTGAACGTGATGGCTGTGTTGTTGTTAGTCAGAACTGTTCAGATGGTGATATTAAAACATGTGTTAACATGACTGTTTCTTGTTATGAAAACGGAACGAAACATTGTGTTAATGCTTGGAATTACACCTGTGGTAACATCTCCTGTGAGTGGAATAGAACAAAATATTGTCCAACTCAGAAAAAGTGAGTATTATACTAATCATTTACTTGTAATAACTTGTTTGTAAGAACTGGATTATTGAAAAATTATCCTCACTAAAGCTCTAGAAAGAAGTGTTTAGAACTGATAGGGAAATTTTGTTCATGTTCTAAAGCGATATTTTACCGATTTCTATTCTATTTTAAGATGTATTGATAAAGCAGATCATTGCTGTACTGAGAAAGAGGAAGCTTGCGTGGATTTCATGGAGGGCATGAACTTTTTACGCAGCGAAAAGTTTAACTCCATTTGCTCTCTCCTTGCTTCAAATGATCACAACTTCACAGCCAACTACACCAAGTTTAAATACGAGAATCTTGTAGAGATGGAAGAGTGCGATAATGGGACTTACTTCTGTCCTTTGGTACTCCGCTGTATTCCGAGAAATCACAGTTGTGACCCTGATGAAGTCTACGAAAAAAGCCCAGGTGATGTTTTGAACGAGGAATGTGGCGTAAATGAGACGTTCTGTGGCCTCTACAAGCGCTGCATCCCGTCAACAGAGCCGTGCTCTTATAGAGCTCTTTTTAATTGGTACAAAGTTGGAAATAAATCGGTTGGCCCGTTTTCTCGACCTTGCCCGGCGAATCAGACATTCTGCCTTCTCACGTTTGGTTGCACGGAAGATTGTGACGATGTGATGGGTAATAAGAGTTGTAATGGAACAATGAGGGATAAGTTTTCTAATGAGTCCATGAGCTGTGGTATGAATGACAGTAATTGCAAGTGGAAACTAACCATGGAAAACTTCACCAATATCACCGACCCCACCGGTTCAGGTTTGTAGTCAGTAATCTTCGTGCAAAATTGCAAAATGTCTTTTCACATCCTCTGAAAGGAATTCGAACAGTATAAAGACATTCCTCATAATATCTTGATAATGTTTTAACTAATATCTCAAAGAGGCTATACCTGGTCATTTAGTGATTCAATATAGCCAGAATTATGTTCGCTGCTATCTATATTTCAATATACTGATATGGTGGCCCTCCATTTAATAAAAAAACGTCGTGTATTTTCACAGGTTGGCTTGAAACTTGCAAGTATCGGAAATTAATGCAACAAGTTCAGTGGGAAAAGACGTGCGAATGCAAACCACTGGCTAAGAAGTGCAAGAAAGAAAAGAAATGTAACAAGAAGAAGTTATGTGATATTATGTGGGAAAAAATGGAATCTTGGAATATGTTCATGAACGCAAGCATGTGGCTGGAAGATTGTGATGTCAGTGTGAACGTGACTGAGAAAATGCGCGAGTGTAACTCCACGAAAGATGATTGTGAAATCGATAAATTGTGCAAGCCTTTGAGGGAGGGGAAGTACAATAGCTCACATGCAAACCAAACCATTTCTGTCCGGGGTTGCAAAGTTGTGTTTAATGAAACTGCCATCAAAGCTTGTAATATTTCGTTCCTTTCAAGTTGTAAGATCGAAGATCTGTGTCCGAAATATCGTGAACTCGCTCTCAATCACAGCAAAAGGTTGTTTCCAAAAATTGTCAATGGATGTAAAGTTGATTGGAAAGAAATTGAGAAGTGTAACGTTACCTTTAAAAATGATTCTTGCGAGATTCACACTTTGTGCAAGTCTTTAATGCGGAATTATAACAACAGGTCTATGATCAACAAGACTGTTGATGTTGACGGTTGCAAAGTCATGTTTAACATGAGCGTGATTGAGACCTGTAATATCATTTTTCCACCATCTTGCAAAATTGAAGAACTCTGTCCAAAGTATCGCAAACTCGCCCTTAACAATACAAAAAGATCATTTCCCAAGATGGTCGAAGGATGCAAAGTCAAATGGGACGAACTGGAACAATGTAATATTACATTTATGAACGACTCTTGCGAATTGAGAGAGTTATGTAAACCGCTTCGGAAGAAAATTAAAAGTATGCCTGATAAGGGTTGGTCAATGATGAACAAAACCACCAAAGTTGAGATGTGTAATGTAACCTTGAACTACACTGTCCTTGAAGAGTGCAACATCACAATGAAAAAGAATGATTCTGACTGCAAAATCAAGCAATTGTGTAAAAAAATATTCAAAGACTTCAACAACTCCATGATGAACAAAACCATCAAAGTTGAGATGTGTAATGTAACCTTGAACTACACTGTCCTTGAAAAGTGCAACATCACAATGAAAAAGAATGATTCTGACTGCAAAATCAAGCAATTGTGTAAAAAAATAATCAAAGACTTCAACAGCTCCATGATGAACAAAACCATCAAAGTTGAGATGTGTAATGTAACCTTGAACTACGCTGTCCTTGAAGAGTGCAACATCACGATGAAAAAGAATGATTCTGACTGTAAAATCAAGCAATTGTGCAAAGAAATAATCAAAGAAGACTTCAACAGCTCCATGATAAACAAAACCATCCATGTTAAGAAATGCAGAATAAAATTTGATAAACGTGTTCTTGATACTTGTAACATCACCGTGGCGCCAGCAAACCATCAACCAACAGTAGACAAACCTCGGATTCGTATTCACAACATCCCTTACAACGTGACAACTTCCCCGAACAAAGGTAAACGCGTAGAGGAGATGCTCTCGGCAGCCGGTGCTAGTGATCTTGACAAAAATAAGCTAGGAATAGCAATTGTACAGGCAAAGAACAGTAGCATTGGATCCTGGCATTATAAGTTACCTGGTGGAACATGGATCCAAATAATTATTGACAACCCTGAGTATGCTGACAATTATAAAGGAAATGTCAAGGTTTTCGCGTTAAACTCCTCCTGTTATCTAAAGTTTCAAATGCACCGAGATGACATATTGTGGAGGAATGCAGAGGCGAAAATATCCGCCAGCATCGTTTTTCTTCCATGGGATGGTACCGACGATAGCACGAATGGTTGGCGGAATATCACGAGACCTTCCGTTAGAACCTCCGCATACGGTAAAAGGTCTGTGATAGCAGAGGCGAGAAGGTTTGGGTGTGATGGCAATCTCGGTTCTCGAGGCCAAAACGATGTCTGTGGGGTTTGTGGTGGAAATGGTCTCTCTTGCTTTGGATGTGATAATGTAAAGTACTCTGGAGCTATTTTTGGTTAGTTACATTTATTCATCTATTTTTCGTTCATACAGTCAGAGTTCGTGCTTTGTTTTAGCTATTTTGATCAGAGTTTGCTCGCTAAAATATTTAGTTATCCGATTCGTTGAATTGAGCTACAATTTTCGTTAGATTCGTTGAATTGAGCTACAATTTTACTTCATCCATCCACATTCATTTTACTTCATGTTATCATTCAATTTTTCTTTTTCTGGCGACAGATAAATGCGGAAATTGTACGGGCGGGACAACGAACGTCTCTTTCAACGCCATGGTTGATTGTGCAGGGGGATGTGGCCTCTCATTCATCGACGAATGTCGCGTGTGTCAAAGCAGAAATTTCTACGTTAACTTCACTGACTGCACTGGAACATGTCATGGTAATGCCACTAACAATACTTGTGGTTATTGCGTTGGGGGATCATCCGGGAGACATGTGATGTATGGTATGGACGCTTGCGGAGTGTGTAATGGGACTAACACGACCTGCCAGGATTGCGATGGAGTGCCGAATGGCGGGAAAGAACGAGATTTTTGTGGTAATTGTCTATTGCCCGCTGATCCTAAATTTAACGGCGAATGCGTGAATTTAAAGAAGATTGTTCCTAACAGCGGTCCCTCGATGGGTGGAATTAAAGTAATCCTACGAGGGGCTGGTCTGAAAAACGTTTCTACAGTCAACTGTAAAATCGTGAATGTCGACAACAAAAATGAGTAAGTATAGCAAACACTTTTGCACTCTTTCTTTTGTCAGACCAATTTTACGCTTGACGGTTAATTCATTTTTATCATTACAGGAGTGTGATTCCCAGTCCCTCAGTTAAAAAGAACGGCAGCAATTTTATCGAGTTTAGAGCGCCCTCTCTGAAGTCTGGTATCTACAACGTATCATGTGCTTTCGACTCTCAAGACATATGGCATATTGCGGAAGAAACATACTTGGTCTACAACAAGTCAGATATAGTGTACACTTCAATTAGTCCAGAATATACAAGCATTAACAGTCCTGTGAAGGCGGTGATTACTGGCAGCGGTTTCGTGAATGCGTCCGACGTAGCGTGCGTCACGCGTGATGGTCGTGTATTCCGAGCAAAATTCGAGAATTCCACGCGTGTGCTGTGTTCAATCCCATCTATAAAGAATTCCGTGAGACTTCACCTTGGAATTTCGTTCAGTCGCGCTGACCGTAAAATTGGAGACAATAAACTGAACTTTACGATTTATGCAAACGCACCCAACCCAACAAATGCCAGATTTTCGAATGATCTACGCGGTATTCTTGTTCAATTCGATGTCCCAACAAGATCGAAAATACGCACAACTGATTGCTTAACATTCTTCCCACCTTCCAACGTTAGTTCGTTTGGTAGAAGAAGTAGATGCGTATTCCTGACTCCAGTCCTTATGCTCATCATTTTAAGATCTCGACCCATTATAGTGCCTAATGAAACTGCAACGTTCAGACTTGATTCCATAACACAACGAAATCAGATGGTTATCAAACAACCAGCAGAGGTTTATAAATATCTTGAAATCGGTCAACCAACCGAACCTGTTGTACCAACAGCTATACTTTTTGGTACTGATTTTCTTGGTAAGTACATGTTAGGATTTATCATTATTGAAGACAAGTTCTGTTAAAACTTATGACTTAGATAGTGTTTGTGAATCTTCAGAGGATTCCAGAGAATATCTTTACACTGGCCACGCAATCGTTAACAGCCCTATACTCATTCGTTTTTAGGTCTCTGTGCAAGGCTTCGACTCAACGGTGAACTGTCCTACGGTGGTGGTGGTCGTCTTTTGACGTTCATATGGGGTGTGGACTGGGCCGACTCTGTGGACAGAGGAAGCCTCACAGCAAACCAGACAGCAAACATCAACAGAACCAGAGCCTATTTGAAATCGTTGTCTGATTTCACGGGCGAATTCCGTGCTCCGAATAATTCAATTGTTGCTGTTGGACCACAATATAACTTCACATTACGTGTCAAAAATTTCCTTGGCAAGATCAGCAATGAAGCAGCTTTCACCGTTCAACGCGAGGATAAATCTATCCCAGGACTTGATCTGGGTTCTAAGAGGAAAATAGTGAGGGCTGCATTGGATATCATATTGCAAGGTAACAACATGACACTGGACCACCTCGTTTGAGATATCTTTCTCAGGTAGTTCAGACACAAACCACGACAGCTTATTATAGAATACTACCTACAATGGGCTACCACGTTTGAGATATCTTTCTCACGTAGTTCAGACACAAACCACGGCAGCTAATTGTAGAATACTATAGCTATATCTACACTAGACCACGGCCACGTTTGAGATATTTCTCCCCGAGTTTCTGACATCTTATTTGGTCTTTATTAGCAAACGTCAAGCTGTCGTCATGTCTTCCTAAAGACTATCAACCTAAAGTTTTGTTTTCTTGGGAGATACAAGCTGTCGGTGTGAACCTGGAAGTTTCTGATAAATCGCGGTTGAATATTAAGAAAGGAACTTTGAAAGGAGGAAATGTATGTGATGAATAAATCTATAGATATTTCACAAACTTTCCTTCTAACTGAGGATCTGATAACCGAAAGCTTGCAAAATGAAAATTTAGCAAAGTCAAATTAAAAAACGTCGCAATGAATAATCCAAAACCTACAATAAAATATGTTTGCGTTTTTTTAGACCTACACACTAACTTTAACAGCCAGTATGGAGTCGGATATCTCTTTATCTGCAACAGCTACAATTGAACTGGTCGTTAGGGCGAGTCCTCTGAAAGCTATTATTAAAGGTAAAGTACTCGAAAGATTCGTGCTATTGGAATAAATGGCAACGAGTTAGCTTAACTTAGGCCTGCTTCAGACGTCGAACTTTTCATCTGCTGAACGTAATGTGAATGAGCTAAAGTCTTTGTTGAAGTTCATATGTATTTGATTTGGCACACAAACGTCTGGAATGGGTCATTCCTTTTATACTCTCTGGTTAAGAGGATTTCAACGAACAGTATAAAAATTAAAAATATTTCTGTCTACAGGTGGAAATAGTTTAGTGGTTGGGGAAGATGATACCTTTATTCTGGATGGTTCACGTTCTCGAGACCCTGATCTCTCCTCTGAATCTCAAACGTACACATGGCTGTGCTATAAGAATAATGTTCCGTGTTTCCAGCCTGACCCTAAAAATGCTAGAAGAAAAGAAAGAATGGTTATCCCGTCTACTGCGAAAACCAGCATCAATGTACCTCAACAATTGGACACAAATAGCAAGTAGGAAAAAAACCTTACATTAGTTCAATCATAATATATCATGCAACGTTGACGATTGTCCGTTCTGGGGTTCACAGAAGATTAATGTTTCATTGCTGATTGGTTTGGGGTTAAGTTAAGGACGGAAATGAAATGTGAATAACTAAGAATTCACAAGGTTTTCTCTCATCAAAGGCTCGCGTAAATTTGCAATCGTACATTTGTTACCGGTGAAGCATTTTCTATTTTTGCAGGTACAAGTTTGTGTTGAAACTCACGAAAGGCAAGAGAAAGTCAGAAACATTTATTGAGGTGTACGTGAAATCTGGCGCTCCACCCAAAGTTATCATTAATCCAATTACCACAGCCAAGATTAATCCAACCAAGATTCTTGTCCTGGAGTCGCTCATTGACACTAAAAAGACTGTAGATGCAACTTGGAGTTGCGTTCAGGGCGAAGGTATAATTCACTATACATTTAGTTGAACGCTATCAAAAAAAGTTTTGTCGAATAACATCAAGTAAGATTCTAAATGAACAAAACAAGTTACTAACTGTGTTATCATTCACCTTAGAGCTCACTAAATCTGCATTAAATCTGTCTAGAATATGGTTTTATTGAACTGAATGCCCAAGGGGTTGCATTAACAGCGCGTGACCGCAAATTCATTAAGAAATCTTCGCAAGATAAAGTTGTCGCCACCTCAGCGTTAGTCATCAATAAAAACAGACTCGAGGAAGGAGTCACATACAAGTTCATACTTAGGGTAGTCCACAGTGATGCATCGTCCTTTGCAGATATTGAAGTGACCACGAATGCCGCTCCGTCCCAAGGTTAGTAATACTTGATGTGGTACATGCTGCTGACTCCCCCTGATTCATCGTTAGATACAACATGTTACTCGTTATGTGTTGTTATTATGTCTCGTGTTACGACAAGAAAACCCCCAGCGCACGTGCTTCGTCATAAGTCGGGGTACTTAACAATCGCTTGACCATCGTATAGGTATGTTGGAGATCGAACCATCTTCGGGATATGTCGGAAACACGTTTACGTTTGCTGCTAGCGAAGGTTGGGAAGACGACGCTGACGACCTGCCGTTGACGTTCCAGTTTGGTTATTACGTCCAGGATTCGGGGGAAGTACGTGAGGAATTTCTTGGAACGCCATCTGAGGAAAACAGATTGGATTTTGACCTGCTGCCTCCAGGTACAGTATTCATACCATTAAGCTCAAAGCATGGTTCATTTGGAATGGAGTAAGAACCCGAGTGCATGCAGAAGGTTGAAAACAATCTTGTCCATTACGTTTCAGGAGATCCATCCAAAGACTACAATCTGACAGTCTTCGTGATAGTGACTGATATCTACGGTGCAGTAGCTACAAGGAAAGCGAACGTGATTGTCAAACCAATACCACTGGATGTTACTGCCGTTAACAAGTTTTCAGGGGCAGTTGAGAGGGAATTTGAATCTGGTAACTTTGCAGGCGGGGCAGGTATGGAATTAACTTTGCATTTGTGTTGGATTCCCCCTCATGCACAGTTTTTCTTAGAGTTCTAGTTGTCTTCTCAACTAGATTGAATTAGGCTAACTAAGATATATTTATCATTTTTCTGTTATGTTTCCAGCGAAAGCCAGTGCATTGTTTGTGGCCTTGTCAGATGACAATTCGAATGGTACTAATGTCACCACAGAAGTCGTGAGGAAATTGAAAAAAAGTTTTACTAATAAGGTACTATTTGGACATCTTTCATTGTTAAGCATTTGGTTTAGGAATCTGGAGATGGTTCCGGGTGATCTTGACTACTTGAATTGCACAAAACGATTGGTTGCTTACTGTCCTATATATAATCTTTGTCACAGGTTCTGAGTGAAGTAGAGACAGGAGGTGTTCAGGACAGATCTGCACGACTTGTCGCACAGAAATTGTTGGTGCGGATGACCGTCAATTGTAAACCACTCTGTGACCCAGTCAGAGTTGTACGTGTGTTGTTCAAAATGGTGAGCGGGGAACAGTCCTCTCCCAAGAGACGGCGACGTGCCACCGTAACTAACAACTATGACAGCATCGAAGTTAAAACTGGAGAAGAAGTTTCAACTGTTCTTAAGATCGCGGAAAACGTCATCACCCCTGACGATTACACAAATAGCAGTTTGACGGCTAAGACAAGCTTTTTATCAACAATCAAGGCTCAAGAACCTTCGTTATGCAAAGGCTTAGCTACGGGCGGCCCTGCTGAAATAGCCTTGTCTAATATCACTGTTATGAGAGCCGTCAGAGATGCTTTAGGCTTGTACGCTAATGTTGAAACGAAATACAAGGAGATATCAACTTCAGAATCACCTGAGTATATTCAACAAACAGTGACGTATAGACTGGGAGAAACGTTAGAGGAACAATATGCATCATGGGCCTGTACATCTGATGATACTTGCACTGGAACATGCATAGCAACTGCTCAGGTATAGAATGGAAATAGTGATTGATGGAGATAATAATGATGATGATTCCGATGATCGATAGTAACGATTGTTTTCATTGATGATATTCTGATGATGATGATGATGATGATAGTGGTGGTATATGTGTGTCCAACCATTTTTCATTCTTCGTTTAGTTTAAAGATGATCTTTTGATCCAGCACGATCCAGCAGATAAAAACATAACTCGTCTTAGCAATATTGCTTCAATACGTCTCTACAATCCGAAAACTTTGGCTGAGATTCCTGCCTCTAGTCTGGCAAAACCTGCCGTTCTTCGATTCCCAATCGATCATGCTGAGATGTATGAAAACTATACAAAAGAAGTAAGTTGTATCCATGCTAGATTTCCTTCTAATTTCGTAGCGCTGTTCTATTTCATTATCAGTTCTAATTTCTGGAACATTGTTTGGAACGAACACTCAGACATGTTTATATTTTATAAAGTGTCGCACGTGGAACGAAGTAGAAAATGAATGGAAGATGTCTGGGTGCAGTGGGTACACGACCCTGAACGACAGTATCATTGAATGCAAGTGTTCGCAGTTAGGTTATATTGCTGTGTTCCTGGGTGAACAGAAGACACAAACCACACCTGCCGTAACAACGTCGCCGTCAACCACAGGTTGGAGCATTTTTTATCTTTTATTATCAAACATTATGAATAATTTGCCAGATTTTGAAGTTCTGAACTGTTGGGTGTTTCATTGGGATCTCATTTTTTTGTGTTTTTTTTTCGCCAGAGCAAGCCGTGACTATCGAGTTTGCATTTGTTGCAAATTACAGCCAAATCATCTCCAATAATACGACAAAACAAACCTTCATTTCGCATCTCCGACCTTTCCTTGCAAAACGTCTCAACATTTCTCAAGCAAGAATAACGAATATTAACGTCAGACCAGGAAGTATCATTGTCACATTCACCGTTCTTCCCAGCAACAATGCAAACGACCGTTCTGTCAATTCTACAGTCCTCTACTTCAAGCATTTGGTGATGACTAATAATGTTAACCTCACTTTGCCGGGTTCCAACGTAACAATACGAGTTGATCCGAGCTCCTTTAAGATCATCACGACCTCACCAACAACTGTCGCTCCACCCCGAGATGCCGACGATGATGACGATGGTTTGAGCTCGGCTGAGATAGCAATAATCGTTGTCGTGTGTGTGTTAGTCTTCATCGCAATAATAACAGGCTTGATTTATTATTTCTTACGTGTCAGACCAAAGAGAGCGGGAAAGATTCCTCCCCACAGTTCCCGCATGCAACTTAATGAACAGCAACAGAACAATAACGTAACTGAGAAAGATTCTGGTGTTTTCAACAAACCCGTCGATACAGGTAAGATTTTTAACAGGAAAACAACATTTGAGAAATATCACAATCACGTCTGTTATCGATGTTCAAAAAGAAAACTTTTGTGGAGTATTTTCTCAAAATAATTAAACTACTATCTTAGTCAAATTCTCACATTCAGCATTTAATTTCAGATGAAAAAGCAGTGTAAAGTCAGCCTCTTTAACACACAGGCTGAAGACGAACTCGAAGAAAACAGTATTTTTAGTGAAGAACCTATTTAGTTCATTTATCTTTGAACACGTATGTGCATGGAGTAGAAAAATACATTTTTGTAGAATCGTAGTCTTGTAGATCTTTACACAGAACTGTGTCAGTAGCACTATTTCGCATTTACAAATGGACAATATCGACATGTGATTGGACATAAGTTTGATTTCTAGAATGAAGTCTTATTTTAACTCAATAGCGAGAAGAAAATAATACCAGGACTGTTAGGGTTAAACACAAGCCATTCTATTTTGTACATCCTGGTTGCTGATTATGACGTTTATATTATATAAATGACGCTTTCTTTTTGATGTATGAAAAACCTACGCACCACCGGTGTTTTTGAAAAACACTGAGTTTTTGTAATTATCACTTGAAACAATATGACACTAGTTATTTACACGTATTTTGTGTGCTGCATGTTTATTTATTGATTATGTGTTTGTGCAATAAATATTTATGAACACTTATTCAGTGAGATTTTGACAACACATCTGGTTTCATCATGTTGGAATAAGCTTTATTTGCAAGAGAAAGGTGTAGTGTAGATTTACAGAGAGATTTGAACACAAAAAATTGAACTTAAAATATTTATTTGCATCTGATGATAACTCGTTTTTCTTGTCTCCTATAATTAACTAGTGAAGTTCAATAGCAACTTTAGGACATTCCACTTCATCACTTTCAGAGACAATTCACTTCGTTGGCCATATTAAAAAGTCTGATAAATCATAAATACTCTCATTGTAGTTTTAAAAGTAAGTTTAGAGACCAACAATTGTCTCGCTTCGGGCTATTACCGTCGTTTGACATTGAGAGGTTAATTAACTTTCGTATTTCAAATGTGATCCGTTTTCGTATCGTCTGTTGTTCCAAGCTTTCTTCCATGCATGCTGTACCCACACAGCCATCCCGCATATCCACAAAGAACCCCGGATACCCTTAATCGTCTTTATAAGCATCGAGTAAAGCCAAAATGGAGAAATGGCATCCTATAGCGGCTCCAAAGATTCCAAACACAGCGACCAGTGTATCCACAACAAAATGATGCCATTCCAATCTATCATAACATATTTTCATATGGAAGATGGCCGGAAAGATGAAAGCAAGGCACATTCCTGTGAAGTTTCCGACCAATGCCATGTACAGCCCGAAATGAGGGATTATCACACCCGTGAGTAAGGTAACTGAGATGACGAAGGAGCGTGTTGCAAACATCGTGATGCGCGTCAGCCTGTCTGTGCCCTCGAGTAACGTTGTCAGCGGAAGCCATGATACATTGATATCCTGCAGCAATTCAAACACCGTATACACAGGAATTGTATAGGAAGAAAGTGCCAGGCCAAACACCAAAACATTTATAGGCAAATGAAGGAAACCGGGGGGGATATTTCTTGTGATAACCTGCTTAGTTTGATCTTGAAACGTGAGGAAACCAATGATACCAAAGCCCAGTTTTACGCCCGTGTTTGCGAGATACGCGAGATTTATGACTTGAGGAAATTTCCCAGGCTCTCTCATGCTATCCTCAATCGCAGGCATGTACGGCTGTGAAGCGTAGCTTACTACGATTATTCCAACTGCCACTCCGTATTGACTTATATCAAATTCAGGCACGGCGTCCGTTTCCCATCTTGGTAAATGCCAGACACAAAAGCCGATCAGGATAGTGTAGACCACCTGACCGATAAGAACAGCAACGAAACTGACCCAGGACACATCCGTGATTGACTTGAGGAGAATATTAGGCAAGACCATCAGGGCTACAATCGCAGTCCAGTCACTACGCTGCAGTCCCAGATGTAGAAACGATTTCTCTAAAATTGAACCGCTCAAGATCAAAAGTAAAGTGCAATAGGACATTTGTTCAAACATTTGAGCGAAATGCACCAAGGTTCGTCCGTATCGTCCGGAGAAGGCGTCTCCAATATCCATATAGCTGCTTCTTGCTCTGTATCGTTCGCCGTTTTTATAATCATACAGGCAACTTACCAAAATCTTGTTGGTATAATTTGAGATCACAGCTACCCCAGCAATGCTGAGCAAAGCCAGCCAACCTCCGCATTTTACTACAAACGGCATTGTGAGTACAGCAACTCCCTGGTTGGCATTGAAAATGTTCCAGAATGTCTGAACATTGCTTGACTTGTCAGGTTCTCCATCCACATTCTCTATTGAGTCCTCCTCGTCACTGTCATCATATTCGCTACGAGGGTTTAACAAGAAGTATAATTTTCTTCGCCATTTGCTTCGCATTGTGTTGCAAATGCTGTCGTTTCCTTCACTGCGGTGAGGAAGTTTGACTTTCCTAAATGTAATTCAATCTTTTCGTTGCTCTGATAAAATCGCGGTCTAGCCGAGGCCCTGTCGTCGTTTTTGCCCTCCTTTAGAATTGCACGAACATCTTTTATTGCTTCAATTCACGTCCGCTTTTATATCATCCTTCGCCCACAAAGACATAGCTTTCTAATAGAGAATTATTCCAAGTTTTCTAATAGGAAATTAAACAGCCACCTGTCATTGACTTCTGTATTGAAGTCCGTTATAAACTTTACCGGCACAACTATCGGCTAATCAGATTCCAATCTCTCAAAACCTTCGCCACTGAGATATTCTTCACTTCGTTAGTTTCTCCTTTTCTCAACTGCTTACCCTTGTCAGACTGGCCAAATGTTCTTTAAATCTCTCCAATATATTTCAATCGATCACTTTCTCCTCATATTTCAATCAAAAAATAAGTAGTTAGTTTTAAATAAATGCCAAACTGTTTGTCATAATTGATTTGCTCTATTTGTCTGCCCTTATAATGAGTTTTTTCTATTAAGCCACAAGTATGTGCTGCAGCTGACCAGATTTAAACCATTAAATAATTCATGCTATCCATTTCAATCCAGTGTCTGTTTGGACAAAATAAACCAACTTTACCCGAATTTGAAATGCATCAGTCAAACGTCCCGTCTTCTTATCAAATTTCCCTGATATTTCCATCGCAACGGGCGTAGGCGTTCATAAATAAATTGAAGTTTGACTTTTCTTAATTATTTCTTACTTTTTACATCGCAATTATGTCCACTCGAAATAAACTGGCCCAGAATTGTCAAAGATTGAGAGAAAAAGATTTGGCAGCTCGGTGCAGAGTTTGTGTATGGAAACAGCTTAGTTTTTTTTTGTATTAAGCAACTACAGTTGCAGTTATAGCTCTATTCCTTTCATTTAATCGAAGACTTGATACTTTTCTGACTTAAGTAAACAGTCAAGGGCGCTTCTCCATCATAATGACTGCAAATATTCAAATATGTTCGTTATGAAATCTTCGATCCATTTTTAAGACGTTTTCGAAAAGTCTTTTGTGTCAAACGATTAGTTATCAGTTCGAGTATTTCGAAGCATGAAATATTTGACTCCAAGAATTTTTCTTAATCAAGAGTAATCGTGTGGCTTGTACAGTTTGGCCTCGATGATTTTCTTGCTTTAGTTCCAATGAATAATTTATCCAATGCATACGCAATCAGCTTTATTTAGTGAATCTGTTTAAGGAATGATAAAACTTTATTAAGTTTTTGTTGTGGGTTGAGGGGTTGAATAAGTTAGTCTTTCAAGATAATGATCTTGTCTCGAAGGCTTAATTAAATTGTAAGTTTTCCAGAATGTATTTTCAAATATTCTTCTTATCTCAAACGTGCGTGTGTGTGATTTCATGTCCTTAGGTGCTGTAAAAAAGTAAAAAATGATCAAGATTGTGTCTGAACAACAGGATTTACACAAACGATGATATTTAAATCCCCATTTTATTTACTCTTTGAACCTGGATTAAAGGATTATCAATAAATTATTTTAATCTCTTTGTATTGTACAACATGGGTCAAATGCTATTTGTAAAGGTAATTCATGCGAATGATCCATTCGTTCTGATAGGATGGCACATTGCCATCTTTTGTTATCGTTGTTTGGTAATTGTTACTGCAAAAAAACATAGTTGATAGACCATTGCAACATTTCCGCCGGCCGCCTCGTTCTCAAGCGATCACGTGTCTGTACTTTAACGAACCTATTTTTTTACGCAGACGAGCATCGCGCAAGGCTTGATGGGAAGAAGCATCTTCTGAAGAAGCCAAGATGGCGTTACGAAATTTTCAGATTTTGACTAGAAATGGTCGTTTAAAACCGCTCGTTAATGCTGTAAAGGTGAGGATGTCGTCTTATATTTTTTATGGAAGAAATATACATATGTTTTGTTCAACATGAGCGAATTGTTGGGTGAAATAAGTGTATTTCCTGTTCAAAAACATGAATTGAAGATGTACAATTCTTGTACTTGTGTACAAGTAGAAATATATGCTACAACCATTTTTAAGCAAATGAACAATTCTTTCTTTTAAACTGTCCAAATTTTAGAACATCTCATAAAAACACTTTGAGATTGTCTTTAAGGCATATAAATCGACAGAAATATATTTTTTTTATACGAAATATTTGACACCGTCACACCGGTATCACATCTGTAAACCTCTTGCAAAATCATGTTGTGGTATTCAGCGTCTGGTTTCTATAAAAATATAAAATTAAATTAATTCACAGGCCAAGTGCATGAGCTCAGCACCAGGAAGTACAAAGAAATCATCAAAGGTAACATTCCACTTCCAGTGCTTTTTATATGGATCAAGGTTTATTTTTCAACCTAATTGTTCAACAACAGTTATGAATGGTTTCTTTCTTGTAATTCAGTCCTGGGTTGCTCTTGGCTTGCTAGCAGCAGGTGGTAGTGGCGTGGCTTTACTTGGTGCAACAGTATATGCCGAGGAGTTGGGGTTACATCCACCCCACTTCCCATGGACTCACAAGGGTTGGACACAAAGTTTAGATCATGCAAGGTACAGCAAGACTTCTTGTCACCTCAATTGATCAAGCTTTGTGAAATTTTAAAGCATTTTTACCTTTTATAGCATGCGACGAGGTTTCCAGGTCTACCAACAAGTGTGTGCAGCTTGTCACAGCATGAAGTATATTGCATTTAGAAATTTAGTTGGAGTTACTCATACTGACGAGGAGGCCAGAGCTTTAGCTGAAGAGGTATTTGAATGCAATATATCCTTGTCAGGTTTTTTTTGGGATCTCTTTTAAATCTTGATTGTTGGAAGTTAAACAACATGTGCAGACAGAATGAAATCTATCAATTCAATTTATTGTAGATCCAAGTTATGGATGGTCCTGATGACGAGGGAAATATGTTCGAAAGGCCAGGAAAGGTTTGCTGCTTTCTTTAAAATCATAATCCAGTTTTGTTTGTCAACAATGACTTAATTTTTTACCTTTGAAAAACTATATAGCTTTCTGATTACCTGCCTAACCCGTACCCTAACGAAGAAGCGGCCAGGGCTGCTAATGGAGGTATATTCAATCATAGATTAATTGTAAATAGTAGTGTAAATTATTGCAAATGCAAAGCATATAATTTTTAACCATTGTTTTGAATCTTCAGGTGCTTATCCTCCGGATTTAAGTTTTATTGCAAATGCTAGACATGGCGGTGAGGTGAGTAATTACAGTTGATTATAAGTATTGGTATTCTCCTTTCAAAATCAGACTATGTTCTAAAGATATAGAATGTATTAGATTGGAAATGAATTTATGCTTTTTAGGACTATATATTCTCAATCCTCACGGGATATTTTGATGCTCCAGCTGGCATTGAACTTCGAGATGACCTTTACTACAATGCTTACTTCCCTGGTCAATCAATAGCAATGGCACCAGCTTTATATACTAATATTATTGAATATGAGGATGGTAAGTATCTCTGTTTAGCTATTTGTTTAAAATCACCACCAAAATTCCCAATGCAATAAAATTTTTGTTTCTTCAAAGGTACCCCTGCCACAATGAGCCAGTTAGCTAAAGATGTTAGCACATTTTTGAGATGGGCTGCAGGTGGGTTGATATACATATTGCATTGATATACATATCATCTCAAAACCACCTTACAAACTGGACTGTTGGGCCTAATATTAAACAACACATCAATCCACATGCAATGATATATATGTTTGATCTCAACTTTGAGAATATTCTTGTTTAGAACCTGACCACGATCAGCGTAAGAGAATGGGAATAAAGGTAATGACGTTTTTTTTCAATTTTTTTTGTTTTTGACATGTTTCCTAAAAACAACCGGTTCTCTCTACCTGCTAGGCACTGTCAATATTTTCCATACTGGTGCTTGCTTCGTGGTATTACAAACGACACAAGTGGAGTGTCTTGAAGAGCAGGAAGCTAGCATATTGGGCTGCATCAAGATAATACAACCATATAAGAACGACTTTTGCAATTGTATTTATGTCTTTACCTGGCTTAGTGACGACAAAATTTGTGACATAATTTGTTGGTGGATACCTTTATGGAGTGCTGTTTATTTCATGCAAATATCAGCATGCGTTTGAAGATAAATCATATAATTTTTATTTGTTAAAAACTAATAAATTTTAGTCCACTATTGTGGATCTTTAAAAAAGCAAAATGGTCTCTTTTAATGGTTGCAGTTACAGTAGGTAATTGAAGAAGATTTCTGGAGAACCAAGATGGGGCTTCAGTACACATTTGAAACATAAGGAAAGATTTTACATTTTACTACAAAATAAATTAGTCCACAATGAAAATTTACATTGTATTGTAAGATTTTTTAAGGTGCGAGGTTGTTATAAAATATTTCATGTTTGATTCTTCATGGACATAAAATACAACTGAGAGAGCCAGCAGAGATTGATCACATGTACAGGAAGGAAAATCTAAATTGGAAAAAATAGAAAAATACTGTGAGAAAATCTGAGTTGAAAATTGGGACAACCAATGAACTAGTTACTTTACCTGCTCAGCAACTGAGGAAGGCTAGCTATGATTGGTCCATATCCTGGTGAATTATCAAATAACTCAAAGAGTGGGGCTGCGACCAACTTGTAGTTTCTTGGCACAGCAAAATTTGCTGAATGAAATATAGGAAGTTAAAGTCATCATTACACAGTGAATAACTTAAGAAGGTTGTATAAAAAGCTACAAGACCATACCTTTTTCACCAAGTTGCATTAGGAATAATTTCTTTTGTTCTTTAGGTTTTGATATATGTGCAGGAATATATGGATACTAGAAAACATACCAATGATATCTCAAGGTGATATTTCTAGGATGAGGGTACAGAACATCATGTTTTTACCTGTGGAGCTTCAAAGTTTGGCCTCCACCAACTCCCTAAACTGTCTTCAATCACCCATTCCATCTCTTGGTTACTTTCTGGACGTCCTAGAATCTGTGACAAAAAAATATATTTTTTATATATTCAAGGAGGTACATGGTGGTAGTTTTAGCTCATGGTACGTACCTCCGTCATTGCTCTTTTCAATCCTTCATTCTCATCTTCACCGGGAGTAAGTTCCCCACCAGGTCTTTGATGAAAAAATTAAAAGCTATTATCTATGTCTGCATATTTTCATCAACTTTAGATCACCACATCCATACTTACAGTTTAAAAAATGTTGTACCAAGTTGTAGCAGTAATATATGAGGTAGGCCATGCTCGTGAACAATTAAAACACCTTCAACTGTTTTTCTCATTCCAAACTTTTCATATTCAGCTCTAAACAAATATGGAAAAAGATGCAGTTATTTAAAATTTATGTACCCAATAGTAACTAATTTCATTCTTTTAGAAAAGAACTATGTAGTTTATACCTCATTCGTTGAAATCTGGTAAAAACAGAACTAGAAAAGAAATCAAATTATGACTTATAAGAGTTGTGTTATTAATGAACAGTTTTATGCTAATTATTTGTGTGATGTTTACTATATTTTCTTTACCTATCTTTCTCATATAATGCTTCTTTAGTTCCAAAAGTATAATTTGTTAACGGATACCTAAAATACAAGGGTAAAACATCAAACACTGAAATGTCTATAAATGTCTTCAGTCTTCACTCCTAGTCGTATTTTGAAGTGGTATTGCATGTCATCTACGCCTCACAGCTTACTTACAATCTGACAGTTCTTTCTACAGAGTAATTATTTGTTGCTCCAACTGACGGTAAGGCATAACTGCTACCACTTGTCGACCTACGAGGCCATCCAGCAGCACGTGCAACACCGTCTCTCGCCGCCATCTTGTATTGTTGTTGGCGTTCTTGTTCGATTAGTTATGCAATTAGCGACATAATTATTCCATAATTAACAGAATCACTCAGAAATAAGGGGAACGTAACTTTGACGTGAAAAATGTTTCTTGGAGTTATTGATTCTGCCTTAACCGAAACAATATTTTTTATTTAGTTTTCACGAGAAGACTTAGTACTGAAACTGTTGGTTTATCATTAGAGTTTCTATGTATGCGCGCGCATCATAAACATGTGCCTCCCACATGCGTTAGGATAATGCCAGTCGTTTAAAAGCCTGCTTGAAACATTTTTCGGTAGCTTTGCGCAGTGGCATTATCGTAGCTGATGAAGTTCATCTGAGGCGCGATTATTGCTGATTGAAAACTTATACCAATACCCCGCCAGACGGCCTGAAATATGGCCGGCTGTGCAATTTTTTTTGGTCCTTCATTGGACCGATATTTACAATAATAAAAATACTTGAAAGTTGTTTGAACAATAACTTTTATAAGAGTTGTTTACCAATAATTTTTATAATAAGTGTTTTATTTCAGTCATTACTTTACATATCTTTTGAACTCTCTAGTTCACTCTCCATTCTTTCTAAAACCTTTTCAGTCATTTTCAACTGATGTTTCTTTTTAGCATTTTGCATAGCTATTTCATCTTTCAACACTTTATCATATGGAATGACATAGCTCAATCCTTGCATGCATAACCCTATGGGAGTACAAATTCCTGCACCAAACAGCGCTCCAATAAGAATGCCACGAAAACCAGAGAAGAGTTTATACACAATTCCTGTGGTAGCACCTGCGGCAATATAGTTTAAAGCATCTTCCTTGTCTCGACCAATAGAGACAGCTGTAAGTGTTGTGCTGTAAATCCCAGAGTATAGTCCAGCTCGCCAACCCCAACGGCAACCATATTGAAAAAATCCTAACAAAATTGCTGAGAAATGTTCCCTTTCAGCCTGGACAGATGATGTATATATAGTTAGTTTATTACTATTGATATTTGAGACTCCACGTATCCTAGCACCATAACGGCCACCAATCATCATTCCCACCAATGATCCGCAACATACCACTACAGGAATATGTGCAATCTCTGGACGGATTTCCCCAAACTCGTTTTTTGAGAATGCTTGTTTCACTCGACCCCAAAAGGTGTCTGGCCTTTCATCATCAATAAGCATAAATTCTGTCATGGTAAAGCATTAAATTTGGTATAAAATTGACAAGTAACTTTTTTTCTTTCTTACAATTGATCTGGTGGCTTTACTGGACTATATATATAGTGAGATCTCACTGGACTAAATCACTTTACAAAATGGCGGATGAGGGTGCAAGTCTGAATTTAACTGCTGCTAGTCAGGATTTCGATGCCAGTGAGAAGGAAGATGAGGTGAAATATATACGATTTATTGTTCTATTTTATTTTCCTCTAATTGAATGTGATAAAACGAGCAAAGATGTTCAAAATAATGCCAGTGACTCCCAGTACTATAAATTTAATGTAATCTCTAAACTTCCATAATTATGAGGGCATTTTAATGCAATACCTTGGCCTTATTCCTGTGTTATTTCTTGCAGTTTATCGCTAAAGATGTTCCTGAACTTGTAGCTTTGCTATCGGACCTTAATGACAAGGTATTTAGAAGGAATTTTGAATTTTCCCATACCAATGACTAAATGAGCATGTGAAATTTATATTTATAAATTGTTGAATTATTAAATGAGCAATCAGTGCACATTTTCTGAGTCTATTAATTTACGATATAAACTGCTACTTTAGCTCTCAGATGCAAACAAAAGAACCACGTCACTTATTGAGAAAGTAGACACCAACACATTATCTACTGAAAAGGTAAAACTTCAAAATTCAATAAATAAATATTTTGTGTGATCATTCACCAATCATTCATCTGAATTGTATATTAATACAGGGAGTTAGTTTTCTGGAAATGAAATTTCATTTATTGTTAAGGTACAGTATGCTATGTTGAAAATTTTTCATTTAATCCTACCATATCATAATAAGAAACTAGAATTTACTTTTATGTTTTTAGTTACTTGATAAATTTAGTGCACTACATGCTATTAAAAGCTCATGGTAAATCCATTGAAGGCAGTCCTACTGTTGATCGATTGGTGGAGCTACGTACAGTAAGAGATTTTCTGGCTTGGTAGCCATTCTATGTAGCCATCACTGAAAGTGTTTGAGGTTTTCTGAATATCCTTTAACCCAATATCCTGTCTTCAGGTTATGGAGAAAATTCGCCCAATTGATCAGAAATTAAAATATCAGATTGATAAACTGATTAAAATTGCAACTACAGGACTTGCAGGTATGCTAAGGGTTAACCTAGGATTTCTTAGAATCTCAGTTGACATTTATCCTACTCAAATATTTTCCAATTTAAGTTGTGAATGCATGTGTGTTTCAGGACAAGAAAATGATCCTTTAAGATTCAAACCAAGACCAGAAAACCTTGTTAGCAAGGTAATCTACTATAATTTGTTATTAACAGATTGTCGTATAGTTTCATGATGAAATGCTCTGTTTTGTTTCAGCTTGAGGAGACAGAGGAAATGGACGAGGGTGAAGCAAAGAAACCAGGAATTTATGTTCCTCCTAAAGTTGCTGCTATGCATTATGGTAACTGTTGCAACAACATCTCTACAATGTCCAGTTTAAATCAGTTGTCTGATTTGAGAATTTGTTCAAATAGATGATGATAAAATGTCAAGATGCAGAAAATCAGAAGAGACAGCCAGGAAGAAAGCTTTGAGCAGTTCACTTCTAAAAGAACTTAGAGGTACGTATTGTTTCATGATGGTAGTGGGCTGTATATGTCAAATGATTTAAACTAGTTATTGCAGGACTAAGGTGTTCTACTTTCAAGAATTTTTATGTTACCATCTGTAAATATCATGGGTAATTGTTATATGTACCATTAACTTTTCAGACGAATACTCTGAGGCTCCTGAAGAGTTGAAGGTGCTTATTAAATTATTAACATTTTTTTTGAATATTCAATTTAAAATCCACATTATTTAATGAGAATGTCAAATCCAATCATTTTTGAAACATCTTCTGCAGGAAGGAGAAGTGTTTGATAAAAGAAATGAGAAAGAGATTGATGAGGACAAGCATCAGCAAAGGTTGATCTTACATGTTATTTCTTATCTTTTATACAGGAAAACTAAATTTGTCTTTTTTAAATCTTACAGATACGAAGAAGAGAACTTGGTCAGATTAATGTCAAGAAAAAGTGGAAAGGTGCAATTGAAAATCTATTCTAGAAAATTATTGTCACTGTAAGCTTGGAAGTCTGATAAAACCCATTTTATCATTTTCTAAAAATTTAGAATATGAGGAGACAAACTCAGTCACTGGATGACTTAACCAAGTTCACAGATCTGAGTGTTTTGACAAAGAATATTGTGGGTGATGAGGTACGATTAGAGGTAGCCTTAGTATATAAGTGGAAGAGGTTTTTTCTGATAGTCTGATAGATAACCTTTTTTTATTTTTAGTCAGAGGACAGTGAAGATGGTGGAACACCAAGGTTAGATAATTCATTGATGCATTATGTTTTTTATAGAAACTATCTTTTGAACTTTTTTGTGATCCTTACAGGAACACCTCCAAAAAGAAGAGAAAGTCAAGAGTATGTAAAATAATTCTGAATCCTATAGAACATGGTACAGACTCCTGTCTAACTTTATTCTTATACTATATTTGCAGTCATTTGGCAAGTCAAACAGCAACAAGAAACACAAGAAAGGTATAGTGAATATTTATTCTTAAATCTTTTTAGGTTCCATCCTTCACTCAACCAAACCACCTTTATATCTATAATCAATTTCTTTCAACAGTTTGCTATGTAGCAGTTCATATTTGCTTTCTCTTTCTGCAAGGTTCATTCAAGCGAAGGCAATGAGCTTTCTGATGGTGTTCAAGGTGGTCAACTCAGTGCCATTCCTCCACCAGAAAATTCCAGTCTCTATACAACGAAAGATCATCAAATTGGAACAAGTGAATTGAAACAAACAATATTTAATATCAGCCTGTTTTTACCTCTTTATGTTCAACAAATTCAATCCAATCTGAGGGTGAAGTGGGTAATAAACCCATGGATTGACATTTATATAAAGCCATGAATAACAATGCAATATTCCCAAGCAGGTAAATGATCTTCATAAGAAACGATTGGTCACCTTCAAGAGTTGCAAACGCTGTAATGTAATATTCAAAGATATTAGTATTATAACATTTGAGAAAGTGTACTCAAGAATAACTGTACCAATACTTCACCTGATGATATTGAAAACAAGGCTTTCACTGGCTTCAGAAACATCATACCAACCATCATGATTGGGAAAAGGGAGATTGTGTTACCAGCCATGTACATTATAAATAACGTCATGGGAATCTGTTTTAGTGGACCAATTGCAATATCCCAGGATTTCTAAATATGAAATACGATTTGAGAATAGAGTTTTATCTTTTCTGCATGGTCTCAAAACAGCATACATAACAAAGCTTCGAGCTTCATCCAAGGCAGTTTTACCTTTGTGACTAGATTGTGATCAATTTCATGAGAATCCTAAGTAAAATTTAAAAAAATTAGCATCATGGAGCCATTGCAGTAACCCAATAGTAAAATATCTTAAATCACTTGCCGTGTCTGTAAGTTGTTTGTCTGTGTATCCAGCCGGGTTAGCAAGTTCAATAGTTTGATGAGTGTATTTGTCAATAGGCATGTATTTTGGTCTAAACAGAAAGAATTTGGTGTAACATGACCTAGGTTTCCACCAAGCCTCGTTTTCATGCCAAATTGCAACATTGCACAACAAGATTATATAAGCTATGTGGTGTAGCAGGTTGGTAGATTTTTACTTCTTGCTACTGAGAAACAGCGTAGAAATCACTTCTGCACCAATTTCTGCTAATATCAACGAAAGCTCGAAAACATAGTAACATTTGCGTATTTTTACTCCTGACCAAAACAAGAATATCTGAACAGTATAAAGTGATGAAATGAGCCCAGAGTGTTAGGTATAACAGTCCTCCAACCAATCATGAATCTAACGAACCTGGAAGTTAAATCTAATGCCCATTTTGAGACGTTTTTTCCCTTCGCGACCACGTTTCGAGCGGCCATCTTTGATATCGCGCGTCTTTATCAAAAATGGGAGCCTGAGGAGGCTTCTAGTTCCCGGATGAATGATGAATGGCGTGTAGCCGCGGGAAATTTCGAAAGCCGCGGGAAGAAGGATTCTGGAACTAAGGTATGCAATATCGTAATTTTTAGTGGGTTTTTCTTTTTCGTTTCTTTATCACTTTATATATTTTAACTATAATATGTTTTGTTGTAGTATTCCGAGTTAGATTTGTTGTGGGAAAGCGGAGATTTGCAGGTATTAAACGGTGTGCTAATGGACTGAATGTAGTGAATGGTACCATGCTGCATATTTGAAAATGGCTAGAAATATATTTATGGAAGTTTAATCATTTTAAGAAGATTTATAATATAATTTATAGTAGAGTATATCAGGTTGCAGGCTTTGTCTTTGTTATTGTCATTATATTATTCATCATTCATGGTAGGTGGAATATGAACCAAATCTTGGGTTCAGCCGTTCAGGCTGAATGCTTACTTATTGAGCCTGGTTACCTGAGGTTCAACAAAATTTGAGATATTTTGAGGAATTAAAATGAGCATTTACTAACCAGATAATCACACGCTATAGTCAGAGTGACTATATCAATGCTAGGATCATGTTCATATACTCATTTCAATACCTCAAAATCTTCTCGTTTAATCTCTTAGAACCGGGATCATGCATGTAAACAGGCCCTTACTTAGACACCTGATTATACTGTTCACTGTGACCTTCTACGAAGGTACCGTTCTCTCTGCAACCTCATATTTCATACTTCTAGAAACATTAAAAAAATGGAGTCAAGTCCATTGAATGAGATGGATAAAAAGGTTGATCTGTGTACACCAACAGAAAACTTACACAAACATTGTCAAGAAATCACCCCAGATAACCCTATCGAACCTGACACAAGAATTTCATTTGGAACAAAAAAGGTACCAGTAAAATTTCAGTATTTGCATGTCTTTCGATCATGGATTTGCTATTTTTATAAATAATATTGCAAAATTGAATGTTAATTTATGTATGTATATATCATACACTTCATCTTCTAAAGTCCTCTGAAGTTGGGTCCAACCAAAAGTTGTCAAAAAGAAAATTGTTTGAACAGCCTGTTGTTGGTCAGACAAAAGGTAAATAATTTACTTATAAAATAAACGAAGATGGTCATGATGGGTTGAGGATTACTGTACAACAAGGTTTATAAAGTTCAGATAAAAATCTCAGAGCTTTTACAAGAATTCTTAGAATGAATCTTCCTAGGAGATGAGAATGTTTCTGAGATGGTTTACAAGAAAAAGCTGAAATCTGATGACACAATCAGAACTGAGGTGATCAAGGATAGTCAAAGACGAGGGAGCGCCAGCGGGGACTGTGCCCCAGGGAAACGCCCTTTAACGGAACGTCAGCAGCTTGCGTTCCTTCTTGAAGCCACAAGCTCACGCGAGAGTCAGGAGGATGAAACTAATAGCAAGTTCACGAAAATCAAGCCACGCAAAAGGATAAAGCGAAACGGGAAATGTGTGAACCCGCGCGTATATCGACGGAACGAACGAGGGGAGACTCCATTGCATCTCGCTGCCATTAAAGGTGATATTGATGGCTTGAGGAAACTTTTCAAGGATGGAGCAGAGGTTGGAGTGAAAGATTACGCAGGTGAGCAATCGTAAATACGTGATGGGTAAACTGATTTTTGATCTAGTACGAACTCGACTCATATTAAGCATTCATGCATCTCACAGGTTGGACAGCTCTTCACGAGGCATGTAACCATGGAAATCTTGCTGCAGCTAAACTGCTGGTCAAGCGTGGTGCTCACGTAAACGTACCAGGATTTGAGGGTGACACACCATTGCACGATGCTGTGGTAAACAACCATGTTGAGGTAATATTTGTTAACTCTTAGTTTCTCTTAATATTGTAGCCCATCAATCATTGACTGACTGACTTCTATCGTTGTGCTGGATGTTGATGTGCATTTTTCATTTCTCCAGGTTGTAACTATGCTGCTATCTTGTGGTGCGGACCCACATCAGACAAACATGAAAAGAAAGAAACCTTTAGATCTGATAAACAGCAGTGAAATGAGCAACACCTTTAATTCACATGGTATACATCACTCGTATTTTGAACAGAAAGACGCAAAAACTCTCAAACAAGATGTGGTGGCCTCCAGCAACAATGGAAAGGTATTGAATGAAAGTAATTCATTTTACAGTTCCTTTTTCCCGGGTGTGATAAGCGGTTATTTTTCTCTTGCAGTCGGCTAAGCTGGACTGCGAGCGTTCACATGCAAGAGGATCAATTTTAGGCAACGAGATCCAGCGAAAAGAGACGCAAGGAGAATCCAAGATGGAGAAACCTGTGATGTATATTTGTAAACTGGAGCCTACTTTATGTACCACGCAAGTGACGACTTATAAGAAATGTAGCAAAACGGTGCAGGGGGGTGACGGCGCTAAGAGCAAGGATAGTGTAGATGACAAGGAAGAAAGGAAAGTGAATGAGAAAGAGTTGAGTGGAAGTTCACCTCTGCAGAAAGATGCAACAGAGGTCAGACTGAGGAATGAAAAGTCTTCGCATCAAGTTGGAAAACTCGACAGCATTGGAGATAAGAAGATGACATACAAGTTGACTTCGTTGACATCACAGAGAAACCAAACTACAGGAATCTCAGGGAACATGAAGGATGCTGTGGGCGACAGGAATAACGACCTCAGCAGGAATAACGAGGATGAACTTAATCAGTCTCAGGAGGCAGAACACATGAAAAACGAACAGTTTTTGAACAAGGTTGAGGATGAGGGAAACGACATTGCGGTGATGAATAAACCGGAGAAATCTTTTATCAATTCTGAGGATATCGTATCAAGCAGCGATGAGACAGAAGGAAATGCCAAAGCTGTGTCAGAGAGAAGCAGAACCCCAGAGATTGACGAGAGCATTGCAGTGGAAGTTCTAGCAACTGGTCTTTTCTCAACGATGTATGCTCACCTTCACGGCTCTTTTATCGAAGAGCAGTCAGACGTTGATCATCGCAATCGCCGAGAATCATCCGAGAGTCAGCCAGAAATGATGAATATCGGCTTTATTTACGATAATATGCCAGCGTCTAAGAGGAATGAGGGAACATCTGTACACGAAGATGATCCTTTCCTTGACGTGGAGCACCTAGAACCAGATCAACCATCAACTGAGGTCAAGAAATTTGGAGCACAACTACAAGGTGAGTTTTAGGTGCTGATAAATCTCAATTCTTCTCGTCTTTAATCCCTCTAACGCCCACTGAAAAGTGACCATTCTTACAAAATGCCATCGCTTTTACATCAGGTGGTCTTGTCGATGCGAAGAGGAACATCTTCTGTAAAAAGAAGACGAAAGCTAAAGATGAGACTTCTAAAATAGTTGAACAAACTGTAAACAAGTTCATGTCAGGTGATGCTACCTCGGCCCGATCTGCAGGAATGAAGCACAACTCTTCTAACTGGTGGAGATTTGATGATGTGGGCTCAGAGAAAGATGGCGAATTTGAGACAGTCAGAAAAGATCAGACTATTGCAGTCGAGGAACCAGCAAGAAAAGATCCAACCATCGGATACAACACGAATGATTTCCAACGTTGGAACGTTGAGAAGAAATCAAAGGGAAGAAAAAAAATCAGCGCCGGAAATACTGCTCTCACCAGGAAGGATAAAATATCACGTCGTAAAACTGAAATTTCACGAAATCCCGAAGTTAACGCAAGATACGAGCAGCCTGAGAGTCAGAGGGTTTATAGTTCCAAGATAAACGGAGATGGTCAGAGATTAGAGCATGGTGTTGAAACTGTAGTTACGACGAAGCCAGCGGTATCATGGCAGTCCCTCGTGGCTGCAGGAAAATCTCGGTTATCAGAGCTGAGTATTCCTGGTTATGACGAGTTTTTGATGAAGACTAAGAGATATGATTTGGCAATGAATAGTAATAACGTATGTCAAACCGATGTTTTTTATAGCGTTGTTCAAACTTTGTGATTGAAAACACATTTTTGGCTGAATTCTTTTCTCTTGTCCTAAGATTTTACTTCTGTTTTTACAGGATACCGAAGATACAACCCACTTTGCGTCAAAAGAAGATCAATTATCTGCCAAGTATAAAAAAACCAAAAGAGAACTTCTGAAGAAACAGAAAAGTGAACTGGTAAAAGTTGCTTTGTTTTTTCTGTACTCATGAAGCAAATTAGTTTATAATAATGTTATTTATTTAACAATACAGGACAAACTGCAGTTAAGTATGGAACTAGAAATTGTGAGACTCTACAAAAACCAAGCTTACGCTTTCCTCAAGTGTAACCAACCAGCCAGCGCATGTTCTGCGATTCACTGGCAGAATATGTCAAAACACCAACTGGAGAACGAGGTGAGTTGATCAGAAATACAATTTCCTTGGCCTAAAACGCATGTGTGTAGAACTCTGTATGTTTCTTCTTGCAGAAGAGTAGGTTATCTCAGCAGCAGTTTCTGCCGATGGATCAAAATACAGCGTTTGGTAATCATCGCGAGATAGTAAAGAAATATGAGAATCTGAAGGTAATACGGCATACCCACACACTAGCTCTAGCTTACAGCATGACCATTCAGTTTGATGAAGGAACAAGCTAGCTGATTTGAGCTATTTTTTATTTTCACAGACCCTGATGACAAACAGACATAAACATGAACAGGAATCTTTAGACGCCGTGGTAAAACTGAAGTTAGAAAGTTGCGTGTAGCGGATTGTGTTTTATACGGTTTTCTAATTTCTACACAGCTGTATATAAACGTTAGGATCGCAACGACAGAGACGAAAACAAATGAACAAAGTTTTGTGGTAAAAAGCTACTGAAGTCCGGCAGAGCTCCGCCATTGCATGCTGTTTTGTTTGGGGTTGTTGTTTTTCAGGGGTTGTCGTTTTTAAGGTGTTGTTTTATTTAGCTCCCAAATGTTGTTTTACAGATATAAGCAACGTTGAACATGAACTCACAGTTCGTTTTATATTTCTTGTTTACTAAACAGTTAAATACTTTCGTTACGTTTCACCGAACAATTCATATTTATTCAAACCATGTTCATATAACTTTCGAATAAATACTTTTAGGTTTGCAATGTTCGTCCCTAATTTTCCTGATACTGCAATGAACGGTAGAGGTATATGTTTAAATTGTGTCTCAAGGTTCGTTGAATCTTTCAAAAGATCTATTTTATTCGCCACAACAGCAGCGGGTAAAGATGATAAGCCAGTTTTGTAAAGATCAAGTTCTTTCTTCAACATACGAAGATGTGATGCTGGATTGTCCTGAGAAATATCTGTTACGTACAATAGACAACGACATCTTTCAATATGCCGTAGGAACGAGTGACCCAAGCCTTTGTTCATGTGAGCTCCTTCAATCAAACCGGGAATATCAGCAACTGAAATATTAGAAAAACTTTAGTTTATTCATGAGAGAACCTTAGGGTACATCTTGTTGGTTCTCACTCAAAGATATATAATTACAGTAAATTCCCTGGTAACTACCTGCAACTTGAAGATAATCTTCAAACTCCACCATGCCGACATATGGATTGCGTGTGGTGAAGGGATACGCAGCCACAGCTGGCTTTGCATTAGATATTGCTCTTAATAATGTTGACTTGCCTGCATTGGGAAACCCAACCTAGAAATGGATATATTTCATCAGTTCTAAAGAAAATGCATATTGCAAATTTTGGAGCTAGTACTTTCTGAATAATTTGATCTTATACCAGGCCAATATCAGCAATAGTCTTCAATTCTAGTTCCACCACCTTCTCCTCTCCAGACTCTCCATCAGTACACTCCAATGGTCGACGGTTTAATGAGGATTTAAAGTAAATGTTTCCATAACCCCCTGCTCCACCATTGCTCACAATAAACTGTTCTTGATGGTTCTTCATGTCCCCAATCACCTCTCCATTGCACTTCACAGTTGTGCCTAGTGGGACCTTATATTACAAAAACTATTGGTCATATGTATACAGAATTACAACTGAGTGATTGCATTTTAACCATAAAAATTTATTCCAATTCATTAATCATAATCCTGAACCTTCACAATAAGATGTTTCCCATTCTTTCCATGGCATGCTTTTGTCTGACCATTTCCACCATTCTCCGCTTTTGAATATTTCTTGACGTGTCGTAGTTGTTTGATGGAAATATCTGCTTCCAAAACAACATTACCACCTACTCCACCATTACCACCATCAGGCCCAGCTTTCCTGTTCCCTCTACACAGAAAAGGGCAACAATTTATATTAAACCATCAGCCTTGAGTGAGGGCAAGTGGTACATAGCAATATCCTCATCAAACATACGCAGTTCTTAGCAAGTGAGCACATCCATCTCCACCATTTCCAGCCTTAACCAATACCCGTCTCCAGTCAATAAATTGTAGCTCCTAAAAGAGATGGTACTTTATCTTTAGTTATTAGTTTTTTTCTAGTTCTGTATATAAATTCAATTTCTACCTTGGTTGTTCTTTGTGAAAGATAGCGGAGCATTCCAAAAATTGTTTCTAGGAAATCTCATATGATTACTTGGTAACCATAAGACCTGTCAATCAAAGTATTAAACGTAAGAAGTTGCAATTTAATTTGCTAATTAAATTCAGCCTTATTTGAGCACGCATATTGCAGGCATGCGGCACGGTCAAAAAACGTCGTTTAAGTCGAACAAAATGACGAAAACAAAAACAACGTGTTCTTGAAAGCTAAATGTACATTTTGCAAATATTTTATATTTCTTTTGAAAAACATCTGTCTTGAATTTTGCGTGGGAATTATTTCAATTGGATGTGGTTTTTAGGTAACCATGCACAGGCCAAAAAGAAGGATAATTTCACGTTCTTTGGTAAGATGAAATTTTACTATTTTTTGAATGCATTTATATGCAGATGATTTCAATTTTCGCCAAAAACATGCTCATGGTATAAAAGCCCGTCAGGGTACTGACTGACCTACCGTTATTATAAGAAATGTTACTGTTATTATTTTACTTAATAGTCTTTCATTGAGCTATTTGTTTGGGAATAACCCGGACTAAGAGAGTAAAGAGATGGAGTATACATATATGACAGTTATAATAGCTGCCAATTAAATCCATCTGTTCTTCTGAAAAAACGTGTATGCATGCATATTTGAGTATGCTTAATATTCGTTATTAGGAATATAACAATGGCATGTTACATGAGGAGGAAATAGCTTTAAGACGGGCACTACATGCCTCGCTGAATGCTTCAAAAACTGTTGACAATGAAGAAGAATACAAAGATAGCTCTGATGATTCAAGTTTGGCGAGTTTCAAAAAGCAAGGGACCAAATCAAACCTGGGGGCTTCAGGCATAGACGAGGGTTCTCAGAGGAATAAAAGAGAATGCGACGAGAGTGTTGGCAGCAATGATAAGAAAAGACAGAAGAAATTATTAGTTAGAATTAAACCAAAGCACAGAAAGAGAAAAGGTTTGGGTAATGCTGCTTCCAAAGACATTGGTAAAAAGAAAGTTACAAAGAGTAAAATTTTAGCAGTTAAGGAGGATGATAGGAGAGTTATCAAAAGAAGGAGACGAAAGAAAAATGTGGATCAAATGATAGATGATAGGAATATGAAATCAAATGAAAGGTATGGTTTATAAGTGAAAGTAAGAGTAGTTTTTCACAACTAAACATAATTCATCTCTTTCTGCTGTTTAGTTTACCCAAAGTTCATGTGCAAAGGAAATTTCCTCAGACCAGCCCGGCAAGCCCAAGAAGGTCTGAGATAGATTAATATTGTTAACAATTGTTCAATATATTCAAGATAATTGTAATTGAATGTGTATCCTTGATATAATTGTTCTTATTTTTCAGCTTACTCTTATTTCAAAGTCAAATGCAACCAATGACAACCAGAGCTAAGACAGAAGACTTCCTTGACTTCCTTTGTCTTCGAGGTATCAGACACTTTTGTTCATTCTTTCATATGAAGCTAGTTTAGAGTGCAGTCAAGCACCATTATCTAGGCAATTTGTGGTGATAAATACTGTGTTGACCATTATTACAAGGGAGTGAATCTTCATACTCAAATTGTTAATGAGAAACCTTGGTGGTAATTGTCAGTTGATTTTGTTTTCTTAAAATGAGCCAAAGATCTGCAAAAGGGAAATTTGCATCTCTCATGACAATTTGATTGTGGATTTAGTCACTAAGTTGTGCTTATATATAAACTATTTCACTCTAGGCTCGACTCAGATGCCAAAATACTTAGAAATGTTTAACAATCCTTGTGCACCAGTTTCGCCATTGACAGATGAAGATGAAAGTTGCAAAACAGCTTCTTCTAAAACCTCTGCTAACGAGGAAAAAAATGATAATGAACCAGATGTCAAACAAAATCTCATCACACAGTTAGAGGAAAGCGCAACATCAACTAGTAGTCCTAGTTTGTTAGTATCCTCGCCAGTCTCAACGCGGGTCCAGTCTCACACCATCTTACCTCAATTTACAAGCAATCATGATGTTTTAACACATATCCCAACTCCTATCCCATATCCAACACCACCCACACCTGCCAAGCAACCAGGATTTGATGTGTATGGTGCCCCAAGTACCACCAGGGTTGCCCCCTCCCTTGTACCCAACCAGCCTAGAGTATCATCAATGGTCACAGAGACGCACATGTCTCCACACATGTCTCCTGGTGAAAGACATGGATTCCATCCTGTCAGTCAATCTGGACCAGTGGATAAAGAAACACTAATTAGGATTTCCCCACATAAAGTAGATGAAAGTGGTGGTAAGCTTCTGAAAAGCCCAAAGGAAAGTCCTAACAATAAAAAAGGAAAACTACCAAATAAACAGCAAGATATCATTCCAAATAAATTGTCCAAGGAAGGTCTGATAGGAAGCCCAAATACAGCTAAGAAAAGTAAAAGAAGATCTTTAAATTTTGAGTCAATTCCAATGGACTCAATTCCAGATGGTTGCCAGGATCCTGTGAGAGGTGGACAAAGTCAGAGCAATTATGTTCCAATATTTAAACCAACAGAAATTGAATTTAAGAATCCTTTGAAGTATATTGAGTCAATCAAACCAAAGGCTGAAGGGTTTGGTATTTGTGTCATAGCTCCTCCTGACACATGGCAGGTATGTGCATGAGCTTTGTTACTGAGTTTTTTGGGTGTCTTTCTGAGTGCTCTAAAATAAACAAGGCTTTTCTAATCTTTCTCTCATAGCCAGAATATTGTCTTTCTGATGAAATTCGTTTTACAACTAAGTTACAACGTATCCATTGCCTTGGCAAAAGGTAAGAATGTTTCCTTCTTGTAATCATCTAGATGGTAACTGGTTAAAATAAATATCATTTCTCTGGTAATGTATAGTTATCCAACTGTTGAAGATGAATTAGCTGCCATTAAACAACATCTTGAACAGCAAGGTATATTACTTTCAGCTATGCCACAGGTACGTCTTATTAATCCCCGGTTTGCTGAATATAAAATCATCTTGTTTATCTCTCGCACGCAATCTCAAAGTGCCGAGGTTTCCTCTCAGATTGCAGGTTGTGAAGTCGATCTTCCTTTAATGTCTTCAGTTGTGGAAGAATTTGGAGGTTTGCAACAGGTATCAGATTCTAATTGTGTTTCTAATTGAGCAATTCAACAATTCTAATTCTAATTGAGCAATTGAGTAATCCTAATTCTAATTGAGGAATCACTAATTCTTCTGCAGATCATCGATAAAAGGAAATGGACAAAAGTCGCTGATAAGTTGCAGATACCAAAAACCGTTGAGTCTCTCCTTTCTGAATTTCTTCAAATGTCTTCTGCTTCATATATGAATATTGCATTTTGTTTTAGGCGGTGGACAGAATCACGAAACTTGAGCATATCTACTGCAAATATTTGTTGTCCTACGATATGCTTTCGAAGGTGAGAACTGCAACGACACCCGTCCTGGGCTGACGATCCAACCCACGAGACTATATCAGTAAACTGTCTTTCGATCAAAAACAAGTAAATAAACAAATTAGCTGTTGCTTTTGGTCTTTTAGGAAGAGAGGACAAAACTTCGCGCTGATGAGGAAAATAAACGTAAAGAAGATTCTGGTACGTAGGCTTTATCCACTCATGATAAAGTTATATATTTGCGATTATTATTTATATATTGATATAATAATTATATATTTGATTACTCTCATTATTTTGGTTTATCATCATCTTAGGATCGTCAAAAACTAAACAAGAATTCATGACGAAGGTGAAATGATTGCGCTAACCAGTTTTCATCGTATTTTCATGTTCCTGCTAACTCATCCTTCTACAATCACCATGCACGCTCTAGGGACGGTCAATGTCTCTTGCCATTTTCCAACGCAATGCAAAGAACGTTAACGAGTTTTACATGAAACATACAGACATCACAAAAATTGAGGTAAATTTAAAGTATTGGTTTTCCAGGAGGAAAGACCCCTGAAGACATACCATTCAGTGACTTACTTGTTACGTACTTTTCCTTTCATTAGGACGTTTTTTGGCAAATGACAGATGAAGGCCGACGTTATGTTGTTGTCCACTCAGCAATGTTGGACGGTACCGCTTTTCCGACAAGCAAAACTAAACCGTTTTACAAGTAAGTTAGATTTACCGAAATTACTCGTATTTCTAGTGCAGATTACAGACTCGATCTAATCCAACATCTGGGTTCGTTTAGATCCAAGTGGAATTTGAATGTTCTACCAAGAGTTCCAGGATCACTTGCAAGAGATCTTCCCGATGTGGAGGGTAGGTATTGTTGCTTGTTTTCCCTGTATATAAGTTATGTTATTCCACTGTTTTGATCCTGTGATCCCGTTCAAACAATATCTAGGTGTTACCTCACCTGTGGTTAAAGTAGAAATGGTCTTATCCACGGAGACTTGGCATCCTCCAGCACATGATATGTTAATTTTGGAATATCTTCATCAAGGGGAGAATAAGATATGGTATTCTGTTCCACAGCATAGCAAGGATAGATTTTTGGAAGCTGTTAAAACTGAACTTAATGGAGATATTGATCGTATGAAAGATCGCGCGGTAAATAAAATTGAAGCACAGGATATATCTCCTTAAATTGTGGTTCAAGACTGAAGCATTTTTATCGAGCATCTTTCTTTCTCTCACCCGCTCAGATTTCTCGTTCATCATTGATCAAGTCTGGAATCCCAGTGTATAAAGTTGCTCAAGAACCTGGACAATTTATTGTCAAATTTCCACAGGTAATAATTTTAATTTCATGCCAAAAATTTGCGTGCTAAAAATTAAAAGATATTTCATTTTATTCATGTATTTTAAAGGCTTATCATTCATCGTTGTCAACTGGGTTTTGCGTCTCAGAATATGTCACGTTTGCTCCACTGTCCTATGTCCCACGAATAAAAACTACATTTCAGGTGGGATGACTGTGCCTGTGGTAGATTCTACATAATTCATACTTTTTATTAATGAAAGGTTATATTTCTACGGATCGTTCTCTATCTGTTTTCAATCAGGGAGATTTAAAATCTGAAGTTGATCATTTGTTCAGTTGGGAATGTTTCATTGTGTCCTCGATGAAAGAAGAGTTGCGAAGAAACAGCTGTGAAGAAACTCTGAACATTTTAATACCAGAACTGAAAGAGTTAAGGTGAGTTTTCAGAAGTGTTGTCTTGTTTGTACCAGAGGCTGTATCTTTTGATGAATTTCTCTTCCAGGGACGTTGAGACCAGATTGCAAAGTGAACTCTCAAACTTAGGAGTTATTGAAAAATCAAGAACTGACATTTCTCCAGGTTTGTGAAAGAGCGTTTCATGTTCATGCACGAGCCGTCTCAGTTGGAGAAACAATGTTTGGATCTTATTGCAAGATTGACTGTTGTCTCAGACCTCAATGTTTATTTCAGAAAAGAAACCTCGTGGTCGGCGCATAAATTCTGACGAGATCGAAAACTGCCATGAGTGCAATCGTTTCTGTTTTCCCTCAATGGTAAGGATGCTGGAGGAGCCAGACTAACAGGCTAAAGATCTATCACAATCCAGGGATGGTTGTACAAAAGCTAGATAAGGCTTCCACCTAAGGCTAGTGATTTTTTAGCTATTGTGAAAATGTTTTAAAATAAAAGAAATTACAGCTTTGGTGCCAAGCAAAGTTTTAACCTTGATTATACCAAACCACAGGCAATTTTAGACCGATTAGAAAAATCCACTTTCTGGTGGGTAGCGCTATCCAGTTTTGTACAACTGGCCATTGAGTATTAGTCATGCTAAAGATGTGCAAAGTATGGGCATGTTCCTTGATCTTATTGTTAACCTTTGTTAAATATTATTTCCAAGATAATGGATAGCTCTGACACTCCGCTGTGTTTGAATCATGCGTTGGAAAACCTCAAAGAACAGAAATCATCTGATTACACACTAACTTCTCATCTCTCATTGGTAGGTTGATTTCATAAAATAATTGAATTTCACACCTATTCATAGATGTGGTATAAAAACTACCTAAAATACTGCAATTTACTATCTACCAGACAAAGTTTTTTTTCTTCAGATCATTTTTATGCTGCAAAGTTCAGACTATACTATAGCTTCTTGATGATGATTGGTAAATTTTTAATTAATTTAGTCTGATCTGAACGAGTTAGTCAAAGAAGCTGAAGATAAATTACATCTAATTCAAACAACACCTCGTAAAGCGAAGAAACGTCAAGCAGGTGTTATCACATCCTTTGAAGGTAACATTAAGATCCCAGACACATTTGAGTGAATCATGAGGGAATAAGCTGGCTGTGCTCACAGGCCTGCCTCTACAAGCTTACGTCAGCTTCGCTCAGCAGATTGAAAGGAACTGTGGTGTTGTTTCATGTGGTTGCATGGGAATTTAGTTTTGTTAAACACTTGATATTTTACTTCCACGCTGGAATGTTTACGTGAAAAACATTATCAAATGCTACAAACAGTTTTTTAAAAATACATATTTTACAACCAAATTCATACCTTTACAACTATACAAGTAAAACTACAAGGGTGCACATTGAATAATTGAAACCCTGTCCATAGTTAGCTCTATAAATCACCCAACATCTATTTTATCTCTAAAATTCATATTAAAATGTCTGAAACAGCCCATAAGAACAGTTCAATGTACATATACAGTAAAACATACATTAAAACTGTGAAATAATAAGTTAAAATATGATCTTCTGTCAACCCATAAGTTGCACAGATTTCAGGATTCTCTTTACACCACCATCATTGGAGTAAGTCTAGATAAAAATAGTAAAATTGTTAGTGATGACCAGTGTCAACATCATTCATTTCCATGACTGGCAGTTCTCCGAATCTGATCACAAGTATTTGCCAGGTAATGTAATTATTTCTTATGATAAAAATATGTTCATTGTGGTTACCTTTCAGTGTTTTCTGATAAATCTAAAGGATCCATCTCGAATTCCAATTCGTCATCACTTTCATTCATAGGATCAAGAGCGGACAAACTGTGGTAAAGAAAAATTTAGATGATCAAATTGTGTTTTATATTTTAACACAGCGAAGGCAAGGAACATACCACATTCCTCTGCAGGTAAAGAAAACAATTCTTTTCATTTTCTTGTTGTAAAAGAAGTAGTTGAAGGACCACAAACATCCCTCTTCTCCATAGGGATCCGAGCTTAAGTCTGGATTGTAACTGAAATTGATTAATGTTATATTATTTCTAAGTGAAAATGTGAAAAATGGTTGTGACACTGATTGGCAAGTTGCACGTCTATCCATGACAGAATAATCTAACTACCTGTACACAGTGCACTCTGATAACTGAATTTCCTCTTCAATAGCAGCCCAGAGGTGAAGTTTGAACTGACTGTAGGCCTCTCCTAGGACACCACTTAAACTACTATCAATGAAATTTTTAACTTCTTGCAGGCTCGGCTCACGGCTGAATTCCTCAGATTTGGCATTGCTGAAGTCATAATCAGGTTGGAATGAAGCATTCAGTGTTGATTTCAAGTGAAACAATGTCTTTCGACTACAGGCATCGGCCATTTCCTTTTCATACGAACCATAATTCATTCCATGTGTAGGTGAGATACTGCAAGGTTGACCAGTCTGTGGTGGGGACAATACTTGCAGATCATTTGGATTTTGTCCCTCTTGGTTCAACATTTTGTAAAGCTTTTTATCATTTCCAGCCATTTTGCAAGAATAGCTTTCTATCCTGAAAGGTTTCAATGCGAAGTAGTTTGGTATATTTATTTGAAGTTGCACTAAAGTCTGGAGATGTTGAATAACTATAGCTTTGCAAGAGAGTACAAGGTATGAGACAAACTGAAATCCTACACCACAATTTAGTGTCATCTCAGCAAAACAAACCATCCATAAAATACGCGCCCGTTTTAATATAATTGTTTTATATACTATTGATACTGATAAAATTGTTGTACATACCGTCCATCTATACGGATATCTGTTGCTTGAAGCGACAGAGTATTCGTCAGGGACTCAAATCCGGCATTTTCCAACAATTTCATGTTTGTAGAGCTTGTTTTTTATTTCGCCTGTTATGTTGACTTTATACGTTGATACAAAATATGGCGCAAAACCAGCGCTGTTGAAGTGTCGAGTTTAGCCAAAAATAAGGTTTATAATGATTGTTTTGTATATTATACTGTTCTGATGTAAGGGCTTCTTTCCAAAAAGACTACTCGCGTCGATAAAGCGGAGTATATTCTCTGGACACATTTAATACACAGAGCAAAACGACAGATGTGGAAACTCGAAGTCTCGAATTAAAACGCTAAAAAATATACTAAAACGTCTCCAAAAACCCAGAAAAATCTTCGAAAATCGTCTTCAACAGTCTTTGAACGATATGTCGTTTATACTGAACTTCTCGAACTGCCTTTCACAACAAATTCTCGCTTTTATTTTGAGCAAAATATTGACAACAAAGAATTTGAAAACATGTCACTTTATTTCTTTTTCCAAATACAAAGAATCAAGGATGTAATGTGAAGTAAAGGGATACGAAGGGATAAAGAGGGATGCTGAAAATGGCTTCAAATATAAGGTAAGACAGATTTCTTTCGTTTTTTGAGCATATTTGGTTGCATTTCTAGACACTTTTTAAAAAGTTGAAAAAGTGGTCAAAATTGACCAAAATGGTAGGGCTTACCCCTTACCATTTTGGTCAATTTTGACGACTTTTTGAACTATTCAGAAACTGTCTTAATATGCTAAAAATGGCTTCCTAAGACTAATATCTTTCATTTTAGAGCATTTCTAGACACTTTTTAAACAGGTGAAAAAATGGTCAAAATTGACCAGAATGGTAAGGCTTACCCCTTACCATTTTGGTCAATTTTGACGACTTTTTGAACTATTCAGAAACTGTCTTAAAATGCTAAAAATGGCTCCCTAAGACTAATATCTATCATTTTAGAGCATTTCTAGACACTTTTTAAAAAGTTGAAAAAGTGGTCAAATTTGACCAAAATGGTAAGGCTTACCCCTTACCATTTTGGTCAATTTTGACGACTTTTTGAACTATTCAGAAACTGTCTTAAAATGCTAAAAATGGCTTCCTAAGACTAATATCTTTCATTTTAGAGCATTTCTAGACACTTTTTAAAAAGGTGAAAAAATGGTCAAAATTGACCAGAATGGTAAGGCTTACCCCTTACCATTTTGGTCAATTTTGACGACTTTTTGAACTATTCAGAAACTGTCTTAAAATGCTAAAAATGGCTCCCTAAGACTAATATCTATCATTTTAGAGCATTTCTAGACACTTTTTAAAAACTTGAAAAAGTGGTCAAAATTGACCAAAATGGTAAGGCTTACCCCTTACCATTTTGGTCAATTTTGACGACTTTTTGAACTATTCAGAAACTGTCTTAAAATGCTAAAAATGGCTCCCAAAGACTAATATCTATCATTTTAGAGCATTTCTAGACACTTTTAAAAAGTTGAAAAGTGGTCAAAATTGACCAGAATGGTAAGGCCTTACCCCTTACCATTTTGGTCAATTTTGACGACTTTTTGAACTATTCAGAAACTGTCTTAAAATGCTAAAAATGGCTTCCTAAGACTTATATCTTTCATTTTAGAGCATTTCTAGACACTTTTTAAAAAGGTGAAAAAATGGTCAAAATTGACCAGAATGGTAAGGCTTACCCCTTACCATTTTGGTCAATTTTGACGACTTTTTGAACTATTCAGAAACTGTCTTAAAATGCTAAAAATGGCTCCCTAAGACTAATATCTATCATTTTAGAGCATTTCTAGACACTTTTTAAAAAGTTGAAAAAGTGGTCAAAATTGACCAAAATGGTAAGGCTTTGGTCAATTTTGACGACTTTTTGAACTATTCAGAAACTGTCTTAAAATGCTAAAAATGGCTCCTTAAGACTAATATCTATCATTTTAGAGCATTTCTAGACACTTTTTAAAAAGTTGAAAAAGTGGTCAAAATTGACCAAAATGGTAAGGCTTTGGTCAATTTTGACGACTTTTTGAACTATTCAGAAACTGTCTTAAAATGCTAAAAATGGCTTCCTAAGACTAATATCTATCATTTTAGAGCATTTCTAGACACTTTTCAAAAAGTTGAAAAAGTGGTCAAAATTGACCAGAATGGTAAGGCTTACCCCTTACCATTTTGGTCAATTTTGACGACTTTTTGAACTATTCAGAAACTGTCTTAAAATGCTAAAAATGGCTTCCTAAGACTAATATCTTTCATTTTAGAGCATTTCTAGACACTTTTTAAAAAGGTGAAAAAATGGTCAAAATTGACCAGAATGGTAAGGCTTACCCCTTACCATTTTGGTCAATTTTGACGACTTTTTGAACTATTCAGAAACTGTCTTAAAATGCTAAAAATGGCTTCCTAAGACTAATATCTATCATTTTAGAGCATTTCTAGACACTTTTTAAAAAGTTGAAAAAATGGTCAAAATTGACCAGAATGGTAAGGCTTACCCCTTACCATTTTGGTCAATTTTGACGACTTTTTGAACTATTCAGAAACTGTCTTAAAATGCTAAAAATGGCTTCCTAAGACTAATATCTATTATTTTAGAGCATTTCTAGACACTTTTTAAAAAGTTGAAAAAGTGGTCAAAATTGACCAAAATGGTAAGGCCTTACCCCTTACCATTTTGGTCAATTTTGACGACTTTTTGAACTATTCAGAAACTGTCTTAAAATGCTAAAAATGGCTCCCTAAGACTAATATCTATCATTTTAGAGCATTTCTAGACACTTTTTAAAAAGTTGAAAAAGTGGTCAAAATTGACCAAAATGGTAAGGCTTACCCCTTACCATTTTGGTCAATTTTGACGACTTTTTGAACTATTCAGAAACTGTCTTAAAATGCTAAAAATGGCTTCCTAAGACTAATATCTTTCATTTTAGAGCATTTCTAGACACTTTTTAAAAAGGTGAAAAAATGGTCAAAATTGACCAGAATGGTAAGGCTTACCCCTTACCATTTTGGTCAATTTTGACGACTTTTTGAACTATTCAGAAACTGTCTTAAAATGCTAAAAATGGCTCCCTAACACTAATATCTATCATTTTAGAGCATTTCTAGACACTTTTTAAAAAGTTGAAAAAGTGGTCAAAATTGACCAAAATGGTAAGGCTTTGGTCAATTTTGACGACTTTTTGAACTATTCAGAAACTGTCTTAAAATGCTAAAAATGGCTCCCTAAGACTAATATCTTTCATTTTAGAGCATTTCTAGACAATTTTTAAAAAGGTGAAAAAATGGTCAAAATTGACCAGAATGGTAAGGCTTACCCCTTACCATTTTGGTCAATTTTGACGACTTTTTGAACTATTCAGAAACTGTCTTAAAATGCTAAAAATGGCTCCCTAAGACTAATATCTATCATTTTAGAGCATTTCTAGACACTTTTTAAAAAGGTGAAAAAGTGGTCAAATTGACCAAAATGGTAAGGCTTTGGTCAATTTTGACGACTTTTTGAACTATTCAGAAACTGTCTTAAAATGCTAAAAATGGCTCCCTAAGACTAATATCTATCATTTTAGAGCATTTCTAGACACTTTTTAAAAACTTGAAAAAGTGGTCAAAATTGACCAAAATGGTAAGGCTTACCCCTTACCATTTTGGTCAATTTTGACGACTTTTTGAACTATTCAGAAACTGTCTTAAATGCTAAAAATGGCTTCCTAAGACTATATCTTTCATTTTAGAGCATTCTAGACACTTTTTAAAACGGTGAAAAATGGTCAAAATTGACAGAATGGTAAGGCTTACCCCTTACCTTTGGTCAATTTTGACGACTTTTGAACTATTCAGAAACTGTCTTAAAATGCTAAAAATGGCTTCCTAAGACTATATCTATCATTTTAGAGCATTTCTAGACACTTTTAAAAAGTTGAAAAAAGTGGTCAAAATTGACCAGAATGTAAGGCTTACCCCTTCCCATTTTGGTCAATTTTGACGACTTTGAACTATTCAGAACTGTCTTAAAATGCTAAAAATGGCTTCCTAAGACTAATATCTTATTTTAGAGCATTTCTAACACTTTTTAAAAGTTGAAAAGTGGTCAAAATTGACCAAATGGTAAGGCCTTACCCCTTACCATTTTGGTCAATTTTGACGACTTTTTGAACTATTCAGAAACTGTCTTAAATGCTAAAAATGGCTCCCTAAGACTAATATCTATCTTTAGAGCATTTCTAGACACTTTTTAAAAAGTTGAAAAAGTGGTCAAATTGCCAAAATGGTAAGGCTTACCCTTACCATTTTGGTCAATTTTGACGACTTTTTGAACTATTCAGAAACTGTCTTAAAATGCTAAAAATGGCTTCCTAAGACTAATATATATCATTTTAGAGCATATTTTGGTGGTTTTTGAACATTGAAAAGTCGTCATTATGTCTTCAAGTATTTAAAATGTTTATTTTACGTTATGTATCAACACAGATGCGGTGCCTAGTTTAAGGCTACCCCCTACAGGTTGTGAGCGTAGTTCGAATCTCTGCAAGGAAAAGTGCAATTTTTCCCACCGAAATTGCTTTTAATTTTAAAATTCTGCGAATAGGATTTAAGTCGAATAAAGCACAAGATGTGATGAATGATACTGTGGCCTAGTGGTTAAGACTACGGCCTACCAGGTTGTAAGCCGAGGTTCGAATCCTGCATGGAAAGGTGCGATTTTTCCCACCGAAATTATTCTTTAATTTAAACTTCATCAAAAGGATTAGTCAATATAAAAAATAGCTTTCGACAAATGACGCGGTGTCTAGTGGTTAAGACCCTGGTCTTTCAATCTCCAGGACAAGGGTTCAAGTCCTGGCAATGCAAAAAATTAGCCTGGAAAATTTCGGTTTGATTTGTAAGCTTGAAAAAGTTAAGACTCTCAGCTTTCATAAAGCTGTAAATTTGAAAGAATTTGGAAGAAAAAAATTGAGAAACATTTGAACAATTTTCGCTTCGTAAAGTACGTGAAGTTGACAAAAAAACGCAAGAAAAAACTAAAAACATGTGGCTTCTAAAACACTGAAAATTAAAAATGTCCGACTAAAACTTTAAAAAAAGGTTAAAAATTTCCCGCCTTTAATGCTGTTACTTACCTCAATAATTTTTTTTCACGAAAATTTGACAGTGATTTCACGAGACTGAAAAAATTTACATTTTTCACTTTTTGAAATCTCTTAGATATTTTTTTTATCAAGAATATTATGTCTTGGGCTACCTGTGTCAAGCCACACAGGTAGCCCAAGACAGTCACAGGTAGCCCAAGACATAATACTTCGTCTAAAAAGAAAATTCGTCCTCAAAAAGATTTTTCACTTTTTTAAAATTCTCCGAAAATTCTTTTAGACGAAGTATTAGTCTTGGGCTACCTGTGTGTGTCTTGGCTACCTGGTCTGGCTTGACACAGTACCAAGACATAATACTTCTTGATAAAAAAATATCTAAGAGAATTTCAAAAAGTGAAAAATTAAATTTTTTCATCTCGTGAAAATCACCCTGTCAAATTTCGTGAAAAAAATATTGAGGTAAGTAAACATTAGCATTAAAGGCGGGAAATTTTTAACCTTTTTTAAAGTTTTAGTCGGACATTTTTTAATTTCAGTTTTTAGAAGCCACATGTTTTAGTTTTTTTTTACTTGCGTT